CCCTAAACCCTAAACCCTAAACCCTAAACCCTAAACCCTAAACCCTAAACCCTAAACCCTAAACCCTAAACCCTAAACCCTAAACCCTAAACCCTAAACCCTAAACCCTAAACCCTAAACCCTAAACCGACGACGGCGCGGAGACACAAAGGGACGACGACGACGGCGACGGCGACGACGCGGGGATAGCTATTCATTCGATATCTTACATTTTTTGGAATCAATTCGTTTATTTTCGATCCCTTTGTGTTTCACACAAACGCGCGACGCGCGTCTCAACGCGTTTGCGAGGATAGCCGCACGCCCGCGACGTACGTTGCGGGCTGGTTATAATCAACAAAGTTTGTCGCGAGTGGTTCACCGTACGACGAGAGCAGTCTCGTTCCGTCCGCGCTGTGCGTGTAACCGATCTCGGGTACAACGCGGTTGTAGCACAGCGCGTCGTTCGTCGACTGCCCGGCGCACTTGATCGCTTTGTCGTAGTGCGCCTTCGCGTATGGATGCTCGAGATACCTTCCACGATATAAGTCCAGCGAAACCTGCGCCGTTTCAACGCGTTTCACGTAGGCATCCGGAAACGCCTCCGTGGAACCGGCGACGCTCTTCGCGCCGCGTGCTCGCGATGCGGCTATCGCAGACTTGACGTCGGTGCTGAAACCCGAGTAGTACGTACTCTCGTCCGCCGTCGCCGTCGCGGTCACGACTACAGGTCGCGATTCACTGAACGACGTTAACTCTGTCGCGATCGGAGCCAAGTTTGCTATGTAGCTCGGATGCAGGTCGTCTAAGTTGTCGCCCGCCTGCGTCGCCGCGCGTCCCGCCGCCGCGTCGTTCGCAGCGATCACGGCGGCGACGTCCGCGCGTTGCAACGACGCTTGCGCTAAAAACCGCGGCGCTAGATTTAACACCGCTTGCTCGAGATCGCCCAACCAGGCGCGCGAGCACTTTGACAACAAAACGGCGATACCGCCCTGCGTCGACGTCGTGTCGATGGCGTTCCACGTCGCGTCTGCGTCGCTCCCCACCTGACAGATGTAGTCGTTCCCGAAAGTCAACCATAAGCTTTTCCTCGTCGTTTCGTATGCTTCGCACGAAGTCTCGTCGCTCTCGCACAACGCTTCCAAAAGTCGCGCCGAAAGCGCGTCGAGCGCGCCGACGGCTTGCAAGCCCTTCGAGTTGACGATGGCGCGTTCAATGTTCACGCTGTACTCATCTCCTCGAACGAGCGTCGCCAACGACGCGACGATGAGCGCCATCATCTTCGCGCCGCGCCGTTCGCCGCGCGCGCGCGTCATCATCGTCCGCGTCAACGCGAGCGAACGTCGCGACGACGCGCCAACGGCCGCGGGGCGACCGACGCGATGGAGTCGAAGCGCGTCGTATGCGCGCGAGTCGTCGATCAACGCGCGAAGTCGTCGTCACCGCGAGCGTCGTCGTCGCCGCGGGCGGCGCTCGGCGCGTCTCGGCGTCGCCGCCGCGCTCGGCGCGTCGCGTTCTGACGTTCCGACGCGCATCGCATCCATCCCGTCACTGTCTTTCACGAGTGCGGCGACGCGCATCGCGTCACTTGGTCGCGTTCGGGCGCCGCGCGCGCGATGACGAGCGAACGGGACGCGCGAAGTGACACCGAACGCATCGCGCGCGCGTTCACGTCGTACGTCGACGACTATCGCGCCGACGCACGACGTTTCGGCGTCGGTGTCGACGAAGACGACGAGTCCTTCGACGTGCGCGCGCTCACGGCGCTGCTCGAAGGCGACGACGAGGGCGGGCTTGCTGGGTTACGAGCGTTGATTGCGGAGATGGTGCGGGCGTTGACGACGGAGGACGACGGCGGCGACGTCGAGGACGCGCTGCGCGAGACGGCGAGCTTGTTGCGCCAGGCAGCCGCTGGGAAACTGAGAGAGTTTGCCGACGCGACGATCGACGCTCGGACGACCGTGAGAAACACTATCGCGCTCACGCCGGCATTCGTGGTGAAGACGAGGGATGCGAGTGGGATGAAGGTGTTCGTCAACGTGTGCGCGAGCCACGACGTCGCGGCGCCCGCCGCGGGCAACGACGAGTGGCGTCGGGGGCTAATGCCTAAGCGCGTCATCGCCGCGCTCGAGCACAAAAAGCACTCCGTTCGAGACGGAGACGACGACGCTTTGGTGTTCCCTCTGCGCGAAGGACGGGCGCGCGCGGACGTCGACTCTAACGCGAATCCGTGCACGGTGTTCGACGTCGCCTTCAACGACGTCGTCCTGCGTCACGCGGAGGTCTACAAGCCGCTGAAGCGACTCATCGCAGAGCTAAGTTTGCGACGATGCCGAGAAACGTACGGGATAGCGCTCGATACCGAATATAGATTGCCGGCGCGAAAGTTCATCGGCGCCGACCCGCCTCCGCCGCTGCGACTTCTCGCGGAGACGCGTCCTTCCCTGGTTGAGACGCGAACGGTTGTTCAGAACACGCCGAGCGTGTCACGTGCGGAGATACGAAGCGGGATCGATCACTCCATCGAATTTCTCGGGCGGCCGGTGACATCCGTAAAGCTTCGCGTAGGCGTGCCGCGAGGCAAAAGCGCTCGCGATGTCGGCGTCCACGTCGTTCGTGAAGCGTTGACTGTGGACGTCACGGGATTACCCTCCGAACGCATCGAACTACCATTCATGCTCGACGCCGAGAGTGCGCGAGGTTCGTGCGTCGACGGAGGGCACACGATCGAGTATAACGTCGCGTATCTCCCGTACGACGTCGCCGTCGACGCCGCGCGAGCGAGGCTCGCGAAACCAACGAATTGACGTAGCGGATAGAACGTAGCGGTGAAACTGAATTTGGAAGATGTAGGAATGCAAAACGATTCGCCCACGTATGCGTGCGCGAAACGATACCGAACGAAAAAATAGAAATCTAGGTGGCGGTGCAAGAATGTAGTACTGATTAGTCAAATCTTTGGATTAAATTGCGTTGAGTGAAGATGAACAAGCGGGAAATAGGGGTTCCCGCGCTAAACGAAAGTGCAAGAAGACGCGGTTTCTCGAGCGCGAATCAGATGTCGATGAGATTCGCGAGCAGCTCTTCGGTAGTTTGTTTCCTAGGCGGCGCCGCCGCAGTCGAAGCCGTTTCCGCGGGCGCTGGAAGTGGCGGCGGAAGCGCGTCTTCGGCTGATTTCTCGACGTCCGACTGTTGGGAGACGGAGAGACTCGCCGCGATGGCTTGGGCGATCATCGCCGCCTCTTCCTCTTCCGTCGTCGCGCACTCGATTCGACTCGTTCCGAGCGACGGGGGGCCGCTCGGAGGTACGGCGGCGCATGAGGAGTCTGGATCTGGCATCGTAGTCGACGTTTTCGGACGACCGTCCGAACGAATCGAGAGCACCGCCGCGTTCAGTTCCTCGAGCGTGAAAAGCAGCTTCCCGAGTTGCTCCTCGCTTAAACTCACCGCGCTATCCGTCATCTCCGCCACTTGCGTGAGATGCGCGCGATGGGCCTCGCACACGTCGCTCAACTCCAAGTCTAACGCGTCGTTCGTCGCCGCATCCGCATCTGGGTCTCCACCCGAATCGCGAAGCTCGCGCAAAAGCGTCGCCGCCGTGTGAGCGCCTTCGAGCGTGTCGTCCAAGTCGCCGAGCACGTGTCGTAAATCCACGGATCTCGCGCGCGCGTGGTGACGCGAGAGCATCTGACCCGCGGGTGGTGATCCGACAAACGAGGCGTCGTCCACGTACGTCTCGTTCCCGTACGTCGACGTCGGCGCCGGCGTCCGCGACGCCGAACCGGCGTCCTTGAAGGCGTCCTTCAGCGTCTTCTTCAGCGACTTCAGGTGCGCTTGCGCGCGCTGTGCCAGCGACCGTCCCGCGCCCCTGAGTGGCACGCTTTCGAAATCATCATCCACATTCGCCGACGACGTCATGGGGTTATCGTACGCCGTGTACGTCGACGACGAACTCCCGACGTGTCGTCTACGCGCCGCCGGCGCTTCGTCGATCGCGTCCTCCATGTCGTTCACGGCCTCGGCCTTTGTGCGCGCGCGTCGTCATCCGTCAGTCTCCGCATCGTTCGTCTTCATCGTCTACGGCGCGTTCGCGCGCTCGACGCGCGCGACAGCGTTCGCGCGCGCTCGGTCGTGATTGCGAAGGGGCGCCAATCCGGCGGATGGCGCGGGCGCGCGCGCGACGCGCGCGACGACGCACCTGTTCCTCGCGCGTCATGAGCGGTGAGTACTGCGTGCGCTTCTCATCCTTGAACATGCCGAAGTCGCCGCGGACGCGTTCCCGTCGTCGTCGTCGTCGCGCAGCGAAAAGTCACGTCGACGGGTCGGTGCCGAGCGACGCGACTGGCAGGGCCCGAACACGCGAACTGGCGAAGGGTGAAATCCATCGCTCGCGGCGCCGCGCGAAGTTTTCTTCAATCGTTGATGTCACACTGCAAATGGATCGTCGTCGGTCGTAAATAATGATTCGAGAAGAATGGTCGTATCTTACGTGATGTACATCGCGTCGCGCGCGCGGAGACTCGTCCGTCGGCTGCGTCAGTGAGGCGATTTTTTCGGCTTACTCTTGCGCCGATGCGGCACCGCGGGCGTGACGATGAGAAGCGTCGGCGTCACCGGCGCGTCGCCGTTTCGATCCTTTGAGCTATATTTACGTTTCCCAGTCGTCGCCGCCGCCACCGCTCGCATCGGCGTCGCGCCTTCGCTCGAGGGCGAGTATTCGTCTTCGCTCTTCACCGAGACGGGCGAATAGCCGCGAGCGCGCTTGGTGCTAGTGTCGCTCGCGGGTGACTTGTTTCGAGCCGGTGACCGTCGGTCGCTATTCGCCTTCTCAGCCTTGGCGGCATTTTTGGCCTGCGTACTCTTCCGCGGCGTCGGCTTGATCGTTTCCTCCGCGTACGACATGTCTATCCCGCCCTTGGCGCTCATATCTTCGCCGCCGTTCATCTTGCACGAAATCGAGCAATACTTGTTGTTGTCGCTCTGAAGAATGCGCGCGCAATACGAACACTCCGAGTGCATTTGCGCCTGCGCGCCCGCGCCCGCGCGATATCGTTCGCCACTCCCCGCGCCGCGCCCGCTCGACGACGAATGATTCATCAGCTTTTCCCCGTCTTTTTTATTCGTCGACCGCGGGTGCGGGCGTTCGTTTAAAAACACGACGCGCGCCGAGTTGATGATGTACGTCTGTATACCCGTCACGTCCATGAGCTTACACACGTCTTGCACGCGCACGACGTTATGATACGAACTCCTTCGAATCTAGCGTTTCGAGCGAGACGATTCGTCGCGCGCGTCAGTCGTACGTCGCCTCCGCGCGAACGCGCCCAAACCCTAAACCCTAAAAGCGCCGCGCGAAAGACAGCTGAGGCCGCGAGCTTTTCCCGCATTTCGCTCGATTCAAAGCCCCGAGTCGCGTCGTCCGCGCGCGCGCCGCGCCTCGGCGCCGTCGTCCGCGCCGCGGGCCCGACGCTTGAAATAAAAATCGCTCGCGTCGCGCGTCGCACCTGTATCGTGTCGAACACGTCGCGCTCCGCCGCGCACGCCGGACACATCGAGCGTCGTGACGATAACGAGAACAAATTGACTTGCTCGCCTTTGCTCCCCGTGCTGTGCACGTCGCACGGCGCGAAGAACGCGCCGTGCACGAGATCGGGGATCCATGATAACTCTTTGGGTAATTGCGCCTTCGCTCCCTGAGAGCGTTCGCGCGCCGTCGTCGCTCGCGCGCGCGTCGTCAGTCCGCCGTCGCCGCGCGCGCTAGGTCTCATGCCGCGCCGATGTTATCCCAACGCTCTAGGGCGTCCGTCGAACGCGTCGCGCGTCGCGCACCTCCATGTTCACGCCGCGACGCGGTGCGTCGAAATATTTCGCGTCGTCGTCGGCGCGTCCTCGATGCGCCGTCGTCACGACCGCGAGCGCGCGCGGCGCGTCGTCCTCGCGCGCGTGTGCGGCGTCAACGCCAATGCGCGCGCGACGACGGACGACGACGCGCGCGACGACGCGTTCGCGCGGTCCGCGCGTTCAATACGGCGCCGACGCGAGTGGGTGATTTATGCGTATTAAGAAGGAAACGTACGCCGTGTGGTCGCATCGACGCGAACACGAAAGTGAAAATGCCGAACCCCACGCGCCGGGCGACCGACCGAGGGCGGTGTGTCCGTTCGCATCTCGGGGGCGGAACAAAAACAGGCGAATCACCGCAAGGCTTCGAACGCGCACTCCTTGACGATGTCGGTGGCCTTTTGCACCTGCGCGCTCGAGACGATGAGCGGAGGGACGAGACGCAAGATGTCACCCTTACCAGCGGTGATGGTCAACAGACCGCGCGCGCGACACGCCGCGACGAGCGGGGCGGTGGGGCAGTCGAATTGCACGCCGACGAGCAAGCCCGCGCCGCGAACCTCGCGAAGACGCGGGTGACCGGCGAGCTTTTCGGTGAGCGACGACTTCAACTCGTTCCCGCGTTCGGTGACGTTGGCTAAGAAGGCGGGATCACTCACCCGGTCGAAGACCTCGTTCGCCACGGCGCACACCAAAGGCCCGCCCGCGAACGTCGATCCGTGGTCGCCCGCGGCCATGACGGCGGCGACTTTTTCTTTCATCAGCACGGCGCCGATGGGCAAGCCGTTCGCCAGCGGTTTCGCCACCGACATCATATCCGGCTCGGCGTCTTTAATAAGTTGATGGCCCCAGAGTTTACCCGTTCGTCCCAAGCCGCACTGCACCTCGTCGTACACGAGCAAGGCGTCGGCTTCGTCGCAAATCGCTCGCAAGCCTCGCAAGAACTCGGCGTCGGCGGGGTAAATGCCACCTTCGCCTTGCACCGGCTCGACGAACACGGCGCACGTGCGACCTTTGACGATCACTTGACGCGCTTTTTCCAAGTCACCGTACGGCGTGAACGTGTTCCCCGGAAGTCCCGGGGCGAACGGCGCGCGGTAGCCCTCCTTCCACGTCAGCGAAAGCGCGCCGAACGTTCGGCCGTGAAAACCGTTTTCAAAACTCACCGTCTCCCACGCCGCGTCGCCGGCGTTTTTCCCCAGCGCCTGCGCGCGCGTTTTGGCGTACTTTCTCGCGAATTTCAACGCCCCCTCGTTCGCCTCCGTTCCCGAGTTGCAAAAGAAGACTCTGTCGGCGAACGACGTCGCCGTGAGCTTTCTCGCGAGCGTCGCCCCCGGTTCGGTGTGATACAAGTTCGACGTGTGCGTCAGCGTGCGCGCTTGTTCGGCGATCACTCGCGCCACGCCTTCATCCGCGTGTCCGAGGCAATTCACCGCGATCCCGCTCGTGAAATCTAAAAACTCCTTCCCGCTCGCGTCGAACAGCGCGCAACCCTTTCCCCGAACCATCACCTCAGTCTCGCCTCGGCCGTACGTTTGCAGCACGCACTCGCGTTCGTTCTTTCGCACCTCATCCGCGTCGACGACGTCGCGCTTTCCTCGTTTCCCACCGCCGAACACACCGCGCAGGAACGCTCGCGTCGTCGTCGTCGTCGTCGTCGTCGTTCGTCGTCCTCCTCCTCCGACGCGTCGCGGGCGCGCGTCGACGCGCGCGCGCGTCGCGCGAAACGGCGTCGCGGACGCCCCGCGCATCCCGCGCGCGCGACGCGACGCGACGCAACGCGACGCGACGCGGTGTCGGGCTCCGTCGACGACGAGTGCGGCGACGCGCGTCGCATCCATCCCGCGCGAGACGCGAATCGAGACGCGCGCCGAGCGAGCGCGACTTCGAGACGCGCGACCCGACCCGACCCGATCGCGATCCGACGCGATGGATCCGCGCGCGACGCCGTCGACGACGCCCCGCGCGCGCGCGCGCGCGCCGGGCGACGCGCGCGACGCGACGCACGCGGCGCGACGACCGGCGGATTCGACGCCGGAGCGACACGAACGATGGAACGCGCGCGCGATGGCGACGACGGCGACGACGGCGATCGGGGCGAGTGCGGCGTGTCCGGCGACGACGACGCCGGCGGGCGTGTCCGCGGCGTCGCGAACGTCGACGACGACGGTCATCGGGCGCCACGAACACACGATAAGCGGGTACAGCTTGTTGAAGGGATTGGGCGACGGTGAACCGATCGCGAGCGATCGGTTCATGGTGGGCGGACACGAATGGGTGCTGTTGTTTTATCCAGACGGTAAGCGCTCGATGAGCGATGGGAACGCGCCGAGCGCGCCGCAAGACGATCCGTACGCGGCGCTCTTCGTCGCCCTCATCGGCGAAGGGCCGAGGCCGTTGGGGGTGGTGCAAAGCGGACAAGGACGCGTCGTGCGGGCGTTTCACAGATTTACCCTGGTAGATCAAAGTGGGAACGGGCGACACATCACGAAAGGGCGACAGCGCGAGCAAGGGGCGGTCAAAATTTCGTGCGCGAGGCAAGACCCGCAAGCGCGCAACTGTCACGGCTATCGTAAATTCGTCCGCAGGTCGGTTTTGGAGGGATCGGGGACGGGGTATCTGCTGAACGATGTCGTCGTGATACGATACGAGATAGAGCTTGTCGTCACCAGCGGTGGGGCGCTGAACAAGAACATGAAGTTGCTGCCGGCGGCGAGCGTCAACGTGCCCTCGTATCCGACGATCGGAAAACACCTCGTTCGATTACTGCACGACCCGGACTCTGATTTCGACTGCACCTTCGACGTCGAGGGCGAAAAGTTTAGAGCGCATAAACTCATCTTGTCGTCACGCTCGAGCGTGTTCGCCGCCATGCTCCGCACAGGAGCCGCCATGCGCGAAGGACGCGAGGGCGTGTGCACGCTTCTCGACATAAAGCCGAGCGTGTTTCGTTTGTTGTTGCACTTCGTGTACGCAGACGAAATCCCGCGCGAAGGCTCGGGCGTCAGTGATGACGGCGCGCACGCCCTGCTGGGTGGCGCGCACAGGGGGGATGCCGACGGCGAAATCGACGCGACTGGCGCGTTGGTGGGTCCGCGAGCGACGGGTCGGGCTTCGGACGAAGTCAACTTGGACGTTCCAATGACGCAACACTTGCTCGTCGCCGCGGATAGATTTGACTTGAGCAGACTTCGCGCGATGTGCGAGGCACGTTTGTGCGAATCCGTGGACGTTGACACCGTAGCGAACACTCTCATGCTCGCCGAGTTGAACCACGCCGACGCGCTCAAGCGCGCGTGCATGAGCTTCATCGCCGCCAACCTGAGCGACGTCATGTCGACGGAGGGCTACGAAGCTATGAACATTTCATGTCCGCACTTGGCTGGCGAAATATTAAGCTCTGTCGCAGAAATGCGCGCTCTGCGTCCGAAGGCTGAAGTGTTCCCGAGCGCGCCCGTGCCCGCGCAAGACGGCGCCGGAGTCTCCATGCACGCCCCCCCCGGGGCGACCGCGGCAGCGGTGGCGGCGGCGGCGGCTCGAAACGTAGATGGTACACAGGGCGTTCTCACACTGCCGAATCTGGCGAATGCGGGGACAGACATGGCGGCGAACCTTGCGACGCTGCCGGCGATGAGCGCGTTCAGCAATTTTCTCGCCTCTCGCGTGCAGCGCCTCGCGCCGCCCACATCTGCCGCGGTTTTGGACGCGATGCCACACGACGGCGGCATCGCTGAGCAAGATGCGATGGCGGCGATGATCTCGCAAGCCGATTTGACGATACCCCCCACGCAAGAACTTCTCAGCACACCCGGCGGCGGCGGCGGTGAGGATCGCGCCGCCGTCGACCGCCGCGCGCTCGACGATGGAGCTGTCGACGATGAAGCGAACGATGGGCGGCGAGTTCGACCGAGACGTTAGTTTTGATGACCGTTGTAGGAATTATACAAAAATCTAAGCCGAGACCGTCGCGCGCGTGCGTACTCTCTGTCGTTTACTCATCGCTCGAAGTCGCCTTGTTCGATCCCAACTTTGCCGCCATCTTCTTCTTTGCGAACTCGTTCGAAATTTTGAAGACTTTCTCTCGGCCCGCGTAGTCGCATCCCGCGGAGACGCCTTCGTAATCTATCGCGCTCTTCGGGGCGTTCGGATCGTCCGGTTGGACGTGTCGCAACAACTGCGCCATAAAGTTTATTTTGAAATCGACGTTGTCGCAACCCATCCCCGTGACGATGGCTTGCCCGGCTTTTTCGTGGTGGGTGAGGTAGTTTCCGACGACGGTCTGGTCCAGGATTTGTATCTTTGCCGTCAGGGCGTCGATGTGCGGGATGACGTCGTTAAGAAGGAACCCAACCTCCGCCTTATCGCCCGAGTACGTCTGTTCGGCGCGCTGCCAGACGTTGAGCAGCTTCTTCCCTTGCACGGAAGGCTTGGCCACGATCACCTTTGTGTTCGCGTGCTTGCGCGCCGTCGTCCCTAAGCCGTAGTCCGCCCCGAGCACGAGATCGTTCGTCGTGAGCTGGTCGTGGATGAGCTGCAAAGGGTTCTTTTGCATCACCGCGTCGGGCTCGAGGAACATCACCGTGTAGTCGTTGTCCACGAGCGTTTGCACCGCGTGCACGCGCCGCCACGACAGCATCGACTTGAGCTCTTCTTTGCTCGCTTCGGCAAACTTCGCGACTTGCTTGCGTAAGTCATCGTCGACGTAGACGTCAATCTTGTGCCCCGCCCCCGCCGTTTCCTTTTCGATGAACTCCTTCGTCGCCTCGTCCGGAACGATGACTGTCCAAAAGTCCACGATGGACGGCGCCACAGCCTTCATCGACTCCAGCAAGGCGTGCGCGAACGTCCAATACGACTTATTACAGAACGTAATCGCCCGAAACTTCGTGCTCCGCGTCACGCTCTCGACGTGTTCGGCCAATCCCGGCACGTGTCCGGGCGCGTTTTGCGCCCTCGCCGCGCCGCCGAGCGCGGCGCGATCGATCCTCCCCGCCCCGCGCGCTCGTTCCGCTTTCACGAGCGCTAGCCCCCCCACGAGCGCGCACAACGCGACGAACGCCATCCCGAACGCCCGCGCGCGCGACGCGCGCGTCCGCGTCCTCGCCCTCGCGCGCGTAACACCCTCGTCGCCATCCTCGTCGTCGCGCGTCCTCGTCCACGCCGCGCGCGTCGCCGCGTCCTCGTCGTCGTCGCGCGCGTTCGCCGTCGTCGTCGTCGCGCGTTCGTTCGTTCGCAACAATCCCTCGCGCTCGCTCGCCATCGTCGCGAACGCGCGTCGGACGCCGTCGCCGCGCGATGTGCCGATCGGTGTATGGTGTTACGAAATACACGCGCGCGGGCTACGAATTGGAGTTGCGTCTAACGCTTAGACCCCGTCACGGCGCCGCGCGCGCGTCGCGCCGGGCGCGCGCGACGCCGACCCCGACCGCCGTCGCGCCGCCGCTCGACGCCGACCGCGCGCGCGTTCGGGACGACTTCGGGACGACGCGTTCGCGGGACGCGCGGGACGCGCGGGACGCGCGAGGGATGACGCGCGCGACGGGACGCGCGCGCGCGAGCGAGGACGACGCGACGACGACGCGAGGGACGTACGGGGCGACGCGGACGTCGCGCGGAAGCGCGAGCGACGACGCGAGGGACGACGCGCGGAGGCGAGGGACGACGCGCGCGAGACGGTGGCGCGCGGCGGGGGCGTGCGCGTGCTTGGCGCTCGCGATCGGGACGTGCGGAACGGGTGAAGGAGGCGCGATCGAGCGATGGGGAGAGGCGACGCGGGCGCTGGGCGCGAGGGCGTGGACGAAGGGCGTCGGCGCGGCGTTGGGTGAGGGGTCGGTGTCGTCCACGGTGACGTCGTCGGTGACGTCCACGGTGAACGGGGGGACGCCGAGTCCGCCGCCGCCGAGTCCGCCGCCGAATCCGCCGCCGAACCCGCCGCCGCCGAGTCCGCCGCCGAATCCGCCGCCGAATCCGCCACCGAACCCGCCGCCAACGGCGACTCCAGACGCACATCCGTCGTCGACTCCGGTGGAGAGTCCGAGTCCGGCGCCCGAGCCCGTGTCCTCGCCGCCGGCTTTGACGCCGGATCAGGCCGCTAAACTTAAGCGGGATATTCGCCGGCTCACCAGAAAGATCGGCAGACGCAAGCCGGACCACCCTTCGATGCCCGGCTTGCAGCAACAACTCGCCGAGCTCCAAAGAGAGCTCAACGGCGAAGCGTCGCCGACATCGAGTCCGAGTCCGGCGTCCGAGCCCGTGTCCTCGCCGCCGGCTTTGACGCCGGATCAGGCCGCTAAACTTAAGCGGGATATTCGCCGGCTCACCAGAAAGATCGGCAGACGCAAGCCCGACCACCCTTCGATGCCCGGCTTGCAGCAACAACTCGCCGAGCTCCAAAGAGAGCTCAACGGCGAAGCGTCGCCGACATCGAGTGTCAGCGCACGTCTGGGCTCGAAAGCTTCAATCGTAGTCAGCACTCGTGACCTAGACGTGTCGCGCGCTTCACTTTTTTGTGTGGTCGCTGTCACCATCGTCGGCATCGTCATACGTCGCCTTCGACGAGCGCCCGAGTTCGAGACTGACGAAATCGCTCGCCTCTTGTGACATTTATGTAATCAAATAACGGTGTACTCTAACGAACAACGACTACGCGCAAGTCTTCGATACTGTTTTAGGTTCAGTTCAGTTCTAACACTGACAATCTGCTAAAAACTAAGTGCGTCGGTGAATGAAACGACTCGACTCGTCGGTTGTCAGACGCCGCGGCGCCCATTCACAAAGCTTCGTCCGGAGGATTTTCTCCTTCATCTGGCGGTGACTTCGATTCGCTCGATTTTGCGTCGTCACGCAGCACCGAAGGTCTTCCCCGCGGGACGAACGGTTGAACTTTCGCCGTGAGCGTCGTCGTTTTTGCATCTCGCGGGGCGGCGACGCCTTGGGACTCAGCCGGCGGTTCGCGTCGGAAAGCGTTGTACACACTTGTGCCCCGTCTCGTGGGCCCCGGATCGAGGCCACTGCTCGCCGCGATTGCACGTCGCAATTCGTCGTTCGCCCCCTGGACGCCATTTGCCGCCCACATTGTGAACAAACTCGCGCCGCGCGTCCAGTCCCCTCCGGCCTCGCACGCCGCCACCACCGCGTCGATGATGGCGCCGTCGCCCACCGAGCTTCCGACCATGGATCTCACATCCTCGGCGAGACTGAGCGCGGTATTAGCGTCACCCGCTCGTGCAGCAGCTCGCGCGAGCGCAGCGTACACCGCCACGCCCGGCTGTAATCCCAACGTGAACATCTCTCTGAACTTTTCATTCGCCCCCACGCGGTCGCCGTTGAGGGCGAGCGCGGCGACGAAAGCGCCGTAAATCACCGAATCCTGTGGAATTCCGTCGTACTCGCACGTGCGAAGGATATCTAGAACCGTGCTCGGATCAGAGCATCGCGCTGCCGCCGCCGCGGCGGATCTGTATGCGTTGATCAATTGCACGAATTCTTGTTCGACGGCTGACTCCGCGGCGGGCGCCGCCTCGTGCGTCTGCGCGAGCTCTGAATGCTTCGCCGACGCCAAAGCGAGAGACGCGTCGACGTCACTTTGTGCCGACGGATGATTGCTACCAGCTCTGCTGACTCGCGCCGCCACCGCGCTGATTTCTTTAAACACGCTCAATTTCGACTTGTACTCGGCCCAAAGCGCTCGCATCGTGGCTTGCGCGCGTTGGAGCGTCGGACTCGTGTACCCAGGAATGGCTCCATTCTTCCATACCGGATCGTCACTTTCAAATCGTCCGCACGCGTAAAACACTCGCGTCCAGACGTATGAATCTACGCTCGAAGGAGAGTGTCTTTTGAACTCTTCAAAAAGTTGAAAAGATTTCTCCCAGTTACCGAATCGCTCGCACGCCATCATGAGATGAACGTACGTCGACACCGAGAGCGCACTTTGCGTCATACTATCGTGAAACAGCTGTTCGTAAACCAAGTCATATCGCTTGCCACGGTGTAACGCACCGATGAGGTTGTTGAACATGCCGGGCGTGCGATGGACGTCAAACTTCGCTCGAGCGTCGTGGTACACTTTAATCGCCGTTAAAGGGTCCTTGGCGTTACTGCACGCCATCAAAACGTTCGACACAGTCCCCGCATCTGGCGTAACGCCGCGCTCTGGCATCATGTGATAGTAGTCCATCACTTTGGAAAGCTGTCGAGCGCGATCGCACGCGCCAATCATGGCGTGAAACGTCGCGCGATCCATCGGAACTTGCTCGGCGCTCATGCGTTCAAACATCTCCTGCGCCCCATCCGAGTCGCCGCTCTTCTCGCACGCCATCAGCACGGCGTTGTAGGTGATGATGTTCCCCTTGATTCCAGACGCAAGCATTCGCTCGAAAATTTCAATTGCCTTGTCCGCTCGCCGACCTTGCACGCAACACTGAATCGCGGCGCCGTACGTGATTCGATCGACTTCGACGTCGCGATGATTTTCAATCAAGTCTTGAAAGATGTCCATCGCTCTCTGGTACTGCTTCGCCCTGGCACACGCGCCCAAAAGTGCGGAGTAAGTGAAAATGTTCGGCTCGATTCCTCGATCATTCATCTCGTCGAAGATTTGAAACGCCCTGTCGCACTGTTTTGCCTTGCCCAGCGCGTTGATCAACGCCGAAAACGTTATCGTGTTCGGCTTGGCGCCGTGTAACTTCGTCATCATCTCGTACGCCTTGAGCGCTTTTTCCCACTGCGACGCTTTCCCACACGCCTTGATTACGGTCGTGTACGCCGGTGCGCCCGGTTTGAAGACGGATTGCCGCAACACGCGCTCCACCGCCGCAGCGTCCTCGGCGTCCTCGACGCGCGCGATCAAATCCTCCAAATCTCTCGCCCCCCCCCGTTTCCCACCGCCCGCGCCGTTCACCGCGCCATCGTGCCGCGCGCGCTGTTGTTCCCTTCGCGCGTGATGTTCGTTCAGATTCCGCTGTTCCCGATCCCCCCGCTCCTTCGGCTTCGGCTTCACCATCCGCGCGTTTCCCTCTCGCGCGCCGTTCGCTCGCGTCGTCCCCGCGCCGTCGCCGCCGTCCCCGACCTCCATCGCCGTGTCCATCATCCCGTCCTCGCCTCGCTCGACGCGCGTCGTTTTTTTCTCCCCCTCACCCTTCGCCTCGCCATCCCGTCCCGTTCGCGGTCCCGCCGCCACCGCTCGCGCCCACATCGCTTCGCGTCGTCGTCTCGCCGCGTCCCGCGCGCGCGTCTCGCCCTCGGCGATTATCCCCGCGTCGCCGTCCTCCTCGACCGGTGTCCGCCCTCGCGATCTCGGATGTCGCGAACGTCGTCAATGCGTTTACGCGTCGCGTCGTTTCGTTCGTTTCGATTCCGTCGTCGTCGCGCGTCGTCGTCGCCTCGCCGCTTTCGACGCGCGCGCAAAGATACGACGCGACGCGACCGCGACGCGTTTCGTCGCGATTTCGGGCGCGATCGCGCGCGCCTCGACGCGAAACGCGCGTGACGGCCTCGCGCGTGTGACGACGCGTCTCACGAATCGCGACTCGATCGCACCCGAGTCGCGCGCGCGTGTGAAGCCGCGCCGAGACGACGCGCGATGGGTCTTATACACGCGGGTGTCGTATCCATCCCGCATCTCGATATCCAGAATCGCGTACTGTTTACCCATACGCGACCGACCGCGATCGCGGATTCGGTTACGCGCCACGTCACGAGGATACGCTTTATGCGTCGAGCGGCTGTTACCGTATTATAGACTACATATGCCCATATAACCCGCCGGCGGGCGAACCCGGGAGCGCGGCGAGGACCAGTCGAGGGCGAAGCGTGGACGCCGAGGCGGCGCGGCGCTCGGTCGCTTGGTATTAATCATGTTACACGCCGACGCGAAGGGCGCGCGACTTTTCGAACCCGATCGCGTCACGCGCGCGGGACGTTGAGCAAGTCGCCGACGTCCAACGCGCCGTCGCCGTTGACGTCGAGTTGGGAGAATCGAGCGGCGATTTTATCGAATTCCTTGGCGCTCATGACGCCGCGAGCGATGATCATGGAGCGAATGAAATCGAACTTGTCGACGTAACCCTTATCGCCGCTCTGCTCGGCGAGCCAGGACGCGGTGAGTTTGAAGGAACGCAACTCGCCGTCGTGGTGCGCCTTGCTGTCGAGCGCCGACGCGCAAATCTGCGATACGGCCCAGCCCATGACGCCGACGACGATGAAGGCGTAGCACGCGGCGAAAATTTTGGAGGAATCATTCGTCGGTAAGATGTCGCCGTATCCGACCGTCGTGGACGTGACGACGGCCCACCACACGCCGTCGAGATACGACGTGCCCGACTCGAGCGAGCAAAACGTCGCGGCGCCGATGAGGATGACGATGGTGATGACGCCGAGAGGATGGAGCAGCACGCGAAGCACGGGATGGACACGCGCCACGCTCTGGTGCTCCAACGCCGCGCGTTCCTTGAACCGCGCTATGTCCTCCGCGCTCATCGTCGCGCCGAGCGACCCGCTCAGCGCATGTAAATCATTCTCCATCGATCGATCCAACTCCTCCTGCGCCTTCACCTCCGACCGCTCCTTGGCGTCGACGATCAGGTCGGTGATCTTCGAAATCACCACCGTCGCGAGCGCGATGCCGACGATGATGAAAAACAGCATAAAAATCTTCCCCGCGTCCGTCTGCGGAGAAATATCGCCGTACCCCACCGTCGTCACCGTGATGGCGATGAAATACACCGCGTCCACGAACGTCTCGAACCCCGGCTCGTCCCTCACCGCTTGCAGGCACGACACCGCGAACGCCAAGTACAGCGCGAACGCGATCCATAAATTCGCGTACAACCACGCGCGCGCCTTCGCGCTCGCCTCGCGCGCGCGTTCCCGCCACGTCTTGTTCTCCCTCTCGCGCGCCTCCAGCCACGCCGCGTCCTCCAGCGCTTCCCGTCGACTTCGCCCTCCCGCGTCTCCCTCGTCCTCGCTCGACGCATCGCTCGCGCGCGCACGCGCGACGTTCGTCGTCGCCCGCGCGCCCGCGCCGCGCTCGGCGTCCGACAGCGCCCCGCGCGCGCGGCTTTCGAGCAGCGCGCCGTACGTGTGAAGCGCGCGCTCGCTCATATCGATGCGATCCCGACGTCGCGCGCGTCCCGTCCGCCGCCGTCTGCCGCGCCGTCGTCGCTTCGCGCGCGCGCGCGCCGTCCAACCGACCACCCGTCGACGTCGTGCGCGGCGAGTTCGTGTTCGGAGTAAATATACCGCCGCGCCTCGCGGGAATACGCGATGCTCGATCGTACTGTGGAGCCCGAAACGCGAACGAACCCCTCGACGTCGTCGCGCGCGCCGACGACGCGGAGATGTCCTCAACCCTAAACACCCGGGAGTCAGCGACGCCGGGCGCGCGCGCGGATCGACGGCCCCGCGCGACGCGCGCGACGCGAGACCGCGACGCGTCTCCGCGACGACCGCGAACGCGCGCGTGAACGCGCTCCGAACGCGACCGACGCCCGCGACGGACGCGAGACGGACGACGACGACGATGGCGACGACGCGCGTCGCGACGAAACCCTCGCGCGCGTCGCCGACGACGCGCGACGGACGACGCGCGGGACGCGCGGGCGACGCGACGCGACGCGGACGCGCGCGATGCGTCGCGATGCACGCGTCGAAGCGGTACAACGTGACGATCCTGCCGGGAGACGGGATCGGGCCGGAGATCATGCGCGTGGCGCGGAGCGCGCTCGAGGCGGCGGGCGCGAGGGCGGACGTCGCGTTCGCGTTCGAGGAGGGACTCGTGGGCGGGAGCGCGATCGACGCGCACGGAACGCCGCTGCCGGAGGAGACGCTGGAGATGTGCAAGGCGAGCGACGCCGTGCTGCTGGCCGCGATCGGGGGGTACAAGTGGGATAACCTGCCGAGCGCGGAGCGACCGGAGCAAGGGTTGCTCGGATTGCGGGCGGGTCTGGGGGTGTTCGCGAACTTGCGACCGGCGAACGTGCTGCCGCAGCTCATCGAGGCGTCGACGCTGAGAAGAGACGTCGTGGAGGGGACGGACATCATGGTGGTGCGCGAACTCACGGGTGGGATTTATTTCGGCAAACCGAAGGGGTTCGGCGTGAACGACGCGGGCGAACGCATCGGGTTCAACACGATGGTGTACTCTGAACCGGAGGTCGATCGCATCGCCAAGGTGGCGTTTGAAATCGCTCGCAAGCGCAAGGGTCGATTGTGTTCCGTCGAAAAGGCGAACGTGCTCGAGGTGAGCCAACTTTGGAAGGAGCGCGTCATCGAGACCCACAAGCAGTTTAGCGACGTCGAGCTCTCGCACATGTACGTCGACAACGCCGCGATGCAACTCATCCGTAACCCGACGCAGTTCGACACCATCGTCACCGGTAACATCTTCGGTGACATTCTTTCCGACGCGGCGTCCATGTTGACGGGGTCGATCGGTATGTTGCCGTCCGCGGCCATCGGCTTGGAGGGTCCGGGCTTGTACGAGCCGGTGCACGGGAGCGCCCCGGATATCGCCGGTCAAGACAAGGCCAACCCGTTGGCGCAAGTTTTGAGCGCGGCGATGATGATGCGATACCAATTCGGCGAAGAAGGCATCGCGTCTGCGCTCGAAAAGGCGGTGAACGATGTTTTGGATGATGGCTATCGCACGGGCGACATCATGCAGGAAGGCAAGACGCTCGTCGGCTGCGTGAAGATGGGTGAATTGTTGCTTGCGAAGCTTTAGACGTTAATCCTACAAATCTCTAATATTACGCGACGGTTATCATCCCACTCATTCATCATCCCGGGGGAAGCGGCGCGCCGATTTCTATACCCATCGCCTGCCTCCACGCGTCGGAACGCAGACCGCCGCGTCGCACTCTCTCGCGGAGATTGAACATGCGGTCCAGCGTCACGCGCACGTCCGTATCGGCGGCGAGTTCGTTGAGTATGGGAAGAAGTGAAAGCAAATGATTATCCGCATCGTCGTCGTACCACGACTCGATCGGGATCCCGTTTTCGACTTGTAATCCAAACGCTTGCGGCGAGTTGTCGATGATAATCGTTCTCGATAGATCCCGGCCGAGCACGCGTAAGTCTTTCATGAAATTCCCATCGATTTGCACGCACGAATCGCGGAAGATCCTGTGCTTGATCCACTTTTGCGAAGGGTCGAGAATATCGAGCAACTTGTCGGCGTATATTTGCTGCGACGCCGTAAAGACGACTATTTCGTACTGCTTTGACACCAATTCCATGAACGTCGACAAGTGCGGCCGCTTTCTGACATTCACCCGATGCATGTCGCCGTTGAAGACGACTGGAAAACTAAAGTCGCATCTCTCAACCGTGTTCTCCAAATTAGAATGCACCAGCGTTTCATCCAAGTCGAGCACGAGTGTGTTCCGAGTGTCGTGCTCGTCTCGCGCCGGGAGCACCGGTCCTTTCGGGCCGCGCGCTGCCGCAGAAGGCGACGAGTACCTCAAATTGTAAATGAATGCCCACGGATCATACTCTTCGTCATAATCCTCGTACGGCGCGTGCGCAGCCTCTTCGCTCGTCATCCCAAAACGCCCCAAGTATTCCCTCGCTGACATCCGCTCGCCGCCCAACAACTCGACGTCTTTGCCATCCAAGTCCTCGCTATGAATGAGTGCGTTGTGTATCTTACTCATTTTCATATCTAGAATCGCTTCTTCCGCATCCGCGTGCTCGCTTTGTCCCGCGACTTCGCGCTTGGCGGACCTTCTCGTCTTCGGCCGACGTCCTTGCTTTCTCGTCCCTCCGCTGCTAAAAAATGAAAACATTGGCGAAAAAATCGTGTCTAACAGCTTTCGCGATCCCGAGCGCGTGATTTTCACTTTCGGTGACCCTAGGACGTCCACACCCAACGATGTGGGACCATCGTCGCCGTCACCACCGAAACGTGTGCTTAAATTCGTCGGCGCCACTGGCTCCGCCGCCGCGCCGCCGGAGCCCGTGCGTCTAGCCGTGGACTTCCTGATCGAGCTCGTGATGAACGATGCATCGCTCGCGGGCGGTCGAAACACGGATCCTGGAGGTGTGTGCGCCTCCCCCGACGGACTCGCGCTCGCGCTTGCATCCTCCGAGGACTTCACACGCTTTGCGTTGTCCTCAGCCGACTCCTCAAGTCGCTCGCGCTTCGCCCCTCGCTCCTTCCTACTCAACGATTTAAACAACTTCATCGCGCTTCCCATCAACCCAGACGACTGCTGTCGTTCATCGCTCGTCGTCGGTGACCTAAAACCGTGGCGTGGACGTCGTTCACGCGCATCCGTCAGTCATCTTTCGTCTCGCGTCGGTTGTCCCGCTCGCGCGCTCGTCCCGCTCAATCGCCATCGCCCTCGTATCACCCAACGCCGCGTCATCATCGCGTCATTCGTCGCGCCGCACCTCGTATCATCTTCATCGACGTCATCTTCTTCGTCTTTCCCGTTCGCGCGTCCACGGCGCGTGCGCCGCGCGCTCATTTTCGCTCGAATGCCTTCGCACACAGATGTCCCGAAGAGCGCGCTTGGAACGCGTCTTACCGTCGCGCGTCGTCGACGTGCGACGCGCGGACGATTTGAACGGGTGCGTGTGCTTTGTATTCACTGACGTCGGCGTTTTCGGCGTCGAAAGCGCGTCGAAAGCGCCGGTGCGCGTCAGTGTGTGAAGAATTCCACTCAATTCGTCCCGGCACCTTACGTCCCCCCGCGAGTGCCAGGGGCTGGCGAAGCCGGCGCGGCGGACCCGAAGAAGGCTTTGATGGAAGTTTGCGAAGCGTCGATCTCGCGCGACGCACCCGCATCGCGAAGACGTTTCTGCGCGCCCGAGGCGTTGGGCTTGGCGCGCGCGACCGAAGTCACGGCGCACTTGGCGTACACCTTGACGACGCCAGAGGAGAAGACGCCGGATTCTTCGAACGCGCGCGCGGGGAACCATTTGAGTTCGCGCTCGGGCACGTTTCGCGAGACGACGTCGTCGCCGTTCGCTCCAGTCGCATCGAGTGGAACGCAATCGACGAGCTGGTAGTGCATGACTTGGCGAATGTGCGAAAAGACGTGCACGGCTTTGCCCGCGACGGCGTCGACGTTTCGGCGCGAGGACGCGCCGAGTTCTTCGCACAGGGCGTCTTGGGCGTCTCGAACGTCAGACTTTGGCCGCAGCGCGAAGGCGTCGTCAGATTCTATCGCGATCAGGGCGTTGGGGAACTCCCAAAGCCCGCCTAATAAACCACCTTCGGGGCGTTTGGAGAGTAAATACTCGTATTCAGGCTTGGCGTCGGCGTCCGCCGGCGCCGTACGCCTCAAGACGACGAACGCGCGCTGCTCTTGACGCTTTTCCGCCTTCTTCGCCGTCTCTGGAAATGCGGTTACCTTAAACACCCCGCTCGTTTCACGTTGTTTCGCGAACCCGCCGCACCACATCGATATCGGGCACGAATCGCACTTGGGATTCTGCGGAGCGCAAACCATCGCGCCGAGCTCCATCATCGCTTGGTTGAAGTCGCCAGGGCGCTCGGCGTCCACGAATGCATCCGCGACGCGTCGAATCTCTTTCGCGGCGTCGCCTTTGAGTGGATCACCCTTGATCATCTTCGCCCGAGTGATAACGCGATACACGTTCCCGTCCACCGCCGCCGTCTTCGCGCCGAACGCGATGCTCGCCACCGCGCTCGCCGTGTACGGGCCGACGCCCGGAATCTTCGACAATCCCTCGACGTCTCGCGGGTACTTCCCTTTCAGCGCATCCCGCACATAAATCGCGCCGTTCAACAAAAACTTCGCGCGGCGATAGTATCCCAACCCAGCCCACTCCTCGTTCACTTCCTCGATCGTAGCCTCCGCGAGCGCTTCCGCCGTGGGCCATCGCGCGGTCCATCGCCGCCAGTACTCGGCGACACGTTCGATTTGCGTCTGTTGACTCATAATTTCCGACACCAGTATACCGTACGCGTACTGATCATCGCTCATCCGTGCGAGCACGCTCGCTTCTCCGTCCTCACCGTCGCTCTCGAATGCGCGCTCGCGCCACAGCGTCGCCGCCGCGGCGACGTCTCGCGACGGCGTCGCCGCGTCCTCCGCGAGCGCCTCAATCTTAATCCATTTGCGTTGTTTCCCTCGTCTTCGCCACGGTAGCGAGCGCTTATTCGCGTCGTACCAACGCAATAGCGACGCACGCGCGTCTTCGTCCGTCGTTCGCGCCTCGTTCGCGTCCACGCGCGTCACGAGCTCGGCCTCCGACGCCATCGCGTGAGTCGCAAAGCTTCGAGTCGAAGATGTTTTGACGACTTTGGACGTCTGTGCGTCTGTGACTCGCCGCGATGACGCCTCGCTCGCTCGCGCGCGGATTCGCGCGAGCGACGGGCGCGCGCGAAAGTCGACGAGGGCGCGCCGCGCGACGATGCGTCGCATTCTGACGCAAGCCGCGACGAGCTGTCGAAGACGCGTTTGAATGAAAATCGTTCAATGGATTGTACAAATGCTGCTAATGCGCGACAAAGTTCGCGCTTTTGGATGATAAAAATCGTTCGAATCGACGAGCGCGCGCGTGAACTCGCGTCACGAGCTGCGCTCGTCGAAATGCTATTGTGCGTTTCCTCGTTTTGATTCGTCAAGACGCCGTCGCTCCGCTCGCGCCGATCTCCAACCAAGAATCCTCCACGCACGCGCTCACCCTCTTGTTATACGCGCGTCGGTTTTCGTTATACAGCGCCGCGGCCTCGGAATTCGCCGGGGAATTCGGATTCGGGTCGCACAACAGCGACTGTATGCTCGTCAAAATAGCCCCGACGTCGTAAATCGGACTCCACTGATTTTGTAAAATGTCCAAACAGATCGATCCGTCGTTGTACACGTTCGGGTGGAACATTTTAGTCACAAACTTCACCACGGGTGCCTTGTTCGGGTACTCCTCGCTGAACGCGATCGTTAATTTAAACGTTCCGCCTTCCCACGGCGTTCCCTCGGGCCCGAAGATCACCGCGTGCCACGCCATGATGTTCGATTCGCTCGGCGTTCCGCTGATTCCAGCCGGCGGGTCGGTTTGTAAGCGTTTGAAGTCACGCATCAGGCGCTTTCTCGCGGGCGTGCTCATCGCGTTCGCAGAGTCCAATCAAAAAGAGTTTGCAAATGCAAATCAAATCGTCCGACGCGTTTCAGTGTCTCGTGCAGCCGTCGACGCGCGCAAATCGACGCGTACGTCGTTCGCACACCGCGCTCGACGTTCGCTTGACGTGCGCGCGTACGCTCGCGCGCGTCGCACGGTCGAAACGATCGAGACGGCGGCTCGAAGTGCCGAGGTTCGTTGGGGCTTTGTTTCTTCGAGGCGCCTGGCGCCGCTCGCTAACGCTTAATGTAATACACGCCTACTTCAGGAGCTCGTCCGCGAGCTCGCGCTTAAACTCTGCTCGTAAGATGGCTTTGACTTCGTCGCGCACGTTCGCGGCGTACCGAACGGCGGCGGCGCTCGGCCGGGCGCCGCCGCGCTCGGCGGCGAGCGCGTCAATCTCGCGCTGCTTCAGAGCGAGCAAAGTCTCGAGCTCGACCACGCGCTCGCGCTCTTTCACGCGCGCCTTATTTTCGAGAAGTATGGAAAACTCCAACGCCTCGCGCTCGGCGTCCGCGGCGAGCGCCATCGCCGCGAGCTCTTCCTCGCGCTGCGCCTCGCTCGCGCTCAACGCGTCGAGCGCGTCGTTCAATCGAGCGTCAGCGCTCGAAGCCATCTCCTTCATGAACGCCACGAGCTGCCGCTCGCGATCGGCATATTTCGCGATCGCGTTCGCCGCGTCAAGGGCGCTCGCCGACGCCACGCTAGCAGCGTCGCTCGCGGCGCGTCGCGGCGCTTCGTCCTCGAGCGCGTCCAAGTTCTCTTCCGCGTCACGCGCGCCCGCGGACGACGCGCGATTCGCGCGCGATGCCCTAATCTGTTTCAGTCCATTCGCCGCCGAAGTCGTCGCCGCCTCGGCCATGAGCGATCGCGCCCGGCGCAGCGGCGTCGTTCCGTTGCCCAGCGGCGACAGCGGCGCGCGCGTCCCGAGCGCCGACGCCGCGTCCATTATCCCCGCTAAGGCCCGAGCGCGCTGCGATGGAGAAAGCTCTTCTCGAGACGTCTTTCCCGCGCATCTCAGTTCCGCGTGCGCGTTCTCGTCGACGACGCGCGCGCTCGGGACGAATGGTTCGGAATGGGACGATTCAGTTCCCCTCGCGATCGACGCCGACGCCGAAACGATCGCCGCGCGCGCGTGCATGGCGCTCGATCGCGCAGAATTTGCTGATGATAGATGCGCGACGGTGACGGTGCGCGAGGACCCGCGACGCGCGGCGGTGTGCGGTGGTAGCGCGCGCCGCGGGTGGAACGGGACGCCGCGCTCGGTCCCCTCGACGAGCGGACGCGGTTTCGAGGTCGACGCGATGTCGGCGACGCGCGCGCGTTTTCGGTGGGTTCGCGATGACGACACGATCGTTGTCCTCGATGCGCGCGACGCGCGGACGCTACACTCTCTACTTGCAATCCGTAAACTATACTCTAAAATCGCCCTCGAGCGGGCGTCTCAGCGAACCGGCGGCGGCGGCGGCGGCGGTAATCCGCCCACCATCGGCGGCGGCGGTATGCCACCGCGCGGCATTCCACCGCCGCGGGGCGCGCCGTCGCCGTCGACGCGACGAAACGTCAACTGACACGTGTACGTCTTGACGTCCTCGTCCCAGTGCGTGAAAAATTTATCCCGTCCCGCCTTGTCCACGTCCACGTTTGGAATTTTGAACCCAATCGTCTCGTACGGTTCGCACGCGAACAGCACGTACTGATACCGCTTATCCCACGCCTCGACTTTCTGTTCGTACGCCGACATGAACCGATACCTCGGCTTGGTTCCGAGCTCGCGTTCGGGGTAGTCCACCTGAAACAACAGGCTCCGCTGTCGCGTCCTTCTATCGTACTGTTTCGTCACCCTGTACCCGGGTCGTCCGATCTTCATCGTCTTCCTCGGCTGTATCGTCGCCGTTTTCGACTTCCCGAAGCTCGCGTCCGCGTCCTTCGCGTCCCTCGCCGCGCGTTTCGCCAAATTTTGTTGGTGTCGCTTCCCCTGCGTGTGCGCCAGGTAATTCCCCTCGTTCGCGTGCATCGTCAGGCACAGCTTGCACTCGTACGACCCGAGATGATTCCGCATGAAGTACGGATCTTTCGCCAGATCGATCGTCTCCAGCGCCAACCGTCGCAGGCGCTCGCGCCGATCCACCGCGCCCTGGCTCGCCGACGCCACGCCCCCGCCGCCGATCTTCGACCCGTGCTCGCGCGCGTCCATGAACGACATGACGGCGGGTCCGTCGCCCTGTTTACGAGGTCTCGCGGTTCGGTCTCGGTCTCGGCCGCGCGCGACGCGACGCGAGGCGCGGTGTCGCGGCGGGCGTCGCGCGCGCGAATCGCGAATCGGGACGCACTGTTATTACACCCCGCACTGTTTACCCATACGCGACCGACCGCACGTCGCTCTCCGAATCGTCGATCCCCGATCGGTCGTCGCGCGCGCGTCGCACACGGCGACGCGCGCGACGCGACGACCGATCTCGCGAACAGCGATCGGCGCGGACGTCGCGATGCTTCGGCCGATCGCGACGGCGTCGCGACGCGTCGGCGCGACGCCGCGCGCGCGAGACGCGCGGCGAGGGTCGACGCGATCGGCGCGACGGCGCGTCGTCGCGATGGCGAAGGCGCGCGCGACGAAGACGCGCGAGACGCGCGACGACGCGCGAGTGGGACTCGATGCGGACGCAGGCGCGCGCGCGGAGGACGCGGGCGAGGGACGACGCGAGACGGGGACGCGGGACGAGACGCGCGGGGACGGGGACGGGGACGCGGACGCGGACGGGGACGCGCCGGGCGCGCGAGAGCGGCTGACGATCGATGAATTGAAGGAAGAGATCGCGGAAGAGGAGGTGGAGGAGCTCACGGTGCTGGGGAGGGTGACCGAGGGCGTGCGCGCGGCGAGCGAGAATCCGGGGTTGCGAAACCTCGGCGCGTTGGGGTTCTTCTTCTTGGCGAGCACGTTCGCGTACTCGTGCTATAAGGTGTTTCGAAAGGCGACGAGCGGGCGAATGCGACGGAAGAGGACGGTGAATAAGAACGTGGAGGTCGTGGAGCGGTTGAAGAACTTTTTCCCCAACGAGCGCTCGAGCGTGAACAAGGGCGTCGTGCGAGGTCTCGCGTTGAAGACGGGATACTCCTCGGCGGAGATCTTCCGCAAGTATCTCAGGTACAAGCTCACGGAAGAGGCGTTCACGCTCGACTTCGTCGCGGATGTGTTGGCGCTCAAGGGTGCGTGCGGGTTGGATAGCGAAGAGATGAAGGAAATCTTATTGGAGACGGGTGAGCGAATGTTCAAAAAGTACGGCACTCTCATGACCAACTTGGCGGGTTTGACGCAATCTGGCATGGAGCGCAAGATCGACGGTGCGGGGAAGTTTGCCAAGTTGATGTACCTCGCTGACTTGGACGAGTTCATCGACAAGGCGCACGGGGCTGAGGTGCAACTCAAGTTGAAGGAGACGTTTGGCGCCACCGACGACGACTACAACAAGTTGCGAATCACCGCCCTCGGTTCGGACGAGGTCGACGTGAGCTCGTTGAACAGCATGATTGGATCCGTGGACTCGGCGTCGTCGGAGCAACCATCCGAGAACGCCGAAGGCGAACCGTAACGTGGCGAAAGGTTGCGATTGATTTGATTGGCTTTTCATTTCTCCTCCCTCCTACGTCGAGCGCGCGACGACGCTCGTTCGACGTTTCGTTGCCGTGCACCATTAGTCGTCATATCATTCATAAGGTATGACTCGCACCACGCGAGTCGACTCTTTAATGAATCACGTCGAGTCTCCGATTCGTCGTTCGCGCTCGCCTCGCTCGCCTCGCTCGCCCCGCACTCGACCGCGCGTCGTCCGTCGCGCGACGCCTCGTCTTCGCGCGAACGCTCGCGACCACGCGCGTCATCGCGCCGCTCCGCGCGAGTGACGGCCCGAAGCGCGCCCCGCGCGACGCGACGGCGCCGGCGAACGAACTCCAATTCCGAATCCAAAGAATCGCACCGGCCATCGATTCATCGACATGACGGACGCGAGCGGCGCGCTCCCGGCGCGGTTCGCGACGTCGGTGGGACTGACGAACCGTGAGAACGTCGTGGTGTGCGATACGGGCACGGGATTCGTCAAGGCTGGGTACGCGGGGGATGAAGAACCGCGAACGCTGTTCCCGTGCATGGTGGGACGACCGACGCTGCGGTACGAGGAAGACGCGTTCGACGATGAAGCGATGAAAGACGTGTACGTCGGGGACGAGGCGGCGCGAAAACGCGCGAATTTAGAAATTTCGTACCCGGTGTCGAACGGGGTGGTGCGAGACTGGGAAGATATGGGATTGGTGTGGGACAGGGCGTTTGAGAGTTTGGGATGCGATACGCGCGAGTGCAAGGTGATGCTCACGGATCCGCCGTTGAACCCGAAATCGAATCGCGAGCGCATGATGTCGACGATGTTTGAGACGTATGGGTTTCGAGGGGCGTACGTCCAAGTGCAGGCGGTGTTGACGCTGTACGCGCAAGGATTGATGACGGGAGTCGTCGTGGACTCGGGCGACGGCGTCACGCACGTCGTGCCGGTGGTGGATGGATATTCGTTCCCACATCTCACCAAGCGATTGAACGTGGCGGGAAGGCACGTGACGACGCGAATGATTGATTTGTTAACGCGTCGAGGGTACCCGCTGAATCGAACGTCGGACGTGGAAACGGCGCGTTTGATCAAGGAGGAGTTGTGTTACGTCGCGTACGACTACAAGCGCGATTTGCAGTTGGCGCGAGAGACGACGGCGACGAACGCGTCGTACACGCTGCCGGACGGGCGAGTCATCAAATTCGGCCCGGAACGGTTCATGGGTCCCGAGTGTTTGTTCCAGCCCGATCTCATCGACGTCGAAAGCGACGGGATCTCCGACCTCGTCTTCAAGTGCATCCAAGAAAACGAAATCGACAATCGACGGTCGCTGTATCAACACATCGTCTTGTCCGGCGGGAACTCCATGTACGCCGGCTTACCCTCGCGACTCGAGCGCGACATCAAGCGCCTTTACCTGAAAAACGTCTTGAACGGCGACAAAGAGGCGATGAAAAAGTTCAAGATGAAAGTCGAGGCGCCGGCGCACCGCAAGCACATGGTCTTCGTCGGCGGCGCCGTCTTAGCGGACATCATGCGAAGCAAGGACGAGTTCTGGATCTCCAAGCAAGAGTACGAGGAGCAAGGCATCGAACGAGCGTTGAAAAAATGCGGCATGTGAACCGTCGTGTTGTAATCTAATCTAATCCATCCGTCCGCGCGCGCGCCGCCGCGCTCTCTTCCGCTCCGCTCCGCCCCGCGCCGCTCTGCTCTTCTCCGCGTTCGCCTTCGATCCCGATCGGTTTCGACATCCTGTGCTGCACCAACACCAACGGATCGCGCACCCACGCCATCGCGCCTCGCGTTTCCTCGTCCCTGACGTACCCCAACCTCTCGTACGTCTTCGTCGCGCCGCGATTCCCCTTGTTCACGCTCAGCGCGCACCGCGTCGCCCCCCGCCGCGCGCACTCCCGCTCGACCGCCCTGACGAGCGTCGTCGCCACGCCTCGTCGTCGGTGCGCTCTGTCGACCTCGAGTCCGCTCACGAATCCCGTCGCGCCGTCGTCGCGCGTCCAAAACGCGCACGCGCCGACGACGACGCCGGAGGTCGCGTCTCTCGCGACGAACCGCTCGATCGCGCGCCGCGACGGCGTCGCGCGCGACGGCGTCGTCGTAGGTGACGTCGCCCGCGCGCACCGCTCGACGACGTACGCCATCGCGCGTCTCGTTGCGACGCGAAGACCGTCACAATTCGACGATGAAGTCGTCCTGGGACGGCCTGCGTCGATCGTTCATCGAGCGCACGCACGCGCTGAACGACGCGCTGTCGCGGACGGCGATCGCGGACGGCGACGACGCGAATACGACGCGCGCGAGCGCGTCGAGCGACGACGACGGGACGACGACGCGAGACGACGACGACGAAGGACGGCGCGCGACGACGCCGGGCGCGCTGCTGAAGCGCGCGCTGCGACGAGGGACGAAGCGGGCGACGCCGACGCGCGAGACGGGGCGGTACGCGGACGCGGACGACGCGGCGGAGGACGCGACGCGACGGCGGACGACGGCGGCGACGGTGACGCGAGGGACGACGCGAGGGACGACGGCGAATCGGGTGTTCGTCGCGATGCGGGTGATCGGCGGCGACGGCGCGTGCAGGGGACGGAGAGCGCAGACGATGAGCCGATCGACGAGGACGAGGGCGCCGGTGTGGAACACGACGCGGGATTTGCGGTGCGAGGCGCGGTTCGGGGACGCGCTGTGCGTCGATTTGTACGCGGGCGACGGCGCGAGGGGAGTGGAGAGAGCGACGTTGATCGCGCGAGGACAGGTTTCGGTGCAGCACGCGCTGGCGAACGAGGGCGCGGAGGTGGCGGTGCCGATGTACGATAAATTGGAGCGCGCGACGTCGCCGGCGACGGTGCACGTCGCGTTGAGGACGCGAGACTTGGCCGAGACGCGCGCGTCGAAACGAATATTTTACGTTCGTCACGGCGAGAGCAAGTGGAATGAGGCGCAGAGAGATATTAACATCGCGAACATGATGCGATTCGATCATCCGCTGACCTTGTTCGGGGTGCAACAGGCGCAGGCGCTCGGGGGGCGCGCCGCGGTGGCGTGTTCGCAGGCGCAGGCGGGCGTGTTGGTGCACGCCAACGTGACGAGTACTTCGCCGCCGACGATGAGCCCGCCGTCTTCGCCGTCGTCGCCAAAATCTCGATCGCCATCGTTGATGGTCGCGGAAAACGAAGGTTCAGAGTTGTGCGAATCGTACGGGCGTTGCACGACGTGCTACGTTTCACCGCTGACGCGCGCGGTGCAGACGGCGTGCTTTATGCTTCAAAGCCACCCGTTAACGGTGCAAGGTGTGATGAGACAGGTGTGTTTACAATCTATTCGAGAGATTAAAGGCGTGGGAGGTCTGGACACGGTCGGCATCGAGCAAGGCGATGGAGTTCTCGATCGCGCGAAGAAAAAGTTGGCTGAAATCGTCAACGATCAAGCCGCCTCTCGCCTCGGTGCTGGCATGGCGTTCGACCCAAACGATGCCATCGGTCAGTGGTGGACGAGCGAGACGGATTCAGACAACGCGCAAGACGTCGAGGCTCGCATTTACGATTTTCTGGAAACGATGCGACTGCACGACGCGGACGACGCCGTCATCGTAGTCGGACACTCGCTGTTTCTTCAACAGCTCGTCGCAAAAATCATCCCGAAAGCTGACGACGGCGCTGGCATCAGTGGTTCTGGTGCGACTCGTGTATCGCCCGATCCGTTCGACGCGTTTAAAGCGTCGAAGGATCCATTCACGCCGGCGCCCGCGACGACGTCGAGCGACCCGTTCGCCGTGCCGCAGCGAAGTACCGTCGGCCCGGACGATATTCCCTTTGTGCCGTCCACGTTGGCGGCCGCTCCAAAGGCGGCCAGAATCGAAAACTCTCACAACAAGGGTAAGGTCTTCGAAAAATTAATCAATCAAAAGCTCTGCAACGCCGGGTGCGTCGCATTAGATGTGACGTTCGACGCGTATGGAAGAGCGACGCTCGAAAACGCCTCGTTGTTGTTTGGGAGCAAATTTGTTTAACAATGTATCAACTCGCTGTAACGCTAATGCTAGCTAATAATCTAAAGAGGATGAAAACAATCGTCAGTGTTCGCAACGCGCGCGCGAGCGAGCGGAACGCGCGAAAGGAGAAAAACTTATGCGTACATCTCTCAGGAGCGCACTCGTGAGTTAACGCTAGGACTAATCGTTCATCCGGATATCACCCCGTGCAGTCCGCCCGTCACAGTTGTCATCATCGAGATGCAAGCATAAGATTGAAAAAGGAAGAAGCACGCGGTTGTCATTCGAAGAAAATACGCACCTCTCGTCTACATCACCTTGTGAATCGTCTCGACGTCGACGTGCTTGTCGAGCGAGTCCAAGTCGGTCCACCACGCATACAAGAACTTCTCGGCGATGATCCTAAACCACGGACTCCATCGCAACCCACTGGACTGGTCCATCATCGCCTTAAGTTCGCTTGCAGTCACCCACTTCGTGTCGTCGATCTCTTCCGCGTTTACCGCCATCGGCAACGACTCGCCCGCGCGCGCGATTTTCGCAAACAAAATGTAGTCCATCTCGTGCTCGCCCCACGTCCCTCCCACCGGTTGATTCGCATTCTCGGCGAACTCATCCGCGGCGCAGTAATGTAAACGCGTCAAAAATTTGATGCTCTCCGTCGGCACGTCCTTGGCGTCGATACCGAGTTCATGTTTCAATTTCCTCGTCGCCGCGCGTTTCGCGCCGTCGCACGCCCCGCTCGCGATCGCCGACGCGTCGTCCATCTCATCTGGTTTCTGTCCCGTCAGCTGATGCGAGCAGCACGTGTTCGTCCAAACGCTCGGAAATGTAATTTTATTCGCCGCGCGCTGTTGCAGCAGCAACCGTCCGCTGTCATCGAACAGGAACACGCTAAACGCTCGGTGCAGCGTCCCGCGCGGCGTCGTCGACGACCCTTCGATGAACTTGTGCGCGTTTTCCTTCGTCTCGCTCCCGAGCACGTCATCCGCGGCCGAAACAACGATCACGCGGTCGTTTCGCATGAAGTCTTCTTGCGTTTGCGTGGCGTCCCACGTCGAGGACGAACGATTGCCCATGCTCGCGAGGTTTGGGGACAAAGCTCTGGGACAACGTTTGGACGACGACGACGACGACGACGACGACGAGACGGCGCGGAGGTGGTGGTGCGCAGTGACGTGCGCGCGCGCGAGCGGTGATGGGAGCGTTCGCGCGAGTCCAGCGAGACGGGCACGCATAGGAATGAGGAATGCGACGCGCGAGACGCCGACTCGAGACGCCGACTCGAGATGACGACGCGGGTCGATCGATTCTAATCGCCGCTATGAGATTACAACGCTGTGAGTGGCTAATCAGTGCCCGAAGTAATACTGGAAGAAGAAGAGTTTGAGAATCAACGCAAAGGCGAAGTGCGCGGCGCCGATGAAACTCACGAAACTCACGGCAAACGTCGTGCCTTTGCTCGACGATAACACGCGCTTGCGAACGTTGGACATGAGGAACAACGTGCTCAACGCGGCGCACGCGCCGGTGAATAACCACCGGAACAACTCAACGGGAACGGTGGCTAAGATGCACACCGGTATGAAGGCGAGAATGCTGTACCCGTACAGACACCACACGTCGGTGACGCGCAAGTTGTCGACGCGCGCGTAGCACGTTAACGTCATGTGCACGATGAGCGAGAACAAGAAGACGTACCCATAAATCAACGCCGCGCTCAAACTCACCGACTTCGCGTCGAACGACCAGCCCTCGCTCTTACGCATGTTAAACTTGCCCCACGCGCTTCCAAGCGCGGTGAAGAACACCAACGTCGCGCTCCCCCAAATCGGCACGTACAGATCAGGATTTCCCGCCACATCGTCCAAAAACGTTCCTTTATGTGGCGACGTGAACACGCTCGACACGCGCTTCGTCACCTCCTCTGTATCGACGTCGAAAAATTGCTGATAATACGAAACGCTAAAAATCCAACCGCGTCTCCGCTGTGGCGCCTCCGCGTTCGGATCGCTCGTCCCACCGACGAACGCGGAAGCCATCCCACTCCCTCCCGACGCGCTCGCGGACGCGCTCCCTCCGTCCTCGCGTATCGACCCGCGCGTCGCCTCCTTCGCCGCCGGCGCGTTCGCGCTCGCCGACCCTCCGAACACGCTCCCACTCTCCGCCATCGTTCGCGGGTCATCGCTCTTCGCCGTCGCCGTCGACGACGACATCCCCGCAAACGCGCCTTCGGGTCCGAATCCCGCGTCGTGCTCGACGTCGGCGTCGTTCAAGTCATTCAGAAATGGGTTGTACTGTGGCAGATCTCAAATCGTCAGTCTTTCCTCGTCCTTCGTCGCGTTCGCGCGCGTTCTCGCGCGCGCTCGACCGCCCCGCGCGTCGCCAAACCGTTCACCCTTCGCGCGCGCGCGCGTCGCGTTCGCGCGCACCTCTTCGCCGCTCATCGCGTCCACGCTGCGAACGAATGCGTTTCGCGACGCAAAGTGCCGCGGAAGCGCCGCGGAAATGCCGCCGCCGCGACACTCCGCGACGCGAATCGCGCGCGAATCGCTCGACGATCGACGCGACGCGCGCCCGTGGGTCGGTCGACGCCTCGAGCGCGGCGAACGATGGTGAAACTGACGCTCTTGGCGCGCGCGAACGATGGATTACCGCTCGCGGAATCGCTCGACGCCTCGACGTCGAACGGTGACGTCGAGTCGCGCGCGCTCGAGACGTGCAAGCGACAGGCGAAGGCGCTGTTTAAAAAGCTGGGCGAACCCGCGCCGAATCCGCCGCCGTCGCGGATGACGATCGAGACGGGCGAACACTTGATGCACTACGTCGTCGACGACGGCGTGTGCTACCTGTGCGTGTGCGACCGAACGTACCCGAAAAAGTTGGCGTATCAGTACCTGGAGGAGCTGCAACAGGAGTTTGCGAGACAAAATGGACGGGAAGTCGACGCGGTGGCGCGACCGTACGCGTTCATAAAGTTTGATACCTTCATACAGAGGACCAAGGCGCTGTACAGCGACGCGCGCACGCAGAGGAATTTAAACAAGTTGAACACGGATTTGGCGGATATACAACAAATCATGACGAGGAATATCAACGATATCATGGCCCAGGGCGAGGGTTTGGATCGAGTGAGCGCGATGAGCGGGAATTTGAGCGCGGCGAGCAAAAAGTATAGCAAAAGGGCGAGGGATTTGAGTAGACAGGCGCTGATTCAAAAGTACATGCCGCTCGCGATATTCGTAGGCGTAGTATTTTTGACGCTCTTGTTGCGCTTCTACGTCTTCTCGTACTGATAGCGTGGTGTAATTCCCTATTAAATGTTCGAAAGTCGGTACGTTAGCGTGTGCGAGTACGTGTCGCCGCGGTTGACCATGACGCTCGGGTACGAGGCGCCGATTTTCGAGTGCTGATTGACGGCGTCGGGGAACCAGCCCGTCTCTAGACAGAATCCGCCGTGCTTGCGGTATCGCGCGCGTTCCTTCTTCTTCCCGACCATATTCTCGGAGAGAAAGTTGCCGGTGTATAAATGCACGCCCGGGGCGTCCGTTAAAACCTCTAAAACGCGTCCGGCGTCTTCGCACGTGACGCGCGCCGCCAATCGCGGCGCCGCGCGCGGGAGTTCGCTCGTCGGTCTCGTCGCGTCTGCGCCGGCGATGACGAACGTGTTGTCGTAGCCTTCGCTCGATTTCTCAAACATCGGTGTCGGAGAACGTAAATCAAACGCCGTGCCGTCCACCTTGCGCAAACCTTCGCCCGTGGGAATCAGCGTGTCCTCGTTCACCGGGACGTACCGGTCGCAATTCGGCATCTCGACGACGTGCGACGAGCAATCCTCCCCGCACGCGTGTCCGTTCAAATTAAAGTACGTGTGCTGCACCGTGGAAATTGGTGTCATCGCATCCGCCGTCGCCGTCATCTTCGTCGTCACCTCGGCGCAATTTCGCACGCAAAGCTTCACCTCGCCCGCGTCTTCGTCGCATTCGAGTTCGACGCGTTCGCCGAATCCGACGACGGAGTACACCACGTACATCTTCACGTTCGCCGGGAACCCTTCTTCACCATCGACGCTCACGTAACTCAACGTCACACTACTTCGCGTTTGATCCTCCACCGTCCACCGCTTACGATCCCATCCCGAAGTCCCGCCGTGCAGCGTATTCTCCCCGTTATTCTTCGCCAGCGTGTGCGTCCTTCGGCCGACGGCGAATTCCCCGCGCGCGATTCGATTCGCCACCCGTCCACACACCGCACCAAAATACGGCCTTCCCTCGACCTCATCGTAACTCTCGCAATCATCGAACCCGAGAACGACGTCATCCTTCTCGTCCGCGTCCCCGCGCCGCGCCGCGCGCAGCGAGACGATCGTCGCGCCGAACGGCGACACCGAGACGGCGACGCCGCGCGCCTCGAGCTCGATCAACGCCAAACCCTCCGCCGCGTGATCACGCGTCGAGGAGTCGCGAGGACGCAACGGCGAGCGCAACGCGCGACCGGACGGGCTCTTATCGACGCTCGACGACGCGCCGGGCGTCGAGTTCGTCGCGGTCGGTAAACGCGTGACGAACGGTTTGGCGTCGGCTTTCGAGCGCGCGACGCGAGACTTGATCGCTAAACCGAGCGCGGCGAGGGCGACGATGGCGATTTTACCGGTCTGCGAGTTGTCCTCCGCGTTCGCGGGTTTCGGTTCCGATCGCTTCGCCATCGCGCGAGAGGCGACGACTGGCGCGAGAGGCGACGACGTTCGAAAAGGTTGGTGACGCGCGCGCGACGGCGACGGAACCGACGCGATGCGAAGTGAATTCAAATTACGATTTCAATAACATGCTAGGTTGACTCGGAGGACGACGCTCACATCGGACTCGCGATGTCGTGCCAGTCGACGTCCTCGTCTTCGAGCGACCGGCGCGCGGCCTCCGCGCGCTCGATCGCGTCAGCTTCTTCGACGATTTCGTCCAAACCCTCGAAAGAGGCTTTTGAATGCGATCGAGAACCAAACTTGCGTCGCGCTTCGACGTGTTCGGGGGCTTCACCTGGGCAGTGCGAACATCTCCAGTCTTCGCCCCAGACGCCCGGATTCTCGCGAAGCGAGCCCGTGACGCCGGATAACATCGAGCCGATGTCGTCGTCCGATTCGTCGTCTTGGTAGATGGAAACCTCAATTAGACCAGCGCTGTACGCGGAAACGGCACCGCTCACTCGCGCGAGCTGTTTGACCGTTATGTTGTTGATTTTCTCCTCAATCGTTCCGCGAAGCTGTTGCGTCAGGACGAGAGCAATCATGTTGTACAACCACGCCGCGGACGTGCCGCTAATTTGCACGTCCAGCTCGCCGACTGAGATGTGCGTCGTGTGTACGCGAAGCTCTAACACGGGTTCTTCGCCCAAAAAGTCGTCACCTAAGATTTCACTCACCACCTTGCGATTGCGAATCAGCTTTTCCTTGGCCCCCAAGATACGAGCGTCGTCCGTGGCGTCGTGAAACGTCGGCGACGTCGGCGATAACGGCGGCGAGTCTACATCGTCGTGCGCGTCGCTGAACATACCACCACCAAACGCGCGATCGAGCGCGGAACCTAGCGCATCAACCTCTCCCGTGGGTGAACCGAACTCTTCGCGGTCCGAATCGATTGACGCGCACTTCTCGATTTTAACGGGTGTTGTCGCCGCCGGTTTCGCCGCCTGCGCCCGCGCCGCCTCTCGCTCTTTCGCCTCTTTACGTTCCTTCATCTTGGCTTCAATCTTCTCTCTCATCTCCGCAATTTTCCCGTCGTCCTTGGCCAACTCGACTCCTTGGTTCACGAGTTTCATCAACTGATTCGTGTTGATGATGATTTCGTACGAAATTCCCACGCTCGCGCCGTCCACTGTGACTGTACATAATCCTTCACCGTCCACAACCCCCCAGTTTCGCGGAAATTCGCAATACGCGAACTCCACATTTTGCATGACGGTGTTTATGTCTCTGACCTCCACCGTCGTGCTCAAGCCAGCGCCGAGTTCGTCCTCATCCATGTGATTGATCACCCGTAACGACTCTTTGGACACGTGGAACTCGGTGAAGTGCACGTTATCTACGTGATAACACACCGATCCGATCGGGGAATCGTACACCCCGTCCACGCGCGGGAGTTCGAGTTTGGACATGAGCTCGCACGAAACCTGCACCGCTCCGCGAATCAAACGCTCGAAGCCCGGCACGACTTCCTCCTTAATCAACGCTCTAAGTTGCGTATCCGCCTTTAAATCACTCCACACATCTTTACTCTCCTCGGCCAACGTCTTAAGCCGCGAATCAATCTCGTCGACCGCCGCCTCGCTGTTTAACACGGCGGAAATCGCCGCCTCCTCGTCTCGCTTCATCTTTTCATCCTGCAACTTTTGCATCAGCCCCTTCACCCTGTTCACGATCCTTTCCACGGTTCCCCGCATACCGGTGAAGTGTTCGTTTCCTTTCGCTCGCGTGCTCAACCGTTCCCACACATCCTTCCCCAGCGTCTTGCTCAGCTCGAGCACCTCTTCGCGGTTTTTCCCCGTATCCACGATATCCTTCATCCGTCTCGCCGCGTCCGCAAACGTGTGCGCGACTTCACCATCGGGATCCGCGTTCACGCATAACTTTTCCGTGATCTCCAGCGCCTTTTTCGTCGCGTTTTTCGTCCTTTCAATCTTCGCCTCGTCGTCCCGCATCGCGTTCGTCCACAGCGTCTTGGACTTTTCCTTCAAATTTCCAATCTTCGTCGCCGCCGCGTGCGATTTCGGGTCCGCGATGAAATCCGTGAGTCCATCCACCGCCGTGCTCGCGGTTCCGCTTCGCGCCAGCTTCGTCAGGCGGTCCTTCGCCTCGTGTTTCACCGTCGAACCGATCTGTTTCAACCTCGACGGCGATCGCGGGCCTTCGCTTTCGTCGCCGCTGTACTCATCGCTCGAGCTCCCGGCGAGCCAGGACGGGAGCATGGTGCGCGCGCGTGATCGGCGTCGACGCGCCGGCGCGCACGTGCGGTCGCGCGCGCGCGTCTGCGGAGACGCGCGAAGGGATAACGGGAAGTGGCTCAGAAACCACACTTTAGTTACAACGCCGCCGCGCGACGACTTTCGGGACGAGCGTCGTGATCGAAGCCGCTGCGGGGCGGTGGGTGCGCGTCGCTGCCGACGGGGCAGATGCGCATGACGTTTTCAGCGTTTTCGGGGATGCAGTACACGACGCCGTCGTCGCGATTTAAGAAACCGCCTTGGTATTTGTCGGGTAAGTCGCCCAGGTTGCCGAGGAAGTGCACCGAATCCGTCCCGGGGTCGATTTGGATCACAGACGGTGCGTCGCACGGGATTCCGTATATGTAACCGTCGCCCGCGAGAACACCGTTTTGCCACTTGTTAAGCAAGTCTGGGAGCATTCCGGGTAGTCCTTCGCCCACTAAAGAAGTCTGGTCGGTTCTCGTGTCGATTTTCAGCACCGCCTTGTAATCGCTCGGAAACGCGTACACCGAGTCGCCGTCGGGGCCGACGCATCCGCCGCCAAATTTGTACCGCTTGTCTCCGAGATCGTCGCCGATGAGCGTGCACGTGCGCGTGGCGCAGTCAATCTTCATCGCGCGACGAGCGTGACTGGGAAAGCAATAAATGCAGCCATTTGGCGCTAAGATTCCGCCGTGCCAAGCGTAGCTATTCGGCTCCAAAGTCGCTCCTTGTAGTTCGAGCATCTCCACCGATTGTGTCTCTGGAACGATGTGTATGATTTTATCCGAACAATACGGCACGCCGTAAATCGAACCATCCGGCGCTTGAATGCCGCCGTACCACTTATTCTTCATCGGCGAAATCACGTCGCCGCCGATGAAACTCACCTCCTCCGTCTTCGTGCACACCCGCAGGACGGACGACGCGTTGCACGGCACCGCGTACAGCGCTCCATCGCGACCTAACGAACCGCCGTGCCACTGCCACTTCATGTCTCCCGGCAACTTTCCAATCATGCTCGTCTCTCCCGTCTCGGCGTCGATTTTCAACACGCCCTCGCCCCACGCCGGCAAACCGTAACACTTCCCATTCTTCCCATCGATCCCGCGCAGGAATTTAAAGTGCGTCGGCGTGAGTTCGTCACCGATCAATTCGACCGTCCCCGCTCGAGGGCTCACTTTGAGCACCCGTCGCGCGTGACTCGGGACGCCGAAAATGTCCCCCGTCGCCGCGCGCGTCGCCGCGCCCAACCACTTCCTCGGTCCCACCAGCGCGTCGTCGTTCGTCAAGAAATCGATCACCGTCGGCGAAGCGTCGCTGACGTGCGTCCTCGCGCTGCCCTTCAGGATCGCTTCGCGGTGTTCGGCGCGCCAGGACGCGCCGCGTTGGCTTTGGTTCGCTTTCGGGGGCGGCGGCACGGCTTCGGCGACCGTCATCGCGCGACGCGAGCGACGCGCGGGCGAGCGAACGGGACGCGCGGGCGTGACCGTTTGCACACTCGCGTTCGAGCGCGACGCGGTGCGCATGCGAGCGCCGCGCGCGGGACGCGCGAGCGGCGCGGTGTGCGGCGACGCGGCGGTTAGGCGAGCGAAGCGCGACGACTCGATACGATGCGATTACAAACGTCGAAATCAGCGCTCGAGAAACTCGGCGACTATGGGGAAGACTTTGTGAGGGGCGTGTCGGCCACAGATGACGTCGTAGTGGCTGTAATGGGTGTCCGGGTCGTCGCGCGGCGACGACGCGTCGCCGAAGACGTGGTACTCGGCGTCTACTTTTCTGGCGTACGCTTTGACTTGGTTCGGGGGAAAAATCGGGTCCACGTCCCCGGCGATGGCGAGAACAGGCACGCGCGCGCGCTGGAGCTCGTCGAGGTACTTTAATCGTTCGCTGTCTCGAGCGATTCTGGCGCGCACGCTCGACGATTCGTCGACGCCCATGGATGGGTCGCGGCTGCGCATGCCTCCGGGAGTGAACAGTGTTGCCATTTGAATCAGCAACGACAATGGGACGTTGTTGAAGCCTCGTAATAGTAGTCGTCGAAGGAATTCCGAGTCCGTGGCGCCGGGATGGCACGTCACCGGGGAGACTGAATTTCTCCAAAACGCCTTGGCGGGATCGGGCGCCGACGCGCCGTCGCCGTCGATGGGAGGCGGTGGACCGAGCACGAATTGAAACGCCTCCGCGGTGGCTACGCTTGCGGGCGCTATTGGTAAGTGCACGGTGGTCGTGCTCGGATTCGCGGTGAGTCCTCGCGGGAGATGGCCCGCCAAGGCGGCGAAACGCGCGTACACCGACGCCGGCGATTCCGGGTCGCTCTCCGAGGAACATTCCAAACACGACGCCATCGTGCACACGCGAGTCATGGACCACGAACAATTCACCCCGATGTCGCTTTCTTTCGGTCCTACGGCCGCAAGCGAGGCGAGGAGCATTCCACCCATCGAATGCCCGACGCCCGCCAAATCCCCACGGCGACAGACTTCGGCGATGTACTCGCACGAGCAAAACAAATCTTCATTCAACAGCGTGTCGAAGTCCCAGAGCCCGAATCCCACCGATCGCATCATCGGTATTTCTATTCCACCACCGCTTCCTTCGCCGACCGAGTCCGTCGGCGGCGCGACCTCGACGTAATCCGACCTCGGTCTCGTCCATCTGCGCGCGTACCCGACGCCGCGCGTCTCCACGATCCAAACCTCGTGCCCGCGCTCCGTGAGATACCTGGGTAAGCTCACCGTCTTATCGACATCAAATGTCATCCCGTTTGACGCGCATCCGGGCACCATGACGATCGGTCTTCGCGTCTCCACGCCTTCCTTGGCCTTGTATCGCAACAACGCCGCGCTCCAACCGCTCGCGTCGCCGACGGGCACAAAGTGCATCTCATCGCAATCCAACCCGATCGCGCGTCTCTGCACCGCGTTCAACGTCAGAACCTCAACCTCGGGCGCGAGCGCGCTCAGCTCATCCCGAGTCTTCGCGTCGCGTCTTCGTCGCCGTCGCTCCGCCGTGAGCGTCCGAGCCCGTCTTCGCCGCGCCGCCGTCGTCCTCAAATTCGCCGCGCCGTCCGTCGTCATCGACGGCGCGTCCGTGAGCTCATCGAACGATTGCGAAACGTCCATGACGAACGATCCGATGACTTTTCGCAGTCGGCTCGCGCTCGCGCCGCCGCTCGCGCCGCCGCTCGACGCTTCGCCGCCGTCCCGCGACGGTTCCAGCACGAACCCTCGCACCGCGTCGAACATCCCGCGAAGCGTCTTCGACGGCATCGCGGACGCGTTCGCGCGCGTTCGCTCGCTCGCCGCGTCCTCGTTCGCCGCGCGCGCGACGCGGCGTCGACGCGTCCGCGTAACGAACCCTGCGCCCGCGGTCGCGCGTCGACGTCCATCGCGGCGCGTCGACGCGCGCGGACGCCCGCGCGCGACGCGCGGAGACGCGTTCGCGAGCGCGCGCGGCGTCATGGGGCGCGCGCGCGTGTGACGCGGTGACGAGCGCGCGAATGTAGATTTGGAATTGAATGCGTCGAGCGCGGCGACGACGACGACGCGAATCGAATCGAGCGCGACGCGGGCGCGCGCGAAGGCGCGACGTCGATGCGTGGAGACACAGCGCGAGAATGGTTTTGATTGATGATACAGATCGCTCGCCGCGCGCGGCGATGATTTGCGTTTGAAACGCGCGAACGAGCGACTCGCTACGCCTCTTGCCGCATGCGCTCGAGTCGCGCCTTTAAATCTTCCGTCGTCGTCGTCGTCGTCGTCGTCGTCGGTTCCACCGCGATCGTCGCCTCGCGCGTGACTTTCTCTTCGACGCCGGTGTCGGGTAACACGACCTCCCCCGCGATTTCCTTTAAAATATCCTCAATCGCGCGCTCCGTCTCGTCTTCGTCCTCTAAATCATCCGCCAGCGCCTCCTCCACGAGTTCCTCCATGATCCCCGCCCTCGTCATCTCCCGGCTCAATTCTCTCGCCTGATCGCGCACCGCGCTCACTTTCACCAGCGCGTTCATCGCTTTCAGCACTTCGCTCGAGCGTTCGAGCGTTTTTACGCTCGTCTGCGTCGCCGCCCGTCTGGTCAGCGCGCGTTCCACCGAGCTCGCGCGCGCCTTGCTCGTGTACAACTTTTCAATCGCCTTCCTCGCCTGCACGATCTCTTTCGCCAGCGCGCGCGCGCTTTTCTGGTCGTTTCTCTTCGCGCAGAGCTTGATCTCTCTCGTCGTCTTCGTCGTCGCGCGCTCGACGTCGCGAATCTGTTGCTCGAGTTCGCGCTGGAGTTTGCGCAGTTTGAGCTTGCACTCTTTGGTTTTTTGTTCGGGCGTCGGCGCTAAGCCGAACAGTTGCTTGAGATCGAACATGACGGCGCGGGCGAGGCGTCTGCGACGTCGCGCGCCGAGAGCGCGCGGTTCGAGCGCGAGCGACGACGAGTGCGGGCGGCGCGGGCGCGATTGAGTGGAATTGCGCCTCGGGACGCGCTTCGGGACGCCGATACGCTACAATCTAAAACGTGAGCTACGACCGCGAGGGTGCGGTTTCAGAGGCTAAGTGCGCTAAATCGAACGACGCGGTCTCGCGCGCGCGCGCGCGTCGGCGTCGCCGACATCCGGCGGTCGCGGTCGCGGTCCGGTCGCCGGCGGCGGCGCGTCGTCCTCGCGCGTCCAATACGGCACCAAACGATTCCCTCGACCCGAGCTCGCCTCGCGCAGGAACTCGCGCCAAAATTCGCACCGATTTTCATCCGCGATCGTCGCGCATCGCCGCAGCGTCTCGGCGCGTTCGGCGGCGCGTTCGCGCGCCTCGCGCTCGACGACGGCGTTCGGGACGGCGCCCTCCTCCTCGCTCTCCGATGATACCGCCCCATCGGCGTCGTTCGCGCCGTTTTCGCGCGGTTTTGCGCGCATTGGATTGCACTCCGGGCATCCGCAGTTGGACGCGTGCGTCGCGCGCGCGCGCACGACGCTCGGCGCGTGTGAAAACGGACACTGCGTTCCACCACCGCAACGACCTCGGGCGAAGAACGCGCACGGTTTGGACGCGCTCGCGGGTTTTGACGTCGACGGAGCGTCGGCGACATCGCGCTCTATGGGGACACCGACGTCGTCGTCGCGCGAACCAGCGGCGTCCGGCATGCCGCGAGTCGCGGTGTGCGGCGCGAGAGCGGGACGCGAGCGAGCGGGACGCGAGAGAACGTTCCGTTGCATCGCTAGGACTAAAGGCGCGCGTGATGAATGGACTAGCTATGACGCTAAGTAGAGGTCATTAATTTGAGCCATACCTGTCGCGCTCGCGCGGCGGCGCGGCGGACGCGACGTTTAGGATCGTCACACGCGACGACGGCGGCGTCGAGCGCGCGCCGGCGACTCGGGTACACGGCGCTGAACTTGAGCGTCGACGCCGCGACGAGAGCATCGAGGGCGTGCTCCCGACACTCCATGGACATTGTGCTCGTTGCAGTGGCGATGGCGCACAGGGCGTCGATGAGAGCGACGGCGTTCTGCTCCGTCGCGCCTTCGCTGCCGGCATCGTACAGTGCGGGCTCGGCGAGTCGCGCGCCGACGAGGAGGAGCGCCGCGCGCACGGCGTCGTCGTCACCGGCGAGCGTACCGACGGTGAGTGCGTGTAACACGTCTGGTAACAGCGGGAACAGGTTGAACTGCGAACTGAGTGCCACGGATGGGGCGACGCCGCTGGCGAGCTTGACGACTGCGTAAGATCTCGACAAGCGCTTCGCGCCCACGGCTTCGTACGCGCCCTTGATCAAAGTCGGCGCAACTTTCGTGAAGAAACGTTGACACGCGAGGAACTTTTCGCTCGCGTGAGTCGAAGACTTCAAACCTAGCCCGATGTCGCGATGCGCAGCGCTGAATCCCACAGCCATGCTCAACGCCATCGCCGCGCCTCTCGACGCTTCAGGCGACGAACTGTCGTCGAGAGCGCGAACGAGACACGAAACCAGCGCATCAGATGGCGACGAATCGTCTCGACGCATCGCTCGCGCGCGCAAGCACGCACCGAGAACGAAAGTCGTGCGCTCGTCCGTCAAGTCTTCCATAGGTGGCGCGAAGTCCACGCTCGGGAATTTGTGCGTCGCCGAACCGACGGCGGCGGCGACGAACATCGAGAATCCTCGGTCGCCGCGCGAGCGCGTTAATTCGTCGAGAGCGGCCACCATGTGTGTCGCTTCGAACGCCGCTTGCGGTCGTAGTCCACAAATCACCGCGCAAGCCATCAGCGGCTTTTCGCGCGAGAGCGCGACGGCTTCGGCGGCGAATCGCGCTTGCGTCGCGTCGTCACAATTCGCCACCGCGCTCGCGACGACGCGCACGGTGGACTCTGCAGTTGTGGCAGGATCACGCGCGAGACAAAATGTGGTGAGATCGGCGCACGCTCGCTGTGCTTCGTCGGATGAAACAAACCGCGTCAGTACACCGTCGTCGTCGCGGCACATCGCGGACACCAGATCCTCGGCATTCGGCGAACCAATCTCGATAGCATCACGCACAACGCCGCAAAACAATCGCGCGACGTCGTTTCGAATCATCTGATTTACTGCCGCGAGGGCGCAGAGGGCACGAATCGCTCGCGTCGCTTCGACGGTTTGCAAATTCGTAACTGTCACTTTGTCTGCAAGGAGAGCGACGGCGCCCGTCGACATCGCGTCAACGAGTTTTGCGTCCGCACCGCTCGCTGCGGCGACGAGCGCATCGATCGAACGCTCAATGCGCACTTCGATATCGGCCTCGGACTCGTTTACGTGTTGCGCCATCATCGCATCGAATAGCTTGCTCGCCACGGCGACTCGCGACTCAGCGCTCGCCAGACCGAATCTGTATGGAAACTTGCACAACATGTGCAATCCTGCTAAACCTAAAACGATGCCTTCGTCAAAGCTCGGGGATTCGATCTTTCCCAGCGCTGCGTCGGCAAACAGCCCCACCAACCGTTCACTTTCATCGTCCAAGACGCTCATGTGCACACTTGATTCGGCGTTCCGTTCGCAGCAATCCAACGCGCCGCCGAGCGCGGGCGTGGCAAGAATGAGAGCCAAGTACGCCGCTTTGGACGAATGAAGTCCATCTATTTCGCGTGGAATCTTCGCGGCGTCGAGAAGTGACTTTAAAGTGCCGTGTATGACATCATGCGCGAGTGTGGGGGTCGCCGCGGCAACCGCACCGAGCACGCGACTCGCCGTCGCAACGACGAGTTTTCCCCTCGCCGCTTCTTCGCCGGACGACTTACTCCCACCGCCGCAACCACCGCCACAGCACCCCTCGTCTGAGGTCTCCATCGCGCACGCGCCGTCGACGTCATCCGACGAGCTGTCGTTCGCCATGCGACGCAAAGTCACTTCGGCGTCGCGCACGCATTGATCCGTCAACGCCGCGCGCGCGAGCGTGCCGCGAGTGAATTCGCTGGCAAACATCGTCGTCATCACCGCCATCGGCGTCGTCGCCTGCACGTCGTCGTCTTCTTCCATCTTCGTCGCGTTGGGATGCGCCAATGCGGCGCGCATGGCTTGCCAAACGATACCCATGTATTCTTCCATGACGCTCGCGCCGAAACGTTCGCCCATCGCGCGAACCGCGCGCGCGGCGTCCGCCATCTTCCCCGGACCTAGTTCAGGGTTCAAACTCTCCAACGCGTGCGCGACGGCCCACGGTGCGAATGTTGGTGACGCCGTCATCGCGCGTTCGACCGCCTCCGCGAGTTGGCGACGAGAAATCTTAATCGAATCCCCTCTCGGCGGCTTGAAACTCACTGGAAAGTAACTCGCCGCGACGTCGTACAATTCCTCCGCATTCTCCTCGTACACCGCCTTTCCACCCTCCCCGAACCGCTCAAACGCCCCTGGCAACAATGTCCACACCTCACACAATCCCAACACGCACCTAGGATCCTTCTCCCCATCGAACGCGCCGATTATTCTCGCCAACGCCTCGTTCGGCTCCCCGTCCCCCGCCCCGCGCGCGCACGCCCCAGCGTGCGCACTCCGCAGCATTTCGATCGCCAACCGCACGCACGCTTCCCTATCGCTTTGTCTCAACCCCTGCACGTCGCACTCCGCGAAAAGTGCCCTCGACGTCGCTTCGATCGCCTCCGCGTTCGCTCGCTTCACCAACGCCTCGGCGCCGCGCGCCGCGCTCGCCGTCGACGCGAAATCGCTCAACCTCGACGCGAAGAACGCGCTCAGCGTGCGCACCGCGCGATCATCCAGCGTCATCGCGCACTCTTCGGCGACGTGCGCGAGGATTTCCGTCGCCCGCGCCCGCGGCTTTGGCTCGGTCGCTGTGAGAAATCCTTCCAGGTCGACGACGACGTCTAAAACCGCGCGCGCGCCGTCCGCGATCGCGCGCGCGATCTCGGCGAGCGCGACGTCGTCCGCGAGCGATGTCGCGTCGTCGTCGCGCGCCGACGCGGCGCAGAACGCCGCGAGGGCGTCGCGCGTCGCCATTGTTCGACGCCGGAGCGTCGCAATCTGCGGCGACGGCGTCGTCATGTCGCGCGCCGAGCGCGTCTTCGACGCGCGCGAGGGCACCGACGGCGCGAGCGACGCCGTCGGCGATCGCGGCGACGTCGCGCGCGCGCCGACGCGGTCGAGCGACGGCGCGACGACGAGTTTGAGTCACCAACATCATCATCACGAAAGCGCGTCGAGTTTCAGCGGCGCGCTGACGCCGACGCCGTCGTTCGCGGACGACGTCGGCACGTTCAATGAAAAGTTCCAGTCGTACATGCGGAGCCTGACGCCGATCGAGTACTCGTGCGTGAAGGCGACGATGCACTCGAGCGAGGGACGAGCGCCGAAGCGACGGCACGTCGAACGATTGGTGCGAGCGACGTGGTGCGAAGACGCGACGCGACGGAGTGAGAACATAGAGATGATGCTGAAATCGTTGGCGAGAGTGGATGTGTTGCGAAGCTCGGTGTCGGCGCTGCGGATGTGTGGAGTGGTGCACGCGTTGCAGCAACACGGGAGCTCGTCGATTTTGCATCCGACGTACGCGTGGCGAGAAAAATTGATGGATGAGCCTTTGGAGGCGTATTCGAGCGATTTCGGGGCGCTCGGAGGGGCGAGACGCAAGGCGAGTGCGGAGTTTACGAAGGGTTTGGGGTTTTACGAGCGCGAAGGGTTCGACGCGTGCGCGGGGCTGGTGGCGCCGTACGCGGCGATGATTCGAGCGAAGAGTAAGTTTCATCGCTTCTTCGTGGCGTTTGAGAACAATTACTCCGTGGACGCACGCGTGGAGACGCTTGAGGACGATGATATCGGGATGCACGATCCAATTTCCTCGGTCAGTTTGTGCGCGCTCATCGCGGTGGCGGGAAAAGCGAGACGAGTCGTCGAGCTCGCCGCGCGACACTTGCCCGAAGCCGTCGCGGCGACGACGAACGAATTCGACAAGTTCCAATGGACCGATCTCATCGGTTTCGTCGCGCGGTTGGCGTTGCGCGAGGCGGATTTAGCGTACGCCGCTGCGCTCTTCGTTGCGGCGACGTTGGCGGAAGAGAATAGGTTGTCCGAAGGTGACAACGAAAAGTTTCGCGCCGAGCACGTCGCGTTGCGAGAATGCTTTCGCGTGGCGTTACGCAAGGCGTTCCTGAGGCAGGAAATCGTGCATACGCTCGGTGAAACGGAACCAAAGTTCTTAGAGAAGGAGACGGATATTAAGGAGATTTTAAGCGCCAACGCGCCGGCTAAGAAACACGTGTTGGATCCGACGTTTGAAAACTTGATGGACGCCGATCTGGCGGCGCAGGCGCCGCAGATAATCGCCGTGGGGGAGATTCCGCCTCTGATCAAGTTCGACGACAATGATGACAACGAGCATTATAATCCGTTCGGCTTGGCGCCGCCGCTCGATTTGGGCGCGCGCCCCGGTCATCGTCGAAAACCCAGCGATTTTGATTTGGACGCGTTTGCGGCGCCGCTCGAGTTCACGCCGCTTCAAAGCGGGCCAGCGTCTGCTTCGACGTACGTCGATCCGTTCGCCGTGCGCACGCTCACCGATGCTTTAGACGAGAGCGAAAGCAAACGTTCGCCGCAGTCGACGCCATCGCCTTTGGCGCCGCAAAAGCCGCCGCGAAGCCCGATGACCACACCGTCGTCGCGACAAAACGACTTTGAAGAGATTCCACTCGACCATTTAGAGTTTGGTCGACAAATCGGTCGCGGCGCGTTTGGCGAAGTATTCCGCGGTAAGTATAGAGGAACAGACGTTGCCATCAAGCGATTGTGCGTGCTGAGCGACGTGAGCGACGAGCGCGGTTTGGCTGAGTTCAAGCGCGAGCTTTCTTTCCTCACGCGTTTGCGACATCGTCACATCGTGCAATTCATCGGCGCATCCACAGCACCGCCGAATCTATGCATCATCATGGACTACTGCGACAAAGGATCGCTATACGCGTACCTGCACAACCCGAACAAGACCCTTTCGGCGTTTAAGGTTCTGAAATGGATGAGCGAGGCCGCGAAAGGCTTGGTGTATTTGCACGCTTCGGACATCATCCACCGCGACGTCAAGTCTGGAAACTTGTTCATCGACGACGGCGGATCCATAAAACTCGGAGATTTTGGGTTGTCGAAATTTCACACCGGCGCGTCGACGAGCGGCGGCATGATGTCGCTCGTCGGCACGTACCAGTTCATGGCTCCCGAACTCCTCGAAGGCCAGCCTCGGTACACGACCGCCGTTGACGTGTACAGTTTCGCCGTCGTCATGTGGGAGTGTCTCACGCGCGAAGATCCCTTCAGCGGTTTATCACCGATGCAAATCGTCGCCGCTCTACTTCGCGGCGAGCGTCCGTCGCTCGATGACGCCTCAAAGTTCGCCGTGCGTCTTCCCGAAGAATACATCGCCGTCATCGCTCGATGTTGGCGCGCCGACGCCCTCGAGCGTCCCACGATGGAAGACATCGCCCCCGAGCTCGAGCGCATGTTCTTCGCCGAAAAGCGTCTCGTGATCGAGTCCAAGAAGCGCGCCGTCGAGGCCGCACCATCGCTCATGCCGTAGCTCCGTCGAAGCCGCACCATCGCTCGCGCCGTGGCTCGCGTCGCGCGTCGTCGTTGTATCATAAAATCACAAAGTAGCCACTCGCCCGCGCGCACGATGCTCGCGCGCGCCTCCGCTCGCCCGTGCGTTCGCGCCAGCGCCCAACGCGCGCCCGAGCAGTCCCGTCGCTTCGTCCTGCGCGGCGTCGCCGCCCCCGTGCTCGTCGGTTCGCTGTTAAACTTTGAGGGCGAGCGTCCCGGGTTGGGCGTGGGGTCGTTCAACGGCGTCTCGACCGGCCTCGCGCTCTGCCCGTCGACGCCGAACTGCGTCGGCACGGCGGACGAGTTCAACGACACGCTGCACTACATTCCGGCGTGGACGTACAACGACGAGGAGAAAATCGCGCGCGGCGGCGCGGCGAAGACGACGAGCGAGGCGATGCAGGAGCTCGTCGACGTCACGCTGACGACGGATTGCGATGGATTCACGCCGACGATCGTCGAGCGAACGGATGATTACTTGCGGTTGGAGTACAAGAGTAAAATATTTGGGTTCGTGGACGACGTGGAGTTTTGGTTCCCGAAGGATGTGGGCAACTCGAAGTCGCGCGTAGACTACAGGAGCGCTTCGCGTTTGGGACAGAGCGACGGCGACGCGAATCGCAAGCGCATCAAGACGCTGCGGTTGGCGCTGAGTAAGTATGGGTGGAAATCGGTCGGGTTCTCGTGATCGCGACGCGGTCGTCGCGGTGTAGTCTACATACATTTTTCTATGAACAAACAAAGTTTTGCTATCTCGTCCCCAACAGTCGCCGCGGGACCCGTCCCATGTGCGCCAACGAATCGTTCACCGTGGACGTCACTTTCGACGCCAACATCGCCAACGCCTCGTCCTCCTCGGCCTCTCGACGCGCCTTATCTTCGTCCCGATGCTTGAGTTTATACCACAACAGAAAACTCAATCCCGTCAACACGAGCAACACTAAAACACAAAACGCCCACCGCTGCATGCACTTTTCGCATCCGAGCTGCGTCATGCGCTTTTCACTCTTATCCATATCCCGCTCCATGTGCCCCGCGCTCGCGCGCGCGCTCAAAATCTTCTCCCGCTGATCGTGCAGCTTGCTCATAATGTTTTCTCCAGTCTGCGCGCTCTCCATCGCTGTCCGCGCCGTTTGCTCCAACCGATCCGCGTTCGCGCTCGACCGCTCCACGCCTTCGATCGCCGTCTTCCTCCGCGCGCGTTCGGCGTCGTTCCCGAGCAGCGCATCGCGCTCTCGTCCCGACATCGCGCCGGGTGTTGGCTCGACGATCGTTCGTTCGTTCGTTCGTTCGTTCGTTCGTTCGTTCGTTCGTTCGTTCGTTCGTCGACGTCGCGCGCGTCGCGCGCGGTCACGTCGACGTCACCGTCGACGTTATTTCGCGTCGCGTCGCGTTCGCGTTCGCGTTCGCGCGTCGCGCGTCGCGCGTCGATGTGCCGCGTAGCAAAAGTTGCGCTGTAGATTTTAGTGTTGGCCGAGAGAGGACAAGAACCGACACATGGCTCTCTCGACGTTCTCGACCGTTTTCGGCACACGACGACGCGCGCGACGCGCTAGGAGCGCGCGAGGGCGATGGAAAAAATAAGAGCGTGCGTCGCGGCGTGCGCGGTGCGTCCGCGGTGCGGAGCGGTGGTCGCGGCGTGCGCGCTCGCGGGGGGGTTCGGCGCGCTCTGGGGAAGGGTCGAGGTCGACGCGCTGAAGTTGTGGGTCGACGCGCGAGCGCGGGAGGAGGTAAAGACGTACGAAGACGCGTTCGGTGACTATAGGACGCAGGCGTTCGTCGTGACGGCGAAGCGAGCGCCGACGTTGGCGTCGAGGGAGGCGTTCTTAGAACTCAAGGACTGGCACGACTGGATGTACGGTTTGGAGGCGCCGTCCGCGGCGGGGTCGTACACCCTGCACGATTTTTGCTACAAGTACGTCGATTCCGAACCGCACACGCCGTGTTTTCAAATAACGCCGTTGGATTGTTTCGCGGAAGGTGCGGTGAGCGCGCCGGGAGGGGCTGAGAAGAACGATGCGTTCGCGGCGTCGTACTCGGTTCGCCCGAGCGTGGCATCATTTGATTTCGAGAAAGATTTCAATCAGTCTTTCGCTCGAGGGTGCAAACAATGGTTCAATCTCGCGACTCCCCCGAAAGTACTGTTTTCGGGATTGCGAGAAGACGCGAACGGGTTAGATGCGATGCGCGTGGTGTTTCAAACGCGCGACGCCGCCTCGTTGGCCGCTCGCGGCGTGGTGCGAACGACTTTTACGCCGACGCAGGCGTCGGCGGTCGACGTGTTGGGCTGTCGCGCGGGGACGCCATCGTTGGAAGATTGCTCGTGCATAGAAACGTTTAATTTGTTTTCGGTGTTGGAATACGGTTGCGTTCCGGAGGGCGACGCGGAGCAGCCACCCACGTGCTGCGAGTATATGGCGAGACTACGCGAGCATCCGTGCGTCGAGACGTTGTGGATGAGCGACGCTACGTTGTTCGCGCTCGGGAATCAAGTGTTCACTACGTGCGGAATAGCAAGAATTTCGTTCGATTCGCAGTGTGTGAGACTTCCGAACGGAGAAACGTTACGCAAGTCTTCGACGAGTGGAATCGAAGACGATTACTACGAAGACTTGAGCGCTTCAACGCCAGTGACAAACGTCTTCGAGTGTGGATTCAAGCTACGTTCGCTGCAAACGAAATGTCCATTGATCGCCGAGGGTAATTACACGGCTGCGAGCGAGTGTTGTGCGAGCTTGGAGACTTTTGCCTTGTCGAAATGTCACTGCGGGGATCTTCACTGCGGAGGAAGATCGAGACCGTGCGAGTCCCTCTTCGCTCGCGATGACGTCGGACAAATCGTACAGTTTTGTACGCTGAGCGGATTCTCGACGCCTAGTTTCGATGTTTGCGGTAGGAATACGAGTGTTGTCACTCCACCGGCGAAGCGCGCGTCCAAATCTGCGTCAACGGCATCGACTTTGATTTGGGTTCCCGCACACGAACGCCGCGAACTCTCGAAAGAGGACGCTGAAGATTTACTGTTGGGTTGGGAATCACTTTGGCTCTCGCAAATCGACGCCAAAATTGCGAATTACGAGCACATTTCAATCGCTTACATGTCACAACGAAGTACTGAGGATATCATCGCCGCCGCGTCGAGGGGCGCCTTCGTGCTCCTCTTCATTGGTTACTTCACCGTCGCCTTTTACGTCGTGACATATTTCCATCTCAGCCCGAACGCTGCGTGTGGCCCTCGAGCAGCTGTCGAAGGCGTCTCTGTAGTCGCTTTAAGTACGTGGGCGTCTTTAGGATTGAGTGCCGCGCTCTCGCGAATCTCTGGCGTGACATTTAACGCCATCACGCTTCAAGTTTTGCCGTTCTTATCGCTCGGCTTGGGCGTGAATGATTTCTTTGTGCTCGCGTCGCACGCCGCGGCGGCTACGGCAGAACTTGAAGATTCATTCGTTGACGGTGATTCAATAAGTTCTAATGAAGACATACTCGTTCGCACTTTACGCGATGGTGGTACATCGGTGACACTGTCCAGCGCGATGAACTTTGCCGCGTTCTTGCTCGGCGCCATTTCGCCGGTGCCCGCGGTGAGAAACTTTGGTATCCAAATAGCGTGCGCAGTGGCATGCAACTACATCGTCGCGTTGTTGGTTTTCCCTGGCATTCTGTATCGACATCTCGAGCGACGCAGCGCATCTGAGGCGAGGAGGGTATCAGAAGACGTCGAATGCACGACACCGCTCCGTCGCGACTCTTCCTTTGCGAAGATTTCATCGGCGGTGTATGAGCCGTTTGTGCGGTGGCGTGAGCGTTTGATTGCTGCACCACGCGCAAGCACGGCGTTACGCCTTGCGGTGCTCGCCATGTATGGTGTCTTCGCCGTGTATTTGATCGCCGGCATTCCAACAGTACGCCTTGGACTCGAAATGCGGGACGTCATACCGAGCGATTCTTACATGGCGCCGTTCGTGGCGGAGATGGAGCATCGATTCGCCACGTATCCTGTCTTCGTCTTCGTCTCGAATGTCGATTTTGCTCGGTACGCCGTGGCGTTGCGAGAACTCGAGCGCGACTTTCTCGACGTCGCGCACGTCGACGTAACGCACGGGTCAACCAACTTCATGATTTACTACACCGAATACGCGGAATCGAGAGTTGCGGGCGGGCATTCGTGTTCGCTGAACGACACGCGTTGGTACTACGACGCCACGAGGGCGGCGGAACCTTACGATTCGTGCGCTGCGGACGCGCTCGACGAGAATCAAACGTTTACATGCATGGTAAAGTGCTTAGCACACGTACCTCAGACGCAATCGAAGCGGTGCGAATTCCACAAAGGCGCGAGCCGCGAGCGAAGTCGATGCTACTGCCCTCATCGACTGATTTACAACGAAGACGCATTCGTTCGCGAGTTCCCGGCTTTTCTCGCCGGCGGTCAGCGCGGCGAAATTTCGCGCGCGTTCACAACACTCGGAAGCAACGCGTCAATCGTCACGAGCGCCAGGCTGTTGTTTTACGTCGAAGACGTTTTCGACGTTGACGATAAACTCGCGCACATCCGCCAGGCTCGAAGCGCGTTGAAGAATTCTGACATCGTCGCGCGAGGAGGTGCCCGAGCCTTCCCATTCGACGTAGCGCTGTATGCGATGAACGAACAGTACTTGAACATCAAGTCAAACACGTGGCGAGCGCTCATCATAGGACTCGTGACGTCCACAATCATTATGTTCGTTGCTTTTCGCGGCGACGTTCGAGCGACTATGGTGGCCTCTGCGACGCTCGCGTTCACACAAGCTGAGCTCTTCGGCGCCATGGGTCGGTTCAATGTCAAGCTCAACGGCGCATCCATGGCGAACTTGATCATTTCGACCGGTGTCGTGAATGAATTCATCGCTCACATGTCCCGCGCGTTTTTCTCTTCCGACCGGCGCGCGGGCGCCGCCTTCGCATCCATCGCTCCCGCTTTGTTCAACGCTGGAGTGACCACGTTCCTTGGTGTCATCCCGAGCGCGTTCGCGCGGTACGAGTACTTCCGCGTGTACTTTTTCAGTCAATGGTGCGTGATTTTGCTCTTCGCCGTGGCGAATGGCGTCGTCTTTCTACCAATAGCGCTCAGTCTCTTCGCGTGAGCCCCGAGCGCCGAAAACCTCAAGGTCCTTGTCCCCATCTTCATCCTCACTTTCAAACGCGCGACATCATGTCGTCTGCCGCGCTCGCGGCTCGTCGTGCCGTCGCTTCGCCGTCGACGCAATGTTCCGCACCGACGCAAACGCTCAAGCACCGCGTCATCGCGACGCGACGCGCTCGAGACAGTCGCCGGGCGTCCTCGGCCTCGGCTTCGGCGTCCGAGTCCGCGCAGCTTCTGCGCGGTCGTACCGTCGCGAACAAGCTCGCAGACACGTCGCTGTTCTTAATCGGTATCATGGGGTCCGGAAAGTCCACCGTCGGGGCGTCGCTGGCGAAAGCGCTCGGGTACAATCACTTGGACACGGATGAGCTCATCAAGAGCGTGACAAAGAAGACGCCGAGCGAGCTCTTCGCCGAGGCGGGCGAGAGCGAATTTCGCGCCATCGAGAGCATGATCCTCGCCGAAGTCGCGGCGTACAAGCGATGCGTCATATCTACGGGCGGTGGTATCGTGTGCGAGAAGACGAATTGGATGCACCTGCACAACGGCGTCACCGTGCGCTTGCACGGCGACTCCGAGCTCTTGGCGCGCCGCGTCCTCGCCGACGGCGTCGAAAAGCGTCCCTTACTCTCCGGCGACACCAGCGGCGAGGAACAACCGACGATCGATTCCATCGTCGCCAAGATCAACGCTCTGTTAGAAACGCGCGAAACGATGTACAAGCAGGCAGACATCACCGTCCCGCTCGGCGCGCGCGACGACGCCGACGGCGCCCCCGTCGACGTCGTCGTCGATCGTCTCTTGACCGCCCTTGAAGAGCGCGTCGAAGCTGACGCGGTTCAAAACAAATTACACAACGAGCCGCGAGAGGGCGACATCACTGTCACCGATCCTCGCGGCGAACTCGGCCCGAGGCCCGAGCGTCCGGGGCCGTAGGCCATTTCTCCTAAAATTCTTTGAGTTGTGATTCAACGCGACCCCTTAAATACGAGCGACTCCCCGTCATCGACGCCGACCTCGCGCGCGCGCCGCTGCCCTCAAAAGCCCTAACACGTGTGCTCGCGTCCGTCTTTTCCCGACGCGCCGACGCACGTCGCGCCCGCACGCGCACGCGAACGCAAGAAAGTTTTCCTTTCGTCCCACGCACCGCTCGAACGCACGCTCGGTCGATCCGTGTCGCGCGCACATACGTCGATCGCACAACCGATCGTCGCATCTTTCGTCGATCCATCCATCGTCGAACGTAACCTCCGTTTCGCGCGCTTGGACGCCGTAAACGCCGCACGACATGTCTCTCATCGTTGGAGATGATTTTCAACACATCATTCGCGTCCTGAACACCAACGTGGACGGTCGCGAGAAGGTGATGTACTCGTTGACGAAGATCAAGGGTATCGGCCGCCGATTTTCCAACTTGGTGTGCAAAAAGGCTGAGATTGATCTCGGGAAGCGCGCCGGTGAGCTGAGCGCGGCTGAGTTGGAATCGTTGATGGTGATCGTGTCTAACCCGCGACAGTTCAGGATTCCGGATTGGTTCTTGAACCGCAAGCACGACTTCAAGGATGGCAAGTTTTCGCAGCTGGTGTCGAACCAACTCGACACGAAGTTGCGCGACGATTTGGAACGCTTGAAGAAGATGCGTAACCACAGAGGTCTCCGACACTACTGGGGTATTCGTGTCAGAGGGCAACACACGAAGACCACTGGACGTGGCCGTCGTTAATTTTCTGCGAGACGTCGAGCGGCGTATTCGCCGCCCGGCAAAGCCGAAAACCCTTAGCGATATTAGATGCTCGTCGTACGATGTAGTACACTCCACACCATTCACAAATCGCCGTGACGCTAAAATAAAGCTAGATTACATCGCTAATTCGCTAGTTCGCGTCGCTCGGCGCGCCGCTCGCCTCGTCCACCTCGTCCGCGGGTGGCAGCGGGAATAACAGCTTGAGGCGATACGCGTCGCGCCCGCTCAAGTAGTACCTCGACAACGCCTTATCCCTGATGAATCCTAATGATTGATACAACCGCAGCGCCCCCTCGTTCGTCGTCTCTGCCTCTAACACGCACTCATCCGCGCCTCTTTCTTGCATCACGGCCAGCGCGCGCGACACGAGCTCGCTCCCGAGCTTCAATTTGCGCGCGCGCTTATCCACCACCAGCATCCCCACGTACCCCCGCATCATCTCCCGGTGCTTCTCGAGCTTACACACGATGACACCCACGCACTCGCGCGAGGACGAATCGATCGCCATGAAGCACAGCTCGGGCCAGTTGTTCAAGAAGTACCGGTAGGTGAAGATGGAGTAAGGTTCGCTGAGTTCTCGATCGATTATGCTCGCGATGAGCGGGAGCTGCGTGTCTTCATCGACGTATTGTTCGAAGAACACGTCGAGCTTCGTGGGATCGAACGCGCTCGCGGGAGAGGGCGCCATGAGGCGCCGCGTGCGGAGTGGCGTTGTGCCGACGCGCGGGAGGTTCGGGACGCTAAGGTGGCGACTTATTACAAGCTAAGATACTATTTCGTCGCGTACGCCATTTCGTCTTGCCCGGCGGCAACTTTTTTCAAAATTTCAATCACGGGATCGTGCCAGTTCTCCACGCGCTTGCGCATCGCGCTCCAATTCTCGCCGTGGCGAGGAGCGGCCCGCGCGCAACGCTCGGCGACGGCTTGGGCGGCTTGCTCGCCCGCGGTTTGGAGTTCGAATTTGTAATACGACGCCCAGTGGTCACCAATGTCGGGTGCTATTGTCACCGCGCGGTTCCACCAGCTTCGGGCTTTGTCGAGTTTGCGGTCGGCCCAGAACAAAATGGCGATGGCGGCGATGATGTACGGATCGTTGTCGCACCGCCGCAACGCGTCGACAGATTTCGATTTCCTTTGCGGGCGAGGCGCAAATCGCACGGACTCGGCAAGGAGCAAACCGCTCGTTGGGCACTCTTGCAGTGCACGCGCGATCGTGCTCTCGGCGAGCTGGATGTTTCCGCTCTCGCGCTCTTGACGTACGGCGGCGAGCCACAAGTGTTCGTTGGAGGGATTCTTCGCGCGCGCGGTTTCGAGAATGATTCTCGCCTTGGACGCGTTCCCACTGCGCATCTCAAAACTTGAAAGCGCAATCCATAACGGAATCGCGTTCGGGCACTTCTTCGTGCCTTGCGTGTACGCGTGTCGGACTTGCTCGGCGCGCTTCTCCCCGGCGCGCTGTTCAAGTTGCCCGAGTTGCATCCAAAGTTTCCAAAACGTCGGAAACTTTTCGATGCCTTCATCGAGAAGCTTGCGTTCGGCTTGTTCATCACCCGCCTCGCGCTCGACAAGCGCAGATTTCATCCAAACCCGCGCACAGTCGGCCAAACGTTCTCGCGCCTTGGCGAGCAACATGCGCGCGCGATCAATTTCGCCGTTTTCAAACTCCAATTTGAAAGCCGCGAGCCAAATCTCTTCCGAGTCCGGGTTGGCGTCGAAGGCTGATTGTAAAATCTCGCGCGCTCGCGTGACGTCGCCGCTGAGCCAGCGCTCTTTCGCGCCCATGAGCCACAAGATTTCAGCGTTGGGGCAAAAAGTCACCGCCTTGCGCAAGACGGCGTCGACGGAATCAGGCGTACCGAATCGCTTTTCCAACATCGCCGCTTTCATCCACAAACCCTTCTTGTGCGAAAATCCTGAATCTAGCGCGTGCGCATAAATCGCGCGCGCGGTCTCGGCGCTCTCGCGCTTCATACACTCCTCCGCGTCCGCCTTCCAAGTGCGTTTTTTGTCCTCTTCCTCCACGCCTTCGCCTATGGTCGCCTTGACGATCGCCCGACACGTCGCAATCGACGGTGGTTCGGCTTTTTCAGCGATTTCCGCTTCTTTGATCCAACTCTCGCGATCGATGGTGACGCCGTGCGATTTGAGCGACTTGACCGCGCGCGCGATGATTTTCTCCACCATTTTTTCGTTCCCATTCGCCTCCTCGAGCTTCGCCGCGGTGATCCAAATCTGAGGCTCGCGCGGTAATGTTTCGCGTGCCTTGTTCAGCACCTTACGACCGTTCTCAGTGGTCTCCAAACGCGCCAGCGCGAGCCAAAGTTCGACGTGCTGCGGACAACATTCCGTCGCGCGCGCGAGCAACACCTTGGCGTCGTCCTCGGCGCTCAAGTCCACGAGCGCCTTCCACAATCGCACAGAATTCGGCACGTTCTCCAACGCTCGCCGCAACACGCGCCGCTTACGCTCATCTTCAATCTCTAATTGCGCCGCTTGCATCCAAATCTTCACCGAATTCGGCAACGTTTGCACGCCGCGCGCTAAAATTGCCTTGGCGTTCTCCGGCGTGTTCAACCGCGCCGCCTCGATCCACACGTCTTCGTTCTTCGGACACTCCTCGCACCCTTTTTGCATGAACACTCGCGCTTGTTGTAATTTACCCGCGAGTTCCTCCAAACGCGCCGCCGCAATCCACCCCGGGCCGTGCTTGGGGTTGGTGTTGATGACGCTCTTGAGCAGCAAACGCGCCTTTTTAATGTCAGAAATCTCCGCCGCGCTCGTGATCTTCTGCGAGCCTAAATCGGTCAAGTACCCCTTCGGATCGATCGTCGTTTGACCCGTGACGCTATCGCTTAATCGGTCGAGCTTCAACCCCAAAACCGTCCCTCGACCTTCGCCCACCGCCGTCAAGTCTTGCTCGCCGCCCGCGTCCGCCGCCGTGTTCACCGTCTCCTTCTCCGCCAACGCCTTGGCCAGCAGCGTATCGGGCGCGGGCATGAACCCCACGTTCAGTTTTTTCTTCTTGATCGTGTAGTCCCCGATATCCGGAATCGCGTCCCACTCCGCGTACGACACGTCCTTCAGCCCGCGCTTCAAGTCGCGAAACGTCTCCACGATTTTCGGATTCTCATCCCTAAACTTTTCCATCTGTTCCCTCTCCCGCCGCTCTCGCGCGTCCCTCCGCCTCGAGTCCATCCTCTCATCGATCTGCGCCCATATCTCATCCGCCTCCGCGTCGTCGTCGTCGTACGTCGACGCGTCCCGGCCGAACAATCCGTCTTCGCCGCCGTCGCCGCTTCTCCCGCCGTCCTCGTCTCGCTCCTACTCGCGCGCGCCGTCCTCGTCAGTCGTTCGCCGGCATCATCCGCGCGCGCGTCCATCGCATCGCGCCTCCGTCGCGTCGTCGCGTCGTCGCGTCGTCGCGTCGTCGTCGTCGTTTCGTTCCCGCACCTTGTCCCCCGCCGCCGCGACCTGTCCCGGCCCGATGTCGCTCCGCGTCGTGAACCCCGCGGCGCCGCGACCGAGTCCCGGGACGTAACCCGCGGGCGCGGGCGCGTCGCCGAACGGCGCCACCGGCGCGCGAAGCGCGCGCGACGCTTGGTTCGACATGGATTCGCGCGTCGTCGAATGACGCATCGATCGCGACGCGTTCGCCGCAGATCGCGGCGCGCGCGATGTCGAACGAGAGCGACGGCGAGGACGCGCGCGCGACGGAGGATGAGGTGCGCGCGATCGCGGCGCGCGGGCGCGAACGCGCGCTTCGAGACGACGCACGCGGACGATGCGCGATGCGATGCGCGATTGGACTGACGGCGTCGGTTTGAACGCGCAGGTCGACGACGCGCGCGACGACGCGCGCGACGAAGAGGACGACGACGAGGAAGACGCGGACGTCGACGAGGCGACGGGGAATTACTTCGGACGCGCGGCGAAGGCGCCGCCGGCGCCCGAGGGCGCGAATCCGTTCGCGGCGAGCGCGGCGACGCCGTCGGACGACGTGAACGCGATGATCGAACAGGCGAAAGCGCAGGTGGAGGCGCAGCGGGCGAAGCGAGAGATCGAAGAGGCGAAGGATCGGGAGCGGGAGCGACGGGCGTTCGAGGATCAGGGGCGGGAGTACGTGGCGAGGAGGAAGCCGGGGGAGGCGAGCGAGTCGCCGGCGAGCTCGTCGGGCGGGAGGCGAAAGGTGGTCAAGGCGAAGCGACCGGGACAATCGCCGTTGGGTGGAACCGGGGACGGTGGTAAGACGACGTCGAACGCGTTCGCAGGGTTCGCGGCGCTCACGGGTGGGGCGAAGAGGGAGGACGCGGACGCCGGTCGATCGAGCGTGTTTTCGCGGCTGAGCGGCGCGCCCGTCGAGGCGGATGACGACGACGACGCGCGCGAGGCGAAGGCTGAGAAGACGAAACCGGCGGGGTTATTTTCGTTTCCCACCGCGGCGCCGTCGACGAGCGCGGAACCGGCGAAAGCGGCGACGTTTGGATTTTTCGCGCCGCCGCCGTTGACCAAGGACACCTTGCACACCCAGCGCACGGCGAAAATTAAACTCACCGAGAGCGACGACGACGACGACGACGACGCGAAGAAGTCCGCGCCCGCGCCGCCGCCGACCGCGTTAACGAACGCGCCGCCCGCGAAGGCGGTGAAAAAAGTCAAGACCGCCTTAGCCATAGAACTCGGCTTGTAAACGCGCGCGCGTCGCAGTCGCAGTCGCGTCGCGGTCAAACCGCACTTCAAACCATGCCGCGTAAAAAGTCAAAGCCCGCGCGTTGGGGGCTGTTCATCGCGCCGACGCGTAAACCCACTGACCCGTGCGACCGGTGCGAAGCGCCTGCCCTCACGACGACGAAACGAGCGGAACGAGACGCACAGACACAGAAGCAGAGCGCCGCGCCGCGGCCTCGGCCTCGGCGCGACGACGCGAGTCCGCATGGGAGGGGCGACGTCACGCGCGTCGCCGCGGCGGCGTCGACGCGCGGGTACCCGTCACCAAATATTAACGCGCGATCGCGCGGAGGAGTCGAGGGCGAGACGTCGGCGACGCATCGGACGACGTCGAAGGAGACTGGTCTCGTCGAGAACGTCGATACGGCGTCGCGATCGAAGAAAGCTAGGACGGAGCAGATGGTGAATGTGGAGGCTCTTGAGACGCCGCGGGGTGTTTCGCCGCCGCCGCCGCCGCCGCTGCCGCCACCGTTCGAATCCGAGCCCACCGCCTTTTCTCGCGAAGACTTTCAGGCGCTTCCATCTCGTATCGAGGCGATTCGAAAAGAGTCCGACGCGCGGGCGTCAGAGATTGCGCATCTGCGCACGGTCAATCAGCAGTTACGCGCGGAAATTCGCAAGGAGAAAGCTGCGCGAGAGGAGACCGAGGCGATCGCGAAGATGCGTGCGAATGGCGAAGAGCGCGAGTACGAGGCGCAAATCTCAGCCCTGCGGAAAAACGTGGAGCGCCTGCGCGAGGATTACAATCGTATTCAAGCGGAGACGGAGAACGTGCATTCGCACAATGGCGCGTGCGTGGTGCTTAATGAAGAGAAAAAATCGTTTTTAACCGACCGCGACGAGTTGAAACGACGTTGCGACTCGTTGCAACGTCATTTGGTTGACGCACTCGAACGATATGAAAAATTGGATGCGGAGAAGACGTCTTTAGAAGGCGAGAATGAAAAGCTCAACTACGATGTGGAGTTACTCTCCTCTGCCGAGACTGAAAATGTGCAACTGAAGTCGAAAATCGCCGAGTTGCAAAAGGAGCTCGCATCGTGCTCAGACGCCGAGCTGCGAGACGAGGTGAAGCGCTTGACTGTGGAGAACAAATCAATTTCTGAAATGTCCAAGTCACTCAAATCCACGTCCGAGCAACTCAGGAGGGAAGTGGAGGAGTTTAGAGTCGATGCGGCGCGGAAAATGAGAGAAATCCCGTCGCTAAAGATGGCATTAGAGCGCACGCAAAGTGAACTCCAGGCATCTACGACTGAGCTCGCTCTACGAAACAAGTGTTTGAGCGCGAAGGATGAAACGATTGCCGTGTTGATGAACAAGCTCCGCGACGCCAATGAAGACATCGAACAGTGTAGTTTACGGTCGGAAAAGCGCAACTCTGAACCGAATACTGGATGTCCTAAAGCATTCCAACTAGAGGCGACTCGATACCGCGCCGCTTTCATCGCAGCCCGAGCAACGAATGAGACGTTCAGAGTTGAGACATTGAAGCAACTCGAAGCCACGAAAAAGAAACTTCTACAAGAGCGTCTCAACGTCAAGCTTCTCGAAACCGAAAATCGTACGCTCAAGGAAAGCCGCGAGTTGACGGACAAATCGGTCGAAAACTTGGTTGAAAAAATCAAAGTCGACTTGGCGCACGATCTCAGCGAAGCGCTCTCGGCGGCGCGAGATCTCAGCACTGCCTCACAGCGGTGTGCAGATCGATGCTCGAAGGAGCCAGAGGCGAAGAAGGAAGCTAAAGATCCAAAGGCAAAGAAGGCGCCGGAACCCAAGGTGGAAGTTCCAGGAATGAAAAAGCCGCTCACTGCCTTCTTAGCGTTCGCGACGGACGAACGCCCGTCAGTCAAGGCGGAAAATCCAACCTTTAACTTCCGCGAAGTCGGCAAGGCGCTCGGCGAGCGGTGGGCCTCGCTCGATCCAGAACGCAAAGCCAAGTACAAGAGCGATTGGAAGACGGCGAACGAGGCGTACACTGCCGCGCTTGCAAAAGCTCGCGGACAATTTGGTAGCGTCCAGCGAATCGTCTAGCTAACCTTAGATAAACCGACGCCGTGAAATGAACGAAACGAGAAACCGCTCGCGGTCCAACCGCCGCGCTCGCCGCGCCGCGCCGCACACACCCACGCGCGAGCGGTGGTCATGACCGCGCGAACTCGCCCCCGCGCGCGTCCAACGCGTAAACGCGCGTTCCTCGAGTCGTGTGTGGTGCTCGCGTCGTGTGCGGTGCTGTGTACGCGCGCGTCGAGCGCGCGCGCGGAAGATCTTCAACGAGGATCGACTTCGAACTCCATCGGTCGTTCGCTCCTCGCGGGCTCGAAATACGATCGCGGCGACGACATCGCGCTGTTCGCGAACAAGGTTGGACCTTTTCACAATCCGAGTGAGGTGCGTGCGCGGTTTCGCGCGTCGACGTCGTAGTGGAAAAATCGAACGCGCGCGCGCGGCGAATTGATTAATCCAAACGCGACGACGCGGTCGAAATGTCTTGTGAATGCGCGCGAACGCGCGTCGAGGGAGATGCGGATGCGAACGTTAAGACTGACTCGAATTCGCTCGTCGCGCCCGGCTCGTTCGCGCAGACATATCAGTATTACGATTTCCCGTTTTGTCGCTCGCCCGAAGGCGTCAAGCGCGAGCGAACGGATTTGGGTGAAGTACTGGGTGGGGATAGGCTCGCCAAGTCTCCTTATGAGATAGAATTTGGCATCGATAAGGAGAATGTGGACTTGTGCACGCAGTTTTTAGAGCGGAAAGAGGTGGAGAAGTTTCGCCGGGCGGTGAAGAATGACTACTACTTTCAAATGTCGTTCGACGACTTGCCGATTTGGGGCTTCATCGGGAAAGTGGAGAAGATCATGCGCGGGGGGGCGGCGGCAGAGAACAGGTATTTCTTGTTCACGCACGTGCACTTTGAGATTTCGTACAACGAAGATCGAGTGATTGAGATCAACTTGAGTACGGATCCATTGAAGACGGTAGATATCACGGCGGACGAGGCGATGTCGATGCGGTTTTCTTATAGCGTGCATTGGAAACCGACGACGACGGCGTTTAAGGATAGAATGGATAAGTACTCGCGGTATTCTTTCTTACCCGAGCACCTGGAGATTCATTGGTTTAGCATCATCAACTCGTGCGTGACGGTTATTTTGATGATGGGCTTCTTAGCGTCAATTTTGTTGAGAGTGTTGAAGAATGACTTTGTCAAGTTTGCGCGAGACGAAGAAATGTTGGAGTCTCAAGAAGAGTCCGGTTGGAAGTATGTGCACGGCGATGTGTTCCGATTCCCGCGGGGCAGGTCGCTGTTCGCCGCCATAATAGGCACTGGAACGCAACTCTTCTTTCTCGTCATCTTCGTCTTCATGTTGGCCCTCGTTGGCGCGTTTTACCCGTACAGCATGGGTGCAGTCACCGCGGCATGTTTGATCATGTACTCGCTCACCGCAGGCATCGCAGGCTACGTCTCGGCGAATACGTACAGACAAATGGGTGGTGAAAACTGGGTGCGAAACGTGCTGTTGACGTGCGTCTTGTTTTGCGGCCCGCTCGGCGTGTTGTTCTCGTTTTTGAACACCGTCGCCATCGCGTACAGGAGCACGGCGGCGTTACCTTTCGGTACCATCGTACTCATCGTCTTGCTTTGGGCCATCGTCACCATTCCTCTCACCATCGTCGGAGGCATAGCCGGTAAAAACGCCAAGGCAGAGTTCAACGCGCCGGTGCGAACAACGAAGTATCCGCGCGACATCCCAGCGCTGCCATGGTACCGCGCGACGATTCCGCAGATGTGCATCGCGAGCTTCTTGCCATTCAGCGCTATTTACATCGAGTTGTTCTACATTTTCGCTTCGGTTTGGGGACACAAGGTGTACACGATTTATAGCGTACTCTTCGTCGTCTTCGTCATTCTCATCCTCGTCACGGCGTTTATGACGATTTCGCTGACGTACTTTCAGCTCACCGCGGAAGACCACGAATGGTGGTGGCGTTCGGTGCTGTGCGGTGGCAGTACCGCGATCGCGATCTTCGGTTACGCGTTCTATTATTATCATTTGCGAAGCGACATGACGGGCTTTTTGCAGAGCACGTACTACTTCGGATACATGGCCATTATTTGTTACGGTTGGTTTTTGTTGCTCGGCACCGTCGGGCACAAGGCGAGCCTGCTCTTCGTGCGTCACATTTACCGAGCGATCAAGTGCGATTAGATGATGATTTAGAATGAAACTCCAGTGTACAATATTATATTCAAGCGAGAGCTGCTTCACGCACCTTTTTCCTCTGCGAGCGCCGACACGGCGGCGAGCGCGGAAATTGCCGCCGTCTCCACGCGTAAACGCAACGACCCTAAACCAACCGGCCGTGCGCCCGCCGCGATCATCGCCTTCAACTCTTCGTCCGTAAAATCTCCCTCGGGCCCGATGACGATCCGTCCCGAGCGCAAGTCTAGTCCCGAAGCGCGCGCGACGTCGGCGATGGGCGGCGCGCCCGCCGCCGCGAGCAACGTCAACCGCTCGCCACAATCTTTCGCGATTTCTTCGCAAAGCGCCTCGACACCGATCGGCGGCGCAACCTGTAAGCCGTACACGCGCAAGCTTTGTTTACTCGCCGCGTGCGCGACGCGCCCCCACCGACCCTCGCGCCCGCTCGCCGTCGAGCCGTCGTCGTCGCCGCCGCTCGCGCGTCGATTCCCCGACCGCTTCTTATCCCCGTCCCTATCCCCACCCCCGATCGCCCCCGATCGCGTCGTCAACAACGGTACGAGCGTGCGCGCGCCGAGTTCCGCGCACTTTTCGACCAACCAGTCCCCTCGTCCGCCCTTTAATCCGCCGAACGCGCTCGCGACGTCCCAAGCCGTCCCGCTCCCGAGCGCGTCCGCCACCATCTCCTCCACCTCCACCGTCGCCCCCACGCCGTCCACGGCGCACAGCCTCGCGATGCCGAGCGTCCCTCGACCGTCGCACACTTCCAAACGATCGCCCGGTTTCAACCGAAGCGCCTTGGTGGCGTGTCGCGTCTCCTCGCGCGAGAGCGTCACCGCGGCGCCGCGCGCAAAGTCCGCGTCCACGTAGAACCGGTGAAGAGACGGCGCGTGCAGGCGCGCGAGATCATCGTTCGTCGCGCGCGTCGCGCCGCCGCGCGCGGCGACGGTCGACGCGGGCGCGAGCCGGTGTTTTCCGAGGCGAGAAAAAGTGCACTTTTGTCCCGAAGCGCGCGCGCCGCCGGCAATTTTCACGCGCGCGCGGGCGTCGCGCGCGCACGCGCGGGCGAGCGCGATGGCGCGCGTCACTTCGCGCGTCGCGAGCGAGCGCGACATGGCGAGTCGGCGTGTGGTGGCGCGGTAGTGTTACAAACGCGCGCGCGGCGGTTGGAGTCGGACTCGGCCGAGCGCGACTAAAAGAAGCGACCGGCCAAGACGACGACCAAGACGGCGACGACGACGGAGGAATTCGTGCGCACGAAATCCACGGCTTCGTTGGCGCGATTGGTGGCGATCGTGGCGCCGGCGCCGACGGCGATGCCGAGGAGGAATAAAAAGTAGGCGGACCAGTCCGGGAGCTCGCGACCGGCGATGAAGGTGCCGTGGGGCGGCGGACACGCGAGGTCGCCGCGCTTGAAGCCGGTGCCGAGGAGAGAGAGCTGAAATCTTGGAATGATGTGCGCGCAAAGCGCGGATTCTTTGATTTCGGCGGTGGCGAGCGCGTGGCGGGCGCTGACAGTGGTGTAGTGGTTCATGAGCGTGTGCACGATGCCCGTGGTGACGTGTTCGGTGAGATTGAAGCGCGTCGACGGCTCTTCGACAAAGTCGTCGTCGCCTTCGTACTGCACCGCGGACCAAGCGCCAGAGATTGAATCGGTGAACTTGTCGAGCGAATCCAAAAGCGCGAACCGACGCTTCTTCTCTACGATGAGGGCGTCGATTTTCGCCGTCGACGCTAAATAATCGCTCAGGCGCGCGGCGCAGCGGTTGACGCGCTTCTCCGAAAGCTTCATCTTTTCTTCCATGTCTTGGCACAAAATTTTACCATCCGACGTGTCCATGTTCGCGTCGTACGAGCACAAGCTTTTCGCTTCGGTGCTCAAACCTTGAAGCTCGCCCAAGACGGCGTTCATGGCGTTGACGACGTCCAACATATCGCTCGTCGAATCCAACAGCGTCGGCCCGCGCACGAACGCTTCCATTCGATCCGACATCAATCCCACCGCGACGCCTCCGTGATTACTTCTCAGCTCCTCGAACGCGTGCCCGATCGACGTCTTCAAGCGCGAAAGCTCCATCTCTAACATCGTCAAGTCGTCCCCGGCGCCTCCCGCCGCGCGCTTCGCTCGCGCCCTTTTCAACTTTTCCAGCACTTCCAAGAACCGTTTCAGCGCCCCATCCGCGCGCGACACCATCATCGTCCGTTCTTCCTTGCACCGCGTCTTCCACGCTCGATTCATTTCGCGTTTACATTTCGTCTTCGCCTGCGCTCGCGTGTCCTGTTCGCCGCACAGCGACCGCGCGTGTCTCTTGCACGCCTTCGACTCCTCGCGCAGCGCGTCGCACACGTCCGCGCGGTATCGACACCCGATCACTCGCACTCCCGTCAGGTTCACCGGCGCGCGGAACGGCGCCGCGTTCAGCGGCGCCGCGCACCGCTCGCACTCGACGTCTTCGGGACACCGCAAGCCGTTGGTGTTGAACACGCCCGAGGCGTTCACGCTCGCGCGTCGCGCCCCCTCCGCGTCGCGCGCCATCGCTGCGTTCGACAGGTAGCGTTCGCGCGCCGTCAGTCCGATATCGCGCCGTCGCGTTTCGCCGCTCTCGCGCGCGTCGACGCGCATTCGCTCGACGCGCGCGTTCCCCACGATCGTTCCCTCCGCGCGCGCGCGCGCCGTCGTCGAGCCGCCGCGACGCGTCGCGACGAGCGCCCTACGTCACGCACCCAAGCCGCACGCGAGCGCGAGCGCGAGCGCGCGTCGAACCGACCGACCGCGCATCGCCGCCGCCGCGAGTCGCGCTCTGCCGCGCGCCGACGCCGACGCGCGCGAAACGAATCGAAACGCGCGCTCGAGGCAAAGATACAGAGATACAAAAAATACAAATCAAAATCCATCGTCGCTCGCGCCTGATCCCGCGCGCACGGTCACCGTGACGCCGCTCGCGTACGCCGCGTCGACGTCCGCGTCGTCCCGCTCGACCGCGTCCCCGACCCCATTCGCCGCGCGTTCGCCCTCGTCGTCCACCAAACCGAGCGCGACGCGCTCCGCGTCCCTCCGCGCCTTCCTCGCCGCGATTCGCTCGCGTCGCGCGCGCTGCTCGGCGTCGTGCTGCGCTTGCTTTCGTCGTCCAACCTTGCGCTTGCGGTACCCGGTGACCCAATCTTTACGCTTCGCGTCGTCGAACGTCGCCTCGCCGAACGCCGTCGTCGCGCTCTTGTGTCGCGCGACGCCGCGTTTGTCGCGCTTGGCCGCGCCCGTGCCGCTCTTCGGTCGCTGATGGCGCTTCTTGGGCGAATCTTTCGGTTTCGGTTTCATTTCGGCGCGCCGTAGAGTGGCGACGGCGCGCCGTTCGCGCGCGCGATTCGACCGCGCGGCGCGGCGTCGCGCGCGCCGCGATCGCGCGCGCGCGTCCGAGTCGGTCTCGCGCGCGTCGCGCGTCCGCGCGCCGTCGATACCGCCCGAGAGCGACGACGCGCCGACCGATGACGACGACGCGCGCGACGCGCGCGCGACCGAGCGCGAGCGACGGCGAGGAGGTGCTCGAACTGCAGCGCGCGGTGAAGCGCATGCACACGGGACGCGCGCGCGAGGACGAGGACGAGGACGAGGCGCGCGCGGGCGCGTACGCCGAGGTGAACGCGATGCTTCGCGCGCTGCACTTTGAACGCGCGCGAAGGTTGGGAAAGGGGACTCCGGCGGGCGAGACGACGGTGGGGGACGGCGCGACGGGGTAGCGTAGACTGGGTGTAAAATAATCAACGCGCGCTGTAGACGCGGACGCGACGCGACGCGACGCGAGACGGGCTTCGTCGTCGAGGCGTCATCGAGGCGTCGACGACGCGTCGACGACGATCGGGGAATCGACCCAATCGGACGCGCTGATGGGTTTGGGTGATTCCGCGGTCGGGGGTGAGAGCGGCGCGCGCGGCGAATTGTCCGCGGACGTCGCGTTGGAGCTGCGCGGCGACCTCGGCGGTCGCGACCGTTTGGGATTCGGCGCGGGCGCGGTGTTGACGCGCAAATTCGCCATGCGAAGCGATTTGGCGCGCTGTTGCGAGTCGTGCTGCGCTTGCATGGCGTGCGCCAGCGCGGCGCGATCCTTGCCGTCCATGTCTACCGACCTTTCGTCGTCGTCGCCGTCGCCGAACGCGCTGCCGATTTCGCTGCCGAAATCTTCGTGCGACGGCGCGTGCGATCCAAAGTTGACGTGCGACGGCGCGTGATTTTCCGACATCACGCTCGTCGCATCGCTCTGCGCGTACTCACTAAAGTTCTCGAGATCGAAATTGTGATCTCGCATGTTTTTGTACTTTTTGATAGCCTTTTGCATCTCCTTCGCGTTCGTCAACGCCGGGACGTCGAGGCTGACGGGTTGGACGTCGTCCTCGTCGCCGACGCTAAACGCCTCGGGCGTTCGTTTCCCACTTTCCACGTCAAACGCGGGGACAGTACTCGTACCGTACATGTCGCTCGCTTTCGTGCGTCGCGACTTCGATGAGAGAGACATATTGATCCGTCGAGGCGGCGCCAACGTCGCCGCCGCCGTCGTAGACGACAGTAACCCCGCGCGCTCTTCGACGCTCGACGTCTTGGCGCGACGGTAGCGCTCGCTACTTCTCGGACCGCACTTGTCATCCCAGCTTCCCGCGGCGACGTACACGCAGCACGCCGCGATGCCGAACCCAATCACGGAAACGAGTGAAATCGTCCCCGCCCCTGACCCGCCCGTCGGGGCCCACTTCATGAGTTCGATCGACGCGCGAATCGTGGCGACGACGAAGGTCATCTCGAAGACGATTTGCCAAATCTCACTCTTCGAGCAAGAAGTCTCGTCGGCGCCGCGATCGGCTTCGCTCAGCTCGACGTCGCCATTTCCAAGCTTTGGCGTGCGCAGCTGACTCACGGGGGCGTCGAAGGAAGGGTAGGTGGAACCGAAAATGCCGCGCACGTATCCGGTGCAGTACACGGCGATCATGCCGAGCGACACGCACGCGTGCGGGCCGATCCAGCTCAGTTTGCGCAACGTCGTGCGCATCGTGCTCATCGCCTCGCCCGTGGACTTCGGGGGCGAGCGAACTTTACCTTCTACATCAGACATCGCGAACGTATCCGCCTTCAAGATGAGCAACAGGGGTAAAAAGTACAACCAAACGGCGCCGTGAATCACGTGCTGGGCGTTGCCGAGCCACATGCCGTCGAAAATGAGCTCAGGGAGGAGTAATAACCACACGGCGAGGAGCAACCATTGCGCCGGACGCACGATTGTGAGCGCAAACCACAAGCGAGCGACGTTCCCGTTCAAAACCCCGATACCAATGTCCGAGGTCACGCCGTTGAACGAATTGAACAACACGCTAGCCAAGTGTCGCTTGGCTAAATACGCCCACGCCCACATCCATCGTAACTGTTGACTTTTGTACGCGCTTAGCGTCGACGGGAGCTCGGTTTCTATGATGACGTTCGCCGCCGCTTTCCCACTGTACCCAGCCATGCGCGTGCGCATGGACATATCCGTCCCTTCCAGCGCGAGCATGTTTACGTCCCAACCACCGACGCCGCGAAGCGCGGCGGCGCTCCAAATCGCCCCGCTTCCCGCCCGCAGCGCGCACCCAAACGCGCGAATGTACGCCCTGTTCCCTACAATCGCGTCTGCTTCCATCTTAAACGCCTGATGCATCGTCAAGAAGTTTTGCGACGAATTCTTAAACGTCACGTCTGGCTGCACCACCGCCACCTCGCTCCTTCGCTCGCCTCGCTCGTCGTAGAAATACGGCACAATCTTCGCTAAATAATCCTCCTCAACCACCGCGTCGGCGTCTAAAACCACAATCAAATCGGCCGAAGTCCGCGCGCGACCGTACTCCAACGCCGCCGCCTTCGTCTGTCTCGATTTCCCTCTCAGCACCGCGCTCGCTCGCAGCGCGTTGCACACCACCCCGCGTTCCCGCCACTCCGCGCACGCGTCGTCCACCACATCCTCCGTCCCGTCCGAGCTATCGTCCAAGACCTGTATCTCTATCAAATCTTGCGGCCAATGCAGCAGACACGCCGCGTCGATCGCCCGTTTCGCGCACGCCGGCTCGTTGTACATCGGCAACTGCACGCACACGTACGGCGGCGCCTCTCGCGCCGGCGGCTTTTCCTTCACCTTGCCCCTTTTGCTCCCCAGCGCGCGCTCGACGATCGTCAGCGACGCGTACAGCGTGAACACCATCATCGGTGCGTGCGTGAGCGCGAGCGCGAGGAACCATCCCGTGGTTTCGACGGCTTCCACGGCGCCATCCATCGGGGCGTCCATGATTGGTGTTGAGAATCGGCGCGATTATCCGACGTCCGCGCGTCGCGCCGAGGCGTCCTCGCGACCGCGCGGCGACCGAACGCGATGCGCGCGACGCGCGTGCGCGTCGCGGCGATCGCGCGCGGTCAGAACGCGCGCGCGCGCGTGGATGTGCGGCGCATCGGGGTCGCCGCGTTTTTGCTTTTTTCGCGGGTCTGGCTGCGCGGTGACACCGGGCTAGCTAGTGTGATGACATCGGGCTACTTAGACGCTCGAGGACGCTGCGGCGTCGGACGCGAGGCGCGCGTCGACGCGTCGACGACGCACGCGCTTGAGGACGCGCGCCCTGCGTTCCCACTCGGCGACGTCCCACGGAAAGCCGAGCGGCGAGAGCCGGTCGAGCTGTCGAACGCGACTTCTCGCCGCGCCCTCGGACGTGCCGGGACGCTGAAATCGCCAGTGTCTGATCTGCGCCACCGCGCTGCCGAGTTCGAAACCGACGAGGTCTCTGCGAACGACGACGGGACGGGCGACGCCGAACGGACACGGCATCTTGGCCGGCACCGCGTACGCGCTGGGCACGTTCAGGTGCCCGTGCACTTGCTCGTAAAGCTGCAGCGCCGGAATCAAGCGCTGCGACCAATTGAATTCCTCGTCGTCCCACACGAATTGCATCTTCGACAGCGCGTCGAAACGATCGGGTCGCCCCTCGACGAACGTTCCCTTGGCTCGAATATCGTTGACGCGCTTTCCGAGCGCGAATCCCATGTTGTACGTCTTCAGCGCGTTCGCGCTCGAATACGCCCGCGCGTCCCGCGGCGTCTCGTACGCCATCGGCACGTTCCCGTGTCCGTGTTCCTTGATGTAATACCTCAAACACGGGATGATTTGCTTATAAAACACCCAATCCTCGCCGTCCCACGCAAACGTCTCCCCAGTCGCCTCGCCGACGGCGTCCAGCGCCTTCATCCTCTCCTCGCTCCCCTTCACGAAGTCTCCTCGGTAGCGAATCCGATCCACTCGATTTCCGAGCTTCATTCCCGCGATCGCCGCCGGCGCGTCGCTCGGGACGACGTACGCGCGCGGCACGTTCAGGTGTCCTCGCTCGGCGTAAAACGCGCGCAGCGCCGGCAGCACCTCCTCCTCGAACACCACGCGCGAGCGCGCCGCCTCGGCCTCGCGCGCGTCGTCGCCGATCGCGCGTCGCGCGTCGTCGACCGCGCGTCGCCGTCCGGCGTCTCGCGCGTCGCGCGCGGCGCGCGTTCCCATCGCGACGCCGCGACGACCGACCGCGAATTCGAGCGCGCGCGCATAGATTCCATCGCACCGCGTCGCGCGCGCGATCCGCGACGCCGCGCGGCGCGCCATCGCGCGCGCGAACATCGCGCGCGATATCCGGCGGCGCGCGCGACGCGCGAGGACGCGCGCGCGCGGGGTGATGCGGGCGAGCGCGTCGAGGCATCGGGACACCGGGACCGCACTCTCGCGCGCGATGCTCGCGCGCGCGGCGCGCCTCGCGCTCGGGCGCGGCGCGCGCGGATTGTGCGAGAGTAAACCCGTCGTCGCGCACGCGCGGATGGCGTCGAAACGACCGCGAGGCGTCGCGGCGGTGGCTCGAACGAGGGATTTGGATTCGGTTTCGACGCGCGCGACGTCGCGAGTCGGCGCGTCGGCGCCGCGCGCGAGACGAGGGATGAGCGCGGCGCGAGGGATGAATTACGACGACGAACTGTACGACGACGACGACGACGACGACGACCCGTGGGCGGACGAGGAAGACGACGACGACGACGACGACGACGCGTTCGGCGACGACGGAGACGGGACGACGAAATCGTCGAAAGACGCGCTGCGCGGAATCGCGGGACCGAGGATACGGGACGAGTTACCGCTACCGCCGAAGGGGGCGGACACGACGCCGCCGCGACCGGTGACGAAGGACGACGTCGTCGTCTCCTTCGCGCGATCGGGCGGCGCGGGGGGGCAAAACGTGAATAAAGTGAATACTAAAGTCGATATGCGGTTGGACGTCGCCGGGGCGGTCGCCGCGGGGTGGTTGCCGCAGTGGTGCGCGGATCGACTCGTCGTGGCGGAGAAGAATCGCGTCAACTCAAACGGCGAGCTCGTGGTAAACAGCACGCGTCACCGCACGCAGAGTCAAAACGTAGACGACGCGCTAGAAAAGCTTCAGAGTTACATAAATCGCGCCGCCAAGCTCCCGGGGAGTCAATCGGACAAGCGGAAGAAGAAGAAACTTCAAGCCAACGTGGAGAAGGGCAACCGACGGCGCTTACAAGACAAGAAACAGACCTCGCAAAAGAAAACGGAGCGACGGTCGGGGAAGAACATCAAGAACTTCGACGATTATTGAGACCGATCGTCGCTCGGGGAAGACCGTCGAGAACGAGTAGTAATTAAACCCGTCGCCATCCGAACGCGCGTTTTCACCGCGTTCGACCGCCGCGCGCGTCGCGCTTCGACGATTACTGAGTAGTGATTAAACCATTAAACCCATCACCATCCGAACGCGCGTTTTCGCCGCGTTCGACCGCCGCGCGCGTCGCGCCGACCTCCGACGCGCGCGCACCGCGGAAAAAGTGCCTCCTGGATAATAAAGCCCCGTCCATCTTATCGCGTCCCCGCACACGCTCGCGCGCGATCGCGCGCGCGACGCGACGCGCGACGCGCGCGAACGCGGCGAACGCGCGCGCATCGTTTCGTCCCGACGAATCGCGTCGAGACGCGCGCGCGGGGCGTCGCGCGGGGCGCGCGCGCGAAAGGTTGACCTTTGGGACGCTGAGTCAGCGCGCGCGTCGACGCCGCGCGCCGCGCGCGTGAGCCTCGGCGCGCGTCGAGCGCGCGTCGACGCTCGCGGGGCGATCGTTCGGTGCGGTCGACGGCACGCGCGCGGCGACGATGACGCGCGCGGGGGCGGTGGAGCTCGAAGACAGCGCGGAGACGCTTGGGGACGCGCCGCGGCGGCGGCGGCGGCGGTCGAGGGACGGGAAACCGGCGCAGGAGGAGACGAGCGCGGCGAACGATGGGGACGGTGCGGTCGCGACTTTGAGTTGGTGCGAAAGCGCGTGCGCGACGGTGGTCGGTGCGCTCGCGGTGCGCGTGCGAAAGGGAGAGATGTCCCCGAGGACGATGTCGCTGTGCGTGTTGGCCATGTGGGCGACTTCGTTGGCGTACAAGGCGCTGTTCATAGGGTTGCGGATGGATAAGAATACGCCGCCGCCGGATCGCGTGGCGTTGTTGGCGATTAAGTTGTTCTTTAGCTTGATGCGCTGGGCGCTGGGCGCCGCGCTGGGCGCGCCGGTGTGGACGCTGAAAGCGTTTTACTCGGGCGTCACGCGTCGAGCGGTGGACCGAGGATGGGACGACGATCTCGTGGCGAACGAAGGGCCGAGGGACTTAGCCGATGACGTGCGTGATAGGGTGACGAATAAGGATTACGAAGCATTTGCGACTGCGGTGGCGAACGATGAGGGTGACTGGGACGTCATCGCCAGCGGACGCGTGGGATGCTGCACGTACAGGATGCTTCGCGGCGTCTCCGCCGAGGACAAGCGCATGATGAAGAAGGGACTCGCGAAATTCCGCACGGAAGTCTTAGCGGCTGGGGTACCCGCGGAAATATTGTTCCACGCACAGACGGATTTGTTGGGACGTCAAGCGTGGGATAGCACGACGTTGCACCCGACGTGCGTTGAACGCGAAGACGCCGAGAACAAGGAGAAGGAGTTCACCGCGCAAGACGTGGTGTATTGGCGGTTGAAATACCCTCGTCTCATGGCACCTCGTGATTATCTCGTCTCTCGTCGGATGTGGTACGATAAGAAAAATGAGATGGCGACATGCATTTGTCGCGACGCGTTGGAATCACCGTCCGCGGTTTCGGCGAAGAACAAGCTTCAACAGATGATGGGAGCGCGCGCGGTGGACGTCAAATCCATGTACAGCGCCATCATGGTGGGAAAGAACGACGAAGTCAAAGGCAGTCAGTACGTATCCATTTATTACGAAGATCCCGGCGTGCCACCGAGACTCGCTCACATGGCTGCGGCAAAAGGACTAGACGCATACATGGCGACGTTCAATAGCGAGTTGCAGCGTCGCGTGCGAGCGAATGCTCGCATGAAGAATTACGACGCCATTCCCGCGCCGCCGGCGACGCGCGAGGTGCCGCACACGAGATCATTCCGAACCGGACGAACGAGTGTGCCGCAGAGCGACGATGAAGGCGAAGATGCGACAGCGGGATCGCGCGCGGGGTCGCCTCCACTCGACGCCGAGGACGTCGCCAACAAGCTTCACTTTGCTCCGACAGATTCCAGTCGCGAGTATCTCTTCAGTGGACGAAATGGGTTGAATAAACGCCAAAGAGTCCGAAGGAGGATCGGCAAAGTGTTGAAGCTGCTTGTTGAACTCGTTGACCCGAACTCCGCGTCAGCGGCGTCTCGACGGGCGACGGAATCGAGCGACGATGAATCCTTCGACGAGCGCACCGCCGAACGCCCGCAAGGTCGAAAACGGAAATGGGCTAGGCGAATCGCGTTCGGCGCGCTCGTGTGGATAGGTAAGTTTACCGACGGTTGACAACGCACGATCACAAGCATCCATTCATCGATTCTTTTGTAAATTACATTCATTCAAGAAACTTGCTACGCTCTCATGAGATCGAATGCTCTTTGAATATTCGGCGCAATGGAGGATTTGTTGCCGAATAAAAATTGTAAATGTCCGCCGTCGAAGTCTTCGCGAATGAACCCTTCAGCGGTCGTCACCATAGTTTGTAGTGTCTTCGCGATCGCATCTCCAGCGCCGACGAAGCGGTCTTCCCTCGCGGTCACGCAAACCGCGCCCTTTACGGCGTTTTCGACGACGAGATTACTCATGTCCAATTCTTTCAACACGTCGAGCAAAATAGTTTTACACCGTTCCTTACTCATGGGTGTCGCCCCGTCCGCCTCGCCCGATTCACAAAGCACTTCCCAAGCTAATCTAGTTTCGATGCTTCCTTCGACGTACGGCGTGCAATCGTTCGCGGCGGCAACACAACAGACGACGACGTTGTTCTCGGCATCGCCGCGCGCCTTGGCCATCGCCAGCGCGGTCAACGCGCTCATCGTCCCGCCCAGCGACACCCCAGCCAAGCACAAATCGACGCTCGCGTGCCCGTCTCGTTTCGCTTCTTCATCCAACGCCATACAAAGCATCATCATCTCCACCGGCGTCACACTCAGCTGAATCTTCGCGTCGGCGACGCTTCGCAATACGTGTCGCCACTGCCTCGCCGGCTTGCGCTCGCCGTAATACGCGATGGTCGGTATCACGCACTCCACACCATTCGTCAGTAACTCTCGCGCGATCGATCGTCTGAACCATTCGTCTACGTCTCCCGTGCACGGAAGCAGCACCGCGACGCGCTTCACCGCGCTCGCCGCACCATCCGTCCCGCTCGCCGGCGGCGCTCCCGGACGCAAACGCGCGAAACGCACCAAACGCGACTCCTCCGGCAACGCATCCGCGAACGGACTCACAAAAGTCGCGTCTTGGCGCACGACGCCATCGCCGTAATCTGCGTCCACCGAAGGCGGCGCCCACGCGATATCACACGCGGTGTCGCGACGTAAAGTCGCGTCGACGGGCGGCTTTGACTTTGAGTGGAAATACGTCAAAGACTGCGCGTGCACGTCGCGGGCGAGGTCCAAATTCCCCCAAGCGTCCACCGCGAAGAAGCGCTTATCGCTACGCTTCGGCGTGAGTCGGCCGACGAACTCGAAGATGTGGTCGAGGATCGCGGGCATCCTCGACGGCGCGAGGCGCGGTGTGACGCCGACGGGACAGTTGGGACGGCGGCTACGTTTGACTAAATGTGGGCTAGAAACTAAGACGCGGCGCGCGCCTCGAACTCGGTTACGCCGACGTGTTCGATGACGCCACCGCCCAAGCACACGTCGCCGTCGTAGAGCACCAAAGCCTGACCTGGGGTGACGGCGCGTTCGGGACGGTCGAACGTCGCGCGGAGCGGCGACGATTCGACGCGCGGGACGAACGAGGAAGAAAACCTCGATTTCGTGAACGTCTCGTCGTCGCTCGCGACCGATAGCGTCACTGGAGTGAGTGACGAGGCGTAGCGCGTTTTCGCGAGCAGGCGAACGGAACTCGATCCGTCGTCGCTCGTAGGCCGTCGATTGGAAATCCAAAACTCATCCGCCAACGCGGCGCGAGTGGAATACAACGCGTCGTGCTCAGCACCTTTTGCGACGTACACGACGTTTGCGGCGACGTTCTTCCCGACGACAAACCAAGGTTTTGGCGCACCGCCTATTTTTGCGCGCTGTCCGACGGTGTACGACGCCAATCCTCGATGCGGCGCCGCGCCCGGCACCGGACGCGCCGTCTCCGCGTCCACGAACGCGCCCTCGCTTGGCGTGATGTACTCACCGATAAACTCCCCGAACGGCCTGCGACCGATGAAACAGATCCCCGCGCTCGATCGTCTATCGGCGCAATCGAACCCGAGAATCCGCGCCGCCTCGCGCGTCTCTGACTTGAACACCGCGCCGAGCGGAAAGCACGCGCTTCGCAACGCCTCGCCGCGCACCGACGCCAAAAAGTACGACTGATCCTTCGTCTGATCGATCCCTCGCAGTAACCGCGGCGGCGCGCCCTCGTCGACGTCTCGATCGATCCTCGCGTAGTGCCCGGTGGCGAGATACCGCCCTCCCAAATCCTCCATCGCCCGTCTCAACAACGCGCCAAACTTTACGCGGCGGTTACACTCCAAATCCGGGTTCGGCGTCGCCCCGCTCTCGAACGCCTCGACGTACGGTTCGAACACCTCGTGCCAGTACTCTCTCGTGAAATCGCTTTCGATAAATCTCAGATTCAATTTTTCTGCGATCGCTCTCGCCGACTTCAGGTCGTCCCTGTGCGAGCAATCCGTCGCCGCGTCCTCGTCCCGGGCGTCCCAGTTTCTCATGAGCGTCGCCGTCGCGCGCGCGCCGCACCGCTCGAGCGCCCACGCGGCGACGGCGCTGTCGACGCCTCCGGACAGTCCGACGACGTACTCTTCGCGCGCGCCCGCCGTCGCGGCCTCGGAACGCGCCGGCATCGACGCGTGCACGCGAGAGAGGATCGAATCGAGCAGCGCGACGTCGCGCGGTTTCAACTTTCCGAGCGCGCGCGGGGACGCGCGCATGGCGAGCGCGCGGTCAGGGCGCGGCGGGCGGTGCGCGCGCGCGCGAAGCGACGGCGCGGCGCGGCGCGGTGTGGTGATGTTCATCTTTCATAACACGTGCTATGGTTGCTTCGCGTTTAAAACGTCGCGGAACTATATGTGTGTGGCGGGCGCGGCGAGCGGCGCGCTCGCTTACGCCACGGTGAACGAGTTCATCGCGGTGCGAAGGTCGCGCTCTTGACCCTTGAACCAACGCTTGTCACCCGATTGAAGCTTCATGATGTACAAGTTCCCATCACTCACGGTGGCGGTGATCAACTGGTGGCGTCCGCCTTCGTCGCCGTCCGCGGTGCGCGTGAGAATTTCGTATTGGTAGTACGTCTTGCCCTTGTTTTCGCGCGTGTACACGTCGAGCACGGCGGCGGTGGAAACCTTGTTCGCCGCGAACCCCCCTTCGGAGCGGGTTTGCCCGGCGTACGATTGCACGCCCAATAAGTACCCAAGCTTTTCCAAGAATTGCTCCGGCTTGCCGTACGCGTCGATGCTCCCCTTTTCGGCTTTTTCGGCGATTACGGAAATGTTCGTCACTTGGTCAAAGTTATCCTCGAAATAGCACTCCGTGTTCGGGAACGGGCGTTCCTTGCTCGGGTTGTACTTGCTCGGCAACAAGAACGCGAAGCCGTCGCCGGCGTACGGGACGAAACCTGCATTCGCGAAAGTAGCGCGTCTCGTCAGTCTCACTGTTTACCCACACGACATCACGACCCATCGGTCCCGGATCACGCGCGAATCGTATCTCGGGTCGATACGATCGCTCGCGCCTCGCGCGCGCCTCGCGCGCGCCTCGCGCCTCGCGCGCGCACGCACCGGTCGGGTTCGACACGCCGCCGAAAACGTTCGCCGAGTCACCGTACGCCGCGAACGCCGGCTTGGACATCGCGAGCGTCGTCGCGCCCTGCGTTCGATGAAACCGCACGCCGCGCGATCGTCAGTATCTCGTTGGATGATGTCGCGCGCGTCGCGTCCTCGACGCGTCGCGCGCGCGTCTCTCCGCGCCCTCGCGCGCCGGTTCGCTCGACAATAATTCCGCGCGTCGTCCCGCGTCGTCCCGCGTCGTCCCGCGCGTCGCGCGTCGCGCGCGGGCGCGCGCATCGCGCGCTCGATCGCGTCGTCGCGTTCGGACGCACCGCGATGAGACTCATGGCTTCGCGACGGCTCGACGCGTCGGGCGCCTGCGCGGCGACCTTGACGGCGCCTCGGCGCGATTGCGATTTACGCGTCGCCTTGACGTTCGCCTTGACGGCGGCGTGCGCGAGGGTGGTGGAGAGCGTGAACATCGTGCGCGCGGGAGTGTCGCGATCGCGCGCGCGCGCCCCGATCGCGATGCCCCATCGCGGCGGGGCAAACAGTGCGAACCGTGCGGTCGGTCGCGCGGGTGTATGCGCAAACAGTCCGGACGAGAGGTCGGTCGGACTCGGCGCACGCGCGCGTCGCGCGCGTCGCGTCAGAGCGCGGCGCGGCGATGTCGCGCGCGCTCGCGAGGCGCGCGCGGGAGGCGGCGACGCGCGCGACGCGCGCCGTGGGGCCGACCCGCGCGACGCCCGGCGCGACGCTCGGACGCGCGCGGGAGGTGGCGACGCGCGGTGACGACGGCGACGGGCGAAACGGCGACGGCGACGGCGACGAGGGCGCGCGGCGACGGTTCTCGGCGCGACGAATCGTCAAGGGGATCGCGCGAGACGCGCTGTGCGACGCGGTGGCGGACGTGGACAGTTACGCGGCGTTCGTGCCGTTCTGCGCGGGGGCGAGGCGGACGCCGCGAGAGCGATGGGGACGCGAACGCGAACGCGAGGCGCTGGCGCGAGGGGAGGAATACTTTGAGGCGGATTTGGAGATTGGGTTTAAATTATTCAACGAGAAGTACACGAGCGCGGTGACGTGCGCGCGACCGGAGCGCGTGACGGCGACGAGCGTGTCGAGCGGGTTGTTTCGGTCGATGACGACGACGTGGAAATTTTCGCCGCTCGACGACGACGAGGACGAAGACCCGGTCACGGGATTACCCGCCGAGGGCGTCATCGTGGATTTCGAGATTGATTTTGAAGTTAAAGATCCCATGCACGCCGCGGCGGTGAGCGTGGTCTTCGACGACGTCGCGAGGTCGCAGATTCAAGCGTTTGAAAAGCGGTGTCGACAGCTCGCGTTGCGCGGCGGACTCGAACGCGACGGCGATTAGACTAGACTCTCGCGACGCTCGAGCGCGCGCGTGTGACAATTTTAATAGCTATAGCGAGCGCACCGCGCGCGCGAGCTCAGTTCTCGTCGTCCTCGTCGTCCTCGTCGCCAGTCGTCGAGCGTTTCTTTTCGTCGACGAAGTGAATCGAGTAACTCCCCGTCGTCGCGTCCTTCTCCGCCTTGAAGTTATCCAAACTCAGCCCAAAGTTCCCGAGCAAAGAGTTCCCCAAATCCTTCATCTTATCCAACATCTCTCTCTTCATCTCTTCCCGTTTCCGCTCCACCACCGGCTTCAGTCGCCTCGTCTCGTCCCTCGCCGTCGCGTCCCTCGGCGCCAACGCGCGCGTCCTCTCCCAATCCTCCAGCGCCCCCTCCTCGTCCCCGAGCGCCTCCCTCGCGCGCGCCCGTCTCGCGTACGCCTTCGCGTACGTCCCATCGATCGCGATCGCCTCGTCGCAATCCCTCGCCGCGTCCTCGTATCGCTCCAGCTTCAACCAACACGCCGCGCGATTCGCCAGACACGTCGCCGCGTCCCCGTCGCCGCGCGCCGCGCCCGCCGCGTCCTCGCCCGCGTCCAAAGCGTCCTCGCGCGCGTCGCCGCGCCCATCGCCGCGCGCGCGCGTCAGCGCGTCCGTGTACGCGCGCGACGCCTCGGCGTACGCGCCCCGCGCGAACGCCGCGTTCCCATCGCGCCGCCGCGCCGCCGCGTCGCGCGCGTCGCCGCGCGCGTCGCGCGCGTCGCCGTCGTCGTCGCGCGCGTCCGTCGCGCCGCGCGCGTCGTCCGCGTCGACGAGCGCGACCATCGCGCGCGGCACTGTGCGGCGATGCGCGACGAATCCGATGATTCCGACGCCGCGCGCGCCGAGCGCCGCGCGCGCTCGCTCGCGCGGCACGCGGAGAGCGCGTGCGGGGACCTGACGGACGCCGACGCCGTCGACGCCGCGCTGCGCGTCGTGCGGGTGCGTCGAACGCGAATCGAAGCGCGCGAAAATGAAATGAAATCGTCGCGACGCGCGCGGAACGACGACGCGCGCGGAACGACGAACTTCGCGACTGACCGTAAACGCCGCGCTTTTTGTTTCGACGCGCAGACGGGCGCGCTGCACGACGCGCTGCGGTCGACGCGGGAGCTGATGCTGTCGCACGGACGCGCGGCGACGCTCGACGCGCCGGGGTCGACGTACGTCGTGCCGGAGAGCGCGCGACGACGGCTGGTGGAGGAGACGACGCGGGCGATGGAGGAATACGAACGCGCGACGTCGGCGCCGCTGCGAGTCGTGGCGCTGGGGCGGTCGGGGGTGGGGAAGAGTCACGTGCTGAACGGGCTGCTGCGGGAGCTGGCGAGTCGAGGCGACGCGCGAGGAAGGGTCGGAACTGGCGGCGCGAACGGGAAACTGACGCTGACGAAGATGCGAGATCACGATGAACGCGCGGAGGAGGCGGAGGAGGATAAAGCGCGAGCGATGGAGGACGATTGGGAGGACGAGGGGGGGGCGGCGTTGGACGCGAACGCGAGCGCGTTCGCGCCGCCGCCGCCGTTGGATCGAGACACGAGCGCGGCGGTGTACATGCCGAGACACATGCGAGGAAGAGAGATACGGGGGGATGCGTTCAAGGATTCGGAGGCGGACGCGATTCGCAAGGAAAAGCTCAAGGAGGCGGCGAAGAAGGCGCAGAAGAAGGGGCAGAAAGTCAAGCCGAGTTACGTCTTGTACAAGGAGCATCAGGAGGCGCGCGATAAGGAGGCGGCGAAGAAAGCGGCCGAGGAAGCGAAGCGTCAGAAGTACGACGCGGCGATCGCGGCGTATGAGATTCCGGTGCGAAAGAAGAAGTTCCCGCCGCCGCCCACGACGTTGAAGGATTTTTTGGAGAACGATCCCAGACTCAAAAATGCGAGACCGCCGCCGTTTTTGCTCCCAGAGGGTGATGTCATGGACACGACGTCCGTGGCGTCTTCTGTGAGAACATCCGACGCCTTCAGAGTGAGTTTGGTGTACTTTAGCGAGGATGTCGTCAAGCAACACGTGCACGCGCTCCAGTACGCGGTGCGCCAAGCGCGGGCAATCGAATCGGCTCGCAAGGGCTTAGGCTTTTACGCCGAATCGTACGTGAAAAAGGAGCTCAAGGCTCGAGGTTTGGAAGAAACTACGCTTTTAGATTTTAGGACGAAGCCGAAGGAAGGGGAAGCGGTTCCAGACGATGGCTACGGATTACCGTCGGTGCTCAGGGTGGCGTGCGCCATGGTCGGGCTTGACCCGAACATATCGACGCTCGCTGACTTGGACGAGAGCGACGTGGCAATTCCAGCCGAGTATATCGAACGGTTAGGCAAGCGCGTTGAGTTCGAGTACAAAACCGACAGAAACAAAAACGGCAAACCTGACGAACCAATAGATTATACTGACGAACGTACGTTTCAGCGCGCTTTGAGAGCGACGAAGCACACCGTGTTCACTCAAACGCACATTCCATCGTCGTGTTGGGGGTTACTGCGTGAAGTCCGGATAGATATCCCAGTTCCACCGCAAAAGCGTGGTTTAGTTCTGATCGATGCGCCCGGTGCGGGCGATTCCGATCCCGCTCGAGACAGGCATCTCGTCGCCGCTTTGCGCAACGCTGCCGCCGTTATTTGCCTTGGCGACTCGCGTGAAGTCACGGGCGATATTGTGCGGTCGCTTCATAAAAGTGGATTTTTGCAGCAACTGGCGATTCGACCAGCAACTAGACGTTTCATAAATGCCGTTCAAGGTGATCGTATTTGGGGAAGCACAGCGACAACTTTGAAACGTGCGAGCGCATTGTTAAAGCGTAAACTCGGTAGAGATGTCAGCGTGGAAGAACTTGCAAAAGATTTCCCGCCAGTGGACGAAGAGATTCAATGGGCGATCGATCGAGTCATCAACGAAAACACAGTAGAGATAGCCACGGTCCGCCGCGCCGAGTTGCTGAAGATGTTGATGGATCAAACCGGAAGTGTTCGCGAGCTCAAGCAGACAGCCAACGCCGTAATTGCGGTAGCTTGGAAGTTCCTCGAGTTTCGTCTGTCTTGGGCCAAAGTTTTGGACCCTGAAAAGTTTGATGTGCAGAGTATCACCGGTCATGGTTCTTTGAACGCCACTCTGGAGGAGCTCAAGCGGGCAAGACAGTTGAAGGCGATGCGCCGCGTGACGCGACGAGTCCACGACGTACTCAAGGCTTTCTGCGTCGCCGCCGAACCGCTTTGTGCGCTTCCAACGTGTTCTGATGATTCTCTTCGTGGATTTTACGATGATATCGAGTTCAGATTAGGCGAAGGTGGCGCTTATGCGGCGAGAAGAGTGTATGAACTAGCGCACCAGTTTTGCACTCGCGTCATCGCGGTCTCGATGAAAGTAGCCATGGAGCCGCTTGATATTCATGCCATCAAGCACGGTCGCGCGGCAGTCGTGCGTGAGGTCTTGACGAAAAATTTAAGGCCTGAGGAACGCATCCATGACATTCGAACGCCAGCAGACGTGCGTGGATTTATCATCGAGGCGGTGGATTACTTTGGAAAGGTCTTGGAGGCAACTTTCTACTTCAACTTTAACGGAAAAAACACGCCGCAAAAGCCTCGAGGATTATTATTCCAAGTCTGTGAGAGTGTCAATGCTGCTTGGTGTCACTCTCTCGTCTCTGATCAAAGTACTGGCGAATTGATGTTTGGCGCTTTGGTGAAAAATCAGATTGCGAGTCTCGCAGGCCCCGAAGATGATCCGAAGCGCGCCATGATGCGAGCGCTCTTCAATTTAGCGCTAACTAAATTCAAGTTGAGCCCGGCGCATAGATATGCGTACATGAATTCAGCGAAAGTTGCTGGGGAGAGTACCACGCGTCTTTGGCTCGAATGTACGAAGAACATTCAAATCGAGATAAATCGACAACTCAAGTCAGTCACCGCTGGTTTGATGTGCGCCTTCCATCCGTTGGACGAGACCACTGAAGTGCCGCCACCGGAGGGTGTCAGGGCGATGATGACGGACGTGATTAACGCTATATCCCATACAGCGTGCACGATGAATGATCTCATCATCGAAAAGGCGACGAAAGAAATTGAGAAATTTTATACGCCCTACATTCTCATCGCGAGCGAAGACGCCATGCAAGCATGCTTGACGTGTATGAGTCCTTACGTGAAGAAACAAGTCATGCCGGAATTTAGAGCACGCGTTGCGAAACCTTCGATGTTCACTGTGATCTCGCCAGACGTGAAACTCGCGCATTCACACATGACGGTGACGAGTCTCATCCTTGGCTCAGAGGCTCGCGAGCCGCTCTCCAGGGCGGAAAAGGCAAAGAAGCTGATTGCGCTCTCAGAAATCGGTGCGCTTCCTTTCCAGTTGACGAAACCGCCCGTCTTAAGTCCGGCTATTACCGATGCGATCAAAGCTGCGGACGATGGTATCAATGTTGGTTTAGATGAATTCCCTCTACAGATACACATGCCCGCAGAAGCGCCCGCGGCGCCGGAGATGGAGGCGAATGAAGAAGAGTCAATCGAGGTGACGGAGCAACAAATCGTCCCCGTCGAGGAAGACGAAGATCAAATCGAACCCGTCGAGGAAGACGAAGATCAAATCGAACCCGTCGAGGAAGACGAAGATCAAATCGAACCCGTCGAGGAAGAAGAACAAATCACAGTCGGCGAGGAAGAAGAACAAACCACAGTCGGCGAGGAAGAAGAACAAATCACAGTCGGCGAGGAAGAACAAACCACAGTCATCGATGACCGAGAGGAATCGATCCAAGGTACCTTGGTGCCGGACGCCGACCCCGACGTCGATACGGACGAAATCGAGGTGCAGAGTCCGGCACCGATTATCAAGTCGACGAAGGGGAACGCTCAGATGGAGAAGGCGACTTCGCCGCAATCGAAGTCCTCAACCCCGATGAAGGATGTCCAAACACAGACGGAATACACTGCGTCAGCGAAACAGCCAACGGTATCGGCATCGCCGCGGCGCGAAATCGCCGTGCAGACGGACGACTTTGGTGAGTCTCCGCGGCGCGAAATTGCCGTGCAAACGTACGATTTTGACGAGCCTGAAACCGCCGTGCAAACGGAAGAAACCGCCGAGCGCACTTCATCGGAACCTTCTCCCACGACGCACGACGCATCGCCCGTGGAAAACCCACCGCCGCATTCCTCGTCCAAATCAGACCTCACCGCGACGACGACGACGACGACGACGAACGCTGGCGAGCGAACGAAGAAGCGCAAGATGATGTGCGCGAACGAGCTCCACGCCATGCCGAGCGTGGCCGCAAACGATCCGCTCACTTTGGCGGTGAATCCAGTTCCCGGTCCGCTCATCGCGCTCACGTCCAAGATCCCCACGTCTGACGCCAAGAAGCGCGCCAAAGCCGAGCGCGATCGCGCCGACTTTTCTCCCCTCAAGCACACCTTTGATTTCGACACCGACGGCGACAGCGACGGCGACGAACCGAGTCCACGGCCTCCCGTCGCTCGCATCTTGAGGAAGCGCCCCAAGCGCGCCTTTTAATCATTCATCGCAACCGTGCCGTTCGCGCGTCGTCGCCGTCCCGTCCCGTCCCGCGCGCCAAGGCCCCGGGCGCGCCCCGCCGCCCGTCCGCACGTCGACGCGCGCGATGTCCGAGCCCGAGCCCGAGCCCGTGCGCGCGACGCTCGTAAACAACGTCGTGCACGTCACCATCGATCGCCCGCGCGCGCTCAACGCCCTCAACCGCGACGCCGTGGAGCGTTTGCACGAATTGTTCCAGCGCGCCGAGCGCGACGACGCCGCGGCGTGCTACCTCCTGCGAGGCCACGGCTCGCGCGCGTTCTGCGCCGGCGGCGACGTTCGCGCCGTTCGCGAAATGGTGGTTCGCGGCGACGTCGACGGCGCGATCGCGTTCTTCGATCGGGAGTTCGCGCTGAACGCGGCGCTGCACGCGCTGCGCAAGCCGAGCGCGTGCGTGTGGAACGGCGTCGTCATGGGCGGCGGCGCGGGGTTGAGTTGTTATTGTCCCGTGCGCGTCGCGACGGATGCGACGGTGTTTGCGATGCCGGAGTGCGCGATCGGGCTGTACCCGGACGTGGGCGCGGGATGGTTTTTGAACGCGCTGTGCGGGCACGCGTACGCGACGTGCCTGAGCCTCACGGGGGCGCGCGTTCGAGGGATCGATTGCAAGCGCATCGGACTCGCCACGCATTACGTCACGATGGAGGTTTGGGATCGAGAGACGGAGAAACGCGTGAACGCGCTCGAGCGCGGGGCGAGCGTGGAGGATTTAGCGCGCGCGGCGGCGAGCGGCGAGCGGGACGAACCGGCGGCGACGTCGTACTTGACCAGCGAACGCGGGCGCGCGATGATCGACGAGGTGTTCGGGAACGACGCCATGTCGCTGGATGATATCACGCGCGAGATCGCGCGAAAAGAAGACGCGGCGGAGAGCGAGGCGGAGCGAGCGTTTTTCGCGGAGTGCCGAGAGAGCGTCGCCAAGGCGTCGCCGACGAGCCTGGGCGTGTCCTTAGAGCTCATGCGGCGATCGCGAGGGAAATCGCTGGAGTGGGTTTTAGCGATGGACAACGCTCTCATCGTCAAGTTCATCCACGCCCCGGATTTCCGACGCGGCGTCGAGGCGGTGTTGATCGACAAAGTCGGCGCGCCGCCGCCCGGAGGATGGATGCCCGCCGTCGACGCGACTTCGTACTTCGCCGCGGCGAGCGACTCGAAGCTGTAGCCGCATCAGTCGGTATTAGCGATAGTGATAGGGAGGTAGGAAACATTGTTACAATATTTGAAACTAGATCAAGACTTGAGCGGCTGCGGCGCTCGCGCCGCCCACCGCGTCGACGCGTCTTGCACGACGTCGCCGCCCTGCGTGCCAGTCTTCAGCCCGGTCGCCGCCGCCCGAACCGCCTCGCGCTTCGCCTCTAACGCGGCGATCGTCTCCTGCGCCGCCATCTCGAGCGCCGCCGCCTCCTCGCGCAGCGTCTCCGCCTCCTTTCGCTTCGCCTCGGCGCGCGTGTTCCGCGCCACCTCATCCGGCGACTTTCCCGAGTACGCCACGCGCGCCGCGTTCGACGCGACGTCCAGATCCATCACCCCTCGCTCCGCGCACAGCGCATCGATCGCATTCAATCGCGCCTCCACGCTCTCTTCCTCGCAGATCGCCTCGAATTCCTCCTCGGCGTGTCGCCCCACGGATCTCAACGCCTCGGCGTACGCGTCGTACAGCGCCGCGTGGTGCGCCGGATTCAACCCCGGAAACGCGCGTATGAATTCCTGCGCCGACGCGCCGATCGATCGCATCGCGAGTCAGTCCTCCATCGTCTCTCGTCGCTCGCTCGCCTCGCGCCTTCGCGACGCCTCGCGCGTCTCCTTTCCTCATCCGCGCGCGCGTCGCGCGCGGGGGAACCACCGCGTCGTCTCGCGTCCACCCACCTGCGCCGTCGGCGGCTCCGCGCACGCCCGCAGCGCGCTCTCGAACGACGCCCGCAACTCCGCGACGCGCGCGCCGCGGTCGCGCGACGGACGCGCGTCCTCCATCGCGTCGTCCGGCGTCGTCGTCGCCGTCATCTTTCCGCGCTGCGCGATGATTTAAAATTCAAATCTCTCGCGCGCTCTGTGCGCGTCGCTCCGCGCGCGTCCGTCGCTCTGTGCGCGTCGCGACGAGGGCGAATGTTTCGCGCGCGTCGTCGTCGTCTCGCGCGTCGCGTCGACGCCGTCTCGGCGTCGCGATGTGCCGCACTCGTCGTCGCGCGTCGATCTCTCGGCATGGCGCCCGCGCTGGACGCCGACGCCGTCGTCCTGCGCCGGCCGCGCGCGGTCTGGGCGGTCGCGCACGACCCCTCGCGCGCCGGCGTCGCGTTCGCGTGCGAATCCTCGGGCGCGACGGCGCGCGTGCGCGCCGACGCGTCGACGCGTCGAAACTGGCGCGTCGTCGAGACGCTCGAAAAGTGCGACCGCGCGGCGCGCGCGTGCGCGGTGTCGCCGTGCGGACGCCTCGTCGCCGTCGCGTCGTTCGACGGCGCGACGACGGTGCACCGACGCGAGGGACGGGGCGAGGACGGCGACGGCGGCGGCGACGGCGGCGGCGACGGCGACGACGAGCGGTGGACGCGCGCGTGCGCGGTCGAGGGACACGAGAGCGAGGTGAAATCGTGCGCGTGGTCGCGGTCGGGATCGTTGCTGGCGACGTGCGGACGCGATCGGACGGTGTGGGTGTGGGAGCGGTACGGAGATGAGGAGTTCGAGTGCGCGGCGGCGCTGCACGGACACGGCGGCGACGTCAAGCGAGTGACGTGGCATCCGACGGAGGACGTGCTGGTGAGCGTGAGTTACGACGAGAGCGTGCGAGTGTGGAGAGAGGACGCGGATGGGGACGACTGGTCGTGCGCGCAGGTGCTGGGGGGGGAAGACGGCGCGCACGGGGAGGGACACGAGGGGACGGTTTGGTGCGCGAGCTTTGAGCCGCGAGCGCTGGACGACGGATCGCGGGGGACGAGATGCGTCACGTGCGGCGGCGATGGGGCGCTGATCGTGTGGAACGGGCGTGGGTTTTGTGACACGGAGTTAGAGTTCGGCGCGCGGTTCGCGTGCGGGCACGATCGCGCGGTGCTGAGCTGCTCGTGGGGGAAGAACGGCGTCGTCGCCGCGGGGGGGGGCGATAATTCCATTCGCCTGTACGCCGAGATTGATGGAACTTGGCGAGAGATAGTGACCGTGGAAAACGCGCACGACGACGACGTGAACGACGTCCAGTGGTCTCCGCACGATTCATCCCTCCTGATGTCCGCCTCGGACGACGGAACGGTCAAGACGTGGCGGTTTAAGCCGTAGCGTCCGCCTCGAGACCTCGTAAACGCGAACGCCTCGTAATCACAAAAGTCATCGCGCCCGCGCTCACGCGTGACACGACCCGCGCACGTATCTCACGCCTGAACACTCCGCGATGCACCCGTTCGAGTACGAAACCCCGTTCTCGCCGCACACGGGTTCGTACACCTGCGCGCACGCCGTCGCGCACGCGAACGAGGGATTTCGAAACCGCGTCGGATTCGCGCACGCGCCGTCCACCACGAAATTCACGCGCGCGCCGCTCCCGAGCAGTCCGCTCGCGAACGCACAGTTCGCCCAACATTTATTCGCGTACGTCGCCGCCCCGTTCGCCGCGCACACCGGCGCGAACGCCTCGTCGCCGCACCGCGCCCGGCACGCGTCCAGCGCGTTCGCGACGCCGTCTCCCGCCCCCGCCGCCACCGCCATCGGCGCCAGCGCGCGCACCGGCGCCGGCGTCGCGCGCGCGCTCCGCGCGTCGCGCGCGACGCTCGCGAGCAGCAGCGCCAGCAGTTTCAGCGCCGTCGACGTCGACATCGACGCGTCCGCCTCTCGCGTCGACGTCCCGACGAACGAACGACGTTTCGTATCTCGAGATCCGTGTTTGAAACGTCACCCGTCAACGTCCGTCGACGCGCGCGCGCGGCGACGCATCGCGACGCGCGCGCGCGACGCGCGGGAAGCGCGCGAGGACGAACCGCGCGATCGAGCCGAAAGCGCGCGCCGAACGCGAGCCCCGAAAGCGATGCGACGAGGCGGCGCGAGCGCGATGATGACGCCGGAGGGGTACGAACGCCGAACGACGCATCGCACGCCGACGACGCGACGCGACGACGACGACGACGGATGGTTCGCGTCGCGGACGACGACGCGTGAGAAACGCCGCGACGGCGACGCGCTCCAGCGCGCGGCGCTGGACAGCGCGTGGGGCGGGGCGAGAGGGAAGACGCGACGCGCGCGCGACGACGGGTCGCCGAGCAAGACGCGAAGCCGCGGAGGCGCGACGGCGACGCCGGAGGTCGCGCTGGGCGCGGTGGACGACGCGATCGACGCGATGATCGTGAAATCGATCGGGGCGACGTCGGCGGCGGTGTCGGCGCTGACGCGAGGGGCGAGTTATCTGGGGGAGGTGTTCGACCGCGCGGCGGATTCGTGGGACGCGAACGACGGGAAGAAGGACGACGACGAGGGATGGACGAGAACGAAGTTTACGACGACGAACGCGAGAGCGCCGACGGGGAAAGAAAACGTACCCGTAACGCCGCGAGCGATGACGTTCGGGACGCGGGACGACGATTCGAGCGCGTTGGAGATGGAGGCGTTGCGGCGAGAGGTCGCCGCGGCGAAGGCGCGCGAGCGGGAGACGACGCGCCTCGCGGAGGAATTGAAGCGTCAAAACTTGGCTCTTCAGAAACGACAAGTCGCGCGCGAGGCGAAAGCGAGTCCGGAGATGGTGGCGCTCGTCGATCAGCTTCGCGCGCAGGTGGAGGCGTTGATGAGTGAAAAGTCTTCCCTGACGCACGAGAACAAACGGTTGCAGCGCGAAAACAGAGACTTGCACGCGTTCATCCGGACGAGCGACGGCGACGAGGACGACGGCGACGAGTCCACCGATGCGTCGAGCGATCTTGGTAACTTATCTCCAGAGGAGGTTGAAAAACTCGAGCGCGAGATCGCGGAGATGGAGGCGTCTCTGGAAAACTCGACCCTCGATTACGCGGCGCAAAATTCGTCCATGGAATCGGAGAGCGCGTAGCGTTGTCGAATTATGCCGTTTGTATTGTATTAACCACTTGTACGAACTTTCTCTATAATATCCTAATCTACAACATGAAGTTACGTTTGATGATGAATAATTTAAACCTTGTCCCCGTCCGCGCTCTCGTCCACCGACTGGCCCATGCGATCGCTCCCCATGCGCGCAATGTCGAGCGCTTCCATGTTCCCCTCGACTTGAATCGCGACGTCGATCGCGTCTTCGTCCTCCGTCGCCTCAGGCGTCATAAAATCTGCACCTGCGATGGCCAACGCCGCGTCGACGGCCAACGGCGTGAGCGCCATGGACAAGATGACGACGATGACCAAAAGCTCGTCCAATCCCATCGGGAAGAGCGAACCCGTCGACCCAGAGGTGGCTTGACCGAAAATCACGAAAGCGAATTCGCCGCCTTGACACAGAAAAGCCCCCGCGACGAGTGCTTCGCGCCAGGTTAAACCGACCGCTGGACCGAGAGCGGTGATGACGGCCGTCTTGCTCGCCATCAGCGTAAGCGTCATGGCGAGCGCGATCGGCCAAAGGTCGAGGAATAGCGGAAAGTCAATCGTGGTACCGATGGTGACAAAGAACAAAGATAAGAATAAACCTTTGAACGCTTGAAGCTCGCGAATGATTGTGTGCGAGTACGGCGTATCGGCGAGGATGATCCCCGCGAGAAACGCGCCCAAAGAATCGGAAAATCCAATCGCGCTCGTGGCGAAGCTAAATCCAAAGAGCACCAACAGCGACATGGCGACGAAGACGTCGTTCGTACAATTTTCTCTGCAGATGGCGCGGAAGCCGAGCAGAGTGAGTTGTCGACCACCGAACGCTAAGACCCCGAGATCGAGGAAAGACGTCGCACCACCCGCGGCGAGGATGGGAACGTCGACGCCGCCGTCGGCGCCGCCGCTCTTGAACGACTGCAACACCGGCAACAAGATGATGAACGGCACGACCGCCAAATCCTGGAACAGCAGCACTCCCAGGCTCGCGGTGCCGAATTTCGTGGTCAACATCTTACGATCGGCCAGGAGCTGCAAACCGAACGCCGAGGACGAGAGCGACAGCGCGAAACCGATGACGACGGCTTCCAAAACCGAGCTCACTTGCAACATTTCGTCGTTTCCGGGCTGGATAAACTCCAAAACCTTCGTCCCGAGCGCCTCACCCGCGGGTAAGAGCGCGGAAGCGAAAGCCAAGTTCACGAACAGCACTTGCGTGAGCCCGAGACCGAACGCGTACTTGGCCAAACCGCTCAATTTCTTCGACGACAACTCCAAACCCATCTCAAACAGCAAAAACTGAATCCCGAGCTCGCAAAACTGATCCACCTCTTGATTCTCGATGAACAATCCCGCGCGATTGAGCACCAAACCGATCCCCAAAAACCCTAAAACCGGGCTCACCTTCAAGCGATTGAACAGCGGCACGATGAGCACCACAGACGCGAGCAACAACCCGATGTCGACGTCGACGGATTTCAGCACCTTGGTCCACTCCTGGTCGTCGATGATCGCCCCCGCCTCCGCCTCCCTCGATATCGTGTTCGCGATGTTCTCCACGAAATACACCGGATCCTCCAGCGCCCTCACCACCTCCCCCGTCGGCAGCGCCGTCTCCTGCCGTTCACCGTTCAGCAATCCCATCGCGTCCTGCGCCAGCTCCACCGCGCGCTTCACAAAGCTCAGCGGCGTCACCCCGCTCTCCGCGTCGATCCTCGGCGCCAGCGCCTCGAACGACCGCGCCGTCGCGTCCATCACCACCGTCGGCATCTCAAAACCCTCCGTGAATCCCATCGCGCGCGCTCGCCACACCGCGCCGAGCGCGTCGTGATCCGACGCGACGCGCGTCGCCCGCTCCGCGACGTCGGCGAAATCCGCGAGCGCGCGTCGCCTCGTCGCGTCCCTTCCCTTCCCGCCCCCGTCGCGTCGTTTCGCCCCCAACCGCCGCGCGCACGCGCTCGACGCGCGATTCCCATCGCGAGCACGCGCGCGTCCCGCCGCGCGCGCGCACCGCGACGTCGACGCCGCGACGTCGCCGCGCATCGCGCGGTGACGTCCCGACCCTCTTCCGTCGCGCGCGACGCGCCGCGCGCGCGCGTCGACGCGTCGCGCGGTCGACGCGCGCGCGAACGCGCTCGACGCCCGCTCGTTCGCTCGATCGCGTCGACGACGCGTCCGCCGCGCGCGACGACGCGCGCGTGTGCGACGCGCGCGACGCGCGATCGCGACGTCGATCGATCGATCGATCGCGGCGTCGACGCGTCGAACCTCGATGTGCGCATGTACCCGCGACGACGACCCTCGAGCGAAGGTTCGACGGTGCGCGCGATCGAGCGATCGCCGCCGACGCGGCGCGCGCGACGGACGATTCGGCGCGGCGCACCGCGACGCGCGACCGCGAGAACGCCCTCGCGCGCGCGAACCGACGCGAAAAAATCATCCGGCGCGCGTGATCGCGCTTTCGCGCGCGAGCGCGCCGCGCGACGCGACGAACGGCGAGGGATCGCGCGAACGGACGAAGACGCGCGCGCGGTGACGACGACGTCGAGCGCGCGCGAAGACGATGTCGAGCGGCGACGAGGCGTCGTCGAGCTCGGTCGACGCGGAGTGTCCGCTCGAGACGCTGCTGGATCCGAAACTCACGGGCGCGGTGACGAAGGCGTCGGTGATCGAGCTGCTGCGGGACGCGAGCGCGAGGGCGCTGTCGGAGACGAGCGACCGGTGCGCGTGCTCGAGGCGAGGGTGCGCGTATAAGAAGATGGTGGATTGCGATGAATTGTGGTGGCCGAGGTACGCGGAGGCGTGGTACGAGCCCGGGATGGCGCCGGCGTTTCCGGGGAAGGCGCCGAAGGATAAGAAGAGCTGGAAGAACGCGTACCTGGCGGCGAAGCCGGAGGACGGGCCGACGGCGGAGGAAGTGGCGAGACGGGAGGCGAAGGTGAAGAAGAGAGAGGAGATGCTGGCGAGGTGGAAGGAAGAGAATTTGGCGGGGAGTGGGGCGCTGCGTGGACGGGCGGCCGGGGTCGGGGACGTGGTGGCGCCGGTGGATTTGAGCGATAAGGAGGCGATGCGGGCGTTTTACAAATCCGTGCGAGCGAAGCCAAAGGGGAAGTCGGCGCGCGGCTCGCACGCGCCCGTCTTCGGCGCCGATTGACGATGCCGCCGACGACGACGACGACGATGATGACGATTTTTACGGATTTTTCAACCAAATGTACGCTACCCTTACCACACGAACGCGTTGTACGCTTGTAGAACAAACGATGGAAACGACGAAACTCAGACGACGAGGTTAAAGCTTCTCGAAGCCGCGCGTGACGCTGTCGAGGTGAGCGTCGTCACCGGCGAAGACTCCACGCTTTTTTAAAACGGCGTGTACCTCCTCCGCGTATGCCTTCTCCGCCACGCTAAAGCGTTCACCATTTTCGCCGACAACGTACTCGTCGACGTTGCTCTTTTCTCGCATCGATTCCGGTAAGCGCTCGAGGTAACTGTCGCGCACGCGCTTGTGCATCAGTTCCATCGATTCGATGAAAGATGCGCGTAACGCGTGGATCGGTGAGTCTGCTGAACTCGTCGCTTTCGCGAGCGTGTCGATCGACTCGGTGATCGCGCGCAAGCAAGTACTCAAATAAACCGAAGTTTCATACGACTCTGCGGCGTCGATTCGCTTCGAAGCATGGGCGACGTACACGTCGGAGAACATCGATAAGAACTTGCTCTCAATCAACAACTCCACCCCTTCGACGTCTTCGATGATCGACATGAAACCGTGGATGAAGCCGATCGTGCGCGACATCTTTATGGCATCGAGCTCTAACGGGCTTTCGACGCGTCGCGCGTCGAGCTCGAGCATTTCACCAAACCAATACGGCATCAACCTCGCGAATCGCGACTGCCAAGTGGACGGAGATTCAGCCCAATTGAACATAATCGCCTGCATCAAACCTTGACGAGTTTCCACGCTGAAAATCTCTCGCGTCTCCGTGTCTTCAAACGCCTCGAGCATGGTGTTCACGATGTCTCTGTTCGTTGCCTCGATCCGCATCAACTCTTGAATGCTCAATCGACCCATCTCGTCCTTCAAGAGCGTTTTCCCGCGCTCGGTGATTTCGCCATCTTCACTCAGAACTTGCGATACGATCACACTTATCGTGATCATGATTTCACTGTATAAGCGCATCGCGCTCCCAAAACCGAGTTCTGCCATCACATCCACGCCCTTTGTCGCATCGCTCAGGCCGTGCAAAGCGACGCTGATCTCCACTCGAACTAGCTCCACTATGAGTGCCAACAAGCTCGGAACTTTTTTCGTGGCGCCAGCACTCACGGCTCCCGCTAGAACCACCGGTGGTGGCTGGGCGTCAATCGCGAGGAGCCACGGTAAAAAATTGTCAGCGTTCGGGGCTCCCTTCTTCGTGTTGACCACATTCGATGCGAGCGCCGTGATGTCCAGCGCATAGAAGCGCATAAGTCTAGGCGTTCGCGAGTTTAAGACGACCCACATCGCTTCTAAAATATCCTGATTCGCGCGCTCAATGCCACTTTGAAACACGTCTCGGCGCGGCGCCTCTGGTGGAAGAGGCAAGAAAAATGTGTACAAATGGTGCAACACCGTCATCGCGCGCAGCTGCAACTCCGACCCGGCAGCCTCGCGCATGATCTTGCAAATTTGCGGCAAAATCTCCAACGACGACACAATCTCCACCGAATCTACCGACTGCTCATTCAAGAACTCACTACACATCGAGTAGTCGAAAACGTCCATCGCCACGGCGGACAACTTACACAACTTCCCCTCCCTCAGCGCCTCCTTCGCCGCCAACACCGTTCCTTCGGGCACGCGCAAGCGCACTTCAACAGCCTCCCCCTCGCCCGCACTCGCCGCTTCCGCCAATTTACTCTTCGCGATGACGTGCGCGAACGCGCATTCCAACGCATCCGCCGCCGCTTCGTCGCACAAATCCTCAAACCCGCTCCTCGCCACTCTCCCCGCGCATTTTTCAAACGTCGGCACCCAAAACGCCATCGTTTTCGACGACGCGAACGCATCGCTCTGGCACAGCGCCGAGCACACGCTCAGGCCCAGCGACGTTCGCATCGTCGCGTCGAGTCTCGACTCCGCGTCGGCGTCCGCCGCCGCCGGTTTCAGCAGCGCGTTCAAAAACTTCGCGCCCAGCGCCTTCGCGATCGCATCGCACGTCGACGCGCGCTGCCGCTCGGCGACGCGCGCCAGCACCTTGGTCGCGAGCAGCGCGCCGACGAGTTTCTTCTCTCGCACGTCGCTCGCGCAGAGTTCGAGCGTTTCTTCGAGCGTCGGCGCGTCGGCGTCGGCGTCGGCGTCCGTCGCGAGGCGTTCCGCGAAGCTCAGGACGTCGATTCCCGTCATCGCGTCCACCGCGCCGTCGCGCGCGCGTCCGCGCGCGCGTCGACGACGCGTCGCCGCGTCGAGCTGTGACGGATTGCATTCTGTTGAAAACTTTCGACGCAAAACGCGACGCGCGGACGCGCGATCGCGTCGATTCGACGCGGCGACGCGCGCGCGATGGACGCGTACGACGTCGCGTGCGCGATGACGGCGCTCGCGCACGCGTACACGGCGCCGTATTGCAAAGTTGAAGAATCTTTTGCGCTGCAAGCGACGCACGATTTCATGTTTCTCGGCCTCGACGTCGCGTCGTACGACCACAGGGCGTTCCCGGGCGTGGTGCCGCGAACGGCGATCGCGTCGTTGGCGCTCGCGGCGCTCGCGCGAGGGCCGTGGGCGGTCTGGAGGGCGGTACGGGGGACGGGGGAGACGAAGGCGGCGGCGCGAGGCGCGGCGCGGGGAGCGTTAGGGGTCGCGCTCGCGCGCTCGCACGCGAAATTTAGAGGAGACGTGAAATACGCGTTCGGGGACGTCGTCGGGGCGTTGGTGGCGATCGTGTCGCTGTGTGAGTTTCACATGTGGTTTTACGCGTCGCGGCCTTTGATGAACGTCTTCGCGCTCGCGGCGACGCTTCGGGGATGCGGGGCGTGGATTCGGAGCACGCGGTCGCGTGAGAGGACAGACGTGCGCGAGGCTGTGATTTATATCACCGTGGCGACGTTTTTACTGCGATGCGACGTGGTTTTGTTGCTCGCACCGATGGGATTGCACATGCTCGCGAGCGGGTTGATTTCGGCGCCGCGCGCCGTCGGGCTCGGATCGGTCGTCGCGTTGCTGACGATCGCGACGTCCACGCTCGTGGATTCGTGGTTTTGGGGACGACTCGTGTGGCCTGAAGGTGCGGTGTTGTATTTTAACACCGCCTTGAACAAGAGCTCGGAGTGGGGGACGTCGCCTTGGCATTGGTACTTTTCGTCGGCGCTGCCGAAGAGCTTGTTGTGCGCGTATCCGCTGGCGTTGATGTCCGTCTTCATCGAGCGTCGCGCGCGCCCGATCATGTTCGCGGCGCTCTTCTACGTTGGTATGTATAGCTTTTTGCCACACAAGGAGTTGCGCTTCATATTCCCGACGCTACCGCTGTTCAACGTCGCCGCGGCGACGACTTTGTCTCGCGTCTGGAATAATCGGCGCAAGCGGCCGCTCGTCGCAGTCATCGCCGCGGGTCTTTTGTTCACAAGTCTCGCGCTCGTCTGCGTGTTCACCGCGGCGTCATCGGTCAATTATCCTGGTGGTGTGGCGTTTCATCGCCTCCATCACGACGCGAACGTCGCCCCTAGGCCTGGAAGCGTACACGTGGACGTTCCGGCGGCGATGACGGGCGTGAGCCGCTTCGGCGAAGCCGCGAGCGCGTCGTCGGGTTGGTCGTACAGTAAGACTGAGGGTTTGAGCGTCAGTGCTTTCGCCGATCATGGGTTCGATTATTTACTCAACGCGCACGAGCACGTTCCAGGGTACGAGGTGGCATTCGTCGCGGACGGGTACGCAGGATTGGCCGTCGACGTGAAGAGCGCACCATCTGTGTTGCGCGTCAAGACGAAGCCCGAGATTTACGTCCATCGGCGCGCTAGCTTAGAACATTAGCAAATAATTGTCACGCGTCAACTCAAAGTATTAGTAGTATCTATATCGATCGTCCCTACGCCTGTCGTCTCTGCGATCATACGAACGTCGATCGTCGCCCCGGCGTCGGTCGTCGCGGTACGGCTCGTACCTCCTATCACCACCCCCTCGGTACGTATCTCTATCACCGCGCCCGTATTCACGGTCGCGATTATCGCGCGGTCTGTACGAGCGATCGCGATCGGGCGAACGCGATCGGCGCTTTCTGTCGCGCCCGTCGCCGCCGCTCCGCCCACCGATGGCGAATCCCGCCTCTTCGTACTTGGCCAACCGCGCCGCGAGCTCGTCGCGCAGTTTACGAATGTGGGTCCATCCAGTGTATTGTTTACCCATCAAATGCTCTTGTCGACGCTCCTCGGTGTCGGTGTTGCACAACAACGTCCCGCTCACCGGACACGGCTCGGTCAATCGATACGCGTCCATACTATCCATCTTCGCCTTAACCTCTTTCGCGCGCTGCTCAAACGTCTCTAAATGCGCCAACTCTGCCTCGGCGCCGTCGACGTCGCCTTCCTCGCCCAATTTCTCCGCCTTCGCTGCGCTTTCCTCCATCTTCACCTCTAACAACCTCAACGTATCAGCGTCGGCGCTCGTCGCCATCTTGACCATCGCCTCCTCCTTCTCCGCCCTCGCTCGCACCATCCCGCGCTCGATCCTCCGATCGCACTCGCGAATCATCCGATCTAACACCATCTTCGTGTCCATTTCGTACCCACATTTCGCCTTTTCAGCCTCGGGCGCGAGTCGAAACGCCTCTCGCGCGCCGTCGTCCCGAACTTTTTCCTGCGCCTCCGCTCCCACGCACCGCAGGACGTCCGCGTCGGACTTTGTGTTCTTGAAACACGTCACGTCGAACCCACAGATGTAGTATTTGCACACGTCCGCGTCCTGAGTCGAGAACCACGCGGAAAAGTCAGTCACTGAAGGCTTGAGAAATCTTCAGAAAGAGAGCGGGACAACGGTCGCGCGGCGTCGCACGCACCGAGTAATGCCTCGAACGGCCGGTGCGTTGATCGAGAGGGACGTCGCGCTCGGTGCCCATGAGCTGATCGAGCATGGCACGCATAGCGTCCGCCATGGCGACCGCTCGCGAGTCGCGAAGTGCGGGACGAAAGAACTGCGACGCGCGCGCGGAAAGAATTTCGGATCGTGTGATTGCAATGTGCCGTGCGTGCGCTAAGAAGTTCTATGGCTATGTCTGATGAATGAATGTTTCGACGTCCAACGGAGGTGAATCAACGCTCTGTCGTTTTCGCGCGCGTGAAGCGTTCGATGGAAGGGAGCGACTCGCCGCGGCCGCGATTTTCGGCGCCACGAGCGACAGCCCACAGCGAATCGTCGTTCGCGACCGCGATTTCGCGTGCACGTTGCATCGCTGATCGCGTGCGCGGGACGGTTGTCGTTTGTGGGACGTTCGCGATGGTGTCCGGCGGCGCGCCGCCGCAGTGCGCCAACGCTCTTGCATCTTCTGCGTCAACGCCAACGGACATCAAATCCATCGCTGAACACTCCTTTGCGATTTCTACGTCGAGCAATTCTTCCTTGACGTACAAAGGATGGTAGTACGGCGCGTAACCAATGCGATGGAGCCAACGCTCGACGGTTTCTCCATCCTGAATCGCCGACGCTGAGCCCGACGTTGTGGCTCGAGACGCCTTTTTCGCCGCTTCCAACTCTCGTTTCCGGTCAATCTCGTCCACGAGCGCGATCAAATCATCGTCAAATTCGTCGTTGCCGTCCTCTTGCGTGACGTGGTCGAGCTGTGAGAGCGTCTCGGCGCACGTGGCTGCGTGGCGCGAGCGCGCATCGAACGAGACACCATTCAAGTCGACGCCGCACACGGGGCACGACGTCGATTCGCTCGAGCCGACCGCGGTTCGAGACGTCGCCTGATCTCCATTACGCCGCACGGGTGAGATGGCGTGCCGTCGGGACGACATGCGTCGACATCTGGAGCAACTAACTCCACACGCCCACAAAGAAGCCGTGTAGCATCGACTGAAGCGGCCCACCGGCGCAGAGCAAACGTGTTCCACTCGGGTCCCACTGATGCGCAAAGATTGCTGGCAAACAGTAATCGCGAATCTCAATGTCGTAAAAGTCGTCATCGTGCTCATCCTCGAAGATCCCGTTGTCTGCAAAGGGGACGCAATATTGGTTGTTGAAGAGCTGGCGCACCCGACCTCGACCGTTATCGACGAGATATTTTCGCATGCGAACGTCGTAAAACGAAATCAATCCTCGACCGCCGCCAATTGTGAGTAGATTGCCGCCCTCATGGAAACTAAGACTGCGCGTGCTGTTGGTATCGCCGTATGGTAGCGCTACGGAGGCGTAAAAGTTTTTTGATCGAAAGTCCACGAAACCAATGTGCGTGCGAGAACCGACGGCGACGATTTGGCCATCGGTGGCGAGGCAGCAAGTTTCGAGATATCCTCGACACTGATATCCACTGTGTACGAGCGAAAGCGTCTCTGCGTCGAGCTGAAGTACGTGTCCGCTCGACGTGCACGTCGCAAGATGACGAGCGGGACATCGATCAACAACCTTGACGCCACGCACGCGTTCGTTCTGCGTGCACTCTCCGATCGGGTGCACCGAACCACTTGGAGTGATTCTTATCTCGTCGTAGCTAGGACTCTTAGGAAGCTGCCAGACTTTCACCGTGCAGTCGCGCGACGCCGACGCCATCGCGTCTCGTCCGATGAAGCCAACGTCGAACACGACGTCGTCGTGCCCAGAAAATGCCATTCTAGGCACGAGACATTCCGTCTCCTCGTCTCGACGGAACCCAACGATGTTGTGTGATGGACCACCGCTACACACGATGTGCTCTCGAGTCGAGCTCACCGAACACGCGTGGGCGCCGCCCCGTCTCGAAGCGGCGGCGCGAACCGCGCCGTGCCCATAGGGACCGGCCAAGAACGGCGGAGAAACGTTGATCGCTCGTAACGCCTGCGGCGTGTGTCGGCTCACCCATTGCGCGGCGATCTCCATCGCCCGGTTCCTCGTGTACGCGTCCTCCCTTCCGAGTTCGATCTCGCGCCACGCGTCTCGACGCCCTCGTCGATCGATCTCCAACTCAAACAACCGATTATCCTTCGTCCCGATCAACGCCAGATCATCCGCGAGCCACGCGCACGAGAATGCCTTATCGCAAAACGACATCGCGCCGAACGGGCGAAACGGGATCGGTCGCAGCGTTCGAAGCGCCGCCGCCGCGCGCGCCGGCGGCGCGCGATCCGGCGACTTCCAACGTTTCACGACCGCCTCCTCACGCGCGCGCAACGCGCGGTTCGCGCGCGACGAATTCAAATCTCGATCATCTCGAGACATCTTCGTGACCTCGCGCGCGGCGCGGCGCGGCGAAAACCGTTCGATCGACGTCGACGCTCGCTCGTCGTCGCGACTTCGGCGACGCGAACCGACGAGAGTCTCCAATCCAAGCCTTCCCGAGCGCGCGCGCGCGTGAGAACGACGCGCGAGACTTGAGCGCGCGCAGAAAAATATCTCGCGCGCGTCGCGCGCGTCGCGCGCGTCCCGCGCGCGCGAGCGAAGAGAGAAAACTTTTGCGCGCGACGCGGCACTTTGTGCCGCTCCATGTCGTCGTAAGCTTCGGCGTCATGCGAGACGCGGACGCGGCGCGCCGCGCCGACGCGACGTCACTGCGATCGTCGTCCAAGCGTGCGGTCGAGGCGACGCTGGAGAAGCGCGAGAAGCGTCGACGAAGGGACGATGACAAAGCACAGCTGGCGGAAGGAAACGCGACGACGACGGCGCGCGCGCGCGTCAACGACGACGCAGAGGCGCGGCGAACGATCCCTGGGCGGTCGGCGGCGTCCATCGCGGCGCAGCTCGGAGTGGCGCTGCCGTTCGCGCGCGGCGACGGGTCGACGGCGGCGACGGACGACGACGTCGGCGCGTGCGGCGTCGACGCGAAAACGAACGCCGAGAGCAGCGAAGAGGAGTGGGATGACGTCGATGATGAGCGTGACTACGGAGCGTACGTCCCGGACGTTGAACCGGAGGAACGCGTGGGGTTGGAGGATGCGCCGGAAAACGTGGGGCGAGCGAGCGGCGGCGGCGACGCGTCGACGACGAAGAAGAAAAAGAAATCGCGTCGATTGAGCGATGATGAGCGGAGGAATTTGTTGGAGACGCATCATACGCACGTGATGTGCTTAGTGGCTCGCGGTAGGTTGGTGCGGGCGGCGGCGTCGAGCGAGATTTTGCGAGCGCTCGTGACGTCGTGCGCGCCGCGGCGGTTGGTGGACGCGTGCACGACTACGACGGCGACGGTTGAGGTGAGTGCGCTGGCGAGATTAGTAGATTGGTTTGCCGATGCGACAGCACCGCCGATCGCGATCGATGGTGATGACGTTTTAGGCGCGAAAAAGGCGGTGAAGGACGCTCGATGGCGTCGCTTAGCGTTTCGAGCGGCGATGCATCGCGCGAGCGCCGGCGCGACAGGCAGCGCGTGTGGTATCGCCGCAAGACTTGCGTCGCTTTGGGCGCTTCGAGGTCGCACTGAAATAAGTGAAGAAGAGTGCGCGGCGCTGTTCGCGGCGTTGTGTCAAGGTTTGGGTTTGATGTGTCGCGTAGTGTCGTCGCTCGAGCCAGTGCCGGTTCGCGCGAGCGCAGCGAAACTCGAATCCATGGGCGTGCTGCATACACCTAAGCCACTGCCGTTAGAGACTGTGCGACGTCGCGAAGGACTTGTCCGACACTGGTGCGAGGTGTTGTGCGCGCGACACGATGCGGAATCAAATGACAAAGGAAACGCTCGCTGGGTGAGCGTTGTGCCGACGACGCGAGCATCGGTGGACGCTCCAGAGATTATTTTTGGCAATCGCAAACGTGGCACGACTGCGGATGCGACGTCGTCTATGCCGTACGTCGTGGCGTTTTACGCCGATTCGGGCGCGCGTGATGTCACACGCAAGTACTCCGCGGCGTTTTCACAGGCATTGCACCACCGCACGCCAGATTGGAAGTGGTGGGAGAAAATCACAGAGCACGTCGAAAGAATCCATCGCGACGCGATCGCGCGCGATGCCTCACCCGAGCTGCGGAAAGTCGTAGAAACGGCTGATGCCACAGAGTTATTCGAGATGGACGTGAGAAGCTCGAAAGAGCGCGTGCCCGGGACGATGACTGAGATTAAAAATCATCCGCTCTGGGTCGTCGAGCGCTTTTTGTCGCGATCACAGTGCATTCACCCTCGACATCCCGTGAAAGGTCTCATCGCCGGCGAACCAGTATTTCCGAGATCGTGTGTGAAGGAGTTGAAGAGCGCCGAGCGCTGGAAGAGCGAGTGCAGAAGACGCGTCATCGACACGTTGATGAACTCGCCCGTGCGCAAGATTCACAGCAGAGCGTCTCAGGCGCGCGTCAAGGCTCTCACGCGCGCGCGCGAAGGCTGGTTCATGACGCAAGCGGAAGGATCAAAAGAACGCTTAGACTCAGAAGAGTGGCGCGTCTCGATGTCCGAGCACGACGATTGTCCGGACGATCCGCAGAGAATTCCCGGCGACGTTGCGCTCTACGGCGAATGGCAAACCGAACCTTGGACGCCTCCAGCCGCCGTGGGCGGTCTTGTGCCGAAGAACGATCGCGGAAACGTCGATTTGTACGGTAATGCATTACCACCACCGGGAACCGTGCACGTGAACTTGCCGCGAATCGCAAAAACCGCCAAATCGATGAGTATTGACTATGCCCCCGCGCTCGTCGGTTTCGAGTACAAAGCCGGCGGCAAGACGCTCCCCGTCTTCAACGGTATCGTCGTCTGCGAAGAATTCAAAGACGACTTACTCTCGAAACACGAAGAAGCCGAAGAAACGCGCCGACTCGCGATCGAGGCCAAGGTATACAAAGAAGCCTGCCTGCACTGGCGTCTCCTCCTCGGCGCGATTTGGACAAGAGCCGCGCTTCGCGAGGAATTCCAAGACGGCGAGGTTTTCCAAGATCCCACCGCTCGACGCATCGCCGCCGCTCGCGCGATGCACGAATCTGATAATCATCCAACTGCAGCCGTCGCGGTCGAACCCTTAGAACTCGGCGCCGCGGCGTACGTAGAAGAATTGTAAAACGAATGAAATGAAGCGACGCGCAAGCCGTCGTCGCCGGCGTGTCCCGACTTCAGTGCGCGGCGGTGATGCTCAACAAACGGCGGACTCCTCGAGGCCAATCTGACGCTTTTCGCTTGCGATGCGATTGCCGTGGATGCGGTGTGGTGGCTTTATTTTATTCGTACACTCTTATACGCGATCCAGCGTCGGTCGCGCGTCGCATTCTCGATTTCGCGTCGACTTTGTCCCCAGCCGAAGTGACTGGTAAAATCCGTCTCGCGCGCGAGGGAATCAACGCCACTGCGGCTGCGAGCGATGCGACGACGATGAATGCATTTTTGTCGTTTCTAGAGCGCGAGCCAGATCTCGAGCAGGCGCTGTACGGGGTAGACTATAAGCTCGAACCGGGGTGCGCGCACTGTTTCGAGACGCTGAGCGTGCGCGTCGTCGACGAGTTGTGTCCGTTCGGTGAAGTGAACTTGGGCGTGGATGGAGAATGCGTGCAAAGTTTGACGCCTGAGGAATGGGCGGCGGAGGTTCGATCGCGAGATACGACGAAGTCGAGTTTATTGGACGTTCGAAATTTCTACGAGAGCCGCCTTGGCCATTTTTTCGGCAGCACTTGCGCGCCCATTCGCCGGTTTTCGCAGTTCAAGGAGTGGCTGGCACGCGATGGCGTGCTCGAGAGAGAAATCAAGGATAAGGACCTGTATATTTTCTGCACCGGAGGCGTACGGTGCGAAAAGGTGGCGACGTATTTGACGACGCGGCTACCCGAGGGCTCGCGGCCGAGGACCGTTCGTAAACTAGCCGGCGGCATCGTGGCGTACGCCAAGTCTGGAATAAACGAACGTGACGGTTTATTCAAGGGCTCCAATTATGTTTTCGACGCGCGCGGTTCGACTCCTGTCGGTCAAGACTTACCATCGACGTCTTGGTGCGACGGATGCGGCGACGCGAGTGGTCGAATTTCAAAGTGCGTCGGAAAGTCGTGTCACGTCATCCTCATCGCGTGCGAGCGCTGCGGCGATACCGTGTACTGTTGCACGAGCTGCCGTGATCAAACAGAGCGAGCGCGCTTGGATGAGGACAACTTCAGACGGCGCGCATGCGAGTGTGACTCATTCGAATCGCGCGAACGCCGACTTCGTCACGCGCAGCGATGAAGACGCCAGAGTCGCCTCGCGCTCGATGTTAGACACGTAGCTTGTAGCTTAGTTCGGTATAGGTGATTGTGATAATATTTTCATTACAAAATATTATACGGCGACGACGGGGGAAGTGATGACGGTGCCGACGCCGGTGTCGGTGAGAATTTCGAGGAGTAGGCTGTGCTTGGCGCGACCGTCGATGATGTGCGCGCTCTTCACGCCGTTCGTGATGCTGGTCATGCAACATTCGACTTTGGGAATCATGCCTCCCGCAATCACACCCTTCGCGATGGCTTCTTCCGTCTCCTTCATGGTCAGCTCGCGAATCAAAGTGTTGGGATCATCCTTATCGGTGCACACGCCCGGAACGTCCGTCATCAAGATGAGCTTCTCCGCCCCGAGCTTGGCCGCGATTGCACCAGCCGCGGTATCCGCGTTCACGTTAAGCGCCTGACCGTCTGCATCCATGGCGACAGTGGCGACGACGGGAATGTACCCCACATTCACGAGTTCACGAATCAACCGCGTGTCCACCTGCGTCACGTCGCCGACGAAACCCAACTCCTCGCTCTTCACCACGCCGCGCAATAAATTCCCATCCTTGCCGCAGATCCCGACAGCTTTCCCGCCTGCGCACGAAATCAAGCTCACGATGGACTTGTTCACCTTACCCGTGAGCACCTGCTCGACGATTTCCATCGTCTGCGCGTCGGTGACTCGCAGCCCGTTTAAGAACTTCGCCTCGACGCCGACCCTGTTCAGCATCGCGTTAATCTCTGGCCCACCCCCGTGCACGAGCACCGGCCGAATGCCCACCGTCGACAGCAACACCACATCACGAATCACCGCCGCCTTCAGTTCCTCGGACTTCATCGCCGCGCCGCCGTACTTGACCACCACGGTTTGCCCCGCGAAGCGTTGCAAATACGGCAACGCCTCCGACAGCACCTTGACGCGCGTTTGATTATCGCTCTCCTGTTCCGCGCTCAGCGCGATCGCGCGCGCGCGATGCGCGGTTGAAGTCTGCGATCGCGAACCCGCTCGTCAGTCTCGCGCTTTCCGTCGATCGCGCGCCGTCTCCAATCGTATTCCCCGCGCCTCGGCGCGTCGTCGCCGCGCCGCGTTCAAAACCTAGTCCGACGCCCGCGCGTTCGCGCGCGCGCCACCGTCGCGCGCGACCCGCGCGCGCGGCGCATCGCGACGACATCGTCGTTCGCCGCGCGCGCTCGATCCCGCGCGCGCGCCCTCGGCGCCGCGTCGCCGCGTCGAAAAACATACCCTGGAACGCGTCGCGAATCTTCGCGCCCCCCGCGCGCCGTCCCCGCGCGCGCTCGCGCGCGCGCGCGTCGCGCACGACGCGGCAGACATGTTTAAGTTCTCACGCGGCCCGTCGACGGGACGGAAGAGGCGCGCGCGTCGACGAGACGCGGCGAGGAAATTGCGGCACAAAGTGACGGTTCGCCCGCGCCCATGGGACGGTTTCGAGGCGTCGACGCGCCCGAGATCGATCTCGACGCCTACGTCGCGTCGTTGACGCCCTCGCGCGCGCGTCACGCGTCGCACGCGCGCGCGAGCGCGTCGCGAGACGCCGTGCGCGTCGCGCGGTGGTTGGAGAATGAAAAAGTGCTCTTGCTGACGTTTCGCGACGCCGCGACGCAGCGACGGGCGCTGGGACGACTTTCGATGTTCATCGAGGACCCGGAGTGGCGCGGGAAAATCGCGGACGCGCTGCCGAGCGGCGCGAGGGGCGGGGTGGCGAATTACAGCGGACACAACGCGCGCGCGCGGGAGGTGTGCGCGTTTTACGCGGCGGCGCGGCGCGAGGGCGGGTGCTGGGAGGACGAAGAAGCGGTCGTCGAGGCGCTGGTGCGGTGCGGAGCGCTTCGGAGGAATGAGGATGGCGCGGTGGAGGTGAGCGAAAGCGCGATGGGGCGCGGAGGGTGGTGCGAATACGACGGCGAAGACGACGACGAGGAGAGCGTCGTTCCGGAGACGTGCGTCATCGCCGTGTGCGCGAGCGGAGACGCGCGCGAGGTCCAGGATGCGCTTTTACACGAAGCCATGCACGGGCTGTGGTACGCCAGGGAAAATTATGCGAGTTGGTGCTACGAATTTTATCGCGGCGACGCGCTCGGGGACGAGGAGCGCGCGATTTGGGTCGACTTTCTTCGCGAGCTTCGTTACGACGTGTCCGTGCGCGAGGTCGTGGTGAACGAGTTTCAGGCGTACATGGCCACAGAACGCGTGTTATTCGGCGGCGACGGCGCGACGGCGAACAAGGGAAAGAAATCAGGCGGCGCGATCGTTCGCGCCGGCGACGCGCTCGCGGCGATGCAAAAGAAATTCGCCGCGGCGGCGAGAGACGCCGTGCCGGACCCACCGCGGTGCGGACAGCTCACCGTGGTGTGGGAATAAATTATTTTATTGTTTTCGCCCTCGTTCGACGCGATGGGACGCGAAAATCTCGAAAATCGTCGGTGTACATTTTACAGATGAATAATAAAAGGGCGCCCCGAGGGCGCGTCGACGCCTCGGCGCCCTCGGGGGCAAAGAATGAAGCCAAAAAAGCTCACTAAATACGCACTCTCGCCGCTCGAACGCATCGCGCGCTCACACCGCGATGTCCCCGCACGCGTGCATCGCCGTCCAACTCGGCCGACTGCTCATGTTCCCCGTCACGCGCCGCGCGAGCGCGTCCTCGCGCGTCACCGCGACGCCGTGCTCGCGCTCGTCCGCGTCCCCGCCCATCCCGTCGTTCACGAACATCACCTCGTGCTCCTCGATCGTCCTCGGCGCCACGAACATCTTCCTCCTCGCGCTCCCGCTCGCGCTGTCCTCCGCCCCCTCGTACGCGTACCCATCCACGCGCAAGTGCGCCGGCGGCACGAAGCCGCGCAAACCCCACCTCGCGCGCGCGTCGCCCCGTCGCGCGTCCGAACCTCCCTCGCTCGCCCGCGGCGCGTTATACGCGCTCGCGTAGTACGAATCGTTCCTCGCCACCCCATCGCTCCGCGCGTCGTCCGTTCGCGCGCGCGTCGCGCGCATTCGCGCCTCCATCGCTCGCGCGTCGCTTTTTGCGTCGCTTTTTCGCGCGTCCCCGTCGTCGCGTTATCCGCTCGCCGCGCCTCCGCACGCGATCGTCGCGTCGCGCCGCGCGCGCCGCGCGTCGATCGACGCGTCGTGTCGACGTTCTTCGACGCGCGACGCGTTATGTCGCGAAGACACGGCGCGCGCGACGCGCGAATCGTCGCGGTGTGGCGACGCGTCGCGCGGCGCTGACGTGGCGACGCGTCGTCGCCGCGCGCGTCGAATCGGATTCGGCGCGGGTCTTTCTTTAGGCGTGCGACGCGCGGTGACTCGTATTTAACGTACGCGTATTAGTATTACCACGCGCGTCGATCGATCGATCGTGCGTAAATAGCACAGCGTACTCCGAACGACGAGTCATGACCCCTACGGTAAAAATATCACGTCCCGCCGGATCCATCGCCGCGCGAACGGGCCGGGGTCTCGATCTCGATCGCACGTCACGACGACGCGCGCCATGGGTTGTGCGCAGAGCACCCCAACGTACTATCACGCCGACCTGCTCGCGGTTCTTCGCTGTGACGTCACTTCATGGAAGGGCGATCGCGCGCGCCAATGGTTCAACAGTCCCCTGCTGACGGGAGACCCCGTGTGGAACGTACACCACGGCACCACGACCGCCCCCGCGCGTCCCCGTGACTCAGATTGGTCGAAAAACTCACCGCTGGCGACCGAGATTGTGGATATCTTGAACGGCGCACTGAAGGCCATGGGGGGGTGGCCCAGGCTTCCTATATGCTGTGGCGCCGGCGTCGAGGACGTCAGGTGGCCGCCGCCACAAATGGTCGAGGCATTCAACAAAGTGTGCAAGAAATTAAACGAGGATAAGCTCTTCAATGTGGGTCTCCAATGCAGAGTCGTCTCAGACAGAGTAGATCCACTAAACCCTGTATGTGCCTTCTGCGTGTTGGTGGAAAAAAAAAGTGACACGCGTGATGAGTTCGACACACCGAAATGTACTAGTGATTTGAACGAATTGACAACACACATAGCGCCAGGAGTCAGGCGACATGCTAAGGAGGCATTAGCCTGGTCACCGCCCGCAGACTGGATGTCCTCCTGCTATATGAGGCGCGAAGCTTTGCCTACTCCTTACAATGAATGAGAGACGAATCGTGTGTAGAGAAAAGGTGCGACTCTACTGTTCACGGTTCATGATTCATGGTCATCCACCTCGGACTGGAGGTCCAGCCTTCACATGGCACGCATCCGTGAAGCAACTTTTTATCATTCACGTATGTCGTATGATATTTAATATCTATTAAAGCATATCCAAATATATAAAAATATATTGTAATACAATCGCATACAATACACCATCTGTCGCAAGTCGCAAGCGGTTCCGGGGGTAAATTACTGTACGGTAATTTACCCACGCCATTTCGCGCGATGACTAGATATAAATAACTTAATGTATGAGGTCATGCGGCTAATTAGTGAGTTTCCATATGTCCGATCCTAACCCCTAAACCCTGGGGCTGGCACACAAACCCGCGGGGCGCCAACGGGCCCCTCGTCCGACCGACCGCGAAGGGCACACGCCAGGCACACACACGCCCGCGGGGCTGCGGAGGATCCCCGGATCTCCGGGCCTCACTTTGCGGCGCACCTCAAGCCTCGCTGAAATCCTTTTGCGAGATAAACCCACGCCAAAGATGTTTAAGAACCTCCTCGTACCGTTCGTTTTCGGCCTCGCCGTCGCGCACACCGCGCGCGCGGACGCGGGCGACACGTGTTCAACCCACACCGACTGCGTTGTTTCGAGCGGCTACGCGAGCGCGAACCCCTGGGCATCGAGCGAAGAGTTCTGTTACAACACCGGGACCTACAACGGCGTGACGGTCAGTGTGTGCTCAGACTGTTTCGGGTGCAGCGCGGGACCGCCACCGTATGGCAACTCGATCGACCAATCGTGCCCGTCCAAGTGTACGGACACAATTTCCAGTTACACCTCGTGTGGAACAGAAATCGCCACGGAAGTTGCCAATGGAGCCAAATGCTGGGACGGCGCCCACGGGTGCCCACCACTCCACAAAAAAGGCGGTAAATGGTGCAGTATGTACACGGGCGGCCAAAACGTATGCTGCGGTGACGACTGCTGTAAACCAGACGGTGGCGCGATCGCGGGCATCATCATTGGTACCGTCGTCGGCCTGACGTTGCTCATCGTCTCGTGCTGCTACTGTGGGCGGTGCGGGTGCTTCGCGTACCGACGCGACCAGCTCATCGCCACCGCCGTGGCGACGCGGCCGCAGCAGCCGCAAGTCATCTACGTCCAACAGGCGCCCGCAAAAGTCGACGTATAATCACGGACTCGCGGCGCGCGTCGTCGCCGTGCCTTTTTCGTATACATAACGTCGGTACATCGCGGTCGAGTGTGTCATAAATATATATTATGTGTATAACTGGACTGCATACCCGATTGTCCGTGAATACCCACCACGCGCATTCGCCGTCGATTCGCGCGACGGCGCTCGTCGACGCTTCGCGACGCGCGGCGTCGCGCGCGATCGCCGCGACGTCGCGCGAATCGCGTCGACGTCCGGGTCCGACATGCCGCGCTGGACGACCGTCGACGACGCCGCGACGGCGCTCGCGGAATCGCGCGGCGACGACGGCGCGCGCGTCGCGCTCGTCGACGTCGCGCGCGCGTGCGACGCGGTCGCGCGCGACGCGAGCGACGCGGCGAACGCGCGACGCGGACGCGCGCTGCTGGCGATCGCGGCGCGCGCGCGCGAGACGCGGCGAGGACGACGCGCCGAGGACGCGGCGGGAGACGCGCGGCGCGACGCGGAGGCGCTCGCGCGGGACGCGCGCGCGAGCGGGGCGAGCGAGGCGGCGATCGACGCGATCGAGGCGTGCGCGAGAAGCGCGAGGGCGTGGGAAGAGGCGGCGGCGGCGCGGGAAGACGCGGCGCGGGCGCGGAGGACGGCGCGGGAGAGGGCGAGCGCGAAGGCGCGGGAGCGGGACGCGGAGGACGCGCTCGGGACGATGAATCTCGGCGAAGCGGCGAGGGCGGCGAGCGCGGCGAACGTGATCCTGCGCGGCGAGGCGGAGGAGGAAGACGCGGAGAGCGACGACGATCGGGGCGTGGACGACGAGGCGCGAGCGACGTGCGAGCGCGTCGTCGAGCGCGTTCGACGCGTCGTGGACGAAGAGGTGAGCGCGAGCGTCGTCTTCGAGGGGTCGTCGCGGGTTTCCATCGACGCCGCGCGGTTGAGACGCGCGTGCGAGCGTTTGGCGGAGATTAGCGCGGATGAGACGCGTCTGAGGACGTCCATCGTGGCCAGGGCGCTGGTGGATGAGTTTTTAGCGCCGATGATTCGCGCGGGGGCGAAGAGCGTCGTCAAAGTCGTCGAAGAAGACGGCGGCGATTCGCTGCGGTACGAAACCGCGACGACGAAAAGCGTGGACGACGACAGCGCGCAAGCCTCGCTCGAGACGGCGTTGAGGTGGATCAGAAGTAAGTTGCCGAGCGAAGACGTCGCGAAAGCCGTCGGCGTCGAGGCGTGGGGAGACATCGCGAAGACGTGCGTGAACGCTTGGTTGAGCGCGCGACCGAGCGAGCGCGCGATCGATCGAACGTGCGCGGTCGAAGTCGTGGCTTCGAATTGCGGATTCGTGCCTCCGCCGTCGGACGGCGCGGCGTCGTACGCGGGCGGCGCTTTGGGCCCGCTCGAAGCCGAGGCGCTCGCGACGGAGATGCGCGAGGCGGAGACGCGCCGCGCCGCGGTGCTCGCGCGGGCGCGCGAGCTCGCGTTGAGTGACGATCAGACCATCGTTCGAACTTTGGGCGATGCGAAAACGCGTGGCGTAGGCCGCGGGACGGGCGAGGAAACTGAGACGTCGAAAGGCGCAAACAATCTTCTCGACGGCGCGCCCCGCACCGTGAGCAAGGCGACGGATTTACTCGCGGCGCACGTCGACGACGTGCTTCAATCGGCGACCGAGCTCGATCCGCACGCCCACCGGGCGTCAGCGAGCTTAGCCGCCGCCGCCGCGGATTGTCTAGATTTGTTTCGCGCCTGCGTCATCGCCGCGCGGGGAGAACAATTGAAGACAATTCACGCCGCTTCGCTCGTGTTTTACAACGATTGTCACCATCTGGCGAATCGCTTCAGCGCGAGCGTGTTCGCGCGCGGCGTGGCGTTAGAGCGACAGATCGGTCGTACGCCTGCGCTCATTTGGCCCGTCGAGCCTTTGAGAGCGTTAGGTGACGCTACTCGTGCGGAGGCCAATAATCGAGCGCTGCGCGAATTGCACGCCGCGCTCGACGTCGCGTCTGGGTTTTTGCGCTCGGCGGAAGTTCAGGTGAAAGAAGACATCGTCAAATCCATCGCGCGCGCGCGACACGTGATCCACCGCGTGGGTACGACGAGCATGTATGTCTTGCCCGATCCCATCGGAACGCAAGACGCGGCCGAGTTGGCGCTGCACTACGCGAGACGCGTGACGCTCGAAATCCTCTCCATGGAGGACATCTCGGTGGAGGAATCAGAAGCTTTGACGGAGATTATCGGCGTCGCGTTCGCGAGCGAAGGGTTAGTGGGCAAGAAGGGCGACGAAGACGCGATTCGCGCGCTCTTACGAGCCGTCGGCCCGGAATGGCAAAAAGTTCGAGAGCTCGGCGTCATGCTCAGCGCGCCTCTTCGCGACATCGCGACGAGCTGGGAGCGCGGATCGTTGCAGAAAGTCGGTTTTACCGCGAGCGAAGTTCGCGGTTTCATCGGTGCGCTGTTTAGTGAAACTCCGCTTCGAGCGGAGTGCCTAGCTAGAATAGGATAGTTTCGTAGATTAGCGGTAAACGTACGAGATATTGCGTTACATCACACCGCGTCGCGCCGCCGAATTATTACTTCGTCTCGAGGAGCTCGCCGTCTTCGTCGAACGAGTACGTCACGACCGAGCCAGATCTGGGCTTGCGTCCGATTGCCTTGTAGTGCACCGCGCTCGTGTTGCAAATCTTCACGAAATCGTCACCCTTGAGCGACGCGCCGCCGACCAAGAACCCGTCGATATCGCTCAGACGAGCCAATTCGGAGCAGTTGCCGGCGTTGACCGACCCCCCGTACTGAATGCGCGTCGCCTTGGCCACCTCTTCGCTGACGTTATCCGCCAGCCACTGACGAATCTTCGCGTGCACGTCTTGAACTTGCTCGGGCGTGGCCACCTTGCCAGTCCCGATCGCCCAAATCGGCTCGTACGCGATGACGACTTGCGATCCCCAGCTGGAGTGCTCCTTGTCGTCGATCTCCGTCGCCACGGCTTTGAGCTGAGCGAAAATCACATCCATCGTCTTTCCGCTCTCTCGCTCCTCCAGCGTTTCTCCGACGCACACGATCACGGACAAGCCGTGAAACCGCGCGTGCGCCACCTTCTTCCCCACGAACTCGTTCGATTCGTTGAAGAGATTTCTCCGTTCGCTGTGCCCGAGAATCACCCAAGGAATTCGTAAATCCTCCAACATCTCCGCGCTCACCTCCCCCGTGAACGCCCCCGTATCGCTATCGTAATGATGCGTCGGATCCACCAAACCCGGCTCGACCCAGCAATTCTGCGCCGCGACCTCGTACGGCGCCTTCAACGTCTCCGTCGCCTCGTCCAAGAACAAAAACGGCGGCGCCACGACGACGTCCACGTCCCTCAGCTCTCCCGCGTTCAGCTCCTCGATCAGCGTCTTCACCGACGCGCGCGTGCCGTTACACTTCCAATTTCCTCCCACGATGAACCGTCCGTTCCCCGCGTTCGTCGCGACGCGTCGTCGCGCGTCGTCGTCGCGCGGTCGCGTCAGCCATCGGCATCGCGTCGTTCGTTTCGTCGCGTCGCGCGCCGGCGTCGCGACGCGCGTCGGCGTCGCGACGCGCGTCATCGCGGTCATCGCGGCGTCGTTCGCTCGATCCGTCGCGCGCGCCGGAGGCGCGGCGTCGTCGACTCGCGTCGGCGTCGCGGCGCGACGGATAACGTCCGACGGGTGCCGAATGTCCGAATTCACATACATCCTCACTGTTTGTCCATAGAAACGCCCACCAACGTCGCCGAGGGGGCCTGCGCGACGCGCCGCACACCCGCGCGCGCGATGCACGCCGCCGCCCGAACGATCGCGCGACGATGCGCGCGACGCGCGTCCGTCTCCACGTCCGTCGCGCGTCAATTCGCGGTGCGCGAGCGACCGAGCGACGACCGACGCGCGCGACGAACGCGACGCGCGAACGATGACGTCTCGAGCGAGAAGACTGACGACGACGCGACGCGCGCGACGAACGCGACGCAGGCCGTGCCGCAGGGCGCAGGAGGCGCGACGAGCAACGCGGATGAATACGCGAAGATTCGCGCGACGCACGCGAACGTGACGGTGCGTGAGAAGAGAAGAGTGGGGGATCGAGCGGGACGCGAGGCGCGGGACGGAGGAGGACGACGCGCGAGGACGACGCGGGAAGACGACTGACGACGGGTGATGCGCGCGCAGTGGCCGGAAATTATCAATAAACCGATCGAAGAGGTCGATCCGGAGATGTCGGAGATCATCGAGCGGGAAAAGGCGCGACAGTGGAAGGGGCTCGAACTCATTCCTTCGGAAAATTTCGTGTCGAAGTCGGTGATGGACGCCGTGGGGTCCATCATGACGAACAAGTACTCTGAGGGTTACCCGGGAGCGCGTTATTACGGTGGTAACGAGTTCATCGATATGGCTGAGTCGATGTGCCAAGAGCGCGCGCTCAAGGCGTTCAACCTGGACCCGGCGAAGTGGGGGGTGAACGTGCAGTCGCTCTCGGGTTCGCCCGCGAACTTCCAGGTGTACACCGCGCTTTTGCAGCCGCACGATAAGATCATGGCGCTCGATTTGCCGCACGGTGGTCACTTGTCGCACGGTTACCAAACCGACACGAAGAAGATTAGTGCGACGTCCATCTTTTTCACTTCCGTGCCGTACCGCTTGGACGAGTCCACCGGCTTGATTGACTACGACGCGTGCGAAAAGACTGCGGCTTTGGTTCGCCCGAAGTTGATCGTCGCCGGTGCGTCCGCCTACGCGCGTTTGTACGATTACCCGCGAATGCGCAAGATTGCGGACAACTCCAACGCCATCTTGCTCGCCGACATGGCGCACATTTCCGGTTTGGTCGCCGCGGGCGAGGTGCCGTCGCCGTTCGACTACGCCGATGTCGTCACCACGACCACGCACAAGTCTCTCCGAGGCCCGCGTGGTGCGATGATCTTCTACCGTAAGGGTGAGAAGGGCAAGGATAAGAAAGGCAACCCGATCATGTACGATTTGGAGAGCAAGATTGATTTCGCCGTCTTCCCGGGTCTCCAAGGGGGTCCCCACAACCACACCATCGCCGGTCTCGCGGTGGCGCTCAAGCAAGCGGCTAGCCCGGAGTTCAAGGCTTACCAAAGGCAAGTCATGAGCAACATGCAAGCCATGGCGAACCGCCTCGTCCAACACGGTATCAAGCTTGTGTCTGGGGGTACGGATAACCATCTCGCTTTGCTCGACTTGCGCCCGATGGGCGTCGACGGCTCTCGCGTCGAGCGCGTCTTGGAGCTCGCGCACATCGCGTGCAACAAGAACACCGTCCCGGGTGACGTTTCTGCCATGGTGCCGGGTGGTTTGCGCATCGGTACTCCGGCGTTGACCTCGCGTGGTTTCACCGAGAAGGATTTTGAACAAGTCGCCGAGTTCATCGTTCGCGGCATCAAAATCGCGCAAGACGTCAAGTCCAAGTCTGAAGGCACCAAGCTCAAGGACTTCCGCGCCGCGCTCGAGTCCAAGGAGTGGCCGGAGCTCACGCAACTGACCAAGGATGTCGAGGAGTTCGCCACGCAATTCCCGACCATCGGTTTCGAGAAGGCTGAAGGCAAGTACACGCAGTCTCTGTGAGTTTTTGAAACGCGCGCGCTTTACTCTGTTCATTTATATCACTCATCAGCACGATGAATTACGAAATTTGCAATGTTCACACACCATGATTTTGTTTCAAATCATTTCGCTCATTTAGCCGATGATGATGCTGTCGTCTTTCAATACAATTTGCGTCGCGTTTGAGGCGCCGCGGCTAAATTAGATGCGCTAAAAACTCTCAGATGTACTGGCTGACCCATCTGAAACCCTCGGCGTATCCCATGCGACGAACGACGGAGCACATGAAAACTTCAATCGGTCGCATGTTCGTGTTCTCCAAGTTCACCTTACCCTTCCCCGTGGTGTAATTCGTCAATCCCAAGCAGTGTCGTAACTCCTCCTCGCTCGCCGCGTGCGGAATGTCAATCTTATTCCCCAAAATCAAAAACGGCACGTTCCCGAGCGAATCATCGCCGAGCAAAGAATCGAGCTCCTTCTTACTCTCCATGAACCGCTCCTTATCCACCGCATCGACGAGAAACACGATCGCATCCACCTTGGCGTAGTAATCCTTCCACACGCGTCGCGCGACTTCGTGTCCGCCCAAATCAAACGCCTTGAACCGGATCTGCCCGATCGACAACTCCTCGCTCGTCGGGTACTGCGTCGGCTGATGCTGCGCCAATCGTTCATCCTTGAGCATGTGCATCAATGTCGTTTTCCCCGCGTTATCTAACCCCTGCGCGTGCGTTAAAACCGTTCGCGCGCGCGTCAGTCACACGAAATCCGTCGACTTTCGTCGCGGCCCGTTGCGTCGCGATCTTCATCTTTTCCGTCGTTTTCGCGCGCCGCGACGCGCGCGCGCGCCGTCTCGCACGCTCAAACGACGCACCAAAAACAGTATCTTCGCATTCTTCTGCCACAGCCCGAGACTGGCGAGGACGTCGTAGAACCAGTCGAAGAAGAACACCATGGCGCGTTGTGCCGCGCCCGCGCGCGCCGCGCGTCGCGTCGTCGACGCGAGACGACGCCTCGACCGCGACTCGACGGCGCGAATGGCGTCGCGGCTCGCGCGGACGCGCGTTAAAAATACGCCGCGTCGATGGCGCGCGTCGTCGGCGGCGCGCGCGGCGACGCGCGGGCGCGGACGACGCGCGACGTCGTTCGCGCCGCTCGAAATATCTGCAGCTTCGCGCGGCGCGGCGCGAGCGGCGCGCGGCGCGGCGCGAGCGGCGCGCGCGCGCGGGCGTCGGGTCGTCGTCGTGCCGGGATTTTTGACCGGGAGCGACGCGTACGAGGGCGTCGCGCGCGCGCTGGCGCGAGCGATCGGGGACGACGCGCGCGTGCGCGTCGCGCCGGTGAAGCGAGAGATGTGGTTCGGGACGCTGCGCGGCGGTTCGTTCGAGGAGATTTTAGACGTCGTCGACGCGTGCGCGCGAGAGGCGGCGAGGGATGGCGGTGAGAGGGTGTGCTTGGTCGGACACAGCGCGGGAGGGTGGTTGGGGCGGTTGTATTTGGGCGACGCGCGGGCGTATCGCGGCGAAGCGCCGTACGACGGCGCGCGATTCGTGGACGCGTTGATCACGCTCGGCGCGCCGCACGGGAGCTTGGAGAAGTATCCGTTCGGTCGCGTGAGAGAGAATAGACCGGGGGAGAGCGAGTCGATGCCGGACGACGCGCGAGGGTCGTCGCTCGCGTTTACGAATTATTATTATCCGGGCGCGTATCGCGCCGACGTGCGATACGTCGACGTCGTCGGTGATTACGCCCGCGGCTCGGCGAATTTCGAGCTCTTTGACGCGCTGTGCGATAGGAGTGACACCAAGCGACCGCTCGTCGATCGCGTGCGCGCCGCTTGGGAAGCGTTCACGATCGGAGTTTCGTACGCCGCCAACTGCGGAAGAGCCGACGTCCGCGGCGACGGCGTCACCCCGATCGACACCGCCCACGCCCTGACGGGCTCTGAACACGTCATCTTGCCCGGCGTGTACCACGGCCCGACGAAACCGACTCGTTGGTACGGCGCCGATTCCGTCGTTGAACTGTGGTATCCGTACTGTTTGTAACAAAGCTCGCCCGCCGGCCGCCGCCGCACAACGCGCCGATGTCCGATCGCGCCGTCGTCCCGAGCGCGTCCGCCGAGCTCGCGCGCGCGTCGTCGCCGTCGTCCACGACGCGCGCGCGCGTCGAAGTGGACGCCGGCGACGACGCGCGCGTCACCGCGCTCGGTTTCAAGCGCTTCCTGTGGCCAATCCACGAGCGTGAATTCGTTCGCGACGTCCGCGCGCGCATCGCCGGCGCGTTTCGCGCGCGCGGTCTGCTCGCGGAGGACGCTTTCGACGCGTCCGAGGTGAGGCTGGAGATCGATGGGTACGAATTGCTGGACGAGTGCTTGGCGAGGGACGTGGTGCGGGACGACGACGTGGTGCGAGCGAGACGACGCGCGGACGCGGGGAGGCGCGCGGACGCGCGCGCCTCGCCGCGAGCGATCGGGGAGATATTCCAGAGCGAGCATCGACCGTTGGCGCCGGCGGTGAGCGATGGAGAGGAGGAAGGCGCGAGGACGCTTCGATTGGGCGACGACGGCGGCGCGTCGACGAAGCGGAGTCGGAGCGCGAAGCGGAAGAGTAATAAACGCGCGAAACGACGCGTAGAATTTGATACGTTGGAGGATTTACAAGTGGTGAGCGATAGTACGGATGAGGAAAACTGTGAGGCGGGACGGGCGGAGGAAAGACGGCGGAAGAAGACGACGTACGCGCCCGAGCCTTTGCCGGATTACGACGCGAAACCGAAACCAAAGCGCGCGGGGGATTACGTGCACATCAGCACGCCGTATGTGCCCGATCCGGAGAGCGATGCGGCCAGAATTTTGGCAAAGAGAGATCAGTTTCGGCGAGATGTTCGCGAATCCGGCGCCGGGGCGTGGGAACTCAACGTCTTCCGGAGCGAGTTGCCGGACGACGAAGTGCGGGAGTTCCCGACTGCGACGACGCTCAAGAGATCGGATTTTATCGCGTACAAATTACGCCATCCCACGCCCGGCGTGAGCGGTGAGTATTATCAGGGACGTGTGATGCACTTCGATCCCGTCACGAGAGAAGTCCGCGTCAAGCCCATGCCCGAGGATCGCGTCACGGCGGCGGGGCATTTATTCTTCAAACTTCGTCAGCGCGCGCCCGAGCCGTTCAATAAGCTCGGTGAACTGATCGGAAACTTTGACGAAGTGATGCACGACGTCAGACTCATAGGTGGTCGGAGCGTTTGGGAAGGCGACGTGCCGTCGAAGACTTGGACGCCCGGACGAGTGTATCAAAAGCCGCCGGGTTGGCAGCCCGGGCAGCGGGAGACGAACGAAGAGTACGAGGAATGGCTTGAAGAGCACATTAAGATACACGAGTACCAGATGGCGAACGCGCGTAAATGGGACGAGAAAATCGTGCGCGGCGATCGAAACTGGCGCGACGGCGACGGCGCGAGTCGACGACGACCGCATCGGCACGAGCGCGCGCGCCAGCAACGAGAACGAGAAGAAGAGCGAGAACGCGAAGAAGCGCACCGTTGGCCGACTTCCGCGGAGGAACTGCAGGCAAAGTTGATGGCGGAGTGGAAGGCGGAAGAAGCGGCGAACACGCTCGCTTCGCCAGCCGCTGCGCCCAAGCCTGGCGGTCTTCCGCCTCGCATTCCCGGCGTCGAACAGCCGCCGCCGCCGCCGGGATCGCCCCCGAAACCGACGACGGCGCGGAAGAAGTCGCCGGAGACGCGCCGCGCGCGCCGCGCGTCCACCGCCGCCGCGGTGGCCATGTTTCGCGACTCTGGAGACATTTGAACAAAACAATAGCGACTATACGGTAGCAATACAACGACTAGTAGCCAAACCTCGCGACCATCGCGACGTTTCTTTCGCGCTATTTTCTGAGCGATCGAAAAGTCCTGTTGGACAGGAACAGCATCCCGAAGAAGAACACCGCCTCGAGCGCCCCCCGCGGGGCGTCGACCGCGAACGAGCTCCCGAACGCGCCGCCCAACGCCGTGCCGACCGCGAGCGCGGCGCCCATGCGCGGGTCCACGTTTCCCATCCTATAATGCGTCCCGAGCGCGACGACGGACGGCGGAAGCATCGCCAACAACGACGTCCCGAGCACCGCGGCTTGCGGCAACGGCGACACCAGCGCCAGCAACGGCGTCACGAGCGTTCCACCGCCGATCCCGAGCAACCCGCTCGCGAATCCCGCCGTCGCTCCCACCGCGACGAGCGTCGGCGCCGACGCCGCCGCGTCAAACTTTTCCTTCCCTCCCTCGCCGCTCTCCCTCGCGCGAAACGCCACCGCCTTCAGCGGCACCATCGGCGCCGCGCCCGCCAAGAACCACGCCAGCGTTCGACGCAGCGCCGCGCAGTCCACCCTCGCCGTCATTCGCGCGCCCAGCGGCGCGCTCAGCGTCGCCGCGCCGCCCAGGAGCGCCGCCGCCGCGTGATCCGTCAGCCCCTCCCGCGCGAACGTCCCCGCGCTCGCGCTCGCCGTGCCGACGACGGCGACGAGCGACGTCCCGCTCACGACGCGCTGCGGCACCGTCTTGGCCGCGCTCGCGACGACGGGCGCGATCAGCGCGCCGCCGCCGACGCCGACGCACGCGCCGAACGCGCCGGCGACGAACCCGAGCGGCGCGCTCAGCGCGAGCGCCCTCGCGCGGTCCGCGGGCGAGGCCTCGGCGCGGTACGCGCGACGCGCGAGCGTCGTCGCCGACGACGCGACGGCGCGACGCATGGCGCGCGTCGCGCGCGACGCTCTGACGCGAATGGAATCGCCGCGGCACTTCGAGACGCGCGCTCGCGTCGCGGCGGCGTCGCGACGCGACGCGCGCGGCGCGAACGCGCGGCGAAAGTCGAGGGCGAACGCGCGGCGCGCGATGGGGACGCTGGCGCGCGCGCGCGCGCGCGCGGTGGCGTCGAGAAGGGATAACACGGCCGTTGAAGCGGCGGCGCGATTGGACGTGAAACCGACGCGGGAGCGCGCGTGGACGGCCGAGGACTCGAGCGAGGACGCGCGGGCGCGGGCGTTGGCGGTGCAGCACGCGCGGGCGGCGCACGCGCTGACGGAAGACGAAGAGCGCGGACGCGGGACGCGCGCGAGGGTTGGCGGCGAGGGGGACGACGCGCGAGGCGGCGACGACGACGATTGGACGTGCGCGACGTGTCGAGCGACGTACGGGCGCGGAGAGACGAGCGTGAGCGATGGGTCGTGGACGACGTGCGCGGTGCGGCGAGGAAGGGCGCGAGGAAGGGCGATGCTCGTCGCGCGGGGCGACGTGTTCGACGCGACGGAGTTTTTAAAGACGCACCCGAGCGGACCGGCGCCGATACTGCGCGCGATGGCGCGCGATAACACCGAAGATTTAGAGATGCATAGTTCTAGAGCGAGAGGGATTTGGGAAAGGTTTCGCGTGGGTAAGCTGACTCCCTGCGGCGAGGGAGGCTACGGCGAGTTTCAACCGCCGCCGAAGTTGCGGCTCGGGTGCGCCATCACGTGAAATATTCGTTCGTAGTACCGGTAGTCGTAGTTAGAGAGGTTTTAGTCGTATAGCAAGCACTAATCGTAAGAAGTCGCTCTCGTCGTGGCGTCGTGTCGTGGCGTGTTGGTACAAAATCGCCAGAAAAATATCGTTGTACAGCGGCGGCGCGAATAATTTCGTCGCTCACGCGAGCGCGTGACTGACGCGTTGCGGTTCTTGCGCAAACACCTTCGTGCTCATCACGCGCGTCGTGAGTAGCTTTTCAGCGAGTCCAACCCCGAAAGCGGCTTGCACGCCGCTCTTGATTTGTTCGTTCTGTTGGATGAGCTGTCGCAACTCTCCGTCGTCCCAAGAAAACACTCTGCAGCGTTCGGCGGCGACGACGGTGGCGCTCGCCGCGCGCGGACGTTTGGATTGCTTCTTCGCGTTCGATCCCGCGATCGAACGCATTAAACTCATTTCTCCGATGAACGATCCGGCATCGATGGAGTTGACGGATTTCCCGCCGACGTAAACCTCCGCCGAGCCGTCGATCAGCACGTGCACGTTTTCGTTCATCTTCCCCTCCTTCGTGAACTCGAATCCGCGCTCGATGTCGCGCCACTTCCCGTGCTTCAACAGCGTTCTGAACGAATTCAGCGCCATGTGAGAGAAGTGTCGATCGTACAGCGATCGTTCCTCCGTCGTGCACCAGTGTTCCGCGTTGTATTCGTCGTAGTACAACTTCGCCACCCAAAACACGTTAATCGCGACGAACAGCGCGTTCCAGCGAATCGGCAACCACAGCGGAACGTCGCGAAAATACTGAAACACGACCGCCGCGCTCAATCCACCGACCGCGAGCGCCCTCAGCGTCAACAAATCGCTCGTCATGTAACTGTATCCCAACAGCAAAAAACTCACGTGCCCGGCCACCGACGAGAGCGACGTCGCGACGCGTCCCCGCGCCCCCGGGAACACTCGAATCTCGCGTTCGCGCACCATGAACGCGTTCACGCGCCGCATCGCGTCCGTCGCCGTCGCCGCGCTCGCGCTCGCGCTCGCGCTCGCGCTCGCGCTCGCGCTCGTCGTCCCCCTCGCGCGCTCGAACGCCCGCCATCCCGTCCCCGCCCGCTCGCGCGCGCGCGTCCGCGCCACCGTCGCGCCCGCGCTCGCGCACCGCCCCGTCCCCCCGATCGCGTCGCGCGCCGCCCGCGCCGTCGCCGCCGTCGTCGTCGCGCCGCGCGCGCGTCCCGTCGACGCGACGTCGCGTCCCGTCATCGCGCGCGCGACGTCGCGCATCGCGACGCGCGCGACGCGCGACGCGCGCGACATCGACGCGACGCGGCGTTCGCGACGCGCCGTCGGCGCTCGCGCGCGCGCGCGTCGCGCGACGCCGACTCGCGCCGGCGACGCCGCGGCGCTTCGGAAGCGCCGCGGCGCGTCGACGATTTATCGCGCGCGCGCTCTATATAGATCGGCTTCACGCATCGCACGATGCGCACGTTTCGCGCGACTTTTCTGGATAGTACCGGATGTCCGAATATTTTCGTATGGTGTTTCAGTGAGACGTCAAATAGACGATATCCAGGGGACCGACCGATCGAATCGTCGGCCGCGTCGTCGCCGCGACACGTCGACGCGATGCGGATCGCGAGCGCGACGCGACGCGCGAGCGCGGCGCGATGCGCGGCGCGCGTCGACCGCGTCCGCGCCGATCGATCGCGACGCGGGCGCGCGACGACGCGGGACGTCGAACGGCGCGCGACGAGAATCGGCGGCGGCGGCGAGCGATGGGAATTCCAGGCGCGCGCGCGACGCGCGAGGGAAAACGGGCGCGCGAGGGGAGAGGGAGGGAAAGAAATCGCGACGCGGACGTCGCGCGCGGGCGCGCTGGGCGCGGGAGAGAGCTTCGACGAGGAGGCGGCGCGGGCGAGACGCGCGGCGACGAAGGCGGCGGCGAATCGCGGGTTGGAGTTGTGGTGGCGCGCGGTGAAGCTGCCGATGTACGCCGTGGCGTGGATACCGCTGTTGTGCGCGGCGGCGTTGACGTATTGTCAGTTTGGATTCGTGGATTGGAGGCACGCGGGGACGCTCGCCGCGGGGGCGACGGCGACCGTCGCGTGGTTGAATTTGTCAAACGACGCGTTCGATTCGGAGACGAACGTCGACGCGAGGAAACCGGAATCGATCGTGCGATTGATGGATGGAAATGTGCGCGCGGTGCACGCGATCGCGATCGGGTGTCTCGTCGGCGGCGCCGCGGCGTTGTGGAGCGCGTGCGAGGCGAGCGGGAATCCGACGTCGTGGCGCGCGCTCGTCGCGGCGGTGGCGCTCGGATACGCGTACCAAGGACCGCCGTTCAGGTTATCGTATAAAGGATTAGGCGAGCCGCTTTGTTTCACCGCGTTCGGGCCTTTGGCGACGGTCGCGTTTTACATCGCCATGGCGGGAAAAGCCGCCGGCGGCGCGGCGGTCACCGTCCCAGCCATCGTGGCCAGCGTCGCCATCTTGCTCGGATGCACGACGGCGTTCATTCTGTTCACCTCACACTTCCATCAAGAGCAAGGCGATCGCGCGGCGGGCAAGCTCAGTCCCGTCGTTCGCCTCGGTTTACCCGGAGCCCTCCTCGTCGCCGACAACCTCATCGGCGCGCACTACGCCACCATCGCCACCCTCGCCGCCGCCGGTTGGCTTCCCTACACCGCCGTCTTCGGCTTAATCATCACCTACCCCCTCGCTCGGCACATCGTCGATTTCGCTCAAGACCGCGCCGACGCCGGCGCGATCGAAGACCTGTTCTACACCAAGTATTTAGCCGTGCGCTATCACGTCGTCCACGGCGTCCTGCTCGCCCTCGGCGTCGTCGCCCAGCGCGCGTTCCTGTCCCCGGACTTGTTCTTCGCCCCATTGTGATCTCACTGAACGCATCGCATCGATCGCACCGTCTCGACGTCGCGCGCGTCATCGCTCCTCGACCGACGCGCGTCTCTTCTCTCGCGCTCGATTTCGAGGCGTCTTCTCCGGTCGACGCGTCACATTCCGTCGGCGATGTGGTGCTGCGGCGACGACGACGTCGTCGCGCCTCGCGCGCGAACGCGCTACGACGACGACGACGACGACGACGCGCTCGACCGACGCGCCGAGCGCGGCTACGCGCGCGCCGACGACGCGAGCGCGACGACGACGACGACGACCGAAAGCGCCGAACTCTGCGCGCTCGATTCCTCGTATTTGCTGCGTGAACACGCGAAACGGAGCGACGGCGCGCTCGCGGACGATGCGCTGATGGCGTACGGACACGCGCGATCGACGAGCGCGCCGCCGAGGGCGTCGAGGATGATGCGAAGAGAGGGAGACGGCACGGGACGGGGACGCGAGGCGAAAGTCGAGCGAGCCAAGGGGAGCGCGGAGGACGCGAACGGTGGATCGGCGAGAGAATTGGCGAGCGGTGACGGTGAAAAAATGATGTCGAGGGATGAGGACGCGATCGGTCATCGACGCGCGGCGAGCGTGAGTCTCAGTACGGCGGACGTGCGAGGGGTCAACTTGACGGAGATTAAGCGCGAGTTCGCGCGGATTAAATCGAGCGAGCGCGAGCCGAGAAAGTCGCACAGGAGTGAGACGGAAGATTACGATAACTCCTGTCCGACGTGTTTCGAGGAATACGAGGCCGAGAATCCGAAGATAACGCTTCGATGTGGACACCACTTCCACTTGGCGTGCATTTTGGAGTGGCAAGAGTACTTGGCGGTGCAGTCGCGAGACGACACGTGCCCGGCGTGCGACGCTCCGATAGACTTTCAGGAATGGTTTTAGCGACGATGACGAGGGCAAACGTGCATTCATTTCTTTCATTCATTCATGTCTTTCTTGTAATATTACAGCGCACTGATGAAGATCAGCTAGACGAGGACGCGACGCGCGGCGTAGACGCTCTCGGCGAGCTTCTCCTTCACGGTGAACATCAACGCGGCGGCTAGGATGGTCTGTGTCAGCTTGGTTTCGATGCCCTTGTAAAAAACGCCCAAACCTTCCTCGGCTGCCATGCATCGGACGGCGTGCGCTGTGCCGCGGTAGCGCATGCGGTCGTCCGCCATGTCTTTGGAGACGACTTGGAGACGAGATTTGACGACCATCAAGGGGTAGGTTAACATCGTGGCGCCAAATTTGGCGCACGCGCCGAATACAAAAATTTCAGGCGCGCTTAACGTCGTTTTACGATCGCGTTTGAGCCTCCACTTGGCGACGGTTTCGTAAAACGCGTACTGCAACGCGGGATTCGCCACCATGACGAGCGACGGGGTCAACCCTTGCCATAATCCGCACACGCCACCATCCCGTACCACCTCGCGCGCGATGTCGAAGAACGAACGTTTCTTCTTCCCGCTCCCGTTTTGATCTCCGTTTTTCTTCCCTCCTTCACTCGTCGCCGATCGTAGCTTCGCCGCCGCCGTCTCCGCGTCGACGTCCCGCTCGACCGACGCCGCCTCCTCCCCGTCATCCCGATCGTTCTCTCGCCTTCGCACGTCCGCTTGCATCTTCGTCACGATCGTCCATATCGGCAGCGTCATCAGCACGTTCACGCATCCCGCGAACGACGCGATCGCCAAGCTCGCCGCCCCCGTGGCGTCCCTTCCGCGTCTCGCTCGATACGTCCCGTTCGCGCGCGAGTACCAGTAGTTGTACACCGCTTGGCTGCACGCCGTCCCGACCAGCGCGGGTTCGATGCCGTCGTACATGGACGAAAGCGAGGACGTGCTCGGCGCGTCGTCGCCGTCGTCGCCGTCGCGTTCGCGGCGTCGCGTGACGTGTTGTCGCGTGTTCAGGGTGATGAGTGGGTACGTGGTCACGAGCGCTAATAACGCGCCGAGCGTGCCGGCGGCGGCTTCGACGACGTCGTCTCTGGCGTCCACGGGTGGCATCGCGCGCGCTGCGCGTTCGCGATCGAGCGGCGGCGACGAGCGCGCCGTCGACGCGCGCGACTGGGTGTGACGACGGTTTGCGTCTGTTGGTTTTCGCGCGCGCGCGCGAGTCGACGAGACGGGACGTCGTCGCGACGGTTCGGTCGACGCGCGCGCGCTGAAAGAAACGTGTGCTATTAACGCATAGGTGACGCGCGGTGGCGCGAGCGACCGCCGCCGTCGCGGCGGTGACGTCTAGGCGATGCGTCCGGCGAGGACGAGTCGCTGCGGCTTTCGAGCGAGCTGGAAAGCGAACGGTCGCGGCGTCTTCGACCGTCTCGGCGACGCCTTCGACCACCGTCGCGCCCATCGCGCGCGTCGCGGTGGCGACGATCGTCGTCTAAAGATCTCGACGAGGATCTCGATCGTCGGCGGTGGCGTTTTCGATCGCGACCGGCGCCGGGACTGCGCGGTCGTTCGTCGCGGCGACGAGACGGCGACCTCGATCGCGACCTTCGACGAGGCGGCGCGGGCGACCGGCGTCCACGCCCGGCGTTCGCGCGCGAACCACCGCTGAATCTGCCACGGTCGCGATGCCCGGTGGTTTCATCGCGTCTCGACGCGCGCGCGAAGCGATCGCCGCGCGGCGGAGACCGCGAGCGAGACCTTCGCGAACGCTCGCCGCCGCCGAAACGCGACTCCACGCCACCGTCGCGATCGCGATCGTCCCGTCGCCCACCGAGCCCGTCGTTTCGCGGTCGCGCGCGATCGTGTTCCTCGCGTCTTCGCCCCCCGTCGCTCATCGCGTCCTTCCCGAACCGCTCGCCGCCGCCGCCGCCGCGCCGCACCGTTCGTCCGTCGATCTCCCCACCATCCATCCGCGCCATCGCCCGCTCCCGTTCGCCCTCGCTCGCGAATCCAACCCTCGCGAAGTACGTTCGCGTCGCGTTCGACGCGCGCGCTCGCCCTTCCCTCGCGCTTCCGTTCGTCGCGCGCGCCTCGCTCGTCACCGTCGCGCTCGCCGCGTTGAATATTTCTCTCACGTGCGCCGCCGACGTCCGCGCGCTCAGCGGGCCGACGTCCGCGTACACCAATCGCATCGTCTCCGGCGACGTCGTCGCCGGCGCCGCGCGCGTCGCGCCGTCGCCGCGACGCCGCGTCGTTTCGAAACCGTCGGCTCGACGCCAATCCATCAAACTAATCGCGCTTCTCGTTCTCTCGCGCTTCGCAGACGCGCTTCGCGGCGCGCGCGATCGGTCGCGCGCCTCGTGAACGCCTCGATGCGGTCGCGCGACGCGCGCGCGGACGAAAAACGACGCGCGCGACGCGGGCGAGCGCGATGAAGTGCCGCATTGTTTGACGCCAACTTCAAATCAATCATGGCGCCGAGCGCGTACACGCCGTCGACGTCGAAAACGTTCGACGGTCGCGCGCTGCGACCGGACTACAAGTCGGCGAGCGCGGGCGCGGACGACGTGGACGAATACCCCGTGAGCTCGCCCGTGGAGAGCGATTGTTTCGGGGACTCGGAGAGCGAGCCGGACGCGCGTTTCGCGACGTACACGGGCGCGATCAGCGTCTACGGCGAGTTTCGCGATCGACGGTCGCCGAGGCAGGTGTTCTTGCGACGGAATCTGAGTTATCACGTCGAACGCGCGAGCGCGGGGTCGAGGGATGAGCGAGGAAGCGCGCGGGCGCGCGGCGCGGCGGCGCGCGAACGCGAACTCGCGGAAAAATACGAGACGACGTACGAGTACGATCGATGCACGACGAGAGTCAGAGTGCGAGGATACGGGTGTAATATGTGTAAATGCGTGTGCGTCGGCTTGCGGGGGTTGATGACGCACCTGAGGGCGTCGCATGATTTGTTTAGGTACAGCGCGAGACGGGAGGGACGGCGAGCCATCGTGCGAATTTATCCAAAGGGGGAGAATTTTACCGCGGATAGGAGCTTCGTGTTGCGGTCGCAGACGGATATTCAGACGGCAAATGATAAGGAGTTTTCGTTTTATCGAGGGAAACGGTCGAAGAGGGAGGTATTTAGAGAGAGAGTGACCAAGGCGGAGCTCGACGCGTTGTACGAGCGAGACGTGCGAGCGGCGCCGCCGCCGCGGGTGGTTTGGCGCGCGGTGCCGAATGATGATCACTACGATCGTGTAAAATTAGAGAAGCGCAAACGCGCGCAAGAAGAAGAACGGAGAAGAATCGCGGCGTTACCTTTCAAGCCGATGGTATGCAAGAAGAACGCGAATGGGGCGGCGAGCGCCGCCGCGACGAAACCAAAACCAAAACCGCCAAAGAAACCACTTGGACCGTTTTACAATTCGAGGTCATTCGTCGAGATGTCAGAGATTCCAGAGCAAGATTCTGACGATGAGAACTTGATTCCCGTAGAAATCATGGAAAGCAAACGCTTCATGGAAGAGTTCGTGGATTTTAGCACCGAGGAACTGTCATTCATGGAGGCTTGGAACGACGTCGCGATGAAATTTCGCTGCGTCGCGGATTACGAAGCCCCCTCGCTATGCGAAGCGTTCGTGCGCGTGCATGGCGATAAACTGAAAGTTAGCGACGAGTTCTTCAAAATGTTCGTGCTCACGCTCTTCGGGATGTACGAAAACGGCATTCTCAACCGCCGCGCGGTGGCGGAAGCCTTGGGAAAATGCAAGTCGCTCTCCGGCGCCTCCGCCTTCGATCGAGTCTCCACCTCTGTCACAGACCGCGAGCACTGTTCCGTCGCCCTGTTCGAAAAGTTTCCCAAGTTTGTCACGACCCTGAAAAATCTTAGCTACTAGCCTTCGGGAAATCGACGCACGCGTACGTGAAACAGAACCAAACTACCGAGTGCGTGCGCCAACAGTCCCGCACTCGCGTCGCCAACATCCTGCTTTCACTCTCGCGCTCGCCGACTCGCCGACTCGCGGCGCGCGCGGCGCGCGCGGCGGGCATGGCGCTCGAGGGCATGGCGCCCGAGTGCGAAAGCACACCGCTGCTGCGCGCGCCTCCGGCGCGCGCGACGGCGGCGCACGGCGCGACGGGACGCCGACTCGGCGCGATTCTGAGCGGTGCGCTCGGCGTTTTCGGCGTCGCGTGCGCGATGATGGCGTCGCGAGGCGTCGGCGACGCGCGCGCGCGACTGGGCGAAGTGTCAGGGGGTCAGCTGTCGCAACTGGCGGACGTGCCGTGCCTGGCGGCGTGCGAAGCGGGACCGACGCGCGAGGCGGTTGCGAGGCTCGCGAACGGCACGGGGACGTGCGAGACGGTGAACTCGGTCTCGGCGAGCGATTGCTTCGCAAAGTGCGATTGCTTCGGAAAGGTTGATTTTAACGAGCGACGAAAGGTGCTGTGCGCGACGAATGTCGGCGAAGACGCGACGCACGCGACGATGGACGACGAACTCTGGACGACGAAGATCAACGCAAAGTTGAAGGCGGAGTGCTCAAGCGACTACCAGGCAACCGGCGAACGAACGGACGAGGAGATTCAAGGACATGAAGTCGTAGGAAATGAACTCGATACGACGCAGGCATCGACGAATTCGACGAATTCGACGTCTCGACTCGGTGCGAAACTGTTTCCGCGTGGATACTCGGATGTCGAGCGAGCGATGATGGCGTCGGCGGCGGCTTTGGGCGAGCAAGATGTTTGGCGTGGGCACGTCGTAAACGGCAGACACACGTTTCTGGCGCCTCTCCCAAACGCGCACGAGAGAGCTCCTGATCGTGACCCGATCACTTTCAAATTATATACGCAGTGCAAGACACGGGAAGTGAAAGTCGCCGGCGGAGAATTCTGGTTTTCCGCGCCCAAGGCGGCGTACATCGTCAGGCACAATTTCGAGTCAGATAAATTCTTCACCAAAAAAAACCGCATTAAGATGGAACGCAAGGAACTTTCGGACGGACTCTACGGATACGAAGTGACAACATCGCATGTGGATTTCGAATACGGCTTTGAACTTGAGAACGCCGCGGGGAATTCTTACAAAGACATCGGCGCAAGCACCACCCTGCGCCGAGAGAGTTGCGTTCAGCGGTATGGGGAGTTCTTCAATCGCGTCGTGACGCTCAATCGGGGTCAATCAACGATCGGAGCCGTCTTTGGCGACTGCGATAGCGTGTGTCCCGAGGACTACGTGGACGAAGCCTACTGTCGACAGCCGTTCACGGGTGAACCTGGAACGTCTGAGGCCGATCCCATGGATCTTGGTTTGGTGGACGACGCACGTCTCATCAATATGGCTTCCGCCTTATTATATTCTACGAGTGAGACGGTCATGAATCCGAGTGGACGAGCGGAAACATTCCGCCAAGATGCCGGTTCAAAAAGTGAACAAAAATGGATCATCGCCGCGAGCGATTACTACCGCGCTTACATAAAAATGGTCCAGATAACCATTCGTCGTGATCCCGCGAGCGGACGGGCTTCGGCTTGGATCTCTGGCAAGCGCCGTTACACGCTGCGATCCGGCGCCGGTTACGAATACGGTACTTCTAACGTTGGGCAAATCAGCGGCACCGGCTGCGGACGACAATACTGCAACACAGCCAGGTACGACATTCCGTCTTTCTACGAGCAAGGCGTGGAGACGACCGCGTTTACCGCGTCACTCACTCGCATGGAATACACGAAACTGTCTCTCGGCGATGCTCCACCGACAGGTCACAACGTCTTGTTCGAGCCAAACTTTTTGACGTCTCCGCAAATGATTCTTGCCCCGGGCGCATGGGGCGAAGATATGGATGTGCGCCGCCTCATCTTGAAGAACGGTGTCATGTGCGGTAGATCGATCCACTCTTCCAACTGCATGTTTGGAAAGGCGTTCGCCCTAAAGGACACCGTTTCCGGGTACTCAGGCCCGTCCAAGACGAGAAAAGATTGGCTCTTCATTGTTGTCGAGCACGTGTATTTCAAGATGATTCGCGTCGCCATCACCCTCGGAGACGACAACGCCGTGAACGCTGAAGTCATCGCAGCTGGATACGTCAGTCATATTCGAGTCGCGACTGATCTTCAGACGAGCGATTCCATGGCGTACGACGGCTCGGCGAAATGGAACGTGCGAAGCTTCATGTACATCGCCTCCAATTTCGCCGCCGAAGGATACGGATTGGGCGGATTCAAGTTTGATTTGGCGGCCGAGATGTCCGCATCCTTGCGCGCCGTCGACTGCGGCGCATAATTTGGCATCGTGATGCACTAACTATTTCGTCCTATTAATACGAACGAAGCTACTGTATGTCCTTTTGACTACTCTGACTCACGCGCTCGCGCTTTCGATGTCGCCCAGACTCGCGCCCACCTCGACGTCGAGCCGCATCGGTGCCTTCCACTTTCTCCGCGCGTACAGCGGCGCGTCGCTCGCGCTCACCACCGCGCGCTCACGCGCCACCGCGTCCGCGCGCGACGTCGCCGCGCGTGATTCGTCGTCGTCGGCGCATCGCACCGGGCGCGGCAAATCTCGATCGACGACGTCGCACGACGCGAGCGCGCTACCGTGAGCGCGCGCGACGGCGTCGAGACCGCGCACGGAACACGTCACGCGCACGGCACCGAGGGCGCGATCGGCGAGGGCGCGAGCCATGAGAACGGGGACGGGGGGATCGACGCCGACGCGACGGCGCATCGCGACGCGTCGGCGAGTGCGGCGGACAGACGGAAAAGTCGCGAGGGGTCGCGCGGCTGGGCCGCGCAGCGGTAGCGCGATTGATCGCTCGCGGCGAATGTGCGTGCGGGCGAGGGCGAGACGACGATCGAGGACGCGTTCGAGCGTTCACGAGACTAGCTCTCGATGATATGACAAATGGAATACGAGCCACCGAAGGCGCCGTCCGTTTAGTGGGTGGCGTCCTTCGCGGCGGCCGCAGCCGCCGCAGCGTGCTTCTTCTTCATCATCTTCTTCTGGTAGAACTCAAGCTCCTTACCCTCCAAGACGTAGCCGTCCGCACGACCGCACTGACCAGGGCGAGACGTGATGATGGCCAACAGACGACCCGTGGCAAACTGCTCGTCAATCGCTTTGGCAACTTCGTGCTTTTGGTTACGGGAGCGGAGCTTCATCGTCACAGACTTAGATCGCTTCTCTTCAATGTCTTCACTCTCAACCTTAGCACCATTCTTAACCTTGATACCAATCTTCTTGCCGTAGTGCTGGGCGTACCACGCGCGAAACGGCGCCGCGTCGACGGCGATGACCGCGCTCTTCACGAGCGTCTTCGTACGAACGAGTTCGTTATTAGACGCGTTGTACACGACGTCCAAGATACGCGTCTTACGCGTGCAGTTCTCGGAGCCCCACGCAAAGTTACCGGTATCCAATCGCAACGCCCGGTGCTTGATGTTGCCACCGCGGCAGCGCACTTGGCGCACCGTGACGTTGGAAGAGAGCTTCGTGTTCGCCGGTTGACGGCCGAGCTCGTATCTACGCGCGACAGAAGCGAACGCACATAATGTCAGTCATCGTTTCCTGCGTCATCGCTGCGCCATCGCCCCTCCCGCGCGTCGCGCATCGAAACCCCATCGTCGCCGCAGCCCGCGAAAGCCCTAACCTACGCGACGCCCATCGAAACCTCGCGTTTCCCACCCTTGCGCCCCTCGAGTCGCCGTCGCGCGTCGCGCGATCGATCGCGCATTAATACTCACTTTCTCTTCTTTCTCCACGGTTTCTGCTTCCCACCGGTCGCGCGACGCTTGTGCAAGCTGTCTCGAGAGATGCCTGTCGTCGGGTCGCCGTCGTCGTCGTCAGTCCTTCGTCCTTCGCGTCGCGTCGACGTCGCGTCGACGTCGCGTTCGAGCGCGAGGCGCGCGAGCGGTTTCGTTCGCGTCGTCGCGTCGTCGCGAACGCACCCATGGTCGGTCGAGATCGTCCTTTAAGAGGCGCAAAGAGACGGCGCGGCGCGCGATCGGGGCGATCGCGTCCGCGGTTCGGCTGTTCTCCGTTTGTCCGGTTTCATGCGTTGAAGGTGTTTTTAAGTCTATGATTGTGTTATTTATTTTGTGGTGATGGATCATGACTCAAGACAGTGTGGGGACGCGCGCGCGCCGCGACGGCGCGAGTCCGCATCGCGACGCGCGCGCGTCGACGGCGTCGGGGCGTCGCGGACGATGGCGATCAAGGATAAGATCTTCAAAGCCGCCAAAGGGTTCCGCGGTCGAGCGAAATCGTGCGTCAAAATCGCGCGGAATCGCGTGGAGAAGGCGTGGCAGTACCAGTACCGCGATCGACGGAATAAAAAACGCGATTGGCGCGCGCTGTGGATCACGCGAATCAACGCGGCGACGCGGGAGCACGGAGTGCGGTATAATGAGTTTATTAACTCGCTCACGGCGGAGAACGTGTGCGTGGATCGGAAGATTTTGGCTGAATTAGCGGTGAATGAGCCGAAGAGCTTCAAGGCGCTCGTGGACCGCGTGCGGTACATGCGAGGGATGGATTGAGGGCGCGTGAGAGGAGGTGTCGTAGATTTTTAGTGAATAGAAAATGTAGGCTTACATCATCGTGCGCGTGATCAACTTTTAAACGTATATAGCTCGATGGTCGGGCGGAAGCGCCCGCCGCGAGACGCGGAGAAAAAGCTCTTCTGCGATGACCTAGAAATCCTCCGCAAAAGGAGAACCGAAGGAGTAGTAAGCGTTGATGGCCAACATCAAATTTTTAATCATCGCCTTCAAAGCTGCGTTGGCGTTTTCGTTCGCGGGCAACGGTCGAGAAATGACAAAAAACCGTCCATCGATGAATTTATCCTTGCCGTCTCTGTTCATCTTTTCGATGCCCCCGTCCTTCGTGGGCACGATGGTGTCCCACACCTGCACCTTTTCGTCGTCCATTTGCGCGATCAACCGCGCGATTTCAACTTCCTTACCGTCTTCGAAATCGTACAACCGCACCAAGACGCCATTCGTATCGCCGTTTTCTAACTCGTTTATGCACTCCACGGCCATGCGCTTGCCGTAGCGCGATAGCCCGGACTCCGCGAACTCGCTCGTCGCCCATCGATACATTTGTTTCACGAAATCCGCTCGCGGCAAGTGCGGGGGGATTTCCGCTTTGCACAGCTCTTGTCGCTCTTCCGTCGTCGCCGCGCGCACGGGCGCGGCGCGCGCGTTTCGCGATCGAACAGCGGCGCGCTTCGGGACAAGGATTGCGCCGGCGAAAGCGCTCGTGCGCGCGTGTGCGGCGGCGTGCATCGTTCTCGGTGTGTCTCCGCGAGTGTGGATACGTTACTGGGCGCGCGTGATGCGCGACACGGTCGTACGGGCGCCGGGCGCGCGAGACTGCGGCGCGAGTTTGCTGATGCTGGGACCCTCGGCTTCAGGTTAACCAGTAGGGCGCGCGGAGACGCCGCGCGAGACAAGGAAAAGTGAAATTCGAATCGCGACGAATTCGGTTTCGGCACCGGATTGCGGTGATAGAAATAAATCTCTACGCACGATCGCGGCCGCGATGGCGGCGACCGTTGGCGATACAACTACAAGAATCAGGGGCTCTAATTGAAAACCAAGCCTTTCTAGTGCAAGAGCGCTTTAGCCAACGCGCCAAGCGCCTTAGTCATCTTGGAGGGGAACTTAATGGCTAAATCCGGAGTATAGACCGCGTCGTACACCTCGAGGTACGTCGAGGCCAAGCGGTGCACTTCATCGAATGCGATAACCTCGCTGTCGGCACGATCAAAGAGAATGTCGATGTAGTTCGCGGCGCCATCGTGTGCGGCGTCGACGCGAGCGCAAACGGCGAGACTACAAACGAGACTAGTGAGACTAGTGAGACTAACGGAAACTACGCGAGACTAGTGAGAGCGACGGAGACTGAGCGCGAGTGGTGAGAATGACGAACGCCGCGCGAGAGCGCGCGCGCGACGACGGCGCGCGCGTCGGCGCTACCGCAGATTTCTGCTCAACGCGGCCTTCAACGCGGTCAAGGCGGCTATGAAGTCGTCGCGGACGCCCAGAACTCTGCCGGCCTGCATACTTCTCATCAGCGTCTCAATGGCGTCCTCAAAGTCCATCAAGTCGTTCGATCGCGGCTTGTCGAGGGCGTCAAAAATCTTCGCTCGGGCGTCGGCGTCGGCGCTCCGGACCGCGCTCGCGATGACGTCCATCAGATCCGCCGTCTCAGGGAACGGCCGACGCCAGAGTAAAGCGACGTACATCTGCAGCACCCTCGACGACTCCGCGTCGGAACCGCGCTTCGATTTCGCGCGCTTGAGGCTCAAGTGAATCGCCGCCACGACGAGCGCGCCCAAAAGAGCGCCGTCCCTCGCCCACTCCACCGCCGTCCCGCGTCGCGCGCTCGGATGGTACGCGTCGCGCGCGCCCTCGCGACTCTCACGCTTCGCGTCGCAGTGCAGACGCACCGCGCGCAAATACTGTCGCACGAACTCGTTATACTCGGCGTGATCCCCGCCCCCCGCGAACCCGTCGAGCCGCAGCGTCGTCTCGCACGTCTCGCACGCCTCGCGCGCGTGTCGCTCGCACCCGCACATCCCGCTCGTGTCGAACCACTCGCGCGCGCCCGATCTGAAGTGCGCCCCGAGCGCGCGCTTCGGCCCGTACGCCGGTCCACCGTCGACGATGAATCCGCCGCAGTCGTCGCACGCGCACGCGTCGCACGACGCGCACGCGTCGCCGAGCGTCGACGTCGCGCGCGCGTCCGCGCGGGCGACGCGCGGCGCGTCGATGCGCCGCGCGCGCGGCGCCATGGCGCGCGCGCGGCGCCGGGCGGCGCGTCGACGTGTGCGCGACGAGAGATCGCGACGCGACGACGACGACGACGACGGCGGCGACGGCGCGCGACGACGCGCGCGCGCGCGACGGCGCGAGCTCGGACTCGAGCGACGACGCGCGCGACGGCGCGACGGCGACGAGCGACGAGGAGAGCGACGAGGAGGCGCGCGCGATTGGAGATTTAAATCGACGACGCGGGATGGATTCGGCGGCGAACGCGAAGCGCGTCGCGCCGGGGATCCGGGCGTATCTGAACAGACGGCGACGACCGCTGACGGCGAGCCAACATCGGAGCTTGGTGCTGGCGGTGACGTTCGCGGCGTACGCGATGTATCACGCGTCGAGAAAGCCGCCGAGCATCGTGAAGAGCGTGTTGCACCCGGACGAGGAGAGCGTGAAGATGGGCGCGCGGGGATGGGCGCCGTTCGACGGCGAGGACGGGACGACGGTGATCGGGACGTGCGATTTCGCGTTTTTGGCGAGCTACAGCGTGGGGATGTTTTTCAGCGGACACATCGGCGATAGGATGGATTTGAGAAAGTTTTTGACGTTTGGGATGCTGATGAGTGGGTTTTGGGTGTCGATGTTCGGGATGGGGTATTATTGGAACGTGCACAGCGTTTGGTATTACGTCGCGGTGCAAATGGTGGCGGGAGTGATGCAATCGACGGGATGGCCGTCGGTGGTGAGCGTCATGGGGAACTGGTTCGGTAAGGGTAAGAGAGGGTTGATCATGGGCGTGTGGAACGCGCACACGTCGGTGGGGAACATGCTCGGGAGCATTTTGGCCGCTTCTGCGCTTCGGAATTCGAACTGGGGGATGAGTTTTATCATTCCTGGGGTGTTGATGATGGTGACGGGGATGTTGGTTTGGAACTTTCTCGTCGTCGCTCCGGAAGACGTCGGGCTGCCCCCGGCGAACGCCCCGACGTCGTCGTCTTCGGCGACTGCGTTGGATGAGTTCGATGAAGAGTCCATGGCGCGGCGTAGGTTGATCGAAGGTGGCTCCTCGCGAGGCACGGAGCGCGAAAAAGCGGTGGGTTTCGTCGCGGCGCTCAAAATTCCCGGCGTGATTACGTTTTCGCTCTGCCTATTCTTCACCAAGCTTGTCGCGTACACGTTCTTGTACTGGCTGCCGTTTTACATCGAACGCACTGAAATCGCGGGGAATTATCTGAGCGCGGCGAAGGCGGGTGAATTGAGCATCGTCTTTGATCTCGGCGGGATTTTGGGCGGGATTTTAGCCGGATACGTCAGCGACAAGTACAACGCGCGATCGATGACTGCGGCCGGTTTCGTGTACTTATCCATCCCCGTGCTGTACATGTATCGCGAGTTCGGGTCACGATCGATGTCCATGAACCTCGGTCTCATGGCTCTCAGCGGTATGCTCGTCAATGGCCCGTACGCCCTCATCACCACCGCGGTGAGCGCGGATTTGGGTACGCACGAAAGCTTAAAGGGTAACTCCCGAGCGCTCGCGACCGTGACCGCGATCATCGACGGTACGGGATCTATCGGTGCCGCCATCGGTCCCATGCTCACCGGCTTCATTACATCTTTTTCGGACGATTGGAATCACGTGTTTTACATGCTCTACGTCGCAGATTTGTGCGCCGGTTTGCTCTTGACGCGTTTGATTTTCAAAGAGGCGCGCGCCATGCTCGCCGCCAGCGCGGTGTAATTCAAACCTACCGATTCATACGTAGCTTTATGTTGTCCTCTACGACGGCGCGTGCCCGCCAGCGTTCTCGCCTCGACGTCTTCGCCTCGACGTCTTTGCGCCGGCGCGCTAAACCTCACAACGCGTCGCCCAACGACCGTCTTCCGCGCACGATGTCCGCCGCGCGCGGTGCTCTGTTGCGTCTCGGCGCGAGATTACGATTAGCTCAACCGATGCGCCCCGCCTCAGGGGCGTCGCGCGGTTTCGGTGCGTCAACAGACGCGTCGTCGTCGCGCTCGTGATCGTTCGACGCGCGCGCGCGCTCCAACGTCGCGTCGCATCCACGCGCGCGCGTATCGAGCGAAAGCGCGCGAAACACGCATGACACCAGCATCCATCGACTGACATCGCACTCGTTGGTTTTACGACGCGCAGCGAGCGGAGGTGGCGGGGTGACGCACGAGGGCGTGACGCTGCACGACGCGTCCTTCGCGCACAAGGCGTTGGGCACCGGATTCGGCGCGGTGATGTGGTTTTGGGTGTTCTATAGATTTTATCACGACGGTGACACGTTGATTTACGGTCACGCACCGCACTTTGAACACGACGACGATGACCATCACTGACGACGTAGTTCGCCCTAGTTGTAATCATATTCGTAGCGAAAAGAAAATACGCGGTGGGTCGCCGAGTAGCTATACATGTGTTTGACGTCGATTAAAAAGTCGCTTTAAAGCTAATAGAAGTTGTTGTAGGTGGACGTGCGGAACCACAGGTAGTCGGGCAAGAACTGAGTCGGGCCGATGGCGGCGATCGCGAGTTCTTGGTCGCGAATGTACTTCCACGCGACAGACTTGACGGTTTCGATGTTGACGTCGTCGATGCGCGCGAACAATTCGGCGCGCGACATGCGTTTGCCGTACGTCAAAAGTTGACGACCAACTTCTTCCGCCACCGCGCTGGTGCCGGATTCAGAGTGCAACAACAAGGACGACTTGAGCGCTTCCTTGGCGCGCAACAAGTCATTCTCCTCCGGGCAATAGATGAGGTTTTGGAACTCTCTCATCACCGCGAACGCGGTATCGTCGAGACCGTCGATGTTATCGCTCGAAACGTGCACACCGAACAAACCGGTGTCGGCGTAGTTGGTGTTGAACGCCATGAACGAGTTACCGAGCTTGTTGGCGGAGAACGCTTGCGCGAGCGGGGACATCATGTCATCCGCGCCGATGGCTTGCTTATCCCAGCTCCCGAGCATGGCTTGCATGACCATGAGCGGGACGGCATCGGGAGACGTCCAAGACGCGCCCTTGAACGCCACGGCGAAGTTCACCGTGGTCATGTCGTCATCGCGGATGCGCACCTCGCTACCGGTGAAGTGTCCCGGGTTCTTGGCGACGAGCGCGTTGGTGCTCGCACCCTCCGTCGGGAGGCTGGCGAAAGCCTTTTCGGCGAGCTTGACGAGCTCATCGTGATCAACCGCACCGGTGCCAACAACGACCATGCGCGGGGCGGTGTAGTGGGTCTTGATGTACGTTTGCAAGTCTTCTTGCGTCACCGAGCGCACGCACTTGTCCGATCCGAGAATCGTCGTCCCGAGGGACGTTTGCTGAAAAGCCGTCGCATGCAAGTGGTCGAAGAGCACTTCTTCGATGTCCTTTTCAACTTCTTCCATCTCACGAAGAATCACGCCGCGCTCACGCTCGATTTGCGCGTTCTCCAACGCAGAGTTTTGCAAGATGTCGCTCAAAATGTCCACCGCCGCGCCGACGTCCTTTTTGAAAACCTTGGCGTAATACGTCGTCTGCTCTCGGCTCGTGTACGCGTTCAAGTGACCACCCATGTTCTCGATCTCTTCTTCCAATCCCGATGCAGATCGCGTCTTCGTGCCCTTAAACGCCATGTGCTCCAGGAAGTGCGCCGTTCCGTTTGTCTGCGCGTCCTCGTATCGAGACCCGGCGTCGATCCAGACGCCCACCGTCGCCGTCTCCGCGTACGGAACCGCCTCCGTCGCCACGCGAAGCCCGTTCGCGAGCGTGGTCACCTACAAATTCATTCACGCCTCCATCGTCAGTCACCATCCCTCTCTCCTCGCCGCGCTCTCTCTCTCGCGTCGTCGCCTCGCGCCGTCCCCGCCTCGCGCGTCCTCGAAACCCCCCGCGGATCGCCCTCTTCTCGCCTCCGCGCGCCCTCCTCTCGCCTCGTTCGTCCACCTCCGCGCCGCGCGCGCGCTGAGCGCTCACCTTGGTGTCATCGCCGGCCAATATCCCGCGATGCGCGAACGATCGCGCCTCCGGCGCGCCGTGACGCGTCCAAACGTTCGTCGCGTCCGACGCCCGATCGTCGTCGTCGCCGGTCCAGATCGGCGCCGCGTCGGCCGCGGACGCCGCGGAGGCGTTCGCGCGCGCGAACAGCGCGCGGTGCGCGAGGGCGCGGACGTTTCGGGCGCGCCTGGCGAGCATGATGCGCGCGCGCGGGCGTCTGCGGGCGAAGAGGGTGGACGAGAGGGCGGCGAAGGCGAGCGGCGAAGGCGACGTCGTCGCGAAGCGATTGGATTTTTGGAATCGGCGTCGCGATAGGGTCACAGGGTCGTGGATCGCGGTGAAAAATGTATCGTGTGGCGTCGCTCGCGCGCGCGTCGATCTAAACGATGCCGGCGAAGGCGTCGCTCTCGAAATTCAGTTGTCGAAGTCGGAGCTCGTTGGTGCAGACTTCGAGGACGGTTCGCTCCGCGGCGGGCATCTTGGTTTGCACCGTTTTGCCGAGGATGCGGCTGATTCGGAAGAACCAGTGGTTGATGCCGGGGCATCGGACGACTTGGCGAAGGTAGATGCGGGTGTTCTCCGAGATTTGGTCGGAGAGGGCGAGCGCGTCTTCGGCGCCCGGACAGCCGTAGGCGAGCGCGAATTGCAGACATCGAATGCGACCGAGCTTATTCCACGAACTCCATTCCTCGCGCTTGCGCTTCTTCTTGGATTTTTTCTCCTTCGCCGCGGCGATTATACATCGCTTATCCCACGGAACGCCGGCTTCGTGCAATGTCTGCAAAGCGGTCAACTCGCCCGCCTCGGCCGCTCGCGCGCACATCATCGGATCCGGTTTGACCTTGATTTCTTGCACAAGATACTTAAGCGTCTCCACTTGCCCGGAATTCGCCGCCCAGCTCACCGCGTACTTGTCGAAAGGCGCATTTTTCTCACGCAGCCACTTGAGAGCATCCAGACTTCCTTGCTTTGCCGCCTCGCGAACTACGCGGGGATGATACGGGCACCCGGCCGCTTTGTAATCTTCGAGCGCCTTCTTCTCGGTGTCGTCAAACTTTCTGTGCCAATGAACAAGTTTCGCCATCGTTTCCACGGGCCACTCGTAACCTATCGCGAGAAGATAATCGACAACGCACCACCATTCGCTCATGTTTTTCCGATACAATCCGCCTTGCGTCGCTAAGACTTTGCATTTTTTCCGATCTTCCAAATCTGGCACCAACGATGGCATTTCTTCGTGATAGAATCGATAGATCTCAACGGGAACATGGAAATATGCAATCACAAAGTTTGAGTGATCGAACATGTCCAGATTTCTCAAACCGTCCCCCAGAGGCGCGCCCGTCCCGGGATGGCTCTCTCGGACGTTCGCCGCCGCCCGCAGAATCTCGACGTCGCCGATTTTCCAAATCAAATATCGAATCTCCCGCAGCACGCGGAACCCATCTTCAAGACTCGGAAAATCTCGCGCGTTTATGTGTTTCCACTCGTACTCTCGCTCGGTCATGAACTCAAGAATCCAAAGCGCGAACGATCGCCGCGTCTCGCGCTCGATCGACGCGCGCGCCTTCGCGTCGTCGTCGTCGCGTTCCCTCTCGACGTCCTTCATCGTCGTCGCGTCCACCAGCGTCTGCAGCGCCTCTCGCACGCCGCGCAGACTGTATCCCAGGTACGTCTCCTCGTCGTCGTCGCGCATCGCGTCGTCGTCGCGCCTCCACGGCGGCGATCCGTACTCGTCGCGATGCAGACGCGCGTAGCATTCTCGGCACCCCTTTCGCGCGGCGTCCGCGAGGTCGCGCGCGCGCGCGCACGCGCGTCCCGTCGTCGCCGTCGTCGACCGCGTCGCCGTCGCGTCGTCGCGCATCGCGTCGTCGTCGTCGTCGCGCATCGCGCGCGGCGTCGGCGTCGCGAAGTGTCGCGGCGACGTCCGAGACGTCCGAGACGCGACACGGCGACGCGATGCGCGACGACGACGACGACGCGAGCGAGCGAGCGACGCGCGCGGCGCTCGCGGACGCGTGCGAACGCGCGACGCGCGAGATGGCGGACGCGTGCGCGCGCGCGGGCGAGGACGCGCGACGCGCGCGCGCGAGCGGGGCAAAGCTGCGCGACGCGATGGAACGACGGGTGACGAAACTGGCGGAGGAGCGCGCGTGCATCAGGGAAAACGTCGCGGCGGTGATGCGAAAGGCGAACGAGCTGTTCGCGGAGGACGAGTAGACGGTGAGGGTGCGCGATGTCGGTGACAAGCTAGCGGCGTCGCGTCGTGTGATACAGATGTCGAGACGTCGAGACGCGCGCGCGCGCGCGCGACGGCGCGACGGCGCGACGGCGCGACGGCGCGACGGCGCGACGGCGCGACGGCGCGGTTATCCGAGTAAGTTACCCGCGCCCGGATTGGTGGCTCGAGCGGCGAGGGACATCCACGGAAGGTTGTGGGTGTCGACGCCGCTGTCCTGAATGGCGCCGATTTTCTGAAGCGCGTCTCGAGCCTCGACGACGTCGTCGAACCAATGCTTCTCGCGACCGACGACAAAGTAATCCTTCGCGCCGCGACCTATGATGAGCACCACGTCATCGCGCTCCGCCATACCGATGGCGGCGCGAATGGCGTGGTACCGGTCCACCATGACGTATCTACGAACTAAGTTTTGAAGCCGCATGCACTCGTATTGGGCGTTTTCGTGCACCTCGTACATGTCCTTCAAGAATGGGAACAGCGCCTCGTCCTCCATGCCGGGCTTGGAATAAATTTCGTCTCTAAATCCAGCGCAGATGTCTTCAAGGATTTTGTACGGGTCCTCAGCCTTGGGGGAATCGTTCGTGACGAAGACGACGTCCGAATGGTCGTGCACCGTCTTACCGATGACGGCGCGCTGCCCTCGTTCGCTCTCCGCCATTTCGCCCTCACAACCGATGACGGTGATGACTCGCCTACAATTCGTCGCTTTGACGCTATCAATCACACTTCTGATCGCTTCGGGAGTGTTCGCGCTATCCACCAACACCGAAAAATCTTGACCCGCGTCCACGAGCTCCATGCGCCCTGGAATCGAATCCGTCGCCTCCAATCCGGCGGCGATGACGTCGAGGGGAATTTCCGCCGCGAGACCTATCGCGGTAGCGCAACAGATCGCGTTGACCATATGCTCACCCACGAGACCGACGACGACCTCGACGTTGCCAGCGGGCGTGCTCAGCGACACCGCCGTCTCGAAGAGGGAATAGTCGACGCGCGCGGGGTAAACGTCCGCCCCGTTCGGGTTTTCGGGATCCACAGAATACGTCAACTGAGGAACGCCCTTGGCGTGTTCTTTGCATAACTCGTGATAAGGGGTCTTATCGTTGTCATCAATCGCATCCACGTTGATCACCGCTCGCTGCGTCTCGGCGTCTTCGAGCGCTTTGAAGACCTCGGCGACGTGCGACGAGTACTCAGCGTCCAACCCTCGATAATCCTTACGCCGATCGCTCATCGCGTCCGGGCCTTCGAGCGGTGACGTCAGTGCGACGATGTCAAAGTTCATCCCACGCGTCGCCTTTCGCCGCACTTGTTCCGCGCTCACCTCCATCACCGCCGCCTGCGCGCCGTTATCGGCGATGCCCGCGGTGAGTTGCTGAAACTGAAGCGCGTCCGAACCGCGCTCTTCGAATTCGTACTTGCCTCGATACGGTGCCAACCACCCCGGCGCCGTGCTCGTGCGACCGCGCGTGGTGTCTTCTTCATCGCTCTCCCACACCCCACCCTGCGCCGTGAGCTTGAGTTCATCGCCGACGTAATTCCCATTCGACCCGACGAGCCCCATGCGAATATCCGCCTCCTCGAAGACGGCTTTCACGAGGTACGACGTCGTCGTCTTCCCCACGCTCCCCGTCAGCGCGATCGCCGTCAGCGCCTTGGACGGATCGCCGTAAAACACTCTCGCGATATCCGCCAACGCCTCGTCCACGTCCTCGACCACGGCGATCGGGACATCCGCCAACCCCTCGATCGCGCGTTCCGAAACCACCGCCACCGCGCCCGCCGCCACGGCTTCCCTCGCCGCGTCCTCCATCGCCCCTCCCTCTCGCGCCGACCCGCACACGAACAGATCCCCGCTCAACAGCGCGTTCACATCGTTCGCTATTCCCGATATCTCCACGTCCTCGTCGTCCTCCAGCGCGATCCACCTCGCGTCGACGCCCGCGTCTTCGAAAATCTCTCGCAGCAGCGCCTCCGCGTCGCCCTCCTCATCCTCCTCGCGCCCGATCTCCGCGTGCGCGCGCGCCGCGCCCGTCCCGACGTCGTCGCGCGCGTCGTCGTCGCATCCCTCGTCGTCGTCGCTCGCGCGCGCGTCCCGCGTCGTCGCTCGCGCGCGCGTCGCGCGTCCTCGCGCGTCCTCGCGAGGGCAACCGCGCGTCGTCCGTCGTCGCGTCGTCGCGCGCGGTCGTCCCGTCGCGCGTCCGAGCGTCGCCGCGGACGGGCGTCGCGCGACGCATCGGCGCGTCGCGCTCGAGACGCGCGACATCGCGGCGTCCGCGCGGCGCGGCGTCGTGTGCGATCGCGCGCCGCCGCCGGCGGTTGGCGAATCCGACGCGGCGTCGGGCTGGGTTTGCTCGATCGGTGTTTGTGTGGTTATTATATGAAAGGTGTGTATTCGGACATTCGGTGTCTACATACGTGTGCGCAAACAGTGCGCGTATTGTTTTATGCATCGTCCGGCGCAATCGCGTCGTCGCGATGCGCGTCGTCGCGATCCGCGGCGTCGCGATTGCGCCGCGCGCGCGACGCCGCGCGCGCGATGCACCGCGCGAGAATCGCGCCCGTCGCGAACGGCGCGCGATCGCGACGCGCGACGACGCGCGCGACGACGCGAATCGCGACGACGCGAATCGCGACGACGACGACGACGACGACGGCGACGACGGCGACGGCGATGGACGACGCGACGCGAACGGCGAAGCGCGCGCGACGCGCGACGCGACGGCGACGCGCGACGGCGCGAACGACGACGACGACGCGGGCGAAGGCGAAGAACGCGAAGGAGCGAGAGATCGACGCGACGACGCGAAAGTGGGGACTCGAGGCGGGGCTGTGGAAGGTGTTCAAGAACGGCGGCGGCGCGGCGGGAGGGACGGAGACGGGCGAGGGCGCGAGCGAGGGCGCGGAAGAGCTCGGGACGTCGCGCATGGACATGGCGAAGAAATTGCTCAAGCGGTACGGGTCGGCGTATCTGGCGACGTCGATTTCGCTGAGCTTGATTTCGATCACGGTGTTTTATTTTCTCGTCGCGGGCGGGGTGGACGTGGCGAGCCTGTTGGATAAGATTGGGATCAGCGTGAACGCGACGAGCGAACAGTTCGGGACGTTCGCGCTGGCGTACGCGGCGCATAAGGCGAGTTCGCCGATTAGGTTCGGGCCGACGGTGGCGCTGACGCCGATGGTGGCCAAGTGGTTCGGCAAGGAGGTCGACGACGAGGACGAGGACGAGGGCGAGGGCGAGGACCGGGCGAGTGAGTGATCGCGCGCTCGTTCGCGGCGATCGACACGAGAAGTACAACATGCAATATCAGACGTCTCTAAAAATATCTCGGCGCGGACGCGCGCGAGACGTCTCGCGCGCGAGACGCGTCACAGATCCGCGCTCCGGCGCGCGGTGACGACGTCTCGCGCGCGCGACGCGTCCATGACGGTGACGACGACGACGTTCCGCGCGCGCCGCCGTCGCGCGTCGCGCGTCGCCCTCGCCGTCGTCTTCGTCCTCGCGTCGGCGTCCCGCGCGCTCGCCGTCGTCCCCACCCTTCGCGGCCTTCCTCGCCTGGACGACGCCTCGTTCGAGCGCGAAACGCAAGCGTCGAGCGGGCAGACCGCGGGGACGTGGCTGGTGCTGTTCACCGACGGCGACGGTCCCAGAGGCGCGCGCGCGGAGAGGGCTTTGGCGCTGGCGAAGGACGCGCTCCTGGACGACGGCGTCGTCGCGGCGACGATCGACGCGCGAGAGTCCCCGGAGACGTACGATCGGTTTAGATTCGTGGTGAAGAGAACACCGAGCTGGTGTCTGCTGCGCGGGGGCAAGGCGTACGCGCGAGAGGTGACGCCGGAGGAGGACGGGGACAGCGCGCGAAGGTTCGCGACGGAGACGTTCGGGACGGAGGGCGCCGAGCACGACGTCCCGGTGCCGTTGACGTACATTCAGAAGAAATTCGCGAGAATAACGAGCGCGATCGCGTTGGCGATGGTGCGGTTGTACTCGAAGACGGATAAGATGACGCACGTGTTGACGGCGGATTACGCGGCGGCTCGACGCGCGTTTTCGCGAGAAGGGCTCAAGGCTGCGCGTAAGCACGTCGAGAAGGCGATTTCGAATTCATCGTCGGAGTACGGGTTGCTTTTAATGATCGTCGGGTGCGTCATAATAGTCACGGCGAGTGTTTTGGCTGTGGTCACGTTTCCGACGCGCGAGTCGACGCGGGGAAAGACGAAGACGGAATGAGAAGAAGAATTCGAGTCGAGTCGTAGCTCTACTGGCTTGTTGCGTGTAAATCAATCAACTGCGTCATCGAGACAAAAACTAAGGCGTCTATGTGTTTGCTAGCGCTATGCGAGGAGTGCTCCTAGATTACGTTTCGCCCGCTTGCGGGCCCAAATCGCCGGCTTCGAATCTTTCGACATCATAATAGCTCGCCTTGACGACTCGGTTCGCGAACACGCGACCATCGAGCTCGGCACCTGCGCTTATGGCGGTCTTCGTGTCGACGAACTCGACGAATATACGAACCGTCTCTTCTTTGGCGAAACCCTCTTCTTCGATCTCAAAGATGAAAACTCGAACCACGTCGCCAAACTTTTCGCAGTGCTCGGCGACGTCGTCTTCGAGCGTATCGACGACTTCGCCCGCGAGCACGACGTTACGAAGCAAGAGCACTGGCGTCGGCTTACCGCGCAGCGGTACTTTTTTCTTTTCGAAAATCACCGGCGCCGCGTTGACGATTTTACCGCTCGTCGCCGAGTCTTTTCGGACCTCCAGAGGCGTCGTCATCCCTTGCTCAGACTTACCCAAGCCTCGACCTTTCGTCCAACCCATTTTTTCCATCATTTTCTCCGCCGCGCTCTTCCCTTTGTTCGCCTTCTGAGCGCCACTAGCGCTGTTTGTATCTCGACTCGCGCCCGCGTCTCGGCCCATCGCCAGCCGCCGTCGCCGAGCCTCTCGACCATCCACCCCCAACACCTCCTCGCGATCCATCGCCGATCTCTGCGACTCCATCGCTTTTCTCTTCGATTCTAACTCCTTTCGCAACTCCTCGTTCGCGTTTAAATCCCGTCTCCGTCTCGCCCGCTCCGCTCTCTCCGCGAGCGTTCGCTCGTAGTCGTTCGGCGCCGCCGGATCGTACCCATCGTCCACATCATCCGTCTCCTCCTCATCGCTCGCCACGGCGACTTCGATCGTTTTTACCTCGTCCTCGCCTCCTCTCGAGTCCTCTTTTCGCTCTCGCGCGCGTTTCTTCGACTCGGCGCGTCTCGCCTCCGCGTCCCGAAGCGTCCTCGACCGCGCCGCCCTGAGCGCGTTCGCCTGCGCGCGCAGCACGCCCGCCTTCCCCCCGATCGCGCCCTTCGCGCGCATCGCTTCGCTCGCGCCTCCTTCCTTCGTCGTCGTCGCTTCCGTCGTCGCTTCCGTCGTCGTCGTCGTCGTCGTCCCGCCCCAACCGCCCGCCGCGCCCTCGCCGCCCTCTCGCGCGCGCGCGCCCGCCTCCGCGCGCGTCACCTCGGGCAAGTCGTCGTACAGCCCCATCGCTCGACGTCGCCGGTCGCCGCGCGACGAATCGACGCCGCGCGCGTCCTCCGCGCGCGGATGTCTCGGCGGAGCGATGGCGCGCGCGCCGACGACGCCGCACACGCCGACGCGTCGTCGCGATGCCGCGCGACGACGCCGCGCGCGCGGAGGACGCGCGCGAGGGCATCGCGCGCGCGATCGACGCCGACGCGCGCCCGCGCGGGGGGCTGGACGCGCGGAAATCGCGCGCGAACGCGAGCGATGGGACAAACGTCTGGATGCGCGGCGAGCGACGCGACGGAGCGCTGACGCGGGCGCACGGCGCGGAGGACGATGAAACGAGAGCGCGCGACGTTGGACGCGCGTTCTGCGTCGAACGCGCGCGCCCGGGGGGACGGGAACCGATGCGGTGGCGCGCGCTGGACGCGGCGCGGGACTTGGGCTTGCGAGACGCGTGCGAAGTCGCGACGTTCGTCGACGATGATGCGTGCGTGGTGTTCACGGAGGCGGGGGATGGGGCGTACGTGAGAGATGTGTACTCGCCGACGATGCGAGCGACGGCGATCGAGACGGCGTACGTGGAGGTGAAGGGGGCGCGCGCGAGGGCGACGCGGTGCGCGGCGACGGAGACGACGAGCGGGACGGCGCGCGCGGTGGTGGGGGATTCTAATGGGAATCTCTACGCGGTCGAGAGCGATGGAAAGGATGGGGTGACGTGGAAAGTGTTTGATCGAACGAATACGAGTCATTGGGTGGATGATATGCACGACGAAGAAGAGGAGGAGGGGAACGGAGGGAGCGCGCCGGGCTCGCCGATGAAAACTCCGGGAAAGAGTCGAGCTTGGGGAGCGATCAGGTCTGCCACGATGGCGGCTGGTGCGCTTTTAAGTCGAAGAGTGAATGTGGGGGGCGTGCGATCGCTCAGCTTTGTCGATGGTTCGACGGAAACGAAGCGACGATTGCTCGTTTGCGTGGCGGATGGAAAGCTCGAGGAATGGTCGCTCGACGTTTCGGTGTCGGAGAAGTCGCCCACTTTGGCGCATGTGCACAAGCTCGGTAAGAAAATTCAGAAATCGTTGCGCGTGTCTTCCAATATCGTCTTCGTTTCTGCAGATTGGACGCTGACGAAGGCTGGCGTGGACATCACCGTGCTCGTCGAGTGCGACGGTAGAGGATCGCTCCATCGTTTTCAACGCGCTCACGGCACGGATACGATGAACCTCATCGCCTCCGCCGTGCCTCCCGCGGGTGCTTTGCCCAATAACTTCTTGCACGCAAAAGTTGTCGTCGATGGAGAGGATACGTTCGTGCTCGCTGGCGACGGTTCCGCCGTGATGTTCTCAGGCGTGGATTATTCTCGAGTATCGGCGCGCATGGACGCATCCAACCACGAACCAATCATCGACATTAAACGCGTCGGTACGGGTGAGTGGCTTATTTTGACGAAAGAGAGTGGTTGTTCTACGTTCAAACCGCACGCGAGCGGGAGGCAGACGACCCCGCGGCGTTCTGCAAAGGAGACGCCGAAGCGCACCACGCGGTCGTCGTCACACGTGACTAGTCCCAGTGCAAATCCGGTGGACGATACGAACGCGAGTGAGTGCGTGCGCGTAGAATTTGAAAACTACTTCGCCGGGCAAAGTGGTCCTCTTGGTCAGACGAAGTCCCGCCTGCGAGCGTCGGGAGCGTTTGTGAGCGACGCTGCGCCGTTTGCAACGATGAGCAAAGGTCTCGTCGATGCGTTGCCAAAGAAGCTTTCGGGCAAATCCACCCGTGGCGGTGGTCCAACCATTGAAGAGCACGGTGCTGAAAAGTTAAACAGACATCTACTCTTTCTAGATTTCTTGACCGAGAGCGGAGCCTGGAGCGAAATCAACGCCGAGGAACGCTCAGAGATACTGATGCACGGTGAAATGATTGCAGCCCTTTCACAGCTTCGTGGTTTGCAACACACCGTCGACGATGAGATGAAACCTATGTTAGAAGAAATTGTCACGCATGCGGGTGCTGCGATCAAAGAGACCGACAGCGCGTTGGATGAAAGATCAGATGTGGAAGTTTGTTTCAGCCGTTCGAGCGAAGCACGCTTGATGTTCCCAGCCGTCGTGTACGTTTTAGAAAAGAATCTTGCGAAAAATAAGGCATTAGAAAAGCGTGCGATCACGCTCGATACTTGTGCTCGCGGGTTACTAGTGGCTTTGGAGGCGGCGAACGATTTTAGAAGGCGACGTACTGGGCTATATCCACCGTTTTCATCGAGCGTTGGCGTGAATTGGACGTGTGAGATTGAAGCACGCGAAGCCCTTCGCGCGCTGTCGAAAACGGCAATTACTCTTTACAAAGAAGCTGCGCTGAGTAAGACACATGTTGGGCTAGCTCCAGTTCTAGGATCACGCTTGATGGCTTCAGCGGCGCCGTTGCTCGACGCCTCGGCTGCAAACCTCAACGCAGCGCTGCCGAGTTCGACAGACCGCATTGAAGCGCACGATGAGTACGTGGCCGATCGGGCGTTGGTCCTGCCCACACTTCTTGAGTGCGCCACGCACAGTACAACGGTACCACAGCAAGATCGTCCTCAACGTGGCTCCCTGACGGAAGGCGTTGATGTGTCCGTCGAATCCGTCGCCGCTGTGGCAGAGGCTCACTTTGGCTACGCCGAGCTTTTCGAGATTTGTGACGCGCCGAATGCTACGGGCCGTCTTCATCATTATATGCGCACGCTTCTAGGTGCCCAAGAAGACGGCGAAGAGACTTTCGCGCACTTTGTCTATCGTAAGTTGGCCATAGTGCAAGATCGTGCAGCGGCGTTGTTGCGCGACCTACCGGTAGAATTCCACGGCGACTTGGAACGATTCTTGTCGTCCCATCCCGATCTTCGTTGGTTGATGGAGCTTCGCATGGGTAAGTACGCTCGAGCTAGCGAGACGTTGGCGTCCATCGGTAATCGTGCCGGTACCGCTGAGGATGAAAAACGACGAATGTTGTCGATGGCAAAATTGGCCGCTCTCGCCGCGGGGGGTGACGTCGAGGAGCGTATCGAGAGCATTGATGCGTCTCTGTCGGCGTGATGAAAAATATGAGAACCGAATACGCGTATAAACAATTTCATCTATCTAGATACTATCAAAACACCTTTCCTGCGACTATCCCCGCGAACACCAGTGCGCCGTACGTCGAGTTGCTGCGAAACTTCGCCGCACAGTCTTCTCGATCGTCCAAATCCACCGTCGCGATTTGCCAAAACAAATGTGACGTCGCGGTTGCGACGCCGACGTAAAACGGATAATCTAAACCGACGTACGCCCCAGATGCGCAAAGCGCCGAAGTGCCGGCGAGCGCGAACGCTCCTAAATATTTCTTTGTGTCTTTACCAAAGTGCAACGCAGTCGACTTGATACCGACCTTGGCGTCGTCGTGCTTATCTTGATGCGCATAAATAGTGTCGTACACCAAAGTCCACGCCACGCCTGAGGCGTAGAGCGGCAGCACCGCGCCCCAGTCGCACGAGCCGTGCACGGCGGCCCAGCCGAGCAAAGCCCCCCAATTAAACGTCAACCCGAGAAACGCCTGTGGATAATTCGTGATGCGTTTCATGGCGGGATACGCTGCGACGAGAGCCAACGAACTCGCGCCCAGAATTTTTGAATAATCGTTCAGCTGAACCAACACGCCGAGTCCGAGCGCGAGTTGCGCGCCTAAAAACAATATGGCTTTCGGAACGCTCACCGCCCCGCTCGCGATCGGGCGGTTACGCGTGCGCGAAACTTTATTATCGATGTCTCGATCCCACAGATCGTTCACCGTGCACCCCGCGCCTCGAAGAAGAAGCGCTCCGACGCCGAACAGTCCGAGCAGACGCGCGTCCGGAAGCGCGCCCGCGTCCGCCGCCAGCGCGATCGACCAGAAGCACGGCCACGCCAAAAGCGCGGTCCCGATAGGTCGGTCCAATCTCACGAGCTTGGCGTACGGCACCAAGGACGAGGGAACGACGCGATCGACCCAGGTGTTCTCCGCCTCGGGCGCCGGCGTCGCCGCCGACGACGCCGACGACGCTTCTTCGTCCGCCTTCACCCTCGACGAGTGAGACGTCGACGCCGACGCGGCGAACGAACGGAAATATTCACCATCGCCCGTTCTCGGTCGTCGAGCGACGAAAGAGCTCGCGTGCGCGGCGCGAGGCGGCGTTGAAGTCGATGCTTCGGCCCACGTCCCGCGCGCAGCGTTCGCGCACGCCGACGCCCGCGCGCGCGTCGCCGACCCCGACGCCAGCGCTCGCGCGCACGCTTCGACCGTGGACGCTCGCGCGGCGGACGCGCGGCGACGCGCGGCGGCGAGCATCGGCGTCACCGTGTGCGGCGACCGAGCGAGGCGAGCGCGAGCGAGACGACGGCGAGCGTCGCGTGAGAATCCTAACCATGAGATAAAAATTTAAACTAAACGCCACCCGCGGTCGGTGATCGCTCGTCGACGACTCACGCCGTCTCCACGTCTTCTTCCGCGGGCACGAACGTTCTCGCCATGCGCACGCTCGCGCGAACGGCGTTGCCCGCGTACGCCACGCGCATCTCCGCCTGTTCCGCCGTCGCGCCCGGTCCGATGATCCCCATTCCCACCGGTTTCCCATACTCTAACTCTAATTGCTTCGCGATGATGGAAAACGTCGCCCCCATCTCTTGCCCGTGCAGCGTCGATCCCTTTTCGATGTATCCCAACACGACGCACGCGTCCAGCGTCGGATCCTGCAACATATTCTCCACCACCAGCGGCGCTTCGTACGTCCCCGGCACCCACACCACCTTATCGATCGTCGCTCCCATCGCCTCCGCGCTCACGCGCGCGTCCTCGAGCATGCGATCCATGAGTTTATTATGAAACTCGCCGATGCACACGCCGAGGCGCACGCGTTCGCGCGACCCCTCGCCCACGTGCACGACGGTCGTCTTCGCCCATTTCTCTCGCTCTTCCGCGCGTTCGTGCGCGAACGTCACCGCGTCGTCCGTCTCTTGCACCGATCCCGGGCTGTGGTGTTCGTACTCCCGCGGCAGCGGCGCCCGCGTCGGGGCGTCGTCCGCCTCGCCCTTTTTCGCCTCGCGCGCGATTCGCGCGCGATTCGCGCGAACGCGCGCGCGCGCGCGTCCGCGCGCGTCGAGCGCGACGCGCGGCGCGCGCGCGACGCGCGTCGAGCGCGTCGCGGCCATCGATCGCGAATCGCGGCGCGGCGACGCGCGACGACGAGTGTCGCGGCGCACAACCCTAGAACGCGTTTTCGGCGCGTTCCGCGCCCGCCCGAACGTCGCGCGTCGGCGGACCCGTAACAACGCGCGCCGCGACGCGCGCGCGCGACGTCCAGGGGGGTCTCGCGTCTGCACATCACGATTGTACTAATACAGGATCGTATTCTACATTTCGTACACCTAATCAGTTTTCTCCAAATGAAAACAAGCTTCTTACCTCAGACGACGACCGAGAAGGCCGCGCGCTCGAGCTCGACAATCCGCTTCGCGACGACGCGGCGTCTCGGACGCCGCGCGGCGCGCTAGCTTGATGAAGGCCCTGTGTCGTCACATTCCAAGTCACAGAGGACGGCGCGCGGTCAGACTGATGAGCGAAGAACCCCCCCGTTTCCTTTTGCCGCGCGGTCGGGCGACCGACCGACCGACCGACCGACCGACCGACCGACCGACCGGGTCGTTTATTTATTTATGCACGCGCATCGCGCGCACCCATCGCGTGCGCACGGCGCACAATACGCGCGCGCAATACGCGCGATGCGCGATGTTCGCGACCGCCCGATCGACGCACGCCACCAGACGCGCCGCGCGAACGTCGCTTTTTCGCGCGGATAACGCCTCGCGACGACGCGCGCCCGCACCGCGCGACCGCGCGCGATGGCGGCGACGACGACGACGGCGGCGGCGACGACGCGCGTCGCGCGATGCGACGCGCGACGCGCGAGGCGCGATGCGCGCGGGACGACGCGCGGAGGGACGGGGACGGGGACGGGGACGTTTGGGACGGGGACGAGGCGCGCGAGCGCGCGCGCGCGAGCGCGGACGACGACGACGACGCGAAGCGACGCGACGACGGGAGCGAGCGGGAGGGTGGAGGCGAACCCGCCGATGGCGCGCGGGAAGGCGCCGATGACGACGGTGGTGAAGACGACGACGCGGACGCCGCCGAAGCCGCCGGCGGCGGTGCGAGGCGTGTGCGAAACGCCGACGCGCGGGAACGCGCAGGCGCTGGGAGCGACGCGCGTGAGAGGAGATAAGGATGACAGTGTGAATTTTGCGGTGTTTTCGTCGTCGGCGACGGCGGTGAGTTTGGTGTTGTGGACGCCCGAGGCGTTGGCGAAGGGCGAGATTACCGCCGAGATTGAGCTCGACGATAGAGTCAATAAGACTGGGAGCGTGTGGCACGTCGCGCTGCCGAAGTGTGCGGAGAACGTGCTTTATGGGTACAGAGTCGATGGGCCGTACGAACCCGAGAAAGGGCACAGATTCGATCGCAGTAAGGTTTTGCTCGATCCGTACGCCAAGGCGACGGTGAGTCGACCTCGGTACGGCGAACTGGGTAAGAAGGCGGACGGGAGCGAAGATTGCTGGCCGCAATACGCGGGTGCGGTGCCGAAAAAGAATAAAAAGGACGATCGAGAAGATTTTGACTGGCAAGGCGTGACTTCGCCGAATCGTCCGATGAGCGACCTCGTCGTGTACGAGGCGCACGTTCGAGGGATGACGGCGGATTTGAAAACCAAGGCGCAACCCGGTACATACGCCGCGCTCGTGGAGACGTTGCCGTACTTGAAGACACTGGGAGTGAATGCTATTGAGCTCATGCCTTGCCATGAATTCAATGAGTTGGAATATCACAGCGTGAACCCAGCCACGGGGGAATTTCGAAGAAACTTTTGGGGATACAGCACCGTCAACTTTTTCAGTCCGATGACTCGATACGCCGAGGCTGGTGACAAAGATTGCGGTCGCGCGGCGGCTCAAGAGTTCAAGTACATGGTACGAGAGGCACATCGAGCCGGCATTGAGGTCATCATGGATGTGGTCTTCAATCACACGGCTGAAGGGAACGAGGAAGGTTTGACACTCTCGTTCCGAGGCTTGGACAATCGCGTGTATTACATGGTCGCCCCGGAGGGGCAGTTCTACAACTACAGCGGATGCGGTAACACAATGAATTGCAACCACGCAGTGGTGCGCGAATTTATCGTCGAATGCTTGCGCTACTGGGTGCTCGAATATCACATCGATGGCTTCAGATTTGACTTGGCGAGTATTCTCACGCGCGCCTCAAGCGAGTGGGATCGCGCAAACATTTTTGGCGAATCAACGGCAGAGACACCGATGTTAGAAGAGGTGGCGATTGGAACTCCGCTTCAAGACCCACCGTTAATCGATGCCGTTAGCAATGATCCCGTGTTGGCCGGGACGAAGCTGATCGCCGAGGCGTGGGATGCCGGCGGATTGTATCAAGTCGGTTCGTTCCCGCACTTTGGCGTGTGGTCTGAGTGGAACGGGAAGTTTCGTGATGACGTGCGTAACTTCATCAGAGGCGTTGATGGTTACGCTGGTTTGTTTGCCGAACGTTTGTGTGGTAGCCCCGAGCTCTACGCCGATGGTAGAACTCCCGCGGCGAGCATCAACTTTGTCACCGCTCACGACGGTTTCACGTTGCGCGACTGCGTGACGTACAACGAGAAGAACAACATCGCAAACGGAGAAGAGAACCGCGACGGGGAAGAGCACAACCAATCATGGAATTGCGGTTTGACGTGCGAGGACGATGGTGAGTCGTGCGATCCTGAGATTTGCTCGTTGCGAGATCGACAAATGAGAAACTTCATGGTTGCACTATTCGTCGCTCAGGGTGTGCCGATGTTGTACATGGGAGATGAATACGGACACACTAAGTGCGGTAACAACAACACGTATTGTCACGATAACTGGATGAATTGGGTTAATTGGGACGAGGCAAACGATCCACTCGCCGGCGAAGGACTTGCGAGATTCGTCCGCCAACTCACCACGCTTCGCAAGGACAACAGTGCATTCCGACTTCCAGCGTTTCCGACCGCCGAGAACATTCAATGGCACGGACATAAACCTGAAGTTCCGCTCTGGGAGGAAGATTCGCGATTTGTGGCGTTCACTTTGCAGGATACCACGGAGTCACCAAAGTTTTACGTCGCCTTCAACGCGCACCACGAACCAGCCTTCGTGAAGCTTCCAACCCCTCCCGAGGGCCAGCGATGGAAACTCGTTCTCGACACCGCATTGGAGACACCGTTTGACTTCGTGTCCGGCGATGATGTCGCCGAGGCTGATTTATACACCGCGGAGGCTATGATTTTGCCTTCGCTTCGTCGTAACGCTTATGTGTGCGTCGACCGCTCCGCTGTAATCTTCCAAGCGGTTCCCATCGAGTGATCGAGTAAAGTTCGATCACCGATACTTTCACAATTCTTTCTTCGCGCATTGCTTAGACGCATCTAGATGATTTTATTTGTACAACAAACGCAGACTCTTGACGCACAGCCGACGGTTGACCGCACTCGTCGCCGCGAGCACCACGCTTTCGCGCGATGTCAACCCTCCTCGACGCCGTCGACGCCATCGTGCGCGCGCGCTCGACGTGTGATGCCTCGACGTCGCGTCTTCTTGCCCGAGACCTCGCCGTCGTCGCCCTCGGTGCGCGCACGAGCTTCATGAACGACTACGCCCCGAGAGTCACGCCCGCACTTTTGGCGACGCTTTCGAGCGAATGTGCGCGCACTCTGGCCGTCGATGCTCGCGAGCTGCGCGCTATGACGATGCATGGAACGACGTTTGTGGTGAATGTCCGCGTACTGGCGCGCGAGGCGTCGAATTGGCGGGGAATTTTCGTCGACTTGAGCGGTCACGCGCCGGAGCCGGCGACCGGGACGGCGGCGACGGACGCGTGGGAGCGCGTCCAGGCGGCGCTTTTGGAGGCATTGCGCGCTCGCGAAGGTGTGATTGATATAAGCGATATCGTTGACGCGCAGTCGGACGCGATAGGACCGCCGACGGTCTCTGGAGTATTATTGGATTTTCCGTGCGTGTACGCATTTCCGACCGAGTCTATGTCAAGCGCGGCGGCGATGTTATCGTCGTGCAGTTTAAGCGTACACTCGTTAGAGTGTAGACGACGAGACGGCGTGGACAACGAGAGCGAACTGGCGTATGGGTGGAGTATACCGAGCTCTTTGATCATGGATGACGACGCGAGGGTAAAGTTTGAAGCCGCCGTCGCTACATGGAGAGATGTCGTCGCTGACTGTTTGCGGTCGCTTGGCTTTTGCGCGTCGCACCAGGTCGCGTACACCGCTCCGGGAAGTAATAGGATAGCATTTTAGAATAGAAATTGACTGATTGAATTGACTAGTGTACTGATTTGTATTAAATGTGATGTGTGTGTGACCTATTCTTCTTCTTCATCGCTGTCTTCATCGCTTGCTTCGGATAACCACTGAATGAATGGCTTTGCTTTGCCAAAGAAGCGAGCGTCACCGTCTGACTCAGCGAGAAGTTCTTTGCGCTTCGCATTAGCCCAAGCAAAGAGTGCTTCTTCGGAGAGGATATCAGCATCGTACAGCATTTTCAACACTTGCGCAGCAATGCCGAGCACGCGAGCGCCGCCGGTACGGCTGGCGAACGGGTTCGCAGAGAGCGAGAGGGCTTCGATCGCGCTCACGGCACGAACTTGCTCCGACATCTTTTTCAACACATTTTCCAATGCGTCCGAGTAACCCTCCACGCGCTTTGTGATCGCGGCTAAGAGCTCTTTGTCGCTCTCCGGGATGGTCGCCGGGTACACGCCCGCACCATCGAGATGAGACGGAGCAGATAGCGCAAACGATATAACAGACGCCAACACGTACGAAGCGACTTCTCCCGCACTGCGACCAGAAGACGCAGAGAGCTTGGTCACGAGGGCGGTGACGCTGTCGGTGTCGCGTTTTTGAGCCTTTTCGAGATCCAGCACAGAGTTTTCAACAAGCTTTTGGAATTCAATAAGCGCCGTCGTCTCTTCCTCTTCGACCGCGGCGCCGAGAGCGGCCCGGCGAAGAGTTTTCTTGGAGTAGAAAACGGCTGTTCCATCGCGTCGAAGACGACCAAGGAACTGCTGAAGATCTTCCCAAGCTAAGAGTCGACCCAAATCCTCTTGCAACAACAAAGTATCAACCGCGGGACAATCCGTTCCGTAAATGGACGAGTAGTCGACAACCAGCACGTTGAGCGGCGGAGATCGTCCTCGAAGAGAATCGGGAACGGTGAGCAACGCTTGGTTATAAAGACGTTTCACCATAGGCTCTGTGCCTGACCCGCACGCATAAGCGATACCCTTAGAAAGCATGACCAAGGTGTTGATGTCAGCCTCGAGAGCTTCGGCGAGACTAATCTTTAACATCGGTCGAAGAGTCACGACTCCGACGCCGCCTTCGTCGCCACCATCCTTAGCCTCGTCTTCGTCATCCTTCTTTTTGCGTTTTTCAGCCTTGGCGTTCTCTTTTACCATTCTTTCCGCTTCCTTGAGCTTGTTGTTCAATTTATGAACGTCTTGGATCCAAGCCTCCTGGTCAGCAAAGCCGGCGAGCTCGAACGCCACCTTGCGCGGATCCAAGCAACCGACCATAGTGACGCCCTCTTTTGAGAGTGCACCACGGATGCCATCGACCTTGGTAGGAGCGTCCTCGCCCATCTTCCATCGACCTTGCAGTCGTTCAAATTCTTTTTGCGACAGGCTCGTAAACGTCGGTTCGATTGCCAAACGCAACGATTTCACGTCACCCTGCACCTTATCCCAAGGTCCACCGGGCGGTTGAATCTGCAATAAATCATTACCATGTCGAGCTGTCAAGTGACGCAACAGAAGCGTGGGCAAACGGTAATCCTCCATCACTCGTTGGTATTCGGCATAATTTTCAATCAAGTTGAGCGGACTCATGGGAGAAAACTCGCTCGTGCCTTCGTTGAAAACGGCGAGCTTCGCCATTGGCAACTCGTACGGCTCCAAACTAATAGTAATTTGGTTCGCATCGGTCGGGCCGCGCCACCAAGGCTCCAAACCTTCCCACGCGCCTAGGGTCGCCGAAGCAAGTACGGCGGTGAGCGGCATGTTGGCCTGGATAGACGAAACCACACCCAAAACATTCGGATCGAGGTGAATACCCATATTCGGCTCGTCAAAGTACAAAAGAATCTTAGACTCGTGGTAGAACGAGCTGGAGCTTTCTTCCTTGCAGGCTTTGAGCAACGCCGCCGTGGTATTGAGATCCGCGATGATGATATCCGGTTTACCAGCGCCGTGATCCTTGAGCTTGTAACCCACATCTGCGGCGTATTCGAGCTGTTGTTGAATCGTACCGGAACCAGCGCTGACCTTTTCACCGATAGCACGCGCCGCACGAAGTGCTTTCTTGTTTCGAGCCTTATCACGAATGGAATACGGACGACGCACTTGGTGAAGCGTTCCATCGCCCGTGTTGTCGCGCGCCGCCGTCCAGTACGGCACCGCGTGCGCTTCACACTCTTGTCCAACGCGCTTCAAAACTTGTTTCGTCGGCACTGAGTAGAGCAAGATAGCGTCCGGGTACTTGACCTTCAAAAGACGCAGGTGAACGAGAATGGCGGTGAACGTCTTGCCCGACCCCGTCGGCGTCGATAAGATGACGTGCAACGGCTTGGGTAACGGCTTCTTCGCCTCTTGCATTTTCCCGATGGCGGCATAGTGCTTGTCCAGTTGATCGATGAGTTCGTGCTGATGCTTGTACATGCGCGCGACGCCACCGGATTGAGCACCCGATTTGTTCGTCCACGCGTGCATCGCCGCAAAGGTTTGATCCTTGATGCGATTACTCACGTTGTCCCAAACAATTTGACTGGCAATCTCCTGCACGCTCCCGGGCCCGTGAGTCAGAGCCTCACGCTTTAAAAATAACAAATCACCCGCCTGCGCTTCCTTGATGGCGTTGATCCATCGCAAGGTGTGCTTCGCCCCGTCTCGCATCGCCTTCAACTCGTCCAAAACCGCCCCCGCCCAGAGGTTCGCCAACCGCTTCTTCTCCGATTTATCCGCCCCCGCTCTTTCGTACTCGCTCGGGAAGCAATCCTTGGCCAACTTTTTATAAAAGTCACTGTCCTTGCGCTGCGTGTAAAAGTATTCAAACACGTGTCGTTTCATCAAATCCGGCGGCGCGTCCAGCGCCCCGTCCCACGGCTGAATCTCTCGCATGATTCGAAACCCCGCGCTCCCGCGCACCTTGGCCACGAGGTCCGAGTTATCGATGTCCGCCCAATCCGCGCTCGTGAGCGACGATCCGACGTCCACGTTCAGCGTCGCCTCGCCTCCCGCGCCGTCGTACGTTTCCTCCGCATCCCGATCGCCGCCGCCGATGTGCGCGTCGTCGTCGCTGTAATCGCTCTCGCTGTCGCTCATCCGGGCGCGCGTCGAGCTCGACGCTCGACCGGCGCGTCGTCGCTCGTCGCGCGGCGCGTCGCTCGTCGCGCGCGCGTCGCGTCGCGGTGTCCCGAGCGACGCGCGACGACGCGCGCGTAAACCTGACCCGCAGAGCGCGACTCGACGACGACGACGACGACGACGCGGGATGTCGACGCGACGACGCGCCGGCGGGGCGCGAAAGATGAAGGCGTTCTCGCGCGTGGAGACGCTCGCGACGGCGACGGCGTTCGATCGCGCGCTGCGAAGGAAAGATCAGCTCGTGCTCGTGGAGTTCGTCTCGGTGCGTCCGACGCGCGCGTCGAGACCGCGGGAAGCGAAGCGCGGACGACGACGACGAGAGACCGTCGCGAGGACGAGACCGAGGACGCGCGGGAAACGAGGCGAGGATCGAGGATCGAGGACCGAGGACCGAGGACCGAGGACCGAGGACGCGAGGACTGACGAGGACGCGGGGGTCGCCCGACGCGCGCGTTCGACGAACAGAACTACAGCCCTTCGAGTAAATCCATGGCGCCGTACATGCAGACGCTCGCGAGAACGGCGGAATTTAAACGCATACGCTTCGTGAGGGTGGATATCGAAGCCGTTCCGGCGGTGGCGGAGAAGTGTAACGTCAAGGCGCTTCCGACGTATCAGTTGTACAAGAATGGAGAAAAGTTGGAAGAGATGAGCGGGGCGTTGCCTTCGAAATTGGTGGCCATGCTCAAGGAACATAACGTGAAAGACGCCGCGGGAGGGTTGAAGAAAGCTCTGGGGCTTATCTTCGCCATCGTGGGTGGGATCGTGGGGGTGATTAAACTCAAGCACGAGGTGGAGGCGCGCGAGGCGAGAGCGATCAAAGACGAAGAAGCTCGCGTGCTCGCGGAGCGAACTCGTAAGCAAAAAGAGATCGAAGAACGCCGAAGAAGGGTCGCGCAAGCTGAACGCGGATTACCGGCGACCCCTACTCCAGAAGAGGAAGACGACGACGACGACGAATGGGAAGACGACGACGAGTGGGAAGACGATGAATGAGAACGCCGTGTAATGAATTGAAGAATGCTATTTTTAAGCCTAATCATTCACCACTTGAATTCCGGAATGTTTTGCGTGTCAGGCTTCGGGGGGCTCTGCGGCGCCTGCGGTTGTGCCTGCATGTACGGTTGAGCGCCGTACGTCGAGGCGCCCCCCATTTGCGGCATCGTGCCCCCCATTTGCGGCATCATTCCTCCCATTTGCGGCATCATTCCTCCCATTTGCGGCATCATGCCGACGCCCATTTGCGGATAATGGTGCTGCGGTGGATAGCCATACTGTTGAGCGCCTCCCATGTATTGCTGTTGCTGCATCCCCGGCATCGGTTGCATCGCGTACTGCTGCTGCGGCGGCACTTGTGTACCGTAGCCCCCCATCATCCCCTGCCCACCTTGCGGCATCATCCCCGCTTGAAGCTGATCGAAGCCCCCCATCGCCATGTTTGTTCCAATCGGAGCCGATGCGCTCGGAGCTGTCGCCGCAGGTACCGCAGGAGCGTCGAACAAGTTCATGATGTCATTTTTTGACATTTCAGGTTTTTGCGCTTGCGCGGGCTCGACGGCAACCGGCGCCGCGACAGCTGGCGGTGCCGCAGTAAAATCCCCCCAGCCATCGTCCGCGACGGAATTTTGAGCCTGCACAGCGGTGGACGTCGTGAAATCGCTCCATTGGTCCATCACTCCCGCGTTCGGCGCCGGCGCCGGCGCCGCTTGAACTTGCGCGGTCGGCGCCGGCGCGACGTTGAAATCCGTCCATTGACTGCCACCGAACGTCGTCGACGCTTCACTCGCTTGAACCGGCGCGGGTTCGTGCAACGACATCAAATCAAACATACCACCACTCTGCTGGGCCGGCACCGCGGCCGGCACCGCCGCTTCCGCGGGCGCGGAGGCGCTCGCGTGAATCGACGCCTCCGGCCCGTCCCGCGTCGTATCCTTGTACAACTGTCGCTCGTACTTATCCCTAATGAACCTCTCGCACGCATCCCGACCGCTCGTCGCTCCTGGTTTCACCCCTGCGCGCACGTTCGCCTCCCAATACGCGTTCGCTTTGGCGTTCCCGACGCGTTCCATGTGCGCCACCTGCGCCTCGGTCCACTTGTCCAGCGTCGTCGACTTCACCTTGGATATGTGCACCCCGAGTCCGCGATGCGATCCGCTGCAGTTGGTGCAAAAGAACACTCCGAGCGACGTCGACGCCCATCGCGGCAGTCGCATCGCGCACTCCGCGCACGTCAAATTCTCCGGTCGCTTCAGGCACTCCAGCAGGCGCTTTTGCAGCGCCTGCTGTTCGCGTTCATCGCTCGCCATCGGCCGCTGTCGCCTCTCGGTCGGTTTCCCGTCGTCGACGCGTCCGTCTTCGCGGTCTTCGCCGTCTTCGCGCGTCTTCTCTCGTCGTCGCCTCGCGTCGCGCAGTGCGACTCGCGAAGACGGCGCGCGTCGGATCGCGCGCGCCGGGACGACCGTCTCGCGTCCCGATGCGCGGCGTCGGACCCGGCACCGCGCGACGCGCGATGATCCTGCACCGCCTGAGCGCGCTGAACGCGCTGCACGTCGTCCTCGCGTCGGCGTCGCCGAGACGCCGAGAGATCCTGCGCGACGTCGTCGGCGTCGAGTGCGACATCGCGCCGAGCGCGTTCGCCGAGAATTTGCCGCACGAAGACTACGACGGCGCGGCGGCGTACGCGCGCGCGACGGCGTGGATGAAAGCGATGGACGTGTACGAAAATTGGGACGCGAACGAACGAGGGAGCGAAATGCCCGACGTCATCATAGGCGCCGATACCGTGGTGGAATCCGCGGATGGGACGACGATGGAGAAACCGGCGGACGCGGCGAGCGCGACGGCGATGCTTCGAGCGTTGTCGCGGTCGGAGAGTAAAGTGCACACGGGAGTGGCGATCATCGGTGGTAAAATTTCGAAGAAGACTGGGAAGATATATGGGAAGAGCTTTAGCGAGACGACGAGGGTCGAATTCGCGGAACTGAAGGCGGAGGAGATAGCGGCGTACGTGGCGACAAAGGAACCGTACGATAAAGCGGGCGGGTACGGCATACAGGGACCGGCGGCGGTGTTCATTCGAGGAATCGTCGGTGATTATTTTAACGTCATGGGGCTTCCCGCGCACGCGTTCGCGAGGGAATTAGAATCGATGATTGACGACGTCGTCGAGCACGCTTAGCCGGATACTGTATAATTTAATTGTACAAATGTTTTTAGGACGCTAAACACCCCCTGCTGGTCGTGTGAACAGCTTGCTTCCCCTGTGCTGAAGAAACTCAATCGTAGACATCAAAGCTCTGTTTACCATCACTAATTCGGTTTGGTCTCTCAAATGCAACTTCTCAGGCGTATCCGTCGGCTCCACGACGAAGAATTTTCTATCCGAATCGCACGCCACGAAACGCACATCGTCTACTGGACGATTGAAAAAATTGCACATATCGACGAAGTGCCGCTGAAATGTATCGCCTGGATTCATCCAGAAAATTTCGTCCGAAAGTGAATGATTCGGTTCACCCAACTGCTGCACCGTGCTTTCGTACGCGTCGGCGATGATAAACATGTGTTGGACGCACGACTTCAGGACAGCCGTAAGTAGCGGATATGGAGGTAATTCCATCGATTTTTCGGTAATCAACTTCGACAACGTCGGTTGGTTTGCAATCACGGTCGGCATGCAATCCAGCAGGGTTTCATCGCGATAGAGAATGTGTGTGAATACGTGTACGCCGTTTTCCGTGTATCGTTCAGAATCCATCCTGGAGAGGTAGAATTGATTCACGTAATCATTGATTTCTTCTCCCAGGCCCGAAGCCTGGAAAGGAAAGCCTTCGTGCCTTAATTTTTCGACGACCTTCGCTATGCGCTCGCGCACCTTCGCGTACAAGTTCTCCAGAGGCGCGACGACGCTCACGTTGAAGACGGCGTTTCCGCCGCGCGCGAGCGCGAACAGCGGACACTCCACCTCCACCACCACTCTGCGCGGTTTCGCGGCGTCTTTCGTCGCCACCCGCGTCGCGACCGCTCGCACGTACCTCTCCCGCTGCACGCGTCTCCAGTAATCGTTGCTCACGCTCTGATCCTCGCCGCACGTCGCGCACCGCTCGAGCAAGTGCGTCGCGCACGCTCGGATTCGTTCGCTGTCGTACCACTCGCGCTCGCCGTCGGTGAAGTAGCGCGACGTCTCGTCGACGGAGGTTTCCGCGGGAGCGCTCGAGCGATCTTTCGCGCTCGCGCGCGCGTCGTCGGGCGGCATCGGTCCGTGGTCGCGCGGCGCCGAATGCCGCCGGGACACCGGGACACCGGGACGCGCGTCGCGCGATGCGCGGCGTCGTCGCCGGTCTCGCGCGATTCGCGCGCGGCGGGCGAGGCGTGAAACGGAACGCCGACGCGGGTCGCGACGCGGGAGGGAAGAAACGCGCGCGATCGACGGCGACGACGACGGCGACGACGCTCGTCGACTTGGGTGCGCTCGAGGACGTCGTCGTGATGCGACGACCGAGCGCGCGAAATAAGAGCCCGTACGTCGCGGACGTGCGCGTGAAGAGCGATGAAAGCGTCGCGATCGCGCACGTCCCGAATCTGGACTCGGGAGGGAAACTGCGGGAAGGAGCGCGCGCGCTGTGCTCGCGGCAAAAGGGCGTGACGGCGACGACGCTCGGACAGCACGGGACGCCAAAGTGTGAATTGATATGTCGGTTGTTGCGGTGCGAGGAGAGAGAGAACGAACACTTGGGAGGGGTGTGGTTGAGCGCGCATCCGAGCTTGGTGGAGAAAATCGCTCTGGCGCTGTTGGAGAACGGGGCGCTGGACGACCGCCTGCACGCGTCGCCGATCATCAGAGACGAAATCAAGACGCAGAAAACTCTTAAGCGCGAAGTGACGGAGAGCGCGTCGAATTCATACCGACCAGATTTTGCCTTGAAACACGAAGATGGGTCGACGACGATATTGGAGGTGAAGCAAGTCGTCGACACGGATTACGCTAGAGAATTTGTTGAGGCGCAAGCTCGAGAGCAGTCGCCGCACCCCGCGTATTCTCCAAGCGCGAAGAAAGGTGAGCCATACGCGCGCGCGGGAATATTTCCATGGGGAAAACGAGGTCAGAAAGGCCCGGATGGTGAAAAAGTGGTGAGCGCCAGGGCGATCGAGCACTTGCGCGAGCTCAGCGAACTCGCGTCCAAGAGTCCCGACGTCCACCCGGCGGTGCTTTTTATTTGTAGTAGAGCAGACGCAATGGGTATGCGTCCTAACGGTGCGGCGTGCCCATCGTTCGCAAAACATTTATCGCGGGCTCAGCGCAAGGGCGTTCGAGTTTTGGTGCAAAAAGTGCGTTGGGGTGAGGGCGACGATGTCGGAAAAGCTTTCGACGCCGGGCCGCTCGAGCTCTGGCCCGCGCTTGAAGAGGGCGACGAGTTTACGATGAAGTAGGATAGCTTATTTATTTGCGTGCGTTTTGTACATGTTTTACATTTCATTTGGTTCAAAAGTCACATCATCGTGGTCGTCGTTCGTGGTCGTTTCATCGTTGTAAATCTTCGTACTGCCCGTGCTCGTGTTGCTCGAGCGCCGGATTCCTCGCCACTGCTTCTTCGTATTGGCGAATGTGCTCGTCGTAGTTGTAAATTGGAAAGTTCGTCGAAGCTCTCCGTCCCCTCGCTTGAACGAGAGCGGTGTCGTACGCCACCGCAGCTTTCTCGGCAGAATCGTAGAGCCCCAAGTACACGTGTTTGCTTTGCGGGGGCACTCCGACTCTCGCCTCAAACTTCTTAGGCGAGTGTTGCGTGACCCCTCTGTATCCCGAATTACCCCTCGCAAAACCTTCGGAATGTCGGCGAACCTCCATGATCAGTTCATCGAGCGTAAGAGAATCAATGAAACCGATCAAGTTTGCGTAACGAGACTCGGGAAAGTTCATTTTAAGCGGACGCGTTCCTGTTCGAGAGCGATCGCCGATGCGTGCGAGCTTCAACACAATGATATCAAAAGCCTCGGCGGCAAACTCTTCCTCCAGGTGTCCACCTAGGTAAACTTGCCGTCGTGACTCTCTCAACCAGACGTGCGCCTCGTAACGCCCAGACTTGGCGTGGCGGCACACGCCGTTGTACCTCGAAGACCTCGGCTTGCCCCCCGGCGAACGGTACATCATCGGTGACATCGGCTGAGGTAGCGGAGCCATCATCGCTTGCGGGCGTGGTGGTAAAGATTGAGATATCGGCTTTGGCTTCCTCGAACCTGACGTTCTAGTGCCGCTGCGCGATTTTGTCACGCGCCCTCTCGACGTCGACGCCACCCCTGGGCGCGTCGTCGGAAGCTTGTACTGCACCGTGTCCACGTATCCAGATTGTGGAAAGTGTTCACCCGCGTCTTCACTGCCTTGATGAAACCCTCCTTCCACACCGCCTTGCGGTGCGTTCGCGTGATGATGCTGCGCGAACACGTCCTCCCACGCCCCGTTCAGCGTCGCCGGCTCTTCTCGCGCGCTCTCGTCGAACAGGCACAGAAAATCATCATTCGGCACCGCCGCTTCCTCCGTCGCTCCCTCGGGCGCCTTCCCCGCGTCTCCATCTCGCGCGCCCTCGTTTTCTTCCCCCGCGTCCTCCGACCGCGCCCGCGTCGTCCGTCCCCGCGTCTTCATACTCCCCCCACCGAGCCCTTCGCCCTCGCTCTTTCGCCCTCGTCTTCCGCGCGTCTTCTCGCCGTCGTTCGCGCGCGTCGTCCTCGCCCGGCGCGCGCGGTGATGCGACTCAATCTTTCGCGTCGTTCCTCGCCGTCGCGTCGCGCTGTGCCCCGTCCCCGCTCGCGCGCGACGCGTCCGAGCGCGCGCCCTCTCGACGCGCGTGACGTCGGCGCGAAAGATCACACGCGCGCGCGGACGTCTGTATCGTGTGCGCAAACAGTGCGGACGTGCGCGCAATTCGGACATTCGGACACCCGCCCCGCCCGCCCCGGCACATTCGGACGCCCGCGCCTCGGATTTCGCGCGCGATCGAGGGCGCGCCCGAACCCTAGGTCGGGGTCGAAAGGCGGCCCGCGACGGCGGCACCGCAGACGCCGCCGAGCGACGCGGCGACGGACTCGAGCGAAACCGAGGTCGCCATGGACCCAGCCATGCTCGATGGGTTCCCGGAGGAAGACAAGGCGAAGATGATGGGCATGATCGAAGCGATGCAGACGCGAGACAGCCTGAAGATGTATAACAACTTGGTGGAGCGGTGCTTCTCGACGTGCGTGCAGTCGTTTCGGAGGAAAACGCTGGAGAAGGACGAAGAGCGATGCGTGTCGAAGTGCTGCGAAAAGTTCCTGAAGCACTCGGCGCGAACGTCGGTGCGGTTCGCGGAATTAAACGCGCAATCGATGCAACAAATGGGCGGGCCGCCGCAGTAGGTTTCGCGACTCGCGAGAGGGGACGGTAGACAAATTTATCCAATGATTCATATACGATAGCTTGCACCAATTCTATAATAGCTAATACGTCGAAGATGCGCGCGACGCTCACTTGGCGACGGACTTGAGGACGTCAAAGTACGTCGGGAAAGTCTTCTTCGTGCACTTCGGGTCGTTGATGACGACGTCGACGTCGCCGCACGCGGCCAAGGCGAAAGCCATGGCCATGCGGTGATCGTCGTAGGTATCGATGTCAACGTTGGCCTTCATCTTGGCCGGGGGGTCGAGCTTGTGAGGAGGGGTGATGACGCAGTAATCCGCGCCTTCGAAGACGTCGCAACCGAGCTTGCGCAGCTCGGTGCAAATCGCAATCATGCGCTCGGTTTCCTTCACGCGCCAGCTCGCGACATCACGAATGGTAGTGATGCCGTCAGCGAAGAGTGCAGCGACGGCAAGAGTCATCGCAGCGTCGGGCATGGCGTTCATGTTCACATCAATCGCCTTGAGCGGGCCCTTGGGACCGGTGCAGGTGACCGAGTTCGGACCCCACTCGAGCGTCGCGCCCATTTGCTCCATCGTGTACGCAAAGTTTGTGTCGCCTTGGATGCTCTCCGAACCGCAACCGATGACAGTGACGGTACCACCGGTGATGGTGGCACCGGCGAGGAAGTAGGAAGCGGACGAAGCATCGCCTTCAACAAATGCACTGCCCGGGGAGATGTACTTTTGTCCGCCTTGAATCTTAAAGCTCTGGAGGTCGTCCGCCTTTTCTACCTTGACACCGAAGCGTTCCATGAGTGTGATAGTCATCTCAACGTACGGTTTGGAGATGAGCTCATCGACAATTACGATTTCAATCGACCCTTCGCAAAGTGGGGCCGCCATGAGGAGCGCGGTGAGGTATTGCGAGCTCACGGAACCGCTGAGCTCGACGCGACCGCCAGGCAAGCCGTTCGCCTCAACCTTCACCGGCGGGCAACCCGTACCCATCGTGCACTCCGCCTTGACACCAAGCTGAACCAAACCATCAACAAGATCTTGAATTGGTCTTTCACGCATACGCTCGACACCATCGAGGATGAACGTGCCTTTACCCGCCGCAGCCACGGCGGCGGTGAGCGGTCGCATCGCCGTCCCGGCGTTACCGAGGAACAACTCCGCGCCCTCGACCGGGAGCTTACCCCCACAACCGGTGATTTCCAAAATGTTGTTCTCTCTGTCTTCCGTGAAGGACAGCCCCAGAACTTTAAGCGCGTCAACCATGTAACGAATGTCGTCGCTATCCAACAAGTTTTCCACCTTGGTCGTTCCTTCTGCGAGCGCCGCGAGGAGCAGAATGCGGTTTGACAGCGACTTAGACCCCGGCAATCGAACCGTGCCTTCAATTTTCTTCATCGGCTTCAACGTGAGCTGCTCCATGGCACCACCGGCGTTGGCGCGCGTCAACGCGCGAGCACCTCGGCGGCTAGGGCGACGGTGGGCGACGGATGTCACCGCCGGCGCGAGCGCGGGCGTGTTTAACATCGCTTGGCACGACATGACGAGGCGTGCGATGTTGTATTGGAGCAGAGTATCACTTACTTTACGACGACGACGCGCGCGCGACTGTGATGTGGCGGACGATGACGTTTGGAAGATGACGATGAAAAGCTGAGGTTTTCACAGCGTCTGTGGCTGAGTGCGGCGAGGCGTCTACAATTACAAATTCACAAAGCTTCGCGCGCCGACGAGTGAATGCTTCAAGTGTACAAACTCGCGCCTTAACGCGTCAATCTTATCCAACTTGACCTGAAGCTTGGTCTTTTCGTCGATGCTACGACCTAAAATGCCGAAAGTGCCACCGGTTTCCTCGTTTGCGCGCTTCTCCTCCGCTTCGAAGTGGTGCGAGGCGGACTCAAACCAATGCAGCGCATCGAAGGCTTCGTGTTGATCGAGGACGCTCAGCAGGTACACGATCCCAAGTGCTAAACCATCATCGGTGAAAGTGGCGGTCTGTGAATCTTTACCACGTCGCACGAGCTTGTCTTTTGAAGCCAGGATGGTTTCAGCGGCGCTCATCGTGAGCGCTGGAAGCACCAAGTAAAAGTCTTTTAGGTGTTCGTGACCCTTTCGAAGCTCGGTCGAAAAAACCGATACGAGGACTTGAAAATAGTCAGTACCATCGGTACCGCCTGTGCTTAAGGCTTTTAATTCACTCTGCAGATTTTTCAGTGCCGTCTTTGTCCACTCGGACAAACCGTCGGCGTCGAGGCTCTCATCGAGGGCGAACTTCGACCCGCGCGCACTCGGTACAAACTTGGCGGCGTTGGTGCTGTAGTGCATCGCACCGAGACGAACCATGCGAACAAAACCGAGCGCATTACCGATTTCAGTCACTAACACACGGAACTCGTCGATGAACGAAGAGCCGTCCTTCGATAAACCGAGCTTTCGAATGTCGCGCATCACTCGAAGGGCGCGTTCGACTGGGTACTCAAACTTTTCGTCCACAGTCGATGCGCGATATCCTGCTTGCTTTGAGCTTAACTTGATAGTATCACTCTTAGCCTTTGTCTCGGCGTGCACCATTCGAGCTTCTTTCATGAGTTGACTTCTGATGTGGTCGTCAAAGAGAAACTGGTTGAAAATCTGAAATCTTTGCGCCAGGTACTGATAGGCAAAGTTGATGGTCGTGTGCGTGATGCCCGTTCCGTGCGTTCTGATAGAGTTGGCGACATGCCGAATACTTATGGTGTTCAGATGCTTGCGATCGAGCGCCGCGCTCGCCTTCTCGACAAAGCACTGTGTGTTCAAGTTGTAGTTGTACCTCGACACGAAGACGTGGATATTGCGCATCAGCTCCAACACATCCAAGCCTTGTTCGAGCGTCTGGCTCGGAAGCTCAATCTCGGCGCAGCGTAAGCCGTACTTTTCTATCGCAAGATTTCTCATTTCCACGTAAGACTGCGCGCGAATAGATCGTTAGTCGTCGTTTTCGTAAAAGGCAGCTCGCTCGGTTGCGAAGTAGGACAAATTAATTATTTTATCACTCACCTTCCAGTTATGAAGAGCAATCGCCGTGTGATTGTGGAAGGTCTGATTTAAATAACCTTCGACGCGATTACGAATGTCGATCTGTCAACGACGAGGACGAAATCCGGTCAGTTTCAAATTCGCCACAATTAATTAAATAAATAATATTCGCACCTGGTGCTTCAACGTGTAGATTGGCGGCAGATTCGTGAACAACGACAAGTCTCGAACGCCATCCTTGAACGGATTCGTGTTCATGACGCCTGCTATGCGCGCAGAATGAAGATGCAACCTCAAATCTGTCTCAATATCTCGACAAAGCGGTTGAATTATTTCTCGCTCCAGTGACGTTCGAATATAATTGTCAAACGTCGCCACTTCGCTATCGCTCGCTCCAGCACGCATTAATAACGTTTCACAATTGCGAAACGCACTCACAAGCAAAGTAAGACGTCCAGATTCGTTCGGCTTGACGTAAATATCAGCCAAACACACCGGAAATAATTCCCTCGTGAAAAATAAAAAGGAAGTATCACATTGATCTTGAACGCTTTTGCGGTACGTGGAGAGCACTTCTACGAGTTCCACGAACTCAGATGCGAGCACGACATCTTCATCACTGAGAAGACTCGCTCCACGGATCGCATCGAGGCAGATTCGAAGAACATGCATCCTTTTTCGAGTCGCCGGCCCAGACAAAACATGCACTAAATAAATGAAATAATTAATTTAATTTGTACGTCATCTAGACGGAGAATGAAAAGCTTACCTGCGATATTGACCGTCGCGAGGGTGTCCTGTTTATTGTTTTCGGCTTTTCCCGACGAAATTTGAGCCTTTAAGCGTTCCCATCCACTCGACGTCGTCGTCGTCGAAATTTTGTTTTCTAATAATTCCCGAGTAGGAACCTGCGTGAAAAGGTCAGATGTGAGCCGATCGATCTCAGAAGCGTTTCAAACGTACCATCATGCGATGTATTCTATCTGCTAGAAATTTCAGCACGTGCTGCACTTCCAAACTCAAATTGAGATTTTGAGTGAAAGCTTCGCACATGGCTTGCAACATTTCCACGGCGCGAGCGATGAGTCGCACCCGCCGCTTCGTGACCGGGGCCTCCAGAGACACGTGGAGGTGTATGATCTCCTGAGTATAGTGGCGCAGTCGATTTACCAGTCTCATACCCTCCTGAAACAAACTCGTGCGAGCGTTCATTGTGCTCGATAAGCTATGCGAGACGTTTGGTGTCGCCGTAAACTTGGTGAGCCAGGCGACTGAAGCCGACAACAAATCGAGGAGCTTCGCAGGGAAAGTCTCATCCAGAGTCTCGAGCGTCTCTCGACGAAACGAGATCACTGATTCTAAACCATTATCAGGAAAGCACTCTCGTGCGGCTGGAGATAGATGCGCTTCTAGTATTGCCCCTGGACACACTGAAACCGTCGTCGTCACCGACACCAGCACGCACACCTTGTAGACTTCCCACGCCTTCATGCAGAGTTTTCTATCGGCTATATCGGGAACTAATCCTGAATGAAGCATAGTCAAGCAAAGACACGACAGCAGTGTGCGTTTATCGTTCAACCGCTCCGAGTCGGTATTCAATCGAGCCGTCGTGCTTTCGAGAAGCTCGAGAGTTGTGCCGGCGAGCTCCTTGATAAATCGATCAGGTTGTTCGGTTTCTGTGAGCTGTGTGAGCACTGAGGCAAAGAATGAAGATGAGAGCAATTGATTTTCGATGATCGCAACCGCCGAATCCAAGCTCACGACGTCGACTTCGTTCATGCCGAACTGCTCGGGATTGGCTCGAAGGAGCAGCACCACGCGTTTGAAATTCATCAGCGCCGACCGCAACGCCCTATTGTTCCTAACCACCTCATCAATTCCGACTCCAATTGCTAGTGCACGACCGAGCATATCGAATGACCACGCCAAACGCACAGTTTGATACGGCGTGTATGCCGCGAACGTCGAATACACCACCGTGAGTTGCGTGAACAAGTTACACACGACCGCTCTGACTTGATCCATGAATAACAGTGCGTCTTGAAGCGGCTCTAATTTCCCAACGAATGCATCTCGTAACTCTGCATCGGACATCACGTCCGCATCATTCGCTCTCTCGCCGAAAGTCGTAAGCATCGGATAAATTGTTTCGTCTGCCACGGCGCTCAACCGCTCGACTTCGCCGCCTAAATGCGCTAAAATCATCGTCGTCTTGCTCAACAGCGCATTTTCGCACGTGACGAGATCTTCAATCCGTATATTTTCGCGCGGATCGCCGTTCAGGACGATCGCATCCTTCGCCCCGTTCCCGCTCGCGCGCGGCCCGCGATTTGAAACACCCTCCTCCCCCAAGTTGTCTGCGGTCTCCCTCGTCTTCTGCGCCCACGTCTCGACGTACTCGAGGAAGCCATCGAGCGTTTCGCGTATCACCGCACTCGCGTTCTCAGCGTATTCTTCAGGCACGTCGTTCTCGCTCGTAGACGCCGCGTCATCGCTTCGTTTCGTCGCCGATGGTCGTTGGTCCCGTCGGTCCTCCTCCTCCGCGACGTCGCGCGGCGACGCGAGGCTCGCGGTCGTCATCGCGCGGTCGAGCGTCAGAATTCGACGACTGACGACGTCGCCCTCGCTCGAGCGCTCGCTCGCGCCGCCTCTCGCGTCGCTTCGCCGCGCCCGCGGTCGACGTGTGCGGACGAGCGCTGCAGACGCGCGCGCGCGGACGTCGACGCGTCGAGGCGCGACGACGCGATGCAGCACGACGCGTGGAATGACGACACGATCGGCGGTGCGTCGGTGTCGGGGAAGCGATCGCGATCGAAGCGCATGGTGCGCGCGAGGAAACGCGCGAGGGCGCTCGAGGCGGCGGCGAAAGCGACGAGGAACGACGATGACGCTGATGACGCTGGGCGACGAAACAGCGCGAACGAGGCGACGACGACGACAGAAACGATCATGCTTCCGCGGACGTCCGCGCCTTGGTTCTCGCGCACGCTTTCGGTGCACGAGGAGACGTCGTTTGAGACGTACTACAGACGACAGGGCATAGTGGACGAGGGCGAGTGGAGAGACTTTTTGAGGTACCTTCGATTGCCTTTACCGGTGACATTTAGGATGAACGTTATGGCGTCGAGACGAGAAGAAGTGCGCGAAGCGCTGAACGTGGCGAAACACTTTCTGCAAAACGCGAGAGAAACGAGGGACGACCGGGGACGGTTGATACCGCCGCCAACACGCCTGCCGTGGTGTGACGGATGGCAGCTCGGCGTGGACAAGATGAGCCTGAAGTTCTCTCGAAATCCAATGTTGAGAGATTTGCAGCGTTGGTTGGTGAAGTGCAACAATACCGGCGTTCTCACTCGACAGGCGGTGGATTCCATGGTTCCCGCGGCAATTTTACAAGTCGAGCCGCACCATCGCGTGCTCGACCTTTGCGCAAGTCCTGGATCGAAAACTACGCAGGCACTTGAGGCACTCAACGTCAATGGAGAGGAAGGATCGGCGTCTGGATGCGTCATCGCGAACGATATTAATCCGATGCGATGTTATTTCCTAGTACGACGCTGTGCAGCGCTTCGCAACGCCACTGCGAATTTGATGGTGACGACGCACCAAGCTCAATGGTATCCAAATATCAACGTACCTACCACCGATAAGGCATTGACTGAACGCGGAGGAAGATATCCAGAAGGCTCTTACGATCGTATCATTTGTGATGTTCCGTGCAGTGGTGACGGAACGCTTAGGAAAAACCCACAGATTTGGTCCGAATGGCGCCCCGAATTCGCCATGGGCCTTCACAAGCTACAGCTACGCATTGCGCAGCGTGGCGCGGCACTCCTTAATGTTGGTGGATATATGGTTTACAGTACGTGCTCATTCAACCCAGTGGAAAACGAGGCTGTCGTCGCAGAGCTCATCAAACGGTGCGGTGGAGCGCTAGAAATTGTCGACGCTTCTGATCGAATTCCCGAGTTACTGCGCAGACCGGGAATATCGACTTGGAACGTGATGACCATGGTCGAAGGGAACGTAGTAGAATATCCAAAGTACGAGGATAGTCAAGCTTCGACCGTGCCCATTGGATTGAAGCGAAAGTTTGCGAAATCGATGTGGCCGCCGGCGCAGTCGCTGGCGCGAATGGGCCATCTCGGAAAACGCATCAAGTCGACGGCGATCCCATTGCAGCACTGCATGAGGCTCGTACCTCACTTACAAGACATGGGCGGATTTTTTGCAGTCTTATTGAAAAAGGTGGCGCCGATTCCCGGACCACAGGCGAAGGAGTCGACCGCAGAAAAAGTCGACCGCGCTTATGAGCGCACGGAACCAAAGCACGTCTACTCAAAAGTTTCGAGCACATTGGTGAAAAAGTTGGCAAAAGAGTTTGGTCTTGGTGATAAATTCTCGGAAAAAATCGCCCCTTGCCTCTACGCGCGCTCAAATCAACAGAAGTCTATCGTGTATATCGCTGAAGGAGTCAAGAAGCACTGCATAGATTCACCTGGCGCAAAGCGAATGAGCTGCGTTTGGTCGGGTGTCAAGATTTGGGAGCAATCAGAGCGTGATGACTTTTATATGCTGACTCAAGATGGCATGCATATCATTGAGCCGTTAATGAACACGAAGCGGAAAATTGAATTGTCTCGATCGGAGCTGAAAAAGGTTCTTGAAGCGCTCGGCCGCGAAGTCCCAGTGGACTTGTTTGCGCCGAATTCGCGCGCAGCGATTCGGGCTTTATCTCCTGGTTCGCTCGTCGTATCGTTAAAAGGCGGTAACAGAACTTTAAATCTGCCAATTGTGATCAATTATACCGCCAACGATGCGCTCAAGTTGATCTGGAGATTCAGAAAAGGATTGGAACAAGCGCCGAAAGTGCAGATTCGCTCGCTCCTCACAGCTCTGGACGCTCTCGTACAAACGTAGAAGTATATTGCACTCGCTAGTAGACTAGTTGTAGTTAGTTGTGTGTTTCTTCGGATAGCTTTTCGATCGCTTTCTTCGCGGCTACGTGAAAGTTCTCCGCCTGAGATTGCGCGTTTGATGCCGCCGCGCGCATCTTCAGAGCAAACGTGCTCATCTTTGCGTCGGCACCAGACGCCGCGTTTACGCACGTAAACGACACCCCCTTGCCCCCTTCCATCAACTGAAACTTTTGACCTTTGAAAAGCGCCGCGTTGAGCATCAGACGAAAGTTTCCCTTAGCTCGCATGACGAGTCGAGAGCCGTTTTCACCCTCGTTGAGCCTCACGTCTCCTCGGCCGCGCTCGACCCAACGCGACCCATTCTCGGCGTCGTTGACGTACTCAAACAGCGCGCCTTCGGTGCGAAACGCACACGTTTCACCTTCCTCACCAGTTTTCGTCTCGATGACTTCCAACTCCACCACTGGCTTGATAGAATCGTTCGCGACTTCGCGCTCTGGGTCGTCGTCGCCCTCTTCGTCCTCCTCCGTCGTCGTTTCCTTCTTCTTCCCCGCCCCGAACAGCGCCACGGGCGCGGCCACCGCGCCACCGAACACTGGCGTCGCCGCTTTCGACGCGAATCCACCCGTTCCAGCGCTCGCGCTCGCCGCGGCGAACCCTCCGAATCCCCCTCCGCTCGCCGCCGCGCTCTTCAAACCGCCGAAGCCGCCGAAGCCCGCGTTCGCGAGCGCGCTCCCGAACCCGCTCGTCGTCGCTTTCGCCGCGTCCTCGCTCGCGACGTCGTTCGTCTTCCCCTCGTTCGTTTTCCCGTCCTCGCGCGCGTCGTCACCGCCGCGCTCGTCGTCCGTCGTCGTCTTCCCACCGTCGCGTCGCCCGTTCGCCTCGTCGTCGTCGTCGTCGCGTCGCGCGCGTTTCTCGCCGACCCGCGGTTCGCGCGTCGCCGCCGCCGCCGCCGTCGTCGTCGTCGTCGCGCCCTCGCTCGTCATCGCGACGCGTCCCGGACGCGCGGCGCGACGCGCGTCGCCGCTCGATCTGGCGCCGCGCGGGCGTCGCGGCGTCTCCAGGACGATGCGATTTCGACCCAGCGTCTCCAGGACGACGCGACGCGATGCGGCGTCTCCGGCGTCGCCGATGTCGTCACGGTGCGGCGCATGACGATCGACGCGCGCGCGCTGCGAGACGCGTTCGCGCGCGTCGACGCCGCGACGACGACGCCCGCGCGCGCGCGATTCGACGCGCGACTGCGCGCGGGCGCGGCGCAGGTGGCGTCGCACGAGGACGAGCTCGCGACGACGTGCGCGACGAGCGCGATGCCGACGGAGACGCTGCGGCGCGAGGGAGAGAGAACGGTGATGCGATTGAGCGCGACGACGGCGAGGGAGAGGGAGAGGGAGGCGACGGACGGGACGACGGCGACGACGGCGACGACGGGCGCGGACGAGGGGGACGGCGTGAGTCTGGAGGACGCCACGCTGCTCGCGCTCTTGCGCTGGTTCAAGGAAGATTTTTTCGAGTGGGTGGATAAACCGAAGTGCGAAAAGTGCGGGAACGCGGAGACGAGGTTGAAACGCACCGATCAAGGCGAAGCGCTGCGCGCGGAAGAGCGCGAGGGCGAAGCGAGTCGCGCGGAGGTGTACGAGTGCTCGACGTGTCGCGCCGAGACGCGATTTCCGCGGTATAATTCCGCAATCAAACTGCTCGACACGCGTCGCGGTAGATGCGGGGAGTGGGCGAACGCGTTCACGCTGTGCTGCCGAGCGATGGGGTATCGCGCGCGTTGGGTCCTCGACTGGACCGACCACGTGTGGACCGAGGTGTATTCGGAACGCCAAAAGCGGTGGTTACACTGCGATCCTTGCGAGAACGTGTGCGATAAGCCGTTGCTGTACGAACAGGGTTGGGGCAAACAATTGTCGTACGTCATCGCCTTTTCAGTCGAAGGCGTGGTGGATGTGACTAAACGTTACACGAAGGATATGAAGCCGCTCTACCGTCGTCGCGGCGAGGTGTACGAGCCGTGGCTCAAGAGTCGCTGCGACGCCCTGACGCGCGAGCTCAGGATGCAAATACCGGCGAATGAGGTGAAAGAGCTCGAGGCCCAAGATGCGATGGAGTCGCTCGAGCTCGATAAACCAGCCGTAGACATCGGGGAATCGCTGCCTGGAAGGCAAACGGGAAGCTTCTCGTGGCGAGCAGCGCGAGGCGAGCTAGGAAATCAACAGTAATAGAATCAATAGCGATGAATCAATTAAAGCAAGCAAGCAGTCTAAATTCGCAAGCGTTTAGGCCCTCTTAAGGAGTGCATTAAGGCTAAGACAACGGTGAACAGAGTTAACGCTCCCGCTTGGTGCGCCGAGCCGAGCTCGACGGGCACATGATGAAGGAGCGTGGTGACTCCGAGAGTCACCTGCCCCGCGGTCGTGGCGAGGAGGGCGTGGAGAAGCATTCTAGTTCTCGGATGCAATGCGGTAGAATTTCGATGACCGAGCCAAACGGCTGATACGCTCGCCAAGGTGGTCAAGGCGAGGACGCGATGATCAAACTGCACCGCGGCGGTGTTTTCAAAGAAATTTCTCCAGCCTTTCTGCTCCCACTGGTCGAGGTACTCTTCTGGAATCCAGCGTCCGCCCATCAAAGGAAATGTGTTGTAAGCACGACCTGCATCCATGCCCGCGACGTAAGCTCCAGAGATGGCCGTCACGCCGATTAGACCGGCGAGCGGGTGCACCACGCGATGCAAACGCTTCGTCGCGTCGATGAGCGCCTTGCTCGCTCCAGCGCTTTGACTCGGCGAAACGGGATAGATGACGTTCAAAGTCGTCCAAAGCATACCGGTGTAAATGGTAAACGCTCCCGTCAAGTGTGTGGCGAGTCGATACGGACTCACTCGCGGCACGTCGTACGAAAACTCTTGCTCCTCGAGACCGCTCTTCACCATCCACCAGCCAATCATGCCTTGCGCCGCGCCGAGAACGAAGAAGACTCCCAATCGCTTCGCCAACGCCGAGGTGACGTACCCTTTCGACGCAAAGTACGCGAGCGGGGCGACGAAGTACAACCCCAAAACGCGCCCCCACATGCGGTGCCCGTACTCCATCCAATAAATAAATTTGTACTCCTCCACCGTCATCCCCAAGTTCGACTTCTTGTACTCTGGGCTTTGCTTGTACTTTTCAAACTCTTTCGCCCAATCCTCGTCCGTGAGCGGTGGATGCTCGTACTCAAACTTCCAATCCGTCATCGACAATCCGCTCCTCGTCAGCCTCGTCATCCCTCCCAGGACGACCATGGAGAACACCCACGCGCACCCTCCGCCGAGCCACCACGCCACCCGTCGCGTCGCCCGTTCGCCTCCGACGACCAACGTCATCGACGGCGTCGCCTGCGCCGTCGTCGCCATCGTCGACCGCATCCTTCTCACCATCGCTCGCGTCGCCGCGCTCGCCATCGCCGCGTTCGTCGCCGCGTTCGTCGCCGCGTTCGTCGTCGCGTTCGCGCTCGTCGCGTCCCATCCGCGCCGTCCGAGCGACGTAAACTCGCGCACCGCGCGTCGACTCGCGCTCGCGCGCGCGCGCGTCACCGTCTCGCGTCCCATCGTCATCGTCATCGGCATCGGCATCGCGCGTCGCCGCGCCGTCGTCGTCGTCGTCGTCGTCGTCGTCGTCGTCGTCGTCGTCGCGACGCCTCGCGTCGTCGTCGTCATCAATCGCGCGAGCGCGCGCGCGCGCGCCATGCCGACTCGCGCGTGGGCGCCGTCGAGTGTAGGCGCGCCGCCGACGCGAGCGCCGACGTCGACGCGTTCGTCCGCGCCGCGCTTTGTCGAGTTCCGCGCGCGTCCGTGTGCGCGTCCGTCGGATTCAGACGGCGCGTCGGATTCAAACGACGACGCCGCGCGCGACACTCGACGACGCCGACCGACGACGCGCGATGTCGACGCCGCGCGCGATCGTCGACGCGGCGTGGACGCGCGAGAACCTCGCGCGAGCGATGCGATGCGTGGCGAACGGACGAGGGATGACGCGAGACGACGACGCGCGATGTCGACGACGCGCGCTCGAGGGCGCGCGCGCGATGGCGACGGCGACGAGGGACGACGACGACGACGAGGCGCTCGAAATCGTCGCGCGGGCGTGTTGCGAAGCGATGATGCGGACGTGCGACGATGCAACGGACGGACGGGCGGACGAGGACGAGGAAACGGCGGAGGAGAGGGAGACGGAGACGGAGACGTGGTTGGGGACGCTGTGCGCGACGGCGTCGACGAGCGGGCGGGCGCTCGAACGGGCGCTCGAAGCGACGCGAAGGGCGGCGGCGATGGACGAGAGGTTCACGACGCGCGTGTGCGAAGAGTACGACGCGAGCGTGCGTCGGTTAGGGGACGCGAAGGATGCGACGTTGGCGGTGTTGATCGAGGCGAGGGCGTGGGGACGCGCGCGAGAGGCGAGCGCGAGCGCGAGCGACGTCGAGCGAGCGCTGAGAGCGTGTGATGCGAGATCGTTGGAGAGCATGGCGAAATACGTGCTCGAGGAGGTGAAAGAAAGCGACGCACACGTATTGCGAGCGATCGCGCGCAGAGATTCGGAGATTTGCGTGGAAATTCTCGGCGCGTTGTTGTCTCGGCTGTCGACGGGCGTTCAAACGCGCGCGGCGCTTCGCGCGCTCGAGGAGATTGTCCAGATGGACGCGGCGCCGCACGTCGACAGAATGTCGAGTGAAATTCAGCGAGCGGTTGAATATTTACCCCAGTTGAGCGTCAAAGAGGGGGGAGATATCGCGCGCAGGGCGGTAGCGGCGCTCTCCAAAATCTCTGGCGTCGCGCCGGTGATGGCTTTGTTCGAAAGCGTCGAGGACGACTGCTCGAAAACTATTTTAGGCTTGCAAATGCTCGGTGACATGATGCGAGCCGGCAATCATCTTGACGCAGGTATCGCGGCTTTAGAACGCGCGATGGTGGATGACCGCTCGAGTGTCCGACAACACGCTTTCGTCGTCGCGACGACGTTGATTACGAGCGAGTCCATTGCGGACGAAGCGATGCTGCAAAAGGCTGAGGCAGAAGCAAAGGTTGACGCCATCTTATCGATCAATGAAATCTTGAGAGCGTTATCGCAGCGAAGAGAGACCCCTACGCTGAGTTTTGCGACGATTCAATCCCTCACGAGCTCGCTCGGATTGATTTTGGCGCTCGACGTGAGCGGCAAATCTGTCAAGAATAGAGAAATTTTGCGGAACTCGCTTCGATTGCTATCGGCTCTGAGCGAGTGTCTCATCCTTCAAGCCGAGTCAGCCAGAGACACAGATGGTGAACAAATCAACTTCGTCGACGCCGATGCTTTCGATGATGCAAACGACAAAGTGGAGTCGCACGTATTGGCTAAACTTGTACCAGTCGTTGAAGTCGTCCTCGATTCCATGCTGTCGTACTCGACGTGGTTCAAGGAGATGTTGGAACAATTAGAACACCCTAAGATCGACGAGGGTACGAGCGAGACGCTGGAGAGTTGGATCACGCGATTACTTTTCATGCATCTTCAGCTCAGTTGCGGTTCTGAGAACACGCGGGCTGGGAACGTGTCATCTGCTTTGTGCATTGATAGTTGCGTCAGGCTCTCGTCTGACGATGCGGAATGGTCTCCGGAATTGCAGCGTCACATCACGCAAATTTGTGCCCACACGTTGCGCGTGGCGCGCGTTTCTTCCGGTGATATGCGTGCTTCTAATCAGTACGCGACACTTATGAATACATGCGCGCGTCAATGCGTCGAAACATTGCGAGACAACTGGTTTGCTTTCGATAAGAAGGAATTGGCGCCGAACTCAGATTTGTGGTCGACAAAGACCACTTTGGATGCTCTTCAAACGCTCAGAGCGCTGTGCGAACTCGCTGTCAGCCGTAATGCGTCGTACGGACCAGATCTTGGCGTTTTACAAGACTTGATGCGCGCTTCTTTCACGGATGATGAATTAGAAAACGCCGCAAAGGAAGTCGCGTCTTACGGTAAACCTCATCTTGCGAGAAGTGATTACGAAGCCGCCGGACGCGCAGGCGTAGAGGCCCCAGTCTCAGGTGTTGTTGCCGCGCTCGTGACATCTTTGCACCATCAGCTCCAAGAGACGTATAATTCACGCACCGTGATCGATACGTGGGATCGGATCATCAATGAAGTTTTGAACTTGCTGGACACTATGCTGCCATTGGTGGAAAATGCAGACTTGGCGTCGGCTTCTGTCGTCATGCTTGAGGACGATATTATTCAATTGCGTGAGTTGCCCATCGAGCCTACGTGTCACATCGCTTGCACGATCTTACAGTATCATCGTCGACGATTCCCTCTGCCAGATTGCGTCAAGACCGCGTCAGAGATGTTGAAAATGGCCTTGAGCTATTCCTTGACATCCATACCCGATGAGCTCAACGATTTGCTCAGTGTCTTGAATGAAATCGTCACAGATTTATCATCTGACAACGATCAGCACGGTAAAATTGAGAAACAAGATGCGTTCATCGCTCTGACGACGATTCTAGTCAAGTCGGGTGATATATTGTGGCGCCATGTGCACTCAAAGCAGAAGTCGTTGGACGACGTCGAGGCAAACTTCGTGTCGTTGGCTACGCATTCATTCGAACGTTGCATTTCCGCGGCTTCGAAGCTTTCGCGCACGGATGGAAATCAAAAACATTTGGAAAGTCAACGTCGAAATGCATCGTTAGTCCTCGCTGGCATTCGCTTGCATCACAACACGGATAAGATGTCACATCTGTACGACGTCAAGGTGCTCAGGTCGTTTGAACTCAAACGACGACAGTTTATGGTTGTTTGCGCCGGAGTTTTCACCAACTTAAGGGCGCTTCAGCTCGTGAAGAACAGTGGCACGCCGCTTGATCGCGGTTTAGTGGCTATTGGTAACGCGCTCGCGATGGATGACATCGAACTCTACAGCGAAAATTTGTCGCGTCTCGGTGAGAGCGTGCAAAACGTCGACGGAGAGGTGTTGAAATGCTGCCCGTCGAACGTTTCGTCTCGGGAAAATTCTGCATCAAAGCCTCGTAAACGCATACGAAATCCTTACTTGGACGCCGTCGTGGCGCAAGAAGGCGGCGCGCAAGATGAGTATGACGATATGGCGGATTTCATCGTGTGTAAACCTGGACGAGATTACCGCACCGTACTCGGGCTCACGTGATTCGTTTTCTGCGATCACAAATTACAAATGATCACAAATTACTAGGACTAGGATATTTTAGGTACAATTGTAAATCATGTCGATTTGTCATAAGACAATTGGTTACGCCACAGGGGCGCGCAAGGTGACGTCTTCTCCTTCTTCGCTCGCCGGCATGAAGGGCATGGGCACGGTCCACGCCGCGACGCCGCTCGCCGATTTCGTGGACACCATGCCATCCGCGGGAGACGCAAACGGCATGCTCGTCAAGAAACCTTGTAACTGTGCCTCGATGCGAAGCTTCTCTCGCAATAAATGCGTCTTTTCTTGCATGAGTTGATCGCGTTCCGCAGCGAGCTTTTGGGTGAGCTCCGTCTTTAGCAGGTTATCCTCTTGGAATCGCATGATCATGTTCGCTAACCTCGCGTGTTCGACACGCAGTCGCTTGATCAACTCCGTCGCCGCGAACACCACCGTCGCCTTCGACTGCGACTCACCCTGCGACTCACCCGGTTCGAGCACCGCGCTGAGCTCCTCAAAGCGACTGTTCAAAACGTCGCGTCGACGCTTCTCCCGCGTGCTCTTCGTCTTCTTCGCCCCTTCGCTCAACACATTCGAGCGTCCCGTCGCCGTGGTCGCCGCCGCCGTGGTCGCCGCCACCGAGGTCGCCGCCACCGAGGTCGCCGTCACCGCGACGCGTTCATCCTGACTCCCGTCAGCCTCCTCCGTCGCCTTTCGTTTCGTCCCCGCCGCTCGAACCCTAGGGCCCTCACCCCCGATCACCTCCGTCGGCACGTCCGCGAACGCGTTCGCGCCGTCGAACGCCCCGACGTCATCCGCGTCAAAGGAGTCAAAAAAGTCGCTCAACCAATCCGCCGTCGGCGTCGCGCCGTCCATCGCGCGCGCGTCGCCGATCGCGCTCGTCGTCCTCTGATCGCGAGGGTTTCCAACGTCTCGCGATCGACGTCCGTCGACGCGCGTTCGTCGGCGCGCGCGCGCGGTGCACCGCGCGCGCGAGAGAGACGTTGACGTGCGCGGTCGTCCGTCGTTCGACGCGTTCGTGCGCTCGCGGATCGCGACGACCGTCGTCGTGTGCGGACGAGCCGGCCGCGCGCGCGGCACCCGCGCCGCCGATCCGACCGCCGCGGTCGGTCGGACCGCGTCGGATTTCGATCGAGATGGCGTCGCGGCGGGTTGGGCTGACTGTTTGCTCGTACGCGTTACAAGGCGCGCTCCGAAAATGCGCGGGAACGAATCTTTTGTCCGACTTTTTCGTGAATCATAAAACTTCACATCGGGTTGGGCTGACTGTTTGCTCGTACGCGTTACAAGGCGCGCTCCGTCGCGGCGGCGCGGCTTGCGTCGAGCGTCACGCGTCGCCGTCGAGGTGCTTTTGCAAGTCGCTCAGAGACACCGTGGCGGTGCCGCGCTGCTTGGCCGTCTGCTGACTCGAATGAGGACGCCAGCCGGTCATGTACAGGATCTCAAACGTGGCTTCGACGGCGCCGGGGTCGGGGGCGTCGGGGGCGGGGAACTTTTGGGAATACATCGCGCTCGCCGCGCGCGCGGTGGCGCGAGGGAGAAGATGACGACGCATTAACCCAGAGTTGGTCTCGGCCATGGCGCGCAAATGCTCGACGAGCTCGTCGGGAGAGGCGTAGCCGACGGTGACGATGTCGACGTCGACGGCGGGAAGCGTGAGGTTGGCTCGACCGAGCAAGCTCCCACAATCGCGCACGTGCGCTAAAGGCGAGACTCGAGGGCTAACACCACCCTCATGCTCGGTCTCGGCGAGCGCGCACGCCACACGAAGCTCCTGTAAAGTGTTACCACCAAAAATACACGACAAGAAGAGACCATCCGGAACGAGCGCCGCCGCCGCGCGCGACATGGCGCCGGGTAAATCGTTCACCCAGTGCAATCCTAAGCAACTAATCACGGCATCTACCGAATTTTCTTGAATGGGCAAATTCTCTTCGTCTCCTTGCACGTACAATACCTCCACAGGCGCTCCGTCTCGCCGTCTTGGCTCGGCTCCGATGCGCCGCTCGACGAAATTGAGCATATCTTGAGACAAATCCACGACGACAATCTTCTCCACATCGTCCCTTTCCGCTAATAATCTGCGCGTGATCGCTTCGCTCGCACCACCAAGCACGACCACGCGCTTAAATCCGCGTTTGATATCGAACAACCGATCCAACAAACGCCTCGCGAGCTCGTCCAACAACCCATCCGGCGCGCGCTCGGGCCTGCGTTTCAGCGCCTCATTCTGCAAGTACGCCGCTCGATCTCTGTGCGCGCGCACGACGTCTCGATCAAAAACCATCATCGCTCGCACTTTCGACGCCAACTCCTCATCTTTGAGCATCTCAGCGCGCGCGCGAGCTCTCGCTTTCGCTCCCTCGACGTCGACGACACCATCTTTCTCTGGCATCTTTCCGCTCGTGCTCGCCTCGCCACCGCGCGCCGCGTCCGCGAACCGCGCGCATCGCGCTCGAAACACATTTTCGATCGCACTCGCGCGCGCCGTTCGGCGCGGGCGTCGGACGAGCATCGCGCTTCGCGCTCTGCCGAGCCGCGCGGGCGGCCCGACCTAGGGTTTACGCGGCATCATCGGCCCGTCGTCACACGCGCGCGCGCGCTCGGACGACGCGCTCGGCGACCTCATGGGCGTGGACTGTCAAGCCGGCGCGTGTCGCACGTGGGTGGACGATGAACTGGACGCCATGGGGGAGGCGGGCGCGCACATTCCTCGGCCAGGTGGATGCTGCGAGGAGGACGTGAAGAAACAAAAAGAAGCGGCGCGCATGCTCGGCGAGCTGCGCGAAGTCGATCGCTCGACGGCGAGGATGCGAATCGCGGAAGGCGTGGTCGGGGAATGCGGCGAAGAAGACGCGGACGACGAAGATTGGGCGAGATCAGACGGTGACGACGACGACGACGAGGCGCTGCGAGAGATTCAAGAGGCGCGCTTACGAGAGCTTAAAGGCGCGGCGGCGATCGCCGCGGCGGAGGCACGAAGAGCGAGATACGTGGAAATAAAAGAGAGTGCGCTGGGGGAGACCGTGCGGGCGAGCTCGAGGGTGGTGGCGCACCTGGTGTTGGAGGGCGCGGAGCAGTGCGCTCGCATCGACGAGGTGTGCGATGACTTGGCGCCCGTGTTCGCTAAAACGAAGTTCGTGCGCATAAGGCCAAGTCACGACTCGGCGTTGATGCGACAACATCGTATCAGCGCGCTTCCGGCGATGCTGATATTTAGGCGCGGGCGATTGACGTTTACGACGTGCGCGCTCGACGACTTCGGTGGCGCGGAAAACTTTGAAGAAGAACGCGTGACGCGATGGTTGGCGAAGCACGACGCGCTTCCTGGACATCCGTTCGCTGAAAAAACCGTCACAAACGTCGATAGCGATGCATCATCGGACGAAGAGAACGATGATGCTAGCGATGAGGAGTTATTTGGAGTGAATAAACCATGCGAGACGTGCGGTCGGACGTACCCGCACAAGCACATACGGGCGTTACGTCCGGGCGAGTCGATGCGAAGGGCGGATGATTCGGATGGTGATTACGACGATGACGACTTTTAGCGTTTTAGCTTTAGCTGCTGTGCTATGATAATGAGCTAGAGATTAAATGAAGACGGTTGAGCCTTTGATCCCGTTGATGAAAGCGTTCGCCGGCATCGCTTTCTTTCCGGGGGGCTGAACCTCGAGCACCTCTAACCAACCGCCCCCTGCACATGGTACGCGAAGTAATTTTTTCGTTACCTCGACTTGACCGTTCGCCGCCTTTTCATCTCCCTCGGCAGAGACACGAGTGGTGATGATTTTGAGCACCACCTCTTTCGATTCTTCGTCCCCGTTTGCCTTAATCTTCAAAGTCGCTTTCGTTCCGGGCCAACCCGCAAATGCACGCACTTTATTGTGACACTCCAGTGCGGACTGTTTCGTGAAGTCTAATTCACCCTCCTCTGGGCTCACTTTCGCGGCGTGGCTGAGCGTTTCCTCGCTCTGAGGCACCGCTCGAGCCGCCGCGTCGCCGGCAAATACCGACGGTAATTCCTCCAACAACGCCCCCACGCCCGTCTCGAAGAGCTCAGTCAAGAGATCAGGCGCCTTTTCATCCCCTTTAAGCGGTCGAGTGACTTGTCTGAGGACGGGACCGGCGTCCATTTTGAGCACGGTGTACGCCACCGACACGCCGGTCTCGCTCTGTCCACTCTCCAACGCGCGTTGCACGGGCGCCGCCCCTCGCCACTGCGGCAACAAACTCGGATGGATGTTCAACGTCCCTAATTTCGGAATATCCAAGAATTTCTGCGGTAAAAAGTTCCCGTACGCCGCCGTCACCGCCAAGTCGACGTCGAGCGCGCGCAGCGCGTCCAGAAACCACTCCTCGTTCGCCTTCTCCGGACAAAGCACCCTGTCTTCCGCCATCCCTCGCCGCAGCGCCAACTCCGCCACCGGGCTCGGCGCCGCTTCATCGCTCTTCCTTCCTCGCCCTCGCGGTCGTCCCGGCTGCGACACCACCGCCGCGACCTCGAACGCGCTCTCCCTCCCCTCCGCCGCGTCCAGCACCCGCGCCAGCACCTCCTTCGCGCACTCCGGCGTCCCGAGAAACACCACGCGTCGTTTCCTCGTCGCCCCATCGGCGTCCTCGCGTCCCGTCGCGCGCGTCGTCGTCGTTCGCCGCGTCACCGTCCTTCGCGCGCGTCGGCGTCCCGCGCGCGTCGGCGTCGCCCCGGCCCGCGCCTCGGGCGTCGACGCCGTCGCGCGCGCGGTCGCGCGCATCAGCGCCTCGCACGCGCGCCGCGCGCGCAGCATGCCGAGCGCGACGCGCGCCGCGCGGTGCGGTCGCGCGCGTAACCCTCGGGCGGCGGCACAGCGCGACGACGCGATCGGACGCGGCGCGGCCGAGGGACGGCGGCGAGGCGCGAAATGACGTTCGCGTGGCGCGCGCTCGGACGCGCGCTCGAGCGGTGCGCGCGCGCGGGCGAGCGCGGCGCGCGCGAGGCGGGACGCGCGACGACGGGGACGACGATCGATGCGCGCGGATGCGCGACGACGGGACGACGCGCGATCGCGACGTCGACGGCGAGCGCGATCAAACACGATCGATCGAACGCGACGAAGAAACTGAAACCGGAGGCGCGCGGGATGGAGGCGCCGATGACGAGCTTCGAGGCCGGGGCGACGCAAGAGGGATGGGGGAAAGCGGGCGGCGGCGCGGCGCCGTGGACGCCGACGCGGGCGCTGCGGAAAAGGAAGAGCTATTTTAAGCGATGTGGACACATCATGGAGACGCTTGAGAGGGAACACATGAAGGAGTTGGCGAAAGAACGCGCGATCGTACCGTTTCGACCGGGAGATGTGGTGAAGTTGACGCTCGAAGTGCCGGAGAATAACAGGCGCACGCAGACGTTTACGGGGATTTGCATCGCCAAGCGGCACAGAGGGATGGGATCTAGCTTTACCTTGCGAAGCGCGATAGGAAATCTCGTCGTCGAGCGGTCGTTTCCGCTGTTCACGCCGAATATTAAGGCGATGGAAGTCGTCGAGCGTAGGAAAGTGCGCAGAGCAAAGCTTTATTACTTGCGAGACAAGCCTCTGCGTTTTTCGAGGCCGTAGACTGTTGTAGAAACAAAATATCAGTTTTCAAGGCGCTAATGGTTACATGCGAATTCGCCAAGGTTGGCTATATATCTTCAATATCAACTCTTCGTTCAACAATCTTGAGATTCGTCGCTTGGACAGTACAATCAAACATTCGGGCGAGTTTGCGCGCTGAACGCGGTGAAAAAATCACTTGGGTTCGGCATTTGAGCGGCGGCAAAAGGATTCTCAGAGTCTGGCATCGCCGACATCGCCGATATCGCCGGAACATGACCCATCTTAGCACCGGCGGCTAACCCCGCGGCGTAGGATTGTGTCGCAAGGTTTTGGTAATGTTGCATAGCGGCTCGCTGCGCCTGCGCGGCGGCGAGGAGGCGCATGGTTTCATTCGCCGCATTCGTCGGTTGCCTCGGCATCAGGAGTGGATTCGTACCTTGACGAGTGGCGCCATTCACGGAGGCAGCATTTGGTACAGCATTTTTCGGAGGCGGTTGGTACGAGAATTCAACGCCGCGAATGTACTGCAATCGCTGCACAAACTCTCCGCGGCGCTTCCCTTCGCACAACTCCTTGTATCGCTCGACGGCTTCGTGGATGATATTCGAGGCCGCCATGACGGATTCGGGCAAGCCTTGGATGCAGAAAACGCGGCATGGACGATGATATACCCCCATTTCGGGTTGCTGCGTCCAAGACTGAATCGTCGAACCGGTGTGACGCATAATTTCTCGAATCGACGCTCCGCTGGCGCCGATGACGAATCCCGCCGCGAGCAGCGTCACGCGCAGTCGCAAACCACCGTTCGCCATGACCTCTATGGATGCCACTTGCTGTTCTTCTTCCTCGACTCCTTGACCAGCGCGTCGAGGACCAGAAGGCCCACGTAATCTCGATCCACTCGCCGCCGCCGCGCCGAACTCCGCATCCGCCACGAACGCCGCCGTCGGCGACGCCGTGCTCTTCGGCGACGTCGACTTGTCCACGTACGCGTGTCCACCGAGCCCCAGCGGAATCAATCCTTCATCATCGTACAACACGCTCCCGAGCACTTTTGATTTCACCCCAAACGAATCGAACGAGCCTCTAGAATTGTCGTCGCTCGCGCTCCTGCTCGCCGAGCCTTGCGGGAGCGCGAACGACGCGTACGCCCCCGCATCGTGTTCCTCGCGCTCGTCCACGATCCCTTTGGGCAGCCACTGGCTCGGATCGGCGTCGGTGAACGTAAAAAAACCATCACCGCTCATTTCGCGTCGATGCGCGCGCGTGCGATGCGCGCGGCGTCGTCAAGCGCGGAAAACGCGTGAACGACGCGCGAAGGGTGAAAACGCGTGAGCGTCGATCTTTGCGCGTCGCCTGGCTCGCGCGACGACGCGTCCGTCCGCGACGCGCGCGCGTGCGATCGAGACGTTTACGGATGAACGTTCGCGATCGAGCGCTCGGCGCCGCGCGCGCGCGATCGCCGACAGGACGAAAGCGCACGACTCGGTGTACGGGCGCGGGCGCGCCTCGCGACAACCACGCTGGCGCCCTCCCCTGTCGATTCGCATGAGCATACTGTTTACGCATACGACGATTCGCATCGCCCGGTTGGATGTCCACGCTTTTACTTGTCGCCTGGAAAAGCGCGCCCGGCGTACGCGGATGGATCGTCCGCGAAAACGTCGCGCACGCCGTGAGCGAGCAAGTCGTGCGAAAGCGTTCGCCACGGATCGCCGTCGGCGACGAGGAGCCGAGCGGCGTCGCAGAGAGCGTCGGCGGCGAAACGCTGCGCGGCAAAGGCGTCGGCGTCCGCGAGCGCGACAGTCTCGAGATCGATCTCGTTCCCGATCGAACGTGGAAGAGGATTCGGCTTCCCCACGCCCACTGGACTCGGATCGTTTCCGTCGGGGTCGGTGTCGTGTCCGTCGTCGTAGTTTTCGCTCGTCGTCGTCGTCGTCTTCGTCGTCGCGAGCGCGGGGTCCGTCAAAGCGCGCGCGAGCGCGCGCAAACCGTCCCACGAAGCGTCGGATTCCGCGGCAGAGTATACGTTCATGGTGACGTGAGGGAAAATGACGCTCAAATACCGCGGAAAAGCCTCGGTGTGCCCCGATCGCGCCGTCTCCTTGAACGATTTCACGACGGCGCGGCACGTTCGCGTCGACATCCTGTACGTCTGACCGTCGAGCTCACACTCGAGCTCAATTCGCGCGCGCGCGTTCGCCGTCGTCGCATCCCCCACGCTCGTCGATCCCGACCCCGTTCCCGAGCTCGCTCCGAACGTCGTTTTCACCGCCGCGAACGACACTCGAACGCTCGCCGGGTCGCGCAGCGTCGCCGTCGTCCCGAACGTCAAGTGCTGCGCATCTCTCGCCAGCGCGCCGCGCGGCCGCGCGCGCCGTCGCCCTCTTCCATTCTCCGCCGCGTCCTCCTCCCCGTCGTCCGCCGCGTCGTCCTCCCCGTCGTCCGCCGCGTCGTCGCCGTCCATCGTCGCGATCGCCCGCGTCTCGTACTGCTCCTCGTCCGCGCACGAAAACGAGCACGTCCCGGCGTATATCTCCTCGCGCTCGCGCGTCGCGCCGTCGTCGCCGTCGCCGTCGTCGCTCGCACGCGCGCCGTCGCGCGCGCGCGTCGTCGTCGCCGTCAACCACGCCTGCGCGGCGAAGAACGCGTGTCGATCCATCGGTCGCGCGGTGCGGTCGAGGGTGCCCGGTTCGTCGGATCGCGACGCGCGATCGTCGTCGACCCGCGTCGCGAGGTCGGGCGCGCGCGAGCGATCGACGCCGCGCGGGTCGCGCGCGCGCGAGCGATCGACGCGATCGATGGATGCGCGACCGTGCTTTTTGTCGACGGTTCACGACTCAAGGGTACGGGTGTATGGGTACACAGCGACGACGTCGGCGGCGGGCGCCGAGGCGAGGATTTCGGCGCGGCGACGTCGCGCGCGCGCGGGACGCCGCCGCACACGACGACGGGCGCGCGACGGCGCGGAGGCGCGAGGATGAGCGAAGAGGTGCGACGCGCGCGCGCGAGGACGTCGGCGACGGCGCGGGGGGGGGAGGAAACGACGAGGAAACGACGACGACGGATGGATGGGCGGAGGCGAACGCGCGCGGGGACGAGACGGACGACGCGCGGGACGCGAGGGACGACGACGACGACGACGACGACGACGACGATGGTGACTGACGACGCGCGCGCGATGCCGCGATGGCGAACGCAGGACGAGGAGTTGCCGGCGAACTCGGAGGAGTTGCAACAGGCGATCAAGGATTGGTTGACGAAGAAGCGAACGGCGGCGGGGAAGGTGAAACAGGTGCTCGGATTGTTGAATCACGAGCGATTAGGGTACGTGTGCGCGCAGTGCGCGGTCGCGACGCGCGGCGGGAGGGAGGTTGAGGGCGATGATGGGGAAGTTTTGAGTCGATCTCGCCGGGCGAACGGGCCGACTGACCGAGCGACGCGCGCGTTTCATCCATCACAGGGCGGGTGCGGAGAAGTATGACGATCCAGTGTGGAGAAAGGATGGTCCACCGTCGATGTATCGCGCGCACTGGCGACACCAGGCGTGCAAGATTCTCGGGATTAAGGAGGCGGACATTCCAGAAGCCGTCGTCGACGCGCTCAAGGCGTATTTGTGGCCCACCGCGCTCGACACCACGCGGGGCGATCGCAACGCGTGGTTAGTCAAGGTGCCGAAATTTGTTTCGCGAGTGTTCCACGAAGCCGCGGCGGCGAGTAAGCAGGCGATGGCGGATGATGATGACATGGATACGGACACCAAGGAGGAGGACGAGCCCGCCATCGGCACAGTTCGCGTCTTCGTCGACCCGTTCCAGGAGGACAAAACCAAGCACATGACGCACGCGATCATGGAACTCACCGGAAAAGAGGCGAACGGCGTGCCGAAGCAGTACATTTTAGCCAATCAGCCGAGTGATATGCCGATGCGCGTGTTTTCCGACGTTCGCGAGGGGACGACGAGCGGGCAGGCGGACATCACCCTCGAGGCCAAAGTGGACTTGAAGTTAGACATGCGTCCGACATCGATCGACGATGTCGATTACCATAGAGTTAGTAAAGATCGCATGATTCAGGCACAGACTAAGACGAGAGTAACGCAGAGCTCGTCTGAGATGCGTTTCGCGCCGCTGCCCAAGGCGAGAAACTTGATTCGGTTCACCGACGCCGCATCAAATAAGAAGGAAAAGAAGGAACGCATGGAAAAGAAGGCCCTGGAAAATGTCCTCTTCGGGTTGTTCGAGCGACAACCGTATTGGAGTCTGAAGCAGCTGATCCTCGAGACGAAGCAACCGGTGGATTGGCTAAAGACAAACTTGGGCGAAATCGCGCTTTTGACGAGACGTGGGCCGAATATGGGTTTGTGGGGGCTCAAACCAGAGTGGAAATCCGCGGCGCCGGTCCCAGAAGCGCCGCAGTAGGATTGCTATACAACTTAGATGCATCACACACATCCGAGTAGGCGACTAACTATCATCGGCGAAGACGCGTTGGCAAAACCATGCCAGAATCGATGATGCAGTGAAAACATGTGAGGGATTGAGTCATCGCAAATGGAACTCAGAACGATGTATCCACCCCCGATGAAAGTTCTCACGCATGGCGATGACATCGCCATGCGTGTGACATTTTCGTGTTGTTCAGAAGACCATCTCTCCAGCACGAACTCGTCTCGCGTGGCGACGTACGTCGAGCCATTGTAGACAACGATGGGATCAAAAGACACGTTCAGCGCGTATGATCCACCATTACCACTGACTTTGAGCAAAATATCTTGATCAATCCTATCATAACTTCGTACTTGCGTCACTAATGTAGGCGCACCATCGTCGCAATCGTCCGCCGTTGGTTGCGACGTCCACGCCGTGGCGCTCGGGTCGAATGATGCGTAAGCTTCTGCGTCGCGCAACAAGGAACGTCTGCGAAAATTTATCACGTCTCTGTAATAACGCAATGAACCGATGATTTCACTCACAGCCTCCGTCGCGCTATCGATCGATGGCTCGATTTCCCGAAGCTCAAGCAGGCCGAGAGCGGTGTCATCGTCGTTGAGGAGCCGACGAATTTGTCCTTCTTGCGCATCAACGATCTCCCGAAGTGCTCGCTCGTTTAGTCTATCTCGAAGAACTTCGTTGAGAATCTTGATGTAATGAGCACGCATGCTTTCAGATCGTACGAGTACGCGATCGATGGCGCCCTCCGCGCAGTACAGGAGATTGCCTAGCCCAACGATTGCATCTTCGCCGCCGTGATGACAAGACTCAAAAGAATCGTCAGGGTCCCACGCGTGAACTTTGAAACGGTGCTTCCCATCATTCTCATTTGATGCGTATAACCAGAGTTCATCGACGTAATCGCCCGACTCGACCCACGTCATCAGCGCCATCCAACTAAGGTAGCCTTCTAGGTCGATCAAATTGTTCAAAACGTCGAAACAAGCTTTATCTTCGCAGCTCTCGCTTGCGAGAACGACGCGTTCGTATCGTACGCGACCTGCGATTGCTTCAATATCTGTATTTGGATAAGATTTCACTTCGGGCACACCCTTGGAACTGGTAAAATTCTTCCTCGCTGGATCGAACCGTCGGCGCACGACGACGGAGAGCTGATTGTGCGCGCGCTCGAGCGAAGACTTTGGGTCATCCATGAGCAGGTATAAGCCAGAATGTTCCACTCTTTTCTGACCACGTGTGCGTATTTTTAACCTGACGTATCGAAAAGCGTGCGGAAACGTCCCGAGCGCCTTCGCCATCGACAACACGAGGTGTGTCTTTACGTATCGATCATCGATGCACAGGCTGATCAGCAGGAATTTTGTCCCGAAGGAACCAGGCATCAAGCGCACGCCTCGCCCGTCGAGCTCTACGGTGAGACTCTTTCGCCGTTCACAATCTCGAAATGAGGATACACCTCGAAAACGCGCCGTAGCTCTCAAGCGCGGGCCTTCATCAAATCTCACCGCGAGCGCAAATTTCGATTTGGCTCGCATCATTTTCTCGTAACTTCCACGATAAAATCCTCGGTACTCGTCGAACGTCGCTCGCTCGCTTGGCGTAAACTCTAACGTGATATCGTCCGGATAAGGTAGGCTGAGATCTTTGGCGACGCAAGGATCATTGGTTGTTCCTCGCAAGTGTCTTACTGGATCGCGACTCGGCGACCGCACGGTGCACTCTGAGCCGTCGTCGAAGGATAGTACAAAAGTCGATCGCCCAACCGAAACGCAACACGTCACGCGATAAAACGACCGCGTTCGGTGATGATCAATGAATTCGATCGTCTTTGTTGCGTTTGCAAGGTCGAGACGAAATATTTCGGCGCCACCCGCGCGAGGCGGATCGATTGGCGTTCTCATCCTTGATGTTGAATCGAGCGCGTGACTCGTTGCGATGACAAAGGCTTTATACTCCGCGCTCTCTTCGTACTGGCGATCATCGACGGTGAATGACGCGTAAACACGGGTGGTAGCAACCCTGAAATCCGCTTCTTTCGTCTCCGTCTCCGTCCGCGTCGCGTTCAGGACGTCGTCCATCGTACGCAACGCGTGCCGCGTATTCGTCGTTGCGTCCACGATCAGTCGTGGCGGCAAACTCGCCACCCACACTTGCACACGACCTACTGACGTAAACTCTCGCACAAAATCTCTCGCCGCACGCAGCGCTCTTTCGTTCGCTTCGACGATGACGCATGTCGCCGTCGTCGCCGTCGTCGAGAACGACTCGCTCGCGCAGCGCTCTCGTCCATTCACCCACACCGTCCGCGGCGCTTCCTCCACCCTCGAGCCCCCACTGATCATAATTTCAATTCCATTCACCACGTTCGCCACCCGCGCGACGTCCCACGTCCCGCACGAGCGTCCGTGCGCGCCTCGCGCCCGCGACGCGCAGCACCAACTCGCCAACGCCGCGAAAGCGCGACACCCAATCGACGCTCGCCGCGCTCGCCGCGTTCGCGTCCGTTCACGCGAAGCTTTATTTTTCGACTCCATTCTTTCGGCTTCCGCGTCCCACCGCGCGCGCGACGCGCAATGCTGGCCGTGTCGCAGGTGTCACACTGTCACACAGGCGAGGTGCCGAGACACCCGACATTCGATCCACTCGCGCGACGTCACCGCGGTCGATCGCAAAACTCGCGTAGAGAAGACACGAATTCGCCTTTGTGATGAAAAAAACGACGACGGCGACCGGAACCGTTTCGCGAAGGCGACGCGATTGCGCGCGCGCGACGTCAGAACGCGACCGGTGACGTCGCGACTTGACGATCGGTCGTGCGCGAAGCGGACGAACGAACGGTTGGTTAATTCTTTGATCGTCGTCGCGATCGTGCGCGCGCCGGAAGGGCGCGCGAGCGAGCGAAGGCGATGCAAGCGATGGGCGCGCGCGTAAGCCCCGTCGCGGTGACGGATGCGCGCGCGCGTCGCCATCGCGCGCGCGTGGGGGCGAAAAATGGTGCACACGCGCAGGCGATGCGTAACAAAAACGTCGCGAGCGCGAGCGCGGGCACGATGCGCGCGTTGGGGAACCAAGCGGTGCGTAAGACGCGCGCGACGACGCGCGAAGGGGGTTAGGGCTTGTTTTCCAAGAGTCACCCCGCGACGAATCACGAACGGCGAATGCGCGTTTAAAAGACGGGCCGAAGGCGAGGCGCGAAGGCGTCGATCGAACGTCGAACGAAGAAGACTGACGGTAGAGTGTGATCATTTACATCGCGCAGAAGTTTACTCCGTCCCCGGTGACGTTGCGTAAGCCCGCGGCGTTGCCCAAGTGCTCGACGGTGCGCGTGCCGGGACGCGACCGCGCGAAGACGGTGTGCCTGGCGGAGCGAGGGTCGGTGTACGGCGATTGGCCCGTGTATGAAGGCGGTGCGGTGGATAACACGCAGCTTTTGGAAGAGCATGATGCGTGCGGGGTCGGTTTCATCGCTTCGTTGAAGGGTGAGCGCACGCACAAGACTGTGAAAGATTCCTTGATGGCTGTCGGGTGCATGGAGCACCGCGGGGCGTGCTCGGCGGACAACGACTCTGGTGATGGTGTCGGTGTCATGACGCACATTCCGTGGAAGCTTTTGGACAAGTGGTGCGCGGCGAATGGTATCAGTGGATTCTCTGAAGGCTCCTCGGCGGTCGGTATGGTTATGTTGCCCACCGACGGTGCCAAGGCGGCTGAGGCGAAGAAGATTCTTGAGGCGAGCTGCGTCGCCGAAGGCCTCAAGGTGCTCGGTTGGCGTGCGGTTCCGGTGGACAACTCCGTCGTCGGTCCGCTCGCGAAGATGACGTGCCCGGTGCACGAACAGATTCTCGTCGACGGGGCGGGCTTGGAACGCGAAGAGCTCGAGCGCAAGTTGTTCATCGCGCGCAAGACGTGCGAAAAGTCGGCGAGCTCCGACGCCGTGTTAGCTGAGAGCTTCTACATTTGCACCTTGAGCTCCCGCACGATTGTGTACAAGGGTATGCTTCGATCCGCGGTGTTGGGCAAGTTCTACAAGGATTTGGAAGACCCCGACTACGAGTCGCAGTTCTCGATTTACCACCGCCGTTTCTCCACGAACACGACGCCGAAGTGGCCACTCTCGCAACCGATGCGTTTCTTGGGACACAACGGTGAGATCAACACCCTTCAAGGTAACTTGAACTGGATGGCGTCTAAGGAAGCTGATATGGAGAACCCGATCTGGGGCGGTCGTGAACCGGAATTCCGCCCGATCTGTAATCCGGCTGCCTCCGATTCCGCCAACCTCGACAGAGTCGCGGAGCTCCTGGTGAGAACCGGCCGCGCGCCGGCGGAGACTATGATGTTGCTTGTGCCAGAAGCGCACCGCAACCACCCCGAACTCGATGCGACGTTCCCGGAAGTTCATGATTTCTACGATTATTACGCTGGGATGCAAGAAGCGTGGGATGGTCCAGCGTTGCTCGTCTTCTCCGATGGCAAGCAGCTCGGCGCCCGCCTCGACCGCAACGGGTTGCGCCCGGCGCGCTTCTGGCGCACGTCCGATGATTACATCTACGTCGCCTCGGAAGTTGGTGTCCTCGGTGATGTCATGTCCAACGCGTCCAATGTCGTCTCCAAGGGCCGTCTCGGCCCGGGTATGATGATTTACGCTGATTTGGAGACGGGCGAGTTCAAGGAAAATACGGAAATCGCGAAGGAAGTCTCCGCGCGCCTCCCGTACGGCGAATGGATGAAGGCCATCGATCGCGTCAAGGGCATCGAACCCATTGGCGCGACGCAACTGGACCCGATCCAACTCATCGAGTGCCAAGCTCGCGCCGGTTACGCCGCCGAAGACATCACGATGATCATTGAATCGATGGCGTCCGATGCCATCGAACCCACTTGGTCGATGGGCGACGACACCCCGATGCCCGTCTTGTCTGGCCGACCGCGCTTGCTTTATGACTACTTCAAGCAACGCTTCGCGCAAGTTACCAACCCCGCCATCGACCCTCTTCGCGAGGGTCTCGTCATGTCCTTGGCCATGACTCTTGGTGCGAAGGGCAACTTGCTCGACACGCAAGGCAAGGAAACGCCGCCGGTCATGCTCGACTCCCCGGTCCTCTTCGACTCTGAGTTGGAGCACATTAAGAACCACCCGAAGCTGAAGACGCAAACTATTGCCGCGCGTTACGCCGCTGGTGGTGCCGCTGGTGCCCTCAAGGCTGGCCTTGACAAGCTTTGCGAAGAGGCCGCCGCGGCGATTCGCGCCGGCAGCGAGTGCATCGTCATCACGGATCGTCCGGATCAAGGTCCGGACTCGCCCGCGATTCCCTCGCTTCTCGCTGTTGGTACCGTGCACCACTACTTGATCGCGCAAGGTCTTCGAACCCGCGCGTCTATCGTCGTGGAGTCTGCTTCGGCGTTCAGCACGCACCACATTGCCACCTTGGTTGGTTTCGGCGCACACGCTGTGTGCCCGTGGTTGGCTTTGGAAACCTGCCGGTCATGGAGAAAGTCCCCGAAGGTCGAGACCGCCATCCAGCGCGGTAAGATGGGTGATGTCTCTGTGGAAGGTGTGCAAGTCAACTTCAAGAATGCCCTCAACAAGGGTCTCAAGAAGATCTTGTCTAAGATGGGTATCTCTTTGATCACCTCGTACCAAGGCGCGCAAATTTTCGAGTGCTACGGTCTTGGGCCTGAAGTCATCAACACCGCCTTCAAGGGCACCGTTTCCCGCATCGGTGGTCTCACCATGGATGAAGTTGCCGCGGAGACGCACATGTTTGTCCAGTCCGCTTTCCCGGGTGAGGCTGAAGAGATGGCCAAGGTTGAGGCGCGCGGTATGTTCCAAGTCAAGCCGGGATTGGAATACCACGGCAACAACCAAGAGATGTCTAAGCTTCTTCACAAGGCTGTTGGCCTCGGTGGTGGTGAAAAGAATGATGAGTTCTGGAGCGCCTACCAAGCGCACCGCAACGATCGTCCGTACACGTGCTTGCGCGATCAACTCGAAATCAAGTCTGACCGCCAACCGATCTCCGTCGATGAGGTCGAATCCGTCGCTGACATTTGCACGCGCTTCTGCACGGGTGGTATGTCTCTCGGTGCTATCTCCCAAGAGTGCCACGAATCTATCGCCATCGCGATGAACCGCATCGGTGGTAAATCCAACTCTGGTGAAGGTGGCGAAGACCCGAAGCGATTCGAAACCATCACTGACGCCACCGCGGATGGCAAGTCTGAAACGTTCCCGTACCTTCGAGGCATGGAGAATGGCGACGTCGCGTCTTCCGCTATCAAGCAAGTCGCTTCCGGTCGCTTTGGTGTCACGACGTCGTTCTTGATGTCTGCCAACCAGACCGAAATCAAGGTGGCGCAAGGTGCCAAGCCGGGAGAAGGTGGTCAGCTTCCGGGTAAGAAGGTTTCCCCGTACATTGCCTGGCTCCGCCGATCCAAGGCTGGTGTCCCGCTCATCTCCCCGCCGCCGCATCACGACATCTACTCCATTGAGGATCTCGCGCAGCTCATCTATGACTTGCACATGGTCAACAAGAACTCGAAGGTGTCCGTGAAGCTCGTGTCCCAAGCGGGCATCGGCACGGTGGCGTCCGGCGTCGCCAAGGCGAACGCCGACATCATCCAAATTTCGGGTGGCGATGGTGGTACCGGCGCGTCTCCTTTGTCGTCCATCAAGCACTGCGGTGGTCCGTTGGAGATGGGTCTCGTCGAATCGCACAGAACTCTCGTTGAGAATGGCCTTCGCGAGCGCGTCGTCTTGCGCGCCGATGGTGGCTGCCGCTCCGGTCTTGACGTCATCCAAACCGCTCTCATGGGTGCCGATGAATACGGTTTCGGTACCGTTGCGATGATTGCCACTGGCTGCGTCATGGCTCGTATTTGCCACACCAACAACTGCCCCGTTGGTGTTGCGTCCCAGCGCGAAGAGCTTCGCGCGCGCTTCCCCGGTGCGCCAAGCGATCTTGTCAACTTCTTCATGTACGCCGCGCAAGAAGTGCGCGAGATCCTCGCCCAAATGGGTTACAGATCTCTCGATGAGATCATCGGTCGCAACGACTTGCTCAGCCAAATTGACAAGGCGCCGGCGAAGACTTCGTCTCTCGACTTGTCCTTCCTCACCACGTCCTCTGGCGAGGCTGGCGCTTCCTCGGACCGCATCGCGCAACCGGTGCACAACGACGGTATCGTTCTCGATGACAAGATCCTTAGCGATCCGGAAGTCCAAAAGTGCATCGAAACCGAAGGCACGTACACGAAGAAGGTGGAGATTGTCAACGTCGACCGTTGCGCGACGGCGCGCGTCGCCGGTCAAATCGCCAAGAAGTACGGCGACAATGGCTTCGCTGGTTCTCTCACCTTAGACATCGAGGGTTCCAGCGGTCAATCTTTCGGTGCTTTCGTTGTCGGTGGCCTGAAAGTGCGACTTGTGGGTGAAGCGAACGATTACGTGGCGAAGAGCATGAGTGGCGGTGAGATTGCCATCATGCCTCCTCCGAACTCTCCGTTCGCGCCGGAGTCGGCGAGCATCGCGGGTAACGCGTGCTTGTACGGCGCCACTGGTGGTCAAGTGTTTATCAGCGGTCGCGCTGGTGAACGCTTCGCCGTCCGTAACTCGCTCGGTGAAGCGGTCGTTGAAGGCACTGGCGACCACTGCTGCGAATACATGACGGGTGGTTGCGTCGTCGCGATCGGCAAGGTTGGCCGCAACGTTGGCGCGGGTATGACTGGTGGCATCGGTTACTTCCTCGACGAAGACGGTACGTTCGAATCCAAGGTGAACGGCGAGATTGTCGCCATGCAGCGCGTGATCACGCCGGCGGGTGAGGCCCAACTCAAGGGTCTCATCTCCGCGCACGCCGAGAAGACGAACTCGCCGAAGGCGAAGGCTATCCTCGCTGACTGGGCCAACTATTTGCCCAAGTTCTGGCAGTTAGTTCCGCCGTCTGAGGCGAACACGCCGGAGGCGACGAACGATGTTAAGGCTGGAGTTGAAGCCACTGCTTAAATCCATAGCGCGGCGCGGCGTCGTACGCAAAAAATGCTTGCAAGCGTTCATGAGTTGAGGAATTTAGAAACAGTTTAATTAAATGAAATCATCGTTTGAAATCGTGATGAAGAGGATAATATTCCAACAATGCGCGCGTGCTTAGCCCGAGAACGCCTCGGCAGCCTTCTTCAAATTGTTCCAGAGGTTGGTCTCGACGTCAATTTCGCCCTTTGCTTCGTTCGCCTTGGCGATGGCGTCGCCGCGCTCGCCCGGAAGGTTGATGGCATCGACGCCCGGTTGCTTGGGCGCGTTGCGCACGCGGTTCATCACGAACGCGGCGTTCTTCTCGAAATCAGCTTGGCCGAGCATCTTCGGGTCGATCACCATGATCAAGTTACCCCAGTTCTTCGCCGCGAGCTTGCCTTCGATGGCGGCGCCGACGAGCGGACCGGCGAGGAGCTCGATGACGAGCGCCAAGTTGCTGCTCTTGTAACCACCATCGAAAGTTCGGATGGCACCACCGTCGAGAACTTCATTCGGGTCCTTGGTCAACACGCCGTTCTTGTCTTGAGCCGCACCATCCGGGAGTTCGCGTCCCGCGGTCTTCGCCTCGAGCACGCCGAACCAGCTGTACGCGCTCGTGGCCATGTCGAGCACCATGGCGCCTTCGGACGAGGGAATGCCCACGCCGATCGGGTTGGTGCCGAAAATAGCCTTCGAGCTCCCGGCCGGGGCGACGAATTCCGGGGATTGCGCGAAGCAGATGGAGATCATGCCTTGGTCGGCGACGGATTTGCAATAATACCCGAGCGCCCCCGTGGACGTGCTCGTGTTGCACGTCCCCACGATCCCGAACCCGTGTTCCTTCGCCTTTTCGTGCGCCACGCGCGTCGCTTCGGCCAAAACAAGCATACCTTGCGTTTTCTTACCGTCGATCGCCGCCGAAAGCTTCGTTTCGTGCGTCACCACCATCGGTTCCGCGTCCGGCGCCATCGCGAGCCCGTTCGTCGTCACCTTGATGATCCCTTGGTTGTTCCCTCGCAACTGCGCGTACATGAGCACGTCCAAAATCACCTTGGCGTCCTTTTCGTTGTACCCGATCCCTCGAATCGCCTTCGTCGTCGTCGTCTTCAGCTCTTCGATCGGCACCATCGTCGCGCGCGTCGTCGTCATCGTCGCCCGTCGTCCGTGACGTGTCGGTGTCGTCGCGTTCGCGTTCGCGACGAAAGTCTTCGCGTTCGCGAACTGCGTCGGGAGCGCTCGAGCGGCGTGCATCGTGTGCGTGAGAGCGTGTGCGGTGTGGATTCGGCGCGCGAATGTGCGGCGTCGCGCGGCGTCGATCGTCGACCGATCGCGATTATCCACTCAACGACCGCGGCACAGGGGGGCATGCGCGCGTGTCGAGGGGGGGTGGGGATCCGTGTTGTTGTTTGCGACCGCTTGAATTCTATGGTATCTATGGGTAAACAGTCAGACGGGGTAAACAGGGTAAAGTCAGGGAACGAAACGAAAAAAGGGCGATGAATTCACGTACATCGAGGTTTTTAAGCGCCTAATCGCGAGCGGCGATGCGATGACGCGATAATTGAGGGGTGCATTTTGTGAATGTATAGGTTTTCGACTCTTAAAGTACCGACACGGCGTCAAAAGTACCCGTAACGTTCGCGCCGTGACCCCGCGTGGTGCGCGGCTAAAGGGTCGTGCGGCACATGGTGTCATCAAGCGACCACACCCGCGGAAAATCACAGAAACCCATCGGAACTTCTCAGTTAAGACCGCGTGGGCCGGATAAGTACCGATGTCGGAAGACGTCAGGAACCCCCGGTATCGCTTGGTTTCTTTATGCTTTTCGCGCCGACGGCGAGAACTTTTCGTTCTCCAGCTTTTCCCAACTTTTCGTCGAATTCGGACGCGATTTAAGCGCCCGAATGATGGATTTTGCATCATTTGAGATGGTGTGTGATGGTTTGCTCGCGATGGTTCGGCGCGACTTCGCACCGCTCGACGGCGCGAACGTCGCCGAAACTTTTGTGACGACACGAGAGTTACACGTTCTAGCTTGTCCTAACTTTTCGTCGACATCGGACGCCGATTCGGGGTGAGCTCGGTCAACGTCGCGCGTCGCGTCGCGCGCGCCGGCCGACGTCGGCGCGTTTAATTTCGGCTTGTACGTAAAGACTTAGCGTTCGTCGGACGATGCGAGTTGAATTGGGCGTCGAGCGCGTACCGCATTCACCGTACGCGCTGCGCGTTGCGTCGGCTTCGTTGGTTGATATTACAAATGTCGCTCTCGCTCGCGGTTCAGTCGTCCTCCGTCTTGTACGACACCCCCGCGTCGACGGTATGGATCTTCGTGCTAAACGAACGCAACCGCATCTCGACGCCGTCTCGAACATACTTCGGATCGCTCTCTTCGCACTCCTCCGGCGTCGCGCTCGCCGCGTCCGTGTACGCCAAGAGTTCGAACGCGCACTCGCGATCGAGCAGAGGCAAAAACGTCACCGAAGCCGTGATTTGCCGAATGATGGCTTGTATCTCTTGCATAATTTCCTTCTCCGGCTTCTCCCTCGTCGTCGTCGTCGTCGTCGTCGTCGTCGTCGTCGTCGTCGTCGTCGTTCCGTTCGCATCACCACCGTTCTCATCCACGATCTCCGCATCCGTCTCCACGTCGAACGTCCAGCGCTCCAGCGTCTCCCCAGTCTTCGCGTCCGCGAGCACCAGCACCAACTTTTTCAAATCCTTCTCCATCAACCACGCGTTCACGCGTTCGAGCGCGGCGACCAAGTATTCCTTTAATTTCGGTTCGTTCGTCACCATCACCCCGAGTCCGTACTTTTTCTTTCGTTCAAACTCCTCCGCCGGGTACACCCCGCGCTGGTACAAGATGGTGTTCACCGCGTACCCGAAAAACTCCGTCACGAGCTCGGTCGACCCTCGGAGCGTGATCGCGCTCGACGTCGCGCCGCGCCGTTGCTCTTGCGCCATGTCGCGTTCGAGCGTCGCGGCGTCGGCGCGCTCGAGCGCGCGTTTCACTGCGGTTTCGATTCAAACCGATCCCGCGCTCGACGTCGGCGCCTGGACGTCGAGGTCGAGCGCGAGCGTCCGTCGCCCTCGCGACGCCGCGCACACGCCGACGTCGCGCGCTCGCGGGCGCCGGCGCGTCGCGGCGTCGACCATGCGGTCGAGCGCGCGCGCGTCGAGCGCGACGTCGACGTCGACGCCTCGTCGCGCGGCGGGACGTCGCCGCCGCGGGGACGCGCGCGCGCGGTTCAGAGCGCGCGACGCCCCGGACGCGCCCGCGCTCGACCGCGACGACGTCCCGCGCGCGGCGTCGTGGGCGTGGTCGTCTCGGTTGCAAGCGCTGCGAGCGATGAGCGCGATCGAAGACGGCGACGGGGAGGGCGTCGTGGTGGATTGCTGCTGCGGACACGCGCTGCTGGCGCTCGGCTGCGCGTCCGAGGCGAACGCGACGCGAGTCGTCGCGATCGATCGAAGCGAGGCGGAGATTGAACGCGCGAAAAAGAACGTGGCGAGGGCGAAAAAAGAAGTGGAGATGGTCGGCGGTGATGGCGCGGCGGTGGATACGGTGGATTTGAGACTGGGCGACGGGTTGTCGGCGCTGCGGGACGACGAGCGCGTCGACGTCTTGGTCGTCGCGGGCGTGGGGGCGAATACCATGGCGCGCGTGCTCGAGGAGGGCGGGTGTGGGGGGTCGGGAAACCGACGCGGAAGTTTAAAGCGCGTAGTGTTGAATCCGCCGGCGAAAGATGGCGCGCAAGTGCGTCGATGGTTGCGCGCGAACGACTATCGCGTCGTCGACGAGCGGCTCGTCGTGGAAAACGGAACGATGCATCTGATTCTGTGCGCGGAGAACGAGACGGCTGCGACGAAACGACCGTTCACGATGAGAGATGAAATCATAGGCCCGTGTTTGGGCGCACAATCTCCGAAAGAGTCGCCGTTGCTCAAGTTGTACGTCAAAAAACGTCTGGAATGGGTTCGCGAGGTGCGCAGGCAGTCGAGCCTAAACTTGACGCGACTCGAGCGGCTCGCGGACGCGGGCGACGCCGTCGCTGTTTCACGATTACGGGAAGATGTTGCGCACTACGACGAGATGGAAGCGATTTTGCTCGAATTTTTCGGCGTGAACGTGGAAGAACAGCGACGCAACGTCGAGGCGGAACTCGAGCGGCAAATCGTTAGCAGTTTCGAAGGATTCGACGACAATCCGACCGAGTTAGTGTACAAAGTCGTCGACCCAGAGGAGTCCGATGGGAGATTAGGCATTTGTCGTCAATTCCTCGACGAAGACGCGGCGAACGAACTGTTGTCTAGCCTCGTGTCGTCGCCGCCCGTGACATGGGCGCAGCGCTCCATCGTCGTTTGGCAACCCGACAAAGGCGTCACGAAAGAAGTCGTCCAACCGAGACTCGTGTCGTGGGCGGGCGATCTACCGTACAAATATAGTGGCCAGACGCTCGATCCGGTACCCGTGCCTGAGGTGTTGCGCCGCCTGCAGACCGCGGTTGAGGCGAAATGCGGCGCGACGTTCAACCATATACTTTTAAATCGTTATCGCGATGGGGACGATTCCATGGCGTTTCACGCCGATGACGAACCCGAACTCGGTAAAAACGCGTGTATCGCGGCCGTGAGCGTCGGTCACACGAGAAAGTTTGACGTTCAGGTGAAATCTCGAGCGAAGAAGAAGACATCAATCTTTCTCGAGCACGGCTCGCTGATGGTGATGGACGGTTCCTTGCAGCACACTCATTATCACGCGGTGCCGAAGAATCGCGTCCCGACGAACGGAAAAGAACGAATCAATATCACGTTTCGATACCTTAGAGGTCCACCGGGATGGCGCCAGGACGACGACGACGCGACGACGTCGCAAGTATAACAATAGTAGCGATTTTTGTGTACATTTATTACATCGTAGAGTTGGAAAGCTATCGCGCTTTTGCAGCGTCAACGTCCGCACTCTCTATCAAAATACATCGTGGTTTTTCGAACCAAACGGCGACTGTTCCGCCATAGCGAGCCTTAAGTTGACGCTGAGCGAGTAATTTTGTCTCTCCGCCGTCTTGAGCCTGTCGTCGTACTGCGCGCACGCGGCTTCGAGTTCGCGCACGCGGGCCTGAAGCGGCGCCAAGTCTTGCATGCGTGAGTTCTGAATCGCCACCGCACGCTTCAACAAAGCGTTCTCTCGCTTCATCTTCATCACTTTGCTATAATCGTTAAACTCCGCGCATCTCTGTCTCACGGCGCCCTCAAATGTTTGCAAGACTCGCGAAGCGCGATTCTGCGCATCCGACACGTCCACCGAGGCTCCCATCTCGTTCACGATCGCGTTTACCCACTCCATCGTCAACACGGGCGCGCTCGACGTGGCCGTCCCCATTTCGCGTTCACCAACATCTCCCGCGTTCCCCTCGCCTCCCGCGCTATTCGCCGCCTCGGAGATCGCCGCCTCGCTCACGAAATCGCCCACCGAGCACTGCGCCGTCTGCTCCACCATCTTCACGCTCGCCAGCTTCCCGATCGCATCATCAATATCACTACAATTCTCCAGCGTCTCACGCACGCGTTCTTCCATCTCCTCCGGCAACAATTCAATAAACCGCGCGATGTCGTTCGCCTGCGTCTCGCTCAAGTCAAATCCTCGAAAATCAATCAATCGCCGCGCGAACTCTCGTCCATTCACGCTTCTCCGCGCCTGTCGCTGTCGTCGCTTATACAGCGTCGTCCCCTGTCCCGCGCTCGACTCCGGTCCGTCCCTCGTCCCGCAGTCGCGTTCGCTCGTCGTCGTCGCCGTCGCGCCACCGCGTCCGCGCTTCCTCGACGCGCACTCGCTCGGCTCGTCCGTCGTCGCGCACGTCCCATCGCTCGCGGTCGTCGCCGTCACCGCGTGCGCGGACATCGCGCCCGTCGTCCGCGCGCGCGTCGTCGTCTGCGCGCGTCGCCGTCGCCGTCGCCGTCGCCGTCGCCGTCGCCGCGGGACGTCGCCGTCTCGTGGTCTCAAAAGATCCGTGTGGCGCGTTCACGGGAAGGTCTCGCTCGGCGACGCCGGGCGTCGCGCGCGGCGACGCGATTGGGACACCGCGACGCGCGACGCGATCGACGCGATGCACGCGACGACGACGACGACGACGACGAGATTTACCGCCACCGCCGGCGCGCGCGCGCAGCGACGAGAGGTGCGCGACGACGACGCGAGCGACCGCGAACGCGGCGCGACGTCACGACGGGGACGACCCTAGCGACGCGCGCGCGACGACGACGGACGAGGGACGCGCGCGCGCGGGATCGGGCGAGGACGGCGGCGCGAGGACGGGGCGCGGGATAATTTTAAATCTCGCGCGCGCGCGGAAACGAACGCGAGATCGGGCGCGGGGCGCGGGAGACGACCGCGGGACGCGCGCGGTGGATGGCTGGCGTAGATAAAATAAAACCTATTCGCGCCGCGAGGGAGACTGACTTTGAGCGTTTCGTTTCGATGATGCGCAGGCCCGACGGGCGTCGGTGAAGATGCACGCGAAGAAGGAAGGCGCGAAGGAACAGCCGGAGTGGTTCGAGGAAGCGAAGGTTTTCTGCAACGGGGAGGAAGTCATGACGGTGGGAGGCACGCAAGCGGAGTACGTCGTGGATATTTGGAGCGGCAACCACCCGTTCTTTCAAGGACGATCGTCGGCGATCATGACGGATGCGGGTCAAGTGAGCCGCTTCGCCAATCGCTTCGGCGACCTCGGTGACCTCTCGGCGGTCGAAACCATGGATTCGCCGGTGAAGAAGGAGTAAACGGCGCCGAGCGAACGCGCGCCGTGGCTTTTATAATTTGTTGTGATTTGAGACTCACTTTTCTAGGAATTAATTATTTCATTCGTCGTCTGTAGATATCTCTTAATCGTGCGCGTCCATCGCGTAGGGGTTACACGGACAGATTCTTCATCCCGTCGGCCGGGATGTTTTCTTCCGGTTTCATCGCCGGGAAGAGCAAGACCTCCTTGATGTTGTTCTTGTCCGCGAGAAGCATCGTGAGGCGATCGACGCCCAAGCCCCAGCCCCCGGTGGGCGGCAAACCGTACTCCAAAGATTGCACGAACACTTCATCGATAAGCATCGCTTCGTCATCGCCGCTAGATTTCGCCTTGGCTTGCTCGTCAAAGCGCTCGCGTTGATCGATAGGATCGTTCAACTCGGTGTACGCGTTGCAAAGCTCCTTCGTGTTCACGAAGAGCTCGAAACGCTCGGTCATACCGGGAATATTGCGATGATACTTGGCCAAAGGGGACATAATTTGCGGATGGTCGCAAATGAAACCCGGGTTGACGAGTTGAGACTCCAAGTATTCGCCGACGAGCTCATCGAGCATACGCGCCGTGGTGTACGGTGGAGACATTTCGACGCCCAACTTCTTGATTAATTCCTTCAAGAAATCTTCGTTTTCTTGCGTAGAGAAGTCAGTGGATGGGAACTTGATGTTGAGCGCTTCTTCGAGACCGCTAACCATGGAGATGCGGCGGAACGGCGGCGTGAAATCAATCTCAATCGGATCCTCATCCGGGCCCTTGGCGTGGTATTGAATCTTGTACGAGCCCTTGATGGCGTACACCATGCCGGAGATCATCTCTTCAGTCATTTGCATCAAGTCATCGTAATCGGCGTACGCTTGATAGAACTCACAAGTGGTAAACTCAGGGTTATGCGTCATATCGATCCCTTCGTTACGGAACTGACGACCGATTTCGTACACGCGCTCGATACCTCCGACGACGAGCTGTTTGAGGTAAAGCTCGGGCGCGATGCGCATGTAGAGCGTCATGTTCAAGTCGTTGTGGTGGGTGATGAACGGTCGCGCGGTGGCACCACCGGCGATCATATTCATCATCGGCGTCTCAACCTCAAGGAAATCGCGATCATCCAAGTACTTGCGGATGTATCGAATGATGTTGGATCGGATGTAAAACGTGTCGCGAACTTCGTTGTTCATCATCAAATCCAAAAAGCGCATGCGGAAGCGCGTTTCGACATCCTTCAACCCCGAAAAACCGGGAAGCATCTTCAAGCACGGGGTCAAGATCTCAAAATTAGACGGGAACAGCGAGAGCTCCCCACGTTTCGTCTTCCCGGGCGTACCCTTGACGCCGACAATGTCCCCGCGTCTCGTCGCGCTGTGAATCTTTTGGAAATCATATCCCGATGCCGCACCCTCATCCGCGGTCACTTGAATCTTCTTACCATCCGCAATAAGATCGTAAAAGTACAATTTCTTCCCGCTCGCCCGTTTAGACATGATGCGTCCCGCCACGGACGCGCTCTCGCCCTCGGCCGTCGTCCCATCCGCCAACCCGGAATACTTTTCGATAAACTCCCCCACGCGCGTATCGACGTGATACTTGTGCGGATACGGCGACTCTCCCTTCGCTTTCGCGCTAAGCACCTTATTAATTCGATTTTGCGTGTACTGCGTCGGGTCCAAATCCGCTTCGTCGTCCTCTTCGCTCTTCTCCTTCTTCGGCTTTGCCGCCTCCGCCTCCGCCTTGGCCGCGTCCTTGGCCGCCTTCTTCTCTTCGTTTTGTCTCTGTTTCAGCCGTTTCTTATACTCACTGCGCCGTCGTCGTCATCGCGCGCGCGAGTGCGTCGTCAGTCTCGCGTCCGTCGTCGTCGTCCTCGTTCGCGTCGCGCGTCACCGTCGCGCCGTCGCGCCATCCATCCATCGCGCCAGCCATCGCGCCATCCGCCGTCGTCGTCGCGTCTTTCGCGCGCGTCGCGCCGCACCTCTTGCTCATCGGCTCGCCCGGGAACTCCGGGAACTCCTTCAGCGTCGGTTCATCGGCGGCGTCGGCCATGTTCGATCGCGCGCGCGTCGCTGTCGCGCGTCGCGTCGCGTCGACGCGGGACAAAAAACACAGGGTTTGAATCCGCGTCGCGGGTGCGTGGCGTTACAAACAGACAAAGTCAGAAGAAGTCTGGCTGCCCGGTGCTGGCCAGGGTGCGGTGCCACATGCGACCGTCGGGATCGACCAAACGCTCGCGCTCGATCATGCGAGGGATCGGTAAAAACGCGGTGTGCGCGCTGACGGAGCCGACGGAGATGCCGGTGAAACCGGCGAAGGCGCCGTGGACGGCGTTTTGGCCGAGGACGGTGCACATGATGGAATCGTGGGCGTTGGCGACGCAACCGCGAACCATGTACGTGGGATCGATGTACTTGACGTCGCACTTGATCTCGGCTTTGAGTTGCTTGCAAAACCATTGACCGATGTCACCGAGCTTGGGGTTACCGCCGGCGTCGGTGCCGCCGGCGGAGACGAACTCTTGGCCGGCGCCCTCGGCGAGGACGACGACGGCGTGACCTTGAGCGTCCAACATGTTTCGAACGTACTCGACCACGCCATTCGGGCCGTGTGCCGCCCAGCTAATCTCGGGAATCAAACAGCAATCGACTTGTCCGTTCGCCAGCGTCGCGAACATGGCTATAAATCCGCTCTGACGTCCCATGAGCTTCACCACGCCGACGCCGCGATAGGCGCTCTGCGCCTCAATGGCCGCGGCTTGAATCGCTTTCTGTGCCTCTTCGACCGCGGTGTCGAACCCAAAAGTCTTATCCAGAAGAAGGATATCGTTATCTATCGTCTTCGGGACGCCCACTACGGAGACCTTGACCCCTCGCTTGGCGCATTCATTACTTATCGCGTTTGCCCCGGCGTGCGTGCCGTTGCCGCCGATGACGAAAACCATGTTGATTCCGTTATTTACGATAGATTCCACGATTTTCTCCACGTCTCCACCGCCTCTGCCGGATCCAAGCGCAGACCCACCGATGTTGTGAATGTTTCTCACCACCTTCCTGTTCAACGGCATGAATTCGTCGCCGGAGAAGAACCCTTTAAATCCGTATCGCACGCCGCTAATCTTCTTCACCCCGTAGCCAACCTCCAGGGTGTTCACGAGCGATCGAATGACGTCATTGATTCCCGGGCACAATCCTCCGCACGTCACCACCGCCGCGTGCACTTCCTCTGGATCGAAATAAACCTCCGCCCTCGGTCCCGCCCGGACGACCCACTCCGGCACGTAATCGCACCCGCTCGGGTCGTACACGTCGCTCGACAACGAGCACGTCTGCGTCGGATCCGCCGCGCTCCCGTACGCCACCGAGTTCAGCAATATCCGATCACTATTGCTCACAAAGTTACTATTAAACGTCAGCGACGTTCTCGGTCCGACGTTCAGCGGGCACGAGCTCTTCGTGCAGAACGGGCTCGGCCTCGCTCGCGGCGGCGCGTCGCCGCGATGCACGTCCCGCAGGTGCGTGATCTTCAAATCGTTCGCCCCCCCCACGCGCCACGTGTAGTACGCGTCGTCCTCCTCGTCGTCCTCATCGACGTCTTTCTCATCGACGCGCGTCGCCGTCGCGCGCGTCCTCGTCCTCGTCCGTCGCGTCGTCGTCGTCGTCGTCGTCGTCGTCGTCGCGATTCGCGTCGTCGCGATCCGCGTCCTCGCCGTCGCCGTCGCGCGCGCGTCGCGCGGTCGCGCGCGTCGTCCATCGACGACGACGCCGCGCTCGAGCGACGACGACGCGCCGCTCGCGCGCATCGCGTCGCGTCGCGCTGTGCGACGACGACGACGACGACGCCGAGGTTGTTACGCGCGACTGCGCGACGCTCGGCGACGCGCGATGCGCGCGCGACGGCCGTCGACGCGCGCCGAGTCGACGCGATGCGCGACGCGGACGACGCGGGCGACGCGGGCGAGGCGACGGCGCGCGGCGCGCGTCGCGCGCGCGACGGGAAGGCGCGACGACGAGGACGAGGACGAGGACGAGGACGAGGGACGAGGACGCGGCGACGGGACGCGCGTGACGCGGGAAGAGATCGAACGCGCGGCGAACGCGCGAGGATTGACGCTGGAGACGAAGTTTTACGGACCGGTGTTCAAGATGGAGGCGCGACGGATGAGGACGGGGCGGGGGGGGGAGGGAGAGGCGGACGTCGTGGCGACGCACGACGGGTTCGTGGCGCCGCCGCCGTTTGGGATATTGCACATGGATAGCATGCGCGTGTATAACTCTAAAGTGAGCGAGCGCGAGCGCGGGAAGATGCGAAGCACGTTTGGGATCGCGATTTTGCTCGGGACGATGTCTCTGCTCGAGGGGGCGGAGGCGGGGTGTAAAAAGTGCGAGTTGCTCGCGATCGACGACGGGAACGGGTACGCGGAGAAATTGGTGAGGTATTACGGTCGATTGGGGTTTGAAACCGTGCGCGTGGTGGGCGAGAACGGATTGCGCGATATACCGGATTTATTGGTGTGGGGTGGCGTGGGAACGCGAATGAATGGCGACGTGGACGCGTTGTTGGCAAAGTGGGGCGGCGTGATTCGCAAACAGCTTTCGAGAGATTGACGCGTGTTGTACTATCTAAACTTGTTCTACTAAAGATGAATCTCTCCACTGAGGCTCTATCGCCCCGCGCGCTTGCTAGGTTTCTTGTTGTTTGACTTCTCGACTTCGTCAAAACCGATCTCGAGATCGAACTCTTCCTCCGTCATCTTGCCCTTTTTCAACTTTTTGAGGGCGCGGTAATCGTCCTCCATCTCTTCGATGTCGGCTCTGGACTCTTCCTTGCGACGTTTGAAGGCTGTCTGGCGCTTTTCCTCCTTGACCTTTTCCTTCTTAGGTTTGGGTTTATCCGCATCCAATAAACGCTGCGCCTCGGCCGCTTCTTCTTGCTCCTTGAGGGTTCTTTGACGTTGCTTTTCGCGAGCCTTGTCCTCGAAAGCCACCGAATCGGCGTGGACGGATGATTCGACGAAGCATTCCATAAACTTTTTCGGTGCCTTGCGAATTTCCTTCATCTTCGGAAGACGAAGCAGACCCATGGACATGGCGAGCGCGCCGTATTCGAGCTCTTTAAATCGGAAAATGAATCGACAGTGATGCTCCTTGTACCCGCGAATGAATGAGACGTACGCTCGCACGCCCTTCTCCATAATTTCCCGTTTTTTTTCGCTCGCTTTTCGCAACACCGCATGCACGTGCGCCGCACCTTTTCTCTCATCGCTCGCATCTTTCTCCAAAGCGTCGACGATCTCTGATGCTAGTTCAATTTCGCCGTTGTCGTCGCCGCCATCCTTTGCCGCGGCTGCCTCCTCGGCGTAACCTTCGCGCGTTCCCGGAGCCGGCTTGATCTCTACACCGCGAATTCGCAAAAAGTCCACATAGCTGGCCTCCGAATTCGGCGATAAAAACACTAATGCACTTCCATCTCGACCCATGCGCGCAGTTCTTCCGACACGATGCACAAACGCCGCCGGGTCTTGCGGTGGATCAAATTGCACAATCCAATCGACGCCTGGAATGTCTAAACCGCGAGCCGCGATGTCAGTACACATCAGAATACCCGACTTTTGTTCGGTGAATTTACCCAAAGCGCTTTCCCGGGCGCTTTGTTTCATTTTTCCGTGCAGCGCGATGGCGGTGGACTCTGGCAAAAGTTCTTTGAGCGCCGATTCGTAAAAGTCCACGCACGCGCATGTCAAAAAGTAGACGATGACTTTACACTCGCGATGCTCCTTGATGAAGTTCACGAAATGCCACAGCTTGGAATCTACGGAACATATACGATAAAGCAGCTGCAGCTGCGTCGGAAGCTTCCCAGCCTTCTCACCCGCCGCCTTTGCAGCCGAGTTCAACGCGTCTCGCACCGTCACTCGCACCGGGTTCCGCAAGCCCGCTCTCGCGAGTTCCGCCACCTCTTCCGTCTGTGTCGCACTGAACAACCCAGTCCTTCGCTGCTTGGGTAGTCGCGATATAATATTATTCAAAGTCGCCATGAATCCCATCCCGAGCAATCGATCGGCTTCGTCCAATATGAGCAATTCACACTTCTTCCCGTCCAGCTCTTTGCTTCGCTGCATCACGTCCCACAAGCGCCCCGGCGTCGCGATGAGCACCAGCGGCGACGTCGCCGCGAACGTCGCCACATCCTTCGCCACATCCGTTCCTCCCACGAGCAACATCGCTAAATCTCCTTCACCCTCATTCGTCTCGCTCCGTTCTTTCCCCAGCGTCCGCACGAACGGCGCCGCGACTTCGTGAATTTGCTTTGCCAGCTCTCGCGTCGGGCTCACGATCACCGCCCCGACCTGGTATCGCTTCAGCTCGCGCTTCGCTCGCGCCAGAATCTCAATCATCGGCAGCACGAACGCCAGCGTCTTCCCCGACCCCGTGCACGCCTCGACGGAGACGTCCTTGTGCGAGCAGAGCAGCGGGACGGTGGCGGCCTGGACCGGCGTCGAGCGCGCGAAACCGGCGCGCTCGAGGACGGCGAGCGAGGACGCGCGCAGGGCGGGGACGAGATCTTCGAACGGTGGACCCTCGGCTTTAGCCGCCGCGGGCTCCCACGGCGCGGGCGCGGCCATGACCCGTCGCGCGAAAGCGAAAGCGCGAACGACGCGTCGGCGAGTGGCGGCTGCGCTCGGGCGAGCGGGACGCGAGCGCGAAGCGCGGCGTCGAAGGCGAAACGATTCGCGCGAACGCGAGTGAGCGGTAAACTAAAGTTGACAACAGAACGAACGCTTTGTCGCGTCACGTCATGCGAGCGTGCGGGTTCCACGCGTGCCAGCGCTCCGGGCGATTGACTCGGGCGACGTCGTCGAGCGCCGCGGGCGCGGCTTCGGCGACGTCAAAGGACGCGGCGCGAGAAATGGGTTTCTTCTTAGCGTTCGGACTCTCTGACTCGGCGAGACGCAGAATTCCCGCTAAACTCGCGGCGCCGAATAAAATCCATCCCACTGTGCGAACGTTTCCACCGCCTTGCAAGGCGCCGTGACACGCGAAGGACAAGAGCGTGCCTCGTAAAATCCACGTCAAGAGGTGGACGCCCTCGATCTTTTCCACCCACTCGCGGAACGATCGCGAGCGCTGACGTAAATACACCGCAGCAACACATCTCGTGATGCAGTCACCCAACGTGAGCTCGCGCGGGATGATGGATAGACCGGTGAACAATACAAAGGCGGAGGCGCCGCCGAGCCGCCACGTCGTCACGCCCATCCACGTGATGGCGTCCATGCCAGCCGCTGGATTGGAGTATTTACTGTCGCGAAGCTCGAGCGCCGAGCTCACACCTAATAAACCTAACGTTGCGGGTGAGCTGAGGAACGCATACGACGCGTAAGCGAGACATCCAATCGAGAGCGCGTTGTGAAAATTCGTGTTGAATGGAATCGTCATCACCACCGGCGTCTTCAACGGCGTAAAATTCAACAAGAAGAAGTGCAACGTCGCCGCAGACACGAAATTATACATCAAACGCCCATGTTTTCCGAAAATCTTCCGCAATCGACTCGGCAAAAACACTGAATGCGGCACGACAAAGATGAGACTCAGCGGCACGTTTCTCGCGACGAATCCGAGCGCCCCCGCGCTCGACGGCGCGTTTCCCGGATATCCTTCCGCCGGTAGCGCGAACCTCAACCACGGCGCGCGTTCGCCCAAGTGCGAGATCCAAGCCACCGTCCCCATGAGTATCCAATACACGTACATCCCGACCGCGGTCGTCGTCGCTATATTTAGCCCGCGCGCCGCCCGCCTCGCCGCGCCCCCGCTCCCCACGCCCCTCGCGCGCGCCTTCGCGCCATCACCCCCGACCCACTCGCGCGCGACGCGCATCGCCCCTCCCGCGCCCTCGCCCTCGCCCGGCGCCGCCGCGCCGCCGTTCTCCTCGCGCGCCGCCGCCGACGCACCGCGCGCGGCGCAACCGTCCCCATCCGCCTTCGCCGCGCTCGTTCGCGCCCCCGCGCGCGCTCGCGCGCCGTCGCGTCGTCGACGCGCGCCTCCGAGATCATCGTCGTCGTCCAGCGCGCGGCGCATGGCGCGCGCCGCCGCCGCCGCCGCCGCCGCCGCCGCCGCGAGTGCGGTCCGGGACGCCGGCGCGCCCGGCGCGCGCGCGCACGGGTCTCGAACTGTTTACGCATACGTCCTTATTCTGACTGTTTACGCATACGACAAGTTAAATCTCCGACTGTCGACCGGTCGCCGTCGAACAGACCGAAAAGACCGAAAAAGTGGCGAAAAAGCGCACGAACGTTTATCGCCACCGCGCGCGGCGAAGACGCCGTACAAGCGCGAATCGAAAGGGTATCGACGGTGCGATGAACGTGCCGAGTGAAAGCGCGCGACGCGGGAAGGCGCGCGCGATGCCACCGGAGGGTTTTTTTATTCCGAGGCGCGAGGCCGTGGTGCGCTCGCCCGGCGCGGCGCGCGTGGCTGCGACGCGCGCGCACGCGCGATGAGAACGATTGCGAACGAACGCGACGCGCTCGCGGCGACGGAGGCGCGCGCGGCGCGCGCGATCTTAGATCATCGATTGGGGATAATCGATGATGATCAACGGGCGAGGCGAGCGGCGCTCGTCGCGAAACAGTTTGCCGAACGCGAGGCGTTGGCGATCGACGAGGAGTTGGACGAGCCGTTCGACTTGCACGAGCTGTACGCGTTCCTGATGATGCCCGCGGACAAAGTCGCGAAGGCGTTTGGGATGCCCTCTGGATCATTCAGGCTGCAGTACGTCAAAGCGCACGTGTCTTTCGTCGCTTTATTGTGTTTTTGAGCCCAGCGCGCGATTTTTTTTTGACTTTTTTGAGAGTCTTTGTCGCTCGCACGGACCGCGTGACTGACGATGCGCGTCTGGTTCGCGGTGAGTGTAGGTGTAGAAAAGCGGGCGTAACGCGATGGCCGCATCGTCACGCGCAAGCGGTGGTGGGTTGCCACGAATACATTGCGCAGCTCATGCAGGTGCGACGGGACGAGCGATGCGAGCGATACGACTACACGCGAGTCGTGATTTCGACGACGCACGGAGAGATTGATGACTGACTAAAGTAACAATATGCGTGCGTGACACGATAGCATACGTTGGCGCAGTTTGAATACAGCATCGATGATATGGAGATGTGCGATGTGAATTATTATTCGCACCGTGCGCGCTCGGCGTTTCTCAGGATGGATTACGCTATGACGGATTTGCTGGAAGATCTTGACACTCTAGAAAAGTACGCGCGCGCGCTAGAAGGAATGTTCTTACGCACTGGAACATTCGATTCTGTCCGCTCACCGGAGGCATTCAACAGAATCCGGACGAAAATTTACAAGCACCGTTCGAAAGTGGGTTGCTTTGTGAGGAAGTTGTTCCCGTCGAATCTTGGCGGCGCGATTCGCCCATCACTATTTGATAAGTGAGATAGCTTGTGCGACCGCGCGTCGCTCTGATTCTCTGCCACTACGATTCTAGTGGTACTATAATATTTTCATGGTTCATCGTGGTATATCTTAGCATAATATGTTAACATACTGTCTCGTAATGCCTACAATCCCATTGTTTCATCCAGTCCAAGCGCCAAGTTCATGTTTTGCACCGCCGCACCCGAAGCACCTTTGCCCAAATTATCTAACCTTGCCACGAGAACGGCGGTTCGCTTTGAGTCGTTGGCGTAAACACTTAACTCGAGCTTGTTCGTGTTCGCCAAAGAGTCTGGTCTCATGAAAGCTCCACGCTCGAGGTCGTCCATCTTGTTCAAATCTCGCACCGAAACGTACGTACTCTGCGCGTACCGCGCGCGTAAGCACTCATGCAGACGCTTGGCGCTGCGAGCGTCGGCGGCAAGTTGATCGTAATGCAACGGTACGCTCACCACCATACCTTGCGCGAAGGAACCGACAGATGGCATGAAAATTGGTTCACGACCGATCATGCTCCATTTCGCCATCTCTGGCAAGTGCTTGTGTTCGAGATTAAATCCGTAAGCGCCCCACGGCTCGTGTTCTTCCTCCTCGTACACCTTGATGAGCGCCTTACCGCCGCCCGTGTACCCGCTCACCGCGTTCACCGTCAACGCCGCGCCTGGAGACAGGATGCCCGCGTCAACCAATGGTCTAGTGAGTGCGATGAACCCGGTGGGATAGCACCCCGGATTTGAGATTCTCTTCGACGCCTTGACCAACTCTCGATGCCCTGGCGCCAGCTCCGGGAATCCGTACGTCCAACCATCGGCGACGCGAAAAGCCGTCGACGCATCGATCACCACCGTCGTCTCATTCTCCACCAATTTCACCGCCTCCTCCGCCGCCTGATCGGGAAGGCACAGAATCGCCGCGTCGCACTCGTTCAACGCCGCGCGTCTCGCCTCGAGATTCTTTCTCGAGCCCTCATCCAGTTGAATCAGCTCGACGTCCCCTCGCGCCTCCAACCGTTCGCGCACCTGAAGCCCCGTGGTTCCGGCCTCGCCATCGATGAACACCCGCTTCATCGCTCGCGCTCGCGCGTCGCGTCGCGCGCGCGCCGTCGTCGCCGCGTCCCGGCTCGGCATCGCGACGCGTCGCGTCGTCCGCGCGTCCGCGCTCCCGCTCGCGCGTCCGCCCGCCGTCGCGCGCGTCGTCGCCGTCGCGCGCGTCATCATCGTCGTCATCGCGCGCGTCGTCGTCGTCGCTCGACGCGCGCTCGCGGAGCGCGCGTCGCGCGTCGCGCCGTGAGGTTATCCGACGCCGACGCGCGCGGCGATCGATCCGTCGTCCCGCACAGCGCGACGCGAGCGCGACCGCGACGCGAGCGCGTCGAGCGACGCGACGCGACGCGCGACGCGCGCTCCCGCGCGCGATGGCGACGGCGTGGACCCCGAACGGGGACGGGGCGGCGCGAATCATTCAGATGATCGCCGAATACTTGGACCCGCGCGCGAATCAGCGAGAGATGCTGGGCAGGCTGGAGCAATGCGCGGGGTTTCCGGACTTTAATAACTACCTCGCGCACGTGCTGACGAGCGACGAGGACGCGGGACGGAGGGAGGACGTGCGACAGAGCGCGGGACTGCTGTTGAAGAATAATCTGAAGACGTCGTGGACGACGACGATGAGCGAAGAGTACAGGACGTACGTGCGAGAAACGCTGCTGAGAGCGCTGGGACACCCGTCGAGATTGATCAGGGGGACGTGCGGGACGTGCGTGGCGGTGATCGTGCGGTGCGGGGGGGTTGAAAATTGGGGCGACCTGTGGCCGACGCTCGTGAGAGCGGTCGAGGCGGGGGACGAGAATTCTCGAGACGGTGCCCTGGGCGCGCTGTACAAGGCGTGCGAGGAGGTGAACGGGAGATTGGACGTCAAAGTGCCCGGGTTGCCGGATTCGCCCGCGGGGATGGTGATTCCGCGACTGTTCGCGTTGTTCTCCTCGCCGGCGGCCAAGGTGCGCCAGCAAGCGGTCGGCGTGGTGAACATGATCGCGCCGTGCTGGCCGGAAAACCACTACGCGCTGTTGGATAGTTACTTGCAAGGATTGTTTTCGCTCGCGAACGATCCGGACAACGACGTTCGAAGGCTGGTGTGCTCGGGCTTGGTCATGTTGATTCACATTTGTCCAGAAAAGTTGGCGCCGAATTTGCGGGAAATCATCGTGTACATGCTCGAAAGGCAGGACGACGAGGATAAAGACGTCGCCATGGAGTCGTGCGAGTTCTGGGGAGCGTTCTGTGAGGCCGAACTGGGTGATGATTATGTGCAAATTTTGCGCGAGTTTACGCCGAGACTCATCCCAGTGTTGTTGACAAACATGGCGTACACGGAGGACGACGAGGAAGTGATTTCGGCCGAGGACGACGAAGTGAACGTGGGAAGGGAAGACAGAGATCAAGACATCAAACCCACGTTTCGTGATACCAAGGATAAAGGCTCACAAGGAGAAGGAGAGGATGACGGCCAAGACGACAGCGATGACTTCGTGTGGAACCTCCGAAAGAGTTCTGCAAATGGTTTGGACATCCTGTCGAACGTCTTTGGCGACGAGCTTCTGCCTCTTCTGCTACCCGTCGTCGAGCAGAGACTACGCGAGTCGAGGTGGGAGATCCGTGAGAGCGCTATTTTGGCCCTTGGCGCCGTCGCTGAGGGCTGTTCAGGCGGCTTGCTGCAATACCTCCCGATGCTAATCAATTTCCTCTTACCGATGCTGGATGACGCCCGTCCGTTGGTGCGCTCAACGACTTGCTGGACGCTCAGTCGATTCTCTCGATGGACGTTGCAGTGCGCGAGGCCGTCGAACGATCCAAACGCGATGCCCCAGCAGCAAGGTATGGAGCAGCTCAACACGCTGACGACAGCGCTTTGCAAGAGGTGCTTGGATCACAACAAACACGTTCAAGCCGCAGCTTGCGGCGCGATCGCGACCCTTCTCGCCGAAGGTCAAGACACGCTGGCGCCTTGGACCGAAACTATCGTGCAGACGCTCACCCAGGCGCTGGCTACATACCAGCGGAAGAATATGCGCAACTTGTACGACGCACTGACCATGCTCGCGGAGAATATCGGTCCGTCGATTGAGGATGCGCGGTACGCCGGTGCGATCTTACCAGGAATGCTTCAAAAGTGGGAGAATGCGAACAAGGTGGACCCTGAGCTGTATCATTTGCTCGAGTGCCTCACGGCGATAATCGTCGGCCTCGGGCAGGCATCGGCCGAGTTCTCGTCTGGGATTTTCGCAAAATGCATTTCCGCTTTGACATACCAGCTTCAGCAGCGCACTGCAGTGCAACGCGGCGAGATGCCAGCCGAAGAGTACGCAATCGACATCGTCATTTGTACCTTGGACTTGCTTTCTGGTTTATGCGAAGGCATGGGACAAGCCATCGAGCCGCTCGTCGCGCAGTCGCCTATTCGAGATATTCTCATCGCTTCGTGCATGGATGAGTCCCCAGGAGTCAGACGTAGCGCATTCGCACTCGTGGGCGATCTCACACGTTCGAGTACTGCGCACTTGACTCCGTCTTTGCAACAGTTGATGGAGCTCATTGTTGCGCAGTTGCAGCCAGCGATGGTCATATCCATGAACATGTCTGTATGCAATAACGCAAGCTGGGCCGCCGGCGAGATCGCCATTCGAACGTCAAGCGACGTATTGCGTCCATTTGTAGCGCCACTGGCGCAATGTTTGGTTCAAATTCTCGACATGCGAATGGTGAACAGAGCCCTTGGCGAAAATGCCGCCATAAGTCTTGGTCGACTTTCGATGACGTGTCCTGAAGAATTACAAGGTGGTCTCGCGCATTTCATCACGTCTTGGTGCTCTGCTCTGAGACGACTTCGCGATGGCGTTGAAAAAGAACACGGCTTCATGGGGCTTTGCAAGTTGATTCAGATGAATCCGTCGGGCGCGACGAGTGGTTTGAGCGCATTTGTCGAGGCCGTTGCGTCGTGGAGACAGTGCCGCAACAATGAACTCGTCGCGACCATGGGTCAACTTGTGCGCGGCTTCAAGGATCACGTTGGGACCGACCAGTGGGCGATGGTTGTACGGGATCTCGAACCTGGTGTGATGAGAAAATTAGCTGAGCAGTACGGCGTTTAAGTGGAGGAAGAGGAAGAGGAAGAGGAAGAGGAAGAGGAAGAGGAAGAGGAAGAGGAAGAGGAAGAGGAAGAGGAAGAGGAAGAGGAAGAGGAAGAGGAAGAGGAAGAGGAAGAGGAAGAGGAAGAGGAAGAGGAAGAGGAAGAGGAAGAGGAAGCGGTTGCATGAGGACGCAGCCAGATTGGAAAAGGTCAGGGTAAGGACTTTTAGGAATTGTTTAGGAAGTAGGGAGATGGTTGAAGGAGAGATATGGGATTTGGAAGAGGATTGGAAGAGGATTGGAAGAGGATTGGAAGAGGATTGGAAGAGGATTGGAAGAGGATTGGAAGAGGAAAAGAAAACATCGCGCAGCGAGCTCAAATTTAAAATTGCAACAACAGGATAATTTGAATACAGAAAACATCACATCTTGCGCCAGACGACCAATTTACCCGACGCATAACCGATAACAAGCTCGGTGGAATCGTGCGACCATTCCGATACGGTTGCAATATCCACAGCTTGTTCGCTATTCTCTTCTACATCGTCGGTGAACTGCAAGGCCTGGATCGGTGCTTCGGGAATAGTGGGCATGACGTATAGTGCCGTTCGATTGGCTCTAGAGGCGGATAAGAGGGGCAGATCGATGGAGTGTCCGTGTGCGAAAGAAACGGCGCCACTACCGCGGGCCGGAGTGGTCCAATCGTGTATTTGTCCGTGGGTGAAAGAGTTAAAAGACGAGTACCGCAAATCGTTTGCGTGATACATACGCACGATACCGCACTCATGGAAGCTCAACAACGCAGCTCTACCCGTGATTGTAACGAACGGACAATAGCGTATCGCGCGAATCGGCGATTTTTCTGCAGAAATCGTTTTTGCCGCTCGCAAGCGATACCCAGTCTTCACTTGAGCCACCCGCGGCACGGGCACCGCGGTTTTTGCCTTTGAAAGCATCGATGCGAGTGTCGAGCGGAGTTTCGATCCTACCGTCGACGGGTCACTTCCATCTTCATCAGGCAGCTGTTGATGCCCGACCACGCTCATCCTCTCTGATTGACTCGCCGATCTTTCATTGATGACGCGCTGAAGTGGATTTTCAACCGCAGCGTCGCCTTCAGACTTGAGTGACAGCGTCTTCTTCATTCGAGCGTCGCACGTCAACACGCTGATATTGCCCTCAGCGTCACCGACGAACAGAACACACCCTGATGTGTTGGATTCCATGCAAAGCGGTACCGCGTTCATCGTGAACTTGTCCAAGAGGACTCCGACCTGGACGTCGACGACGAGCACCTCTCGCAACTTCGTGCCCACAAAAACGAGATCGTCTTTCGCCGCGTGAAACAGAACACACGTCACCTCAGTATGCACCTTAAAAGCGCTCTGCTTCGTCATTTGTATCGTCGTCTTGGACGTGTGCGTCACGTTCCACGTTTTCACTTCCCCCACCTTGCCTACAGTTACCAGGCGTCCGCCGTTCAAACTCCAATCCATGCCAACAATCTCCCCATCGTGCGCCCCGACCTCGCTCGTCGACGCGCACGCCATATCATCCGTCGCGCATCGCCTCACGAGGATCGATCCAGCGCGATCACCGATCGCCAGACTCCTCTCGCCGACTTTACTAAAACTCGCGCTCGACGCCGCTCCGCCCGCGCGCAGCGTCTCGACCACCTCGTACGTCCCGCGGTCCGCGTCGCCCGCGATCGCGCTCGCCCGCGCGCTCGCCCATCCCTCGCGCGCCGCGTTCGACGCACCGCGCGCGTCCGCACCTCCCGACGCGTCGACTTTATCGATGTTCCGAAGCGCGTCGAGGGCGTGTCGCATCGACGCGTAATCTTCCCCGTCCTCGTCGCGCAGCGTCGCTCTGTACCCCGCGGGCGTCATCGCGCCCTCGCGCGCGCTCTTCCCGCCCTCCGCACCGCTCGCCTCGCGCCGCGCGCGTCGCCGCGCGTCGTCAAAGTCTTCGGATTCGCGCTCGACGTCCGCGGCATCTTCCGCGCGCGCGCGCGCGACGAGCGTCACCGCGCGCGCGCGCTGCGTCCCCATCGCGCGCATCGCATCGTCGCCGTCGTCGCCGTCGCGCGCGCGTTCGCTCGCCATGCCGCGCGCGCGCGCTCGCCGTCGCGCTCTGCGGCGTCACACCCATGCGCGTCGCCTCGACCTCGCGCGTTCCGACGACCCCGCGCGCGCGCGCGCCGCGCCGCTCGACGCGCCGCGCGTCGCCGCCGCCGCCGCGCGCGTTCGCGGAGTCCGACGACGGCGGGCGCGACTTTGCCGGGGACATCGCGCTCGCGGACGTGCGACGCGGCGAGAAGATCGGCGCGGGCTCGTTCGGCGACGTCTTCGCGGGCACGCTCCGCGGGCGCACGGCGGTGGTGCTGAAAGAGGGCAGCGCGTTTCGAGGCGGCGCGCGGTTCGTCGAGGCGGAGGGGCGAATCTGGCGGCGCGCGAGGGGGTGGCGCGGCGGCGCGACGTTTCTGGGCGTCGCGGGCGCGAACGCGTACCTCGTGTTCGAAGACGAGGGACGCGACACGCTCGAGGGCGCGCTCGGCGGTGGTGGACTCGGGGGAGTGTTCGGAGGCGGACGAGACGGCGCGGCGTTCGCGGAGGCGCTGGGGTGCGCCACGGAGGCGCAGGCGTGCAAGAAGGTGAGTCGCGAACTCCTCAAGTGCGTCAAGGGGCTTCACGACAAAAAGATCATTCACAGGGACGTGAAACCTAACAACGTGTTGCTCACGAAGAACGGATTGCGGCTGATCGATCTCGGTGGGGCGGCAGATTTGAAGACGGGGCAAAACTACGACGAGGCGGAGACGGTTTTCGATCCCGTCTACGGGCCGCCCGAGCGATATCTCACGGGGAAGTTTGGCGGCGGTGGAGGGGCTGGGGAGTGGAACAAGAATAAACCCGATTTATTCGACGCGTTCTCGGTGGGCATGGTGATCTTGCAAGTGAGCGTTCCGGCGTTTCGGAAAAAGAATGGCATGAAGGGCGTTCGAGGAGAATTGAAAACTTGGGCGTACGACTGCGAAGCCTGGCGAGCGAGCCTGCCCGAGCGCAGGCAAAGCGATTTCGCGATTCTCGATGAAAACGACGGGGCGGGTTGGAAATTAGTGTGCGGTCTCGTGGCGAACAGGTCGCAGAGAATTTCCGTCTCCAAAGCGTTGAGTTCGTCGTTTTGTCGATAGCGCTCGCCCCGCTCGTTCCCTCGCAGCTATGCTATTTTCTATTAATACTCTACCCTAGCGCATTCTACTTTCTACTCTCCGCTACCCCTGGCGCGCATCTGCGCCAGCACTCGGGCGTTCCGTCGACGTCGACGCCTCTTCTCGTGCGAAGAACGTCGAGCGCAAACGCGCCGACCGCATTCTTCCCTCTCCCCCGCACCAAAGTGTCCGCTATGTGCGCGTGAAGACATTTCACCTTCTTCCACGTCTTCTGGCTCGTCAGCGCCTCTAAACTCACCCCAACTAACCCCGTTCTGTTGACGATGAAATCCGTTTTCGTCTCGCCTTCGCGCACCCGCGCGCTCGTCTCCTCGCCCACCAACCAGTTTCGCACCCTCGGCGCGTCTCGATGCGCCCGCTCCAGGCTTTGGAATAAACTTTCGTCCGCGTCGCACGCCGCCGCGACGGCGTGTATCCCTCCCTCGCGCTCCCACGCGTCGACGGCTTCGATGAGTTCGGGACAGCTCAGTCTCGACAGCGCGTGCTCCGCCTTGAGCGCCGCCCTCGCGTCCGTCGTCGTCGTCGACGCCGGCGCGTACAGCAGCGCGCGACTGTATCCGTGCCTGCACCGGCGCGCTTCGCCTCCGATCGCCTGCGCGCACGCGTGTCCCAGCTGTTTTCGCGCCGTCGCCTCGTCGCTCGCGCCGAACGTCGCCACCGCGCGCGCGTCGTCGAAGAGCTCGCGCGCGACGTCGTCGGCGTCGAGCGACGGAAACGCCTTCGGCAGGTACTCGCGCGCGCTTCGAGACGCGCGCGCCGCGCGCGCGGCGGTGCGCCTCATTCTGCGGCGATGGCGATGACGACGTCGACGACGACGACGACGCTCGCGCGAGCGCGCGTCGCGCGCGTCTCGAGGCGCGCGTCGCTCGCGCGCGGTGAACGCACCGCCGCGCGCGCGGTGGACGCGAACGTCGCCTACGCCGTGGCGCAGCAAGACGTCGCGTTCGCGCTGTGCGTGATGGGCGAAGCGCTGAACACGCGGGAAAACGTCGCGGAGGGCACGCCGGGACGACCGAATCTCGCGTTCGTCGGCCCGGCGAGCGGTGCGCTGTGCGGGGCGTTCGCGCTGATCCAGAGCGATAACGAACTGGCGTCGCCCGCGGGACTGGCGCTGGGGGCGGTCGCGACGCTCGCGTTGGGCTATCAGTACGCGAAGAGATTCGACGAGACGCCGAGAAATCCGCTCGAGTGGCCGGGACCGCGATTGATGCCGACGCTCGGGGTGCTGTTTTCGCTCTTCGCGTTTTTGGCCAACGTCGAGGCGCTGCCGAGAGTGCTCTCGCCGCTCGCGATTTGAGCGAGTCGCGGAGCGAGCCGACGGAAAACGGAATGGATTACGACGCGTCGAGCGCGAACGACGAACGGATAGCATATTACTTCCCTATAATTCAATTGATTCTACACGCCGCTAACACCCATCGTCGTCGAGCTGCTCGAGGACGCCCTCGCGGATGAGCGGCTGCGCTTCCTCTCTCCACATCAAGTGCACCGTGTTGCGCTTGAGATCCACCGAGCCGTCCCTGGTGAACAACTCCCCGCGATCTTCCAAGCATCGCACCTGTATCTTGTGATGCTTCGGCGGTTCTAAATCTAACGTCAAGTTCAAATCCACCTCTCGCATGTATTCGTTCAGATTTTCCGAGTACTTGGTGAAGAAGGCGCGTTCGCCGTGACTCAGGTTGGAGGACACGTTGTCCGGCAAACCGGTGCCGATTTGCCATCGAAGATCTTTTATCCTGTTCATGCGCTCGTTCAGGTACACCAACATCGCGCGTTTATTCCGCAATATCGCCTATTCGCGACGCAAACGCAGTCAGTCGCTCGTTCGTCGTTCGTTCGTTCGTTCGTTCGTTTGATTCGTTTCGCTCGCGTCTCGCGCGTCTTCGATTCGCCGCCTCGATTCCCGCATCTCTCGCGCTCACCTGATGATGCGCGAACATCCCCGTGCGCAACGACCCTGTCTTATCTTCTCTCGCGTCCGCGTCCTCGGCGCCGTCGTCCTCGGCGTCGTTCACTTCGTTAATCTGAACCGCCAGCGTCTGCATAGCCTCGCCGTGGTCCGCGCACTGATCGGCGATCGTGCGCATTAAATCCTGATTGTACGGCGGTAGCGTCCCGGCCTCGCTCTCCGCGATCTCTCGCACGAGTTCGCACGCCTTCTTGCCGAAGCTCGTGCTCGCCATGGCGAGCCGACGCGACCGCGAGTGCGGTTTGAATGCGTGGTGACATTCAAACCGCGCGCGCGAGGCGGCGGCGCGGGACGGATGAAACGATTGGAAGAAGAGCTAGATCAGTGAATACATGACTACGAAAAGCTACACACATCAGATGCGATCGTTCGGCGCTCAGGGTAAGAGCGGCTTGCTCAGTCCCGCCTCGCGCTGTTCTTCTAAAATCTCTTGCTCCTTGGCCTGCACCTTGGCGACGTTGTATGCGGTGAAACCGACGAGGGCGACGCCGTAACCGAACATTTGCATCGGGGTGACGACGTCGTGGTAGAAGACGACGCCGAAGACGATGATGAGAATCGATCGGAGCTGAGCGAGGACTTTGAGGGTGAGAGAACCGATGTGCTTGATGACGCCGAGGGAACAAAAGTTGACGACGAAGCCCAAAAAGCCGGCGGCGACGAACAAGTAAGGCTTGTCCACCATCATGCCCCAAGCGTCGTTCTCACGCATGTGCTTGAATTCGAACGCCGTCGCGGCGAGAAGAAGAAAGATAAGCGAGGCGGGGGAGATGAAGTACATCCCTTCCCACATGCTGAACTTTTTATTCGCGAGCAAGAATTGCATCAACGCGTTCTTAAACGCCTCTGTCAATTCTGCGCCAAAAATCAAAGCGAATCCGACCCACGTGAAGCTCGTCTCGCCGAGCGACGCGATCAACGTACCGCCAATAATAACAGCCACCGCCATGGCGACTTTGGCGTGCCACTTATCCAACCCAGTGAGATACAAGATGAAGAACAACACCGCCGGCGACAGCGCCTTGACCATTTGCAAAAACGACAGCGTGAGATGAAAGTACGCCATGTTCCCGAGCATCAGCGTCGTTCCTTGAAAAAACCCGATCGGCAACACGTTCTTCACCCACGTCGTAAACGTAATATCACCGTGCGTGGAGATATCCACCGTCTTCGTCACGTGCACGCCGATCAGGCTCAGCGTCCACCCGCAGACGACGCCCAGCGACGACAACACGATGGGATAATGAAACGCCGTCACGCTCAGCATGTACTTATTCAGCATGATGATCGTCGTCGCGGCGGTGATGTACGCCACCCCATACGTCATCGCCGTGAGATACGCCGACATCGACAGCTCTTTCGCGCTCTTCCCGCCGACGTCGCTCATGGTGTTCGCCCTCGTCGCTTCTTTCGCGCGCGCGTCGTCGCTTCGTTCGCGCGCGTTCGACCCGCGCGTCGTCGCGCGCGCGCGTTCGTTCGTTCTTTCTTTCGGTTCGCGCGTCGTCGCCGCCTCGCGCGTCGTCGCGCGCGGTCCGACCGTCGCGCACTGCGGTCCTCAAACGGAGGGTGTTGGGCGTCGTCCATCGACGGCAGACGTTCGCGCGGTCGCGTCGCGCGTCGCCTCGCGCGCGGCGCCATGGAACCCGTGGTGTGGACGAAAGCGATCGAGCGCGACCTGCGCGCGCTCGCCGCGCGATCGCTCGACGTCGTCGACGCGGCGTGCGAGGACGCCATGGCGCTGGCGTCGGGCGAGCGCGCGGTCGAGCGCGCGGCGAGCGACGCGAGGGCGCTCGCGTGGGCGTTCGCGGAGTGCGCGCGAGGATGCGTGACGAGCGATGCGTTCGGGAAGCGCATGCGGGGATTCGGGTTCGACGACGCCAAGGCGGAGACGCTGACGAGGCGGTACGCGGAGGAGGCGCTGCGGGGCGAACGAGGCGCGGCGACGCGACGAGGGACGGCGACGAACAGAAGCGACGCGTACGATGGGTTGGAGTGGCGATTAGATGCGAACGTCTCGAGTCGAGCGTCGCTGGTGGAGAGCGAGGCGAAGTATTTGTTGAAACTGGGATTGGCGCGCGGCGACGACGGCGGGACGAAGAAGACGACGCTCGCGGAGACGGATTATCAAACGCTCAAGGCGCTGAAGGACGCGTGCGAGAGCGCGCTGGCCGCGTCGACGGGGGCGCACGCCACTCGGTTGGCGCGTTACGTTCGACGTCCGAAAACGTGAAATCGGCACCGCACGGTGCGCGTGGATGTGTAGACTACAATGTATTACTAACCGTCTCGAATCACGGGAAATCTTTCAACACCGTGTAATGCGCGGTTTTGATGATTATGTACGTCACCGTGAAGGCGACAAAATATCGCGAACAGAACGTGTCGAAGACCTCTAAGACTTGGCGGCCTTTCGAACTGACGGTGCCGTACACCTTGAGCGGAACTGCGACTACGCCGGCGACTTGTCTGAATTTACTCAACCCGACGGCGTCGTCGCGATCGCTTCGCTCCTCTTGCGAACCGCGCAAAGCTTCCAGTTTCGTCGCGTACTTGTCGTTAATTTCCTGCGTCTTCCTCGCGCGATCGTCTTTACCGATCGTCCAGTTCGACATCACCCCCTTTAGCTCGTTCATCTGTTCATCCATCACCTTGTTCAACTCCTTCTCGCGCTTTTCTCGCTCATTCGTCGGCCCGAGCGCGCCGAGCGCCGAGCCAAACAAGCGCGTCGCCAACCCAAGACTCAGATCGTGATAGATGGCCATGATGGCCACAACCTTGGTCGAACCGAGCAAAATGAAATTCGCGCCGAGCATGAACACCACGCCCGCGAGATACGTCTCGCTCGTCTCTCTCCTCGGCAGCACCCATCCCAAGCCCTTCTCTCGCACGAACGGCACCGCCGTCTCTCGCACGAACGATTCCAACACGCACAACTCCGTCCGCACCCGTATCAGCACATCATTTATCAACGGTCGATAATTTTCAATGTTCTCGTCTCCCGCGAGCGATATCGCCGCGCGCTGTCCGACTCGAAACACGCCGTCGCTCGCCGGGCACACGGGCGAAAACGCGTAAAACGGGTCGATCGCCGCGCCGCCCGCGCGCGCGTCCTCCGACGCGCCGCACGCGATCACCGCCACCAGCGCGCACGCGCCGCTCGCGACGCGCGTCGCGCCCCGCGTCGCGCCCCGCGTCGCGCGCGCGTCGAGCGCCAACGGATCGAACGCCCACGATTCGTCGTCGTCCCGCGTCGCGCCCGCGCGCGCGTCTCGCGCGCGTCGCGCCCGCGCCTTCGCGTCGCGTCGCGCGCCGATCGCGCGCGCGTCGATCGACGCCCGCGTCGCGAGCGGCGACGCGCGCATCGGGGCGCGCGCGACTGCGGCGATCGCGCCGGGACGTGCCGCGCGCGTCGTCCGCCAGTCGTGTGCGCAAACAGTGAGAAAAGGGCGGTCGGTCGCCACACGTCGACGCGCCGACGCGATGGGACGCCCGAGCGCGGAGGACGTGCGCGAGGCGTACGCGCGCGAGGCGCTGCACCGCGCGTCGACGACGCTTGGCGCGAACCGCGCGCGCGCCGGGGCGACGTTCGCGTTCGAGCGGCTGCGGTACGAGGTCGAGACGACGCGAGACGGCGAAAAGGCGACGACGACGAAGACGATCCTGCGCGACGTCACGGGGAGCGCGAGACCGGGAGAAGTGCTGGCGCTCATGGGACCGACGGGGAGCGGGAAGACGTCGCTGTTGAACGCGCTGGCGGGACGGACGCCGCTGGGGGGGACGCTGCGAGGGACGATCACGGTGGACGACGCGGGGCGAGACGAGACGTTCATGCGGGAGAAGGTGGCGTACGTGATGCAGGAGGAACTGCTGTTTCCATTCTTGAGCGTGGAGGAGACGCTGACGCTGCACTGTCGATTGCGGAGGGCGCGGTTGTCGGAGGCGGAGGTGGCGGCGAGCGTGGAGGAAATCGTGGCGGAGCTCGGCTTGGCGAAGGTCAGAGCGAGTCCGGTGGGGCGGCCGGGCGGATTACCTCGAGGAGTGAGCGGGGGGGAGAGAAAACGCGTTAATATCGGCGTCGAGATGGTGGGCGATCCCGAGGCGTTGTTTTTGGACGAGCCGACGAGTGGGTTGGATTCGTTTCAGGCGCAGCGCGTGGTCTACGCCCTCAGGCAGCTCGCGGCGGTCGGACGAACGGTCGTGTGTACGATTCATCAGCCGCGCTCGTCGATTTATGGAATGTTCGATCAGTTGTTGCTGATTAGTGAAGGGCGGCTGCTGTATATCGGCGAGGCCAAGGACGCGGTCGGTTACTTTGCGTCGCTGCGCTTTGAGTGCCCGAATCTCACCAACCCCGCGGATTACTTCATGGACATCACCTCCTTGGACGCGCGAAATCCCGAGCGAGAAAAGTCGAGCAGAGAAAGAATAGAATTTTTCGCGACTGAAGCGATGACGAGGCGTCTCGGCGAAAAGGCAGTGGCGTCTGCGCTCAAACAGCATCGCGCTCGAAGCGCCGCCCCCACGGAGTACGATCCCACGCACGCGTCGTGGATACAGCAGTTTGTCTTGCTCGTTCGAAGAGGATTGATAAATCAAAGACGCGACTTTATCGGCGTTCGCGTGACGTTAGCTTTGGAGATGATGTACGCGCTCATCGTTTCTGCGCTCTTCAGAGGCGTCGGCCACGACCAAAAGGGTGTCCAAGATAGAATTGGTTGCTTGTTTTTCGTCGTCTTAAACGTCGCTTACACCAGTGCACTTCCAGCGATCAACGTGTTTGCGGGAGAAAAAGGGATCGTCGTCAGAGAGCGCGCGTCAGGTGCGTACAAATGGTCGTCCTATTACATGTCCAAGTACGTTACGGAGCTCCCAAGATTGATTCCCAGATTGATCTTTTGCGCGCTCGTGTATTGGATCGTCGGACTGCGTAAGACGCAGTACAACTTTTGGATTTTTGTCGCCATCATCATCGCCGAGGCTATGTCGCTCACCGCGCTCGGATTGCTCATGGCGAGTGCGATGCCGATCGGCGCCGCTTTAGCCTTGGGTCCAGCGTGCATTACAATTTTCACGCTCTTCGGAGGCATTTACTTGAACATCGATTCCATCCCAGCTGGGGCGCGTTGGATTCGCTTCATGGACCCAATATTCTATGCGTACTCCGCTCTCGTGTCGAACGAATTCGGTGGCGATCCTATTGCTTTCTCGTGCGAGTCTAGCACTACGAGATGTTTGGAGACTGGCGCCGCCGTGCTCGAGCTGTATGCGTTCGAAGACGTGAAAGTCGGAATACAAATCATGGCGCAATACTTGCTTCAAATTGGGATTCATTTTTTCGCCTTCAATGCATTGCGTAGAACGTCCAAGCAATACATGCCGCTTTCTGCGTTGACGGGGAACAGAGACGGAGACGACGACCCCGTCGCCAAGAAAGATTTCCAAACCGTGTGACGGCCTTACACAACTGGAGAATTGTTTTGACGCAGATTTTTACAGTAGACTCGATTTTTTCTAGATAGACATATTATTGATTGTTGAAATCCGACATTTAACTACTAAGCTACGTTCATCGTCCCATCATCGACCCATCATCGACATCTGGCGTTTAAACTCCATCATCGCCTTGATGGCCTCGTTGGTTTCCTTAGCGTTGTCGCCGAGCACTTGTCGGCCGAGGCTGATGGCTTGAGCGGTGACTTGTTCTGTTTGCTCAAACTCGCCGAGTTCGAACATGCATCGACCTAAGAACAATAGAGAGTTAATCGATTCGGCTGCACCTTTCTTTGTACACTTGCCATCGACGATTCTACAATCTGCGGCCAAGGCAAACGAGCTCGCCGCGCGCGGCAAAATCTCCTTCACCCGCGCTCTATTCATGGGAAGCTTGGCGATCTGAAAGTGAACGACGCCGAGCAAGTGAAAACAGTTCCCTTGCATATCCAAATCGTTCTGTAACATCGCAGCTGCGGTCTTCAAGGGACGACCGGCTTCTTCCCACTTTGCTGCCTGCATGAGATGGTTGCCGAGCGTGTACAGGATGTGCCCGAGCGCGTTGGCCCCTCGCGCCGGCTCCGGACCTTCCTTACCCTTCTTCATCGTCCACTTATCGCCGACGCCTAAAATTTGGTCGATGATTTTCTTCTCCTCCGGGCTCACCTCCCACGGTGCGCGCGGGACGACATCCACCTCGTCTTGTTCCACACCCTTTTTTGACGCTAAAAGGGACGGGTGCCAGCACACATCGTCCCACTTGCCCTCGGCTTTGATCCCCCGCGTTTCGCCCTCGGGTATAAATTTATCGCCGTAGCACTCCGTACACGCCGTTGACGCCACAGCTCTGTGCAAAAATCCGAGCGCCTTCTTAATGTCTTTCGCTTGGAGATACAAAGCCGCGATGGAATCGTACACGTTTGGCAGCAACACGTCGGGCTTGGTGCGCAAGCCGTGCGCCTGTAAGCGAAGCACAGTCTCCAAAAACTTCCCGCCTCGCAGCTCTGCCGCTTCGTTAAACTTCTTTTGTTCCGCCATCCCACCGGCGCGCTCTTGCAAACAGATTCCAGTCGCCGCCAAGAGCGCGGTTTGACTCTCCGTGCCCTCGCGCGCCGCCTTGCGAATCGTCTCCTCCCACGCGTCGCACAATTGTTCATGTTTCTGGAAATCCTTTCGAACTCTCGTCACCATCACTCGAAGGACGAACTTATTAGAAAACGGCTCCAATCCATCATCCTCAACCGCTTTCACCGCCGCCTTATAATGCCCCTCCGCGTCCGCCAACTTGCCCAACGCGCGCTCGCAGTTCCCGAGGCTCGCGTACGCCTCCCCCAGCTCCGCGTTCGACCCTTCCGTCGCGTTCTTCATGTACTCCGGCACGTCCTCATCGTTCAACCTCGCCTGTTGCACCGCGCACTGAAACGCCTGCTCCGCCACCGCCACCGCCGTCTCGTGTTGCAACCGCGTCAGCGCCCCTCCGACGTCGATCAACATCTTCGCCGCGTCTCGGTGTCGTCCGCTCGCTCGCGCCCCCTCCGCCCTTCCGATCACCTCGCACACGCGCTGTCGATCGATCGCGTTCGGCGGTATCGACGTCATCACCGCGCGCGCCAGCGACTCCATCGCGCCTCGCGCTCGCCTCGCGCTCGCGTCTATCGCCGTCGCCGTCGCAAGATGTCGCGCGCGGTGCCGATCGTCCACCGCGTTCGTCCTTCTTTTCGCGTGTCTCCGCGCGCGTCCGCGTCCGCGTCGCCGCGATCGCGCGCGTCGACGCGAGCGCGTTTCGACGCGTCGCCGTTCGCGCGCGCGTCGTCGCGCCGCGCGTCGCCGCGCGCGCGCACTGCCGACGATCGCGCCGCGCGCGCGAGATTGTGGACGAATGATCCGTGTGGTACCTGTCCCGGTCGTGAGACCGAGCCGCGGGCGCGCGACGGACCGCGACGCGCGGCGCGCGACGCGATGGCGCGACGGCGCGCGACGGCGACGCGAACGGCGACGCGCGCGCTCGTCGCGGCGCTCGCGGCGCTCGCGCTCGAAGCGACGACGACGCGCGCGACGACGGCGGCGGAGGAGGCGAGCTTCTACCGAACGACGTACAGCCCGAACGACGCGACGACGTGCGAGGTCGGGCCGTACGGGTGGTTCTGCGAGCCGTCGAACATCGAGTACTCGACGCAGATTTGGGACCCGAACACGGCGTACGAGGCGGACGACGTGACGGCGTCGACGAGCGAGTGCGCGTACTGCGGGATTTGCGCGACGTGCGAGACGGGAAACTTGACGTGCGTGCGAAACGCGGCGGCGGTGTGTTACGAATCGTGCACGGACGATGAGGTGAGGGCGCGGTTGGCGACGTGTGACGTGGAGATGGAGACGTGCATGTCGCTGTATCACGACGTGGTGCGGTACGATTTGCGAGAGAGCGTGGGATACGCGTACGAGTTTTACGTCAACGAGTTCAACGGTAGCGACGCGTGGCTGGGGACGCGGAGCGAGCCGTGGAAAACGCTAGCCAGGGCCGAACGCAGGGTGCGGTTCATACGAACGGTGACGGAGGCGAGCGGGTTGGGGAAGGAGTTATCGGCGCCGATTCAGGTGTGGATACGAGACTTGAAGGCGGACGGAGGCTTGGACGCGAAAAACAACACGCACAACGGGCGGTACTCGGGGAAGACGTACTTGAAATAGCGATATGCCATATGCCATATCGATAGCGGTTATGAATAGATAGCGTTATAAATTAATCACTCGACGTAATCACTCGACGTTGGAATTCACGAGTGTTCGCCGTTTCGCACGTTTCGACTTTTCGTTCGGTTCGCCGAGACCGCACTCGTCGACTCCGGCCGAGCGCTCGACGCGCGACGGTCTCAAGCGTCTAGAAAGCGCGCGATGCGCGTCTGATCCCGCACACTCGCGGAATCATATTCGTTCGACGCAGTGCCGCGCGTACGGGCGCTCGAATTTCCTCTGCGCGACGCCTCGCGCGCGTTTCCAACGCCTGGTGATTTAAACGCCCGCGGCCACGATGGGTTCGAAAACGCGCGCGCAGCGCTCGCTCACGCGCGCTCTCGCGCTGACACTCGGCGTGGTAGCCGTAACACTTTGTGGGACATCCATGCGCGCGAGTGCGGTGACCGTGGCGCCGCCCGTGGTGACATTCCAGAGCGCCGTCGCGCGGCGGGTGACGTATCTGGAGGGCGACGCGGCGCTCACGCTGGCGACGTCTTCGACGACGGTGACGGAGGGCACGCCAGCGAGCGCGATCGTCAGCGCGAGTGTAAAAATAGTGAACGCGATGGACGGCGCGAAGGAGGTGCTGGCGGCGACGGTACCAATTGGGGATGAGGGAAGGACGACGGTTACGTACGATGCGACGACTTGGACGTTGAGCGTGAGGAGCGAAAATTACGCGTCGGATGAGGTGGAATCGTATAGCACGACGTCGATATTGAACACGCTTAAAACGCTCACGTACGTGCACAACGGAGAGAACATCGCGATGACACCACGAGGAGTGACGGCGATCGTTACGGATGCGTCCGGGCGGATGAGCGCGCCAGCGTTGGCGACGATCAAGATGAGTCGGACAAACGCGGCGCCTGTGCTCGATTTGAACGGACCGCGAGACGGACAAACGTACTCAGTGGTGTTAACGGAGAAAGAGCGTATGATTGGGGTGAGGCTGACTGATGTGGAATACGCGTGCGGTGACGATGACGACGTCGTCCTCGCAAGCGCCGCCATTGCGAACGTTGATGTTGGGAGTCTTCCAGACGGTGCGGCCGAATATATTTCCGCAGACACCACGGGAACGAGCATCGCATCGGCATGGGACTCCACGCAAAAGAGATTATTGCTTTCAAACTACGACAGCGTGACAAACTACTGTAAAGTTATCGGCACCATTCGTTACCACAACGAAGGAAGCGTGGAACAAGTGACAGGATCGCAGTATGAAGGAGGGGGAGATCAAGTCTCCAATAATCTTAAATTCACAGCAGGAATTCGCGCGTTTAACTTCACACTCACGGATTCTTCCGGTAATTCCGTCACGGCAACTGCGAACGTTGACGTGCAAGAATCTTCTCGCGTCGGCGATGCTTTGTACGACGAACTCATCACCGATCCGTTGTTTTGCAACAATAACGGTAAGCGCGGAAAGAACTCCGCTGTATGCAGTTGCACTATTATTCCGCCCGCGGTAGAGTCCGAATACTCTGGTGATGCGTGCGAAACGCACGTGTGTTCGGAGCGCGGCACGTACGATCGTCCGACCCAGACATGCGACTGCATCGATAGTTTTTCAGGTAGCAACTGTGGGATCGAGTGCAACGCGCACGGTACCTACAACTCCTCTACAAATGTATGTGAGTGTAACGTTGGCTTTACTGGGAGAGACTGCAGCGTCGTTTGTGGCGCATGCTCAGCCGAAACTGGTACATGCTCTCTCACCGCGACGTCAGAGGCATCGTGGAACGCCGCGACTAAGGAGTACACTTTGAAGGAACCGCAGTGTACGTGCTCTTTAGGATATTCCGGTTCATCGTGCACACAAGAGTGTCCTTGCGCAACGGAACCCTTGGCGCAACAAGGTACCTGCGGTGCCGATGCATCAGGTGAGGGTATTTGTATTTGCAATCCTGGCTACACCGGCGCCGACTGCACTATTGGATGTACTGTCGAGTGTGGTACGTACGGAGAGTGCTACCCCCCACCAGAGCTTGCTGCAGGTATCAAAGACAAACTGATGGAAATCTATACCGATACGACTATAGGGGATCAATCTGCGCGTGAGGATGCCGCCTTGGCATATCAGGAAAACAATATCACGACGTTGTGCAAATGTCTTGCGGGCGCGGATGGGAAACTTGTGCGGGCGGGAGCGACGTGCAACTTACCGTGTCCCGATTGTGGCTTTGGTGAGTGTACTGAAAATGCAACATGCTCGTGCTTTCCTGGTTACACAGGCGCAGATTGTTCGCAGGCATGTAACGGGAACGGGGCCGTGAGGTACCTGACGTCCGAAGAAGTCGCAACGGTGACCGATCGATTTCCAAACGCGACTTCGACTGGGTTATTCAACACGACAGATGTACACGAGTACACGAGTCCAGATGGACGAGAAATTGCATTTTGCAACTGCGAAGACGGATGGACCGGAGATTATTGCGAAGTTCAATGTGCCACGTGCTCCGCATTTGGCACTTGCGTATTCAACGGTACGCACGGCAACTGTGTGTGCTCTCCGGGATTTACTGGTGCAGACTGCTCGATCACTTGCGTACCATGTGTCCATGGGACGTGTGGACCGACAGGCGCGTGCGTGTGTAACGCAGGGTACTCTGGCAACGACTGCAACATCGAGTGTGGTGATGATATCTACTTGAGTCGAGGAACGAGAAACTTGAACGGCGCATTGGACGGACTTGGCTTACTTGGCACCACGGTGACGTGTGAATGTAACGAGGGCTTCACGGGCCCGATGTGCAACTACATTTGTCCTTATTCGTATAACGCCGCAAACGGCGTATGCGTCATGAAAGACGCAAACGATGCGGACTTTGGAGATCCGTGGATGACGGAAGTCGTGTGCAAACCGGGTTGGACAGGCTTACCGCAAGTCAATCGTCTCGCAGACGGGAGTGTCAGTAGAGGACGTGACTGTAACAAAGCATGTGACGCATGCGCCTTCGGGACTTGTCAGGACGACGGCGAGTGTGTTTGCGACTACGGTTACATTTGGCAACCTGCGACGCGTTCGACGGCGGATGTCGGCCGTACGGCTGCGGTGACTCCGTACCCGTGGTGGACCGGAGGCTCCAATGGTGTGTTCGAATCCGCTGATATTGGCGGTACATCGTCCTTATTTTATGATGCGGCATACCACACGTGTGCAATCAAGCATCCGTGTTCCATGAATGGTGAGTATGTAAACGCAACGTGTGCTCCGGGTTTCTCCATGGTCGCGGGCACGGGACAGCCTTGGACGAATGTTGATCCAAACGGAGTCGGTGGATACGGATGTTCGGGCACTTTGGTAGCTGATGGCACATGTCAAGGTGGCGAATACCTCGTCGCGATGCCTTACGTGGAGAAACGAGTGGATGGATCGATAATTCGGGACCCCACTGCCTTGAAGTCACACACTGAGTGGGGGATTATCGCGGGCGCCGTGTGCGCTCCAGATGATAGTACAACTGGGCCACAAATGCCCATCACTGGCGGATATTGCGTGTGCGACGCCTTAAGCGTGGGGAGAAGTGAATTCCCAAGCTCACAGTCATTAACATCGAAAGTTTACGATGAATATTGGCAAGGTTGGGCCGGGTCCACTTGCGACATCCCGTGCGCACCGTGTTCGGGAAATGGCGTCTGCAATTCGACCACGGGTACATGCGACTGCGCCGATGGCTGGACTGGGTATCGTTGCCTAACACCGTGCGAGCCGTGTGTTCACGGCACGTGTCAGTACGACGGTAGTTGCCTGTGCGACGGAACGAGACGGCTTAGAGATCACTCATTCGCTCTGCGTCTTGATCGCGATCCACATTACGCAACCAACGGTGAACTAGCTTCGGGAGAGTACATTCCTCCTTATTACATGAGTGCGATTCAAGTGGAAGACTACGTCTGGGGCGTCGATTCCGTATGCGCTGATCGCCCTGACTGCGCGAGCCGCACAATTGATTCCAAGTTACCCTTCAGACCAAATGAAACGTACTTTCGGTACGGTGTAACCACCGCCGCTGACGCCGTTGGGGCAGCCACTCGCACCGCACTCGAGGCGCAGCTTCTGCAGTATCAAAACGACATTGTCAACATCCCCGAATCAATGCGCGCGGACGATATCTGTTCGAAATTGGACTATAAAAATGACGCAACGACGGGCGAATGCATGGCTTCGCTCGCGTCGACCACAAACTGCGGCGACGACTGGGAAGCTGCCAATCCTTGGGACTGCGACGACGCATTGAAGGCGCATTTCTTACGGATGCGTAAAGAAGCAATCGGAGCCACTCGAGTAGATCTAAAAATAGCGACAGAGTCATCCGATCAGGAGCGCTGGTACACAAACAGTAAAGACGAGCGACAGCGTTTGATGAACGTCTTCCTAGCGGGTATGTACGATGCGACTAGTGGAGAATATGTGACCACGCGCACGACAGGCGCGGATCGTACAATGATTTGGATCATCAATACGCTTATCCACGGTGTGAATTCCGGATTAACAGGCGCCTATACGGGAACAACATGTTCCATTGCGTGCGACGCGTGTGATCCAGATCACGGGACGTGTCAACTGAATGGCAAGTGCGAATGTGAAACCGGTTGGTACGGAGAAAGGTGTGACAAGTCCTGCAATTGCTTCAAAGAGTACGCCACAAATGAAGATGGTAGTGTTTCCGAAGTCATCAAAACGACCGCACACGGAGTGCAGATTCGATCATGGGGATTCTGCAAGCGAGACGGGACTTGCGTGTGCGGTACCGACGATGGAGGGGTACAATATTCTGGCGAAGATTGTTTCGTACCCTGTGCTCCGTGCCACAACGGCGCGTGCCAAGCAGACAGCACTTGCCTTTGCAATAAAGGATGGTTGGGCACGACTTGTGACATTCGAAATTTTACGGAATGTCTCCCATGCAATTACGATCACGGCGCTTGCCTCACCGACGGTACGTGCAAATGCGACGTCGGTTGGACTGGGTTGTCTTGCGATGTTCAATGTAACCCTTGCGTTAATGGCTACTGTCAGATGGACGGATCGTGTGCATGTCAAGATGGTTGGTCGTTTGTCGACTGCTCTCGGCCCGAGGCTTCTTCATTCATCGTCAAATCTGAATTCACGGAGGGACCAGAGGGCTGGACGGTGTACAATAATTCGTGCTCGGGTGAGCTCGCCGAATCAATTTTATCTGGCAATGTCTACGACCCGTTCGCGATCAATTCGGAGCAATTGATGCGCGGAGAGTGCAATTTTGCGTTCGCAGGTGGCGACAGCGGGTTACTCTGGGAAGGGATAAGCGGATATCTACACCTCACGGACAAGTTGACGGACGATTCCACGAACGGACTCGCGTACTTGCGCGCACCCGAAAAATTCACGGGTGATTTGCTGAGTAAAAATGCATACGGCGCTTCGATAACGTATTCATTGTATATGGTGGAGTCAGCGGCAAATTCTGCGGCAAACGCGGGGACCGCGCATGTGGAGGCGCATCAAACATCGGCGTACGATATCATTCTCATGGGCGGTCGACCGCGGTACAACCGCGAAGTGCCAGTGTGGGGTTCTCGCGATCAAGTGTATAATTGGAGCCGAACAAATTTCCCAGAGCTCGGGCTGAATCAGCAACTCTCGCGTGCGCAGACCATAGCAATCGTGGAACAGTACCTCAACACACCGCAAGTCTTTCTTGGATATAAAATTGACTCTGATCAAAAGGGGTATCCGCCGACGTCTTGCTCTGCGGCGAGATGCGGTTTGAATTTCAAGGTTGATCTCTTGGAAAGTGCAGGATGGAAAAACCTGGAGCCAGTCCTTTCAGGGTTCAAGTGGTCGAATGATCCCGCTGTGCATTACATGGACGGAACGGTCTACACCACTCGAACCTCAGGTAATCCCTATGACCCATTTTCCGGTTTGACGGCGGCGACGCTTAACTTAGCTGCAGACATACCCATCGTCACAGATACGACTGGTCGAAGTGATGGTGGTACAGTACTACAGCAATCGAGTGGTAGAGAGATTGCGCGAGATCGCCTCGACTTTGATGTTTATCCAGAGGTTTACGAGGCAGTTGTGGCGAACCGTCTATCGCGGACTGGTAACCCTGCCACATTTAGCGATCTTGCTTGGTGCTTGGCGTCGCTCACAGAAATTTTGGTGCGAGCCGACTATTACGTTCAAGAAGCAGTGGATCCTTCGGCCACAGTTGTGGGCGAGTCCATTCGGTTCGATTCGTTTGGTATCGGGACGTTTGTGGACGTGAATGCCGAAGAACAACGTCAAATCTCGCTGTTCAACTACTACAGACAATACAAAAACGATTACTCTGTCGCGTACCTCGATGAGCTTTACGAAAGCATGCGGCCGAGTGTGTGTAAGGGCAAATGGTACCTCACCGGCGATCCAGACGCGAGTTTGGGCGATGCGTGCAAGCAAGATCCGGCGCAGCTGCGCGTCACGTGCGCTGGGATTTTCGACACTACCACCACCGAACTTGGAGATTATTGCGTCATCAAATGCCCTGGATACGACGTCGCGGCGGGAACGACGTGTTCTGGTTTCGGAACTTGCGGGCTTAACGATGCGAACGTACCGACCTGCACGTGTAACGAAGGCTACAGCGCCTCCACGACGGGATGTGCGTCCTCTGGCGCACGATAGAGAAACCACGCAGTAGAGTCGAAAACAATTGTTTCCACAATGAATACTAATTCTTAGCTAAGTTTCTGTAGTGCCGGTAGATTCATCGATAATAGTCGCGTACATACTCTCCATGCGCGTGCAGCGCGCTGCATATTCTGTAAGCTTGCCTTTGGTACGAGCCAACTCTCGGCGCAATACGAGCTGCGAGCCTTGCGACTCGGCCAAATTCAACTTTGCCTCGACTAACTCGATAACATGCGCATCGAGAACCTTACGCACGTCGCACAGCTCCTCGGAGACGGCTCGCAAGTCACACTTTGCCTGCGCGGCTTCCGCCTTTGCCGTGTTCGTCGACGCGCGGTGCTGCTCATCCGCGGAACGCTTCAATGCCGTGGTGAGTGCGGTAGTTTCTGCGACAATGTTTGAGCACTGCTGACGCAAGTCATCGCACTCGACGTGCTTTTGCTCCAACTCGCGTTCGAAGACCTTCTCGGCTTCAGCGCGAAGTTTCAGCTGCGAATCTAATTTTCGCTGAAATGCAGCGTGCGCGTTCTTATGACTTCTGCTCAATGTTTCGATCTGTGTGTCCGCGGCGTCCAACTGCGATTTATATCGCTCAATCTCGCGCGAATGTGCGATTCGCTCGGCCTCCAGCGTCGCCGTAGCTTCGTCTGTGTCTTTTAGACTCTTCAACCGCGCGATGTCCGAGTCTCTTTCTCGAAGAGAACGTTCCAAAGCTTCGATATGAAAACCTTGATCCTTACTCGCTCGCACAGCCGCGTTCCGTTCCTTTTCAATCGCCGCGATGTCAGAAAGAACTCTGTCGATGGCGCGCTCCTTCTCGCGCAGCGTTTTCTGCGCCTCCTCCTTCGCCGCCGCTATTTCTGATTGAGCGCGAGCCGACTCGTTCTCGACCGCGCGTCGCTGCGTCGCGAGCTCTTCTTTCGTCTTCTCGAGTTCATTTCTCACTGCCTCAAGTCTCACCTCCATGTCCGCATTGAGTCGTCGCTGCGCCTCGAGCTCCGCACGCGCCTGTTCTTCGCGACGCTCGCTCTGCCGCACGATTACGGGCGAAACGCTCTCCGCCACCGGGCTCAAAAGCTGTTGAAATCCGCTTAAATCTTGTTCTCGCAACAGATTCGGAGGCGTCGCATCCGTCACTGCGGAGCTCTCGCTCTCCAAGCCGCTCACCATGCTCAGCTCCGTCGCACCGTCCGCCGACGCGTTCGCGTAATTCTTCAACCACGTCGCCCGTATTCGGCACCGCAGCGTCATCGTTTTCGCCCCTCCCACGCCTCGCGCGCCATCCTTCACCGTCAGCGTCATCACGCACGCCTCCTCCCCTCCCAATCCTCCTCCCGTCTCCACGGTCGCGAATCTCGCGAAATCCACGCTCGCCTTCGCCGTCGTCGCGAACGCGTCGTCCTCGCCGTCGCCGTCGCCGCGCGCCCGCTCCGCCTTCACGTCGAACGCCTTCGCCTCGAACGTCGTCCCTCCGTCGCGCGCCGCGCGCCGTCGCAGCGTCACCACCGCCGTCGTCCACCCCCCGTCCTCGCTCGTCGTCTCCCAGTTCGCGCGTCCCGCCGTCGCCGTCGCCGTCGTCGTGCGCTGCACCTTGGCCCCGCGCGACCATCGCACGCGAAATCGCGATCGCGCGTCGTCGTCGTCGTCGATCGCGCGCCACGTCAGATCGACCGGTCGCAGATCGATGCGAAATTTTTCGCCGCGCTCGCGCCCGCGCGCGCGCGCGAGCGCCCTCGCGAGCATCGCGGGCGACGCGATTCGCGACGCCAACCGTCGCGTCGCCGACTGACGCGGCGCGATTTTGAATTCATCAATCCGCACTCGATCGCGCGTCGATCGCGCGAGATCGCGACCGCGCGCGCGACGTGCGACCGCGCGCGCGTCCGCGATAATGTCCGCGAGCGACGACGGCGACGCGGGCGACGCGGGGACGACGCGCGAGGGCGCGACGGCGCGGGACGCGCGACAGGCGTGGATTTCATTCGGCGACGACGACGCGACGGATGCGACGGTGGACGCGCGCGCGGGACGCGGGGACGCGCGGGAGACGGACGTTCGCGCGGAGGACGTCGATGAGCTGGCGCGCGCGCGCGCGCGGTTGGTGGAGGCGGAGACGAACGCGCTGCGGGCGACGAGCGCGCTCGACGCCGAGCGAAGACGGCGAGAGGAGGAGCGCGCGCGAACGCGCGGGTTGATCTTAGCCGCGGCGGGGTGCGCGACGATCGAGACGAGCGCGAGGGATGATTTCGGAGAGAGCGCGGACGCGATGGGAGGGACGAGGATGGTTTCGGCGTACGCGGCGGCGGAACGGGGAGGGGAGCGGCGCGCGCTGGAACGCTTCGTCGAGCGGGCGAGGGAGGGGAAGACGGCGAGCGAGGGAGGGGTGAAGATGACGCTCGCGGACGCGGAGGCGGTGCTGGAGGACTTTAGAACGCTGGATGCGGTGTTAGAGGCGGCCAAGTCAGAGGCGACGATGCGGGAGGCGTTGTTGGCGCGCTTACAAGCGGAGACGGAGTCGAGCGCGCGGAGACTGCGAGATCACGACGAGGCGCACGCGCTGTTGACGGCGGAGATCAGTGACTTGCGCCAGGCGCTCGCGAAGTCGAAATCGGAGGCTAATGGCTTGGCGGAAGAAACGACGGCGCTGAATGAGGCTTTGACGAGCGCGAAGGCGGAAGCGCTCGAATGGAAAAACGCGGCGGAGACATTAAAGCAAATGCGTCCGAACGACGCGGCAGTCGGCGTCGGCGAAGGTGGCACGGGGAATAAAATGTTAGTTTTAGAGCTCGAGTGCGCGCTCGAGGCGTTGACGACGACGAGAGCTGAGCTTCAAGACGTCGGCGCGCGGCTGTTGGAAACGCAACATCGCGCTGAACGCGCGGAGAAGCGTGAAGCTGTTGCCGCGGCGGCTTTGGAAGCAAGCGAATCTCGTTCAAAAACATCACCGAGCACCGTTTCGCTCGGTAACAAAGGGGCGTCGCGAGAATTGAAAGAACGACTCGATCGCGCTGAAGTTCGCGTTGCGCAGCTCACGAGACGACTGGAGGCGATCGGAGGTGAACATCGCAAAGAACTCGCGATGCTTCAAGCTGAACACGAGCGACTCTCGTTGAACTTGAAAATGATGCACCTGACGCACGACGACGCGACGGAAGTGATGCGGTTAGAAATAGGGGACGCGACGCGCGAAGCCGCCGCGCGCGCGAGCGCGGAAAGAGATGAATATTGGCGTCGCATTTTGGATGAAGAACGAGAGTGTCACGCGAACCAAATCGAGAGTGTTCGTCAAGACGTCGAAAACGAACTCATCACAAAGAACACCAAGTTGAACAGAATCAAGCACGACCTCGTGCAAATGCTGAAAGATGCAACGTGAAACTACCGGTACCGTTAGAAGTTTTCAAATAGCATTTCTACTCTTTCGGTTTGATGTAAATGGTCGGCGCGTACGCTGGCACCACTTCTACTAATTTGGGCTTTTTTGTATCTGGAACGTCTTCGTTGGTTTCTTCGTCGTCTCCGAAGTCAAACGCGCGAATTATTGCTTTCATGAGTAACCCGAGCTCGTCCGCGCGAACGTGATACGCAGCGGCCACGCCGCTTATCCCAGACCCAAACTGTTGACGTACTCCGCTCGCATCATTCGCCAAGTCTGCGCATCGTTTGATCTCGCGCGCTACATCTCGTAACAAAGATGAAACATCGTCATCACAACGATCTTCGTCTTTTGTGTCGAGATATGCGTTGAATCTTCCACGAAATAACGCCAGTACGACGTAGTCGTCGACACTCGCCAGAATCTCAGCCTCGGACTCGTCTCCGGCCATCGTGCGCTCGAGCAAAACGCCGATCGATGTATCATAGTCTACATCGTCCGAATGACTTTCGTCATCACCGCTGTCCACGTCTCTAAGAAATTCGAACGACGCGATTCGAAGTAAAGCTAAAAGTGGGCGCGACATGGCGCCGTTGGCGTCGACTTCGAGCTCATCCACCCCGTCGTAACTCTCAGTCATCCAACTATGAACGCTCTCGAACGAGATGTCGCCGGCGTCGCGCAACAGCCCAAAGCCGAATGAACTCGTAGCGACGCGATTATCGCGTTCGACAAACCCATATTTATACAACAACACGGTGTTGTCGTGGTCGTCGCCGAACGAGTTGAATAATTCTTCGCCCCGCTTCGCCGTTCGACACGTCACCAGCGTCAGCGCATCCGCGTCCGCGTCATCGCATCCAACGACGTTAAAATGAGCGCCGTCTGAACCGCCTTTATGATTAAACAAATCAGCGAAAGGCACCAACCCCTGCCCGAGCGCGTCGTCCACGAAGAACGCGCGACTCGCGACGAGCGTCGCCGCGTCCCTGAACTCCTCCAGCGTCGGCATCTTCACGCCGCGCCGCGCGAATCGCTCCTTCATCTCGCGCGCGAACGCGTGATAATCATCCGCGATGGCGCGTTCGTCCGCCCCGAGCATCCCCTCCACCGTCGTCCCCCGCAGCGCTCTCCGCGCCTCGTCGTCCGCCGCGAACGTCGACGGCAGCGCCTCTCGCGCCGGCAGCGTCTTTAAATACGCCGCAAACGTCGATTTCGCTCCCAACGACCGCTCGTGCGCCACCGCGACGCACAGACCGACGACCCCGCTTCCGCGCGCGCCCTCGATGGCGCCCAGCGCGCTCGTCGCCGTCGTCAGGCACGCGCTCTTCGGTATCGTCGCCAGCGTCGTCCCGACCGCCAGCGTCGCGCGCGCGCACTCGACGAATCGTCCGCGGTCGCCGTCGCCGCGCACCGCGCACCGCGCGTCGTCGCGCGTCACCCCGCGCGCGCGCATCCAATCGAGAAAGTCGTCGTCGCGCGCGTCGCGCATCGCGCGTCGCGGTATAAAGTATTAGGGTTTGTAAATTAGGGTTAGGACTAGGGTTAGGGTTAGGGTTAGGGTTATCGCGCGGCACGCGCGTCGCGACGCGAGTTCGTCGCGCGTCGACGCGCGAGTGCATGACGACGGCTCGCGCGCGCGCCGCGCCGCGCGTCGCGGGACGCGCGCGCGCGACGACGCGTCGAACGACGGCGCGCGCGACGCGCGTCGTGGACGCGGATGCGTACGCGAGAGAGGTGGCGCGGCGCCTCGTGGCGCAGCACGACGCGGCGGCGACCATGCGCGGCGCGGTGTACGACGGCGCGCTGGACGTCATCGTGCGAGTGAACGACGCGCGATGCGCGCCGGTGATGCGACTGTACGACCGTGGATTCACGCGCGGGCACGCCGTGTTCGACGCGTGCACGGTGCACGAGGGACGGTGCCATCTGTTGGCGGCGCACCTGAGAAGATTCGCGCGAAGCGCGCGGGAGGCGGGCGTCGGCGAGATGAACGACGAGGCGCTGGCGACGATGGAGGCGCTGGTGCTGGAAGTCGTGGCGCGGGGCGGCGTGACGCACGGGCAAGTTCGGATGTACGCGACGAGCGGGTGCGAGTCGGAGAATTTTTCGCTGTGCGGCGCGACGGATTCGCCGCCGACGTATTACGTCGTGGCGTACGAGAAGGATCCAGACGCTTGGATGGTTGTGCGCGGGTTAACGGCGTCGTCGTCGCCGGTGCCGATCAAACCGCCTCGTTACGCGACGTTGAAGTCGACGAATTACTTGCCCAACGTAAACGTAGCTCAGATTGCGCGAGGGAACGGGGTCGATGTCGGCGTATTTTTGACGCAAGACGGAATGATTGGCGAAGGACCTGGCGCGAACGTAGCGTTCCTGACTCCAGACGGCACGTTACGAACGCCACCAGCGACGAATGTTCTCGGAGGAATCACCATACAAAGACTGCGAGAGTTGATCGAAACCGAAAGCAATCGCAAAGCGCTCCGAAAGGTGGGAATAAAACGCTTCGACGATTCACAGCCGTTATCCCCGTTCGTCGTGCTGGGCGCTGAGGAAGCCATGCTCGTCGGCAGTGCGGTGGGTGTGCAGGGAATCATTTCGTGGGATGGACGGCAGGTAGGCGATGGGCGCGTGGGGCCGGCGACGAGTTTCCTCGCCGAATTACTGCTCGATGACATGAGGTCTATATAGCATTGGTTTAGTTTACATGTGAATTTATCTTTTGATTCGCTCAACACACGTTGGAGCAGCATCTCGACTGATGGTTTGCCATCAGATTCGTCTCGCAAAGTGCTCCGGGCGCGCCGCCGGCGCTCGGACGAATGACGCGACCGTGCACGCCATTGACATCGCAGTGCGTGAGCGTCCATACGTAATCTGACTTAGTGCCCACGCACGATGGATCGTGCATCGACGTACTCACCGCGTTTCCGCGGCACAAGTCACCACCTCTGGCGACACAATTCTTTCTAGCGACGTCGAACGTCTTCTTTGCGCATCCCGCGCTGTCACCGCAGACAAATGGAAATCTCACTCGATTGTCTTGTCGCCAGTTCAACTCAGAGCAACATCGCATGTGCGGTGCGTTGCAAACCTTTGCACGAACAAAGGTGTGCGCGTCCGGAAGTGGTAAATCATTTTGACGAGCGTAGGACTGCGCCGTTTCGAGTGCCTCGTGTTGTAACGACTCGTTTCGATAGTATTGCGCCGCTTCTGTTTCCGTGTTCACTGGAACACAGTCAGAAGGCGCCGCCGGATAGGATGACGTGGGCGTCGAGGGATATCCGCCCGCCGGATAGGATGACGTGGGCGTCGAGGGATATCCGCCCGCCGGATAGGATGACGTGGGCGTCGAGGGATATCCGCCCGCCGGATAGGATGACGTGGGCGTCGAGGGATATCCGCCCGCCGGATAGGATGACGTGGGCGTCGAGGGATATCCGCCTTCCGTGTCAGCTGGATTTCCCCCAGGTGTTGAACTCGTAGGCTCACGCGACGCTGGCGCATTGTCCACGTGGACGTCGACGTCAAGATGAAGGTTGACGTTGATGTCGTATGGCCCCGAAGGTGCCAACGCTGATGCTTTCTCAGTAGTTTGTGCTTCCAACAATATCACGGCATCGCTGATGATCAAACCGGCGGCGCGTAAGTCATCATAAACTTCGCCTTGCGTCGTGGTCACAGCAGAGTTGGTTTGATTGGCGACTTCTAACACACTTTCGATCGTCGTCGAGGTCACGGTGTAGTTCACATCGATCGCCGATGTTTGCAATAGTCGTCGACTACTCGACGAGACGACATCCTTCACAGAGCTGATGCTTATGTCCTCTGGCGCGACTTTGTAAAATGTGGCCATGCCAACTTTGAAAAGCCGACTCTGCGTTTCGCCAAATGCGCCTGCGTGGTAGCCAACAAGTCTAACCACACTCTTTGTCTCATACACGATTTGTGCGATCGGTTCGGAATATGTCGGACCTACCGCTGGCGTCTCGCCCGGCACGGGGCTCGGTGTCGGGAACGCGCTCGGACTTGGCGTCGGATACGCGTTCGGCGTCTCGCCCGGCACGGGGCTCTGTGTCGGATACGCGTTCGGACTTGACGTCGGGTACGCGTTCGGCGTCTCGCCCGGCACGGGGCTCTGTGTCGGATATGCGTTCGGCGCCTCGCCCGGCACGGGGCTCTGTGTCGGGTACGCGTTCGGCGCCTCGCCCGGCACGGGGCTCGGTGTCGGGTACGCGTTCGGCGTCTCACCCGGCACGGGGCTCGGTGTCGGATATGCGTTCGGCGTCTCGCCCGGCACGGGGCTCGGTGTCGGGTACGCGTTCGGCGTCTCGCCCGGCACGGGGCTCGGTGTCGGGTACGCGTTCGGCGTCTCACCCGGCACGGGGCTCTGTGTCGGATACGCGTTCGGCGCCTCGCCCGGCACGGGGCTCTGTGTCGGATACGCGTTCGGACTTGACGTCGGGTACGCGTTCGGCGTCTCGCCCGGCACGGGGCTCTGTGTCGGATATGCGTTCGGCGCCTCGCCCGGCACGGGGCTCTGTGTCGGATACGCGTTCGGACTTGACGTCGGGTACGCGTTCGGCGCCTTACCCGGCACGGGGCTCTGTGTCGGATACGCGTTCGGCGTCTCGCCCGGCACGGGGCTCTGTGTCGGATACGCGTTCGGCGCCTCGCCCGGCACGGGGCTCTGTGTCGGATACGCGTTCGGACTTGACGTCGGGTACGCGTTCGGCGTCTCGCCCGGCACGGGGCTCTGTGTCGGATATGCGTTCGGCGCCTCGCCCGGCACGGGGCTCTGTGTCGGATACGCGTTCGGACTTGACGTCGGGTACGCGTTCGGCGCCTCACCCGGCACGGGGCTCTGTGTCGGATACGCGTTCGGCGCCTCGCCCGGCACGGGGCTCTGTGTCGGATACGCGTTCGGACTTGACGTCGGGTACGCGTTCGGCGCCTCGCCCGGCACGGGGCTCGGTGTCGGATACGCGCTCGCAATTTCATCCAAATCCTCCCCGTATGTCTTCACGTACTCTTCGTACGACATCGTACCGACGTCATACGCGTTCGGACTTGACGTCGGGTACGCGTTCGGCGCCTCACCCGGCACGGGGCTCTGTGTCGGATACGCGTTCGGCGCCTCGCCCGGCACGGGGCTCTGTGTCGGATACGCGTTCGGACTTGACGTCGGGTACGCGTTCGGCGCCTCGCCCGGCACGGGGCTCGGTGTCGGATACGCGCTCGCAATTTCATCCAAATCCTCCCCGTATGTCTTCACGTACTCTTCGTACGACATCGTACCGACGTCATACGCGTTCGGACTTGACGTCGGGTACGCGTTCGGCGCCTCACCCGGCACGGGGCTCTGTGTCGGATACGCGTTCGGCGCCTCGCCCGGCACGGGGCTCTGTGTCGGATACGCGTTCGGACTTGACGTCGGGTACGCGTTCGGCGCCTCGCCCGGCACGGGGCTCGGTGTCGGATACGCGCTCGCAATTTCATCCAAATCCTCCCCGTATGTCTTCACGTACTCTTCGTACGACATCGTACCGACGTCATACGCGTTCGGACTTGACGTCGGGTACGCGTTCGGCGTCTCGCCCGGCACGGGGCTCGATGCTGGGTAGAAAGACGCATGCGAATCCGTTGTCGGATGACTGTCGCTAGGCACTGACGGTTCTGGTGTCGGCACCGCACTCCAATCGCCGACCCAGTCCTCTGGAAGGGTACCAGCCACTGCGTTGTCGTATTCATCGCCGTAAAACAACCGAGCGCACGTGGGCGTGTTCTCAGTGTTGCAGTCTTGGCCAGGTACAATAGCATCCCAGTCGGCTCGAGAAGGACAAGGTTCGTCGCCACCAGCCGCAAAAGAGATGCACGCTCCTTGACCGCTCATCTGCGTGTGGTCAAAGACGCAACCAAAGTGAATATCGCATGATGCTGTATTGTTTGGCCCGCTCTTACTATTCAACGCTGCGCAAACGGCTTCGCAAGGACCTTCTGGACTGGGCGTCGGGTACGCACTCGGACTGGGCGTCGGGTACGCGTTCGGACTGGGCGTCGGGTACGCATTCGGCGCCTCGCCCGGCACGGGGCTCTGTGTCGGATACGCGTTCGGACTGGGCGTCGGGTACGCGTTCGGCGCCTCGCCCGGCACGGGGCTCTGTGTCGGATACGCGTTCGGCGCCTCGCCCGGCACGGGGCTCTGTGTCGGATACGCGTTCGGACTGGGCGTCGGGTACGCGTTCGGCGCCTCGCCCGGCACGGGGCTCTGTGTCGGATACGCGTTCGGCGCCTCGCCCGGCACGGGGCTCTGTGTCGGATACGCGTTCGGACTGGGCGTCGGGTACGCGTTCGGCGTCTCGCCCGGCACGGGGCTCTGTGTCGGATATGCGTTCGGCGCCTCGCCCGGCACGGGGCTCTGTGTCGGATACGCGTTCGGACTTGACGTCGGGTACGCGTTCGGCGTCTCGCCCGGCACGGGGCTCTGTGTCGGATATGCGTTCGGCGCCTCGCCCGGCACGGGGCTCTGTGTCGGATACGCGTTCGGACTTGACGTCGGGTACGCGTTCGGCGTCTCGCCCGGCACGGGGCTCTGTGTCGGATATGCGTTCGGCGCCTCGCCCGGCACGGGGCTCTGTGTCGGATACGCGTTCGGCGTCTCGCCCGGCACGGGGCTCGGTGTCGGATACGCGTTCGGACTGGGCGTCGGGTACGCGTTCGGCGCCTCGCCCGGCACGGGGCTCTGTGTCGGATACGCGTTCGGCGCCTCGCCCGGCACGGGGCTCTGTGTCGGATACGCGTTCGGACTTGACGTCGGGTACGCGTTCGGCGTCTCGCCCGGCACGGGGCTCTGTGTCGGATATGCGTTCGGCGCCTCGCCCGGCACGGGGCTCTGTGTCGGATACGCGTTCGGACTTGACGTCGGGTACGCGTTCGGCGTCTCGCCCGGCACGGGGCTCTGTGTCGGATATGCGTTCGGCGCCTCGCCCGGCACGGGGCTCTGTGTCGGATACGCGTTCGGACTGGGCGTCGGGTACGCGTTCGGCGCCTCGCCCGGCACGGGGCTCTGTGTCGGATACGCGTTCGGCGCCTCGCCCGGCACGGGGCTCTGTGTCGGATACGCGTTCGGACTGGGCGTCGGGTACGCGTTCGGCGCCTCGCCCGGCACGGGGCTCTGTGTCGGATACGCGTTCGGACTTGACGTCGGGTACGCGTTCGGCGTCTCGCCCGGCACGGGGCTCTGTGTCGGATATGCGTTCGGCGCCTCGCCCGGCACGGGGCTCTGTGTCGGATACGCGTTCGGACTGGGCGTCGGGTACGCGTTCGGCGCCTCGCCCGGCACGGGGCTCTGTGTCGGATATGCGTTCGGCGCCTCGCCCGGCACGGGGCTCTGTGTCGGATACGCGTTCGGACTTGACGTCGGGTACGCGTTCGGCGTCTCGCCCGGCACGGGGCTCTGTGTCGGATATGCGTTCGGCGCCTCGCCCGGCACGGGGCTCTGTGTCGGATACGCGTTCGGACTGGGCGTCGGGTACGCGTTCGGCGCCTCGCCCGGCACGGGGCTCTGTGTCGGATACGCGTTCGGCGCCTCGCCCGGCACGGGGCTCTGTGTCGGATACGCGTTCGGACTGGGCGTCGGGTACGCGTTCGGCGCCTCGCCCGGCACGGGGCTCTGTGTCGGATATGCGTTCGGCGCCTCGCCCGGCACGGGGCTCTGTGTCGGATACGCGTTCGGACTTGACGTCGGGTACGCGTTCGGCGCCTCACCCGGCACGGGGCTCTGTGTCGGATACGCGTTCGGCGTCTCGCCCGGCACGGGGCTCTGTGTCGGGTACGCGTTCGGCGTCTCGCCCGGCACCGGACTGGATGGTTCGCTTGATGCACTTGATATGACGGGTACTTGCGTCATTTCGCCGTTCGTCACTTGATCCAGACCAGCCTCTTGCAGATCAGTCATGAGCTCGTTCTGAATTGCTTCTGCATTTTCACTGTCCATGAGATCAGTTATTTCTTGAGCCACAGCGTTGGCAGACTCTTCAGTCGGCAACTCGGCGACGAACTCAACGTCGAGCAAATCCGTCAGTAAGCGTCGACCGGTCGATGTGTGAACTACTGTCACGTCGATTATGCGAACATGCGCGAATGCAATCCCCAAAAACCTTGCCATACCTGCCGTAAAGGCGTTACGGGATACCGCATCAAATGTGTTCATGTCGTAACCATCAATGCGAAGCACGCTATCCACCAAGTACACTTCCGCATCTGATGCGTTAGATAAAACCTTGATCTCGTCAAGAGCTTTCAAGAAATTGGTTTCTATCGTCTCATCATCATTGAGATCTGTTAGTTCTTCCTCTTCCGTGACCGGCGTCGAAGTCTCAGGTGCGAGAACCTCGATTTCAACTTGCTCCGAGACTTCTTGCTTCTTCGCGACGGGCAACTCTTCTATCTCGATCTCCTCGACTTCTGCCAAGCCGTTTTCTTTGATATCAAGTAAGAGCGTACCAAGTAAGTCGTTCGTGACGAGACTCGAGTCCGAGTTGGACGTCGACGATGGATATTGGTCATCGCTCTCTATGGGGGGAGATCTTGCTGGATATGCATCCGCCTCTGACGGGTATGCATCCGCCTCTGACGGGTACACGTCCTGGTCGACATCACGTGAAATCGGGGTCGACGTCCCCCCAGATAATTCATTCAAGAGAGCCATCGTCTTTGCGTCTTCTTCTTCGCCGACGATGACTTCGTAATTAACTTTCACGTTGGATGACGAAATTCCGAGTTGTGCGACGTCCCCCGAAGATACAATATTGGTGTCAAAGTATTTGATATAGCCTTGCCCACTGACGGAAAGGACTCTGATCAAATCTGATGTCACTGTTCTTTGTAAAACCTTGCTCATGAACTCCGACAGACCGGCTTTCAGAAAGTCTTTCTTGGCTTCATTGAAAGTTTGCACGTTGATGCCCTTCAACTCCAGTGCAGACTGAACAACGTTGATAGTCTTGGTGATATTCTGCACCATGACAATCGTCTTTGGTGGCGGTGGCGGCGAAGGCGGCGGTGGCGGCATGTGCTTCTCTAAAACCACGCGAGGATGCCCAATTGTAAGTGAAGTTTGCACGTTTGTCAATCCTTTAAAGTGCAAGACGTGCAGGAAGTTTTCTGATATCGCGCTAGGCTCTTGCATCAGTAACAAAGCCTCAACGATGATCGTCGCTTTGTGAGGATTATTCTCCTTCATTTTGTAAGCCACTTGAGTCCCTTCGACTAACGAAGCGTTCTGCATCAGAGCGATCGATATGTCATCATTGTGAGCCATGAAGAATGTCAACATGGAGCGACGCAATCTCTCTCGCGCAGTGGCGTCGAACTCCTCGGGAGTATATCCCACGATCTGCAAAGCACCCGTAATCGCAAGATCCGCGCCAGGAATGCTCGTCGGCGGCAAATTCGTCGCAACTGGTTCGTTTTCCGTGACGTTCGATGGCGTTTGAGTTGTGTTTGCCGTCGGAGCCACGGGCTTACCTTCGACAGTTGTCGAGACATTCGTGACGAGTTCGTCACTCGCCGTCGGACTCGGACTTGCCTCCTGTTCCGTAACCAATGGTGGCTCTTGGAAGGTGGCTTTCGTGACGGTTAAGCCTGCTCCGTTAAACAGAAGTCTAACCTCATCGTTTGGTTCATCGAGCACGCTCTTGATATCTCCCACGACTTGCGACATCTTGTGTGACGACGTGGTCAAGATGACGAATGCGACATGGACCCCATGCGATGTGCCCACGTCTTGTGATGGCGTCACGTCCATTATCACAACTTCATCAGAAGTGATGCCGAAGAATATCGCCAATCCCTTAACAAATGCACGCCGCGAGACGTCATTGCTCTCAAGACTATGGACCGTAACGCCGATTAATTCAATTTCGCTCGTGATCATGAAATCGGCCACGAAATCGCTGTCGTCGTGATTCGGGGGACGTGCCTCGTCATTCGGGTATCCCTTGTCACCCGCATAAAAGTTGTCATGCGGATAACCATCGCGAGAAGTGATGACTGCATCGTCCGCGGAGTCGCCAATTCCTAAACCGGAAGGAAGCGCAGGTGCTTGTACTGCTTCACCTCGCTCTTTGCACAAGGTGCCCATGCTTGGAACCTTGTAGTATGTCGCGGCGCCCACGATGCCACTTTTTGTCCTCGCGCTATCTCGCCAGACGTGTGCCTCGAAATGGGCAGGTGCGCGTAGGAGACTGCAGTGAGAAGACATCGCGTGAGACCTCTCAAAATAATTGAAGCCACGACACGCAGCGGTGTCGTCGCAAGCCTTTGCGCATTCATCGAGCGAAACCCCTTGAAAAGCAAACTGGTACGGACGCATGCAACGCGCGACCGAAACAGTGGATGTAGCTACGCTACGAGAGACATGTTCCGTGCTGCAAAGACGACACACCGTACTTTGAAGACTAAAACTCTCACAACCATCCTTCGCTCTGCACGCCTGAGAGCAGCCAGTGAGTGTATCTGCTGAAGTGTCCCCCAAATCGTTGCACGTCTTCATGCCCTGCACGGCGCAGAAATTAGCATCAAACTTTATTTCAGCAGCAATGCTTGATCCATCGAGGATACTACTCTCGTAAGGGAGCACGAGCAAAGGATCATGCGCCAATTTCCCGCTCCGATACGCGTACATCGTCTTACTCCTACAGTCGGGAGAGTGAACAAATTGACATTTTGTGACACCCATACCGCACGTCGCTTGTCGAACTGTCGAATTCCCAAGCCGCGAAGTTTCATCTAATCGCACTGATCCAATCGAGCCAATCGCCATGACCGAAAGCGCCGATGCTCCGACAGCCACTATTTTAAGATAACTTGATCTTGAGACCAAACCGTGACTTTTGCCGCTCGATGATCTTGACACATGCTCGCCGACGTCAGTCTTCTTAGCAGTGTCCGTGCCGTACGCTGAATTGGCTTTGCCATCAACAAGCGAAATTTTCACCTCTCCATCTCCATCCTTAGTGTCGTTATGTAACGCAACGAGCGCACACACGGCGACGCACGCGGAAATAATTGCCATGACGTCGGCGCGAACCAACGCACGAGAAGGAACAAAGCGAGCATTTCCAAGCAATGCTTTCGGCCCTTGAAAGGCGATTTTCACCGATGGTTCGTCTTGGCTCGCAACCGCACTTTGCTCCGTTCCAACGCTGAGCTCAATCGGTTCCGAAATCAACGCGCCGCTAAACCAAGGAGCCGAGAAACCCCTGGCGCTGGCTTCCTCATTGCCCCCTCTCGAGGCGAGCAGCTGTCTCTTACCCCCCTGCAGTCGCTGATAAATCTTGAGCTCAGTACCGTACTTCCAACCTCTCTTATCGGACGCAAAGGCAATGAATTCATACTTGCCCTTCGGAACGCACATGGACTGATGGCGAGTGACACCGTAGTCTTGTGTCCTAAACCGCTTCGCCGTTTTCATGACGAGCGATCCCGCCTCATCCTGGACTATCCAGGACATACCCTCGGGCGGCACGCTATCACCGTACTTCGACGCTTTCAGAACGACAGAAAGCTCAACTTCATCCATGGCGCAGGCTGAAGGGATATGAAAGTGGTAAACGCCGCGCAAATCGATGTTATCTTGCGTCGCATCTTGCACACCGATGTACACATCATTTTTGTCATTCACCATTGCCTGTGATCTCGTGGTCAAGTATGTAAACCCGTCGCTTTCATCACCTTCTTCGCGCGTGACTCTCACGGCCAACTGGTCGTCGACACGTCCACGAGACATCGCTCCGTTTAGATGGAGCGTGTAATCGCGACCTCGAAGCAAGCACATCTTCTTCTGCCCGGTCGCGTGGCTTGTCCACTTGCTCAGCAAGTCACCGCTGTCATCCAATAAGCGGTGCTGCATGCTTCGCGCGACGCCTGCGTGACGCGCGAATGCGGTGTCCACGACCACATCTTCGCATGACTCGAACCGATCACCTAAAACGCCCACGTTTTTACCCGACGCCGTCCTCAGCTTGAGCGCCGCGTACGTCGTGTGCGCCTCTCCATTCTCGTCATCGGCGCCAAGCCGCATCAGCAACGCGTCGCCCGTCTCCTTCTCGACTCTTATGGAATACTCATCATCGTCGCCTCGCGCGCCCGCGGTCGTGATTTCAAAATCGTTCGGTTCGCTCAGGTCCACGCACGTCGTCTGCGCCCCCGCGTCTCGAAACTCAAACCTTTGCCAAAGCTTCGACCCATCGCGAAGCGCGATCGACACCCGTCCGCGCTTAGGCGCCTCTAGCAACACGAGTCTCACGTTCTCACACCCCTCGTGTGCATCTTCAAACGCGCGTTGGCGCTCGACGAGCTCGCTAATCTCATTCAACATCCCGCCAACACCCTCGCTCTTCGTGTTCGTCGACGTTCTCTTCGCCACCGCGCCGTGCGCGTCGACGCCCTCCGCCGCGCACCCACCCCGCGGGACGCACATCACGACGCACGCACCCACGAGCGCGGCGATCGTCGCGCGAATCGACGCCCTCGCGCGCCCTCGCGTCGCGCGTCCACGCGCGCGTCGTCGCGCAGCCTTCGCATCCGCATCCGCGCGTCGCGCGTCCGCGTCCGCTCGCGCGCTCGCGCGCGCCGCGCGATGGCGTCGCGCCGCCGTCATCGCGCGTCGCGACTCGGCGTCCATCGCGCGCGCGCGCGTCGGTCTCCCGCGCGTCACCATCGGGGCGCGCACGATGCGATCGATCGCTCGCGCGCTCGATCGATCGATCGATCGACCGACCGCTGGCCGAGGTTCGATCGCGAAAATTCAAACCCGCGCGCGTCGATCGAACCCGCGCGCGGCGACGCGCGCGGTGGACACTCCATGCCGCCGCCCGCGCGCGCGCCGGACGCGGCGGACGTCGACGACGACGACCTCGAGCGCGAGTACGCGATACTGGCGAGATGCCTGCGGGCTCGCGCGGACGCGGTGCGGGATAAACCGACGCGAATTCGCGTGCGCGCGTGGTGTCAACACCTGGACCAGCGCGAGCGCGTGCGCGCGTTGCGGGAGAATAGAAACGCGCACGCGCGGTTGCTGCTGGAGATGCTGCGAGCGACGCGCTCGGACGCCGCGCCGCGTTTGGCGCGGCCGTTCGATCGAGCGCCGCCGAGCGGGCGAGTGGGACGGTTTTGTAGGGACGACGCGGTCGGTTGGAATTTGACGCGAAGGGTCGTCGAGGACGACGTCGAGCGGGAGATCGGTGGTGGCGCTCGAGAGAGAGCGAAGGACGCATGCGTGCGCGTGAGCGTGAGTGGTGATGGCGAGGACGCGCGCGCGGAGGAGATGCGACGGATGGTGGAGATTGAGGCGTCGGCGTCGGCGTCGGCGTCGCGGCGCGTGTCTCGCGACGACGCGAAGGATTCGTATCCGGCAGTGGTCGTCGCGAGGGAGAGACCGCGCGATACACGACGAGTGGAGGAGCTAGAAACTGAACTTAAAAAGTTACAGGCGAAGAGCGAGCGGCAGACGAAGAAGATCAACGCGCTCAAGGAGGAGCTCGCGACGGAACGAAGGGCGCGCTCGAACGAGTTGCAGACGGTGCGCGCAAAACACGAGCGCGAAATGCGCGATCTGGTCGCGTCGGTGAGCGGGGTGCAGAAATCAAATGTTCAACGGCGACGTCGGGTGAGTTCGAACGAGTATCCGCCGCCGCCTTCGAGGATAGTATCGGGCGCGGACGAGTTTGATGCGTTCATCGCCGGCTTCGCGGCCGAAACAGACAGACTGAGGAAAACGCTCGAGCACAAGAGGTTTTTAGCGTAGGTTAGGTAGATATTTCAATCAAAGATCATAGAGCTTGGTGTACTTTTCAGTCAAATAAGTCACGAATTCTGCCGCATCGAGCGGCTTGCCTGTGACTTTCATCATCAACTCGTCTACGCTGTCGCACTCTGATCCGCGCTCGTGCACGTTGACGCGCAACCAAGCCAAGAGTTGGGCGAATTCACCTCGCTTGATCTGCCCGTCCAAATCATCGATCGAGCGTTTGGCGGCGTTGAAGATTTGACACGCCAATATTTGGCCGATTATGTACGTCGGGAAGTAGCCGATGGCTCCAGACCCCCAGTGCACGTCTTGTAAAACTCCTTGTTTGTCGTTCTCGATGTCAACGTTCAGATATTCCTTCATCTTCGCGTTCCAGAGCTTGGGCAAATCATGTACGGTAATTTTACCGCTCAACAAATCCATCTCCAATTCCGTTCGTAGGATAACATGCATGGGATAGGTGACTTCGTCGGATTCGACGCGAATGACGCTCGGCTTCTTCACGACGTTGTACCCGGCATAAAGCGCTTCCTCGGTGACGCCATCGAACCTCCCGGGAAACGTCGATTGTAACTTTGGGAGAAGGAAATGCGCAAAAGGCTCGCTCAGCGCCACCATGCGCTCCCAGAGCAGCGACTGCGATTCGTGCACACCCATCGAGTGCGCTTCGCTCACCGGTTGCCCGCGGTAGTCGACTGAGCGTCCTTGCTCGTACGCGCTGTGACCGGCTTCGTGCACGCATCCTGACAAACCTTCGAGCAAATCATCTGCTTTGTACCTCGTTGTCATTCTGACGTCATCTGGCCCGCAACCACCCGTGAAAGGATGCACGCTGACGTCCAAGCGCCCCTTGGTTAAATCAAATCCCAGAGCAACCGCGACGTCTCTCGCGAGTTCAGCCTGCTTATCGACGTCAAACGTCCCACTGAGCGGATTCGCGCGTCCTCTCAGCGCCTTTGGACCATCTTTCGCGTACACCTTTTCGATCAGCGGCACCACGCCCTCGCGCACTACGGTGAAAATCTCACGCAGTCGCGCCGAAGTCATCCCTCGCTCGTAGTCGTCCAACGCGACGTCGTACGCGTCCGCGCCCGGCGCGATCAATTCGCACCGCGCCTTCGTCAACGCCACCCATTCCTCCAGCACCGGCGCGAACGCGCCGTACTCTCCGCTCTCTCTCGCCTTCACCCACGTCTGATACCCGCGCGAGCCGAGCTCCGCTCGTTTCTTCGCCATCTCGCTCGGAATCGCCGTCGCCTTCGCGTAGCTCTCCTTCGCTCTTCGCACGTTCGCCCCATCCTTACCGCGCAGCGTCCCATCCTTACCGCGCGGCGTCCCATCGCACGCCTCGATCAGCGCACCGAGCGCCTTCGACGTCGCCTTGTCGTGAATCACGCCCGCGAGCGTCGCCATCGCGCGCGCGCGCGCGTTCGCCGCGCCGTCGCCCGACGGCATCATCACGAGTTCGTCCCATCCCGCGAGCCCCTCGAGCGAGCGCAGGTCGTTCAGCGTCGCGAGCTCGCGCTTGAGCGCGTCGTACGACGCCTCGCGCGTCGCCATCGCGCGCGCGCGCCGGCGTCTCGGCGCGAGCGACGCGCGGGAGACGGCGAACGCGCGCGCGAGCGTCGTCATATGACGCCTCGCGCGTCGCGCGCGTCCGACGCCCGGCGCGTCGCGCGCGACGTCGGCGGCGGGGCGCGCGCGCGGCGACGCGCGCATCATCGCGCGCATCGTCGCGCGCGCGGGCGCGCGGCGACGCGCGGCGCGCGATGGTGCGCGAGGAGAGACGACGAGGCGCGCGACGCGCGCGTCGGCGGTGACGATGGGGAAAACGCGACGACGCGCGCGCGCGAACGATTCGCGGCGCTGGAAGCGGAACGACGGATGACGACGGAATCGCGGCGAGGCGCGGACGTCGGGCCGGGTCTCGCGCCGTCGGCGGTCGCGGCGAGTCTGGGGGCGTTTCTGTTTGGGTATCACACGGCGGCGTGCAACGCGCCGCTGAGCGCGCTGGCGCGAGATTTAGGATTCGCGGACGATGACTACGTGAAAGGCGCGGTGGTGTCGGCGTTGGTGATCGGAGGCGCGATCGGAGGGCTCACCGTGGGTGGGCTGAGCGATAAATACGGGCGGAAGTGGGCGTTGACGGCGACGAGCGCGCCGCTCGCGCTGGGGACGATGCTGAGCGGGATGGCGCCGAACGCGGTGACGATGATCGCGGGGAGGTTCATATGCGGACTAGGCGTGGGAGCGAGCTCGCAAATTGTGCCGCTGTATCTCAGTGAAATCGCGCCGCCGGCGTTGCGGGGGACGCTGAACGGATTTCGAAGGTTGGCGTACGTCTTCGGTTGTTTGGCGGCGTTTCAACTCGCGGCGCCGCTCAAGGAGACTGGAGGGGAGGGTTGGTGGCGACCGATTTTCTACGATGCGGCGATACCGGCGCTCATGCTAGCCGTGGGCGCGGCGTTCGTGGCGCAAGAGACTCCGGTTTGGCTGCTGACGCAGAGTGATGAAAAGGCGGCGGAGAAATCTCGACGTTCGCTAGCGATTTTGCAGAACATTCGCGGCCGCGCCGCGGTGACTTGGCAAAATTCTTTAAGAAGCGCGTTTAGCAGCTCGCGTTCGTTAGACGACGACGATAGTGCGTCGACGTCAATCGATGCGGAAGTTAGCGCGTCCTCAGCGGCGGAGAAACCTGCGAAATCAAAGTTGTCTCGCTCGAGACGCAAGGAACAAAAATTATCGACGTGGTCGGAGCTGATTTCAGACGACAAAAATCGTTTACCACTTTCGCTTGGCCTATCGCTGTGCGCGCTGGCTGCATTCTCGGGATCAAACACAGTCATATTCTACGCATCCACTGTGTTCACGAGCGTGGGAATAAATAATCCAGAAATTTTGACTTGGGCGGTGGGCGTGCCGAACGTCGTCGGTGGCTTTGTCGCGCTGGCCCTGTCAGACAAAATGGGTCGTCGACCTCTTCTCCTCACTTCATTCGGAGGCATGAGTGCGTGCTTGGGCATTTTGTCTCTCGCCGCGTATCTCACCCCTGCGAACGAGCTAAGCTCGTTTTGCGCCAACCCAGAGCTTGGCGTGCTCGTGGGAAAACTGAGCCAACAAATCGACGACGGATTGTACTCGTATCCCACGATGGCGAGCGCTCAGATTTGTGCGGATTTTGCCGCACTGTCGCCCGCGAGTGCGGGACCGGCACAACCCGAAGCAGCAGTCGCGCTCGTCACAATCCCATTGTACGTTTTATTCTTCTCTCTCGGCGCAGGTCCGATTCCGTGGCTCTTGTACAATGAAGTATTCCCCACCCGCATTCGCGCTCGAGCCGTTTCGGCGTGCACCGCTCTGAACTATGTATCAAACTCAATCGTCGGTGCAACCTTTCTGCCGATGGTTGGCGCGTACGGATTGAGTGGATCATACGGTTTCTATACTCTGCTGTGCGCTAGCGGATACGTTTTTGTCGATCGTTTCATCCCCGAGACGAAAGGTTTGCGCTTGGAAGATGTCGAGTCGACGTTGAAGAGACACGCGCGCAAAAGATCGACGTCGCGCTCAAAGTCCATCGATGAATAGCTTGGTCATGAATAGCTTTGATGATTCTTGTAATCTTTATTTGTACTACTAGTTCTCGGAGGGTGTTACGCGCAGCGGTTGGATTCTCGTTTACAGCGTGCGCGCCGCGCGCGCCGAGCGAAGGCGCGGTCATCGACCGCGGTGGCGACGTCGTCGACGTCATTCCCACCGCGGCGTCACCCGCGCGCGCCCGATCGCTCGGCGCGTCCGATCTCGCGCGCGTCGGCGCGCTCGGGACGCGCGGCGTCGTCGTCGTCGGTCGAAGCAATCGTCGCGCGACGACGCCGCCGTGGCGTCCCTTATCGTCCTCATCCGCCCGCCGTCGGCGCGGCGTGATCGATCGTTCGCACGTTTGCGAACCCGCGCACGGCCGCGCCGCGCGCGGTCGTCGCGGCGACGCGTCCGGGCGTCGTCGCGCGCGCGGTCGTCGTTCGTCGCGCGTACGCGTCGGCGTGGCCTTCGACGAGGAGCGTTCGGAAGAAGGCGTCCACGACGTCGAGCGCGCCCCAGAGGGCGGCGACGAGCGAGAACGGGCGCGCGGCGACCGCGCCGTCGCGCGCGACGTACGCCATCGCGCGCGCGGTCGTGCGGTCGCGTCGTGCGGTCGCGCGGGGCGTCGAGTCTCATTGCGGCGAAGTGAGACACACACGGACCTAGTACGAACCCGCCGCCGCCGGTCCCGTCACACGATGGCGCGCCCTCGCGCCGACGACGCGCGCGCGTCGAGCGCGGTGGCGACGAGGTCGTGCGTGTTCACCGTCGCGCTCCACCCGTCGGCGCTCGCGGACCCGCTCGCGGGCGCGCGCGCGGTGCTCGACGCGATGAAGATGCGACACGTGGACGCGCTCGGCGGCGTGCTCATGGCGTACGACGACGAAGCGCTGTGCGGCGCGCGACGACGCGAGCGCGACGACGACGGCGACGACGACGGCGACGATGAAACGTCGACGTCCGAGAGCGACGACGCGGAGGCGGACGACGACGACGGGCGAGGAGGGTTCGGAAGGGTGCTGCACGCGAGCGGGCACGTGGACGTGCGCGTGCGAGCGCGGTGCGAGGTGTTCACGCCGGTGAAAGAATCGCGCTTGGTCGGCACGGTGAATAAGATCGCGCACGATTTTATCGGAGCGTTGGTGCTGGATAGATTTAACGTCGCGATCGCGGCGGAAAATATACGGGAGGAGTTGGTGTCGTCGAGCGACGACGGGTGCTGGCGAAGCGCGTGGGACGCGACGCACGTGATAAAGGTCGGGTCGCAGATCGTGTTCACGGTGAAAGCGGTGACGGAGAGCGATGACGTGGTGTTGCTGAGAGGGGCGATGAAAGATCCCGCCACGGGCGAGCGCGAGTACGTGGCGAGATCGTCGAGTGGGATCACGAGCATCGAGCGCAAGCTCGTCGCGCCGGCGGATTCGGATTCGCGGCGCGAGAAAAAGTCGAAAAAGGAGAAGGAGAAGAAGGAGAAGAAGGAGAAGAAGGAGAAGAAGGAGAAGAAGGAGAAGAAGGAGAAGAGAAAGAGCGAGAACGATTTAGAGAAGAGCGACGGGCGCAGCTCGAAACGCGCGAAGGATTCGCCGTCGTAGTTTTTGTCAACGTCACCGTAGCGCCGTACGACGAAACGACGAACGCTCCCGTCGCCACACGCGCGCGCGCTCGGTCGCGCTCGGCGCTTTAGATCGCGCCATGGCGTACCCTAAAAAGCTCAGCGCCTACATGGCGTACTCCAACGCCAATCGCGACGAGGTCAAGCGCGAGCTCATCGCGAGCGGCGTGGAGAAGCCGTCGATCGCTGAAATCGCGCGCGCGATATCGCTTAAATGGAACGCGATGTCGGACGAGGTCAAGGCGGTGCGTGAAACACACGTTTTAGCGCGCGATGCGACGCGCCGTCGTGAGAACGCGCGCGACGACGAGATGAACGACGATGCGATGCGATGATTTGACAGGCGGGTTGAAAATTTGAAATTTGAAGCGACGACGCGCTTCGCGGAGGACTGACGACGCAAGCGATGTCATCGCGCGCGATAGAAAATGAAAGAAGACACCGAAAAGGCGTACGAGGCCGCGGTGGCGGCGGCGGTGGCGCGGGGTGAGGTGCCGGAGGAGAAGACGGCGGACGTCGACGGTAAACCGGCGGAGAACGACACGGTTTTGCCCGTGGCGCGCGTGAAACGAATCATCAAGCTCGATAAGGATGTCAAGCAAGCGTCAGCGGATGCGATTAAGTGCGTGACGAAGGCGACGGAGCTGTTTTTAGAGGGCTTAGCCGTCGGTTCACACGCGGGCATGCGCGCGGCGAAGAGAAAAGGCGTGCAGTACAAGGATTTGGAGAGCTTCGTCTTGCGACGGGGCAAGTATGAATTTTTACACGATCACGTGTGGGCGATGCGGCCGCGAGAGGGAGAGAAGGGTGATGACGATGACGATGATGATGACGACGATGACGACGACGACGCGCCGTCCGCGAAGAAGGCGAAAAAGTTGGCGGACGCCAACGGTTCGAGACGAGTGACAGAATTTTTCAAACCTGGCGAGTCGCCGACGAAGAAGCCCGCGAACGACGAGGACGAAATTGTCATCGACGCGGCGCCGACGCAGACACAAACGGCAGCCGCTGTGATCCCCGAGACAGAAATTCAGACGCAATAGAGTGCGATTAGCCATCGATGTTGTTTTCAAAATCAATCAGTTCTAGAAACATCGCGTCAAACGACGTTGAGCGCGAAACTATCGACGGCGCGATTCATGATTTCCTCGACCTCGTCGAACCTCGAGCTCACCGCCGACGCGTGCAACTTAACCACACGATTGCCCACAAACGTCACCACCACGCGACTTCGGCGCTGAATGCTATCGAGCACGTCCCCTTGCGGCCCGACGCAGATTTTCGACCCTCCCATTCCTTCTTCGATTTTCGCCCGGCACACCTCCGTCTCGTACGAAAACACGTAATACTTGCGCCCATCCGGTCCCTTCTTCACTCGCGCGTCGTCCATCAGGGCGAACGCCATCGTCCCCGACCTTCCATTCTCCACGCCCCCGATCACCCCGAACGACTCCAACGCTTCCACCGCCGCGCGTTCGTTCGCCGTCAACGCGTCCGCCACCGACTTGGCGTCCGCGGCGTCCTCTCCGCTCGACGCCATCCGCGCGATCTCCGGGCTCACCGTCTCCACGCGCACACTCACGGTATCGATAGTTTTAAAATTCCCAATCATCGCGATCGTCCGTCCCGACGTCGTGGCGCTGTCGTCGTACGCGCGATCGATCGCTTTGACCCAACGCGTCGGCACGTCGAATCGAAGCGCCTTCGCCGCCTTCCCATCGAACGCCTCGTATTCGTACCCCGCCTCTTCCGCCGCCGCGATCGTCGCGACGAAGCGCCGCGCGGCCGTTCGCGCGCCCGCCGCGTCGTCCGCGCGCTCGATCGTCTTCTCGCGTCGAGTCGCCGTCGCCGTCGCCGTCGCGCGCTCCGGCGCCGCCGTCGCGTCGCCCGCCGCGCTCAACGTCGTCGCGGTCGCCACGGACAGGACGAGCGCGGCGAGACGCGACCCGAAACAATTCGTCTCGCCGCGGTCGTCGCGCGCGCCGCGCACCGCGCGCGTCGTCGCGCGTCGCGCGTCGACGCGTCGCCAACGCGGCCGTGCGACGGGAAACCGTCGACGCCGCGACGCCGCGCGCGCGTCGCGGCTCGCGCGCGGCGGTCGCGGACACCGCGCGGCGAGCGTCGCGGCCGGCATCGTCGTCCGGCGCGGGACGCGTCGTCGCGGGACGCGTGGGGGTGTGGCGGAGATTCGTCGTCGTCGTCGTCCGCCGAGCGAAAGCGAAAGAATGGAACAATTGCGCATCTACAGAACAAACTCTAAGTCTGGGAGCGATCGACGCGGTCGACATCGTGCGTCGTCGAGCGCCGCCGTCGCGATGGTTTTACGAATCCCCAGAAATCATCGTCGCGTCGTGTGTCCGCCGCGATCGAGCCTCGCTCGCGACGTTCGCCCTCGCCTCGCCGTCTCGTCACGGAAGCTCATCGTACACCCCCTCCACGCGCCTCGCCCCCGAGCTCCGCGCGACGTTTTGCCAATACGACGCCTCGTCCGCGTCGGCGTTGCACCCGTATCCCACCAATAACATTTGCGCCGCCAACGCCGCCGCGTTCGCGTCTCCCTGCTTCGCGTTCCTCAGCGTCTCCACGTACCACCTCGACGCCGCGTCCAGCACGCAATCCCTCAATTTCCCCTTCGTCACCGGTTCCATGTCATCCTCCACCGCGAACGCTCGCATCTCGTGCGTCGCGTCGTGCGCGAAGTCTCCGTTTTCGTCCTCTTCGCTCGTCGTCGTCGTCGTCGTCGAGCTCCCGCTCTCCGGTCGTCCCCGCGCTCGCTCTCGCTGTCGCTTGTGCTGTCGCGCGTGACACTGCTCGCACAAATCGTAATCCTCGCACCGCTCGCACACCCACCGCCGGCGCAGGATCGGCAGGTCGCCGCACGCGTCGCACGAGTACTGCAGGCTCGGGCACAGCACGCTCGGTTCGTACATGTTCTCCACCGTCGCGCGCGCTCGCGCGGCGCGGCTCGCGTCGTCGCGCGCGCGCGCGTCGGCGCGATCGCCGCGTCGCGGTTCTTCGCGCGTCGTCGCCCGGTCGCGCGGTCGTCTGGCGCGCGGTCGCGCGATCGACGGCCGTCGCGCGCGGCGCGGGGGCGATTTCGCCAAACGACGGTTTTTCGACGGTCGCCGCCGGAGGGTTTAAAAAACGACGTCGCGACCCTTCGTCTCCCGCGGCGCTTCGGCGCGCGGCACAGCGCGACGACGGACGCGGCGACGGATCGCGCGCGCGACGGATCGGGCGCGGGTGAAATAAAATAATCGCGCGTGCGCGCGCGCGCGAGAGAGCGAGGGACGCGACGCGACGCGACGCGCGAGGACGAGGGAAGAGAAACGGCGAATGCGCGCGCGAATCGATGACGCCGGCGACGGCGACGACGACGGCGACGGCGACGGCGGCGGCGACGGGAGGAAGGGACGTCGACGTCGAGCGCGGCGCGAGCGCGCGGTGGTGATGATGGGGCTGCGCGCGGCGGCGATCGCGGTGGTGATGATGCGCGGCGCGGAGGGAGGGACGCCGACGTGCGCGTACGCGGCGAGACGAGAGACGTGCGGGCTGGGCGCGCGCCGAGCGGCGTTCGACGTCGTCGGCGATGCGAGGTGCGACGCGATCGAGGGCGACGCGATGTGCGCGATGCGGTCGAACGGGGTCGTGTTCGAGCCGACGTCGACGCGGCGGGCGATGATGACGTCTCGAGGGGAAGAGAACGGCGCGATGGCGCTCATCGGCGAAGGCGACGGGACGTTTACGATCGAGATGCGGATCGTTCCGGATTTTACCGCCACGACGCCTGAAGAACGACAGCCGCTTTTAGTTTTCAGTTTGAACGACGATGAGACGTCGTGGGCGCACACCGGGTGCTTTGAGGGATATTACATGTCGATTTGGATTCAAGATGGATTTTTGTCGACGAAGATGCGAGTGACGCATTCGACGCACCCGTTCGAGTGCTCGTGGGATGACCACATGCGTCGAGGGCATATGGGCATACCCAGGCTGTCGCACGGAGATTTAAATCACGTCGCGCTCGTGTACGACGCGCAAGGCATCCGACTCTTCCTGAACGGCACGAAAGCGTTTCCACCCGTGGATTGGTTCTTCGAGAGCCCGGGGGGCGACGCCGTCTCCACGTGGAACGCGAGCAGATCTCGCATTGCCGTCGGCGCGTACGGCGATGACGCATTCGCAGGGATAATTTATGGCATTAACATATACGACTACGCCCTGAGCGACGATGAGTTAGCGATATCCGCGAACGCGTCGCTGGAAAATTCCAAACCGTTCGCGATTTCGCAAAACGTCACGTGCGAGGAGGACGACTCGGTGGACGCAGAACTCGTCGCATACGACGCGGACGGCGACGATGTGTGGTATCGCATCACATCGTTACCGAAACGAGGACATTTATATGACGTTCACGCAAACGGGGACGCGATCGAAATCCTTTCTGCGCCTCACTCGCTTGCGAGCGCGTCGGTGCGATTTGCGCCGGCGCCGAATGATTTTTCGATTGAAGGCAACGCTACGGCGCTCTTTGATTACGATTCGTTCGAGTTTGATGTGAGCGACGGCACCGAAGCTTTTGGTAGCGCGTTTGTCCACATTCGAGTAACGAACGTGAACGACGCACCGGTATCCACAGGGTCAAACGTCATCGCTTATCGCGGCGTGCCCGCGATCGTGCGGCTTGTCGTCGAAGACATCGACGCGACGTGTCCTCAGCGCGCCATACTATGCCGCGGTGATCGTGTGACTTCCGTGCACATCACTCGAGAGCCAGCACTTGGGAGCCTGTACGCGTGTGATGATGTGGAGGGAGCGAATGCGCTGCGCACCGGCGCGAACGTCACCTCGCCGAATGCGACGTGCTTGACGTACGTTTCCTTTGCTTTGGGTGAGAGCGATTCCGTGGCATACGTCGTTGTCGATGAGAACGGCGCGCTGAGCGACCAAAGCGAAGTGATGTTTTTTCTTAAAACGCCGTGCGCGTTGCTCGATCGCACCCAAACCGTCAGTGAAGACGAAGGCGGGATCATTCGAGTCACCGCGGCGTGCGTGGGCGAGTCGTTGTCGTCGCTCGCGTTCTTCGCGACGGTTACGACGGCGCCGAGGTACGGCGAGATTGTCGGTGACACGGACGCACAGCTCAGTGCGATGGCGTGTTCAAGCACGCAAAACGCGACATGCCAGGCTTGGGCGGCGAATACGTCATCGTTTACGGCGATTGGTCACGCGTGCGCGTGCGGCAGCTTTACATACGTTCCCGAGCGCGACTACTTCAACATCCCCAGCGTAGATGTATATGGCGTCGAAATGTCACTCATGGGTACGAGAGCCGAGAATTGGAACGTTGGACGGCCTGATACCCTTCGTATGTCCCTGAAGACGTCGAACGGTTGGACCACGGATCCATACGCGGCGTACGTCTTCGTGCGAAACCGCCCCGACGCGCCGACGATTCGGATCGATCAGAATCGTCTCAATCAAATCGAGCGGATCACGCCCAACACGACCTCTTTCGTACTATCCGGAATCATAGACATCGACACTGATCCGGATTACGACGCCTACGCGATGTCGGTGAAGATGTGGAGCCCATCCTCGACCGTGCTCGAGGTGCGAGACGCGAGAGCGGCGCGTCTCGCGCCGATCATCTCCTCGAACCGACGAAACAGGATAGATCTCATCGGTCCGCCATCTGAGATCGCCGCCCTATTTCGTCAAGCGACCATCGCATACGTTCCGCGCGACACAAACACCGCTGCCTTCGAGGACACCGTCAAGCTCCGCGTCGCCGTCGGCGTTCTCCCGACGTCATCCTGCGAAAACCTCCCCGCCGACGTCAAGTGCTTCTTCCAAACCACCGTCTACGCCCAACCGTGCGCGTCCACATCTCCGTTATCCACGCCTTGCCTCATCGAACGCACGATTTACGTCCCCGTCGGCGATTCTCCATCCCACATCGCTCGCGTGCTCGAGGCTCGCGTCGAGCGTCGATCCGTCGCCTCGCGTCGCCGCGCCGTCTTCCTCATCTGGTTCGTTCTCTCCTTCCTCACCTCCGCCCTCGCGTCGCGACTCAAGCGCGCGTTTTGCACCATCGCGCGCCCTCGCGCGTCTTCCACCGCTCGCGACGTCCGCCCGCGTTCGCCCGCGTCGCCGTCGCGCCTCGCGTCGCGCGCGTCGCCCGACATCGAGTAACATAAAAAACACGAACCTTTCGACACTTTCGCCCCGCCGTCGCCGTCGGCCGTCGCGCCGTCACTCTCCGCGCCGCTCGCGCACGCCGACGACGAAGAGACGCCGCCCGATCGCTCGCCATGGTGAAGGTGCGCGAATGTTTCGACGCGATGCGCGCGTCGCGGGCGCCGCGCGCGCGTCGCGGATGCGCGCGCGCGCGCGAACGCGCGCGAGGATGATTACGCGATCGAGCGACGCGACGGACGGGCGACTGACGAACGTTTTCGCGCGATAGTTTACCATCGATGAGCTGCGCAAGCAGATGGATCACAACAAGAATATCCGTAATATGTCTGTGATCGCGCACGTCGATCACGTACGTCGGCGAGGCGAGGCGACGCGCGAATCGATGCGACGGATTGATGATTGATTGGGGTTACGACACCGCGGGTGACGGGACGAGGCTGAACCCTAATGCGAGGCGACCGCACGCGCACGCGAACGCGGACGCGTGAGACTGACGAAAATACGCGCGTTCGGACGGTGAAATGAATAGGGTAAATCGACGCTCACGGATTCTCTCGTCGCCGCGGCGGGGATCATCGCGCAGGAAAACGCCGGGGACGCGCGCTTGACGGATACGCGTCAAGACGAGCAAGATCGGTGCATTACGATCAAGTCCACGGGTATTTCGTTGTTCTACACCGTGTCTGACGAGGATTTGGCGCGCTTGCCGAAAGATGTGCCGCGTGATGGTAACAACTACCTGATCAACTTGATTGATTCTCCGGGTCACGTCGATTTCTCGTCCGAGGTGACGGCGGCGTTGCGCATCACCGACGGCGCCTTGGTCGTCGTTGATTGCGTCGAAGGTGTTTGCGTACAAACCGAAACCGTGCTTCGTCAAGCGCTCGGTGAACGCATTAAGCCTGTGATGACGGTGAACAAGCTCGATCGCTGCTTCCTCGAACTCATGCTCGACGGCGAAGAGGCGTACCAAAACTTCTGCCGCGTCATCGAAAATGCGAACGTCATCATGGCTACCTACACGGATGAGGCGCTCGGTGACGTGCAAGTCGCGCCGGAGAAGGGTACCGTGTGCTTCTCCGCTGGTCTTCACAACTGGGCGTTCACCTTGACCGTTTTCGCGAAGATGTACGCCGCCAAGTTCGGCATTGACCAAGACGCCATGATGGGCAAGCTTTGGGGCGACAACTTCTTCGATCCGAAGGAGCGTAAGTGGACCAAGAAGAACACTGGCTCGAAGACGTGCATGCGTGCTTTCGTCCAGTTCTGCTACGAGCCGATCCGTCGCGTCATCGATGCCGCGATGAACGACAACAAGGACAAGCTCTGGCCGATGCTCGAAAAGCTTCAAGTGAAGGATAGGCTCAAGCCCGCTGACTTGGACTTGATGGGCAAGCCGTTGATGAAGCGTATCATGCAAACCTGGTTGCCGGCCGATGTTGCTCTTCTTGAGATGATCATCTACCACTTGCCTTCCCCGGCTACGGCGCAAAAGTACCGTGCGGATACCCTCTACGAGGGTCCGCTCGATGACGCCTACGCCAACGCGATTCGCGAGTGCGATGCCAACGGTCCGCTCATGTTGTACGTGTCCAAGATGATCCCGACCGCCGATAAGGGTCGTTTCTTGGCCTTCGGTCGTGTGTTCTCTGGTACCGTGCAAACTGGCCAAAAGGTGCGCATCATGGGTCCGAACTACGTTCCGGGTGAGAAGAAGGATTTGTACATCAAGTCCATCCAGCGCACCGTGTTGTGCATGGGCCGTCGTCAAGACGCTATCGACAACGTGCCGTGCGGTAACACCGTCGCCATGGTTGGTCTCGATCAGTTCATCCAAAAGAATGCGACCATCACTGGTGAGAAGGATGTCGATGCGCACACCATCAAGGCGATGAAGTTCTCCGTCTCTCCGGTTGTCCGCGTCGCTGTTGAGTGCAAGAACTCGCAAGATCTCCCCAAGCTCGTCGAAGGTCTCAAGCGCCTTTCCAAGTCCGATCCGATGGTTCAGTGCCAAATCGAAGAGACTGGTGAGCACATCGTCGCCGGTGCTGGTGAGCTTCACCTCGAAATCTGCTTGAAGGATCTCCAAGAAGATTTCATGGGTGGTGCCGAAATTCGCATCTCCGATCCGGTCGTGTCCTTCCGCGAAACCGTCAACGGTACCTCGGACCACATTTGCATGTCCAAGTCCCCGAACAAGCACAACCGTTTGTACTTCCAAGCCGTCGCCATGGACGAAGGTCTTGCCGAAGCCATTGACAACGGTGAAGTCACCCCGCGCGATGACCCGAAGACTCGCGGTCGTTTCTTGGCTGACAAGTACGGCTGGGACAAGGATCTCGGCGCCAAGAAGATTTGGTGCTTCGGTCCGGACACCACCGGCCCGAACCTCATCGTCGATATGTGTAAGGGTGTCCAGTACCTCAACGAAATCAAGGATTCGTGCGTTGCGGCGTTCCAGTGGGCCACCAAGGAAGGTGTCCTCGCCGAAGAAAACATGCGCGGCATCAAGTTCGAGATCCACGATGTCGTTCTCCACACCGATGCCATTCACCGTGGTGGTGGTCAAATCATCCCGACGTGCCGCCGTGTCTTGTACGCGTCTGCACTCACCGCGGAACCGCGTCTCCTCGAGCCGGTGTACTTGGTTGAAATCCAAGCTCCGGAGCAAGCGCTCGGCGGTATCTACTCCACCGTTACGCAAAAGCGTGGTATGGTTATCGAAGAGACCCAGCGCCCGGGTACCCCGATTTACAACATCAAGGCGTACTTGCCGGTCATGGAATCTTTCGGTTTCACGGGTACTCTCCGTGCAGCGACTTCCGGCCAAGCGTTCCCGCAGTGTGTGTTTGATCACTGGGATATGCTCAACAGCGATCCGCTCAACCCGGATTCGCAGTCTGGTAAGCTCGTCAAGGACATCCGTAAGCGTAAGGGTAGCAAGGAGAACGTCCCGCCGCTCAACGAATACGAAGACAAGCTCTAATTGTAGGGTCTCAGGAGCAGCTTTTGAAACGTACATCTCTATAATACACAAAAAACTTTCGAATAAAATGCTTTTCGCCTTTTCACCTCACTCGCATCGTCGCCGCACGCAAGCTAGTTTATAACTTAAACGTTCCGCTTCTCGTCTCATATATTCAGCTTCGTGTCGATACGTCATGTATTCCGGATCTCCACGGTACGTAGAAACTTCAAAAGTCGCTCTTTGAAAAGACTCGAGCAGCGTTCTCGGCTTCTTCGCGGAGAACCAGTACGAACACGCGAGCGCTAGTCGAGCCAGGAAGAGAAACGCGCCGGAGATGGCCGACCGTATCGTCATCGTCGCGGCATAGTGAGGTCATTGTATACCAACTTGTCTATTATTCAAAGGAGAAAGTGCTAGAGAGTGCTACAAAGAAAGTCAACGACGCGGCGCGGTCAACCTCGCTAAAGACTTTCTCGATTATCAATCCGTGGGATATCTGAAGTGGTGACCTAGATGATACCATTCCAGAAGTAGCTCGTGATCAGCGTCACATGTGTAGTTGTCACGCCACGTAAGATAAATGATGCTCGCTCTGTAGTGAAAGTAGGTCGAGAGCACGATCAAAAAATGAAAAATGTTGTGACTGCAGCCGAAGAAGTCAAACGATCCTGGGCTCCACCGCTCTGGGATCATCTTGGCGTACAAGAATGCTCCAAACACGTAGCCGAACCCCATAGCCATTTCAAAATAAAATGCTTCCATCATAGGCGTCGGGACGATGTGCCAAACGAAGAAGACTTGCTGAAAAATCGGGAAAAGACCCAGGCAGCCTAGGGCGACGAAGAGAGACGCTCGTAACGGGGCGTACTCCTTCTTCTGAAACGCTCGCATGAACGTAGGGACGACGGTCAAACACCCGAATACCGTAATACCAGTCAAGTACATATCTCTCCAACCGGGAAGACAATAGTATGAGTAGTGTAACATGGGGTAAAAGCTCGCCACGATTAATACGGCGATGCCAAGATAGTCGAAACGCCACATTCGTTCGGCATCAATCTCGCCGACGCAGCAGTACGTGTGACACATCGTGCTGAAGAATAAGCACACGACGGCACCAGTGAGAAAAATATACATAGGCCACCGCGTGACCGGCCGCGCGGGCTCGGGATCGTCTGGCACGAACTTGATGTGTTTCTTCAACTGGCTTAATTTCTTGCGCAACGCTTCCGTCTGGACAGAAATTTCTTCATAATCCTTTCCACCCGCGCGATCCATCGCCTCGAGCACCTTTTGCGCACCCTTCAAACTACGCTTCAGGACTTTTCGCCGCTTTTCCACCTTGAAAACTTCCTCCCCACTCTCCAGATGTTCCGCGAGCTCGTGCGTCACGTCGAGCAAGTCGTCCCTCACTCCGCGCAAAATATCGCGCGCTGTGCTCCCATTTTGCAGCCGCTCGTGTAGCGCGACATCAATCGCGCGTAAATCGTCCCTGTCCCGCCGTATTTCTTGTCTCCATCGCGTGGCGTACTGAATCCTCTCGACTCGCGCCACGTCCGCGCCCGTAACCCAATGCGCGGGCGGCGCCGCCAGCCCCACGCCCGAGTGCGCCGTCCGAAACGTCTGCACGATCAGCGCTGCGAACATCAAAACTCCCAACAAATGACTCCATATGTTCACCGTCTCGTTGTGAAGCATGAATATCGATCGCGTCGCCCCGAGCCACCGCGCGCCGACGCGATAACCGCTCCGCACGTACGGATTCCACACCATCCACTCCGGCGCATCGTCCACGTCGCACACCGCGCAAAACCACGCCGAGCACTTCTTACCATCGTCGTCTTCGTCCGCCTTCGGCAGTCTGAACGGCCCTCGCGCGCGCGTCGCGCGAGATTTCGTCGTTTCGGCGTCGTCAACGACCTCGGGCGTGGCGGCTCGGCGGGCGCGAAGCGTCGACATATCGTCGCGCGCGCTCGACTCGACGAGCGCGAGCGTTCGATGTCTTCCGATCGGCGCGCGGACGGCGCGCGCGGGGATCGGGCGCGCGGGCGCGCGAGTCTGACGCGTGCGGGCGAAACCTCCGCGCGCGGCGAGCGCGCGCGAGAGCGGTTCGGGAAGGAATGATGAATATGACAATGCGAGGCGATGCCGACGCGGTGAGGCGTCATCCGACGAATTCGTAGCACGTTTGCCCGTCGTGATTCTGGATGTTGGTCAAACCGCCGTGACGCTGGAGAAAATCCGAAATGGCGTCGAAGCGAAAGTGGAGCGAGAAATGCAACGAGGTGTTCCCGTGCTTGTTTTGAACGTTTGGATCGGCGCCGCTTCGAATGAGAAGCTTCACGCATCGACCTTGACCGTTTTGACAAGCGATGATGAGCGCTGAGTTGCCCATTTCGTCCCGAGCGTCGAGGGGGACGCCCTTCATGATCAACTTTTTCAGCTCGCCGTATCGACCGTGTCTGGCGAACGAGAAGAGATTTCGAACCTCTGAAATTTTGAACGGCGAGCTTGGCACGAGCATTCTGGGAATCTTTGGCTTCAACTCTGGTCTCTGCGCCGATGACTCGCTGGAATTCGCCGTGATCGGCGGGCTGAGTTGATTCGACGGCGTCAACGCCAAGTCGCGCCCGCGGCGTCTCGCCGCGTCCTCCGTCGTCGCGCCGACGTTCGCGTCGGGCGAGTATTGATCTCGCGGAGCCTCTTGCGCGTGGGTTTCTATCGGCGCTTGGGCAGAATGTGCGTTTCTGTACGCCGAAGGAAAGCCTACTCGTCTCCTGGGCGCCGGTCGCAAATCTTGCTTGGACATGACGTACGGATTCGGCTCGACGCGCACCGGCGCCGCGGGCAGCTCCGGTGGTACCCTCTTCGTTTCGGGCGCGAAAACATCATCGCGCGCGCGGGAAGGTTCCAATATCGATTTCGGCGCCACGCTCGCTCGCACTTCGGGCGCGGTCGGTATGCCGAACGCGCTCTCAATCGATTGCGCGGCGGTCGCCGAACCTTTATTTTCCACGATGGCGTTTATCGCCGCTCCTAATCCCCTGGGAGGTGCGAAGGGATCGGATATCTTTTGCGCTCGCGGCGCGACACTTAGTGTTTCTCGCGCCGATCGCCCTGCGGGCTCAGCCGGCGCGGCGCGCGCTCGGCTTTCCCCCGAATCGCTCTTCAAACTCGACGATTTCAACCGCCGCAAGAGAGCGTCGTGCGGATCAAACGCCCGATCCGTCGCTCCCGCCTCGGGCGCGGTCGATTCTACCGGCTCCGGCGCCAACTCGCTCATGAGCGCGGGTTTCGGCGCCAGCGCCGCCATGCTCACGCGCCCCGAATCCGTCTTCGCCGCGACCTCCGCGACGTCTTCGCTCGCCCGCGAAACCGACGCCTTCTTCGTCAGCGACCCTCTCACGCGACTAAACGCGCTCGCCCTCGCCTCGCCCTCGTCCTCACCCGTCACTTCCCGCAGTCCCTTCCCCTCCGGCGACGTCGTTCGATAATCATCCGCCTCCTCGTACGTCGCGCTCTCCTCCTCGTCCGCCCCCGGCCGCAGCCTCTCCCGCGTCGTCGCCTCCGCCTCCGCCGCCTTCGCCCGTTCCGTCTCCAGATGTCGTTCGATCGCCGTCCGCGTCGCCGCTTCCGTCTTCGCCGACGCCTCCATCTCCGCCTCCGCCTCCGCGATGTCCCGCGCCATGTCCCGCTCGAGCTCTCGCGTCGCCTCGTCGCGCGCTCGCTCGAGCGCCTCCGCCGCGCGTCGCGCCGCGTCCGTCCCCTCGTTCGCTCTCTCCGCCCGTTTCACCGCCGCGCGCGCCATCGCGAGCTTCGCCTCGTGCACCGCGCGAGACTTTCGCGCGTACGTCGCGTACTCGGCGCGTATTCGCGCGACGGCGTCGTCGCGCGTCGTCCCATCCGTCCCCGCGGCCGCGTCGAATTCGATTCGATTCATCACGATTCGTGCCGATCCGCGCGTCGCGCGTCGCGGTGTGTCGGACATCGCGACGCGGCGTCGAATCGAATCGTCGCGACGACCGAGACCGCCGACGCGCGACGCGCGCGAGCGCCGGCGATGCGCGCGAGCGCCGGCGCGGACGACGCCGGCGGTCGCGCCGCCGACGCGACTTCGCGCGAGGGACGCGCGACGCGGGAGATCGCGTTTCGGAATTACGTCCCGAGGGACGGCGCGCTCGCGGCGGCGAAACTTCCCGCGACGACGGCGCCGGCGCTCGACGTCGCGGCGGCGAGGGACGGCGACGAGGGCGCGGTGACGCTGGGACTCGAACCGAACGTCGGGGACGTCGATCCGGGGATGGTGGCGCCGAGACGGGCGAACTGGGATCTCAAGCGAGACGTCGAGGCGAGGCTGGAAAAGTTGGAGCGACGGACGCGAAGGGCGCTGGTGGACGTCGCGCGCGAAGAGGCGCGAGCGCGCGCGGCGATGGACGCGTGAGAGGCGCGCGGGCCGACGCGCGAAGGGCGAGAGGGACGCGGCGACGGCGGGCGAGATGGGTCGTCGCGAGACGGGAGACGACGATGTTAGCCGGGAGGCGAGGGCGACGAGCGACGAGCGACGAGCGAGATATTTTTAGAACGGCGCGCGCGGCGCGCGGGCGAGCGCGCGAGATGGAGGCGTCGGAATCGCGCGAAGACGAGGCGTCGATGCCGCTTCCGGCGTTCGCGGATGACGCGAATAGGGCGTTGGCGAGGGAGATCGAGGTGCGCCGAGGTCGTTCGCGCGCGCTGGTTTCGGTATTTATTCTTTCATCGTAGGAACGCGCGCGATGCGTCGAAGAGACGAAGCGGGAGTGCCGCGAGCACGTCAAGCGGACGGATGTCATGCGCGAACACGCGCGCGAGGTGATGAAGGAGATGGATGGCGTGCGCGAGCGCGCGCGAGGCGCGCGCGAGGCGTTGGAGAGCGAAAAACATTTAGCGCTCCTGGATCGAGCCAATCGTGAGCGCGCGGTGAGCGCTCGCGCGCGGTACGAAAAGCTTACTACGACGCAGAACGAGCGATTCGATGAGTACTCAAGGCGCGCTGAGGCGTACGAGCGAGCGCTGAGTCGATTGCGACTGCGAACGGAGAACGCCGACGTCGTTCGCGACATCGTTCACGACCGCCTCGCTGACGAAGAACGTGACTTGGACGCGCTTCGCGAGTACGAAGCGGAAGACGACCGCGTTTTGAAGACGCTCGAGGCGGCTTTGAGCAAGGTTTCGCACGAAGTGCATAAAAGTCAATCAGACGCCGAGGACGCGGCGTCGACGCGCGCTGCGCTAGCGGGAGAATTGCAACGCGTTCAAAAGTCGTTAAAAGACGCCCACGCGAGACAGATTGAGTTGAACGAAGAGCTTGCAAAGGCAAACGTCACGCTGAGCGATCGGCAAGGATTGATCAAGCGGACGATGCGCGTGAAGGATCAGACGTCAACGGCGCTCGAGGACAAACAAGCCAACTTGCGCGAGCTCAAGGAAACGGCGAAACGCATAGAGCTTTTGAATAAAGCATCACAGTCGAAAGTCACGGTGAAGGAGCAACTTTTACGCCGTAAAACCGAAAAATGTCAAGCGCTCAAATCCGATCTCACGAGCTCGACGCAGGCTCTCGAGACCGCGACGCACATGCGGCGCGCGGCGGCTCGCGGAGCCGAATGCGCGAAAGCACGCCGGTGCGAAGCCGAAGAGACGCTCAAGGCGCACTGTTACGCTCGAGATGAAAAGTCACGCCAGGTCAACAAGGCACAAAAGACGTTGGACGACGAATGCGCGGCTTTGATGACGTCAGAGCGCTGCTTGCGAGAATTACAAGAAGCCCACGACCAAGAAGAATCGACGCTGCGGGACGTGCAAACCGCGCTCGAGCGCGATAAAGATGATTTACTCGACGTCTCAAAAACACTGCACGATCAAAAGAATTCCCAGTGTCGACTAGAAGTGGAGCTAAATGGGGCGATGATGCAGAGCAAAAACTTGCGCGAAAAGGAGCACGCTTTGCAGGCGAAGATTCTCAAGCAGCGCGAGTTGATTTACACCACGTCGTTGCAGCTGCAGCATCTCGAACGCAAGACGTCGCGATTGGAAGGCGTACGATCGAATGAAGAAAGCGAAAAGCTGGAAGCTCTGATTGAATCGTTGAGGCTCGAGCTGGAAGAACGTGAGCGCGAACACGTCGCTCTCGTCGCTGAAACCAAGGAGAACGAGTACAAGGTCGAGCGCACCAGGTTAGAGATGGACGCGCGATGCGAGCAGACGTTGAACGCCGCGCACGCGAGAAGCACTCTAGAGGTCGAAGCGGAGGGAAGCGAGAGACACGAGCGAAGCGTACTCGATGGCATGGAATATTTACAAGTCGAGCTCGACGAGTTACGTTTGCAGCTCGCTCGTCGTCATCGCGTACTCTTCTTAAGCTCAGGGCAGGCTCAAGAGCTCACCGATCGCAAGAAGCAGATAATCGGTGAGCTTGAGACTCAGTATGAATCACTGAGCGACGAACACAGGTCGCTGTTGGCGCATCTCACGACCCTGCAGCAAGACGCACACGCGGCGATAATGGATTTGAACCATCGCGAGCAGCGTCTCGACCACTTACGAAGCCGTTACGATGTCGTTCGAGCGAAGTCGCCGTACGGGGAAGGCGTGGCAATCGACGAACAAAAAGACATCTATGCCATCATAGAACGGCAGCGCGATGAGCTCGTAGTCGAGCGCAAGGAGTTGAGTGGGCTTATCCATTCCGCCGAGTGTGAAGTTGAATCGATGCGTCAAATCCTCGAAGACGCCGAACTTTCGAATTCGAGTCTTCGCGCGAAGCTCGTGCATCCCACGAAAGATGTTAAAGGCGCTTCGCGTGAGGAATGGATGAAAACCGAGGCAGCGTTGGAGAAACTACAAACCGAGAACGATGCGTTGGTGCGTATGCGCGAACGCGCGGCAGAATTATCAAACGCTCTCACAAAACTCAAGACGACGCTCGCGAATGCAGTAGATGAGCACAATGCTCTATCGAATGATGTTGATGCCGCGCAACACACACATGATTCCGCGATGCGGAAGTACAAGTCTCAGAAATCCAAGCTGCGAAGGTCCAGAACCGCCGCCGAGAGTGCCGTCGCGGCGTACCGCGCCGCGATCGGGCTTACCTCGGAGGATCCAGTCACGGTCGCGGAACAGCGCGTTCGCGCGCAACGATTGAAGGAGTCAATTCACAAAGCGAACGAGATCGTGCGCGGATCTGTGACGTCGCAAGCCCTCAAAACTGTTCCTGATTCAGACGCTTCATCCATCGCGCTCAGCCCGACGAGTTCGCTCACCTCCTTCTTCACCTTCGCATCGTCCACGACGTGCTCGAGCGTCGCGAGCGTGTCTAGCGTGTCTAGTAGCCCAACGAGCGCGGGTTCGTCCGTCGTCGTCGCTGACGCATGAGCGTATAGTGCTCACATCTTTCGATGGTTGTTATGAAAGACGAATTTTCACCTTCCAGCAAAGGAAAAACGCTCCAAACGAACGCGGTCGTCATTATCACGCACGACGCAAACGACGCCGCGACAATCGCGCGCGAGAGCCTTCCGACACCATGGCGCAAATGGTACGTTTGGCAACGCGCTCGTGCGCTCGTGCGACGCTGCGCGCGCGCGCCGACATCGCACGCGCGCGGTGGTGTCGATCGCGTGCGCGGGTCGAGCGTTTTTCTCGTACTTTTCCACGCGCGCGTCTCGTGTGACTCGACTGACGCCGCGTCGGCGACGCGCAGGAGGCGATCATGAAAAAACGCCAAGACGCGATCTCGGCGGCGTACGAGGCGCAGTGGAACGGGGGTAAGGGCTCGCATCATCCCGATTACCGCCCCAACGCTTCGGGCCCAGACGTCGTCAAGGCGTCTCGCGAGACCGAGGAACTCTTGATGGCGATTCAAAAGAACGACTTGAAACTGATTTATAACAAAATTGAAGAGGGCGCGGACGTCAACTTTGTCTTCGGTTCGGCGTATGGTTGCGACGAAGGGTACACGCCTCTGATGAGCGCGTGTCATCGAGGACGGTTGGAGGCCGCCAAGGCGCTGCTGCGGTCGGGTGCCGATCCGAATTTCATCAACTCGAACGGCGACGCGACTATATTTTGGGCGATCGACGGTGGTCCGGAGCTCGTCAAGTTACTGTACGACTACGGCGCAGATTTGAACGTGCGAACGGCGAAGGACGCGACGCCGCTCTCGTACGCTCGAGCGATGGGCAAATACGGGCTCGTCGACGAGAAGGGCATTTATCCGGAAGATGTCTTGAAGTTCTACGGTGCAAATGAAATCGGAAGTGAACCACCGTGTCATGGCACTCGCTCGCCGCGAGAATCGTTCGATATCTCCGCATCAAACTTCTCGCGCGATCGTGGCAGTTACCAAAACGAGCCCGAGCACCCGTAGGCACCGACTCGGTCTCGCGCTTTCAATCAAACGCACCTTCTTCGTCCACAAAAACGTTGAGCTCGTTTAACACATCACGCGCGGTAGCGGCTCGTTCGTAATCTTCGTCCAGAACAAAGTTTTCGTACGCCAACATCCAGAATCCAGGCGAGCGATCTCGAATCGATCCGGGAAGGGCGCCATCTATCATCCGAGCGATCGCTTGCGAACCCGCGTTTTGACTCCGCAGCCGATTCACAAAGTCATCGACAGTATCACGTTTGTTCATTCGCAGCGCGCGTTCCTCGCGAACAGAGCACGCGAGCATGACTCTGAGGGTTAATACGTGGTCGAGTACTCGGGTTTCTCGAGAGATCAAGGTGTGAGTCAAAATCCAAACCTCTTCATCCTTACGCGCCTTACGTTTCAGCACGATCTCTCTTTCTGCGCGATAGACATGTGACGCGAGAAGCGCACCACCGAACGTGAACGCAGCGCGTCGCAAGCACGCCATTCCGGGCGTGTACGTCAATCGCCAGGAACCGTCAAAGCACAAGCGATCCACCGCACTCGAGCTCAAGTACAACGCCGGTGACTGGCGCGGATCGATCGCCTCTCGCAACGCCTGAAACACCGGAACGTTCGATTCGTCGTACGTGTCAACGTCGCTGTCCGTCATCAGCGCGCTCGCCAAGACGGGGAGCTTTTTCGAGAGCTTCGCTCGCAATCCGTCGGCGTCGACTGAAATCGAGCACGTCAAAATTTGAGGAGCGAGCGTCCAATCCCGGCTCGCGAGCCCCCCAGATCCCTTGCGCTTACGACGAAGCACGTGCACGATTCGCACCAGCGCCCGTTCATCGCTCTCCGTCTCCGCGAAAATCGGGAACACTCTATCGGACCCGTCGATCACTCGCAGCACGAGACTTCTCGACCGCGCCTCCACGCGGTCGACGACGCAACGCGTCCACGCCTCTTCCTCGCCCGCTCCCGCGCGCGCCGCCTTGGACGAGAGATACGTCCTGTTCAGCGTCCGCGCCGCGTCGTCGCGCGGTCCCACGACGGCGACGTCTCGCGCCGCGCGCGTCGTCTTCGTCCCGGTCCTCATCCGTCGGCGTCCGCCTCGCGGCTCCACCGCGCACCGCGGTCCCCGTCCCGCCCGCGCGTCGATCGCGACGCGTCGCATGTTTCGCTCTCGCGCGCTCGCGCGTCGTCGCGTCGCGCGTCGTCGCGTCGCGTCGCGTCGCCGCCGCGCGCGCGCGACCGCGCGCGTCGACGCGTCTCGACGCGCCGAAAACGTCGTTTCGTTTTCATCGCTGTTTGTATTTTAAAATACGCGATGCACGCGCATCACGCACTCGAGACACTCTGAGAACCATCACCGCGTGATTTATGTGAACGACACACGCTCCGCCGCGCGATCGCCGGTCGCCGGTCGACCGGAGACGGCGCGCGCGCGTCGACACACGCGCGCACGGCGTCGCGCGCGCGCGACGACGCGCGGGACGACGCGCGGGACGCGCGCGCGTCGATCGCCGACGCCGACGCGGCGAGATGTCGCGGTACGGCGTCGATGAAGCGATCGGCGGACTCCTCGACGACGCGCTGATCGGCGTCGATCGTCGCGCGCGCGCGGTCGAAGCGGCGTCGGTCGCGCCGACGCCGCGCTACGGCGGGTCGCTGAGCGAAGACGACGACGACGTGCCGCTCGCCGCGCGCGTGGGCGGTGGGAAACGAGCGAGAGAGCGGGAAGAGACGAACGGGGTGGGACGGGGACGCACGGCGTGGGGATCCTTCGTCGCCGGACAGTTGCCGGGACGAGCGGTGAGCGAGACGTTCGACGTGGACGAAGAAGGACGGCGCGTCTCGACGGAAGCGCCCGCGGGGTGGGATGAGCTGTGTCGGAAGGAGTTTGATGGGAAAAAATCGGCGCGGCGCGCGGTCATGGACTGGTATTGCTCCACGAGCGCGTGCTCGGCGCGATTGATCGTCGATAAGTGGCAGGAGAGCAAAGTGCGGTACGTGTTGCGGTGCTGCCGATCGTTGCCGAAGAGACAAGATAAAAACAACGCAAAGTTAGTGCAGCAGATACAAAAACGGTGTTCGATGGCGGTGTGTTTGCGATACAACAGAGACCAAAACTGTTGGCTCGTCGCCGAAAGCGAGAGCTCGCCGCGACACTCAGCCTTGTGCGAGGACCACGTTCGCCCCAACGTGTCCTCCGCGCTGTTCGCGCAGCATCTCGATGGGATCGAGAAGGTCCCCATCGAGTTCCGCGCCGAATTCGTAGCGCGGCGCTTGAAAGAGAGCGGTCTCAAAGTCACTTCGGGTACGAAGCAGCGCGCCGTGAGCCTCGCGCTCGAGCGCGCCGAACGAGCGTCCGCCGACGCGCCGCGCGCGTCGCTCGCGTAGCGCTTCGCTGTAATATTTCCTCGACGCACCGTCCTATCGCCTTGATAATCAACGAAACGTAGTCACGCCCGGCCCGTCGACGTCGCGCGTCGCCCGTCGCCCCGTCGCCGCGCCCGAGACCGACCGCACAGCGCGACGTTCCCCCACGCGCGCCATGTCTTCGCGTCCCGGCGCGGCGTCCTCCGACTCGGACGCCGACGACGACGCCTTCGTAAAATTTGTCCGCGAGCACGTGTCGAACGCGATGCGCGCGCGACGCGCGTCCGCGAGCGACGACGACGACGACGCGCGCGCGCGCGACGAATCGCGCGAACGGGAAGACGAAACGAATGTCGACGAGAATGACGACCCAGTGACGCCCGTGCGGCTGAACGACGCGCGAGCGACGACGGTGCGGTCGGAGGCGGAACGCGTGATGTCATCCGCGCGGGCGTCGGCGCGGAAAATGCGCGTGGAGACGGAGACGAGCGCGTCGAGGATGAAGATGAGCGAAACGGCGAGACGCGCCGAGGCGAGCGCGCGAAGGTTGGCGACGACGATGGCGACGACGTCGGCGACGAGGAAGAGTTTGGTGATGGTGGGAGACGGCGATGATGATGACGACGTGCGAACGCCGGTGAGAGTCGGACACGGGGGGATTGGGACGTTGAGGTCGACGCATATGATGGAGGACGCGGAGACGCGAGCGGCGAGGCAAAGGGAGACGACGACGACGACGACGACGATGACGGTGCGAAGGGCGTCGATGACGCCACCGCAGGCGTTGAGGATGTCGTTGATGTCGCCGAAACCGCCGACGACGGTGAGAGTGGCGTCGTCGTCGACGATGGATGTGGACGCGCGCGCGCTCGTCGTCGCCGGGGGAATGAACGCAAAAGCCGTCGAGTTCGAGGTGGAGCAACTTCGCGCCAAGGTGACGGCGATCCAGCGCGATCTTGAGGCGATGGCGATCGAGAAACAAACGTGGCTGAACGAGCGCGTGCGCATGGGTGCGATGATTTCTGCCACGGAGGAAGACCTCAAGACGACTGAAGCGCGAATGTCGAAGACGGAGAGCCGTTTGATGGCGATGACGAAGCAACGCGACGAGGCGCTGGACGAGACTGAACGCTTGCAAGAAGCACTCGCGAACGCGAGGCGCGAGCACGAGTCGGCGCTGAAGGCAGCTGGCGAAGAGTATGCATCAGAGTCGACCAAGCTAGAGTTTTCCGTGCGGGATTACTCGATTAAAATTGAGCGCTTGGAGATGTCACTGCAAGAGACGGAGACGAAGATTCACGCCGACGAGTCGACCATACAGAACTTGGAGGCGAGTCTGGCGGCGTCTGCAACGGATTTGAGAGATGCGAACGCCAAACTTGAAAATTATCAAGTCGCACAGGCCACGATGGAGGGCGAAGCGGAAAATTTCAAGCTCGAAATCGCGCGTCTCAGCGAGGCGTTGGCGACGAGCGAGGAGAAAATCGTCGCCGCCGTGGCGGAGTTCCAAGCCCAACAGACGAAGCAAAACGAAAAATCGAGCCAGTTTGAGATTTTAGAGAGCGAGAACGCAAGATTGAAAGAAGATATCGTTCGTCTGAACGAGACCGTGACGATGACGAATAGTACGATGTTGCAGAAGGATGCAGCAATCGACGCTGCGCAGGCAGAGACAGAACGCGCGCGCGTCGAGCGAGGCGAAGTCGCGGACGAGGTTATAAAGTTGCGCGCTGAAATCATCGCGCGAGAGAGCGTGATCGAGAACGAAAAGAGGATAAAAGAAGAAACTATCGTTGCTCTCGAGGACACTCGCGCGGCGTTGCAAACGAAGACTTCCGAATGTCGAAACTTTGAAACTGAGCTGGAATCGTTGAAGGTTGAAATGTCCACGCTTCGCATCAAACTCGAAAAGGAGAGCAAAAAGGCGATGACGACGGAGGAAAAGTCGGAGTCAGCGAAGGAAGCCTTCGCCGCGCGTTTGGCTGCGGCGGCTGAGAAACAAGCAGGATTCCAAGGAAGAATGCTCGAAATGAAATCAAGTCTCGAGGCGGAAAAGAAAAAGCTCGAAGCGCAAGCGCGCGCTGAAATCGAGAGCGGCACCGCGGAGTTGAAGAGTCTTCGGCAAAAGTTGGCCGAGAAAGAAGCCGCGTACGAAGCCGTCTCTCAGAACGCAATTCTTTTCGAGGAAAAGCTTGAAGTCACTCTCGAACAACTGAGCGAAGCGAAGAGCGCGCTGTCGGATTTGAAGAGTAAGCTCGCCGAGAAGGAATTTTCCAATGTCGAGTTCTCTCACCTGAACGAAGAGCTTCAAGCCGCGAACGCTAAACTAAAACTCATGGAGGTCGAACGTTCAGAGCACGTTTTAGAACTTAAGAGTGCGAGAGAAGAAGTTTTGTCGTTAGAAGGGAAAGTAGCGGGCTTGGAAACCGCCGCAGATTTGGCCGGATCGGAGACAGAAGAGCTGAGAAAAAAGCTGCACGTCGCTGAGCAAGAAATTTCATCGATGGCGGATGAGCACGAACTTGAATCTTCCATGGCGGCAAAGGCTAACATGATCGCCAATTCGCAAGTCACAAAGTTGGAAAAGCAAGTTGGCTTTTTGAACAAGGAGATTGAAATTTTGCGAGAGAAACATGCGTCCTCTGCGAAGGTTGAGCGCGACCGCGACTCGTCGTCCGCCGTCGTCGCTGAATTGCATAGAAAGTTAGAGGCGGCTGAAAGTCGAATAGTCGAACTCGCCAAGGAACTGGGAGAGTGGAAGGCGAGCGCAGAGGAGAGTAAGAAGTCACTGGACGAAAGCGAGCGGCGTTTGAAGGCTGAATGCGAAGTGCGAGTCACGGTGGAGACTGAACTCGAAGAAGTGCGACGTCAATTTGCCGCGGCGGAATCTCGAGTGTACGAAGTGAATACCGAACTGCTTTTGCTGAACAAAGAGTTGGAAAAGGAAAAAGTCGCTTCGAAAACGCATTCAAAGACGGATGCAGGCGAGTTGAGGGAAGCCAAGGCTTCGCGCGATGCGGCGTTGGCGAAAGTGAAAGACTTGACCATAGACTTGACGAAAGTCACCGCCGAGCGAGATTTGCTCCAGCAGTCAATCACGAGCATGGAGAAACGTTTAGAACTTGAACGCTTGGCGTTTGCCGCGCAAGTGAAGAATGCTGTGAAAGATGCGGTGCAGTCGAAGGATAAAGAGATGTTGGTGATTCGTAAAGAGCTTGATACTATTCGACAAATGTCTGCGAGCGGCGATCACGCCAGCGAGGCGTTGAGCAAAGCGCTGGACGATAAACAACACGAGTTATCACAAGCTCGAGAATCAATTTCCGAGCTTCGAGCCAACTATACGAGCTTGCAGCATCAATTAGAGCACGCGAACGAGTTGCTCGCCACCGCTAGACGTGACGCGTCGATGACGCAGGAGGGCGACTACGACGAATTACGCAAAGTACGCGCTGAGCGAGACGAAGCGAAGAGCACGATGCGCGACTTAGAGTCGCAACTCTCCGATGCCGTCGCGGCGAAAGTTTGGCTGGAAAAACACTCCGCCGCGACGGAAGCTGAATTGAAAGCGTCCAAGGAAGCCCTGGCGGCGGCGAATAAGATGAGCGAACACGCTCGGACGCAGCTCGCTCGCTATCAAAATAACAGCCCTTCATTGATTTCACCGAAGAAGAGCAGATCGTTTGGGTCGCCACTCATGCAAACGCAGTTGGCGTCTCCGTTAAAATGGTTCTCTCGACAAACGAACAGAACGGTGGCGCGCACGCCGCCAAACAACTTGTTCAATAAGTTCACCTTGGCGACGCCGACGGCACCGACGCGAACGCCAGGTGGTTCGTGGCGCGTGCCTTCGCGTCCAGAGACACTCAACGAAGCCGTACAAATGCTCGTCACGTTTTTCATCATCGTTTCGGTCGTCTTGCTGTTCCTCACCCTCACCGCGATGTTCGCCCCGAACGAAACGCTCAGACGCATTTCAGTCTTACCGCCGAGTGATTCGACGTCGTGCGGCGTGCTCTATCGCTTCAACGATTTACTCCTCGAAATCGGACACGGACTGATCCGTCGCGAGTATCGTTCGCTTTGCGCCGGGCACCCTCCGAGTTAGTCGGTACAACAACGTTGTTAAAATACAAAATCCCTACTGTACCCCTACGTCGTCAGTCTATGAAGTACAAGTCGCGCTTCAGCTCCATCTTATAGCACAACCAGCACAAAAACTTAAACGGCACCTCCGTCCCTCCCTTCTTGAACACGTAACACTTCCTCGGCACGATCACCTGCACGTGCGTCTCCTCCAGAATGTCCCTCACGAACGCCGCGTGCAACACTCCCAGCGGCAGCAACAAACAAAACGGCACCTCCGCGTCTCGCAGCGCCTTCAATATCCGTTCCTTCATCCCTTTCCCCGTGTACGGCGGATTATCCACCACCGCATCCAGCGACCGCACGAACACGCCGTCTCGCACGCGTTCAAAGAAATCCGCCCGTCTGTGCACCACGCGTTCGAATCCCGCGCTTCGCATCCGCCGTCCCGCGTCGCCGTCGTACACGAACGGCGCCCACAATTTCTTCTTCGCGTACCCGTTCCGCTCGAGCACGCCGAACAGCGACGCCCACGTGCGCTCGCTCGTCGCCCACTCGTCGTCCGCGCGCGACATCGCGCCGTCGGCGGCGCCGTATCGTCCGAACGCGCCCGCGCGCGCGACGACCGCGTCGTCATCCTCGCCGCTCTCGTCCGCGCGCGCGTCGTCATCCCGGGCGTCCGCGCGCGCGGCGGGCGGCGGCGGCAGCCTCGCGCGCTTGCGCTTGGCGCGGTTCTTCGCCGCGGCGCGCGACGACGCCGACGACGCGACGTCGCGCGGCATCGAGTGCGGCACTTCGCGTCGTGCATGCGACGACGCGCGCTCGGCGCGAGCGTCGCGCGCGCGATCGAGGCGTGGCGCGCGATGCCGGCGGGCGCGCGCGCGGCGAGCGCGGTCCCGGCGGCGCGCGCGCGGTGCGAGCGACGCGAACTCGGGACGCCGCGCGCCGATTCGATTCGAACGAGACGCGCGCGTTACCGCGCCGGCGCGCGCGCGCGCGCGATCGGTGACGCGCGAAGCGATGACGTGGACGATGGAGAGGCGCGGCGCGCGCGGGGAGGGGACGGAGGCGCGAGCGCGAGCGGACGAGGGACGACGCGCGGGTTCGCGGCGAACGGCGTCGAGCGGTTGAGCGCGAGCGAGGCGGCGCGCGAGTTGGCTCGATTGGACGCCGAGCTCGCGATGCACGATGGAAAGTATTACAACGACGCGGAACCGGTGATAAGCGATTCGGAGTACGATGGGATGCGGGCGAGGTACGATGCGATCGCGGCGGCGCATCCGACGGCGGCGAAGGCGGGCGGCGCTCGCGCGCGCGTGGGGGCGACGCCGGACGGAGCGAGTGGGCTGGAAAAGATCGCGCACGCGGTTCCGATGCGGTCGTTGGGGAATGCGTTCGACGTGGGGCAGGTGGAGGCGTTCATGAAGCGCGTTGAGAAGTTGAGAGGGGAGACGGAGGGCGAGGCCGCGACGACGACGGCGATTGAATATTGCGCCGAGCCGAAAGTCGACGGCGCCTCCGCGAGCTTGCGATACGAGAACGGTGAGTTGGTGTACGCGGTGTCGAGAGGGGACGGTGAGATGGGAGAAGACGTCACGCGACACCTCATCGGCGCTCGGGGCGTGCCGATGAAGTTGGCGGAGCCGTACCCGGCGGTGTTGGAGATTCGCGGCGAAGTGCACGTGGCCGATGAAGATTTTCAACGAGTGAACGCCGAGCGCGCGGCGACTGGTTTGCGCGTCTTCAAAAACGCTCGGAACGCCGCGGCGGGAGCGATGCGAACGCTCGTCGTCGACGATAATCAAATGCCGTTGCGTTTTTTGGCGTACGGTTGGGGCGCCGTCGGCGCGTCAAACGAGGAGACAAACGCTCCGTGGCGGACGCAGAGCGAGTTCTTGAGTGCGTTCTTGCCAGCGCAAGGCTTTGACGCCGTACCATTTTTAGGCGTGGCGAAAACCATCGGCGAGCTCATCGAGGCGTACGATGCTTTAGAAATAGCTCGCCCGACGATGCCGTACGAGATAGACGGCGTCGTGTACAAGGTCAACTCGGTCGAACTTCAAACCGCGCTCGGCGCGGATGCGAGGCAACCTCGATGGGCGATAGCGCATAAATTCACAGCGATGAGCGCCGTGACGACGCTTCGCGCCATCGAAATTCAGGTCGGGCGCACGGGCGCGCTGACGCCCGTGGCGTTGCTCGATCCCGTCGACATCGGCGGCGCATCCATCTCGCGGGCGACATTGCACAACTTTGATGAAATCGCTCGTAAACATCTCAAGGTGGGCGCACAAGTCACCGTTGAACGCGCGGGCGATGTCATTCCCCGCGTCGTCTCGCTCGCTGGTGATGATCTCGCCGAGGCTTCGGCGTACGCCGAAGACATCAAGCCGCTCCCAGAATGGCTCCCTCCGTCCAAGTGCCCAGATTGCGGATCATCCGTCGTGCGCGCGCCTCTTTCGGCGTCGAAAACCGCGATGGGCTCTATCGTGCGATGCACTGGTGGCTTGAAGTGTCCTTCGCAATCGATGGAACGCCTGTTGCACTTTTGCGCGAGAGACGCGCTGGATATTCGCGGGTTGGCGCGCGGCACGCTCGAGACGCTGCATCGCGAAGGTGTGGTAAAGACGCCAGCTGACATCTTCACACTCGAGCGAAGATTCGGTCCGGATAGCGGTGACGCCGTTCCGACGTGGTGGCGATACGCCGGTGTGAAAAACTCCAAGGGTGAGATCAAACATGGTTCCGACGGCTTGAAACAGAGCGCTGTCAAGTTGTTCCAAGCCATCGAAGTGCGACGCCAGGGCGTGCCTTTGCACCGATTCATCTACGCTCTCGGCATTCCGAATATCGGCGCACACACCGCAAAAGTCCTCGCGACGCACTATGGGAGTTTGGCCGCGTTCAAAAAAGCCGCCCTCGCCGCCGCCAAGGGCGGTCCGGCGAGTTTAGCGCACGCCGCGTTGACGCACGTCGACGGGGTCGGTCCCGTCCTCGCGCAATCTTTGGTCGACTTTTGGGGCGAGCCCGGCAACGCGTTCATCGTGGATGAAATCATCGCCACGGGCGTCGTCGTCCTCGACGCCGACGCGTCGTCATCAAAGAATCAACCGTCTCCGCGATTCGCCGAACCCGCGTCGTCGTCGTCTGTGTCGCCCACCCCATCGCCGACGGTCCCATCTCCCGAGCCCACCGCCGATCTCCGTGGCATGAAAATCCTCTTCACCGGCACCATCGACGGCTTCTCCCGCGACGACGTCCACGACCTCATCCGCGCCGCCGGCGGCGACGTCGCCTCGACGCTCTCCCGCAAAACCGCCCTCGTCGTCGCCGGCGTCGGCGCCGGTCCATCCAAGCTCGCCAAGGCGCGCGATCTCGCCGTGCCCATCGTCGACGCCTCTCGATTCGTCTCCGCTTTGACCTCCGGTGACGGTTCTTTACCCTTGTAATCCACCCTTCCCACGGCCCTCGCGTCGTTCGCCCGCTCCGCCGCTCGCCGCGCTCGGCGACGCCTCTGGACACGTCATCGCGTCATCGTCGTCATTCCGCGCCCGTCCGCGCCGACGACTCCCGCCATGGGTCGTCGCGCGCTGCTCCGAACGCTCGCGCGAGAAACCTCGCGCGCGCTCGCCCGCGCGGACGTCGCGCGCGTCGCGCGCGCGACGCGCGACGTCGCGAACGTCGCGAAAACGAATGGATTCGCCAAGCCGTTCGACGCGAAAACCGCGACCGCGGCGACGCTGGCGACGCGCGTCGCGATGCGAGGATTCGCGGCGAACGCGGGGAAAGGCGCGAACGCGTCCGCGAAGGCGCAGGGGACGAAAGGGAAGTTTGCGGCGATGAAACCGCGCGGGAAAGGGACGAACGCGAAGGCGAAGGGCGGCGAGGGCGAGGGCGGACGCGCGAAGGATGGCGCGAAAGAAGGCGCGGAAGCGCCGAAGACGCTGGCAGAGCTGATGCGAGGACCGAGTGGACAACAGATCGCGAGCTTGGCGATGCTGGCGGTGGCGATGAGCTTGCTGAGCGCGACGCGGAGCGACGCGAGGGAGATTTCGTTTCAAGAGTTTAAGACGAAACTGCTGGAGCCCGGGCTGGTGGAACGCGTGGAGGTGTCGAATAAGAGTCAAGCCAAGGTGTACGTGAAGGCGCCGGGAGCGATGATTCGAAGCCGGCACGGCGCGGGCGATGAGTACGATTCGAGCGACATCGGGGCGCCGCCGGGGGCGAAGACGGAGGGAGGGTACAAGTTTTATTTCAACATCGGAAGCTTGGATTCGTTCGAGCGCAAGTTGGAAGAAGCGCAAGAGCTGAACGGGCAAGAGTCAAAAGATTTTGTGCCGGTGACGTACGTCAATGAAATATTTTTGCAGACGGAATTGATGCGGCTGTTGCCGACGCTCTTGTTGATCGGGGGATGGTTGTATTTCACTCGTCGAAGCGCGGGTATGGGAGGCATGGGCGGCGGCATGGGCGGCGGCGCCGGTGGGATCTTTAACGTCGGTAAGGCGACGGTGTCGACTTTGGACAAGAACGCGAAGAATAAAGTTATGTTCAAAGACGTCGCCGGTTGCGACGAGGCGAAGCGCGAGATTATGGAGTTTGTTGACTTTTTGAAGAGTCCGAAGAAATACGAAGCCCTGGGCGCGAAAATTCCCCACGGCGCGCTTCTCGTCGGACCGCCGGGGACGGGAAAGACGCTTCTCGCGAAAGCCACCGCGGGCGAGGCTGGGGTCCCGTTTCTTTCCATTTCTGGGTCGGATTTCATGGAGATGTTTGTCGGCGTCGGCCCGTCGCGAGTTCGCGATTTGTTTGCCCAAGCGCGTCAGCAGAAGCCGTCCATCATTTTCATCGACGAAATCGACGCCATCGGTCGTCAACGTGGTCGCGGTGGCTTCGCAGGAGGCAACGATGAGCGCGAAAACACGTTGAATCAGCTTTTGGTTGAGATGGACGGTTTCGGTACCAAGGAGGGCGTCATCGTGTTGGCGGGTACGAACAGACCGGATATTCTCGACAGGGCGCTCCTGCGTCCCGGTCGATTCGATCGTCAGATCACCGTCGATCGTCCCGATATTCAAGGTCGCGAACAAATATTCCGCGTGCATCTGGCCAAGATTGCCTTGGACGGACCAGTGGATCACTACAGTGAACGTCTCGCCGCGTTGACGCCCGGCTTCGCCGGGGCGGACATCGCGAACATGTGCAACGAAGCTGCGCTCGCCGCGGCGCGTGATAACATGACCACGGTAACTCTCACACACTTCGAGTACGCCGCCGATCGCGTCATCGCGGGTTTGGAGAAGAAGTCGAAGGTTGTGAACAAGACGGAGCGTCGCACGGTGGCGTATCACGAAGCCGGACACGCCGTCGTGGGGTGGTTTTTGGAACACGCTGAGCCTTTGCTCAAAGTGTCCATCGTTCCGCGCGGTTCCGCGGCTCTAGGCTTCGCGCAGTATCTGCCGAACGAGAACCTTCTCGCCACGACGCAGCAGCTGATCGATATGATGTGCATGACGCTCGGAGGCCGCGCCGCGGAGCAAGTCATGCTCGGAAAGATTTCCACCGGGGCGCAAAACGATTTGGAAAAGGTCACGCAAATGGCGTACAACACCGTGGCCGTGTATGGCATGAACGAGAAGATCGGGTTGCTTTCGTTCCCCAAAGACGAGCAAAGCTTGAAGTCGCCGTATTCTGAGGACACGGCGAGAATGATCGATGAAGAGGTTCGCCTGCTCGTCGACACCGCGTACAAGCGCACGTTGGCGCTCGTGAAGGAGAAGAAGCACCTCGTCGAAGCCATGGCGCAAGGCTTACTCGACAAGGAGGTTTTGCAGCGCCACGATTTAGTTAAACTTCTCGGCGATCGACCCTTCGTGTCTGAAAACCCGCAAAACATTGATATTTTGAACGAAGGCTTCAAAATGCACTATCCGAAGACGGCAACGGCGCCAGAGGACGAACCCGCGGATACGGACGAGCCGGAGGACGACGAGCCCAGTCCGGCGTTTCCACTCGCGACTTAAAGAACGAAAGGAACGGATTGTTTAGTAGAAGAGATTTCGATTGTACCAATAGAGGTCACCACCGTGTAAGCATCATCACATTTCATTCACTGTTACAACTTTTTCATCGCGGCGCGTCCGCCGCCGCGCCTTCCTCCTCCTCCCCCTCCTCTTCTTCATCAGACTCCGCGCGCCTCGCACCAGGTTTCGGCACGATGACCTTCACTAACCACTCGAACAACCCTCGCGCCCGCTCGCGTTCCCCCGCCGCCGCGCGAAGCTCGCGTTCGCGAGCCTCCGCTCGTAACTGTCGCGCTCTTCGCGCCGTCTTTCCTCTCGTCTCTCCCGCCCCCGTCTCCGCCCCCGCGCCCGCCTCTCGCACCACGAGCTCATCGAATCCGGTCCTCTCGTCCAGCTCGCGATCGAACGCCATCGTCGACGAGCTTCCGAGCACGATTTCGCACGTCGTGAACACGACGTTGCCCTCCAGCACGTGTCCCCCGACGCAGTCCCCTCGCCTGTCCGCGAGCGAGACGTGCAGGTGACAGCTCGCGCCCGCGCGCGATATCGTTCCGACGAGCGAGCAGATCTCAAACTTTTGATCGGGAAGCGCCAGGACGGCGTTCGCGCCGGCGCCGAGAAACTTGTCGTGGTGGGCCAAGCGGATGTTGGCGGCGCGCAGAGAGCCGACGGCGGTGAGAATCCACGCGCTGGCGAGGTTCTGCGCGCTGCAGTACTCCAACAGGGACCGCTTCAAGTCCTGACCGGGGTCGAGGCGCACGGCGTGGACGCGCATGATCGGGGACGCGGGACGCGAAGTGCGGCGAGCGCGAGCGGGACGCGGTTCGACTGCGGTGAATCACACGTCGCTAACACGTCCGACGGACGTCTACGGGTATGGCGTTTATGTCGTCGTCTAGAATCGCGCTCGAGAGCCAGTCGGCGAGAAGGCCGTGGTAGATGAGACCGCGCGCGCCGAGGCCGGCGGCGAACCAACATCGGCGGCCGTCCACGTGGACGGATCCCGCGAGCGGAAGCGCGCCGGCGTGCGTGCGCGGTGGATTGGCGCGCACGCCGTACTTGAGACGCAAGAATTCCCAATTCGCGCACGGCGGGTACGCGCGCGCGCCGAGCTCGCGAAGCTCTGAAATCGCGCGCGCGGATCGTTCGTCGTCGACGTCGTCCACGACGCCAGAGCGAGCGCAATCCTCGGGCGTGGCGTCGTACTCTTTCGTCGGACCGATCATGGCGCGATCGTCGCCGAGCGGTGCGACGTACGTGGTGCCTAAAATGCCCACGCTCAGGCCCTCGGGCTTGAGCTCGAGCACGTGCCCGCCTTGCAACGACACCGGGATCGTTTCAAAGTCAAAGAGCGCGGCGACGCCGGCGCCGCAACACAGCGCCACTTGATCGAATTCATCCAACAGCGCCTTCACATCGTCGACCTCGGCGATGCGCAACGTCGCGCGCGTGCCCGCCGCGCCGCGCGACGCGAGTATGCCGCACGCGTCCCAGAGCGCGGTTAAATATCTCGGCGCGTCCACGACGACGCCGTTCGGAACGAACATCCCGCCGGCGCACGCCTCGCCGTTCCTCTCCGCCTCGATGACGTCGCTCGTGAACTCCAACCCCGGACACATCGCGACGACCTCGTCCGTCGTCACGCGCTTCACCGCGAACGCCGCGTCGTCGTCGTCGTCCCCGCGTCCCGCGTTCGCCGCGAAATCCCTCCCCTGCTTCGCCGACCTCGCCGGTCGCACGATTCCCGGCGCGCTCGCCACGCGCTCGCCCCGCCGCTCCCCCGTGTTCCTCCCCGCGTCGTCCCGCCACCCCCCGTCCGCGTCATCGCTCCTTTCGGCGCCCATCGCGTCCATCGCGTCCTCCGCGCGCGCCGCCGCGTCGAGCAACCGCCTCGCCCTCGCCGCGCCCTCCTCGCCTCGCCAGATCGTCTTCCCTCGCGGCGTGTACGGATGCAGCAGTCCCGCCGCGACGCCGGACGCCCCGCCCCCGACGCCCGCGCCGTCGATCAGCGTCAGCTCGACCGCGCGTCCCCGCGCGTTCGCCTCCTCGAGCGTCCGAAACGCCGCGGCGACGCCCGCGAACCCGCCGCCGACCACCGCCACGCGCGTCGCCTCCGTCGTCGCGCGCGCCGTCGCGCGTCGCGTCCGGTACTCCGTCGCGCGTCCGATTCGCGTCGTCGCGCGCGCGTCGACGACCGCGCGCGGCATTTCGCACGCGCGCTAGTCCCGCTTCGCGAGCTTAATCGGCGGCTGCCTCGCCGCGCGTCGCGCGAGCGCCAGGCACGCGACGAACACGCACAGCACGAACGCGCACGCGACGCCCAGGTCGCGCGTCGCGCCGCCCGGTCGCGCTCTTTGTTGCATCGCGCGCGCGATGCAGTGCGGCGCCAAGAGTCCCGCGCGACGTCTCGGCAGCGGCAGAGCGCGCCGCGGGACGTCGCGCCGACGCGCGACGCCGCGTTCGACGCGCGCGGCGATGGCGTCGCGCGCCGCGGCGCGACCGCGACGCGCGACGCGCGCGCGCGGCCGACGCGAGGTCTCGACGGCGGCCGCGCGGAGCAAAGGGCCGCACCGACGCGCGCGGGGACACGTCGCGCCGAACCTGCGCGAGGACGTCGCGGTGACGTTCGTCGTCGATCGCGCGCTGGACGAACGCGCGGGCGAGCGCGGCGTAAGGGCGTGCGGGACGGCGGAGGGGTTGGGGCGGTGGGACGCGAGCGAGACGAGGGCGCGGTTGCGAGCGGGAGGGTCGGGCGATCGAAATCGACACGCGTGCACGGTGAGGTGCGAGCTGGAGGAAGAGATAATATTTAAATTGGTCACCGTGGACGAGGAGGGGGAGGTGGTGCGATGGAGCGATGGAGAGGGGGTGCGATTTACGCCGCCGAGGCGGTGCGCGAACGCGGAGGTGCGGTGCGAGTGGCCGAGCGACGACGCGCGGTTTCAGGTGTCGATATCCATGGTGACGGATATGAGCGTGAGTGAAAATAAAGTGGAAACCGGGGGGGCGTGGTTGGCGTACGGGAACGGGAGGGAGGATGCTCGGGATGGGAAATCGGCGCGGCGGGACGGCGGCGCGGCGGCGGCGACTTCGGAGAGCGCGGACGATCGAGCGGACGAAAACGCGGATGAAGACGATGACGGCGATTTCGACGACGTGTTGGATGCGTCGATCGATCGGAGCGTGGATGAGGGCGACGATGAAGTCGAGACCGGGACTCGCGGCGGTTGGAACTCGGCGGATCGCGACTCGTACCAACCGGGCGACCACGTGGCGGACATGACGGGCGGTTTAGACACGGAAATCGTGTACAACGCGGCGAACGAAGAAGACTTTGGCGTGAGGATCGCGATTTTAGAGGAAGGCGAGCTCGTGGAGCTGTGGCACGAACACGGCACAGAGCCCGGTAAGGGTATGCGGGTGGGAGACATTTACATGGGCACCGTGAGCAAGGTCATCAGCGGAATGCAGGGCGTGCTCGTGGATCTCACGGGTAACGGACCACCGTACGCGTTAATGCAAAAGGGCATCGAAAACCCCGCGCTTGCGTGGCGATTGAACAGCCCCGTCGACGACGCGGCGAACGTGTCATGGGGAGGAATCGAAGGCGCGGAGAAGGTCGCGACGCTCGCCTCGAGCGACGACGCCGGCGCGGCGACGGGAGGTCGCAGTTATAGCCGAAGATTAACTGCGAAGAGCACCACGGCTGGAGCGACGGGCGGAGTTTGGCGCGGTGCCGGTGGTCGATCGCAGCGATCGTCGAGGCTGGAAAATCGCCCTAAATGGATCCGATGGACGCCCGACGTGTGTGAGGATCCGCACTTGGCGTCGGCGACCGAGTCCTCGGATGAAGACTCAAACGCGACGTCTGAAGACGACGAAAGCGAGGACGGCGCACAAATTGACGACGACGAAACCGACGAAGAGGCCGAGGTCGTCACCGCAAAGTCGACGCGTCGACGTCTTCGAGAAGAGTGCTACTCGATGTGGCAACCTGGACAGCCCGTCGTCGTGCAAGTTACACGACTTGGTAGTGGGTACAAAGGTCCGCGAGTAACGGCGCGTCCGACGCTACCGGGGCGAAATGTTGTACTTTGTCCGGATGGTGAAGGCGTGTACGTGTCCCGTAAGCTCATGGGGCGAGCGCGAAAGTATGTGAAAGACGTCGGCGCGACGGTGTGTCCGAAAGGGAGTGCGTTGATTATGCGCACGGAAGCCGCGGGCGTGAATCAAGACACGCTCAAGCTCGATATCGGTTGCCTCGCCGAGGACTGGGATACAATCGTCGAAGAGTCCGAGCGCGCTATACGGCATGCCGAGTTGACGCTGAGACCTCCTCCGCCTCGGCGTTTGTTACAAGCCGCGTCGCGCGAGCAAGTTCTCGTGCGCGACTTGTTCGGTGAGCGCGTAGCGAAGCTCACCGTGGACACTGAAGAATCGTACAAAACCATCGTAGACGATTTGCTTCGTACGGGTGCTTCGCAAGAAATAATAAATCGCGTGGTGTTGCACCAAGGCGCCGAGCCAGTGTTCAAGGCGCTCGAAGTCGACAAGGTTATCGAGACGATGATGGGGACCGAACGCATCTTCCTTGGGCCGGAACTTTCTGGAGCTCACATCGTCATTCAGCACACGGAAGCACTCACAGCGATCGACGTCAATGCCGGCAGAACGGCGATGGGCGCTGGAGAGGATGGTGAAGAAGTCGCCTTGCGGGTAAACATCGCCGCTGCTGAGTTGGTGGCAAGGACGCTGCGCCTACGCGACATCGGTGGTCTCGTCATGCTTGATCTGATTGATATGCACACAGATGATGCTCGCAAGGCGGTCGAAACCGCTTTTGAAGCCATCGCGTCTCGTGATCGCGCACAGGTTGTCTTTGTACCTATATCTGCCCTTGGAGTTATGGAAGTTGCTCGTGAGCGGCTCCAAACGCACGCGCTCGGCAAAGCCGCCGTCGTCGCGGATGAAAAAGGCATGCCCATCGAGCTGCCGACAGATTCACAGTTTACGAATGTGAAAACCTCGCAAGGCCAAAAAAAGATTCGTAGCGTTCGCGGTGCTCGACCTCCGCCCTGGGTGGCGGGTGCAGGTCGAGGTCGAGGTCGCGGCCGTGGGCGAGGCCGCGGTCGAGGTCGAGGAGAATTCTTGCGCGAATCGAGCGAAGATAGAAATTGAAGTGCAACGCAGTGGTGCGTACGCGCAATCGTTAGATTCGGTAGTTTGTATGTACTTACATTGACTATACATCTTTGTTCGATCAGTTCGATGATTTCTTCGCGCTTTTCGTTGGAAGGTGCTTCGACTTGGGCAACGTCGATGCGTTTTTCTCGTGCCAGTCGGGTGCGACTTCGTCCTTGTAATTGTAGTCGAACAGTAATTCATCGCCTGGTTTGATGTCTTTGTCTGATATCAGCGCCAGTCGATGATCACCATTCACCGCGAGAACGCGAGGCACGCAATTCGGGTTCTTCGAGTGATTGGCAAAGCGCAGTTTGTTCCCTCTGTATTGAGCGTCGACGCACCATTCGCTGTTGAGATTGAACAAGTACGAGCAGTTGTTGACATCGTACACCGTTCCTCGACGTTCGGCTTCGTCCTGAGTCACGAGTTCGCCGACGTATTCGCCGATGAACTCTCCTTTCCGAGCGCCTTTCAACACGAACGCACCCCAACCGGCAACACCGCTTCGACCCAAACAAATGTGCTCCTTCTGTCGAAGTTGTAGCTTCATGTTCTCACACGGAAACGCCGGCATGGGCAGTTGCATGTTCGGATCGACGAGGCCATACCTTTTACGAGCGGGCAAAGAGTACGCATCAGCGGTCTTGCAACACCGTTTACATTTATCTGGCGTGCATTCGCGACCGGCGGCGTAGCACGGACACGTTCTTGTGCCGCACGTTGCGCGCTTCGTACTGTCGCACTTGCAACCCTCGAACTCGTTGTGACACTTCGGTCCACAGTTGCAAAATCTCTCACAAAAGGTACCATTCTTAATGCAGGAGCACGTGTTAGCGTCACAAGCGCCGACGCATTCGCACGGGGAGTATTGCGTTTCCAGAAAATCGGCATCCTTTTGCATCTTCAATCGTCGCGCAATTGTTGGATTTTTGACCCCCGTCGGCGCGCGTTTGCGCTTCTTCGGATTACTCAATTCGTCGGTATCTTCATCCATCGCGTCGCGCTCTTCTTCCTTCACCACAGTTCCAAGGTTGATGAGATCCAAACAGTGCATTTGCTTCCCGACTTCGGCGCACGTGCGACGACGGCCAAAGAACAACGCTGCCTCGCACGCCGTGGTTTTCTCACCGATTATTTTGACAGCCTTCTTCAAGACTTCAATATCCATCGCGTTGCGCCATTTCCTCGTCGTCTCGATGAACGGATCTTTCGTCGACGGACGATTGAGAGTTTCTGTGGGATCGCATGGTGCGCAGGTTGTCTGCGCAGAGTAGTACTTGTACTCTTCTGTTTGATACCAGCAATCTGTCGAACATCGTCGCTCAGCTAACGGCTTTTCCGCAGACATGCCGCTCTTTGCCATGCGCTCGCGCCATGCAAGCTTTCTTTCCGCATCAAGCTTCCTGCCTTCCGACTTGGGCTGCAACGACCCGTGCGTTCTGCAATCAAAGATGAAGCATCGCGGACAAAACATGCCGGCGAGCTGATCCATGGCTTCGTTGAGATTGTCAAACACGATGACAGGCTTTTTCAACGGAGCGAGCGTCGGACAATTGATGATGATTCGCGAAAACTTCCGCCAGAACAATTCGCTGATCCCGAGAGTTTCGAGAACGCTGAATGTGTTTGCCATCTTCGCGCGCCAATGCGCCGAGGAGAAGCCCATCAACTTGCGTACGTGCGAGGCAACTTCGAGAAACATACACCATGCACGGCTCGTGCTGTGCTTCGTGCGCGTCTCATCAAACCAATCCTTGACTTGGTTTTCGTCCAAGTTCAAATATTCGGCTGTTTGTACCACGACGGCTTTCACGCCGTCTTCGCGATTCACCCCTCGCACGACTTCTTTTTCTGTCAAAATGAACTCGCTAAACTCCGCGCATATCGCGCACATGATGATTTCCTGCTCGCGAGTGAGCTCATTACTCTCGTCTTCGCGCCGATCGACGGGATCTGATTCTAAGAACTCTCCATCGTCGTCCCTGAAGAGTAGGCGCGAGACGTTTCCTTCCGCCTCGTACGAGTTGCAGTGCGTCGAGTACGCAAAGTAAGCGTAGGGCGGCACCGCCTTGGCGCTACCGATGTCTATTCGAGGTACAGATTGTCGCCCTACTATTGTTTGCAGCTTCCAGCCGCTTACATCGGTCGGATCACTCGAATACGGCCGTTCGGTGCGCTGCGTGAAAATCTTCGTATTCCTCGCGCTCGACGCGCCCAGGTGCTCGCTCGAGATGCGCTGCCAAAACGGCAACTCCATCGCGACGGGTTCCGACGTCGACGGCACGTCATCGTCTATCGTCAGTTGCTGCGCTTTCACCACCGCCGCCGCCCAAAGCTTAGTTTCCTCCCGAAAAATCCTACGCGCGCGCTTCGCCGCGCTCCTCGTCCTCGTCCGCGCCTCCGCCGCCGCCGCGTCCGCGTTCTGAAACACCCTCGATCCCACCGTCGCTTCGAGCGTCTCCATCGCCTCCATCGCCTCCGTCCGTCTTCCCTCCAACCCCTCTCGCATCGCCGCGCAGAACTCGAGTTCAAAACTCACCGAAACCTTCGCGTCGTCGTCGTCCTCCGCCGCCGCCTCCTCTCGCGGCCACGCCTTCTCGGGCGACTGCAGCACCTCCGCCACGCGTTCGATCCGCCCCGACCCCGACGCGCGCGACTTTCCATTCTCACCCGATCGCGCCGTCGGCTTTCCATCCCTCGCCTTCGGCTTCGACGTCGGCAAACCGTCGTCGAGGATCTTCACCGCCTCGGCGTCGTCGCCGCGCGTCGCGTCGCCTCGCGCGTCCGCCGTCGCCGTCGCCGTCGCCGTCGCCGCGCGCGGCGCCTCGACGTCGAGCGTGAGATCGACGACGTCCAGCACCGCCGCCGATCGCGCGCGCGCGTCGTTCGCGCTCGCGCGCGCGCGCGCGGTCGCCGTCGCGTCGGCGTCGTCGGCGTCGATCGCGCCGTCGCGCCGTCGCGTCGCGTCCGCGCCGCGCGGCGACGCCGCGCGCGGCGCGCGCGCGGCGCGCGTCGTCATCGCGCGCGCCGCGCGACGGCGACGCGCGCGCGACCGCGACGCGACGGCGACGCGGCGACGCGCGGCAGTGTGCGCCGCGTCGCGTTCGTCGATGCGGCGCCGACGCGGTCGCGCGCGCGCGCCGACGCGGCGCTACGACCCGACCGCGAGCGACGACGACGACGGCGCGCGCGGCGCGCGCGGATCGGGGCGCGGCGCGCGCGCGCGCGCGACGGGAGGACGCGCGCGAGGCGGCGCGCGAACGAGAGACGAGACGACGCGACGGCGCGGACGACCGAGGAAGGACGACGACGGACGCGCGCGAGCGAACGAGGTGCGCGAACGGCGACGGCGACGCGCGGAAGAGGCGAACGAGGCGCGAGAGACGCGAGCTCGAACGCGGAGCGTGGAATTTGGAATTTGGAATTTGGAATTTGGAATTCGAAATCGACGGCGGACGCGAACGCGCGAGAGAGAGGTGGACGCCGCGCGAAGACTGACGATGACGCGCGATGCGCGCGCGGATAGTCGCCGTATGCGACGGTGCGCTCGCGGATTCAGTCGCAGTTTGCGATGATTCGAAGACATCAGTCGCTGTTGGACGCGTACGCCGGCGACGGGTGGCGCGGGGCGGCTTCGCAGAAACCGAAACCGCTCGGCGAGCTGGCGTTGGCGCGAGAAAAGATTTTTAAGGGTAAAGTGAAGATCAGAGAGTTGTTTAAGGGGTTAGAGTTCGATCCGAACGAGCGCGAGATCACGACGGTGGAGGATGAGCTCGGGGAGACGGACGCGGCGGATATATTTTGTAGCAAGTGCGCGATGGCGGACGACAGGGAGGAGGACGATATTTTGCTTTGCGATGGGTTTTGCGATCGGGCGTACCATCAGTCGTGCGTGGTGCCTGCGGTGAAGACGGAAGACATTCCACCGGATGACGAAGGTTGGCTGTGCCCGCTGTGCGACGCGCGAGTGGACGTCATTTACGTTCTCAACGACGAATACGAACAAGACTTGGGGCAAAAGTGCGTCGCCGAGGACGTGTTCAAGGCTGAGGCTGAGATGCAGGAGAAGGGCATCGTTCCCGGAACCGCGCAGTTTGCGCACGCGCATGAAGAGGCATGGCCGAGTGATGAAAGCGAGGACGAAGACTTCGATCACGGACGCGCGAGCGACGACGGGCGTGATGACGAAAACGAGGCGCTGAGCGGTAGCGCGCGCTCGTCGAGCGAAGAGTCGAGCAGCGAATCAGAGTCCGATCTAATCATCGAAGGCCCGCGGCGGCGAACTAAGGTGGATTACGTCAAATTAAACAGCGACATGTTCGGCGACGACGAGGCTTACGAAGGCGAAGCCGAAGAGCTCGGATGGAAAAGGTCCAACAAGACAAAGGCGGAGATGCTCGCGGCGCTGCAAAATAAAAACGTCGGCTCCAACGCCGCGACTTCTTCGCCGAAAACGGGCGACAAGAAGAGACGGAAGGATAACTGCAACGATAACGGCACCGCGGAGAAACGCCATCGCGCGAGAGCGCGCTTTAGCTCGGAACAAAAGGCTACGCTCGAGCGTTTATTCCAAACCGGCACCCGCGTGCCGAAGTCTTCAGCCCTGGCCGAAATCGCCGCCGACGTCGGCGCGAGTTCGCCGTCTTCCATACGCATCTGGTTCATGAACCGCAGACGAAAAGATCGCACCTAGTGACTCACCTCACCGACCGACCGTCGACCGATCGACGCGCACGAATCACGATGTAACGTTCAACGACGTAGCGTACCGCGCCGCCGCGGGTCTATCCCCCGTCGAGTCCCAAACGTAGCGTCATTTCTCGTCGCGCGTCGACACTCGCCCCGATGTCCGCTCGCGGTGCGGCGGTGCCACACCTCCACTACTTCAGCGCCTGGTTCTGTCCTTTCGCGCATCGCGCGACGCTGGCGTTGGAACATCATCACGGTCACCTGACGTACGACTGGGAAGAGGCGCTCGGCTGGGAGAAACGCAGAGCCACGGACGCGAGCGTCGAGACTGCGCACGAAAACTGGTACCACTACAAATCACCGACGCTGCTGAAACACAACCCACTCGGGATGGTGCCGACGCTCGTGTCGCCGGAGACGTATAACGCGAAGCGAGGCGACGCGACGAAGAACGTGGTCACGGAGTCGTTGGTGTGCGTGCAGTTTATCGACGAAATCGTGAGGGGAGGGACGACACCGATCATGAGTAGCTGTCCGTACGAGCGAGCGCGGGCGAGAGTGGACGCGGATTGGGTGAATAAACAGATATGCAGCAAGTATTATCACGTGCTGGTGCGTCAGAATCCCGCAGAGCAGCGCGAGGCGTTTGAGGCGATTATTGAAGGGTTGGAGAGGTTTGCGTCGTGGTGCGACGAGAATAAGAAATCACCGTTTTACTCCGGCGAGGCTCCTGGATTGGTGGATTACGCGTTGTTCCCGTGGGCTTGGCGGCTTCCGGTATTTGAACACTATCGCGGAGCCGACTACGCGATTCCGAAAACCGCCGCGCTGGCTTCATATCACGCGTGGTTGGACGCGATGCTGGCTCGCGAACAGGTGCGTAAAACGTTGCCCGATTGGGCCGCGTATTTAGAACACATCGGTCGATACGCCGATGGGAGCGCCCGCTCGAAAGTCGCAAACGCCGTACGGAGCGGGCGCGCGGCTCACGAATACGACGACGAACTTGACGACACGAAGAAATAAACTACTGTATTATGACAGAAATTTCAATTTACGTCTTCGTCTCCGTGACGTTGCTTTTTTCATCAACCGCGGTTTGATCTTCAACCTCCTTTTCTTGTTGATCGTCTTTGACCGTCTCGTTTTCGTCGTGCGCTTTCTTTCGCGATTTTGACCGCAGGGATTTTCCCGTCAGGCGCGAGGTTGTGCGTACAAGCAGCCCTTTACGTTTAGCCACCGCAAGTTTCGTTCTCGTGAGACCGACTTGAGCTCTCGTAGTCTCGCGTTCTACGGATACGTACAGCTGTGCAGCGATACGTTGCTGCTTATAGATGGCTTTTCGCGACGCGAGCACGGCCTTGTTCGCCGCGATATCGTGAGCCGTTCGCTTTTGCGCCACGTTGCCTTGCTTTTTGAGGTGATCCAAGACATCGGCTTCCATCTTTGCCATGAGTGAATCGTGGATTTTAATCTGCGCTCGCAGCTGACGCTCGGTTTGCTGCATCGCTCGAAGCAAGTTTTCACACTGCATATTTTTCACGTTCTCTTCTCTCTCCAAGGCTCGTGAGATCCTGAGGCACTCCTTATTGGCGCTCGCGAGCTCGTTTTCGTACTCGAAGCGTACGCGTCTGAATGGGTTCAAAGACGGAGCGACCGCGGCCTTCTCTTCTTGCTTCATGACGAGTAATCGTTCGACTATGTCGCGCTGCAGTGCAAATTCGCGCTCCATCGTGGCCTTTCTCTCAGCGAACGTTTTCTCGAGGACGTTGATGTCCTCCTCGGTTTGCACCTTTTCTTCTTCATACGCTCTCTCGAGAGCGATCTTCTCATTCTTCATTTCATCCATCTGAACGGCAAGATGCTCCTCCATTTTCGACGTTAAATCGCGCAACGCCTGCTGCAAATTATTTCGCACGGCCTCTGCGGTGGACTTCTGCGCCAAAGCATAGTCGACGGCCGACAGTACTTTTTGAGCGAGCATGCTTTGCTTCTTAGCGTCGATCTGTATCACCTTCAGGCTCTTCATCATGGCCGAGGCGATGGGTTGAAACTCATTGAAAACGTCTGACGTTTCGATTATGCCACACAAATCTGCACACCACGAGGCGAAGCCATCCATGAAGGCAACGGTGTCATCATACACCACCTTGGCTTCTTCTGGCGTGATCTCTCCATTGAGATTGAGACTGAGTTGATTACGAATCTGCTCGGCGAACCCTCTGAGATACTTGACGCAACCGAAATGTTTGAACATTGGAAGCCAGTCGCTGATGCACTGCGTCCTAACTAACTCCATCTGCTTTTCATGTGTCTTCAGATCTTTGATGCACGATTCGAAGCACTCCGTTGTCAATGGTGGTTCGTCCGGAAGGAAAGTAGGGTGCTCCCTCTTGAGGCCACTGAACAGCTCGCTCTGCGTCATACACCACTGCGCGTGCGCATCGATGACGCTCGCACAGTGATGGAGCGTGGAAGATACCTTTTCGAAGTCATCACGTTCGTTCGCTTCTAGTAACGGAACGGCTGATGAAGATAACTCGTCTGAAGTTGCACGAAGCTCGGAGTCGCCGAATTGAGAAGTTATGGCGCTCTGCTCGCTCAACAACTCGGCATGTCGTCGTCCAAGAACGGCTAAATCGCTCACTAACTCTGCACTCGCGTATACTTCAAGCTGTTCGTTGACTTGTGCAACGATGCAATCGACGATGTGCACCTTGAAAATTATGTGCATTGCCGCAGCGTTCGGCGACGGCTCTGACTCTTGTCGTGCGGCGACGTAGCGTTCGTCCTCGGCCACGGAAAGTTTCGACAACTGCGCCTCGAGAGCGTCTATACGCTCCTCTACAGCAGGCCCAACAGGTGGAGGCATCGGTACAACGGTATTCACGATATGTGCCATCTGATTCGCCACTTCATACAAGGCCGTGATTTGCTCCGTGTAATCGATACCCTGACCTTCGGTGCTAGCCATCTCCGACTTCAAAGTGTCGATTCTAGTCAACATAGCTTGACGCGTGATCTCTATTCTCGCCCGCGCTTTGCGCCGTGTTATATCAAAGTCTGCCTTGAACGCGAACAAGCTCACGACCGCACGTTTCTTCGCCATCTCGACGAGTCGTTCACGAACAATCTCAATGCATGCTTCGGGTTCCTTGTCGATGTCCATCTTTGCGCGTTTGACCGCGACGCGTTCCCCGACGAATACGATGATGCGAATAGCGAGTAAACCCGTGATGATGGCAGTCATAAGACCAGTCATCATCTCGAGCGTGAAACTTTCCTGCACGATGCCGTCAGCGTCTCGCTTAACTGGCCATATCATCGCCAAGGCGGGCGTCACACCTTGCAGGAACGCCGCCATAGTTTCGACTTTGTTCAGACAATTTGACACCTTAAAACCGAAGAAACTCAACGTGATTATTCTCCAAGGTTGACAAATGTAGACGAAAATGCCGAGGAACCAGTGGATGAATACAAGGCCCCAGCCACTGAGAGGCGAAGCGCTGATGAAGGGCGAAGTCATGAGAATGACACCGCTCTTCTGGCATAATTCCACCGAGAGGTAATACACTGAGAACCGATCTTTCCAGCTCATCTTTTTCACGCGCTCGCGCGCTTGCGCAGACGGAGTGCGCTGCAACATTGACTTACTCATAGATAATACTTGAGCTAAGCGCCCGTCTTTTGACTTTCTTCCTTTACCAAAAACTTTCTTCTTCCCGAGTTCAGGGTTGAAATCTTCACCTTGCTCGACGTCGTCAGTGGGTCCATCGGTAGTTTCCAACGAAGTGCCTTCGTTTGGTTCCTCAATATCTTGTCTGATATCGTTTTCAATTTCATCAGCGACACGCTCAGTTTCGGTATCAAACGTCGTTTCTTCGCGATCGTCTTCATCGTCGCTACCGCGAGGAATAGATCTCGAGCGAACCGTCGTTTGTCGAAGTCTGGCAATCTCCAATTTGTGCGAATACGTAAGATCTTCTCTACGATATATATCGTAGAATGGACCGTATGCGTCGATGGTTTGTGGATCATCTAACTTCCCCGTATTTGAAAGTTTCCGCACTTGTGAGATGACGTAAATCGGCATACCGATTCCGACGATGGCCAACATAACCGCCGCCGCCGCCTGGATTGTCACATGAGAAGTACTCTCGCAATCGATGTCGATGTCGTGTTCTAGACGCGTGCTCTCGATACCGTCTATTTCGAGACAGTCGAAAGCCTGGAGGCACATACGGACTATGGGCAGGTATAACACAGTCATGGACAACACGCCAAAGCTTCTGAGGGAGGCTCGGAAGCGGTATTGCCTCTGCAATTCCTTGACAATTTTATCTCCTCCTTTGGATTCGAACGTGCGCCTTATGCCCCACAAACGACCCGGTCTTTCAATCCAGTATACCATCGCACCTCCATCGCGCCGTTCGCAGTGAATTGAACGCACTGTTCGTTCGAACCGTCGCCTTGATCTGAAGTTGTTGAAGACGATGATGAAAAAGATAAGTGCAGGGACAACAAACACAGACGCTAGGAAAATATTGAGCCAATTGAGACCAGTAGCCACGCACTCTGGTCTCAGAAAGTCGACGCTGAACGTGAAAGCTTCCAAGTACTTGCCGAGGTTAAGTACCGGGCCAGGCCATTTGATGTCCATACTCAGCGAAAGCGAAAAAAACTGCAAAGATTCGATAATCTTCTTCAAGTTGTTTGTCGCTTGAGGGCCCATGACTTGCGAAGCTTTGAAACCAAAGAACGCCAGAACGACTACAAGCGTAGCGGCAGCGAAGAGTTGACCTGCCGAGGTCCCAGGGCACTCAGTGCACGTTTGGCCCGTTTTGTAGTAACCCGCTTTGGCTAGAGAAGCTTCCAATCCGAGATCGACGATGTCTTGCGCCGTGTAGCAACGGTCGCACGCGTTGCCACCAGCACCAGGCGCGCAGCCGCGGCCTTCGGAGAGACATCGATCTGCGTAAACGCATTTCACGCGCGCGCAAAAATTGACATCTGGTAACGCGTACGTGCCTGCGGGATTGTTGCACGTACAGTTGTAATCTGGTGTGCCGATCGTAGACGGATCGTTGCACTGCCAGTTCTCAAAAGGCGCGCACGTGGCTGGATCGCAACCCTGCACGAGAACGGTGTTATCGATGGAATTCCCGTACGGTTCACACGTCTCCCCAAGAGTTCCATCTGGGTTCGTACCAGCGGCATCGTAGACACCGTTACCGCACGTTGGTGGCGGGGGTGGCGGCGGTGACGGCGGCGGCGGCGGCGCCGGCGTGTACCACGCCGAGGGTGGACCGTCGAGAGACGCGGATCCGTCTATACGATCACGCTCGTTTATCCATGCTATCGCATTGACAAACATTGACGTCACATTCGCCTGGGGCGTCTGCGATAAAACCCAACCGGTGATGTCGTGAACAAAAGCCGTAGCGCCCTGAAACATATGGCTCGCATCGGTGACCGCGGTGACGTTCCAACTGCCAATTGGCTGGTTGAACGCAGCCGCGCCGCTAAACATGTTGTCCATTCTCGTCACCTGCTCGGTATTCCACGATCCAATGTTGGCGTTGAAAAGAGTGGCGCTTTGGAACAAAGCATTCATGTCGGCGACCAGACTCGTGTCCCAGTTTGTGATCGGTTCGTACAGCGCGGCGCCGCAGTCGACACTGGGCGAGCACGTGCACGCGCCGGACGGAGCGCTGTTCAAGCAATTGGTCACGGCGGTTTGCAAAGCGGCCAAGTTGGCAAACGGAACGGGACCAGTCCAAGCCGACGCGGGACCATGAAAGCTGTTGCCAGGATTGGACGTGTGCTCGTACCTCGCGATCCACGCCGTCGCTCCAGAGAACATGTTGTTTGCGGAGGCACCGCCGGCGCCAATCCATCCGGTGATGTTCTTGTTAAAGCTCGTCGCTCCAGAGAACATGGAATCGAAGTTTGCCACGGCGCTGACGACCCAGGAGCCGATGTCCTGGTTGAACGCCGTGGCACCGCCGAACATGTTGTTCATGTTTGTCACCAACGACGTGTCCCACTGTGATCCCGACTTCGGGATGGGTTGGTTGAACGCCACCGCGCTTTGAAACATCGCGCCCATGTCCGTCACCAACGCCGTGTTCCACGAGCTGATGTTCTGGTTAAAGCTCGTCGCGCCGTTGAACATGTTGTTCATGTTCACCACCGACGACGTGTCCCACGAGCTGATGTCCTGGTTAAATCTCGTCGCGCCGTTGAACATGTTGTTCATGTCCGTCACCAACGCCGTGTCCCAAACGCTACCCGATGTCACCATACTATAATTGAAGAGCGGCGCGTTTTGAAACATCGCGCTCATGTCCACCACCGATTGCGTCACCCACGTGCTGAGGTCTTGGTTAAACGCCGCTGCGCCGAAGAACATGTTGCTCATGTCCTTCACCAACGTCGTGTCCCACTGTGATCCCGACTTCGGGATGGGCTGGTCGAACGCCGCCGCGTTTTCAAACATCGCGCCCATGTCCGTCACCGATTGCGTCACCCACGAGCTGATGTCCTGGTTAAAGCTCGTCGCGCCGTTGAACATGTTGTTCATGTTCACCACCAACGACGTGTCCCACGAGCTGATGTCCTGGTTAAATCTCGTCGCGCCGTTGAACATGTTGTTCATGTCCGTCACCAACGCCGTGTTCCATTGTGACCCCGACGTCGGGATGGGTTGGTTGAACGCCATCTGGCCGTTGAACATGTTGCTCATGTCTACCACCGACGACGTGTCCCACAGGCTCAAATCAGCGTTGAACGTGGTCGAGGTCCAGCTAGAACTGGACGCTTGGAACAACCCCGCCATGTCGTTGACACCGCTGACATCCCAATTCGCGATCCCCAACCCCTTGCCGTCCGTACACGAAGCTCCGGTGGGGGCGGCGGCGCCGCCCAGGCAGTACGAAGACGCGATCGTGTTCACGAGTTCGGCCTTCAACGTGAACGGCGACGCGTACGTACACGCCGTATCTCCTCCGGGCGCAACGTCACCCGCGAGACGGAACAGACCGCTAGCGCACGCCAAACACCCACCGCCCGAGACGTAATAATGGTTGGCGGGACACGCGCACGCCGTGTCAACTCCCTTTGCATTATCGCCCGCGGCGCGCACGCTCCCGGTGGGGCACGCCTGGCACGCGTTCGAAACCACGCGCTGGTTCGCCGCGCATAACTTGCCCCACGCGCTCGCGGGACCATCGGTTGTGGTTGAGCCCGCTGTGGTCGGGCCGTAGTTGTTGAGCCACGCCGTCGCTCCAGAGAACATATTGTCCGCGGAGGCACCGCTGGCGCCAATCCATCCGGTGATGTCCTGGTTGAAGCTCGTCGCTCCAGAGAACATGGAATTGAAGTTTGCCGCGGCGCTGACGACCCAGGAGCTGATGTCCTGATTGAACGCCACCGCGTCTTTGAACATGTTGTCCATGTCCGTCACCAACGCCGTGTTCCACGAGCTGATGTCCTGGTTAAAGCTCGTCGCTCCAGAGAACATGGAATTGAAGTTTGCCACCGATGACGTGTCCCAAACGCTACCCGATGTCACCATACCATAATTGAAGAGCGGCGCGTTTTGAAACATCGCGCCCATGTCCGTCACCGATTGCGTCACCCACGTGCTGAGGTCTCGGTTAAACGCCGCTGCGCCGAAGAACATGTTGCTCATGTCCTTCACCAACGTCGTGTCCCACTGTGATCCCGACTTCGGGATGGGCTGGTCGAACGCCGCCGCGTTTTCAAACATCGCGCCCATGTCCGTCACCGACGACGTCACCCACGAGCGGATGTCCTGGTTAAAGCTCGTCGCGCCGTTGAACATGTTGTTCATGTTCACCACCAACGACGTGTTCCACGAGCTGATGTCCTGGTTAAAGCTCGTCGCGCCGTTGAACATGTTGTTCATGTCCGTCACCAACGCCGTGTTCCACGAGCTGATGTCCTGGTTAAAGCTCGTCGCGCCGTTGAACATGTTGTTCATGTTCACCACCGACGACGTGTTCCACAAGCTCAAATCAGCGTTGAACGTGGTCGAGGTCCAGCTAGAGCTGGACGCTTGGAACAGCCCCGCCATGTCGTTGACACCGCTGACATCCCAATTCGCGATCCCCAACCCCTTGCCGTCCGTACACGAAGCTCCGGAGGGGGCGGCGGCGGCGCCCAGGCAGTACGAAGACGCGATCGTGTTCACGAGTTCGGCCTTCAACGTGAACGGCGACGCGTACGTACACGCCGTATCTCCTCCGGGCGCAACGTCACCCGCGAGACGGAACAGACCGCTAGCGCACGCCAAACACCCATCGCCCGAGACGTAATAATGGTTGGCGGGACACGCGCACGCCGTGTCCTCTCCCTTTGCATTATCGCCCGCGGCGCGCACGCTCCCGGTGGGGCACGCCTGGCACGCGTTCGAAACAATGCGCTGGTTCGCCGCGCATATCTTGCCCCACGCGCTCGCGGGACCATCGACTGAGCCCGCTGTCATCGGGCCGTAGTCGGTGATCCACGCTACCGCTCCAGAGAACATATTGTCCGCGGAGGCATCGCTGGCGCTATTCCATCTGGTGATGTCCTGGTTGAAGCTCCTCGCTCCAGAGAACATGGAATTGAAGTTTGCCACGGCGCTGACGACCCAGGAGCTGATGTCCTGGTTGAACGCCACCGCGTCTTTGAACATGTTGTCCATGTTTGTCACCGACGACGTGTCCCAAACGCTACCCGATGTCACCATACTATAATTGAAGAGCGGCGCGTTTTGAAACATCGCGCTCATGTCCACCACCGATTGCGTCACCCACGTGCTGAGGTCTTGGTTAAACGCCGCTGCGCCGAAGAACATGTTGCTCATGTCCTTCACCAACGTCGTGTCCCACTGTGATCCCGACTTCGGGATGGGCTGGTCGAACGCCGCCGCGTTTTCAAACATCGCGCCCATGTCCGTCACCGATTGCGTCACCCACGAGCTGATGTCCTGGTTAAAGCTCGTCGCGCCGTTGAACATGTTGTTCATGTTCACCACCAACGACGTGTCCCACGAGCTGATGTCCTGGTTAAAGCTCGTCGCGCCGTTGAACATGTTGTTCATGTCTACCACCGACGACGTGTCCCACAGGCTCAAATCAGCGTTGAACGTGGTCGAGGTCCAGCTAGAACTGGACGCTTGGAACAACCCCGCCATGTCGTTGACACCGCTGACATCCCAATTCGCGATCCCCAACCCCTTGCCGTCCGTACACGAAGCTCCGGTGGGGGCGGCGGCGCCGCCCAGGCAGTACGAAGACGCGATCGTGTTCACGAGTTCGGCCTTCAACGTGAACGGCGACGCGTACGTACACGCCGTATGTCCTCCGGGCGCAACGTCACCCGCGAGACGGAACAGACCGCTAGCGCACGCCAAACACCCACCGCCCGAGACGTAATAATGGTTGGCGGGACACGCGCACGCCGTGTCAACTCCCTTTGCATTATCGCCCGCGGCGCGCACGCTCCCGGTGGGGCACGCCTGGCACGCGTTCGAAACCACGCGCTGGTTCGCCGCGCATAACTTGCCCCACGCGCTCGCGGGACCATCGGTTGTGGTTGAGCCCGCTGTGGTCGGGCCGTAGTTGTTGAGCCACGCCGTCGCTCCAGAGAACATATTGTCCGCGGAGGCACCGCTGGCGCCAATCCATCCGGTGATGTCCTGGTTGAAGCTCGTCGCTCCAGAGAACATGGAATTGAAGTTTGCCGCGGCGCTGACGACCCAGGAGCTGATGTCCTGATTGAACGCCACCGCGTTTTTGAACATCGTATCAAAGAACTCGACTTGTGACGTGTCCCATTGTACTCCCGACGTCGGGATGTTCTGATTGAAACTCGACGCGTCGTGGAACATACCGCTCATGTCCGTCACCGATGACGTGTCCCACGTGCTGAGGTCTTGGTTGAAGTTTGTCTGACCTTTGAACATGGCGTTCATGTCGGTCACCGATGACGTGTCCCACAAACCGATGTCGACGTTCACAAAGCGTCCGACGGACCCGGAGTCGAACAACCTCGACATGTCGACGATGGCTGCGACGTCCCACGAGCCAATCGGCACCGGCGTCGCGGCGCTGTCCCTGCACGTCGCCAACGTTTCGTCGTCCGCCAGACACGCCATGATCGCGTTATCTAAATCGCCGCGCGACGTAAACGGCGACGTCGCCCCCTCGACCGCGAGCGTCAGACCCATCGCCAGCGCCGTCGCCAGCGCCGCGCCGCGCCGATTCGTCCCGCGTCGTCCCGATCCGCGCGTTCGCCTCGCCCCCATCGCGCGCGCCGCCGGCCGTCCCTTCGCCTCGCGCGTCCTTCCTCGCGCGTCATCGCGCGCGCGCGCGCGGCCGTTGTCGCCGCGGCCGCGGGCGATGCATTCGCGTCGCGCGCGCGTCGCGGCGTCGCGGCGCGTCCGCGCGTCCATCTCGCGACGGCGACGCGTCCCGTCCGAGAGTCCGCGGCTCGCGCGCGCGCGCGTCGCCGTCGTCGTCGACGGCGACGGCGCGGTGTGCGACAGGGCGCGGCCCGTGAACGGTTGACGAATCCGTTCGACGAGTCCTGAACCGTCGCGACGAGATGAGATTTGCACCGCACCGACGACTAACGGTCGATGAGTCGGTCGACGAGGGGGGTCGATCGACGCGGCGCGCGACGCGAGACGAGACGGCGGCGCGCGCGAGCGATGGAAAGGGGGCGCGATGCGTCGATTACACGCGACGTCACGCGCGAGCGACGCGACCGGGGAGGAGGCGACCGGGGACGAGGACGCCGCCGCGAGACGGGTCCGGCGCGAGCACGCGGCCGCCGCTCGCGAAATCTGGGACGACGAACACGTCGCGAAGATCCTCGAGCCAGGCGAGTATTTCTATCGATGCCGCCTCGGCGTCGCCCGCGCGCGCGAGCGCGTCGGCGGCGAATTCGAGTAACCGGTCGGAGAGCGCGGCGTGCGCGGCGGTGACGCCGCCGTCGACGGCGCGCGCCGTCGTCGTCGCCGCGTTCGCGGGATCGTTCGCGCGCCATCGCGCGTCGAACGCACCGGGCGCGATCACGCGCACGAGGGTTCCGTCGTCGTCCGCGGACGTTTCCGCTCGCACGCCGCCTCGCGCGTTCGCCTCGCGCGCGCTCGCCGCCAAACCGCTCGCGCCCTTCCCGTCGCCATCACCGCCTTCGCGCGCGCGCGCGCCCGCGCGCGCCTCGCGCGCCTCGCCGTCTTCCAACGCGTCCTCGCGCGCCATGGATCGATACCCATCGCTCGCGACGACGGCGCGCCACGTTACGTCGATCTTTTCCGCCGTTCGCGCGAGCCGTCGGATCGCGTTCGCCACCGCATCGCCGTCCCTCGCGTCGCGTCCGTTCGCGCGCAGCGCGCGTTGAACGTCGCCCACCGCCGCGCGCGCGTCGTCCGCGAGCGCGAGCGCGGCGTCGAGCTCGTCGATCGCGGGCGTCGTCATCTGTCGTCGTGTCGATCTCGGTCAACGACCCCGCGCGTCACTTCTCTCCGCGCGACGCGACGCTCGATGCGCGCGTCGAGCGAGACGTCGGACGAAAGCGACGACGACGACGCGTGGTGCGCGTCGTGCGAGCGGTGCGGCGAGGTGTGCTTCGGGGCGTCGGAAACGCTCGCGAGTTTAGCGCTCGCGAAACATCGGGACGGCGCGTGCGGCGCGCGCGTCCGCGGCGACGGCGACGGCGCGACGCGCGAGACGACGCCGAAGCGGGAGTACCATCGCAAGTGCACGCTGTGCGAGAACTTCGAGGTGAACGAGGACGATAAGAAGCAGTTCTTCGCGGCGTGGGGGCGACACGCGAACTCGGAGGAACACTTGCTGAACGCGGAGCGGCGACGAAGGACGAAGCTCGAGAAGAGGGAGCCGGGAGGGAGAGCGCGCGCGACGGTGGGGGAATCGGCGTTGGAATTCCCGACGAGGACGTGCGAGACGTGCGCGGTGACGATTCGGGGCAGCGGAGAGGCGAATTTGGCGAATAATTGGTTGCAACACGCGCGGACGAGACGACATCAGGAACTGGCGCACGCGGCGAAGGAAACGGCGAAGGCGGCGAAATTTGCGAGCGTGGTGGAACAGAAGGCGCCGCCGCCGGTGCGAGTGCGGAATGTGTATGATGCGCTGGAAAGTGCCGGGAGCGAGCGATCGGGGTCGCCTGCGCCGGTTTTCGACGACAGCGCGGAGATTTCGCCGAAGCACGGGACGGACTCCTCTCCTATCGCTTTAGACAAGTCCGCCGGCGCCGCGAGTGTGTTGGCGTACATGTGCGATAGGTCAGTCGGCCGCGCGTGGAGAGACGCGCGTCCGACGCTTGTGAGCCACGACAGAGTCGACGAGACGGCTCGAGACATGGCCGTCTTGGGAACGCTGTTCGACGTTCCGAAGCATTTTGCGCAAAACGAATTCGTCGATAAGAGAGAAATGTTCATGGACGTCGGCATTCCGTTCTGTGGTCTGGTGTACGGCGCACCCGGGGCGAGTACGTCTCACACCGTCGATGTACTCGTCGAAAACTGTTTGATGCGTCAGGGAATGGTTGACCCGCCACAGGACTGGACGACGGCGATTACGTTTAGCACTTCGACGACCGACGCCTTTTCTAAAGATGCATCGCTTGCGAATTTTCTCGGGTTATCCGTCTTGAGTCTACATTTGGAAACGCTCTGTGGCAAAAATTCCAACTGTCGCGCGCCTAATGTCAAAGTGCTCTCGGCGCCCAAACATATCGAAAGTCGCGCTCCAGAAATCTGCGACGAGTACGATCGGAATGGTTTCGTCGGAATGGTTTCGCCACTACTTTTCGGATGGAATTCGCTCACGAGCGAGCACTTGTGCATTATGCTCGGCATAGAAGATGACGAGCAGATTTTGAAGATGATTCGTCACCGGACTTCGTTCAAACAATTTTTTGAAGGATTGTGCGACAGCTTTAGAGCCCAGAGAGATGGAAGTCGTGGACAGTTACTCCTTGCGCGCGCGCAGCAAGTCAAATCATTCATCTACGAAAACTACGAAAATGTTCACGTCGAGGGCGTAGTGATGCGCGTGTTCGAACAAGCCGTGCTCGTCGACGCGCTCAACGTCGTCGACGTGACGCATTCGGAGTACGAGCCGGATTTTGTAGACGCCATCTTCCAAGTCGCTCTCAGCATGTTTCAAAAAATGGATCTCCCGTTGAAACGGACCGCACGGAACCGACGCTCCCCACCGAAAAAGCTCATCGTAATCGATGACGCGGATCTGTTGCTCAGCCTCGGCTCGCGAGCGGGATTTGCTGGTCAACTTGTGAACGCCGCTCGAACGATGCATCGGACAAACACGCGTCTCGTCGTCGGCACGACGAGCCCATTCGCGATTCCTGAGGCCCTCGTCGAGCTCGCGACGGTGCACGTTTTGCACCAGTTCAACTCTGCGCGCTGGTTTGATCACATTGCACGTAACGCGGCACTGCAGGAAGCCAACTTGAGCGACGTACGAAACCTTCAACCTGGCGAATCTTTGGTTTGTGCTAATATGCTATGCTACAATTGGAGCGCGCCTCGAGCGCGCGCCGTCAAGATGCGCATCCGCAATCGTCTCACGCGAGAATCCGTTCGTGTTGTACGAACTCCGCTAGAAGAAGCCACTCACCGATTCATGAGAGACATCGACGACTCACGCTAGAAGAGTCCATTCATGTTCGACGAATCATAGATGCGCCGCTTACACACATCTAATTCACTTCTTACATTACTAATACCACAGAATTCTGTACTACTTGTTCGCCGCCGCGTCGCTCTTACTTTTTCCTCACTTTAATTTGCCCGTCCGCGTCGAAACCGGGATGAGCGAGAAAGATGCGAGTGTACTCAGCCGTGGCGACGACGGCGGACGCCGCCGTGGCGTATTCCAGAATGACGCGCACTGTTCTATCAGCTACGAGCTCGAGCGCGGGCGCCATCATCGGCGATCCTGCATGCGCCGCGAACACTGGTTCGCTCACGGCGAACGTGATGAGCGCCATTTGCAGCGCCGTATTCACCTTGCCGATGAAGAGCGGCCTCAGCGCCCCGCGCTTCGACCCGAGCTGCTCGACTTCGTCAAAATCGAACCCCGCGAGCGCGGCCGCTCCAGTGGGCGGCGGTCGACTCACGGGCTTATCGTCAAATCCTAAAAACTCTCCCACGGTTTTCCATTTCCACCCCAACGCGCCCGCGCGTCGCCACGCCCCGCCGACGACGTGAATCGCGTCGCGACTCACCAATAACCCCACGAGCCACACTGGAAGCGACCCTTCCAAGGCCAACGCCGTCCCCACGCACCCAACGAACACCTTATCCGCGATCGGGTCGAGATAACTCCCCAAAATCGTCCCTTGCTTCCACCGTCTCGCGAGAAATCCATCCAAATAATCCGTAAACGCCGCCGCCGCGACGCCGCCGAGCACGAGTTCCGGCGACGCGCCGCTCGCGACGCCGTACGCCAGCGCGGGACCGGCGACAATTCTGCCCACGCACAGCGCGTTGGGCGCGTTGAAATTCCTTTCGTCTCGCATCTGCTCTCGTTTCGAGTTCACCGTCGTCTCGTCGTCGCCGTCGCCTTCGTCGTCGCCTTCGTCGTCGCGCGTCGACGTCGTCTCCGTCTCCGCGCGCGCGCTCGCGGCGAACCCACGAACGCGCGCGAACGCCAGAACCGCCGCGTCGCGCCCGCGCGCGTCGCTCGCCATCGCGCGCGTCGTCGTCGTCGCCCGAGCGAGCCTCGCGCGCGCGCTCGACGCCGCGTCCCGCGCGCTCGACGCCTCGCATCGCGCGAGCACCGCGCGCGCGTCGACGCGCGCGGCATCGCGCGCGCGCTCGCGAAGCGCGCGCTCGAGCGCGCGACGCATCGGTCGCCGCGAGTCGACGACTGCGGCGAGCGCGAGCGCGGCGAGCTCGAACTTTTCGCCGGACGCGCCGTCTCGTCGACCGAATAGCTAATCTCATCTAATCTCATCTAATCCAAACTACTGAATCTACTCACCGCGCTCGCGACGCGCCCGTTTCCGTTTCCGCGCGCGCGACTCGCTCGCGTCGCTCGCGTCGCTCGCGCTCGCGTCGTCGGCGTCGCTCGACGGAAGCTCGTCCTCGCGCGCGGGCCGATAAAACCATCCGAAGATGGCGTGTCGTCGCCGATTTTCGGACGTCACCGGCGCCACCGCGTGCACGCGAGGCACCTTGAACACGACCAATCGATTAAACTTGGGCTCGATCGTCTTTCCCGGCGCCGTCTCGTCGTCCATGTCGACGAACGCGCCGCCGTCGCGTTCGACGTCCCAATCATCCGGGGTCAAGTAATACGCCACCGCGTACGCGCGCAGGTGCATCTCGAATCCACCGTTCGCCAGCTCGACGGGCGCGTACGCCGCGTCGTCGTGCGGATCGATCTTATGTCCGTTCGCGTATCGACTCGCGGTGAAGCTCGGCACCAGCGCGCGCCAATCCTCGTCGTCGTCGTCCTCGCGCGCGCGCGCGTCGTCCTCGGCCGCGCGCTGCATCTCGAACCCGACGCTCGTGAACGCGCTCACCGCGCGCACCGCCGTGGAGGCGTCGAACGCGTGCGCGACGTCCTCCGCGTCGTCGTCGTCGTTCGCGTCCGCGCGGTCCCACGCGCTTTCGGGCGCGCGCTCGAGCTCGCGTCGCATGCGCGCCGCCGTCGCGCGCGGCAGGAAGTCATCGACGACGACGAGCGCGCCGGTCGCGGCGCGACGCAGCGGCGCGTCGGCGACGGGCGGCGCGCGTCGCATCGTGACGATTCGCGAGTGGACGTTCGAGCGCGTTCGAGCGCGCCGCGCGGCACACGGCGCCGCGGTGCGCGCCGGGAGACGCGCGATGAACCCGGGGGAATCGTACGCGTACGGCGCGAGCGCGCCGACGGACGAATCGTCCTCGCCGTTGGCGCGCGCGCAGGCGAAACTCGCGCAGCGTCTTCAAATCTTTCTCGATAAATCTGTCCCGAAGCGCGCCGAACGGTGGAGCGCGTACGCGTGCGTCGCGCTGGTGTACGCGATTCGCGCGTACTTTCTGCGGGGGTACTACATCGTGACGTACGGGCTGGGGATCTATAACCTGAACCTGTTGATTGGATTTCTGAGCCCGCGAAACGATCCCGAATCGCTGCGCGCGTCGAACGACGGCGACGATGGACCGTCGCTGCCGACGAGCAACGAACAAGAATTCAAACCGTTCGTGCGGCGATTGCCGGAGTTTAAGTTTTGGTGGATGAGCTTGAAGTCGATCGGGACGGCGTTCGCGATGACGTTTATGCCGATGTTCGACATACCGGTGTTTTGGCCGATTTTGTTAATGTACTTCATCATGTTGTTTTTCATGACGATGAAACAGCAGGTGAAGCACATGATTAAGCATAAATACGTGCCGTTCACGACGGGGAAGCCGAAGTTTGCGGGCGCGAGCGCGGGCGGGTCAGGCGGGTTGAAGAATAACGACTGACGGGTCGGTCGATTGCGAGGCGGCGCGCGGGAGCGGCTTGGGATGGCGACGGCGGCGAACGAGTCCTCTCGACTCGAGGCTCGATTAGTTAGATACACACTCTCACACGAACGTTTCGTCTCTATAAATATATTCATCTAGTTTCTACAAATGCGTTCGCGCTCGCCGACTCGTTTTCTCACTTCGCCGTCGCTTCCCACAAGCCATCCTTCAAATAGTGCACCAAATCCACCCCGATTCCTTTGTTCACCGTCCGCATCGCCTCCGTGCTCATCTTCGTGATACCCACAGCCAGCGCGTGTTCCTTTCCTTCCGCGTATATCGCCACCGGTTCGTCTTCCTCGCATTCGTCGTGCATCGTCGCCCCGCTCGACGTCAACCCCGGGCACATGATGTTCGCGCCGGAAATCACAAACTTGATCGCTCCCTTGTCCACCCGGAGCTTGGGCATCATGTCCGGGTACTTGTGTAACACGCGCAGCGTCGGAAAGTACGGCCCATCGCGCTGATTGAAGAACAGCGGCTCGTCGTCGACGAGCACGACGTTGGTTTTGTGTTCGCACTTGCCGATGACGACGGTGGCTTTCTTGGGCATCAAATCGTCCAGGGCGTCGTCCAGGGCGGGATACTGGTCGGAAATCTTCGCTCGTATCCCGCGCTGGACGCTGGATTTGAGCTGCTGCACGCCGTCGACGTGGTACTTGCGAAACATGATGAGGCGGGACGCGAAGTGACGACGCGGAGCGACGAAGGCGGGCGTCTCGGGCGGAACGAATGTCGGGCGCGTCGTATTGAAGAAAAATAGTCGGTCTATGATTGTTTAATTTCGGTCGTTTCGCGCGGTTCAGTCGAAAGATTCCACGCCCAAGTCGTCGGCGCGTTCGATGGTGGACGCGTAGGCGTCGTCGGCGGTTTGGCCGCTGAGCGCGCCGCCCTCGGCGTACGCGCCGAGCGCGCCAGATCCGGCGCCGACGACGAGACGCATGCGATGACCGTCGGATGTGGCGGTGAGGGACGCGCACGTGAGCAACCCTTCGATGCCTTTCAGGGTGTACATATAACCGTCGCCGTCTTGGTCGGAGACCGGGCCGACGCCGGCGCCCGTGGCGTCGACGGCGCGAACGTGGACGCAGCCTTGCGGAGCGTCGTCGTCGTCGGATTCCTCGCCGTTTTCGTTGAGCGGGAAGTAAGCAGCGGTTGAGAGCAACAGGCCGCCACCGTTCATGCCGTCGAGTTTCACGTATTGCAACCCCGCGATCGGGGCTTCGCAGCCGTCCATGCTCGGCACGTTTGGCAGCAAGCGAGGTAGCGCGCCCGGGTTGGATAAAGAGTGAACCTTGACGTTCGACGAAAAATCGCCGGCGAAGATGATACCCTTTGGACCCGGACACACAGCGTACACGCGTCGACGATGCTCCGTCATCGTCGCAACGGCGACATGCTGACGAGCGTCCCACACGCGAACCGTGCCGTCAGCGCCGCCGGAGACGTAAAGCGTGGCGCCACCTTCGGACCAATCGTACGTGCACATGGATGTGACTTCACCATCGTGCCCGCGAAGCGTGCACTTTTTGGATCCCTTTTCGGCGTCCCACAACATCACCGCGCCTCCTCGTGAGCCCACGGCGACTGTTTGCGACTCCCAGTCGACGCACCCGCTCGCGATGTTTTCAAACGCGTAAATACGACTTCGCTGCGATCGCTTCGCGACGTCCCAAATGCGCACCGTACAATCGCGCCCACCCGAAATCGCTAGTCGCTCGTGGTCTTCTCTCGCGTCGACGCTCAGGAACTCGACGTTGTCGTTGTGCTGTCCGGTCATGGGCAAGCCTCCGGACAGCCCTTTCGTCGGATCCCACTTCCACGTCCGCAGCGTGCCGTCCCACCCTCCAGTTATGTATTCATCGCCGCGCGAGCCCACGCACGAGACGAGCTCGTTGTGCGCGTGCGTCGCGTCTTCGTCGACGCGCGCAACTCGGAACGAAGGTGGCGTGTTGCCACCGCCACCCCACGCGCCGCCGAGACTCGAGCTTAGTCGTCGCCGTAAAGCGTGCGACGGCGTCAGTTCACCTTCCTCGCGTTCTTCCACCACGCGCTGCTCAACCGAAGGTATCGTCGCGTGTTTTGACGTCGTCGCGCTCGTCGACGCGCTCGGAGGCGTGCGAGGTCGACTCGTGCGGTTTGCGCCGTCAACGTCGCTCGCCGACGGCGACCTCGACGACGCCTCGGTCGCGGTTTGCCGCGCCGACAAAATCTCCTCAAACTCCTCCACGGCCGCGCGCTCTTCGGCCACTCGAGCCTCCGTCTGTCGCACGCTCCGAGAACTCTGAGATACGCGCAAAACCTTGATACCTATGAATTTCATCACCGTGTCGTAAAACGCGTACACGGCGAGCATGACGCCCGCAAAGGCGAGATCCATCTGATGAAAGAACCAATCCAGCGCGTTTTGATGCTCTCTCTCCTCCCCGTCCCCTCCGTGACGCCCACTTTTCGTGCGCTCGAGTGTCGTCGGCGATTTCGGCGTCTTCGGCGTCTTCGGCGGTCTCGGCCTCGGCGGCGACATCGGCGCCCTCACCGTCGCTCGTCCCGGCAACGGCGGTCTCGACCCCCCGATCGGCGGAAACGTCCGCATCATCAACGGAACCACCTCGCCCTCTTCCTTCCCTCGCCCCGCCGCGTCCGAATCCGGCGTCGTCGTCGCTTCGCGCGCGGTATCGAATCTCGCCCTCGCCGTCGCCGCCGCCAACGCCGCCGCTCGCGCCGCGATCCCTCCGATTCCCCAACCGCCGTCCGCGCCCTCTCCGTAGTACTCATCCTCGCTCGCTCCCGTGCTCGCGCCTCCCAGCACGCGCAGCGCCGCGCTCGTCCGTCGCGTGCCTCGTCTCGCGCGTCGCTTCGCGCGTCGTCTCGCGTCTCGTCCCTCCGTTCCCTCGCCCTCCCCTTCCCTCTCGCTTCGCGTCGGCGTTCCCGGCGGCGCGATCGCCTCGTACGCGTTCACCCTCGCGACGCTCGCGTCCGCGATCTCCTCCGCGCGCGACTGCGACGACGACGACCGCGCGAGACGCTCGCGCGACGATTTCGCATTTTTGCGTCCGTTGACCGTTCGCCATTCGACGTCGTTCGCGCCGTCGCGCGCGTCGTCGCGCGCGCGATCGGGCGCGTCGAGCGCGTCGAGCGACGGCGCGCGACCGCCCGCGTCGCCCGCGGGCTCGCGCGCGCGATCCATGGCGAGACGGCGACGCGCGCGCGCGGGCGCGGAGTGCGGCGACGGCGCGAAGAAAACGCTCGAGGTCGACGCGAGCGTTTTCTCGACGACGCGCGACACTCGAGCGCGCGACGACGCGACGACGCGACGCGCGACGCGCGCGACGGACGACAAAAAAATCGCGCGACGCGACGCGCGAGGGCGATGACGATCGACGCGCGCGACGACGGCGCGGTGGCGACGGAACGACGACGGGCGAAGGCGTTTTGGGCGCAGCGACGCGCGAGCCTGAGCCTGCGATTCGACGCGCGCGACGCGCGGGAGATCGAGATCGAGGTCGAGGACGCGGACAGCGTCGGTGCGGGGCGATCGATCGTGCGCGTGTCGTACGTCGCGCGCCTGGGGGACGAAGGCGAACCCGAAGAGGATGGGTCGGCGAGCGACGCGAGCGCGGCGTTCGAGTGCGAGCTCGAGCTGTACGGCGCGGTCGCGCCCGCGCGCAAGGCGGAGATCAAACGAACCGCGCGCGCGTTTACAGTGGTATTTCGTAAGACGACGCCCGGCGCGCACTGGCCGAGGTTATCGCTGACGAAGGAAAAGTCTCGCTTCGTCGCCACCGACTTCGACGCGTGGATGGACGAGGACGACGAAGCCGCCGCCGACGCCGCGTTCAAATTCGATCTCAGTTCGCTCGAGAAGATTTCCAACTACGAGGACAAGTCGTATTATTTTCCCGACGTCGACGATTCCGACGACGACATGCCGGACATGACGGACGTGTACGACGCGTGATCGCGCGTTCGCTCGCGTCCCGCTCGCGCGACTGTAACAACCGCGCGCGTCATTCTCACCTTTCCTCACCGTTCCGCGCGCGCGATGTCGACCGACGAGCCCCCCGACGAGCCCGCGCACTTGCTGTGTCCGATCACGCGCGCGATGTTTCGCGACCCGGTGTTCGTGCCGTGCAGCGGGAACACGTACGAACGCGAGGCGTTGGAAAAGTTTTGGTCCAGCGCGCCGGGACGCGCGCGGGACCCGCTGACGAACGTCGAGACGCGCGCGAACTCGCGGGTCGTGTACACGAACTGGGACAAACGACGGGAAGTGCGCGACTACCTGGACGCGCGGTCGGAGGATTACGTGCCGAGCGGGTGGACGAGTCGCGCGGTGCCGGCGCCGCGGAGCGACGGCGACGGCGACGCGCGCGAGCGCGGACGAGGATTGGCGAACGGCGCGGTCAAAGCGAGCGCGGTTTTGACGGTTTTGGCGATCGCGGCGTTGGTGAGCGCGAGTGGCGCGAAGGGAGGGACGTGGGGGTTCGGCGCGGTCGGTGCGCGACGCGGGACGCCGAGGATGCCGAACGTCGACGAATACGGACGCGCCGTCGAGTTGAGAGCGCCGGCGGGGTCGAGAGTGCGGGCGCGGAAAGTGTCGAGCGGAACGCCGGCTTTGGAGATAACCGTGCCGGCGCAGAGCGTGAACACGGCGGCGTTGCTGTTCAGCGTGCCGTGGTTCGCGATCACGGGCACGTGGACCTACGGCGCGTGGAACGCCGCGAATCCGCTCTTCGCGTCTTTTTCGCTCCCCTTTTGGGCCGTCGGGCTGAACATGGTGCATCAGAGCGCCACGAGCGCGTTTGAAACGACCAAGCTACTGCTCACCACGGATCAGTTTTACCTGGAAAAGACGATTTTTGACCGACGAATGTTTTACCTGAAGGGCGACGTCGCCGACTTGAGCAAGGCGGCGGTGGAGACGTACGCGTACGTCAACGGCGCTCCGCAGAGCAATCTCGTGCTCCATCACGGCGTCAAATCGTACGTATTGGCGCGTGGACTACACTCGAGCGAAGACGAATTCGTCGCCGATGAGATTGAAAAGTTTTTGAAGAAATATCGCCGCGCGCGAAAGGGAGGCGACGCCGTCAAGATTGACACCACGACGCCGTTTTTCGCGCGAGCGCGCATGTAGTAGCAACCTTGTAACCCTAAATGTACGACTACAACATCATCTAACGCGGCGAACGCATTCAACTCGAAGTCTGGCGTCGAAGAGGTTCGAGTAGGTAGCTCGCTTGATGATCGACGATGAACTCGCCCTCCTTGAAAAGCCTTTCGATGACTTCGCTTCGCTGCAACGCGCAAATCTTGTTGTGCGCCAGCGGCGTCGGCCCGGGAAACGCCACGTTGACGTGCTTCCACGTCAACGTTCGTAATCCACTCGCCATGCGCCGCTGCAGCGCTAGACTATCCTTTCTCCACCCTCTCGACGTCGACGTCGTCGTCGGCGGCATCGGCGAACCCTCGACGACGTACTCCTCGACGATTTGTGGCTTTTCGAGCGTGCGCCATCGTCGTTCGGTTTCGGAATCTAAATATTCCGGACTAATCGCCGCGGTCTCGTAGCTCACCAAAAAGTCGTTCACAGCGTTTGCGTACGCGCACCGTCGCTCGAACGCCCCTAAAGCGGCGATAAAGTCCACCGGATCCTTCGTCTCTGGATCCGCCATGTCCGCCAACAGCGGCCGCCCGCTCGCGCGTCGATGCCCGTCTCGAAGCGTCAACTCCTCCACGCTCGCCCCGAGATTCCGTGCCCACAAGTTCCGCGCCCCTTCGGGTACGATCTTAAAGTACCCCCACGGCCCCACCCCCAAATGCGGCGTCGCAGTCGTCAAAAACGTACACGGCGTCAACCCGTCCAGCATCGTTCCATCCTTCGATTCCGCGTAAAGCAACCCCGCGACGTACCTCGCATAAATCCCCCCCAACGAGTTCCCGTACAGCGTCAACCTCCGCAACCCCGGGTACTTTTTCCTCACCTCCCGCAGCTCTTCCACGATCCTCCGCGCCCCCGCGTCGACGCCATCGAACGAATTCAACGGCGCGTTGCACGTCACTCGATGCGTCGCCGCCCCTCGCTGCGACAACAACCTCGCCTCCATCGCGCACAGATCGTCGGGCGTTCCCGCCAATCCGTGCACGCACACGAACAAATGCGTCTTCTGTTCGTTCGTTTCGTCCCTGACGCGCGCCGCCTCGACGCGCGCGCGCAATTCGTGTCTTCGAATCCCGCGCCGATGTCGCCACGGTCGACGCGTTCGCCCCTCGTCCAGCACGCGCGGCGCCCTGAGCGCGCTCGCGACGCCGACGACGACGGACATGATCGTCAGGAAGCACGCGAGCGCGCAGGTCTTGATCCAGGACGCGACGACGCGGTGCGAACGCTTCGCGAAGGATTCGCTCGGCATCCGACGCGCGACCGCGAGTGGCGACGCCAGTGCGCGACGCGTCGTCTCGACGCGCGCGACCGACGCCGCGCGCGAGCGTCGCGAGCGCCGCGCGAGTCAGCGCGCGTCGCGCGCGACGCGCCGCGTCGACGCGCGCGCGGCGCCGCGCGCGAGCGAAGGCGCAACACTAAAGTTTGGTGTTGCGCGACGACGATCGTTCGTGGACGCGCGCGCGCGCGAGCGAACGGGCGCGAGCGCGCGCGCGCGACGCGACGATCGACGCGATGTCGCGGTTCGCGCGCGCGGAGCGCGACTTGGTGGCGATTCGCGAGCGCGCGCGCGCGCGGACGCTGAAGCCGGCGTCGACGAGGAGCGTCGGCGCGGGCGTCGGTTTGCTGACGGTGGCCACGGCGCTGTGCGTGATGGCGGGCGCGTCGATCGGGAATAAGTTGTTTGACGTCGTGAGCGTTAGGCACGCGGCGAGGGATCACGAGCGGGAGGCGACGTCGGGGTTGAGCGGCGTGCGGCGATTGACGGCGGAGAAGATGGAATTGGACATGGAGCGATATCCAAAGGCGAGGTGCTTGGATGGGACTCCTGGGGCGTATTACGTCAATCTCGCGCCCATACGCGTGCGAAACGTAGACGACGAGTATCCGTCGGCGAAGCGGGGGAGCGTCGCGCGCGCGGGAGATTCGAGCGGGGGATCGGGAAGCGCGCGCGAGTTCGCGACGTCTAAGACGTGGGTCGTGATGTTGCAAGGCGGTGGCGAGTGCACGAACGCCCCAGAGTGCTCCGAACGCTCTGGGACGGAAAGAGGATCGAGTGAACTGTTGCCGGACGAGATCGTGTTTGATCGAGGCATCCAGGCGGTGACGGCGGACGACGACGGCGAAGATTTGCCGTTTTCGCGAGCCAACATGGTCACCGTGGGGTATTGCTCGGGTGATGTGTACATGGGGCGATCTGACGAGGCTGATGCGAGTGGGATGTGGCACTCGGGCGCACACATCGTCGAGGCTGTTTTACAAGAGCTCGTCCGGGCGTACAACATAGAGGACGCGGACGTCATCGTCTTGGCGGGCCGAAGCGCGGGGGGGATCGGTTTGATCGCGCAAGTGGACCAGTGGGCGGAACTACTTCGCACAAAGTTCAGCGCCATAGCGCGGAGCACGGTGAAAATCGTCGGTGCGCCGTTTGCTGGGTTTCATTACTTTCATAACGATACGGAGGGCGCCGCCGATGATTCGCTCAAGTACGTACCGTGGGACGAGGCTTCGTTCAAGCAGTACGTAGACTATTGGCACGCGAGCGAGAGCCTTCCCAAGGCGTGCGTCGAGGTGAATCAGGACGCACCGTGGAGATGTATGGTGGCGGACTATTCCTTCCCTCACACGCGAACGCCCTTATTCTTTTCGCAAGCGCTTCTAGATTCCGTCGTAATGCGGTTGCACGACAATTTTGGCGGCGACTTTACGCGACACAAGCAAGTCACGTTCGCGCACGAATGGCAGTCGCAGATGCGTCGCGTTCTCGAACCTGCGATGTCACACGCCACCGCCGGCGTGTTCGCGCCGTCGTGCTACATGCACACCGATTTCGATGGCATCGTCATCGACGGTATCTCCCATCACAGGGCGCTCGCCGAGTGGGTGTTCGAGAACAAACCGATCCGTCTCATCGACGATTGCCGGGAACTGATGTGCAACCCGACGTGCAGATCGCGCGATAAGTCGAGCACGCTCTCCAACGATTTAGACGACGGCGCGCTCGGACACGCGTTCGATCGCAAGCGCCGGAAGGACGAAGACGAGCTCTCCGCCGAAAAAGTCGCCGCCGAGCGCAAGACGGACGACGCGCGCGCGCGACGCAAAAGCAACCGCCGTCGCGCTCGGCACCGTCCATCGGATTGAATCCCGCCCAGGTCGTCCCGGGTCACCCTCGTAGTCTTAGCGCGTAATTAGAGACAACAAACATTTCATCAGTCGTTCCAAGTTTCTGAAATTTTCAAACGTCCGTTTGCGCCAGACAACCGACATCCGCGCCCGCACACCGCGCCGCGCGCGCCGTCATGCCCGCGCGCGCGCCGACGACGCGTAAAACCCCTCGCTCGCCCGCGCGCAAAGCGTCGCCCGCGCGCGGACGCCCGTCGACGCCGAAATACAACGACGATGTCGTGCAGAGTCTGTTACAAATCTTGACTTCGGGACAAAAATCGAAAAGAACCAAGTCCCCGCTCACGCTCGAGCGCGCGGAGGCGCTGTGGGAGCTCGCGAAAACGAACCGCGAACCGAATGTCGCGGCGACGCTGACGGCGATCGCGAACGGTGGCGGAAGGGGCGCTGGAGGCGTGGTGAAGGTGGAGGACGACGCCGCGCGGTGGTTGACGGCGCGAATTTCGAGCGCGTTCGGCGAAGGCGAGGATGGTGGAGAACGAAGTAGCGCGAGAAAGAGCGGCACGAAACGGAATTTGTCGACGCGATTTGAGGATGGGAGCGATGTGGAGGACGGGGAAGAAGCGGCGTCGGAGGAGAGAGAGAGACGGGGCGGGACGTCGCCGCGCGGCGAACGCGCGGCGAAGCGAAGACGATTGACGGTGACGGAGCGTCTGATGCGGCGCGTGACCTTGGCGACCACGCGGAGCACGTCGAAGGAGTTGAGAGTAATCGATGGTGTGTCATATGATCGAGCGGCGTGCGCGATCGTGGATGAGAGCTTGAAGAAGAAGGGCAAGGTAGATTCAATGTGCGCGCGGGCTGTGGAGCTGAGTGTCAAGGCGACGGGGTCGAGGTATGGAATCACACCTGCGGGATTGCAGACGCTTCGAATGATCGTAGAGGGTGGCGTGGATGGGCATTATACGTTCCAAGTCGATGCAGCCGCGCGAAAGCACCTGGGCGCGTTGATTGCGGACGAAGAGAGCCTCGGGCCAGAGATACTCTTGCCGACGGTGAAGCGGCGAAAAGTCGCCGCCGCACTGCAGAGGCTGAGTAATTTCGCGCGCCAAGCGCAGTATAGGACGATTGACGGGGTCAAGTACGACGAGAACGCATGTCACATTGCCGATGTCGCGACGCAAACTCAAGGCAAGATCGGATTGGCGTGCGCGAAAGCGATCCACGCCAGCATCGAAGATGGCGGCTCGCATTGGGGCATCACTGATATCGAGCTTCGCACGATTGAGATGATCATCGAAGGCGGTCGCGCTGACTATTCATACGTCACAGACGCCGCGGCGATGAAGTATCTCAAAGATTTAGTCGTGAATGAGCGGAGTAAACGAGAAGACGCCGAAATCGAGCGGGTCGCGGCTGTAAGCGAAGCGCGCGGGAACGCCGCCGGCGGAGTTTTGGCGCACGTTAGGAAACTCGTTCGACCCAAGTTTTATCGTTACATCGACCGTCAGAGATACGACGAAAAGGCGTGTGAGATTGCAGATGACTGCATGGAGCGCATCGGTCGAATCAATTTGGAATGCGCGAAAGAGATTCACGAGAGCATCCTCGACGGTGGCTCGCGGTGGGGCATCACGTCGACGGAATTCGCGACGATTCAGCTCTTCCTCGACGGTGGCAGAGACGACGTGCTGTACATTTGCGACGACGATGCGCGGATGTATCTTTTGGATATTTTAGGTACGAAGGCGATCGAAGAGACGGAGAATGTCACGCCGCCCACGAAAGTGCAGGTGCGACGACAGTCGCCGGCAAGCGCGCTGCAATCGGCGCTGAAAAATCCGCCGCCATCCGCACTGAGACACGCCGCGGCGAAATCTGTGAAAAAGAAAGGGGTGAACTTTACCCCCGCCAAGCGTTTCGAACTTCGCACGTATATTCCGAGTCCGACGAGTGGGAACACGTCGGAGGAGGAAATCGACGACGACGATGACGACGACGAAGTGGAAGTTTTGACGGAGCAAGACGAAGAAATGGTCGAAGAAGAAGCAGACGAAGTCGACGAAGACGAACAGATCGTCGAAGTCGCGACGACGAAACGGTCGAGCGTGCGAATGATCACGTATTCTAGACCGAGCATCATGACGGCGTTTTACCGCAGCATGCAATTTTGGATGACGCCCGTGAGCGTTCTCGACACCGCCGCGGCGTGTTTAGCGACAGCCGCCTCGTTTCTCGTCGCCCATATTTTCATCATCGCCGCTCTGGAAGCGACGATCACGCCTTCGTCCATCAAGTCGTTGAACATGGAAGCCAAACTGTAATAATGTCACTGATCCATCATGACAGACACTAATTCTACGAGCTAAAAGTCGTCCAGACCGACGCCTTCGACGGCGCCGCACGCCGACTCGCCGCCACTCTTTTTCCTTTCCTCCTCCGGACGAATCTGCAGCGGTTTGATCGCCATGCGCTTTCTCCGCATCTGTAACGCATACACGCGATCCATGCGCGTCAACGGCGACACCACGCCGCCTTGAAATTGAAGTTTGCGAACGGCGACGAGCCCGACGCACAGGTGCGGCTCGGGTAACAGCGACTCGATCTCACTCGTCGGACCTTCGAGCGGCTGCACGTCGATCGCGCAATCCGCGACGTGACGAATCATCGCGCCCCATCGCGCCGGCGCGAGCGCGAGAGGAAGAATCATCACGCACGCGACGTTCGTTTCGCGCACCAACCCCTTGAGCGCGCGCGCGAGCCTCGCGCACGCGGCCCACTCGCCTTCGTCTCGCGGCGTCTCCGGCTGCACCAACACGCGCCCGACCTCCTCATCCCTCAACCCGCGCACGAACGTCTCCACGAACTCAAAACATCGCGCCCACGCGTCCGTCTCGCCCTCGCCGTCGCCCTCATCGCCGCCGAAGCGTTCGAACGAAACGTCCGCGTCCCGCAGCGTCGCCTCATCCTCCTCCCTCGTCCAATCGTACGTCTGGCACACGTCCGGCGCGCGCAAATTCCGTTTCTTCGTCGTCCTCGCCGTCGTCGTCGCGCGCGCCGCGCCGACGCCGGAATCGTCCAAGTTCCTTCCCTCTCTCAGGTATCGTCGATACTGCCACGCGATTCGCAACCCATCGCTCGCCTCGCTCGCCTCGCTCGCCCGATCGTCCGTCGTCGTCGCGCTCTCCCCCTCTCGCTCGACGACGCGTCTCGGCAGCGTCCGCGTCGCCTCCGCCCGCCCCTCCCGTCCCGCGCGCACCCAGCACGTTCGATGCCGCGCCGTCGCCGCGCCCTCCGCGACGAAGCACGCGCCGAACAGCGCCTCCGCGTGCGCGCTCGCGCCGTCGCTCGCGCACGCCGCGAGCGACCCGAGCGCGTGGCCGCCGCCCAGCAGCGCGTCCGCGTCGCCGTGCCCGCTCGAGACGAGCGCGCGCCCGTGCGGCCCCGCGCGCGCGCCCGCGACGCCCGCGCCGTCGCGATTCGCGTCGTCGCCCTCGCGATTCGCGTCGTCGCCGTCGCGATTCGACGCGCGCGCGCGCCTTTCGTCGCGATTCGCGTCGTCGCCGTCGCGATTCGCGTCGTCGCCGTCGCCATTCGACGCGGGCGCGCGCGCGCGCGACGCGGGCGCGTCCCTGTACCTGCGCCCGCGCCGCACGAAGCTCGACGCCATCGCGCGTCGACGACGGCGTCGCGATGTCGCGCGACGCCGCGCGTGCGTCGTCGTCGGCACTCATCGACGCGCGACGACGCGCGCGCGGGCGCGTTCGATGGCGACGGTCGCGGCGCGCGCGACGCGCGAGTTCGACCTGATCGTCTACGGCGCCAACGGGTTCACGGGCGCGCTCGCGGTGGATTACCTCGCGCGCAAGTACCCGCACCTGTCGATCGCCATCGCGGGACGCGACGCGGCGAAAATACGCGCGCGCGCGGACGCGACGCGCGATGCGCGCGGGGTGACGTTCCCGACCGTCGTCGCGCGCGACGCGGCGAGTCGCGAGGCGATGGTGCGGCGCGCGCGGACGGTGCTGACGTTCGCGGGGCCGTACGACGCGGACGCGGCGCGCGCGCTCGCGGCGAGCTGCGCGGACGCGGGGACGGATTACTGCGACATCACGGGGGAGCCGCAGTTCGTCAGGGACGTGGTGGAGACGTGTCACGAGAGGGCGAAGGCGAGGGGGTGCGCGCTGGTGTCGTGCGTGGGGTACGATAGCGTGCCGTGGGATCTGGGAACGGCGTTGGCGAGCGAGGCGACGATGAAGCGCGGCGGCGCGGCGGAGATCGACGTCGCGAGAGGACACGCGGGACGATCGAGGGGAGGCGTGTCGGGAGGGACGATCGCGAGCGCGGCGAACGTCGTGGCGAAGCCGAAGAGCGAGACGCGCGGGATGGGGGATCCGCATTTCTTCGCGAAGTGCGCGGGGGGGTGGGCGGATAAACCGGACGTCGAAGCGGCGAAGCGATGGCCGTCGCCGCAGGGGACGTGGGCGTTCGACGAGGACACGAAGCGATGGACGATGCCGAGCATCATGGCGGGGATAAACGCGAAAGTCGTCGCGCGGTCGTACGCGCTGAATCCGGAGCGCTATGGGAAGAACTTTAGGTACGACGAATCCGATTTGTGCGCGTCGAAAAAGAACGCGATTCTCGGCACGTTGACGTTGGGCGCGTTCGGCGCGGCGTTCGTCGTGCCTCCGCTGCGCTGGCTCATGCGAAAGACGATACTCCCGAAACAAGGCGAAGGTCCGAGCGAAGATACGCGCGAGAACGGATTTTCGCACGTCTACGTCGTGGCGAACGGTAGAGACGCAAAGGGCGAGGCGGTCGATTCGTATTGCTGCGAGTTCGAGTTCATCAAGGCTGATCCGGGTTATAAAGGCACCGCGGCGCTCGCGTGCGAAGCCGCGCTTTGCCTGGCCATTCCCGAAGAGCGCGCGCGTTTGGATTTCGCGAAAGAGGGAAGCGGTGGTTGCTTCACGCCGAGCGCGTGCATGGGCCACGTCTTGATGGAACGACTGAACAACGCGGAAAACTTCTCCGTCAAGGTCCAAAAGTTGAAGGACACCGTCTTCTTGGTTTAATTGGTTTCGTGGTGCGCCTACCATTACGTAGTGTCATTCTTTTACTGTACTAGTAGTGTTACATGCTGCTAACTACTCCGCGTTTCGCTCGTCGTCGCCGCCGCGCCCGACGTCGTGGACATCCTCACCGCTTCGATGGATTCGCCAATGCTTAATTCGCCGACCGCGATTTTTCCGTACCCTTGATCACCCCAATTCAACCACGAGTTGTACACTTTCCAATACCGCGTGCCGCTCTCCGTCGTTCCCCAGCCGATAACCTCCATGACGTGCCCGCCGTGGTTTTCCCCTCGCGCGGCGACGTCCTTTGACAGCGAGTACACGCCCGATTTATACTTGTAAAATTCGTCGAATACGTCCCCGACGTACGAAGACACCGGACCGTGGTAGAACAATTCGAGCGCCATACAATTGAAATCATTCGTGCCGCACGTCACGAGCGAAGTAACCTCGTAGCGCTGAGAGCTCAAATTCACGTTCTTATTTCGACACGTCGTCGGGCATTGCGCGACGTGGTTCGGGTTGCATGGATGTTGGCACGGCGCGAACGCGTATGGCATGCACGTCTTGTCGTCACCGAACAAACCACCCGAGACGATACCGCTCGTTCGAGCCTTTTCGTAGGCTTCGTTCGGGAATCCACCGTCACAGCTACCACTGTAAGTCGAACCCGCGTCGAAGGTTCCGTTTTCGAGCTTGCCGCACGACAACAACTGCATCGCCGACAGGTGCGACGCCACCGCCCCGTTCGTCGCGATGCACAAACGGTCGGCCATGACTTTCGCCGGCGCGACTGCCCAACAGCTACCGCACTCGCCCTGATCCAGTGCTTCGCTCACGAGCGCCGCGCACTTGGGCCACTTTTCGCGAACGTCGAAATCCTTTGGCAGCGTCGCGCCGTCTGCCAGAATCACAGTCGTCGGATTCCAAGACGCGGAATCCGAGCCTAAACGCCCGCTCAACCCGAAAAACCGTCCGAGCGAAGACATGACATAGTCCCTTTGAGTCTCTAACGACGCGTACTCGCTCGTGCGCCAGGCTTCTGAACGCACGTAATTCGCAGGCAAACGCCAACCGCCCGGCGCCGACGCCCTCGAGCTCGCGTCGCTTCGCTCCCATCCCTCGCGCGCGTCGGCCTCGTCCGCCACCGAAAGCGCAACCTCACTCGTCGTTCCTCGCGGGCGCGAGCCGACGATCGCGGCGAGAACGAGCACTGATCCCACCGCCGCGCCCGCGCCCGCTCTGAGCGCTCGGCTCGGCCCGCGCGCCCGCGTCGTCGTGCGTTCCCGCGTCGTCATCGCCGTCCCGGACCCGCGCTCGGCGTCGCTCGCGTCGGACGCGAACATCACGACGTCGCTCGCGTCGTGGAACCCGTCGACGTCGCTTCCCCCGTCGTCCGCGTCGTCTTCAGCGCCGTAGCCGAGTCCTAGGTGTTGGCGCGACGTCGAAAACGACGCGCGTTCGTCGTCGCGCGCGCGCGATGCGGGAGACGACGCGGCGGCGAGCACTCTTCGAATGATCGAGTGCGGCGCGGCGACGTCGTCGCGCGCGTCGCGCGCGTCGATGGGCGCCATCGCGGCGAGGCGATCTGTGGCGCAGGGCGCAGGGTGTTGAGACGGAGCGGAGGCGAAGCGAATCGGCGACTGCTTCGCGCGGGCGCGGGGATCGATCAAACGCGCGCGGGTGTGAAAGTTTTCTGTAATTTCTGTAAGTTGTTTTGTTTTTGTTTCAACGCGCCGTACGAGAGGCGTCTCGAAGGCGAGGGCGGCTCGGGCCGAGCGTCTTCGAGACGACGAGATTCGCGTCGCGTATTAGCTCGGCATGTACGTCGATTGATCGATCTCGTCCGGTAACTCCTTGATCTCGACTTCGAAGCGCTCGTGTACAGAGCTTAAGACCTCGGTGTCTTCGGACGAGGCGACGAACGTGACGGCGAGACCCTTGGTGCCGAAGCGACCGGCGCGACCGACGCGGTGCAAATACGTATCCGCGCTGGACGGCATGTCGTAGTTGATGACGATGTTCACGCGCTCGATATCGATACCGCGCGCGACGAGATCGGTGGCGACAAGAATACGCTTGTCACCATCTTTGAACGACTTGTAGCGCGCTAAACGCTCTTCTTGGCCCATCGAACCGTGAATGGCGATGGATGGAAAGTTGCACTCTTGCAAGAGCTTGTCCAAAGCCTTGCAACGTTGCACGCTGGAAACGAAGATGACGACTTGATTGAACATGAGAGAGTCCAACAAATCGTTCAACTTGCGGTTCTTCTCCGCCTCTTCCAGCTTGACGTAGTGCTGCACCAAACCGTGCAGCGTGAGTTTGGTTTCGTCGTCGACAAAAATCTCCATCGGATCGTTCATAAACTTCTTGCACAGCGCGCGGAGCTCCTTGGAGAGCGTCGCGGTGAACATCATCACCTGCTTGTCGTGGGGAGTCATCTTGAAAATCTCCTGCACGTCGGCGCGCATGTCGACGGCTTCCAACATCTTGTCGCACTCGTCGAGCACAAAGTGCGCGCACTTCTTGAGGTTCAAGGTACCGTCCTGCGCGAGCGCCTTCAAACGACCCGGCGTCGCGACGACGATGTTCGGAGGCTGCAACTTAAGTTGCTCCTTTTGCTGGGCGATGGGGATGCCGCCGAAAACGACCGCCGTCGTCACGTCGCCCAAAAACGTAGAAAAGCGCTCAAACTCGTGCGAAATTTGGTACGCCAGCTCGCGCGTGTGGCACATCACCACCGCGCCGACCTCGCCCGGCACCGGATCGAGCTGCTGCAAAACCGTGATGACGAACACGGCCGTCTTCCCCATCCCAGACTTCGCCTGGCACAGCACGTCCATGCCGAGAATGGCTTGCGGAATGCATTCGTGTTGCACTGCCAATCGCGTACGTTAATTCGCAGTCAGTCCTCGCGCTCGACGTTCGCTCGCGCGCGCTTCGGGATCGCTTCGCGCCCTCGCCCCACCGCGAGCCGTCCTCGTCGCCGATTCGCGCCGATTCGCGCGCGATTCGCCGACTCTCGCGCGCTCTAATTCCATTAATTTAACCGAGATCTCACCTTCGCTCGGATGCTCGAATCCGCAATCCACGATCGCCCGCAGCAGCTCCGGCTTGAGCAAAAAGTCCCGAAACCCGGTGCTGTGAATGCCGACGTAACCCTTCTTCGCCGCGTCCTTGCCGTCCGTCGCGCCGTCGTCCGTCGGCGCGACCGCGGTCTCCGCCGCGTCCGCGACGTCGTCGTAATCCAAGAGCTCCTCCTCCTCCTCCTCCGCGGGCGCGGCGTCCTGCTTCTTCTTCGGCGGCATCGCGAGGCGTCGAGCGATGCGTTGCGAGGCGCTGCGCCGGCGACCGCGGTCTCCGCGACGGTAGACGCGTCGGCGTGTGACGACGCGGCGATCGATTGGATGCGCGTTCGCGTTCGCGTTCGCGCGCGCCGCACGATGCGACTCGCGCGCGCGCCGTGTCGCGCGCCGCGTCGCGCGTCGACGCGGACGATGGCGACCGACCGCGAGGGCGCGCTTAGCGCGCTGTGGGCGCGCTCGTTCGACGCGTGGATCGACGTCCCGGGAACGCCGCGCGGAAGCACGACGTTTTTCAAGCCGCGCGCGCGCGACGACGACGACGACGGCGCGCGGGCGGTGCCGGCGATCGTGCGGACGCACGCGCTGTTCGCGATCACGGCGCACAACCCGATGGGGGCGATCGCGTCGGCGGAGGCGAACGCGCGCGCGAACGCGAGGCTGGAGGCGGACCTGACGGCGCTCGCGGCGGCGAACGCGCGGCGACGATGGGCGTCGTACGGGTTCTCGGAGGGATGGCGAGAGGATGGGTACGTCGTGGGGTTTGATTTGGAGGACGCGGACGACGGGCGACGCGCGATGGTGGGGCTGGCGGTGAAGTACGCGCAGGGGGCGATTTACGAGTACTCGAGCGGGGACGACGATTTCACGATGCGGCGAAGGACGGTGCCGGCGGCGATGAGCGACGCCGTGGACGCGGACGTCATCATGGTGTGCTGCGATGAACCTGGGGTGTAGCGCGCCGCTAGGACTACCGGGCTACGGGGGCTACGGGGGCTACGGGGGCTACGGGGGCTACGGAGATTTGGTCCATCGCGAGAACGCGAACGGACGGCCAGAGGCGACGAACGAAGGCGCGCGTTTGCGAGCGTCTTCTTTGAAACCGCGCGCGCGCGCGACGGCCCCACACTCGGCGTCGTCACTGCGCGCGTTTACGAGCGTGAGGGTGGTCCCGCCATAGCTGTCAATGGCGAGTTCGAGCAACTCGGTGTCGCCCGGGACGAGTTCGACGAGCAACGTCGCGTGAGAGTGCGAATCGAGTCGCGTCTCGCGAAACTTCGATTGCTCGATCACCGTCGCGTCTTCCACAAAACACGCCGGCGTTGCGTCGTCGTCAGACCTGAGCAATATGACCGTCGTTGGGACGTTCAGTGCGTCTCGCAATCGCGCCGCGGTGTACGCGCCGCCTCGACTCACGCAAATAAACGCTGATTCAGCCATCAACCAAGCCTTCGCGTTGTCGGTGATGAACGGGGCGTAGTGAAACGTGCGATCGACGCTGAGCGACATGACGGTCATGAACGCGACGTACACCGGTGAATGTAGTTTGGTGGGCGTCAGACTCGAGGATACGCCGACGCAGGTCGACGAGCCGCTCGCTTGTTTCGAGGCGTAAAGCGCTCGAGCAACGAAATCGATGGGCAAGGTTTCCCCTCCGTCGGCGTACGACTCGCCGAGTGACATGGGGAAATTGGCGTGATTGAATCGAATGAACGCGGACAGAACGTCCCCGTACTTGCGATACAGCGAAACGGCGACGTTTGATTTGTCATCGTCGTCGTCGAGTTCAAAGTCGCACGCCCGGAAATAAAGCGCGGTGACTTCTTGTCGTGCCTCGGGACTCCACGACGCATCTTCGGGAAAGCGTATGATTTTGCCCGAATCAACACTCCCGGTTGTAACACCACTCACTTTAGCGATGCACGCACTTATTTCTTTTTCGCGCTCGCACCATTTCGCCAGAGCGATGTCTTCCTTCACGCAACGCACCGCCGCCGTCGTCGTCGCAAAGAGCGGAGACGTCGCGCGAAAAAATTCAGTCTCGCCAACCATCGCGGCTTCGCCCTCGAGAGATTCGACGTACTTCAAAATCTCCGCAATCACTCCTGAAGCACGCGCGTGAGTGTACGCGAGCATCACCGCTGATTCACCGAGCTTCGGCGTTCGCGCGCGCCAGTCAGCTTTGCATCGAAGCAACGCTTCGACGACGACGTCGTTGCCGCACTTGCACGCGATGTGCAGCGCCGTCAAACCATTCGAATCACGAGCTTCAACGTTTGTCCCACAACTCACGAGCGTTTCAACGATGTGCGGACGCTCACTTTCTTCCAATTTGCGCGCGCACGCGAGCATCAGCGGCGTTCTTCCGTCGTCGTTGCGAGCGTTTGGATCGCCTCCGTGTTCCAACACCGCCGCGACGGCGCCCAAGACCCCGCTCGACGCCGCCAAGTGCAACGGCGTTTCGCCGGAATCATACCTTTGATTCGCTCGAGCGCCTCGTTCGAGAAGCATGCGCAAGACCGCCACCGTTTCCTCGCCCGCCGCGGCGCCTTCGTCCGCGGCGACGGCCGCGGCTCCCATCAAAGCTCCCCAAAGCACGTTATGCCCACTCTCATCCCTCGAATCCACGATGAAGCCTCGCTCTAGCATCTCCAACGCCCCCGCGATCCTCTGTCTGTCCTCATCCGTGCGATTCAAGCGCATGACGAGCATGACGAACCGATCGAGCGGCGTATCGCACGGCGCCTCTCTTCGCCGCCGCGCGTCCGTCGCCGCGTCCTCCGGAAACCCATCGCTCACGTCGCACCCGCGCGCCAGCGCGTCCACGCACACCAACACGCTCGCTTCGCGATTCCCGAGCGCGCTGTGCGCCATCGCGTTCACGCGAAGGACTTCCGTCGTCGTCGCCGCGTCGCCGCCGTCGAACGCGCTCTCGCCGAATGCTTCGTGGCTCAGCGAGAGCGCCGCCTCCGCGTCGCCCAGAGCCAGCGCCGCGCGCCCGCGCGCGACGAACGCGCGCAAACGCAGTCGTTGCGCGTGCGCGTCGAGGTGCGAGTCGGGAACATCGCTCGACGCGAGCGCTTTGAGCGCGCTGTCGAGCGTTGAAAAAGCGCTCTCGAAATCCCCGTCGGCGGCGTCTTCGTCGGCGTCGAGCGCGATGGCGCGGACGTTTTCGAGGGCGTCGGCGAGCGCGGTGGACGGGAAGACGTCGCGCAGGCGCGCCTCGAAGCGTTGGGTGACGGAAGACGCGAGGTCGTCGTCGGGCATGGTGTGGCGACGGTTGGGGCAGTCGTCGGCGTACAGACGGCTAAGGAACGGTCGAGCTATTGTTTGGTGCCCTGCTTGAACATGCCAGACATTTTTGCGGTGACGTTGTCCATGCGCGGCGCCTTGGGTCTGTTCGGGACGTTGGGTAAATCCTCGAGCGGCTTGGAGCTGGCGGGAGCGCCGACCGAGGCGAAGAGCCCGAACGGGGGCTCGGAGATTTCGTTTGGTTTCATGCCCTTGAGCAGGCAAATAGCTTTGAAATCCGTGGCGTTGGCTGTCATGGGAAGGAGGGCTTTGAACGTTTCCGCCAATCCGTCGTTCGGGGAGAGGATAGTTTTCACGAGCGCTTCGACTTTGCCCATCTCGCGAGCGATCATCTTCGCGTAACTCATCGGCGGCGCCGATGGTTCGGCGGTGACGTCCGTACCGGCAGCGGCTATGGCGGGCAAGGACAGTAAAATTGCTTTCACCGCGTGCATGTCGAGCAAAAGTTGCTGACCGCCGATTTCCGAAAAGCGCTTGCACTTGAACACTGCGATGTACAATTTCGGCGCGATTGACGACGCCAGTTTCTCGCAAAAGAATGTGTGATGGATGTCGCTCACTGAAGCGCGAAGCACAGGCATCGCGTGCGCAATAGCGCGTTCGAACGTGTCTACGTACTCGCTCTGGTCGCCGACGACGTCGAGCGCGCCCCAGTTCACGCGAAGCATCCCAGAGACGAGGTTTGATTTCGCCTCCACCACGCCGATGAGTTTGTTCAGTGCCTCAGACAGTGTCGTGCTGAACGCATCTTCGACGTCCATCATGTCGACTTTCTCCTTGAAATTGTCTTCCAACGATTTGACCATAGAATCACCGAGTGGACCGACGGTTTCGTTGCAATACTCAGCCGTATTGACGATGAGACATATGCACTTGATTTCCGCCGCTCGCTGCGCCTCGGGACGGCGAGCGTCCGTCGCGTTCAACGCTGCGACGTCGATGCGTTCGTTCAAAGCCTTGGCGTACGCGATGAGAACTTGTACGAACACCTGGTGCACGGCGAAGAGCGTCTTACCGCGCGTCAAATTGGAGCATCGCTTGAACACTTTCTTTATGTTCAAAAACACGCTCGTCGCGCTCGCCAAAATTCGTGGGTTTGTTTCGTCACCCTGCCAAGTTTCGTTTCGAATACTTTCGTTGATCTGCTCAAATAATTGACGTCGCTCGAGTGCGACGTAATCGGCGAGATGATCTTCGAAGCACGATCCAACGCTCCCCCGAAACATGAACGTCGCCGCGGCTTCCGCGGCCGAATCCATGGGCAGGACGCGCCCTCCGCGCAAGTTTTCTGTCTGTTTCTCGCGCTCAGCGCGCTCGAGTTTCTGCCGGAGCATCGAAGCCGACGCACTGTCACCTTCGAGCTCGTCGTCTTCCACACCCGCGCCAGTGCCGAAACGCTCGTCTAACTCCATCTCAAATTCTATGGTGACGTGCATCGCGTGCAAGAGCTTTTGTACGTCGTGCGGCCCGCGGGCATCAAGCGCCTCCGCGAGTTGTGCGCGCGTGAGCTTGCAAAGAGACACGCTTAAAAGTTGTGGCACGCGCCAATGCGCTGGAAATACCGCCCACATGGACTCCTTCGATTGTAACTGTCGCGTGATCCAATCATACCGTCTCGCGATGCGACCGAGGAAATCTCCACTCTCGTGCGCGCTGAAAACTGACGCGTAGTTGGTCAGCTCTCTGTTTGTGAGGTTGCCGACTAACTCTTCGCGCACGCTCGGTTCGAGCGCGTTCACGACGAGGCACGCGTCGCGTAATTTCTTCTGCGCCGCGGCGTCGCCGTCCATCACGTGCGGCAGCCACGTCGTGTGAAAATCATCAAACACCGCCGCGCGCAACTGATTCTTCACCCCGCGATACTTTTCCTGCAACTCCGCAATCTTCGGAATCTGCGAGTACCCCTCGAAGTGCGTCGCCAACTGCGACGCCGCCTGCAACAAATTCGCCGCGTCCCCGTACTGCCTCCGCAACGCGAACAACTCCAACTGTTCCATCCCGCTCACGAACATCGACAACCGTCGCAGCGTCGTGATGGAATTCGTCAAGTGATTCTTCGCCCTATCTAATCGCACTATATCCGCGCATATCTCTCGCACGTTCGCCTCCGTCGCCGCCGCCTTTCTCTCCGTCTCCGTCGCGCGTTCCGCGAGCGCGTCGATCCCGCTCACGATCACCTCGAAATCGTCCCTCGCTCGCGCTTCGCTCCCGTGTTGCGCTCGCAGCGCGCCCAATATTTCCGCGTCCACCAGTTTCACGCGCGCGCGGAGCTTCGCGATCATCTTATCGACGCCCGCGAGCGCGCGTTCGTCCGGGAGCACTCGATTGATGAAATCCACGGCGTTAAAGTTTTGGTGCTCGAACGCGTCTGTGGACGACATCGACGGCTCGCGCGCGTGCCGCGACGTCGAGGGCGTCGTCATGTTCGCGCGAATCCACGCGATCGACGCGACGCGAGACGCGCGTCGTCGTGTGGCGTCGCGGCGCGTCCGCCGCGCCCGGCGAATCCTTCCTACGGTGATTTTACGATTAACAAAGCTACATCCGCGTCGCGCGCGCGCGCGCTCACTTGCTCACGTTTCGCATCAACGTGATGTTATCCCCCTTCAACAAAATCCTCCCCACGCCGACGCGACGCGACTTCTTCTCCGTCACCTCCTCCGCGTCGTCCAACACCAAGTTCATGTACTCGTCGAAGCCGACGATTCGTCCCTCGACGCACGTGTCCGGATTCTCGTACATCCAAATCTGCACCCGAGCCTTGGTCTGCAGGAACCGAAAGATCAAATTCTGTCCGCGCGACGCGTCATCGCGCCGTCGTCAGTCGTTCGGTCCGTCGCGTCGGCTCGATTTCGTTCGATTCGCGTCGACGCGCGGCGCGGCTACCCTAGAGGAATTCTCGAATTCGCGTCCGCGCGCGTCCCGTCGACGTCGCGCTCGCGTCGAGGCGCGCGTCGCGGTCGCGTCGAGGCGCGGTCGCGTCGCGCGTCGCGGTCGCGTCGCGGTCGCGTCGTCGCGCGCGTCGTCGCGTCGCGTCGAAACGCACGATCGGCTGGGTCATGATGCGCTGCACCTTGGTCGCCATCTCGCCTCGGACTCGCGCGCGTCGCGCGTCGTCCTCGCGCGCGCGCGTTCGTGAGCTCGCGGGTCGTGCGCGTTCGCGCGCGCGGTCGCGTCGCGCGGTCGCGTCGTCGCGCGCGGAAGTGCGGCGCCGCCGCCACATCGCCGCGTCGCCGAACGCGAGCATGGGCGGCGCGCGCGACGGCGGGCGCGCGCCCAGGCAGGGCGCGCTCGGAGGATCGCTCGCGAGGTCCAAGCGCCGCGGCGAGGCGCCGGGCGCGGGACAGACGGCGTACGGCGCGCACGAGTCCACGGCGGGCGATTTCATGAACTACTCGCGAACGACGGACATAAATCGCGCGGACGGCAGCGGATCGGTGCTCGAGCGGAGCGAGCTGGATGAATTCTTTCACCTGGCGTCGCTGGCGAATCGAGACTTCACGACGGCGCGCGGACGGGAGCGGGCGGCGGTGGTGGCGGGGGGCGACGACGGACGAGACGGCGGCGGCGCGACGAACGAGACGGCGATGGAGGATGCGGCGGCGCGCGCGCGAGCGCGGGGGGAGGCGGAAACGCTACATAAAGACGCGCTGAGCGTGCCGAGACGACCGGCGTGGACGCACGAGATGCGAGCGGAGGAGGTGGATGAAAACGAACGGCGCGGGTTTTTGGAGTGGCGGCGCGCGCTGGCGGCGGTCGAGGAAGATTCGAGGTGCTCGCTGACGCCGTTCGAGAAGAACTTGGAGATTTGGCGACAGTTGTGGCGAGTGTGCGAGCGATCGGACGTCGTCGTGCAAGTGGTGGACGCGCGAGATCCGTTGTTTTATAGATGCGAGGATTTGGAGGCGTACGTCAAGGAGCTGAATCCGGGCAAGGCGACGATGCTGCTGTTGAACAAGGCGGATTTACTCAGTAAAGAACTTCGCCGGGCGTGGGCGGAGTATTTCAACGCCAAAGGGATTTCATTCTTGTTTTGGTCCGCTAAGGCGGCGTACGAGGAGATTGAGGCTGAACAAATCGCCGCCAAGGCGGCGCAGACGGCGAAGGAGCTCGAGGAGACAAACAGGCGATTGACCCTTCACGCGGGTGACGAGATCGACGATGACGCCATGGAGCTCGCCGCGGAACTTAGCGCGAAGGCGGAAGCTGCGCGTGAAGCCGCGGATGCGCACGCTGAGACGCTCCATCAGATGCAATTCGATAGCGCCGACGCCGCCGATCCAGCGCACATTTGGTCCCGCGCCGAGCTCTTAGACATTCTACAAAAGCGCGCGGAAGCGGCGGTGGAGGCCATGGGTTCGACTCGAGTGAAACGTAAAGGCCCACAAGCGAACCGTGTCGTGGTCGGTATGGTGGGTTACCCGAACGTCGGCAAGTCGAGCACGGTGAACGCCATCGTGGCGTCGAAGAAGACGGGCGTGAGCGCCACGCCCGGTAAAACGAAGCACTTTCAAACCCTCGAGCTCGGCGACGATTTGCTTCTGGCCGACTGCCCAGGTCTCGTGTTTCCGACATTCTCAACGTCAAAGGCGCATTTGGTGTGTAACGGCGTCATACCCGTCGATCGTCTCACGGATGTCACCAAGCCGATCGAAATCATCGCCGAACGTATTCCGAGGTCCACCATCGAACACGTGTACAACTTGACGCTTCCATTACCCGCGCTCCATGAAGACCAAGGGAGAAACGCAACCGCTCGCGAATTCCTGCGGGCGTACTGCGCTGCGCGCGGGTACACCGTTCAAGGCAATAGACCGGACGAAGTTCGCGCCGGTCGCGCCGTGCTCAAGGATTACATCAGCGGAAAGCTGCTGTATTGCGTCGCCCCAGATGGCTACGACGGCCCGCTCGGGGCGTCGCGCGTGGGCGAAGATGCGGTCGCCGGGTACGGCGCCGGTGCGATCGAGCCTAGCGCTCGCAATGAGTCGAAAAACGATGACGGCGTGCCTGACGACCCGCTCGCCGCCGCGGTTTTGGATGACATGATGGCGACGCTCGGAATCCAAACGGGCAGAACCAAAGAGCGACAACGCGCTGAGCACAAGTATCAAAAGAAAGGTAAAAAAGAAAAGGGGAGGGTGAAGTACAAAGACGCCGGTGTCAACGCGGCGGTCGGCGGACAAGGATTTTTGGTCGGGAAGCGGGGAGGCATCATGCCAGCGTCGGTTCAGGCGCTGCACCGAAGCGCGCTCGGGGAGGAGTAGAAACCACGCTGTAGATAGAACGTTGTTTTAATTCACAACCTGTATATCGGTTAATTTCCTAAACTCGACCAAGCGAGACGCGCTAGTCGCGACTATTTCCCCCATCATTCTATAGCTCGAGTGCGTCACTCCGGCGATGTGAGGCGTGAAGTACGTGTGCTCGTGCCGAACGATCGGATCCTCGGGATCGACAGGTTCACTCCACGCCACATCGCTCGCTAAATAACCCAAATGCCCACTTTTCAAGCTTTTCAACACGGCGTCGCGATCGAACAAGCCCCCTCTCGCGATGTTCACCAACGCCGCGCCCGGCTTCATCGCCGCCAAAAACTCGTCGTCGATCATCCCGGCGTTCGACGGATCTTGCGTGCACGCGACGCACACCACGTCCGCCGCGCGCAACAGCGCACGCAATCCATCCCGGTCGCTCGTCCCGCACACCGCTCGCAACGGTATCCCACATCGATCGCTCTCGTCCTCGGCCCACTTTGATTTACGCGCCGCCGTCAACGCGCACTCAAATCCGCGCAATCGCGCCGCAATCTTCACCCCGATCGCCCCCCATCCCAGTATCATCACCTCGCACTCGCTCAGCGCGTTCCCCGTCGGCGCGCCGAGTTTACGACTCCGCACGCTCGCCGACATGGCGTCGTGACGTCGCAGCGCCGCCAGGACCAAGTACACCGCGAGCTCCGCCGTGCTCGTCGCGTTCCCCGTCTTCTCCGAAGGGATCCGCGCCACGGTGACGCCCAGCGCGGTCGCGCACTCGATGTCCACGCCCTCTAACCCGACGCCGAACTGCAGGACGTGCGTCAGCGCGCCGGCGGCGCCGATTTTCAACAGCTCGGCGTCGAGTTTCGTCATGAGCGGAACGGCGACATCGCAGCGCGAGATCTCGCGCGCGACGTCCTCGCGCGCGCATCGCGCGACGTCCACGTCGAGATCGTTGTCGTCGACGTACGCGCGCGTGTGGGCGTAGCCGTCTTCGAATTCTAGACCGCAAAAGAGCACGCGCGGACGACGCATGGCGTCGCTCGCGTCGCGCTCTGCGGCGTTCTACAACGCTATTCTAGGCGACGCGAGGAGCGCCGCTGGGATTCCAGTCGTCGTTGATCGCGATGACGTCGAGTTGAATGATCTCGGCCCTGCAGCCGAGTAAGTCGCCCAGACTGGGGGCGGTGCGCCCGGCGTCGCCGTGCACGAACTCTTTGACGTACGTGCCCGCTTGCGTGCGAAGACGCAGGATGAAGGAGTCTGGAGATCCAGGGATGGGCTCGGAGGACATGCTGACGATCGTCCTCGGACGCACCAAGTCCGCGCGTCTGTGCGCGACGCGCGTGGGGGTGGATTGCTGCACGACCAAGCGCGACGTCGAGGCGATCTTTTCGTGGTCCTCGGGCGTCGCCTCGCGCGAGACGCGCACGATGGCGACGTAACTCTTTTCTTTTTCGTGTTCTTCTGAGCTCATCCCGACCGCGTGATAGTTTTCCTTCGTCGTGAAGCACAGACCGCGAACGCGCACGCCCGTGATATCGGACTGTGCGTTGATTTCGCGCTCCATGGCGGCCACGTTCTCCGCGCTCGCGAGCGGCGTCTTGGGGTCGTGCACCTGCAACGCGAACGGACGTCCGTCGCTCAGCATGCGCACGTCCATGTCTTCGCGACCAGAACTGTTGAATTTCGCCCCATTCGATCCTAGTCCCTTCAGAACCACTCGTTCGATCGCCTCGACCACGCTTCCGCGCCCTATTCGCGCGCCAGTCTCGCGAGAGATCCACTGCGACTGGGGCACGCCGCGATCGAGCTTGACGTACCAACCGCCGACGTGCACGGGCGCGTGAAACGCTTCCAGCACGCACCGCACGCGATACCGCGGTGCGGTCAGCTCGAAAGCCTCCATGAATGCATCGCTCTCGTTGAATCGCGCGTCGGCGAGACGCCGCGCCGCGTCTTCGTACGCCCTCGTCGCCGTCTCGAATTCGTCCGCGAACGGATCCTCTGGCGAACTCAGCTTCGCGAGAAAGTCATCCTTCTTCCCACCTCCACCACCTCGCTTGCGCTTCCCCTGCCATCGCTGCTTATCCCATCCCTTCTTTCCTCGCTTATGCCTCGCCTCTCGCTCTTTCGCGCTCAACTGAAGCTTCACCGCGGATAGAAATTCCGTCTCGCGTTGGTCGTCGCCGTACTTGTACTTCGCCGTCAGCGCGTACTCAGCCCCGTTCGCGTTCTCCTCGCACCCGAGCGCCTCCGTGAGCGTCGGCGCGACGATGATTCGCAACGCATCGTCGATCGGCGTCACGCGCGTCGTCGCGGGATCGATCGCGCGCGATAAAAGCGTCGCTCTCTCGCGCGCGAGCACCGCCGCCGGTAAAATCACGTTAAGCTTAAACGACCCCGGTCTGTGTCCACGCGCGACCGCGCGCGTCGCGAACGCGTCGACGGACGCGATGTCTAATATGGTTTTCGGTCTTTCATCGCGCGCGCGCTCGTTCGACGCGCGCGGCGCGCGAGAGACGGCGATTTGTAAGATGCCCAGGCACACCGAACACGCGCTCGACGCGCTCGACGCCTCGTTCGCGTCGCCCGATCGCTCGATCGGCGCCGTCTCGGCGTCGCACGCCTCGACGTACGCGTCGCGGTCGACGCACGCGCGAAAGCGGAGCTCGCACGCGGCGCAGACGCGCATGAGCGACGCCGTTTGGCGTCACTGCGCGACTCGAGAGGCACACATGTTGACTTTGAGAGCGACCGCGCGACCGCGCGCGCGCGTCGCCGCGCGCGCGGCGCCGCGGAACGGACGCGCGCGCGTTCTCGCGCGCGCGGCGCCGAAGAAGGACGAGAAAGGATTCTTCGAGGCGGACCTGGTGAACGATTTAAAGTCGGTGGACGGCGACGAAACGATGAGTGGTTTGCTTTCGGGTGACGCGCAAGCGATCGCGGGCGCGGTCGGGCTCGTCGCCAACGGCGTGACGTCCTGGTCGCTCTGGGTGCTGTACAACACCGGGTGCGGGCTGCCGCCGGGGCCCGGCGGAAGCCTCGGCGCGTTGGAGGGCGTTTCTTATCTCGTGGTGACGGCGTTCGTCGTCGCGGCGACGGCGAAGAAGATTAAGACGGGCTCGGGGCTTCCGGCGGGCCCGGGAGGCGTGCTCGGTGGCGCGGAAGGTATCTCGTTCTTGGTGGCGTTGATCGGATTGGGAGTGCTCGCGAACCAGGTTTTACACTTTGGATACGTGCCGAACGCGATTCCGACGGAGGGCGGAAAGTGTTACTGAGAGAAGTCGCGCGCGCGCGTCTCACGGATTCGTGGATGTTTGCCGAGAGTGAGAACGCATCAATTATTTTAGACCTTCCAATTTGAAAGTGATAATGCATCATTTATTAATTATTTGAGATCTTCCAATTTGACGTCGACCTCTTCGCGGCTGGCTAAGTCTTTGACGCGAACGTTCCCCGCTTCCCATTCCTTTTCGCCGAGCAAAATGACGCGTTGGGCGCCGACGCGTTCGGCTTGCTTGAACGCCCATTTCGCTTTCTTGTCTTCGAGGATGAGATCAACGGTGCGACCGGCGTCGCGAAGCTGGGCGGCGACGCGCATCGCCGCCGGGCGCAGCGACTCGCCGAGCGGGAACACCAAGTCTTGGACGTCGCCCTTGGAAAAGTCGGGCATCAAACCCTTATCCTTGAGCAGCTCCACGATGACGGCGTCGCCGAACCCGAACCCGACCATGGGTTGATTCTCGCCGCCTAACGCCCCAAGAAGCATGTCGTATCGCCCGCCACCGCAGATGGCGCGAAGTTCGCCCGCGCGATCGAAACCTTCGAAGACGATGCCCGTGTAGTACGCCAAACCGCGAACGACGCACGCGTCGAACACGAGCCAATCTCGGTAGCCGTACGCATCGGCGTACTCAAAAAGCTTCTTTAAGTCCTTCACCGCCTCCGCGTCCGGGCCGATGAGGGCCTCGAGCTCTTCTACCGTGCGCATCGACGTCGCCGCCAAGATGCCCTCCACCGCCTCGTCGCTCACGCCGAGCTCTCTGAGCTCTTCCTCAATCTTTTCGCGCGGGAGCTTTTCAATCTTATCCACCACCACACACACGGGCGCGAAAGATTCGCTGTCGATCCCGAACCGCGTCAACACCTCCTGCAACAGCTTTCGCGAGCTCACCTTGATGCCTACGTCGGCGCTCGTCACCCCCACCCTCTTGAAAAACGTCGTAATGGCCGCCAACAACTCCGCCTCCGCCTCCACCCCGCTCACGCCGACGATGTCCATATTCCACTGATAATGCTCCCGACGTCTTCCTCGCGTCATGCGCTCGTATCTCCAGCACTGCCCGATCGCGAACCACTTCGCCGGCAACGCCAACGACTTGCCTTGCTGCAAAATCAACCGCGCGAACGACGGCGTCAACTCCGGCCTCAGCGCCACCCTGCGATCGCCCTTATCCGAAAAGTTATACAACTGCGTCGTGATCTCTTCCCCAGCCTTCCTCGTGAACAGTTCCTCGCTCTCCAGCACCGGCGCGTCGAACTCGTCGAACCCGAAAACCTTCGCGCACTCTCGAAAGTGTCCAAACAGCCACGACCGCTGTCGCATCTCCTCCGGCGGGAAATCTCGCGTCCCCTTCGGCGGCTGCAGATCGATCGTCGCCCGCTTCGCCCCGCGCTCGCTCGCGCGCGTCGGATCCACCGTCGTCGTCGTCCGTCCGCCGTCGCCCCCTCGCGACGACGTCGCGCGCGTTCGCGTCCCCCACGCCCGTCGCGGCGCGACTCTCGCCCCCGGCGTCGTCGCGCACGCCCGCGCGCACTCCCGTCGCGCCCTCACCGCGCGTCGCGCGCACAACCGCGCGCTCGACGCGACGAGTCGCGCGCGCATCGTCGACGACGCGCGCGCGCGTCGCGCAGTGCCGCTCGATCGATCGCGCGCGCGCGCCTCGAAACTCGCATCGTCGATCGACCGACGCCGCGAAACCTCTTCGCGAGGTTCGATCGCCGATCGCGCGATCGATCGATCGAGCGAGCGATCGCGCGCGCTGAAAATCTGACGTGGATCGCGATCGACGGATCGATCGCACATTACGACGCGAACGCCGCGCCGTCGAACGCGCGATCGACTCGACGCGCGCGCGAACGCGAGGACGAATTCTCGTCGCACCGCGTCGAGCGTCGCGCGCGCGAGACGCGCGCCGGAAGAGACGCGAGAGGGGCGCGAAAGTAATCTTGAAAACATCGCGAACGACGCGTAACGACCGAGGATGTCGAACGCGGTGCCGAGGACGTCGTGCGGCGCGAGCGCGGTGCGCGACGCGCGGTGGACGCGCGCGCGAAAATGCTCCGCGCGGGGGGGGGGCGCGCGCGGCGCGGTGCGCGTGCGCGCGGCGAACGCGGGATCGGACGTGAAGATGCTCGTCCAAGGGCTGCATTTGGAGATCACGCCGGCGATCGACGAGTACTGCCGCGCGAAGATCGGGAAGGCGTGCTCGCACGTGGATCCGAGGGAAATTCGTGAGGTGGACGTGCGATGCAGCGCGCGCGGCGGGGAGGATTCTCGAGGCGGGCACGAACACAAGACGGAGGTGACGGTTTTGATGACGCGAGGGACGACGCTGCACGCCGACGGGACGGGAGAGAACTTGTACGCGACGATTGATTCGTGCGCGGATATCGTGACGAGAGCGATCCGAAAGCACAAGGAAAAACACTCTGGAAAGGGATCGAGACATGCCTCGCACGAGGCGTCGGCGAAGGATGCGTTCATGGCTGACGACGACGACGGAGACGACGTGCCTCCGGCGGCTTGATCGCGCGACGACGAGAACGTCGCGGCGGCGAATCCGCTCAGCCGCAGTGAGCGCGTCTTACACGTTACAGCGCTCTGAAATTAACTCTTACGACTCTTAATTCTTTACTTAATATAACGAAATGAGTTCTAAAAATGAATCACAGCCTCACTTTGACGTCCCCGGAGGACACACTTTGTCGAGCAAAGCGGCGGTTTGAAGCGGCGAAATCAATTCATTCGCCGCGCTCCAACCGCCCGCGGCTACGGCCGGGACGCCAGGGCCGGGAAAGTTAGAGTCGCCGACGACAAGCAGGCCTGGAAGCGGCGTCGACGCGCTCGTGATCGGAATGCTGTCTTGATCCTCGGATATCCAACCCGTGCCCCCGTACGTGCCCTTCGCCCTTCGCAAGAATCTCTTTTGCGTCACGGGCGTGCCGACCATCGTGATTTCGCAGCGTTTGCGCACGTCTGGGATGATCTTTTCTACAGCTTTCCAAAGCACTTGCGAGCGTTCCTCCTTCAACTTTTTGTACTCGTCCGAGTTACGGTCGAGCCCGTCCCAAATATCGAGGGGCTCGTTTCCGGGCGTGTACGCGTGAATCACGTGCTTGCCCTCGGGCGCCATCGAGGGGTCGAGTACGGAAGGAATGCTCACGAGCACCATGTTTTGCTCCGCCGTGACGCCGCGATCCCAATCTTCGACGTAAATGTGATGAATCTCTAAGTCATCGGGAAGGCCGGCGGCGTCGATGCCGAGATGCAAGTGCATGAACGACTCGCACATCGCCGTCGATGTCGCTTCTTCTATCCACTCTCGAGGCATCGCATCCGGTGGTAGCATCGGTACCGTGTCCCAGAGCGTTGCGTTCGATATCACAGCCTTGTTAGCCTTGTAAACCTTTCCGTCTCTCGTCCGCACGCCCGTCGCGCGCTTCTCCTTGCCTTCGCCTTCGACGATGATTTCCTCGACGTGTGTCCCGAGCTCTAGCTCGCCGCCAAACTTCTTCAGCCCTCGCACGAGCGCGTCCACGATCGCTCCGCTCCCGCCCATCGGAAACTCGAGCATCGAGTTTGGCTTGTACCAATCGTCAAACATGTATCCGATCTCCGCCGCCATCGTTCCGCTCGCGGGCGCCCCGCTGAGCAAAAAACAGAGCATCTCCATGTAATTACGAATGAACGGGTGCTTGATGTCGTTCTCCGCCATAAACTTGCTATACGGCGCCATAATCTTCCCGATGTACGGCGCCGATCGCACCAATCCCGGCACGAATCGCGCCAGCGTGAACGCCCCTCCGACGTCGCTTCGCACCGCCGCCGGCGGCAGCGACGCGCTCGCCGTCGCCAGCGGTTCCATCAGCGCCTTCAACCGCGTCCACTCCTCGCACGCCTCCTCATCCACGTACTCTCGCAGCACCTCCAAGAACTGATCGTTCCCGACCTCCGTCACGAACGTTCCCTCCGGCAGGTGACACGTCCACGTGTTGTACCGCGCGCACGCCACGCGTTCGTCGATCGCGTGCAGCACCTGTCCCATCGGGTTCGTCGTCGGTCGCGCCTCCAGCCCCGAGTACAGCGACGGTCCGGATTCGAACGTGTATCCACCGCGCGTCCACGCGTGCGCGGCGCCGCCCGCGACGACGTGCGCCTCGAGCACGGTCACGCGCAGTCCCCGCGACGCGAGCAGCGCCGCCGCGCTCAGGCCGCCGAGACCGGCGCCGACGACGACGACGTCCGCGTCGCGCGCGCGCGCGATCGTCGCGCGCCGCGCGGGACGCGCGCGCGCGCGCGCCGGCGCCGGCCGCGTCGACAGCGCGGCGCGCGTCGCCATCGCGTCGCGTCGACGAGTGGCGACGACACACGACCGCGCGCGACGCGCGCGCGCGACGCGAGCCGCGAGGACGGACGCGCGGGACGCGGCGCGCGGCGCGGGACGGACGCGGGACGCGGGACGCGCGCGCGGCCGGACGCGCGCGAGATGGTGCTCGCGGAATCATCGACGACGACGACGACGACGACGACGGCGACGACGCGACGACGCGCGCGCGGACGCGGCGCGAAAATCGTCCTGGCGTGCGCGTGCGCGATCGTCGTCGCGGTGCGCGCGCGCGCGTGCGAGGCGAATTTCGGGTGGAACGGGGAGAGCGACGCGGCGACGGCGGCGGACGGCGAGACGGCGACGGCGAACGTCGTCGCGGACGCGAAGAGGGAGGAGGTGCCCGTGGACGTGGAATCGGTCGAATCGGTGATCAAGGAAAAGAAGCGACGGAAGAAGTCGGTGAAGAAGGCGGCGAAGAAGCCGGTCGAGGAGGAGGAATTTAAGCCGTACGATCCCGAGCTCGGCGAAGGCGAGAGCGCGATCGGTTCGATACACGAGGCGATCGATGACGACGATATGGAGGAGCTCGAAGATTTGTTGAGATGGAAGCCGAATTTGAGAGAGAAGTGTCAAAAGTTGGGAGAGACGCGGCATTACGTGCCGATCATGAAGGCGGCGTTCTTAGGAAACGCGCGAGCGATGGATTTGTTGATCGATTACGGCGCCAACGTAAACGAGATTGACGCGATCGGGTACACCGTGCTCATGCGTTCGGTGTTATCCAAGTGCGCGGAGTGCGTACGGATCTTGGTCGAGGCCGGAGCTGTGGTCAATTACGTGCAAAAGACACCGATGATGGACTTGGGGCTATCGGCGCAAAAGCTCGCCATGCTGATGGGCGAACGCGAGATCGCCGAGATACTAAGGAATGCCGGCGCGGATGAATTGGAAACCGGGGCGGAGAAGAAGCGCCGGCTGCAAAAGGAGGGTGCGGAGCGATTCAAGGAACACGTCGAGGCGCAAGGCATCGACGTAGATATCGACAAATTGCTGAATACGACGGTGGACGACTTGAACGTCAAAAACTCGCAAAGCGGCGACGTCGTGGTCAACGTCAACGGCACGAACGCTACAATGACGCACGATGAGACGAAAGATTATCGCAATCTCGAAGAGAAGATCGCACAGGCAAAGCTGAAGGCGGAGGCGGAGGCGCGAGCGAAAGAGGCGTGCGCCTCCGACGCCGGCGACGGCTCGTGCGCGTTCGATCCCACCACCAAAGACGAGCTCTAACCTATCAACATCTATGTATTGCACAGCACTGCGCACGCTAATCAAAACTACGACTTCCGCTTCCCTCCGCGGCGCGCGACGCCGCCAACAACTCGCGACCGCGTTCGACGGCGACTCGCGCCACCGCCCGCTTCGCCTCCAAGCTCGCGTCCGACCGCAACCCCAGCGCGCACACGATCGGCCTGCGCGTCGTAAAAATCGCGCGCCCGGCGTTTTCGCGTCAGTCTGGCGTTCGCGCGTCGTCGTCGCGTTCGCGCGTCGTCTCGTCGCGGCGTCGCTCGACGCACTTTTCCAAACCTTCGGTGAACAGCACGTCCGCTATCCTTCTCGCGCACGCCCGCAGCGCGTCGTCGTCGCGCCTGCCGATCACCGTGCGCGCGATGACGGTGTCCATGCTCGCCGTCGCGTCGTCCATCGTCTCGCCGTCGTCCTCGTAGGAGGGATCGCTGAGCTCGACCGATTGACTGCGAGAGAGATGAAACACCGTGCCGAGTTTACCGATCTGCGTCGCGACGACGAGGACGCGGTCGGCGTACTCGGTGATCAAGAACTCGGTGTGCGCGCCGTCGATGACGCACGCGCACTGACCGGCGCGGGGAGGGAACATCGGGGAGAGGCGCGAGGTGAGGCGACGGGAAGACGCGCGCGACGGCGCCGCGGCGCGATGCGTTACAACAAAGGCGACAGCCACGCGGCGACGACGGCGGTTATCACGCCGGACACCAAATTCACCGCGCTATTGCTGAGGAATTCTGAACCACTGATGCGGGTCACCGTGGGCCCGGGTTTGCTGACGACTTTTTGACGCTCTTCGCAAAAGCCCGAGTATTGAATCGTGGCGCCGAGAACGCTGTCCACGAGCGAGCCGAAGACGCCGGCGACGGCACCGAATGCGATCACTGACGCGGCGTTAGAGGGCGCGACGAGCGCGCCGCCGTCGGTCGCGACCGCGCGAAGGGCTGATTGACCTAGATGGAACGCCGCGCCGACGACGGCGCCGCCGCTCGCGCTCGCGACCCAGCCCAACGCGGTGACGCCGCCGTTCGTTCCCGCGGCGACCTCGCGCCGCCAGTCGATGATCAACCTGGGCTTGGATTTTGACAAAACCCCGAGCTCACTCGCAAACGTATCGCCGCCGCAGCACGCGTAATATCCGAGGTACGCGCTCGCCAAAGCGCTCGTCGCCTCGGCGCCGAAACCGCCCGACGCGAACGCGAGCGCGATGACCGTCGGCACGAACCCATTCGCGAACACTTGCACCCAATCGCGCCCACCACCGACTTTAAAGTGTTCATCCACCCGCTTCTTCACGTCCGACCGCACGCGCGTCACCGCGCTCGACGCGAAGAAGAACGCCGCGAGCGCGGCGCCGAATCGAACATCCGCGTAAATACTCCCGAACCCCACCCCGATCGCCGCGAGCGCCCCGCTTTCGTCGAGCGACTTTTTCTTGTACCCCACGAGCGCGAGCAACAACCCCAGCGCCATCGATCCGATCGCGCGCGCGTGCGGACCTCGCGCCGCGTGCGTCGCCGCGATGCAACCGACGCTCGCCACGCCCGCGACGAGCAGCGTGACGATGCTCGACGTCGCCGACGTCTCGTTCGAGCTCGGCGTCGCCGCGGACGCTTCTGCCGCCGTCGCGCGATGCGCCGCCGCGACGTCGCCGCGCGTCGGCGCGCGACGACGGCGTTTCGGCGTCGCGCTGCCGATGGACGCGACCGCGCGCGCGTCGTCGACGATCGACGCGCGCGCGCGCGTTCGACGCGCCGGCGACGGCGGAGGCGTCGATGAAGGCGACTTCGATCGGATCGTCGTCGCGCGGGCGCGGGACGACGTCGACGCGCGGGCGATGGCGATGGATGCCATGACGACGCCGCGCGGAGGCGCCGAGTGCGGCGCGGCGCGCGCGGCGACGCGGCGACGACTGGAGAGAGATGCGCGCTGGCGGCAGCTATCGGTGATGTGACGCGTCGCGCGCCGACGCGTCGAGCGCGTCGTGGTTGAATATCACGGTCTTCCGTTACAAGTGAACGAGCGAGCCGGTCGAGCGGCTATACATGAACAGGTCGCGTCACAAAAGTTTGAAAAATTGTTTCAAACTCGCGCTTAAAGAACCGGCGTGCGGTCGACGGCTTGAAGGGTGACGAAGTTGTAACCTGCGTGGGAGACGAGAGATAGCGGGGTCAGTGAGTGCTCGTGGAAAACACGCGAACGCGGTCGTCGATGGGCGAGGCGCGCGCGCGCGTTACGTACCGAACGGATCGGCGACGTGCTTGCCCCAGTTGGCAGCCGGACCTTCACCGGTGGTAAGACCTTGCACGAAGACGCCCAACATGGCGATCATCGCCAAGCGACCGTTCTTGATTTCCTTGACCTTCAAGAGGGCCAAGTCTTGCGGGTTGGAGGCGACGTTGAAGAAGTCGAGCGGGCCACCCGGGTTGATCGGGTCGAGGCCCTTGAACGCCGACTCGTCGAACTTGCCCTTGAACGGCACGAAACCGGCCGGACCTTCACCGCTCGAGCGGAATTGCTCGACACCAGCCATGAGCGCAACTTGGACGGCCGCGAACACGATCGGGTTCTCGAGGAAGAACGGACGGCCGGTTTCGCCGTCGAGGAACACCTTGCCGGTTTCCGTCCAGACGCCGCCCGGCAAGCCGAGCGCCTCCGGGATGACGACACCCGGGATCGCGAGCATCGCCCATCGAGCGTGGATGACTTCCGCGACGCGGTATTGCTTGATCGCACCGTCGGCGCCGAGGCCGAGCGGGTCGAAGCCGTAATCACCCGCGAGCGTACCGTCGAGGTAGCTCGGCAAATCCGCCTTGGTCAAGAGGCCGCCCGGCAAGTACAACTTACGGTCCGGACCTGCGTCGAACGCGTCGTCGCGCATCGTCAGTCTCCCCATCGCGCGCGTTTCCTTCGCCCTTCTCACCCCCCCGCGTGCCGCGCGTCCCTCGCGCCCGCTCTATCGTCCCTCGCGCGCGTCCGTCCCGCGTCCCGCCTCCGTCCCGCGCGCGCGATCGCAACCATATCTTCCGATTTCCGCCACGCGTCCTCCCGCGCGCGCGTCCCGCGTCGCCCCGTTCGCGCGAACGCGCACTTAACGATCGATTCCCATCGCGCGCGCGCGTCCTGTGCGCGTCCGCGCGTCGTCGCGCGCGTCGAACGATCCTATCCGATCGCCTTTAAAAGATACGCACCGTACCACTTCGCGAGCGCCTCCTTGGCCGCGGTCGGCGACTTGGCCGCCTTCTTCGCGACCGGCGCCTTCTTCTTGACCGGCGCCTTCTTGACCGGCGCCTTCTTCGCGACCGCCTTCTTCGCCGGCGCGGCCTTCTTGACCGTCTTCGCGCTCGCCTTGGGCGCGGCGCCGCCGAACGGATTCGGCAGCGACGGCAGCGACGGCGACGCCTTCTTCGCCGGCGCCTTCTTGATCTGCGTCTTCGCCGGCGCCTTGGCGGTCTTGGCGGGCGCGGGGGCGGCTTTCTTGAGCAGGGCGTTGACTTGCATGGTCCTGTGCGCGCGTGCGGGAGTGTCGCGGCGCGACGAAGCGCGCGATCGCGCGATCGACCGCGCGCGCGACGGGCGTCGCGTCGGGCGGCGCGGGGTGGAGATCGATACCGGTTCGGGGTCTTTGAATGCGTGATTTCAATGCGATGGGTGGTTTATTGGGTGGTGGTTCGATCGCGAGACTGTTTGCGCGTACGCGCGCGCGCGGTCGGTCGATGGATCGGCCCGTAAGCGATCGCGCCGATCGCGCGGCGAAGGCGCCGACGCGCGGGTTCGCGCGGAGCGAGTATCGTGGTTTCTGTTTACGCGTTGCGTTCTTTTTTGTCGGCGAGGGCGAGGACGCGAGGGGAGGACGCGACGCGACGCGCGCGGCGAAGGCTCTGCGATGTGTCGGTTCGACGTTCGATCCGGCGCTGGTACTCACAACGTCGACGTTCTAAACGAGCGACGCGACGCGCGCGCGGCTTAAAGCTTGGCCAAGCAGTCGCTCTCGTGCAAGACGACGAAGCCGTTGCCTTCCTCGTCGGTCATTTGGTCACCGGCGTACTTGAAGTAAATCACCTTGTCGCCCGCCTTCAGGGTCATCGGCTTGACTTCTTCGTCTTTTTCGCCCGCCTTGCCCGGCCCGACGGCGACGACGGTGCCGACGATGGGCTTCTCCTTGGACCCCTCCGTGAGTAAGATGCCCCCCTTGGTTTCCGCGGCCGCCTTCTCCACCGACAACAGGACGCGATCGCCGCAAGGTTGAAGCTTTGGGATATCGTTCGCGCGCGCGCCGCTGCTCGGGAGCGTACCGATGAGATCTTGTTCTCGAATCATCGTGTACTCCTCGCCGGCGACGACCACGTCGGTGCACCCGATGCCGAATCTGCTGTACAACACCGTGGAACCGGTCTTGACGTGTTTCACGTCCGGTCCGATCGCCGTGACGTCGCCTGCGCGATTCATTCGTCATCGTCGTCAGTCTTCGCGCGTCGCTCGCGTTCGCGCGTCGATCCATTCGCGTCTCGCGCGTCTCGCCGCGCGTCCCGCCGTCAAACCCTCAAGGTTAGGGTGTCGTCCTTTATCCCCCGCGCGCGTCGCGCGGTCGCGTCGCCCGTCCTCGAGCGCGCGCGCGTCGGTCGAACGCGTCGACGCACCGCTCGTGGGCTTGCGCTGCGCGCTCTCCGTGAGCACGATCCCGCCCTTGGTCACCGTTTCCGCGGCCGCCACCTTGATTAAGACGCCCGCGCCGCACGGCGTCACCGTCTTGTACGCCGACGGCACCTCGAACGCGGCGCCGGCGCGCGTGACGACGCGCGCGCGCGCGCGCGGAATGACCGCGGGCGCGATGCGCGCGCGCGAGTGCGCGGAGACGGCGAACATTCGGATGTGCGGCGAGTAATGAGGACGCGCGCGCGGCGTCGGCTTCTGGAAGGACGCCTCCGCGGCGCGCGCGGAATTTGGAGACGTCGTGGACGTCGTCGCGCGACGCGCGATGGGGAAGAAAACGACGGTGGGTGAAGTATACTAATATTGGGAGGGTAGGCTAGCGCGGGGAGGCGGCGGCGTCTGCGACGGCGGCGCCGCGCTCGACGTCGTCGGCGCTCTCTCGGCGAAGCGACTCGATGGAAGTCTTCCGGCGCATTACAATCGCTACTTTCGAGGGCTACGAGATCGCGCGAGCGAGCTGTCCCTCCTTCGCGTCCTCGCGTCGCGAGGGTGTAATGCTGCGGCTGGGTCAACCCTGGGTCAACCCTGGGTTAACCTGCCGCAGGCGAGCGATAGTTTGTACGCTATCGCCGCCTTGTTTCGCGTGTCTTCTGGCGTCGGCCTCTGCGCGAGGGTCAGTCTGCGCGGCCCGTCTCGGAGATGACGATCGCGCGAGTCGGCGCGCGAACGCGCGCGCGCGCGTCCATCGCCGCGCACATCGATTCAAAAGAATTCGTACCCGCTTTCTTTCCTTCGTTTTCGTGTCTTGCTAGTCGCGCGCGCGACGCCCGAGGCGCCGCCCGAGGCGGGATCCGGCGCCGAGAAACGCCGCTTCAACGCGCCCCATCTCGCGCGTCCGCGCGTCGCGCGCGCCGCGGCGCGGCGCTCGAACGACGCGCGGTTCGACGCTCGACTTTTTTTCTTCTCTCGCGACGCGTCCGCGACGACCGCGCCGAGTCGCGCGCGCGTCGCAGAGTGCCGAGGTGCCCTCGCGCGCGTCCGAGGCGCGCGTCACGAGGTCGAGACGCCGAGACGAAACGTCACATGGAGGCATGACGAAGAAGACGCACGCGAAAAAGTTTCTGCGACGCCAACGACGCGTGGCGGAGAACGCGCGCGTCGCGGGGGACCGAAATTTCGCGCGGCTCGCGCAAATCGCGCTCGCGCCCGGTCAAGACGCGGGCGACCGAGCGATATGTGCGCGCGCGGCTGCGAGTCGTCTCGCGAAGCTTTGCGCGGCGCCGGAGCTCGTCGCGAGCAAGCGCGTTCGCGAAACCTCGCTCGAGGAGGGCGACGGTCGCGGCGCCCTCCTCGGCGCTCGGGGCGATCGCGAGGCGTGTACGCGTACGACGATCAGTGCGCGTTGCCGTTGTACACGCGCTTCTGTGCCCTCGCAGCAGCGACTCGTCCACGCTCTCGCGCTGCCACGCCGCCGGGATCTCGACGTTATACGCGCGTCTCGCGCCGTCATCGCGCGCGCGAAACGCCGACGCCGCGTCGCCGCCGTCGGTCGCCGGCGCGCGCGCCATCGTCGTCGCGCGCGTCGGCGTCGACGGCGCGCGCGACCGTCGGCGTCGTTTCGGGTCACCGGTCCGTGTTGTGTCGTTTCGTATCCGTGAGACTGGTCCGTGTTTCGCTCGCCTCCCTGTGCGCGACGCGCGGCGCGCGACGCCGCGGACGCCGACGCCGCGACCGCGCGCGCGACGAGGCGAGCGACCGCGCGCCGAAGCGCCTCGGTCGCGGTCTCGAACGCGCGAACGCGCGAACGCGCGAACGACGCGCGAACGGCGGACGACGCGACGCGAACGCGAGATCTTTTGGATTTCAAAAAGCATCGCGAAAGAGCTTCGAGGCGACGCGCGGCGCGATTGAGACGCGCGATCGAGACGCCGAACGGCTCGGCGAGATGAGCGCGGAGTTTACCGTCGCGGCGCGCGCGCTCGGACGCGGGAGCGGGACGCAGGGAGAGTTGACGCTGAGCAAGGCGATCGGCGCGCGGTTTCGAGCGGCGACGGGCGCGGGCGAGCAGAAGAAGACGGAGATCGAGGCGGGGAAGGTGCGCGAGGTGCGATGGAGCGACGCGCCGACGGGTGGGGTGCTGCGAGTGCGATCGACGGACGGACGGACGCTCGTGCTGGGAGGGATGGGGACGGAGGACGCGAAGAACGCGGCGGAGTACGCGGCGCGCGAGCTGGGGTGCGCGAGCGGCGAGACGAAGATGAACGTGAACGGACGGAACTGGGGCGACGTCGCGATCGAGGGGAGCGGGACGGTGTTTGAGGTCGGTGGGAAGACGGCGTTTGAGATCGATGGGCAGTACATCTCCGAGGCGACGGTCGTCGGGAAGAGCGACGTCGTCTTGCAATTTCACCACGACGACACGGCGGCGGAGAAGGATTCTTTGGTGGAGATGTCGTTTTACGTTCCGCCGGGCAGCGAGACTTGGAAAGGAGACGATATGGAAGATCCCGATGACACCGCGGCGAAGCGTTTGCACGCGGCGATCATGTCGATCGCCGCCGCCGACGCCGAGGCGGGCGAACCCGTGGCGGAATTCGACGGCGTCTCCATGGTCGTCCCGAGAGGCAAGGTTTCGATCGAGTTGCACAACACGCACATGCGCATGCAATCCTCGACGCTGGACTTCAAGGTTCAGTACAGCTCCATCGTTCGCGTGTACTTGCTTCCGAAGCCGCACTCGAACCAGTCGCACGCGGTCATCGCGCTCGACCCACCGATTCGCAAGGGACAAACGTTTTACCCGCACATTCTCGCCATGTTCAACGACGACGATCATCTCACGGTGGAACCAAACTTGGCTGCAGACATGAAAGACAAGTTCCCCACCCTCGAGTCGACTTACGACGGCTCCTCGGGAGAAGTCTTCGTGCGCGTATTGAAAAACATGGCTGGCGTCAAGTTGACGAGACAAAGCTTATTCACCGCCTCGGCGGGCGGACACGCCATCCGCGTGTCGCACAAGGCTGACGTCGGCCTACTGTACCCGCTTGAAAAAGCGTTCTTCTACTTGCCCAAACCTCCGCTGTTGTTGCACTACAGCGAAGTCGATGAGGTTGAGTTTGAGCGTCACAGCGCGCAGGGCGCGACGAGCGGCAGGACGTTTGACGTCTCTGTGAATATGAAGAATGGCTCATCGTACGATTTCCACGGCATTCAACGGTCGGAGTTCCAGAACTTGGTTAACTTCTTGACCGCCAAACAAGTGAGAATCTCCAACGTCGACGCCAACGCGCGCGCGGACCAGCTCATCGCCGAAGCTTCGGACGACGACGACGAAGGCTACGCGCGACGCGGCGACGACGACAGCGAAGAGGACGAAGACTTCGCCGCGGGAAGCGAGTCCGACGGCGGCGAGCCCACCGACAGCGATTCCGACAGCGAAAGCGACGAGGGCGCGAAGAAGTCGAAGAAGTCGCCCAAAGCCAAACGCGCGAAGAAGGATCCGAACGCTCCGAAACGAGGCTTGTCCGCGTACATGTTCTTCTCCGCCGCCAAGCGCGCCGAAATCACCGCCGCTAACCCTTCGTTCGGCGTCACCGACGTCGCCAAGGCGCTCGGCGAAAAGTGGAAGACGATCACCGACGAAGAAAAGAGCGTGTACCAGCAACAAGCCGACGAGGACAAGATTCGATACGAGCGCGAGATGGAAGCCTACCGCGCCGGCGGTTCGCAGCCCAAGGTGGAGATCAAGGACGACGACGACTCCGACGCCGACGACGCCGCGCGCGACGTCGACGCCATGGACGAAGATTAGATTCACCGACGCGCGCGCGCACGTAGTAGCTTTTAACCATTCGCGCGCCGAGCGTCGGCTCGCCAGACCAACCGCCGCGTTCGCGCGCCGCGCCCGCACTCGACGACCGTCCGTCGTCTCGCCTCGCGCCGCGCCGCCGCGACCTCGCGCGATGCGCGCCGCGTCCTCGCGCGCCGCCTCGCGCGTCCGCGCGTCCGCGCGCGCGTCCCGCGCGCGTCCCGCGCGCGTCGGCGAATTCGCGAATTCGCGTCGGCGCGCAATCGCGCCCCGCGCGCGCGCGCGCGCGTCCTCGCGCGCCTCGCTCGGCGACGACGGCGACGTCTCGTCGCTCGCGACGCCGACGTCGCGCGCGCCGGGCGCCGACGACGCGCCGAGCGACGCGCGCGCGCGCGACGCCGAGGGGCACGCGGCGACGCGACGCGACGACGCGACGACGCGCGACGCGCGCGGCTCGACGTCCCGGGACGACGGCGACGACGACGACGGCGGCGACGGCGACGGCGGATCGAACGGCCGCGACGGCGACGGCGACGGCGACGGCGAGGGCGACGGCGAGGACGACGCGTCGAGGGCGGCGTCGTGGGCGCGCGCGGACCGAAGACGCGCGAGAGTGGCGGCGGACGGCGGCGCGCTCTTCGCGGGCGTGGTGTCGACGATGCTGGCGCCCGTTGCGTGGTTGGTGTTTCGCGGGATAAAGCCCACGCGCGCGGAGCGGGAGAAATACGCGATGGAGACGCGAGAGTCGGAGACGCTGGCGAAGCGGCGCGTCGAGCGAGACGACGAGGCGGCGAAGCTCGCGAAGCGATTGGACGAGGCGAAGGAGGCGGCGAGGGCGAAGGCGGCGAAGACGATGCGCGCGACCGGGCCCGCGGGAGCGGCGACGGCGACGGCGACGGCGACGGCGACGGCGACGAATTTTAAGGTTGAAGAAAAGCCGAAGGATGTCTCGGCGCCGGCGCCGGAAGGCGCCGCCGACGAGCGGGCGGACGCGTCGACGAGATCGGACGTCGGCGCTGACGTCGAGGATACCGCCGTGATATCTGCGTCGACGTCGAGCGACGAAACAGAAGCGACCGACGCGGCGGTGCGCGTGGTGTCCGTGAACGAGCGCTCGTTCGAGACGCCAGAGTCGGAGGCGCCAGTCGCGCCGACGCCGACGGTATCCCACGACGTCGAACCGATCGTCGAGCGGCATCATGCCGATGGCGAAGCATACGACGTCATCGCCGAGCATCCCAAGCTGGTGCGCGCGATTCATGAGGCGAATGCGCTCGTGCACAAGGCCCACGCGCGAAGAGTGGAGAGTAACCAAGAGTTTCAAGACGCGCTGCGATATCGCGAGCAAGTCGTACACATGGCGTCCGAGCTCGGTATCCCCGTCGCGCCTTTGCGTGAAGTCAAGGAGACGTTCAAGCAGTCGACGTACGAGGCCCCACTCGGGCCCGGAGCTGGCGAAAAAGCCGCCGAGGCGGCCAAGTCGGCGCTCGCCGCGACGAAGAAATTCGTCGACTTCGCCGCGCCCCACGTGCGCTCGGCGACTACAAAGGCGTTCGACTACTCGAAACAACACGCCACAACGGCGGCGGGAAAGCTCAAGCAAGCGCACGCCAAGGGCGACATCCGCGCGCCGACATTGGACGAAGCCACGGATTTTGCGAAATCGACGTCGCGACGCGCCCTCGGCGCGTGCGTCCACGCCTTCGACGCCATCACCGACCAGTTCGCCGCCGTCGCGAACAAGTCTGCCGTCAAACCACAAAAATCATAATCATGTACTGTACGATCATCGCGCCGAACGAGCACCGAATTAGCGTTGTCATTATACTCTTTCATCCGGCGCGCCCGCACATGGCGACTCTCGGCGCGTCGCCGCCGCCGCGCGCGACGCGCGGCGCCACCGCCGCGCGCGCCTCGAGCGCGTCGCGCGGCGATTCGAACCGCGCGGCCCTGCGCCGCGCGCGCGTCGTCCTCTGGGACGTCGACGGGACGCTCGCCGACAGCACCGAGCTGGGCTTCAGCTCGACCAACAAAGTCCTGCGCGACGCCGCGCTGCGCGAGATCACGCGCGACGAGTACCTGCGCGGGACGCGCTATACCACGCCCCGTCGCCTCGCGTGGCACGCGACGAAGAACGCGGACGACGCGTGCGGAGAGGCGCTCGGCGCGGCGTTCGACGACGCATACGTGGCGCTCGTGACGACGACGACGGCGGGATTTTACCCCGGAATCGCCCGCATCGTCGTGCGATTGCGCGAAGAGGGGAGAAAACAGGCGGTGCTGAGTAACGCGTGCGGGGCGTACGCGCGGGCGGTGATCGCGGCGAACGAATGCGTGGATGTGATGGCGCGCGTGTACGGCGCCGACGACGTGCCGCGAGCGAAGCCAGAGCCGGATGGGTTGGTTCAAATCGCGCGCGAGCTCGGCCTCGACGGCATCGATCGATCGATGGCGTACGTCGGGGACGCACCGAGCGACGGTGCGGCGGCGAAGTCGGCTGGGATGTTGGCGGTGGGCGTGAATTGGGGGTCGCACGATTTGCGCGAAGAAGCCAACGCGCGAAATTTCCACGTCGTCTTCGACACGGTCGAAGAGCTCGCGGCGTCGCTCTTCGACGACTGAGCGTTGAATAGATCATTTGTACACCTAACGTAGACGTAGTATTTGCAAGCTCGCTCGATTATTTCGACACGTCCCGATTCAATTCGCCGTCGACTTTTTGTACGCCTCCTCCTCTCTGCCCGCTTTCATCGCCGCGAAACGCGCGGCGGTGAACATGTAATCGCTCAATCTATTCAAGTACACCCGCACCACGTCCGGTACCGCTCCGCTCCGCACCAACGGCACGCACCTACGCTCCGCGCGTCGACACACGACGCGCGCTTGGTGTAAAAACACGCTCGCCTTCCCCCCCGACACGAGCAGAAAACTCGACAGCGCCGGCAACTCGGCGTCCATCCCGTCGATCCATCCCTCCAACGTCTCCACGTGCGTCTCCGAAAACGCCGCGCGCGCTTTCATCGCGTCCGAGCTTGCATACAGCGGCGTCGCCACCGCCGATCCCACGTCGAGCAATCGACTCTGAATCTCCGCGAGCTGCGCGTCGCGTCGTTCGTCGTCCCCGTCAGTCGTCGCTCGCCGCGCGTCGTCGCCTCGCTCTCTCCCCTCGCGTCCGTCGTCGTCGACGCCGCACCTGCGCCTCGAGCCCGTTGTTTTCATCGACGCAAAACTCCCGCGCGATCCCGCACGCGACGTTGCACTCGTCGACGTCCCCGAGCGCGTCGAACGCGGCGTCGTCCTTATCGCGTCGTTCGCAATTGTACAGCGAGCTCGTCCCCGCGTCGCCCGTCTTGGTGTAAATCTTGAATCGTCGCGTCGAGGCGTCGGCGGACATGACGGCGCGCGCGTCGGCGTCGCGGACTCGCGTCGCGCGCGTCGGCGCGCGCGGTTCGGGCGCGGTTCGCGCGCGCGGTGTCCGACCGACCACCCCATAAAAGTACACGCGTACTGTTTGCGCACACGCGCGCGATGCCGACGTCCGCCGCCCGATCGCCGCGCCGGCACTCCGCGCCGCGACTCGCCATGCTCGCCGCCCGCGCCAACGTCTGCTCCACCAGCTCGCTCGCCGCGCGCCCGTCGGCCGCGAGCGCCAGAGAGCGCTCGCGCGGCGCGCTCGTCGTCACGGCGGCGAGCAAGAAGAAGGACGTGCGCCTGCAAGTCACCCTCGAGTGCACCGAGCAAAAGGAGAGCGGCGTGCAGGGGATGTCGCGATACATGACCCAGAAGGTAAGCGATGACGCGCGGGCGAACGCGAGGCGAAGCGGGCGCGCGCGGGACGCGCGCCGAGGCCGGCGCGGGACGGCGCGGGACGACGAGGGATGGGACGACGGGACGATTTGAGGGTTTCGGGACGAAGGACTGACGGAGGCGCGCTCGTTTTCGATTCGCAGAACCGTCGTAACACGTCGCAGAGATTGGAGTTGATGAAGTACAATCCGTTCTTGCAAAAGCACACGCTTCACCGGGAGTTGAAGAAGTAGGGCGTCGTCAGCGTAGCATTGTTATAATTCACACGCACCGATTCGCGTTTCGCGGATAGGGCTTGGGCGCGCGAGGGTCGTCTCTTCGCGAGTCGAGGGGGCGTTCGTTTTCATCACTAGGTATAAAGCATTTACAAATCTAACGCAGACCACTACGCGAGGTCTTCGAGCAATTTATATGAATTTATCGCCACGGGAGCGTAAGAATGTTCTTCGGCGCGCCTTCGTCTCGGCTACGACGGGGCGTCCGCAGTCGTCGTCGCGCTTTACGCGGCGTCGACCTCGGGCCAGCCGTCAATCTTGATCCCCATGTTCGCCGCGGTACCGGCGACGACCTTCATCGCACTTTCCACCTTGACGCAGTTCAAATCGGGCATCTTAATCTTGGCGATTTCCTCGAGTTGCTCCTTGGTCACGCGCCCGACGACTTGCTTTTGCGGATCGCCCGCCCCCTTGGGCACGCCCGCGGCTTTCTTCAACAACACCGACGCCGGCGGGGTCTTCAAAATGAACGTGAAGGACTTATCCTCGAAAACGGTAATCTCGACCGGGATGATCATACCCGGTTGATCTTGCGTGCGCGCGTTGTACTCCTTGCAAAACATCATGATGTTCACGCCCTGCGTGCCGCGAATCGCGCGCGCGCGTCGTCGTCGTCGTCAGTCGCCGTTCGCGTCGATTCACCGCACCACTCGCGTCCCGACCGCGCCGCGCGCGTCCCCCGCGACCATCGATCCATCGCGCGCGCGTCTCCCTCGCCACCGCGCCCGCGCGTCGCGCCCAGCCGTCGTCCCTCGCGCGCTCGCGTCGCCGCGCGAAACCCTCTCTCGCCTAGGTCTTCCACCCTCACCCGCCGCGCGCGTTCTCCCACCCCTCCCTCGCGCGCGTCCGCGCGCGCGTCCCGCGCGCGCCGTCGTCGCGTCGAACGAAATATTCTCACGCACCTTCGCGCCGAGCGCCGGTCCGATCGGCGGCGCCGGCGACGCCTTCCCCGCCTCGATCGCGAGCTTGATGTACCCCGCCACCTTGGCCGCCATCACCGTCGACCGTCTCGCCCCGCGCGCGCGCACGTCGCGCGCGCGCTCGACCGCGTTCGCCCTGAACGCGCTCGTCGTAAATACCGCGCGCGCGTCGCCGAGCGCGACCGGGCGCGTCATCGCGCGCGTCGCCGCCGCGCGCTTGTCCGCGCGCTTGTCCGCGGGCGTCGCGCGCGCGGGGCGCGCGCGGCCGATGGTTCGCGCGAACATGTTCGAGCTCGTGGTGCGCGGTGGCGTGTGTCGACGCGCGACGTGCGGCGCCTCGTGGGTCGGTCGCGACGTCGTCGCGGTGTGCCGCGCGTCGCGCGCGCGCGTCGCGCCCGCGCGCGCGCCGACGTCGCCGACGTCGCGCGACCCTGAACCCGCGACGTAAATGAAAATCGCGCGCGCGCGTCGCACATCGCGGCGTCGAACGCCTATATACGATCCGACCGATCGACGACGCGGACCCCCCGCGTCGTCGAGTCGCGACCGGTCGACGGGGGATCGATGCGTCCGTGTGTAAACCCAGTCTCGTCGCGCGTTTGAATCGCGCGCGCGGCGGATTTCAAACGCCGCGCGACACCGCGACGCGCTCGACGGCGATGTCGACGCCGCGACGAAGCCCGAGGAAGGCGCCGTCGAGGTTGCCGTCGGCGTCGCCGGCGACGACGCGACGACGGCTGAGCGACGCGAACGCGGAGACGACGACGCGGGACGGGCGGGACGTCGCGATCGCGACGACAGCTGGGGACGAGGACGACGAGAACGCGGCGCCGACGCGGTCGGGGGGGCGAGGCGGGGCGAGCGCGGGCGCGGACGTGGGGTTGATGTCGCCGCCGCGGGCGCGGGCGGTCGGGGGGCCCGAGGGCGCGGGACGAGGGAGAGGGAGCCCGATGGAGGATTTGTTTTCGCCGCCGGCGCGGCGACGGTCGAGCGGGGCGAACGGGACGCGGGAGGCGGTGACGCCGGCGAGACAGGGACAGGGACAGGGACAGTTTGGGACGCCGAGATTGTTTGGGACGCCGAGAGCGACGCCGAGGAGCGATTTGGGGCTGAATGGGAGCGCGAGGGCGAGGCGGGTGACGGACGGGGACGACGACGGATTCGGCGCGCCGGGGGCGAGTCAACGATACGGGACGCAGGAGATGACACAGTTGACGGCGACGCAGGACGCGGCGGATTTCTTGGCGTCGCCGCCGATGAGCGCGGGCGAACACTTGCACGCGGCGCAGGCGCAGCGGGATGAGGTGGCGGCGCAGACGTACATTTGGGGGACGAGGGTGAACGTGCTCGACACGCAGCAGCGCTTTCGGAGGTTTATCGAAAACTTTGAATTGCCCGACTCCGCGGATTCGTACTACGACGAGCGCATGCGAGAGATTTACGAAAAAGAGCACACGCACTTGGATTTGGATTGTCAACACGTGCACGAGTACGATGAGTTTTTGTACAAGCAGTTGATTCATTATCCGCAAGAGATCATTCCGCTCTTTGATGTCGTGGCGAACGAATACTTTTTGGAAAACGTCGTCGCGCCCGAAGATATGGACGAGGACACGCCCGCCGCGCGAATCATCGTTCGACCGTTCAACATGATGGACGCCAAGCCGATGCGTGACTTGAATCCTTCGGATATTGACAAGATGGTGTGCGTGCGCGGGATGGTGACGCGATGCACGACGATTATTCCCGATCTGAAGCTCGCGTACTTCAAATGCTTGATGTGCGGGTTCGCCCCCGAGCACGTTCAGGTTGATCGTGGACGCGTGAACGAGCCCCCGCTCAAGTGTACGGAGTGCGGAAAGCCAGGGACGATGACGTTGATTCATAACCAGTGCGTCTTCGCGAACAAGCAAACCGTCAAAATGCAAGAGACGCCGGACGCGATTCCCGAGGGTGAAACCCCACACACTGTTTCGATGTGCGTTTTCGACGAACTCGTCGACCAAGCCAAACCCGGCGATCGCGTGGAAGTCACGGGAGTGTACCGCGCCGTGCCGATTCGCATCAGTTCGACGCGAAGGACGTTGAAGAGCGTGTACAAGACGTACTTGGACATTATTCACATTAGAAAAGACGCCGGTAATCGCATGCGAAACACCGCGGGCACCGAAGACGACGAAGCGGCGAAGCATTCTTCCGCCGAGCGCGCATCGAAACCGGCGAGCAATCAAAATCCGAACGCCCAACTCGAGTTCACTCCGGCGAGGACGGCGGAGATCGAAGAGCTCGGGCGATCGCCGGATATTTACCAACGTCTCGTGGCGTCGCTCGCGCCGTCGATTTGGGAGTTGGAAGACGTGAAGAAAGGGCTACTGTGCCAACTCTTCGGGGCGACGAACAAGACATTCAGTGGCACCGCAGCAAATAAAGTTCGCGGTGATATAAACGTTTTACTAGTCGGTGATCCGGGGGTGGCCAAGTCGCAATTGTTGACGTACGTCCACCGCATCGCGCCGCGCGGCATGTACACCTCGGGCAGAGGTTCCTCAGCGGTCGGTCTCACGGCGTACGTCACACGCGATCCGGAATCAAAGGACATGGTTCTTGAATCTGGAGCCCTTGTGCTTTCCGATAGAGGAATTTGTTGCATCGACGAGTTTGACAAAATGTCTGATAGCGCTCGATCGATGTTGCACGAAGTCATGGAGCAACAAACGGTTTCCATCGCCAAGGCTGGCATCATCGCCGTGTTAAACGCGCGAACATCCGTGCTTGCCTCCGCGAACCCGGTGGGGAGTCGATACAACCCAAATATGTCCATGGTGGAGAACATTCAGCTTCCGCCCACGCTTCTCTCGCGTTTCGATTTGTTGTACCTTTTGCTCGATCGCGCGAACCCGGAGACGGATCGACGATTGGCGCGACACTTGGTGAGCTTGCACTACAAAGATCCGCCGCAAAAGAAGCGCGGCGCGATTGAAGCGTCGTTGCTCACCGACTACGTTTCTTTCGCGCGATCTCACGTACAACCGGTGCTGAGCGATGAAGCCGCGGAGGAGCTCGTCGAAGGGTACGTGGAGATGCGTCGCATGGGAGGTAGTCGTAAAGTGATCACGGCGACGCCGAGACAGTTGGAGTCTTTGATCCGTCTTTCAGAGTCTCTCGCCCGTATGCGCTTGAGCGTCCGAGTCGATCGCGACGACGCGAAGGAAGCGTTGCGTTTGATGCGCGTCGCCATGCAACAATCCGCCGTCGATCCCCGAACGGGCACCATCGACATGGACAAGATTTTAACCGGACACAGTGCGAGCGATCGTCAACACCGCAAGGTCATCGCTGACGGTATCACGGCGTGCTTGACGTCGTCGAGCGGTCGACTTAGATTGAGTGAGTTGGTAAAGATGCTCGCGGAGAGAGACGGTTCTATGGCGCTCAGCGTGCAGGAAGTTCGAGACGCAGCGATGTTACTCGTCGAGCAAGAGACGTGCTCTATACGGGGGGACTTGGTTCAGTTGCTGGCTTAGGATTCGTTGCGACGTTACGAACATACAACAGTTGTGATAATCGATACAAACAATCAAAACAATCTGTCAAATTGCTCTGAGAATTCGGGCCGTGTCGTGGACTGACGAGCTCAGAGGAGAAGAGGTCACTTATGTGGTTCGGCGCGCGCGGGTGTTAATTCGCTCGTTTCATCGTATAACATGCGTGAGAGACACGTAATCTAAATCGCCTAATAACACAGGCTCCGACGCTGATGATGGGGTGACCCCCAAAGAACAAAAGTCATTTTGTAATCAATCATTTTTTAAGCGTTCTCGCAGCCTAGAATTACGCGATGCCAGCCGGACCACCGATCGCGCTACCAGCCTTCAGCTCTCTACCGTCGCCAGTCAACACCGTGATTTCACCTTCCGCGTTCACGTCCATAATGCACGACGAACCCTCCGAAATCTCACCCGTGAGCATCTTCTCGGAGAGGTTGTCCTCAAGCAAGCGCATGATGGCGCGACGCAAAGGACGCGCACCGTACGCCGGAGAGAAACCCTCGTCGACGAGACGATCCTTGAATCGCTCCGTGCATTCGAGGACGATTTCCTTCTCCTTAAGGCGCTTGAAGACGTTCTCGAGCATGATGTACGCAATTTCTCGCACTTCTTGCTTGTTGAGTTGACGGAACACGATGATTTCGTCAAGACGGTTGAGGAATTCCGGTCGGAAGTAGTTCTTCAAGTCTTCCATGACTAAGCTCTTAATGCGGTTGTAGGACTGATCCTCCGCGTTGTCGTCGAGTTGGAAGCCCAATCCACCGCCACCCTTTTCAATCGCCGACGCACCAACGTTCGACGTCATGATGATGAGGGTGTTCTTGAAGTCAATCACGCGACCCTTGGAGTCGGTCAAGCGACCGTCTTCGAGGATTTGAAGCATCATGTTGAACACATCCGGGTGCGCCTTTTCGATTTCATCGAAAAGCACGAGGGTGTACGGACGCCGCCGAACAGCCTCGGTGAGCTGACCACCCTCAGAGTAACCGACGTAACCCGGCGGGGAACCGATGAGCTTGGAAACAGTGTGGCGCTCCATGAATTCGGACATATCAAGACGAACCATGGCTTCTTCGGAACCGAAGTAAAAGGCAGAGAGGGACTTGGCGAGCTCGGATTTACCGACACCAGTGGGACCGGAGAAGATGAAGGACGCGACCGGACGGTTCGGGTTCTTCAAGCCGGTACGGGCGCGGCGAATGGCGCGAGCGCACGCCACGACGGCTTCTTCTTGACCAACCAATCGCTTGTGAAGGGTTTCTTCCATGTCCATCAATCGGGTACCTTCATCGGAAGACACCTTATCGACGGGGATACCAGTCCAGGCGGCGACAATATCGGCAATGTCTTGCTCGACCACCGTCGGACCAGACGCGTCACCGGATTCAGCCTTCGCCTTGTTCTCCTCTTGCTTTCGCTCGGTGATTTGCTTGATTTGAGCTCTGAGCTCGACTTCGCGATCACGAAGGCCACCAGCGGCTTCGAAATCCTGAGAGCGGATGGCCGTATCCTTCTCCTTCATCAAAGCCTTGAGCTCCTTATCGAGTTCCTTGGCTTCCTCCGGGAGGGCGGCGTTTTCCAGTCGCACGCGAGAACCAGCCTCATCGATGAGATCGATCGCCTTGTCCGGCAAGAAACGATCGGAGATGTACTGGCTCGAGAACTTTGCGGCGGCGATCAAAGCGTCGTCATCGTACTTGAGCTTGTGGTGCAATTCGTAACGCTCGCGGAGTCCGCGGAGAATTTGAATGGTTTCATCCACCGACGGCTCCGGAACTTGAACCGGTTGGAAACGACGCTCGAGCGCCGGATCCTTCTCGATGTGCTTGCGGTACTCGTCAATAGTCGTCGCACCGATGCACTGGAGTTCACCACGCGCCAAGGCCGGCTTCAAGATGTTCGCCGCATCGATGGCGCCCTCCGCCGCGCCGGCGCCGATGAGCGTGTGGACTTCGTCGATGAAAAGGATGATGTTTTCATCACTCTTCACTTCGTCCATGAGCTTCTTGAGACGCTCCTCGAACTCACCACGGTACTTGGTACCGGCGACGAGCAAACCCATATCGAGCGTCATCATACGCTTGGAGTCGAGAGTATCCGGAACGTCGTTGGCGGCAATCTTTTGCGCGAGACCTTCGGCAATGGCAGACTTACCGACGCCCGGTTCACCAATCAAGCACGGGTTGTTCTTGGTACGGCGACCGAGAATTTGCGTGACGCGAACGATTTCGTTCGCACGACCGATGCACGGATCGAGCTTACCCTCTTCAGCCTTCTTGGTGAGGTCGCTACCGAACTCTTCCAAAGTCGGCGTCTTGGAGCCGGATTGCGCGCCTTGGCCGCCGCCGGCGCCCGCGCCGACGGCTTCTTGCGTCTCACCAACCATGCGAATCACTTGAGAACGAATCTTTGCCGGGTCGGCGTCGAGGTTTTCGAGCACGCGCGCAGCCACGCCCTCGCCTTCACGGAGCAAACCGAGCAACAAGTGTTCGGTGCCGATGTAGTTGTGGCCCAACTGGCGCGCCTCCTCGAGCGCGAGCTCCAACACGCGCTTCGCGCGCGGCGTGAACGGAATCTCCACCGCGACGAAACCGGAACCGCGTCCAATAATCTTCTCAACCTCGATGCGCGCTTCCTTCAACGAAATGCCCATCGACTTGAGCACCTTGGCCGCGATGCCGGTGCCTTCGCCAATCAAACCGAGCATGATCTGTCGCGTCGCGAACGCCGTCTCGTCAGTCACCGTCCGTATCGCGCCGTCGCGCGCGCGCGCGCGCATCTTCCACCCCTCCCACGCGTCCTCGCGCGCCGTCCTCGCGTTCCTCGCGCCCGCGACGCCGCCGCGCGTTCCCCGCGCGCCGCGCCTTCCCGCTTAAACCTAACGTCGCGTCCTCCGCGTCCCCCCCGACGCCGCCCTACCCCTTCCCCGCGCCCCGAATCCGCGCCCGTTCGCGCGTTCAATATTCTCTCCACTCACCTGTTCGGTCCCGACGAAGTTGTGCCCCAATCGCCGCGCCTCCTCCTGCGCCAACATCACCACCTTGATGGCCTTCTCCGTGAACCGCTGCGCGCGCGTCGATCGAAGCCATCGTCTCGTCAGTCCCTCGTCCTCTCCCGCGTCGCCCCTCCCCCTCCGCGCCGCGTCCGCGACGCATCAAAATACACGCTCGCGTGCCCCGCCCTCGCGGTCGCGTCGCGCGCACCTCAAACATCGCGCGCGTCTCGAATCGTCGACGCCCCCCGCCTAGGGTCGGCCTTCGCGTCGCGCCTCGCGCGTCGAGCTTGAGCGTCGTCGTCGACGCGTTGCCGTACGCGACGCGCGCGCTCGTCGCGCGCGTCGGCGCCGCGTCGGCGCGCATCGCGGACGGTCGTCGGCCCGCGCGCACGGTCGCGGCGGCGCGCGCGGGCGTCGCCGCGCGGAGGGTGACGTGCGCGCGCATCGCGGGATGCGTCGAGGTGTGCCGCGATCGCGACCGGCTCGCGGATTGCGTGTGTGCGCATACAGTGCGGTGTCGTGTATATCTACAGCGCGCGCCGATGCGTCTACTGGGTCGTTGAATATGTATATTGTATCCTAGGGTTTGGGATACGACGCAATACTAAAACCCGTCCGTCGCCCGATCCGTCGCGCGAACGAGGCACTCGCGCGCGCGCGGTCGGCGGCGTCGCGGCGGCGCTTCGCGGCGGCGCGTCGCGACGATGGACGCGTGGGACGCGTGGGACGACGCCGTCGACGCCGAGCGCGCCGCGCGCGCGGTCGCGGACGCGAGCGAGGCGCTGCGACGGCGAATGCGCGCGGAATCATCGACGACGACGACGACGACGACGACGACGGCGACGACGGCGACGACGGCGCCGACGACGATCGAGTTCGCGCTTCGCGAACCTGGGGACGCGTTCGCGATCGCGCGCGCGACGCCGCGCGCGGGCGCGCTCGGGGAGGCGGCGGCGGCGGCGGCGCGGGACGCGGGCGCGACGCGCGCGAGCGACGGCGCGTGGACGGCGCCGGCGGGCGCGGTGCGCGCGATTCGCGACGCGCTCGTGCGTCGGACGAACGCGCGAGTGCTGGACGTGCCGGGGATGGCGCTGCGGTGCGCGGAGGTGCGGTTCGAGGAGGACGCGGCGGGGGCGTACGCGAGAGGCGTGCCGAAGGCGCTGGACGCGAAGATGTTTGAATTTCAGAGGACGGGGGTGATGTACGCGCTGAGGCGACGGGGACGCGTGTTGATCGGGGACGAGATGGGGCTGGGGAAGACGGTGCAGGCGTGCGCGTTGTTGGCGTGTTATCGCGAGGAGTGCCCGGCGCTCATTTTAGTGCCGACTTCGTTGCGCGAGGCTTGGCGAAACGCTTTGCAATCGTGGCTCGACGTCGCGGACGGCGACGTCGCGTGCGTGGGGGCGGCGAGCGAGGGGTGGAAACTCGACGAAGGACGACCGTTCGACATCGTGCCGTACTCGCTCGTCGTGAAGCTTCGCTCGAAATTGCTCGCGAAGCGGTATAAAATCGTCGTGTGCGACGAGAGTCATTTTTTAAAGGATCGACGCGCGCAGAGAACGCAGGCGGTGATGCCGCTGCTCAAGGATGCCAATCGCGCGATTTGTCTGACGGGCACGCCAGCGCTCAGCAGGCCGATCGAGCTGTTCACCCAGCTCGAGGCCTTGGTGCCGAAAGTCTTCGCGCGATTGAACGAGTACGGCGCGCGGTACTGCGCAAACGGCGGGCCGTTCGGCATGTACACGGGATGTACTCACGCCGACGAACTGCACGTCATGATTTCAAAGCTTTGTATGGTGCGTCGTTTGAAAAAGGACGTGCTCAAGGACTTGCCGCCGAAGCAACGAACGCAGGTTTGGCTCGCGCTGGAGAAGTCGAGCATGGGCGACGTGCGCCGCATAAAATCGCTACTCGACGAACTGCGTCAGAGAGGCGGGAACGAGCTGGAAGAAAAAAGGCTGCTAAACGAGCTCTTCTTAGCGAGCGCCAAGGCGAAGACGAAATCGGTGTGCGAGTACTTGGAGACGTTGATCGACGGGAGTACGTCGAAATTTTTGTTCTTCGCGCATCACGGCGTCTTGCTCGACGCCGTGGCTCAGTGTATGGACGCGAAGAAAGTCAAAACGATTCGCATCGACGGATCGACGCCAGCGGCGGTGAGAGGCGACTTAGTGAACGCGTTCCAGCGTCGCGACGACGTTCGCGTGGCGATTCTCAGCATCAAAGCCGCGGGGATGGGCTTGACGCTCACCGCGGCTTCGACGGTGATCTTCGGCGAAATGGTGTGGACGCCTGGCGACTTGATTCAGGCTGAGGATAGAGCGCACAGAATCGGGCAGCAATCGAGCGTTTTGGTGCAGTACCTACACGCCAAGGACACGATCGACGAAATCATTTGGCAAAGCATAAAGAAGAAGTTGGATAATCTCGGCGCGGTGTTGAACGGGCAAACGAGCGGAAATCACCTCGAGACGACATCGACGAACGGGAAGTCGCCGAAACGGCAAAAAGTGCAACCCGTGATCGACGTCTCCCAAAGGACGCTGACCGAGCTGTTCGCATCTCAGGCAACGCAGTTATCGTCGCCGGCGGGTGAAGATTCTCAACCCACCGACGCCTAGCTGCGCGGTGTACTAGCACATGTAAAACAAAGAAAACAAATTGGTTGGTTCATTACACACGTACAACGACGGCACCGATCGATCACCGGAAACCTTTCGGACCCGCCTGCGGCCCCATGTCGGCCTTTTTCGCCGCCGTGGCCTCGCGCATCGCTTGGGCGACTCCGTCCCCCAACACCGCTTTGGACGGATCCTTCATGAATTGATTCTCGGCGTCCTCGCTGTGATACACGCACGACACCTCCGGGGACTTGTCTAGATCACCCACGAACGCGAACGTGTTCAAATGCTGCTTGCACACGTCTTCAGCCTTTTTATCCACTACGTTGTTTCGCTCCAACACGCCCCAATTCGACCGGCGAACCACGCACCCCGGTTTCACCTCCGGCTGCGCCACGTACACGTTAAACGGGTTCAACGACAAGAACACGCGTTGATCAAACACCATCGCCGACGCCCCGTTCGCCATGCACAGCTCCGAGCTCGGCGTCCGCCTATCCAAAATCTCCCTCGACGCCACGTTCGACGGCTCCAAGTCCACCGCCGTGTCGAACACCACCCCCGCCCCGATCCCCACCACGAACGCGCCCGCGATGAGAAATTTATTCAACTCTTTTCCCGGTCCACCACCGTCGTCGTACCCGTCGTCCTCGTACGCCATCCTTCCGCCGCCGCCGCCGCCCCGTCCCGCTCGAGGCGGCGCGCGCTCGTACGCCGATTCCCGCCGTCGCGCCTCCCGCAAGCGATCGCCCTGCGTCGTCGACCGCGACCCGCGCTCGTACGCGCGTCTCCCGTCGTCGTCGCCGTCCCCGTCGCCGTCGTCGTACGCGTTCGCGCGCGTCGTCGTCGTCGCGCGCTCGAGAATTCTCAAACGTTCCACCGCGCGTCGACCTCGCGCGACGCGCGACGTCGCGCGCGCGCGCGCGAGCGCGCGCGGCGTCGCCGCGACGCTCGCGCGCGACATCCCGCGCGCGCGTCGGCGTCGTTCGCGCGTCGCGCGCGGATGAGTGTCGCGATTCGACACTCCGCGACGCGACGCCATGTCGACGCTCGCCGCGCGCGCCCGCATCGCTCGCGCGCCCGCGCGCGCGCCGCGACGCGCGCGCCGCGCGCCCGCGCGCGCGATGCGCGCGCGCGCCGCGCTCGGCGAGTCGCTCAGCGCGCACCTGGCGAGCGCGAGCGCGCGCGGGGACATCGACGCCGATCTCGCCATCGCGCTCAACTCGGTCGCCATCGCGTGCAAGCGCGTGCGCGCGCTCGTCGCGCGCGCGCCGATCGCGGGGAACACCGGCGCCGCCGGCGGGTCGAACGCGAGCGGGGACGAGCAGAAGAAACTCGACGTCATCGCGAACGACGTCTTCGTGGAGACGCTGCGCGCGTGCGGACGGGCGAGCGTGATCGTGACGGAGGAGGAAGACACGCCGATCGCGGTGGAACGAGCGAGTGGATACATCGTGACGTTCGATCCGATCGATGGGTCGAGCAACATCGACGCGTGCGTGACGACGGGGAGCATCTTCGGGGTGTACGCGCCGGGCGCGTGCGAGATTAAGGATACGGATAGCGCGGAGGAGACGCTGGCGAATTGCTTGACGAATTCGTTGCAGAGCGGCGAGGCGCTCGTGGCGGCGGGATACTGCATGTATAGCTCGTCGTGCGTGTTCGTGCTGACGACGGGAGACGGCGTCGCGCAGTACGACTTTGACGAAAACGTCGGCGAGTTCGTGTGCTCGAAGGAACGCGTGACGATTCCGGACGGGGATAAGATGCAACGCATTTACTCGGGGAATAACGGCAACGTCAACTTGTGGGCGCCCGAGCTCAAGGATTACGTCGCGCATCTACAAAAGGGTGGTAGCGACGGCGGCAAGCCGTGGACGTATCGGTACATCGGAGCGCTCATCGGAGATTTCCACCGCACTTTGCTCTATGGCGGAATTTGGCTATACCCGCCAGATACGTCGGCGCCGAACGGTAAGGCGCGGTTGCTGTATGAAATCGCGCCAATCTCCATGATTGCCGAACAAGCCGGTGGCATGTCGACGCGAGGCCCGAAGGCGAACGAATCCGTGCTCGACGTCGTGCCGAAGCATATTCACGAAAAGAGCCCGATGTTCGTCGGGTCGAAATCCGCGGTGCAAGACTTGCAAGAGTTCTTGAAGAAGTATTGAGACCCGTCTCGTGGCATATTGATTTTAATGAATTACACTCAACGCTCGCTAATCGCCCAAGTCATTCGAAATCGCTGTCGTCGTCCTCGTCCTCGCTCTCGCTCTCGTCGTCGTCGTCGTCGAGCTCCATCTCATCATCGTCATCATCCGACTTTTCGATATCGTCCGAGTCGCTCTCGATGACGATGGCGTCGCTGTCCTTCTTCTGACGCTTCGCCGCGGGCGCCACCTTGGGCGCCGAAACGGAGGCTCGTCGCGACGGCGCCGAAACGGAGGCTCGTCGCGACGGCGCCGAAACGGACGTTCGGGCGGGCGCCGCGATCGATTCGCGCACCGGCGCGGGAGCTGTCACGGGTGGCGGTGGAGGCATGAACGACTCCACTTTTCCACGCACGACGATCGGGGACGTGACGCGTCCGTCGTCGTCGTCGTCGTCGCTCGCCTCTTCCGCCTCGCTGTCGTCGGCGTACATCTTCTTGCGCGCCACCGTCGCGGCTTGTCGACGCGGTCTTCGACCGCCGTCCGCGGCGTCTTTCGCGTCATCGCCGACAACGGTTTCACTCGCCTTCATCGCCGTCGCCGTGGCACCCGTCGTCGGCGTCGTCGCCGCCTTTCCGCTCCCCGCCGCCACGGACGCGTCCCAATCCGTCTCCGCCTCCCCCGCCAAATCCCCCAACTCCGCCGGAAGCGCCAACGGTTTCTCCTCGGGATTCTCCTCCTTCGTCCCGATCCAGTACCAACTCGGAAACACGATCACGCTCTCGAACCACTCCTCCAGGTTCATCCTATCCTTCGACTTCGCGTTCAGCGTAAAGTATCGCGTCGACTTCGGCCGCACGATGCTCCCCAGCATCTTTATCCGCCCTCCCTCGAAATCCAAGTACACCACCGGCGCCTGCGTGTGCATCTCTCGCATCTCCCCGATCCTTCCCTCTTTGCTCACGCTCAGCTGTCCCGGGAACACCATCGCGTACCGCGCCTTTTTCGCCGCGCTTCGCTTATGGATGTCCTTCCCGTCCCGTTTCAGCAGCGCCTCCGACGCGTCCAGCTCGTGCGCCGCCGTCGCCGGTCGCGTCGTCGATATCATTTTCACCCGCATCGCGCGCTCGTGCGGCGCGCGCATCGTCGCGCGCGCCTCGTCGTCGTCGCCGTCGTCCGACCGTTTCGACATTTTGATTTAATTTTAAATCTTCGATCCGTCCTCGGCGCGCCGCGTCCCGAATCCGCGTCGCCGCGTCCCGGCGTCGCCGTCGACGACGCGCGTCGAGCGCTCTCGCGCGCGCGCGCGCGCGGCGTCGACGCGCGAAGTCGGGCGCGTCGAATCGCGGCGCGACGCGTCGCGCGATGGCGCTCGGCGGCGTCACATCGCGTCGACATGCTCCGCGGCGCCGCGAGCGCGCTCGCGCGCGGCGCGCGCGCCTCCGTCGCGCGCCGCGCCGCGCGCGAGCCCTCGCGCGCGCGCGCGCGCGCGGTCGCGGTCGCGACGACGGCGCGAGGACGTCCGGGCGAATGCGGCGGCGGCGGCGCGTTCGCCGCGCGCGCGGCGTCGCACGCGCGCGCGGAGGCGTCCGCGCGCGGCGAGACGACGGCGACGCGCGCGCGCGCGCGGGGGCGCGGCGGCGGCGGCGGCGGCGGGCGCGGACGCGGCGGACGCGGCGGACGCGGCGGACGCGCGAGGACGCGAGACGCGCCGAGGGAGTGTCGAGACTTCGACGACGACGTCCCGGCGCCCGCGCGGGCGAAGCGGCGGACGACGGCGACGGGAAGCGACGCGACGCGACGGGAAGGGCGCGCGGAGGACGTGGTGGTGCTGGAGACGTCGGATGGGTTCGAGGATTACGCGGAGGATTACGACGACGACGACGACGAAGGCGCGCTGGGCGTGCGCACGCTCGAGCTCGCAGATCAGGGACGCGGGGCGAATGTGAAGAGCTGCGAGTTCGTGCAGGCGTGCGTGGACTTGGCGGGATGCCCGAAACCGACGCTGCCGGAGATCGCCGTCATCGGTCGGTCGAACGTCGGGAAGAGCTCGCTGGTGAACATGCTCACGAATCGTAAGTCGTTGGCGAAGACGTCGAAGAATCCTGGGAAGACGCAGACGATCAATCACTATCGCATGACGACCGGGGATGGGAAGTTTTACCTCGTCGATCTTCCCGGTTACGGGTACGCGAACGCGCCGGAGGATTTGCGAGAAAAGTGGGCGGCGTTTACGCGCGAATATTTGATCAAACGAGAATCGCTCATCACCGTGTTGCTCTTGATCGACAGCACGGTGAAACCGCAGCGTTTAGATTTGGAGTGTCTCGATTGGCTCGGCGAAGCCGGCGTGCCCGTGACCGTGGTGTTCACCAAGGTGGACAAGCGTAAAAAAGTTGGCGCCGGCAAGCGCGCCAACCCGGCGGAAAACGTCGAAGAATTTTGCCGCGAAGTGAGCGAGTATTGGGACGAGTTACCGCCCATGCTTTACACCTCATCCGTGAACGGCGAAGGCAAGCGCGAGGTGCTGAATCACATCGCGACGTTGCGACAATTCTTTAAGAAGCCGCTCAAGGAGGAGGTATTAGCCGCCGTCGCGCCCGCCGCCGCGGCGTCGCCGATCGTCGCCGACGCGCGCGCCGCCGACGTCGCCGACGACGAGCCCGAGGACGATTGGAACTGATCGTCGCCGCCGCGTTTTGTAATCCACGCGCGCCGCGCGAGTCGTTCGCCTCGTCGCGCGTCGCGTCGGCTCCGCACACCTCGGCGCATGCGCCCTCGCGTCCTCGCGCGCGTCGTCGACTCGCGCGCGCGCGCGATGGGAAGCGCGTTTTCCCAAGCCCTCGGCGCGCCCGCGCCCGGACGCCGCGACGTCGACGACGCGACGACGACGCGCGCCGCCGTCGCGCCGCCGTCGACGCCGAAGCGCCGCTCGAAGACGGTGCAGATGGCGTTCGAGCCCGCGCGCGAGACGACGGCGCCGGAGGGATGGGAAAAGACGCTGGCGACGATCAAGCGTTGGCGCGCGGAGGGACCGCGGGCGGCGGTGGACACGATGGGGTGCGAAAAGATCGCCGACGTCGAGGGCGAGGGCGGCGCGATGGATGAGGAAAAGTATCGGAGATATTTGACGCTCACGAGCGCGATGCTGAGCTCGCAGACGAGGGACGAGATCAATCACGCGGCGATGGCGCGACTGCGCGCGCACGGGTGCACGCCGGAGAACGTGCTGAACACGGATGAGGACGCCCTGGACGCGATGCTGAACCCGGTGGGATTTCACAGGCGCAAGGCGCAATATTTACGGGCGACGGCGAAGATTTTATTGGACGAGTACGACGGGGACATTCCCTCGAGCGTCGAGACGCTGTGCGCGCTGCCGGGCGTCGGACCGAAGATGGCGTACTTGGTCATGAACGTCGGATGGCAAAAGCCGACGGGAATTTGCGTCGACGTGCACGTGCATCGAATCACCGAGCGCCTCGGGTGGACGCCCGAGCGCGCGATCGGTAAGAATGGATCGCCGCGTAAAAAGACGCCCGAGGACACGCGCGCGTCGCTCGAGCGTTGGCTTCCCCGGGACGAGTGGATCGAGATCAACCCGCTGTTGGTGGGCTTCGGCCAGCTCACGTGCACGCCGCTTCGACCGAAGTGCGCCGAGTGCCCGCTCGCCGCCGACGCGTCGTGCCCGTCCGCGTTCAAGGAATCCGCGACGCCGACGTCCGAAAAGCGTCGAGCGAAAAAAATCAAGCTCGAGCCCGACGCGTGATCGCGCGCGCGCAGTAGCCGTAGCATCCGTAGCTTCAATTACAATTCACACAAAAAATTAATGCGTACACCGTCGCCGTCGCGCCGTCGTCGAGCGCCTCGTCGTCTCATCGTCCCGCGCGCGGCGCCTGCGGCACGTACTCGATCCTCGAGCTCGTCGGCGTCTCTTTCGCGCGTCCCGTCGCGCGCGCTTCCTCTATCGCCGCTTCCTCGTCGCCTCGCGCCTCCGGCACCGCCAGACCGACGACGTACAGCGCGAGGACGACGCCGAGCGCGCTCGCGACGCCGCGCTTCGCCCACGTCGCGATCGCGCGCGCCGTCGCGCCGCGCCCGCGCGGTTCCGCGTCGTCGTCGTCGCCATCGTCGCGCTCGCTCGATCGCTCGCGCATGCGCGTCGACGAATGCGACGCGAGACGACGCCGCGTCACATCGCGCCGCATCGAATCGAATCTCGAATCGACGCGTCATGGCGCGCCTGTTCCTCGACCGCGAGCCGCTGACGCAGTACAAAGACCGCCGGTTCAACGGCACGCTCGACGAGTACCTCGACCGCCTGCGCGCGTCGACGACGCTGTACGTCGGGAACGTGTCCTTTTACACGACGGAGAATCAGATGCACGCGCTGTTTCGATCCGTCGGCGTCGTGCGCGCCATCGTCGTCGGCCTCGACAGCGCGCGGCGCACGCCGTGCGGATTCGCGTTCGTCGAGTACGAGACGCGCGCGGACGCCGAGCGGTGCGTGCGGTACCTGAACGGGACGAAACTGGACGATCGCGAGATCAGGATCGACTTCGACTGGGGCTACGAGCCGGGACGCGAGTTCGGACGAGGGAAATCCGGTGGGCAGGTGCGAGACGAGTACAGGACGTACTACGACGCGGGGCGGGGCGGGTACGGGAAATTGTTGCGGGACGAGCTGGAGGGGATGCGGGCGAGCGCGGAGGTGGGGGAGAAGCGCGCGCGCGACGACGGCGCCGAGGACGCGTAGCGCGCGCGCCGGAGGACGCGCGTCGTCGATCGATCGATCGATCGCGGCGGGCGTCGGCGTGGAAGAGAGTAGCGGTGTGTGTGTTAGTTTGTTTGTTTGTTTGTTCGCGACGTCGATCGTTCGCGCGTCGCCGCGTCTCGCGCTTCGTCTCGCGTCTCGTCTCGCGGGGCTCGGGATCGCCAATCGTGGGTTTCGCGAAACGTCGCGCATTCTCCGGCGCGTTCGCCGCGTTCGCGCGCGCGTCCGCACGTCGCGACGCGGTCGACGCGGTCGACGCGGTCGACGCGGTCGACGCGGTCGACGCGGTCGACGCGCGCGTCGATCGATCGCGGGACGCGCGCGCGCGTCGCGACCTTTCGAATTCAACGACGCGAATTCGACGCGAATTCGACGCGAATTCGACGACGCGCGGCGAGCGCGAGGGCGCGCGTCATGGGATGCGCGCAGGGAACGCTGAAGCGCGCGGGGAGCGTGAAGGCGCGCGATCGGTCGCTCGCGGTGATGAAGTCGTTGTTTCCGGTGGCGTTCGTGGACGCGTACGAGGTGGAATCCAAGGCGACGTTCGACGCGTACGGAGGCGCGTTCGACGTCGTGTCGAGGGAAGACGGGAGCGCGCGAACGGCGGTGTTGGCGCGGTTGAAAAAGCAGGCGGACGGCGAGAGCTTGACGATATCGCAGTTTTCCATGGAGGAGTACGTGTTGCAGTTGTTGCGTCACGACGGCGTGGCGAGCGTGTACGAGAGCTTCACGGAGCTGCGAAAGAGACCGGCGATGGGGGTGTTGATCGTGGATCGGTTGCGCGGGGCGAAACTGATCGATTACTTGCAACAGAAGGACGGGGCGAAGCTCGGTGAGGACGAGGCGCGGGAGATCATGGTGCAACTGGCGTCGGTGTTGAAGCACCTCGTCGACTGCGGGGTGACGTGTGGGAATTTGGATTTAGATACGTTGGTGTTTAGAGAGGAAGATAACATGGAATTAGTGGTGACGTCGATGCGTTATGCATCGTTAGCGGGACACCCTTCGCCGTACGTCGTGGAGTACGGGACGTACGAGATCGAGGATGAGTTGGGACAACCGGTGACGCGAACGTTTCCAGAGGATGCGCGAAAGTTACACTTCGCCGCGCCCGAGCGCTTGAAGCCGGACTCTCGAGGACGCGATCGGCAACCGTCGGTGGATGTATGGTCGTTCGGCGTGATCATGTACACGTTATTGGCGGGATACCTTCCCTTTGAAGGCGAAGATAGTCGAACGCTTTGCGAGAAAATTCGCCAAGGCAACTTCACCGCCTTCAAGTACGACGTGGAGACGTGGGACTCCATCAGCATGGGCGCCAAAGACTTGATCGCGGGATGTTTGCGCGTCGACCCTCGACGTCGTTTCAACATCGAGCGCATTATGAAGCACCCGTGGATTAGAAAATTCGAGGATCCAAACGCGACGTTTATCGCGCTCGGCAGCGATCTCGGCACGCCGCCCCTTTCCTATGTGAGCAATTCTTCCGATTACGACGACCTGCACTCTCCGATGCATTAACAAAACATAGTCTCCATAGATCTACACAACAACATCGTTCGCGAGCGCCGTAGTCTCGCGTGTGATCAAATCGAGCTTTAGAGTGTTTCATCCATTTCTTCTCCGCGACGCGACCTCGCAGAGCCGTCGCTCCAACCGACTGAAAACCCGCGCCGCACAGACGGACGCCCCGTCGTCTCGGCGCCCGCGCGACTTTCGCGACGACACCCGCCGCGGGTACGAACGTTCATCGCGCGCGCTCCCGTCGCGCGCGCCTCGAACGCGTCGTCGCGCGCGTCGTCGCCGCGCTCGAACCGCCGCCGCCGCCGCCGGCATCGGCGCCGCGATGCCGCGCGATGCGACGGCGACGACGGCGCGACACCGGGTCAAACAGCGCGGACTGGTGCAGAAAGAGATCGCGAGCGCGAGCTTCAGCTTTTACGACGCCGAGGATGTGCGCAAGATATCGGTGAAGAGGATCACGAACCCGGTGCTGTTCGACGGGTTGAACAACGCGGTGGCGGATGGTCTGTACGACCCCGCGCTCGGACCGACGGACTCGAAAACGACGTGCGTGACGTGTAAATTTCCGGGAGGGATGTGCGCGGGACACTTTGGACACCTCGAGCTCGTCGTGCCGGTGTACAACCCGTTGACGTTCGGCACGGTGGTGCGGTTGCTGAAGACGACGTGTTTTCATTGTCACAAGTTTCGCTTGCACGCCAGTCGCGTGCGAAGGTTTCGAGAGCGGTTAGAGATGCTCATGGATGGTGACATGGAAGCGGCCGAGGGAGTACTTCCGGAGATTAGCAAGAAGGCGAAGGAAGAGATGAGCTCAGTGTTTAAAGAGGTCGAGGGCGACGGCGATGCGGAGGAGATGGATTTAGACAACATCCACGACGTCTTGCCGAGATTGAAAACGCGTGGTCGAGGTGAACCGGTCGTATGGACTTCGATCACGTCCACGGCAGCGCGAAATTTAATCAAGGAGTTTCTCGCGATACAACCGAAGAAGTGTGAGAACTGTGGGGCTATGAATCCGAAGGTGTCGCCCGAGGGACACAATAAGATCTTCAGAGGTGCACTTCCGAAGGCGCATCACGAGAACAACTTAGCCAAGGGCATTGACATCAACGACGATATGGCGTACCTTGCTCGCGAAGCTAGCGCCGAGAGCGCAGATTCACACGCTGGAGCGACGAAGTTGGCCGGCGCAGCTGTGGAACCGAAGCTCGTGCCGGCGAAAAAGAAGGCGCGCAAGAGACTCGGCGAAGGGGATGAGTCGGATAGATCGACGGATGACGTGGGTGCGGCTGAAAAGAGTAGTGAAGCCCGAGACGTCGACGCGCAGTCTGATAGCAGCGACGATAGCGATAGTAGCGACTCAGAGACGATGTCCGTGGATGAGCGCGTGCAGGAGGCGGCAAAGTCGCTTTACATCACCCCAATTGAGGCTCGAGCTTTGCTTAAACGTTTATGGATGTACGAGTACGATTTTTGTTCCATGATCTGGGCGACGACCCCACCGAATAAGTGCACGAAGCGAGGCGAAGAGCGTCGAAGTGATCCGGCGAGGTTTTTCATTCAAACACTCCTCGTGGCTCCGTCAAAGTTCCGGCCGCCAAGCAAGATGGGCGATATGATCTTTGATCACCCGCAAAATACGGCGCTCACGACGATTATCCAGGCCAATTTAAGTCTGGCCGAGCTCTTTAGGACGCCTCCAACGGTCCCAGAGCCGCCTGAGGTGCGAGCAGGCCGAGCCGTACGCGCTTGGTTGGCTTTGCAATCCGGCGTGAATCGGCTCATCGACGCCACGAAGGCTGACACCCAAGAAGCCAAGCAGGCTATTGGGATTCGTCAGCAGCTTGAGAAGAAAGAGGGTTTATTTCGCATGAACATGATGGGTAAGCGCGTGAATTTCGCCGCACGGTCGGTGATTTCCCCCGATCCATACCTGGGCACGAGCGAAATTGGCGTTCCTCCGGTGTTCGCGAAAAAGCTCACGTTTCCCGAGCTCGTCACCCCACATAACGTTGACTTGATGCGCACACTCGTTGAAAACGGACCTGAAATCCATCCAGGGGCGAACGCGATCGAAGACGAACGAGGGCGTGTGATTCACTTGGACAAGTTCACCGCCGAAAAGCGAGCTGCCATAGCGAAGACTCTCTTAGCAACGACGGCCGCTGGATCTGCGGACGGGCCGGCGAGACCGCTCGCAAAGACGGTGTATAGACATTTACGCGACGGCGACGTGATGCTCGTTAATCGTCAGCCAACGTTGCACAAGCCTGGTATTTTGGCGCACACTGCGCGGGTTCTACCGGGGCAGCGAGTCGTCCGTATGCACTACTCCAACTGTTCCACCTTCAACGCCGATTTCGATGGGGATGAAATCAACCTTCACTTTCCGCAGGATCACTTAGGACGAGCCGAAGCGTATGAAATCATGCACGGCGATCGTCAGTTCACCGTACCAACGGACGGGAAGCCTCTCAGAGGGTTGATCCAAGACCACATCTGTTCCGGGTTGTTGCTCTCCATGCGAGACAGCTTCTTCGATCGATCCGAGTTCACGCAGCTTCTTTACAGCGGTCTCGTGGACTACTGCGGTGATGAGCACGGGAAAATCGACGTCCCGGCGCCTGCTCTCCTCAAGCCAAAAGCACTTTGGACCGGCAAACAAGTCATCGCCGCGGTTTTATCGCACATCACTCGAGGGCGACCACCGCTAACGTTCAGCGCACCGTGCAAGATCCCAGCCACGTTTTTCGGCGGTGAAGACTCTGGCGAAGATCGACTGATTATTAGACGAAACTACTTTTGCTCTGGGGTCGTAGACAAGAATATGTTCGGCAAGTACGGCCTTGTGCACGCCGTGGCCGAGCTCCACGGACGGTCCACAGCCGGCGCTTTATTGTCAATTTTTTCCCGACTTTTTACCAACTTTTTGCAAAAGCATGGCTTTACGTGCGGTATCGATGATTTGATTCTCACCGCTGATGCAGAAAAAGATCGCGTAGTGGAGCTAAACAAGGCAGACGAGATGTGTAAGACGGCTACAGCAGATGTCGCAGAAGCGAGCGGGAAATCGGATGAGGAAGTGATGACGGCTATCGCGGCGAAGTTGCTCGAAAATCCCGAATGGGGCGCTCAATTGGACATGAAAGCGTCAGGCGCTTTGAACAAGGTGACTTCGGCGACCGTGAAGAAGTGTCTCCCGTTCGGTACAAAGAAGCCATTCTCAAAGAATTGTCTCTCCATCATGACCATCTCTGGCGCAAAGGGTTCGCTTGTGAACTTTTCTCAAATCGCCGCCGCCTTGGGCCAGCAAGAGCTCGAGGGTCGCCGTGTACCTCGCATGCCGAGTGGTAAGACGCTCCCTTCATTCGAGCCTTTCGACATCAGCTCGCGGGCGAACGGTTACATCGCCTGTCGGTTTTTTAGCGGATTGGATCCCGCCGAGTACTTTTTCCACTGCATGGCTGGTCGCGAAGGTTTGGTCGATACCGCCGTGAAGACTGCGCGCTCTGGTTACTTGCAGCGTTGTTTGGTGAAAAACCTAGAATCGATGAGAGTGCATTACGATTTTACCGTGCGTGACAGCGATGGAAGCATTGTGCAGTTTCAATACGGGGAGGATTGCGTCGACGTCACGCGTTCTGGGTACTTGGAGAAGTTTGAGTTCCTTGCCGAAAACCCGGAACTCATTTTGCTCAACAACGAAGCCGCGATTTCGATGTTGCCCAAGCTCAACAAGAAAAAAGTAAGTGTTCTTGAGACCATAGGTCGTAAAGAAGAGCTACCGCGATTCTGCATGGAAAACTTTGGCGACCAGTTGGGAGTGTTGCCAGAGAAATTCGGCGATGAACTTAAAACGTTCATCGACTCGCGACCGAAAGGTTACTGGGCCGAAGAGAAAGGAAAGAAGAATGAAAGTTCATTGGCGGCAAAGTCCGGTTTGACCGCTGAAGAGTTTGCCATGCTGATGAATATGCGTTATCTCACGTACGTTGCGCCCCCCGGCGAAGCCGTCGGCGTCATTGCCGCGCAGTCTGTTGGAGAACCATCCACACAAATGACGTTGAATACCTTCCACTTTGCCGGCCGCGGCGAAGCAAACGTCACGCTTGGTATTCCTCGTCTTCGAGAGTTGCTCATGGCTGCATCAAAGAAGCTTTTGACGCCCGTCATGATACTTCCGTTGAAACCTGGGTGCAGAACTAAGGAAAATGCTGAGACGCTCTGTCGCCGACTCCGACGAGTGATCCTCGCCGAACTCATCACAAAGCTTTGTATCAAGGTGAAAGACTACGGTATAGGTCCAGATGAGGGACTCTCACGATTGTATACCGTTGTCATTCAAATGCGCGAAGGTCAAAATGACGACGATCCAAATGAGGTGACGTTTGCAGAATTTCTGCACGCCGTCAAGCGCAAGTTCGCCAAAATGCTCGTGGCGAGAATTGGCTCTGACATGAGGAAGAGCAAAAGCAACAATGGTGTCATCGTGAAAAACGCGAAAAATGGCCCGATGCAAGGAACCACGGACCCTCGCAAGGACGATGACGAAGAAGAGGATGACGAAAAAGAGAAGAACTCCGCCGCGCGAGCGAAAAATGTCAAATTTGAGAATGGCGACGCGTCGGATGAGGACGAGGACGATGAGGAAGACGAGGAAGGTGCAAAGACGGAGAATCGCAAAATAGACGAAACTGAGGTCGACAGCGATTCTGATGGCTCATCTTCTTCCGGTGACGATGATTCCGATGCTTCTTCGGACGACGCTAGCGCCAAGACGCCAAAGTCAAAGAAGAAGCGAGTTCCTTCGAGTGAGATGACGGACTGTGGCGTACAGCTGACGGAGGATGAAGTTGTCGAGACAATCGTGTGTGACGAAAAATCTCGAACCATAGAGTTCACGGTTCCAGCTGGTATAAACTCTCCTCACGTACTCGTGCTCGAAATCGCACAAGAAGTTGCCGTGAAAACGATCATTCGCGAAACGCCGGGAATCAAGCAAACTTTCGTCGTCGGCAAGACGGACGATGAAGATCCCACTGGCTCGCAACCTTTATCCATTCAAACCGATGGTATCAATTTTGGCGCCGCTTGGGCGAACTCTGATCTCATCGAGGTCAACTCCATGAAATCAAATTCTGTATGGGACATCATGCAAACCTTTGGGGTCGAGGCGGGCCGATCGACGCTCGTGAGCGAAGTGCAAGCTGTATTCGGCGTGTACGGCATCGGCGTTGATACGCGTCATCTTTCTCTCATCGGTGACTTCATGACGCAACAAGGTGAATACCGACCCTGCAACAGATCTGGCATCGAAAAGAGCACTTCGCCATTCCTGAAGATGTCTTACGAGACGGCGACGGCATTCTTAACGGACGCAACAATTCGCGGAGAAACGGACGACTTGAGCTCGCCATCGTCGAGAATCGTCGTTGGTCGCACTGTTGATCTGGGCACGGGCTCGTTTTCTCTCAAACACGACATCGTGCGGGCTGCACAGTACCAAGAGGCTAACAAAGCCACGGGCAAGCACATTCGTCTCTGAGACGCACACAAAAAGTAGCAAATTTAGATAGCACACGTGGTTTATCATCACATAACAAACAAAAACACTAAAGACTCCCGATACTACTTGATTTCAGCCAACTTGTTCAAGATATCCTTCGCTTGAGCCGTCGCGTTGCCAATGTAAGTGCTCGGAGTGAGCGCAAGCAAGCTCTTCTTGCCCTCGTCCGGAATATCGAGGTTGGACACAAACTCGCGCATGCCTTCGGCGTCGACGCGGCGGCCACGAGTTAGTTCCTTGAGCTTTTCGTACGGCTTTTCGACCGCGTATCGGCGCATGACAGTTTGAATTGGTTCAGCGAGCACCTCCCAGTTGACATCCAAATCGTCCGCCATGGCTTGCGCGTTGACTTCGAGCTTACTGATACCGCGAAGGGTGGATTGGTAGGCGAGAATGGAATATCCGAAGCCGACACCCATGTTTCGCAAAACGGTTGAGTCGGTCAAGTCGCGCTGCCACCGAGAAACGGGAAGTTTGGCGGCGAGATGCGCGAAAACGGCGTTTGCCAAGCCGACGTTGCCCTCAGAGTTTTCAAAGTCGATCGGGTTCACCTTATGCGGCATCGTCGAAGAACCGACCTCACCCGCGATGGTCTTTTGCTTAAAATAGCCGATTGAGATGTATGACCAAATATCGCGGTCGAAGTCGAGCGTGATGGTGTTGAATCGCTCCACGCACGCGAAGAGCTCAGCCATGTAATCGTGCGGCTCGATTTGCGTCACGTATGGATTGAAATCAAGCCCAAGTCCGGTCACGAACTTTTCCGCCACCGCCTGCCAGTTCACGTTTGGATATGCCGACATGTGCGCGTTGTAGTTACCCACGGCACCGGCCATTTTACCGTACAACGGAATTGAATCGAGCTGCTTCACTTGACGCGCCAAGCGGTACGCCACGTTGGCCATCTCCTTACCCAACGTCGTCGGCGATGCCGGTTGACCGTGCGTGCGACTCATCATCGGCGTCGCGGCGTAATCAACCCCCATAGCCGCGATCGCATCGATCATCTTCGTCATCTCGGGCTTCAACGTCGCCACGCCATCTCTCAACATCAACGCGTGACTCAAATTATTAATATCCTCGCTCGTGCACGCAAAGTGCGTGAATTCCATAATCTTTGCCAGCTCCGGCTGCGTCATCAGCGCGTCCTTCAACACGTACTCCACTGCTTTGACGTCGTGATTCGTCGTCCGTTCGACCGTCTTCACCTTGGCCGCTTCGACGACGTCGAAATTCGTCAGATAGTTTTCCAGGAACGCGTTCGCCTCCGCGCTCAGCGGCGGCACCTCCACCACCTCTGGAATCGCCGCGAGCGTTTGCAACCATCGCACTTCGACGTAGACGCGCGCGCGGATGAGCGCGAATTCGCTGAACGCGCCTCGCAGCGCCGCGGTCTTGCTCGCGTAGCGTCCGTCGAGCGGGGACAGCGCGGTGAGGTCGCTCAGCGCCAAGTCCTGGGCGTCAAAGACGCGGTCGCGCGACGCCGCGCGGATCGTCGCGCGGCGGTGCGTTCGAGCGTGCGATCGCGCGGGCGCGGGCGCGACGCGCGCGTTCAGTAGGGCGCGGGCGAGGGCGGGCATGGTGTGCGTCCGCGAGAGTCGCGATGTGCTACGCGCAGCGGTGGCGGCTCGCAGGTTTGAAATTTAACGCGCGCGGAGATAAATGATAAATACAATGCGATAATGCGCTAAGCGAAGGCGTTTAGTCGCTCTTCGCGACGTAAAGAACGATGCGCGCCGAGCGCCACGGCGTGGGCGCTGTCGCGCACCGAACGGAGAAGTTTTAGCGCGTCAAGGTGGGCGTCGTCGACTTTTCGGCCCATGACGACGCCTCCGGGCGAGAGCGCGGGGACCCATAGAGCCTCTTCACCGCTGCTTCGGCCCTTGGCGAGCGCGCACAAGGCAACGGTTCGATGTGCCTTTGCGCTGGAATCGGCGATCGGGGTGTTGTCGTCGTCGATCATGTTTGAGATGACGACGCCGCCTTCGCGAAGCGCGTGCGCCGCCGCGGTGAGTTGGCCGACTCCACCGTCGATGAGAAAGACGTCCGGAAGTTTGCTCTTGGACGCCAAGCGCGCGGTTATTGACTCAGCGATACCACCATAGTCGTCGCTTGGTGTTACGGCTTCACTGAGCTGGTATCGGCGATGCTTGAGCGGCGCCGGCGAACCTCCCTCGAATCGAACAAAGCTCGTCACAGCGTTCTGGCCGGCGAGATGAGAAACGTCCACGCCTTCGATGCTCGTGGGGGACTCATCGAGTCCGATGGCGTCCTTTAAGCGAAGCGCCGCGGCGGATTTCACCGCCGTTGCGCGCGCGGATTCGTCGGCGTTCTCGAGTGCCATTTCCGCGAGCGCCTCGAGGAGCGATCCTTCCTTGGCGGCACCGTGGTGCAAGACCTTACTCTTCTTCGTCGCGTTGGCGCCGACGCCGGTGTGACGAAGCGCTGCGCGTAAGTTCATCGGTTCTGCGATAGTGTGCGGGATGTACACCATGTCCGGGCGATCGGAGAATTCGCTCAAGTACATCTGCTCGGCGACGAGCTGTGCGGCTTCGGCTAGAGTGGCCTCGGCGATGGCGTCGTCCGCTGTGGCATTCGGCACATCCACACTCGTACCGTAGACGTCAACTATTGTACCGTCGCGCACTTTAACGATCTTTACCGCACATGTCGCACCACCACTGCTCGCGGCAGCGATGACATCCATGTTCCATTGCTTTGCCGCGGAGTCCGCTTGCAGGAGCGCAGCGAGCGAACCGCGAGCGCCCTGGCCTCGCTCGGCTTCTTCTTGGGCGGATATTCGCAACTCAAGCGCCGACGCAACTTCACCACGGTCTTCCAGTGCCGCGACCGCTTCGTCATACTTGGCATCGAGTACCAAAGTCGCGACTTCCGCGGCGAAGCGCCACTGCGCGACGGCGGCGGTTTCGCCGAAACGCGAGCGAAACGAAACGCCGCGCAAATCGAGCGCACGTTCGAGAACAGCCATCATACGAATTGCTGCTTCGCGAGTGGGGAGAGTCCACACTTTCTCGGCTCTGGTGGGGTCGAACTCATTTTGAAACTTAGCCACGAAAATACGCCCGTCGGCATCCCTCGATGTCAAAACGATTCGCGCGCTTTCGGGCTTCGGCGCATCCTTCAGCAAAATGTTCAACGCTGGACGCTCGCGCTGAATTAATCTCGCTTCGAGCGCAAGCGCATCGGCTTCGCCGCCTGGCGTCAGCACAGCATCGAGAGTGCGTGCTGAGGCTAAGAGCTTTCGATGTCGCGGCGATGACTGTATCAATGCGGGCGACAGATAGTGCCCAGTCCGCGAGCGCAAATTCTTCGCCTTGCCGACGTAAAGCACGTTGCCAGCCTCATCGATCCATCGATACACTCCTGTTTTCGATGGCATATCGCGATGTAAACGCCTGAGTCGCTCGACATGCGTCGCATCGAGCCCATACGCATCTAACACAGTCTCGGCGACGAGTTTTTCGCCCTCCTCCACCTGCACTTCTTTGAGCGCGTCTGACGGTTTCGGACCCGGCCGTACGCCGCCGCCTTCTCGTCGCTTTCGCCAACTTCGGAGCGCTTTATCGACGGCTTCCGTGTCTACTTCAGCACTCTTCGGCGACGTGAGCGCAGCGGACTGTTCTACGGCCCACTTTTGCTTCTCAAGTTCGATCTCATCCGCCATGACGTCGAAGAGAGAGAGCGTCGACGTCGAAGACCCCAACGTCGCCGTCACCGGAACGAGATTGTTGTCGACATTGTGCTTGTGTTGTTTCACGCGACGACGATCGACCTCATTCATCATCTCTTTCATGGCGGCGGTGATGGAATCCGCAAAGAGCACGCATTCGCCGTTCTTGTTCCGCGCCGCCCGGCCAGCCATCTGCATCAACGAGCGCGCGCTTCGCATGAAACCAGGAATATCCGCATCTAAAATGGCGACGAGCGACACTGAAGGTAGATCCAAGCCTTCGCGCAGAAGCTGCGCACCCACGATACAATCTAGTTCGCCTTGTTGAAGCTTGGACAGTTTTTCGGCACGTTGCGGGGCAGTGAGCTCTGAGTGCACCCAATCGGCGCGCACGCCGTGCGCGTTCAAGTACATCGACAGATCCTCGGTGTCCGCCTTGGTGAGCACGCACACCAGCGAGCGTTCGCCAATCTTAGCTTTCTCATTCACTCGCTGTGCCAACGCTTCGAGTTGATTCTCTTTGCCTACGACGTGCACCGGCGGATCGAGCACGCCGCTCGGTCGCACGACCATGTCAACCATGGCATCGCTCGACTTGCCGCCGACCCATTCCGTCTCAATATCGCCCGGAGTCGCGCTCACGAGCAGTGCCTGCGGGACACGCTGCCAGAATTCTTCGCTCATGAGTGGACGATTGTCCAACGCCGATGGCAGACGATAACCGGCGCCCACGAGCGCCGTTTTACGGCTTCTGTCGCCGCCGTGCATCGCGCGAAGTTGCGGCAGCATGACGTGAGATTCGTCGGCGACCAATAACCAGTCGCGACGCGTTTGGGAGTCCGCTGAGTATGAAAAGTAATCCAGAAGCGTCACCGGCGGCTCTTCGGGCTTTGCGCAGCGTAAATGACGGCTGTAGTGCTCGGCGCCTGGGCACCAACCGAGCTCTCGCAGCAAGGTCAAGTCGGCGTTGGTTCTCTGCTCCAGTCTATCAGCCTCGATCGCGCACCCCTCGGCGCGAAGCTTCTTCGTTTGTTCGTCCAGTTCAGCCTTGATGCTCACGAGCGCGCGTTGCAGGCGCTCGGCCGGGGTGATGTAGTGCACGCGCGGCCAAATCGTGAGCGGTAAATCGACCCGGCGTCCGCGCGCTTCACACGCGACGACGACGCCGTCGTCGCCTCGAACTCGTACGTCCAACGCACTTTCCAAATATGGCGGCCAAATAGTGATGGTGAAGCAGTTGTCGTCGTCAGGTGCGGCGGTAGTTTTGTATTGACCGCGCTCAATATCCATGTACGGCATCACGCGCTCGTACAGTAAATCGTCGCGAAGCTTATCCTCGACGCCGTCGATGCCGAATGTCGACGCCGAGGCCCCGATCTCGATCGTCAGCGCCGCATCTACGTAATCCGTCGGTAACCCCAAACCATACAGGCAACTCACGCTCGCGACGACGACGGGCGTCTTCCCAGGTTCAACGAGCGCTCGCGTCGCTCGATGCCGCAACGCGTCCAGATCAGAATCAATCGCGCTTCGCTTCTCCGTGTACCGCCCATTGGAGTACGACTCCGGCACGTACACCGAGAAATGCGACACAAACAGCTCCACCCGGTGACTCTCGCCCAGATACGCCCGAAGTTCGCGCGCGACTTGCGCCGCGAGCGTCTTATTCGGCACCACCACGAGCGCCGGCTTTCGCTGCGCCGCCAACACGTTCGCCACGACGTACGTCTTCCCGGTCCCCGTCGCCCCCCTCAGGCACACAAACTTCCTATCGCGATCGCTCAGCAGCTCCTTGCACCGCTCGATCGCGCTCGGCTGATCTCCCGAGGGTTCGAACGGCGCTCGCACGCCGTTCGTCGTCCGCCTCGCCGCCGTCCCCGCGTCCACCTCCACCCCCTCGCGCCCCGACGTCTCTCCCGCCGCGTCCCGCCCCCCCGTTCGCGCCGCGACATCCGCGCGGTCGTCTCGATCCGCTCGAGCCGTCCAGATCGCCCGTCCGCGCGTCGCGCGCGTCGCGAGATTGAGATTAAGATGCCGCGAGACATTCGCGACGCGTCGACGCATCGCGCCTTCCCGTCGCGCCGTTCGACTCACACGCGCCGTCGACGACGACGACGACGATGCGAACGGCGCGCTCGCGCCTTCGCGCGGTATCGCGCGCGCCCGGCGCGCGCGACGACGACGACGTCGGTCGTCACTGCGCGGCGTTTTGGCGCCGAAATCCATGTCGTCGCCGTCGGCGCGCCTGCGCGACGCCGCCGAGGCGCAGATGCGACGCCGAGCGCCGCGCGACGACGCCGACGACGACGACGGCGGCGACGCGAAGCGCGCGCGCGGCGCGGGCGAGTTTCGGAGGTTCGCGTACGCGACGCTGCGGGCGACGCTGCTCGAGCGCGGCGACGGCGACGGCGCCGTCCGAGCGGTGTTCGCGACGTGCCGGCAATCGAGAGAGAAGAGCGCGACGGCGGCGTTGCGACGGATGCTGGGGGAGGACTCGGCGTACGCGCCGGTGAAACTGCCGGCGAGGGGGGCGCTGTTGATGGCGGCGAGCGGCGGCGGCTCGGCGCGGACGGCGACGGCGACGGTGAAACGAGCGCTCGACGACGTGCGAGGAGGGAAGGACGAGGGGTCGGAATTTTTATACAAGATGTACCCGATCGACGGCGCGTTCGAGGTCGGGGACGAGGACGGGATGCGAGCGTGCGTGGAGAGAGTCGTGCGGGAGACGCGCGCGCGGAGCGAAGACGCGAGATCGAAATCGATCGCGTTCGCGGTGGTGTATAACAAGAGGGTGGATAGCACCGCTAGCGTTAGCGAGGAAGACACGGACGCGTCCGACGTCGCGCACGGGCGCGCGGTGATGGTGCCGAAGATTGCGAAGGCGTGCGAGCGAGCGTTCAAGGACGCCGACGCCGAGTGCGAAGTCTCGGTGAATTTGAAGGACCCGAACGTCGTCGTCTTCGCGCAGATATTCACCGCGCTTCCGTCCGGAGACGAGAAGAAATCGTACATCGTCGCCATCGGCGCCGCCGCGAAGGACGACGGCGTGTTCGAGGCCAAGGCGAAAGGCGTCGCGCCGGCTTCGGTAAGCGCGTTGTCGCCCCGCCGCGACGACGCGCCGAAATGGATGCTAAAGAAGAAAGCCCTCGCCCAGGCCGCGACGACCGTCTCCGACGACGAGCATCGATAGCGACGATGACGCGTCACGTGTACCGAAGAATCTCAAAGTCAATCTCCACGCTCTCCCCCGGGTTCACCTCGCACGCCCCTCGCACGCCGTCTCGACAGTGATGCCCTCGCTCGCCGTACGCCAAGCTCGGCGGTATCCGCACGATTCGTTTCCCACCGATTCGCATCCGCGGCATCGCGTCGCCGTCGCCCTCGAACGCGCGCGCCCAGCCCTCCGGAATGTCATTCGTCGCGCTCCCAATCTCCAGCTTGAATCCCTTCGACGCGCTCGCGCCCGCGCCGCCGACGACGAACGGATCGAACGTGTCCCCCGCGCGCCGCCGATCGAGCGCGCCGTCGTCGCTCGGCAGGACGCGCGCGGTGAAGAGGATGACGACGGCGTCGTGCGCGAACACCTCGGGTCCGTCGCCGACGCGCGCGTCGCGGAACCGCACGCCGTCCCTGGTCGGCGCGAACGTCGGCGCCGGCGCCGCGCGCGCGCGTCGCGGTCGCGCGAGCGCGCCGGCGCTCAGCGCGGCGCTCAGGAGGGCGTCGCGGCGCGCGAGCATGGGGCGTCAGTCCTCGACGCGACGACGAATGACGTCGCGCGCGCGCGGCGACGCGGTCGCGCGCGCGGCGGTCGCGCGCGAGACGCTGGTGCCGGAGCGCGCGACGCGCGCGCGCGCGCTCGAGGACGCGCGCGAGGACCGCGAGGCGTGGGAGGCGCTCGAGGCGAAGCTGTCGCGGTTGCGAGAGGACGGCGACGGCGGCGGTTTCGACGCGCTGGTGGACGTGGGAGGGGAGATACGCGCGCGCGCGCGGGCGCACGACGCGCGCACGGTGTTCGTGGACGTGGGACTGGGGTTCATGGCGGAGATGACGGTGGACGAGGGACTGGGGAGGGCGCGAGACGCGAGGCGGGACGCGGCGACGCGAGAGGTCGAGGCGGCGAACGCGCTGCGAGAAGTCGAGACGTCGCTCGCGGAGATCGAGCGAGGGATCAGGGAACTGTTAGAGTTAGAGTTAGCGGAGCGCGCGGTGTAGCGCGTCGTGTTGTGACACGCATTAGGCTACGTCGTACGTCGCTTCGCGTCGCGTCACGTCTCGCGGCTGCGTTGAAACTGCGGAAGACGAGACGTGTACGGCAAAATCCCCATCTGCCGCGCCGTTTTGATCGCGCGCGCGATCTTCCGCTGCGCCTTCGCGCTCACCCCTAACCGTCGCTTCGGGTAAATCTTCCCCGTATCGCTCACGAACTGCGTCAAAAACCTCGCGTCTTCGTACGCCGCGCGTTCGAGCAGCGTCGCCTCCACCGCCTTCCCTCGCATCGGATTCTTCACCGTCTTCCCCGCCGCCGTGTGTCGCACCGGCGCCGTTCTCGCCGTCTGCGCCGCTAAATCGCTCGGCTCGTAGTTCTGTCCCGGATAATACAACCGATCTCGACTCAACCGCGCCGGTCGCTCGACCTCGCGCGTCCCGCTCGCCGCGCTCGCCAGCCTCGACGCCGTCTCGTCCGCGCCGTCCTCCGCGCGCGCGCGTCCGCGCGCGCGCGTCGTCGTCGTCGTCGTCGACGTCGACGCCGTCGCGTCCGCGTCCGCGTCCGCGCCGTCGCTCGATCGCGCGCGCGCCGTCGCCTTCGTCGCCGTCGCCGTCGCCGTCGCCGCGCCGCCCTCGCGCTCGATCGCGCGCGCGACGCGCGACGCGCGAAGCGCCGCCGTCGCGCGCGATCGAGCGATCGCGAGCATCCCGCGCCGCGCCGCGCGCTCGCCGCGCGCGTCGCGCGTCGCGCGCGTCGTCGTGTGCCGACGCGTCCGTCGCGACACCTCGACGCGACGACGCGACGACGACGCGACGCGCGACGCGACGCGCGCCGACGCGATGCCCGCCGCGGCGCCCGACGCCGGGACGGCGTACCTGGACGCCGCGATCGACGCCGCGCGCGCGATCGACGACGAGACGCGCGAGCTGTTGATCGAGATCGGCGATTTGCGAACGAAAAAGCTGTGGCACGAGCTGACGCTGGCGATCGAGCGCGCGGTGGCGGCGCCGATGAACGCGCGCGTGGCGCTTCTCCCGGGAGGCCTGCGAGGGATGTACGACGGCGTGGTGAGGGAGGCGGAGACGAGGTTTAATCCGTTGAAGACGGCGCACGTGGCGGTGGCGGTGAGCGACGCGTTGACCGGGGAAGAAGCGGTGGAATTCCTGACGGAGACGAGCGCGAGGTTGGTGGCGGCGCACGGGGACGATGCGAGGGAACCGGGGGTGTACGTCGCGGCGCACGTGACGCTGTTGAGATTGGTGGCGGGGGATTTAGAGTACGCCAAACGCGCGGTGACGGAGGGCGATAAAGAAGCGTTGGAGGCGTTGCCGGCGCCGGATCCGAGCGTCAGCGCGGCGTATCATTACGTCGCGAGTCGGTATTACAAGGTGCGGGAAAATTACGCCGAGTTTTACAAGTCGGGCATGTTGTATTTGGCGTACGTGTCGTGCGAAATGTTGCCCGCGGAGACGCGCGCGGCGTTGAGCGTCGACTTGTGTCTCGCCGCTTTGCTCGGGGAGAACGTGTACAATTTCGCCGAGCTTCTCGCGCATCCGATAGTGGAGAGTTTGAATGATGGGCCTTTCGCGTGGTTGATGGACGTCGTCAAGGCGTTCAACGAGGGCGATTTACACGAGTACGATCAGTTGTGCGTCAAGCACGCCGCGGCTTTGAACGCGCAACCCGCGCTCGTGGCGAACGAGCGCAGGCTTCGGGAGAAGATTACGATCTTGTCCCTGTTGCAAATCATATTCAAACTTCCCGCCGAGCATCGAGAGATTTCTTTGAGCGACATCGCGGTGAAGACGAAGCTGACCACGGACGGCGTGGAGTACTTGCTCATGAAGGCGCTGAGCGTACACTTGATCGAAGGCATCATCGACCAGGTCGAGAGCAAGGTCATCGTGACGTGGGTCCAACCTCGCGTCTTGTTACGCTCGCAAATCGCCGAACTCGCCGGGCGTTTAGATGGATGGATTGAGAAAGTGAGCGCGGTCGAAAGCAATCTCACGGACGAGATCGCCGTCGCGGCGTGACTTTAAGGGCGAATCGCTCAAACTTGCTATACAATTTCTACACTAGATCGTAACCATCGGTCCCCGCGCCCGACGCTTTTTTCATCGGGTCCTCGAATGCGCGCTTTTTCATCCTATACGCCTCCATGTCTTCCGCCGTGACTTGCGAATCGTGCGTGACGTTGTACCCGCGCTTGTTCTTCCCGTCGCCGCCGCGCTTGAGCGCTTCCTCGCGTTCGTCTTGCCGCTTCAAGGCTTCGAGGAGCTTTTGAGGATCGATCTCGACGTCATCCTTGACATCACCACCCCACAGATCGCTCGGTTTCGTCGTCGCGTTGAGCTGCGACTTCGCTCGCGCTTCGTTCGCCTCGTCCATCGCGCGCTTGTTCTCCATGTTGTCCACCATGAGTTGCTCGCTCGCGAGCGCGGCTTCGACGCCGCGCTCGCCCGTGCAATACGAGTTCTTCACCATGCTTTGACAACACGCGTAACCCCACTGACCGGCGTTCCAGTACGAGCCCCAAACCTTGGTGTGATTTTGCAAAAGGACATCCTCCTCGTAACAACTCTTCACCGTGGCTTTTTCGGTTCCCTTGATGAGACGGCCCGCGCGGTCGTACTCGACGTATTGCTCCGTTTGACCGAGCGCCAAACCGTCGGGAAGCTCTTTGCCCGCGCTCGCGTCGCCGTACTTTTCCATGATGTTCTTTTTATTCATTCCCGCGAGCTTTTCCTTCTTTTCTTTGAATTGCTTGTACAGCGCCTCGGCTTGCGACGGCGCGCCTTGCATGTGAATGGCGCTCGCGCCGCCGGCTTCCGCCTGCTCCCATGCGTGACGATTCAAACGCTCAAACTCCACCACTTGCCCGTCATTTCGCGCCGCGTTATCACCGCGGAAGAAGTTGTCTTTGGGATCGGCGTTCGGCGTCGGATTCTCGCGCATCGAGCGCGTCTTTGGGTCGTAGTACGCCGAATCCACATCCAGGTTGCGCAAATATTTCGCCGTGTCTTCGCGAAGACGCAAGTTACGCACCGTGCCGGAAGCGCCCCCTCCGGGCGCGCGCACCGCGCGTTTGATGTTTGCAAACCCCGTCGCCGCCTTATCCGCAACCTTCGCGTCGTCGTCGTCGTCGTCGTCGGAGCTCGTATCGTCCGAATCCGAGTCGCTCGCCGCGTCGTCCTCCTTTTTATTCGCCCGCCGAAACGCGCGTTCCAACTCTTTTTGCTTGGCCAATTTTTGCTTCATCGCGTCCGCCGCCTCGTATCGCTCCACCACCTTGACGTAATCATCCACATCGAATCCGTTATACCGATCGCGCTTACTCTCAAACCCAAGCTTCAACTCCGGTTGCACGTACTCGTCCGCCGCGATGTCCTTTTGCGTCTTGCTCGCGCCTCTCGCGCGCGGCCGCTCCATGCAATCCTTCTTCTTGTGCGTCATCGCTCCGCAATTCTCGCACGCCCCCTTACGAAATTTCGTCGCCTTCGTCGTCGTCACGCCTCTCTTGTACCACTCCGCGCTCTCTTCGGCTTTTTTCGGCGCCTTTTGATGTTTCAATCCCGGCCCGTCTTGCTTCAGGTACCACGGCGCCGCCGCCATGAATTGAGGAATGTGCGGGTTGATCGCGTTCCCGTCCTCATCGATCTCGTGCGGGATCAACCCAGCCTGGAGCGCGCGCGAACGCGTCGTCGCCGTCAGTCCACCGCCGTCGCGCGCGTCGCGTCGCGTCGAGGCGCGACGAAACGAATGTCGCGAGGAATGGCGGGCGGCGCGCGACGAAATCGTCCTCGCGCGTCGTCCGCGCGTCGCTCGCGCGACGCGTCGACGCGCTCGGCGCGCGAGCGCGCGCGCACCTTTCGACCCTCCTCCAACTCGCGCGCCTTTCGACGCGCCTCGCGCGCGCTCGTCCCATCGGTCGCGCCCATGTCGACCGCGCGTCGCGCTCTGACGCCATTTCTCGACCCATGTCGCGCCGCGACGCCGTCGCGAACGGCGCCTTCGTCGCGGAGGACGGCGAAGAGTTCGATCTCGTCCGCGGCGCCGACTACGCGAGCGAACGCGTCGAGCTGCTGGAGGTTGACGAGGAAATCTTGAGCGAGATTCTTTCAAACGACGGCGTCATCGCGTTCAAGGGCGAGCCCGACGACGTCGCCGTGGTGTGCACGCGGTCGAAGACGTATCAGGTGACGCGCGTGGAATCGTCGAATCAGTGCCTGATCGTCGGACCGGCGTTGGGGGGCGAGGAGGACGAGACGGAGGCGATGGAGGAGGAGGAGGACGGGCCGCGGCGCGCGACGGTTCGAGCGCAGACGAGCTCGCATTTGGATTTGACGGAGATCGCGCCGCGGTTGGATCGGTTGCGAGAGATGATGGCGAGCGTGGCGTACGCCGGGACGGCGGAGGCGATGGACGCGGACGAGGGCGAGGGCGAGGGCGTGGGATTCGGGTTCGACGAGTTGAACGCGCGCGTGCAGGCGAGCGAGTTGGAGATTTTAAAGTGCTTGCAAGAGGAAATCGTCGCCATCGAGATCGATGGGAAGTGGCGCGGCGTGGACGCGGAGTACAGGTTACATGCGTTGGCGATGATGACGGCGAGCGCGTTCGGGAACGGATGGTCGACGAGCGCGTTGCCGACGGACGCCGTCGTGGACGCGATGGCGAGCGACGGGTTCGCGCCGGAGATGGCGAGAAACACGCTTCACGCGTTCGCGACGAAACACGATGTCGACGCCACGTGGGCGCTAGACGAAGAAGCCGTGTGTCGAGCGTTGGCGCAGCGCGTGCTGCGCGACGGCGCTGGATTGAAGGCGTGGCGTCTGGTGGAAATGATGGACCAGTGGCGCGAAAAGCTGAGCGAGTTCAATCTCGGGCACGTCGAGGCCAAGGAAGAGTATCTCTCGGGCTTGGCGCTCATCGATCGACCCGAGCGCGCGGCGGAGGCGTTCGTGCGCACGCTCATCGCGAGCGATTTACCGAGGGAGCCGGGCGATCGATTCGCCGCGCTCTGGGCGGTGAAACCGCGATGGACGCTGAGCGAGCTCGATCCGTATTTGAAAGGCCAGGCGCGGCCGGGGCAAAACATCGAGGCGCAGTTACTGAAGTATTGTCGCGTCACGCAGGGCAACCCGCCGACGTACTCGAAGCGTTGATAAAAATCTGGAATTTAATATCCACACAGCGCGTATCGCGTCTACACTAAAAAAATCGTTGCTGCGTATTCGTTACAAGTGTGTTCGTTCTCTCTCGAGCGGCGGAAAGTCGTTACGCCGCGTACTGCTCTTGTAAGTAGTTGACGATGTCCTTCGATTCGAACATGGCGATGCCGGTGTTGGGGTCCTCGATGTACGGCACTTGAAACGTGCCGCGCTTGTCGAACAACTCTTGACGCTTGGGCGAGCCTCGTCCGCACGACCGCTGCAGGTAAGGCAGCTCCAACTCGCACAACTTTTCCGCCACTAAAACGCAAAACGGACTACCCTCGTAGCCGTAAAACACGATCGGTTGCATGTTTTCCGGCTTCTTCGACGGCGCGTACGCCGACCCTTTCCCGAGTCTCGGCAACAGCGCCAAACCCGCCGTGACGGAGGTCAGCGTTCCGCTCGTCAACGCCGGACCGATGTTTGCCTTGCCCGGTCCGTATTTTTCGTACATGTACGCGATGATGTCGTCGCTTTCGTACATTTTCGTCCCGGTGTTGTCGTCGACGAGATACGGAAACTGCGCGCGTCCGCCCTCGGCGCGCACGAATTCGCGATATTCCGGCCCGTCTCTCGGGCACGGGTAGTAAATCACGTCCAAATCCAACGAAATCACCGCCTCGCGAACCTTCTTACAAAACGGACATCCCTGAAACTGGTACATCTTCAGCGGCTTCTCCGGGCGAGGGAACTTCGCGACGTCCGACGTCTCCCGCACCGCCTTCCCGCTCCCCGACCACACCGCGTACTCGCCCTCGCCGACCTCGCCGTCCACGACCTTCGCCTCGTACCCGTGACACATCAATCCGCTCGTCCATCGCAGCGCGATCGGCGCCGCCGCCGTCGCCACGTTCAGAAGCTCGCCGTCCGCCACCGCGAATCTCTTCGGCGTCGTCGTCTGCCGCAGCTCGTATTCGCCCTCCGCGCGCGTCTCGACGCGAATCACCTCCGACGTCGCGTCCGGCGTCGTCGTCGTCGTCGTCGGTTCGCGCATCGCGCTCGGTTCGACGATCTCCGGTTCGCTCGACGCGTCCTCGTCGTCCTCGCGCACGGCCCGCGTCGTCGTCGTCGTCGTCGTCGTCGTCGTCGTCTTCGTCATCTTCATCGGCATCTTCACCGCGCGCGCGCCGGACGCCCGCGCGCCGCGCCCCGCGCGCGCCGTCGCCGCCATCGCGCGCGTCGTCCTCGCCATCGTCGCCGTCGAGCGCGTCGCCGTCGCCATCGCCATCGCCATCGCCATCGTCGTCGTCGTCGTCGTCGTCGAGATGTGTAGATGTGTCGTGACGTCACGCGTCGGACCCGTAACACGAAACCGATTCGCCGATTCGCGCGCGCGCGACGGCGGTTCGACCGCACGTTTGTGTTGAGGTCGGTGACGATGGTCACTAATTTTTTCGTCGTGCGCGCGCAATTTCCCCTAATTTCGCGCCACGCACGTCGTCGCCGTCACGGCGTCGGACCCGTAACACGAAACCGATTCGCCGATTGGCGCGCGGATGAGATCGTGGTGCTTTGATGAATATATCATCTAAAAGCTCTCCTTGAGTGAAGTATCCTAAATTTTTTAGGGTTTAGGGTTTAGGGCGTCGGCGTCGACCACCGTCCACGCATCGATCGTTCGTCATCGCGCGTCGCGCGACGACGCGACGCCCCGTCGACGTCGACGACGCGACGCGATGCGCGCGGCGCTGGAGGCGCGTCGACGCGCGCGCGCGTCGACGCGCGCGCGCGACGCGACGACGATTCAGACGCCGACGACGTCGTCGCGGTCGGACGGCGCGCGCGACGACGACGCGCGACACCGCGCGTCGACGGCGAGCGCGACGCTCGCGCACGCGCCGCGACGACGACGGTCGTCGAGGCACGCGACGAGGGAACCGCGCGGGCGCTCGGCGGCGCGCGCGAGAGCGCGAGGGGCGATGGACGCGTGGACGCGGGACGCGATGGGACGCGGCGAGAAGAGACGCGGCGACGCGGCGACGCGGTGGCGGACGTTCGTGGACGACGCGAGCGAGCTGGAGGGCGCGACGGAGGTAGAGAGGCGTGGGTTCGCGCGCGCGGCGCTCGCGGCGTACGCGCGGGAGGCGGTGGGGAGGGCGCGAGAGGGACGGGGCGACGAGGACGACGAGGCGGACGACGAGGCATTCGCGGCGCGCGCGGTGCGCGCGTGCGTCGAGGCGTCGATCGAGGAGGGCGAGGGCGAAGACGACGACGCGTGGGATTTCGCGGACGTGTGTCGCGGTTTGAGCGAGCTTTGGTGTCGAGGGCGCGCGCGCGGGGCGGACGGGCGGACGGTGGCGGAGGCGCTCGGACGCGCGCGCGACGTCGCGATGGCGCGCGCGCAGAGCGAGGCGGTGATCACGCCGCAGGATGCGTGTTACTTGCGAGTGTGCTTGAAGCTGAAGGCGTACGACGCGCTCGCGGCGAGCGATGGGATTCTCGCCGCGCCGGCGATGGACGTCGCCCCGGCGCTGGACGCGACGGACTTTTTGCTGCGGTGCTACTACGGCGGTCGCGCGCTCTTGGCGTTGCGACGATATCCCGAAGCCGCGCGGTGGTTTCAAGACGCGCTGAGCGCGCCCGCGACGGCGCTCAGCGCCATCGCGGTGGCGGCGTATAAAAAGTACGCGCTGGCGACGCTGTTGGCGGACGCCGTCGCCGACGCGTCGACGTTCTCGTCGCCGGCGAAGAAGTACTCCACGTCGCGCGAGTGCGACGCGTACGCGTCGCTGCTCGCGGCTGCGAAGAAACGCGACGCCGCGAAGGAGCTGGCCGACGTCGTCGAGCGACACGAGGCGACGTACGAGCTCGACGGAAACGCCGGATTGGTCGCGCTCGTGCGCGATCGAGCCGTCGCGGCGAAAGCGCGTTCGCTCGCGAAGACGTACTCGACGCTTCGCTTGGGGGATTTCGCGAGCGCGATCGGGTTCTCAGACGTCGAAGCCGCGGAAAGAGTGTTGTACGGTATGATTGTGCGAGGCGAAATAGCCGCGCGCATCGACGGCGTCGACGGCGTCGTGCGTTTCTCGGAGGGCGACGAATCGTCGGCGACGATCGAAGACATCGCAGAGGCGTTGAAGCGGGGACTGCGCGCGGTGAGCGTTCTAGACGCGCGCGTGCGAGAAGAAAGCGACGCGCTCTCGCGACACAAAAAGTTTGCCTCGCACGCGTTGACGGAAGAGCGAAGAGCCGCGGCGTTGGCGCACGTTGAGACGGAGAGTTGATTGTAAAATGAACATGAAATGTACGTGAGCGAGCGAGCGATTCTAGAACTCACGCCTCTAAAACAGCATCGATAAGCGTCGGACCGTCGGCGTCGAGCGCGCGCGCGAACGCGTCTGCAAACTCCTCGCAGGTAGTGGTGCGGACGCCGCGAACACCGTACCCTTCGGCGAGTTTGCACCAGTCGATCGAGGGGTCGTCGAGTTTCGTGAGCGAGTCGCACGCGCCTCCGGACGCGCGAACGCCCTGGATAGCGCACTCGACGCGGAGAATTTGATACTTGGAGTTGTTCATGATCACGGTGACGACGTTGAGTTTCTCGCGCGCCTGCGTCCAAAGGGCCTGGACGGTGTATTGAGCCGAACCGTCGCCGACGAGCGCGATCGTTTGTCTCTCGGGCGCGGCCAAAGCGACCCCGACCGCCGCGGCGTTCGCGAAACCGATGGAACCGCCGGTGAGCGTCATGTGCGTAAAACGCGCCGACGATTCGCTGTCCTTCCAGTACGTCGATCCAGAGGTGAGCGATTCGTCCACGACGATCGCGCCGGCTGGTTGCATGCCGGCTATGATTCGACACACCTTGGCACCGTTCAAGGCGCCCGTCGGTGAATCGCATCGCACTTGGACGTATTCACCCTCGAGCGTGGACTTTGGGCTGGCGTCTACGTCCTTCGGTGCGATCGCAGTCTTCGGTGATTCGTCTGCGATGCCGAGCTTTGTCGCGACGGCGTTCGTGAGCGCGTTGATCGAATTGTGATTGAACACAATCGTCGATTGTAACTTGATGTCGAACTCTTTGCACAGTTTGTCGTGCACGCTCACTGCCTTCGTGCTCGTCATCCCGTAGTTCCACAAACTATCCTCCTTGTCCTCGACCGATTTCGCGAGCGCTTCGGAAACGACGTGCTCAACGACGGCGGCGACGTCTGACATCTTCGGCGCGCATTGAACGCCGATATTCACTTCCATCGCGAGCGCGCGCAAGACGTCAAGCATCATCGCGTTTCCGGGAGGATCGACAAACCACATGTCGTCGTCGTTCTGTGCGAACAACTTCGTCGGAGAATCGCGGTAGCCGAACATCGCCGTTGGCGGTCGCGGCACGTCGAGAAAAATGACGACTTTGTACTTGGCGAACGCGTTCGCCGCGTCTTTCGGAAAGTAAGGCGCGCGCTGCACTTTGGGCATATCGCCACCGCGTTCGATGCAAGAAAAGAAGCACTCACACACCACGTCCGCACCGAGCGCTTCCGCGACGTCGCCGACGATCCGCAGTTCTTCCTCGCCGCACGCATCGCCTCCGATGTAAAAGAGAACTTCGCCGCGCGCCAACGGTTTCGCGCGAGCGAGCATTTCACGCAGAAAAGCGCGAACGGCATCAGTGACGACCACGTCTTCGGCGCCGTCTCTTCTATTGCGAACGTTTTCGGCGCGCGCGATGGCGTCGCTCAGTCTGCCACTGTCCAACACGCGAGACCAAGTCAAATCGTGCGGCACGATTTGCGTGGCAACGCCGCGGTGTCGAAGCGCCGCTTCGATCGCGTCCGCAGCATCACTCGCGATCGCATCCACCGCCGCACTCGTGTGCACGTATTTCGTCGACACCGTCCGCGCGAGCGACTCGATATCGTTCTCCAACAGGGCTTCGTTACCTCGATGAAACGTGCTCATCTCGCCGACGACGTTGAGAATGGAGCTCCGGCCGCGGCTCGCGTTGTGCAAGTTCGAAAGTCCGTTCATCAAGCCAGGGGCGAGATGCAAAAGAGTCATCGCCATCGCGTTTCGATCGCGGTTGACGTCGCGCTTGACGCGAGAGTACCCGTCCGCCGCGCCCGTGGCGACGTTTTCGTGGAGAACGAGGACGCTGCGAATATCCGCGCACTCGGCCAGCGCGCCGACGACGTGCATCTCTGAAGTCCCGGGATTAGCGAAGCACACCTCGACGCCTCCGGCCGCGGCGACTTTGCAGAGCGCAGTGGCGCCTGTGATTTCTTTCGGTTCTTCCGACATGCTGCTTCACGCGTCGAGGTGTCGCGCTCACGGCCCCTCGCGCCTCGATTTTCCAAATAATGACGCGACTGCGCGAGAGATGAACGAACCGCCACCATCCGGCGGTTTTCGCGCGACGTTCGCGTCGGCATTCGACGATGCGTCGCCACCGTCCGTTTTCGTATTGAAAATACCCTTGAACGCCGCCGATGTCGCCCGCTCGCGATCACGAATCGCCGCGTCGATCTCTCGCAACGCCTTGACGACGTTCGCGTCGACGAGGCCCGCGGCTTCGGTAATTTTCTTAGCCTTTAAAAAATCTTCTCTCGCGGCGTCCTCCTGCCCTAAACCCGCTCGCGCCTTACCGCGCCTGTAATACGCCTTTGCGTTGTTCTCGTCCACCTTCAAGACGTACCCGACGTGCGTCACCGCGTCTTCGAACGCGCCCAATCGCAAATACGCCGCCGCCAAATTCCCGTGCGCGGCGACGAACTCCTCGTGCGCCTCGACCTCGTACTTATCGAACAACTGCATCATAAAATCTTCCGTCAAGTACGTCAACGCCATCGAGTATTCGCGCACGGCCTCGCGCGCGCGCCCCCCCGCGAACGCCGCGTTCCCGTTCGATCGATGCGCGCGCACGCGCTCCACCCGTTGCTCGTACGTCATGTCCCTCTGTCGCATCTCCGGCGCCGCCGCGCTCCCCCGCGCGCCCAATATCTCCAAATCCAACACCACCGCCCTGTCTTTCCCCACCGCCGGGAACGAAAAGTTCCCCTCCTTCCCGTACGCCAGCGCCGCCCCGCACTCAAACGTCGCCCGCTCGCCCACTCGCATCGTCATCGCGCACGCGTCCAGCGCCTCCACGCGCGCCGGGCCGTCGCGCGTCCTTCCCTCCTCGTCCGCGATGCCCGTCCGCGCGCTCAGCGTGAACTGAATCGGTTCCATGTCTTCCCTCGTGTCGCGCAGCGTCTCGCCCGTCGTCGCGTCGCGAAGCGAAAAGTGCGCTGTTCAAGCGTCGCGCCGTCGTCGGCGTCGCGTCAGTCCCCGATCTCGCGCGCGCGCGCGCCGTTCGCGTTCAAACGCGGCGCGACGCACCGTGCACCGCGCATCCGAGCGCGAGCGCGTCGGCGTCGTCGTCGGGATGCGTGAGGATGGTTTTCCGAACCGGCGCGCGCGCGCGTCCCACGCGCTCGACCGTCGACGCCATGCCGCGCGACGCGCGTCGTCGCGCGCGCGTATATGCGAGTGGCACGCGCGCGCGACGACGCGCGCGCGTCGACGCGTGGCGCGGCACTTCGGGACGCATCCATGGCGACGCGCTCGCGCGGATTCCCGCGCGCGGCGCGGCCCGACGTCGTGCGCGCGGCGCAAAAGGACGAGACGCACGCCGCGGTGCGTCCACCGGACGCGCGCGCGACGCGCGACGACGCGCGCGACGCGACGACGCGACGACGCGATGACGTAACGACTTTGACGACTGACGACGCGACGCGACGCGACGCGACGCGACGCGCGCGCAGGCGACGGCCGAGCGACTGCACGACGCGTGCGCGCGCGCGCTCGGACCTCGACTGTCGGTGCGGTGGAATCGCGCGCTGCGGGCGTGCGGGCGGGCGGCGTACCCGGCGCTGACGTACCTGAGCGGACGCGCGACGCTCGGCGAGGAGTACTGCGACTTGGCGAGCGGGGACGCGCGGGGAAGGAAATCGAGCGCGCGGGCGCTCTGGACGCGGTTCGTGATCGATGCGTTCGGCGAGGAGATCGCGCGCGAGCTGCGGGGGTGCGTGGTGCGAAATCACGAACGCGGCGTCGGGCTGGGGGGCGGGGAGACGAGCGCGGCGACGCGAGCGATGGACGCGAGCGCGAGGACGGCGCTGGCGCTCGTGGGACGACGCGTCGAGCGCGGGATGGGGGATGAGACGACGTCGCACGGGCAGGCGATGATCGACGCGCGAGGTGGGTTCGCGAACGCGGCGCATTTGGCGCTGTTTTACGCGAACGGGGAGTATTACGATTGGAGCTGCCGAGCGAGCGGGACGAGACGCGCGTTCACGGGGGCGTACGCGGGCGAGGAACGGCCGAGTTACGCGCTGTTAGGCGTGTTCGTGGCGTTTCAACTCGCCGTCGTGACGTGCGAAAACGTCGCGAGCTTCGCGCGCGGGGGCGGGTCGAGCGAGACGTCGGGGGCGCCGTCCGTCGGCGCGCGCGTGCTCGAATCCGACGGCTCGCCGGCGATCGAAGCCGCGATCGTCGCATCGCCGCGGCTCGACGTCTTCGGTAATCCCGTCGACGAAGGCGCGTCGGCGTCTCGAAAATCGAAATCCACGTCGCCTTTGATCGCCGCCAAGTGCGCGCTCTGCCTCTCGCCTCGCGAATCGCCGACGGCGACGCCGTGCGGTCACGTCTTTTGCTGGCGCTGCATCGCGGGGTGGGCGAGCAAAAAGCCCGAGTGTCCGCTGTGTCGAGCGCCGACCACGCCTCAAAGTCTGGTTCCCCTGAGTAACCTTGCCTAGATCGACGTGTCATTAGGAAGCGTCGTAGTTCGCCACTCGTCGCCGCGTCGAACCGCAGACGTCGCCGCGCGATGGGTCTCTTCGGCGCCGTCTTCTCTTTTCTTCCGTTCGTGCGCGCGCGACGCGACAAGCGACGAGACGAAAATCCCGATCGGCGTCGGCGCGGCGAGCGCGCCGCGCTGCTCGTCAAGCCAGACGCGGCGACGACGACGACCGAGGGCTGGGTGTTACGCGTCGTCACGCTCGCGCTCGTGCTCGCGTGCGGCGTCGTTTGGGCGTCGTTCGCGAGCGAGTTGCAAGAGCTGTCGATCGGGGCGCGCGCGGGGGACGACGTCGCGGGATTGGGGGCGGACGTGGACGTCGAGGCGTGGATGGCGACGCGCTGGCGCTGGATGATGGTTTAGCTCACGGGACGAAACGAAACGAATTCGGTGTTGTATTGATAGAATGTATAGCGTAGCTAAACGATGACTAGAGGTGCGAATAACGCTTTCCAGTCGCGCTCGGCGGCGGCGGCGCCGTTGGAGACTTCGAACTCGAGAGATTCGCCGGGCTTCGGCGGACGCGTGAGCGCACGAGCGCACACTTCTGCCAAATCCTCCATGCTCACCTCCCCCGTGAGCGTGTCGCCCTGTCCAAATCTTATCTCTCGACCTTGCGACGGTGATGATTTCACGCTGCACGGTCGAATGATGGTGAGCGCGACGCCGCTTCGCTTGGCCAGCTCTTCTCTCGTTTTATCTCGTCGAGCCTTTTCGTTGGCGCTCGGAAACAACCCGCCGCCCGCGCTCTTCGCGCTCGACACCAGCACGACGTGTTTCACCCCTCTCCGCACGCATGCCGCTAATAAATCCTCCTCCAGCGCGTCCGTCACCACCATCGCGCGCACGCCGTTCAACCGCGCTCCCGCGCTCATCGAGTTCGACACCACGTTTACGTACGGACCGAACCGCGTCTCCGCGCCGACGATCTGTTCCGCCTCGCACGCCGCCACCACGCTCGCCTTGGCCAATATCAATTGCACCACGATGGATTCTCCGAGCGCGCCGTCCGCGTTCGTGACCAAAATGCTCGTCTTGGGTAGGTTCAACTCGACGTCGTCGTCGTCCTCGTCGGCCTCGTCGGCGTCGCCGTACGCCGCGGTCTCGTCGCCGTTCTCGTCGCCCGACGCTCCGGTGCCGTCGCCGACGGAGCTATCGGAACCGTACCAGCGGCGCAGTTTAGGGCCACCCTCCATGACGTCCAGCATCTCTGCGTCGCGCGCGCGCGCGGCGTCGTCAGTCTCGGTCGCGTGACGTCTGTGCGCTCTGACGCACCTTCGAATATTGAACGCTTCTTACCGGCGCGCGCGGCGATCGCGCGCGACGCGCGCGCGCGGAACGCGCTCGGGGACGTCGTCGGGCGTCGCGACGCGGACGCGGGGGCGACGAGGCGCGCGCTCGCGAGCATGGCGTGCGTCTTTGAGTGAGGCTCGGGACGAGACGGTTCCGGAGCGAACGCCGACGCCGTCGGTATCACAATCGATCGCGCGAGCGATCGCGCTCGTGTCTCGCCGCTAAAAAACTAAGACGCCGCGCTCGCGAGGGACGGGTCGGCGAAGGTGAGCGGGACGAGGGCGACGTCGCCGTTGGCGAAGGCGACGGCGAGCGTCGCGCGGAGTCTGCCGGCGGCGACGGCGAGCGGGGTGGAAATTTTAACCGCTTGCGCCGGTACGCGCGCGCCGGTATCGTCATCCGCGGTGTCGAAGTATCCGATCAGACTGCTGCTGACGATGTTTGTCGTGCGCGTGGCGTAGAGGGCGACGACACCGTCTCTGTCGCCGCCGCGCAACGCGAGCGCGAGGCGCGAGCTCGACGCGTCCCAAACCATGTCCGCGACGTCGTGCTCGCTCGTCCCAGATCGCGAGGCGTCGCCGCCGACGATGTCCGGGAGTTCTAAGGGTAACACGTGAGCCGCAATCTCGTTCACGCAATCCCTGGGCGAAAGATGCACGGCGGAGAGCTTCGCCGAACCGCGCGTGGCTATCAACGCCACCGGAGCGTCTCCCTGCTTCCCTTGCACGTTGCCCCAGGCCGTCGCGGTCACCTCGCGCCCGTTCGTGCTCCACTTTCTACACGTCATCGTGTCGCACTGCCAAACGCTAAAGCCCTCGCCCACGTGCGCGGCGAGAAGGTAACCTCCGCACGCGCTGAAGGCGACTCTGGAGATGCCCGCGCCGCCGCCGCCCAAAGGCGTGTACGTCCCCGCGCTCACGTCCCAGCAATGAATCACGCGACACCTTCGCGAGCACGCCACGAGTAAAAGTCCATCTGGGCTCCACGCTACGCACTCCGACGCGCATATCCCGCCCGGCGGCGCCGTCGGCCCCGCCTCGTGCGCTCCGCGCTCGTTGTAAATCGTAAGCCTCCAACGGTACCCGCTCGTCTTCCCGCTCGTCCCGCGCTGCGCCAACGCTCGCACTTTCGCCGCATCGACCGGGCTTAGCGCTCCTGTTTCGCTCGCAACCGCGCTCGACGCGCGCGTCGCGCGTCGCTCTCGCGTCCAAACGCACACGCCCGACGCGCCCGCGAGCGCGAGCGCTCGTCCCCGTCTCGGCCGCCACGCCATCGCCGCGCACCGTCCGTGCGCGCGATGCCGCAGCGTCGTCACCTCGTCCTCGCACTCGCTCTCGTCGTCGCTCGCGCGTTTCCGCGCCCGCACCGCGCCTTTATCATCCATCGCCGCGTCGCGCGTCGCGCACCGACCGCCGTCATCCGTCGTCGCCAAGATTTCCTTCGTCGGGTGCCACGCCAGCGCGGCTTTCGGCGCCGCGCCGTCGCGCGTCGACTGCGACAGCGCGCGGGTGATCTCCGTGAGCGCGCCGTTCGAGAGCGCGGCGTCGCGGACCGCGCGCGCGAGCGACGGTTTCGCTGAATCAGACTGTTGACGCGAGGCGTCGCGCGGGTGCGCGTCGCTCGTCGCGCACGCGCCGCGAACGGCGACGGGACATCGCACGACGTCGCCGAGGGCGCGTTCGACGCGCGCGCCGCCGGGGCCGATGAACTCGCAGTCGACCTCTTCGAGCGCGGGCATGGCGAAGAGGCGGCGAGTGCGGCGAGGCGCGAAGACGAAGCGAGGGCGTTTCTACGTATGGAGACACATTCGTGTTACAATGAAGAGTGAGGAGTAGTGTGGTAATGTAAATCGGATCATCGTCGTCGTCGTCGTCGTCGGTTGGTTTCGCGCGCGTTCGTCAGAAGAATGCTTCGGCGGAACGCTTGACGCCGTTGGAGAGCTTTGTTTTGGTCTGCTTCGGCGGCGCGCTGTGGGTCTTGCCGTGAATCGGACGGAAGATGGTCTTCGTCGGCGTCAGACGAAGATTTTGCTTGCCGCGTTTCGTGTTGATCGGACCCCGGAGGTCCGGGGATGAATACGTGATGCCTTCGTCGTTCCACATCAAGCGTTTCGATCTCGGGGACATGGACGGGGAGTCGAGCGAGTCGAGCGACGGCGTCGGCGACGCGGAGTTTCCGCGGTCCACGACGGCGCGCATGGCGACCAGCTTCGATCCACTCCTCTCTGACGCGTCTGACGATTTTGCCGTCGCGGCATCATCGGATGACTTTGAGCTTGACTTTTTCTTCTTCTTCTTCTTAGCGCTTCGCTCTTCCTCTGCTTCTCGCGCGGCGAGCTCCTTCGCCAGGCGACGTTCGCGCTTACGACGTTTCTTTTCTTTCTTCGCGGCCTCTTCGTCGACGGGCTTGTCGACTTCGTCGACTTTGCGTTTCGTCTTCTTCTTTTTCTTCGCAGTCGAACCGTTGACGAGTCCGGCGCTCTCTTGCGAGACGCCGTTCTGCTTACGCTTTTTCGGTGGCGACGCGACGTCCTCCGCCTCTGGATCCTCACCACGCGCCTCGGCGTCCTTCTTGATCTTGCTCGCGCCTTTCTTCAACATGGCGTGTAACTCGTATAACGACTCTCTGCACGCATCGTCGACGCCGTGCTCGGCACCGAGCGTGATGGCGCGCTCGTAAAGTTTCTTCAAAGCACTCGGTGTCAAACGCGGCGCGCGCGGATCCTCGCTCGCTCGCGACGCATCCGTCAGTGGTTCGAACACGTCGGTGCGGATGCGCTTGAGCAACACATTGCTCTCCTCCTTCTGCATGGCGTTGATGAAAACGACCACCAACGCCGCGAGTGCGCCGCTCGGAATCGGCGTCGGAGCGCCCGCCTCGATTTCCTCCTCCCCGTCGTCCATCGCCAAACCCGTCTCACCCTTACACACCGCCTCAACCTCCCTCAAAAACACCTCCGCCACGTGCAACTTGAACCCGATACCCTCCAACTGCGCCGATTTCGGCGCCCCAAATATCGCCTCCGCCATCGCGCGTCCGATATCATCCGCCATATCCCATCCTCGTTCGCCCGCGAATCGAAACCCGTGGTGCAACACGCGTCGCGTCAACAAGCAATACTTATCCATCCTGTGCTTATCTATCCCACCCCACTCCGTGCGCATCGTCCACAACCCCGCTTCCAAGTACACCATCGCCACCTCGCGATTCAGCACGTGCACGAGCGCTCCCATCTTATTCGCCACCTCCAGCTGCGTCGCTCTCCCGTCGGCGTGCCAATACGAGTAAAACAACCCGCGCCACAGCTTCTTCCCATCGATCGCCGTCAGCGTCTCGCGACTGGCCAGCCACTTCGACACGTTCACGAACGTCTTATCGCGCACGCGTTTATCGCTGTCCGCGAGCTTTTTCGCGAACGACGAGCTCATGACGACGATTTCGGCGTCGGCGGCGGCGGCGCTTCACGCGCTCGAGACGGCGCGTCGGCGCGCGCGACGGCGTCGCGTCGGCGTCGATCGCGCGGAGTCGACGCTTTGACGCTCGCCGTCGGCCGCGACGCGCGCCAGCTCGCCGCGCGGGCGTGTGCGGCGCGCGATGATGTCGCGCGGCGGCGCGCGGCGAACGCGCGAAAAAGACCAGCCGTTGGCGAAATGTCAATGTGGGCGCCAACAGTCGGCGAGCGCGCCTTCGACGACGCCGAGGGAACGCCTGCGCGCTAAAAACGCGGCTTCGAACGCGCACACGGTCGACGCGTACGTTTGCCACGCGCGGTCGACGTCGCTGGTCGCGTCGGCGCGACGGGCGAGCGATTGCGCGGCGCGCACGGCGAAGTCGGCGGTGGCGCGAAGCTTGGCGAGCCGGCCGACGTGACGCTTGATGAGACGACGCTTGGAGGCGTCGATGGGTTGGGGTAAGGGTGGATTCGGGGGATTTGGTGCGCGTGACGCGCCGGTCGCGATGGATGGTGCGGTGCGATGGACCGCGGTCGGCGCCGGGGGACGGCGCGCGTCGGCGGCGCATTTCTGAAGCCAGCGATCGACGACGGCGGCGGCCATGCTCCAGGCGTGCGCCACGAGCGCGAGCGAGCTGACGAGTCGAATTGAATTCGACGCGACTTTTGGTGGCGATGGTCCTGTATGCGGTCGAAGCGGCGTTACGACGTCGGAGGCTTTGGAAACTCCCGATCGCTCGAGTTCGCGCGAGGCGACGTCGACGAAGCACTCGAGCGTGACGAAATCTTGCGTCGAGGCATCTCGCCGAGCGATGTCAGCAGCGACGCGATCAATCATGTCGTCGTCGTTCAGCATCGCGCGCGCGATCGCACCCGCGCTCTTGAACGCTTCGCTGAGTGTTTTCACGAGCGCCGGGTGATGCGCCAAGGTTCCATACGGATGCCGCTTGGCGAACGTCGCTGCGATGGCCTCGCGCGCGAATGTCCGCGCACGCACAATACCGACGAGCCCCCTTTCTATGACGAGCGCGAATGAGACGCGCGATATTCCGTTTCGATGCGTCGCACTTCGCCGGATGACGTCGACGTCTTCCGTCGACGGAGCCGCTTCGCCAAGAACGGGAGCCAGCAAGTGTGCCAGCGAACGCGTCGCCTCTTCAACGCCTAATACCGGCGCAGTTTGCGGTGACTCAATCAATACATGCTGTGTGAATCGAATGGTCGACATCACTCGCTCGAGTTCGAACGCGTCGAGCTCTTTGAATCGTGTGAAAGTCTGCACCCACTCGCTCTGCGCGTTGATCGTCGCGAGCGCCTTCGTGAACATTTGGTGGTGTTTGTCACCGAGAGTCCGCGAGCCGTGTCGCTTGTAAAAGAACTCGCGAACACGATGCGAAACGTCCATGCTTGAGTCATAGCTCAGAGCTAACTCAATCGCTATGAGTGTCGCCAAACGATGTGTCGTCGGCGAATCCAACGCCTCCGTATCGGCGAAGAACCGCGCGTCGTCGTCATCAACGTGTCGATCGCGTCCCGCGACCGCAGTCCCGGTTTCACCGCCACATTCCCGATTTAAGTCTGTAACGAATACGGGAAGGCTCGCGACCACGTCTGCGTCCCCTAAAGATGACGCTACCTCGCTCAGTTCGCGTTCGGTACGCGGCGACGCGCTCGCGCATTCGCTAGACGACTGCGACGCGCGCCGCACGCGCGAATCGTCGTCGTCGTCGGTGTGCCCTAGACCATTCGAGTCATCAGACGCCGTAATACGACTCGCGCCGTCTACATCAACGCACGTCGACGCCGTGCGCGCGCATTCCAAATCGCATCGCAACTCTCGCGCGTCCGTCTCCGCCTTTACGCTCCGCCGCGTCTCCCTCGCGAGTTCCTCACGTAGCTCCTTCGCCCGCGCGCGCCCTCGCTTCACCGAGCGCATCGCCGACTTTACTTCCTCCTTCGCGCTCGACGCCACGAGATCTACGGCGCGAAGCGCATCCTCCACCGCCGCGCGTCGTTCTTCGTCGTCGCCGTTCGCCGCGCGAAGCGCCGCCACCTTCGCCACCGCCCGCGTCGTCGCCGCGTCCAGCACGCTTCGCGACATCGCCTCCGACGACGCGTTCCACTCGCACCGCTCGATTCCGTCCTCGTTCGCGACGTCGCGGGCCCGTCGAAACCCGAGAGACGTCGCCGCGCCCGCGCGTCCGTCTCGCCGTTCCAGCCGACGCGAGCGATGTCCCGCGCGGCTCTCCGAGCGCGCGGCGACGCGCGGCGTCGCGCGCGCCGACGACCGGCGCTCGACGACGGCGTCTCGCGCCATCGCGCGCGCGCGCGGCCGCCGCGCGCCCGCGGCGCGCGCGCGCGCGCGCTCTTTAAAAATAGGACGCACCGCGCAAAGTGACGCTTCGTCTCGCGCGCGCGCGGCACTGTCGGACGTTCGAACCGATGCGCGCTTCGCCGATCGGCGCGCGCGCGGCGACTCGCGCGGCGCCGCGGCGCGAGCGACGCCGCGACGCGAAACGGTCGGCCGCGGCGCGCGCGCGCGGGAGCGACGACGCGCGCGCGGGAGCGACGACGACTCGACGACGCTTTGCGCGAGGTTTACAGTTGAGTTTGCTCCCGCTGCTCGCGAAAGACGCGCGAGCGCGCGACGAGGGCGACGCGACGAAGGAAACGCGGACGTTTAGCGTGGAGACGCGCTCGTTTCGCGTCGGTAACGTGCCGGAGTACTTCGAAGAGATCGATCTGGGGGACAGCGCCTCGGGCAAGACGTACGAGACGCTGCTGCGGGACAAACGTTTTGGGTTGGCGGGGAACACGATCACGCTGAGTAAGCAGACCGCCTCGAGCGGCGGGCCGCGGAGTTTGCGCGACATAGGTTCGATCGAGGACGTGGCGGCGCGTTTGGTGGATTCTGAAAATAAAAAGTCGCGCGGCAAGGCGAACGCCAAACTGCGCGTGTTCGCCGAACGTCGAAAAGATTCGATCGAGTACTACGACATCGTGTACGAAAAGAACGTGCTGGGCGTCAGGCGCGTGATTCAGTGCACGTTAGCCCTGGACGTGGACGACGCTGGATCGAGCACGCTTTACACGTTGACCGTGGAGGAGGACGCCGAACGATACGACGACGCCGAAGCAGAAATGCGCGCGGTCGCCGACGGCTTTAAAATCTTCCGTTGATCACGTGGCGTCACATCACGACATAATTAATTTTACTTCACACGCGCGCGCTTTTCGATCGCTCTTTGATTCGGCCTCGACGTCGCCGCGCGGTCCTCGAGCGCCGTCCCGCTCGCGCTTCACAATTCACCGCGTCCCGCTCGACATGGTCAAGGCGTACCTGCGCTACGAGCAAGCCGCAGCGTGGGGTGTCGTCGCGACGGGTATCTCGGACACCGCCGGCGCGCTCACGTACGTCCCAGCGTCGACGTCGCGCGGAAATGATGATTTTTCCGACGCGCAACCGGCGGCGGCGGCGGCGCGAGAACGCCTCGCCGTCGTCGCGCTCGAACGCGTGGGGATCTGGGACTTGAAGCGCGGCGTCCGCGATACGTCGTTGATTCCACAGCCGCAGCCAGACGATCACGGAGTGACGAAGGCGACGCCGAGGGTGACGTGCGTCGCGAGGTCGCCGAACGGCGACGTCGTCGCGTGCGGGGCGAGCGACGGAAGCATCAGACTCTGGTCGTTGAGTGATTTAGACTGCGACGTGACTTTTAGAGGACATAAACGCGACGTGACCGCGCTACGATTTTCGCAGGACGGGAGCTTGCTGGTGTCCGGTGGGCGAGACGCCGACGTTGTGGTTTGGGACGTAGTCGCCGAGAGCGGGCTGACGCGGTTGCGAGGACATCGCGATCAAATCACGGACGTGGTCATCATCGATGGGAAAATGCACAAGAGCGCTGAGCTATTCGGGCGAAAGGTGGTGTCGACGAGTAAGGATGGCTACGTGAAAGTTTGGGATTTGGGGACGAGAGCGTGCACGCAGACGTGCACGGGGTTCGAGGGCGAGACGTGGAGTTTAGACGTCAACCCAACGCAGACGCGATGCGTGATCGGAACGTGGGATGATAAGCTACATGTGTATGACTGCGATGAGTCAAGAGATGGGTACGATCAAGAGTCGCCGTTGGTGCGAATGGGAACGGTGACGCGCGCCGCAAAGGGACGAGCGATGACGGTGCGGTTTCATCAAACTGGGAACTATCTAGGCGTGCAAGGCGCGGGTCGCGGCCTCGAAATATACCGCGTGCGCGGCGATAAAGAAGCGATGAAGAAACAAAAGCGCCGGTTGAAGCGCAAACGCGAAAAGATGGAAGCGAAAGCGCGCGAAGCTGAGGAACTCGGCGACTTGGATGCGGCGAAGGAAGCCCGAGAGGAGCACGATGAAGAGGGCGCACGAAGCGCGGGGGATGAGCTGGAACTCGCATCAACGGTCACGACCAAAACTAAAATGCGCGGCTTCGCGTTCGCGACGGAAGCGCCGAAGCGGACGGATGTGATGTGCAAAGTTGCCGTGTTGCTCGACGACAACTCGGTGCAAGAGTGGGAAATCATCGAAGAAGAAGAGCCAGAAAAATTACACGCCATCGAGAACCCCGGGCATCGCTCTGATGTTCGTGCCGTAGCACTCTCGCCGGATGATGAAACCGTGCTTTCGTGCTCGAGTAACGGCTGCAAGCTGTGGAATGTCGCCGACGGCGCGTGTTTGAGAACCGTTAAGGGTGGATACGGGTTGTGTGCGTCGTTCGCCCCGGGCGGTCGGCACGCCATCATTGGTACCAAGCAAGGCGCGATCGAGCTCGTTGATGTGAACGCAGGAACCCAGCTCACTGTACCCGACGAGGCGCACGAAGGCGCGGTGTGGGCGTTCGCCATGCTTCCCGACGACAGTGGTTTCGTCTCCGCTTCGGCGGACAAGACGGTGCGATTCTGGGAATGGACATTAGAGAAAGGCGAAAACGGTTTGCGCACTCTTAGTTTCAACCACATGCGCACGTTGCAAATGGCGGAAGATGTGTTGAGCTGCCAAATCAGTCCCGATGGGAAGCTGCTCTCGGTGTCGCTCCTTGACAACACGCTCAAGGTCTTCTTCGTGGACAGCCTGAAGTTCAACCTGTCGCTGTATGGCCACAGACTTCCGGCGTTGTGCCACGACATATCCAGTGATTCGCAGTTGCTCGCGTCGGCAGGCGCGGACAAGAACATTCGTATCTGGGGATTGGACTTTGGCGATTGTCACAGGTCAATTTTTGCCCATCAAGACTCTGTTATGGCGTTGAAGTTTGTGCCAAAGACGCATTACTTGTTCTCGGTTGGTAAGGATAAATTAGTGAAATATTGGGACGCCGACAAATTTGATCCTCTGCTCACGCTTGAGGCGCATCACGGCCCGGTGTGGTGCCTGGCGGTGAGCACGCGAGGAAACTTTGTCATCACCGGCAGCGGCGATCGCTCAATTCGCATGTGGGAGCGCACCGATGAGCCCTTCTTCGTTGACGAAGAACAGGAAAAGCGATTGGAATCTATGCTCGACGAAGGCATTGATGACGAGCGAGTGCGCCCAAACACCGATCTTCCTGCTGAAGGCGAGGCTGGCATGGCGGGTCGCAAAACTTTGGAGACGTTGACCGCCGCCGACGCCATCGTCGAGGCGCTCGAGCTCGCTGAGCACGAAACCAAGCGCCTTGCCGAACACGCTGCGGACAGCGCCAAATCCGGCGGAAAGCTCGCACCGATACAGCCAAATCCTTTACTGTTAGGGCAGTCACCGGAAACGTACGCTCTGAACGCCATCGCAAAGATTCGCCCGAGCGAACTCGAGCAAGCCATCCTGTGCATCCCCTTCGATTTCGCCCACGAAATCCTCAACCATCTCACAACCTGGCTCAACGCCGGCCAAAAAGTCGAACTGACGTGCAAGATCGCCGCCCTAGTCATGCGATTACACGCCAACTCGTTCGGACGCACGCCAGAGACGAGACGCACCCTCGTGAAGCTCAGACCGCTCCTTCGCGCGCGCGCCAAGGAGGCGCGCGATTTGATGGGCTTCAATCTCGCCGGTCTCAACGTCCTCGACGCTTTCATACGCGACAACGAAGAAGTCAAAGACGATTTAATCGACGACGACGCTGGACTTTAGCGTGTAGTGCGACTTTCTCATAGCCACCGTCTCGCCGCCGCGCGTCGCCGCACAACGCGCCTTCGGCGTTCGCTCGCGTAGCGCCATGTCCGCGCCATCGCCCGCTCCGCTCCCCAACTTCGCCCGCGCCGCGTCGCGAAGAGCGTTCCTCACCGCCTCCGCGCTCGGGATCTCCGCGATCACGCGCGTCGGCGGTGCGCACGCGCGCGCCGTCGCCGCGAACCCGCGAACGGCGACGAAACCTGAACTCGACGGCCCGCGCACGCGCGTCGCGCTCAACGGCCGACGCCTGATCGCCATCGGAGACCTGCACGGTGACTTTTTGGCCATGGTGAAATCGCTCGAGCTCGCGCAGGTGATCGATGGGAACGGGAAGTGGAACGGCGGCGACGCCGTCGTCGTCCAAGTCGGCGACGTGCTGGACCGAGGCGATAGTGAAATCGCCATCCTGCGTAAACTACGATCGCTGGCGAAGCAAGCGAAGGAAGCGGGTGGAGACTTGATCACGATGAATGGGAATCACGAGATCATGAACGTGATGGGGGATTTTCGATACGCCACGCCGGGGGCGTTCGAGGAGTGTCGGCGATACGCGGAGAAGAAACGAGCCAAGGAGAACGCGAAGGAGGGTAAAGGAGAGGAAGCGAGCGCGACGCGAGGCGACGAAGATGAAGCGACGGCGGGCATTCGCGCGAGGCAACAGTTGTTCAAGCCGGGTGGAGAGATTGCCAAGTGGTTGGCGAAGCAACCGACGGTGCTCGTCGTCGACGACGGTACTGTGTTCGCGCACGCCGGGATTGATTTATCGCACGTCGAGTACGGCTTTGAACGCATAAATAAAGAAGTCGCGATGTGGATGGAGGGTAAGACGAAAATGCCTCCAAAGCAAGTGCTCGAATCGGACGGCGTGGTGTGGACGAGGGACTACGGCGGAAAAGACGCGGGCATCCAATACGAAGCGCAGAGTTGCCGACGCCTCGCATCCGCGCTCGAAGGCGCGGATGCGAAACGACTCGTCATTGGACACACCCCGCAAACGACCGGGGTGACGAGTGGGTGCAAAGGCACGGTCTGGCGCGTCGACGTGGGTGCGTCAAGAGGCATTTACGGTAACTCGGCGCAAGTCATAGAAATTATCGGCGGAAAGGTGCGCGTGCTCGCGTGAGTAAAATGATTCATTCCAGATGTGTGTGTGTGTGTTAATTATTAATCCCTATTGTTCACTAATCTTTCTAATCGCTAAGATTTCGCGCACGTTCGACTTGCCGTCCGAAATCGTCTTCACGCGCTCGACGCGGAGCGCGCCGAAGTACGTCTCGCAGTACGACGCGAACGCGTTCGTACCACCGCCGACGCCGAAGTAATAACTCTTCGCCGCGAGCAAACACACCCCGCGCGGGCTTAACGCGTGCGCGATGAACGCGCACAGACTCCCGTACTGCGACGCGTCGTAAATCGATTCGCTCGTCAACAACAAATCCACTCCGTCCGCCTCCACGAACGCGTCGTACCCCGACCAATCTCCGCACAACAGCCGCAATCTCCCCGGCGTCGCCTCTCCCTCGCTCTCCATCAGCGCGAACGTCGCCAGCGCGTTCGGCGCCGTGACTTCCTCCACGACGTCTCGATTATAATCCGTCAGCGTCAGCGTCTCGCATCGCGCGCCCAGCCTTCGCGCCGCCGCCAGTCCCGGTCCCGCCTGCCCCGCCCCGAGCTCCATCGCTCGCACCCGCCCGCCCGCGGCGTCCACGAGTCCATCGACGTCGAACGCCGCCGTCCCGACGTGCGCCGCGAGATCCCTCGCGCACTCCCACGCCTTGAGCCCGCCCTCGTACACGCCCCGCACGACGTCCGCGTCCTCGGGACACCCCTCCAGCGTCGACGCCGTCGTCCCGTGCGCGCTCCGCACGACCTCGACGTCGCCGTGCGTCTCGTACGTCCCCGACCACGTCGCGGGATCGTCGCGCGCGCGTCGCGCGACGTCGCGCGCGACGATCTCCTCCGCGGGCGTCGCCGTCGCCGCCGCCGTCGCCGTCGCCGTCGCCGCGCCGCGCGCGCGCTCGATCGCGCCGTCGTCGGAGACGCCGAACGCGAAGCGAAACTCGCCGCGCTCGCCGTCGAACGCCGCCATGGACGCGCGCTCGAGCGGCGCGACGCGCGATGGCGCGGCACACGAAGACGCGCGACGATGCAGAACGCGCGAAACGCGATGCCGAACGCCTCCGTCGTGAGCGCGGCGCTGCAGACGCTCGTGTACGGCGGCGCGGCGTCGTACGGGCTGTACAACAGGTGCGCGGGCGCGCGACGGCGCGCGCGACGCGCGAAGGCGCGCGCGAATGAAATGAATTAGGGTGACGGCGATTCGCGCGCGACGACGCGACGACGCGACGACGCGACGACGCGACGACGGAGGACTGACGGAGGGCGACGCGCGAACAGTCTGTTCAACGTCGAGGGCGGGCACCGGGCGATCGTGTACAATCGATTCGTCGGGGTGAAGGACAAGGTGTACGCGGAGGGGACGCACTTCATGATCCCTTGGGTCGAGAGGCCGTACGTGTACGACGTCAGGGCGCGCGCGCATCAGGTGAACTCGCAGAGCGGATCGAGAGATTTGCAGATGGTGAACATATCGATTCGCGTGCTGACGCGGCCGGACGCGGGTAAGCTGCCGGAGGTGTATCGAACGCTCGGGATGGATTTCAACGAACGCGTGCTGCCGAGCGTGATTCACGAAACGGTGAAGAGCGTCGTGGCGCAACACAACGCGAGCGAGTTGATCACGAAACGGGAACAAGTGTCGTTGTCTATTAGACATCTTTTGAAGCAGCGAGCGGCGCAGTTTAATATGGTGCTAGACGACGTCTCGCTCACGGCGTTGACGTTTGGGAGAGAGTACACCGCGGCCATCGAGAGTAAGCAAGTGGCGCAACAGGAGGCGGAGCGCGCCAAGTTCGTCGTCGATAAGGCGAGACAAGACAAGCTTTCGGCGGTGATTCAGGCGGAGGGTGAAGCGAAATCCGCCAAGCTCATCGGCGAAGCCATCGCGAACAATCCGGCGTTTTTAACCTTGCGTAAAATTGAAGCCGCGCGCGCCATCGCTCAAACCATGGCCAACTCCAACAATCGCGTCATGCTCAGCGCGGATTCTCTGTTGTTGAACCTTCAAGACGACAAGCCTGCCGATAAGAAGTAATCGCGAGTAGTCCTTATCAACCTTTGTCAACCAACCATTTAGAGCGAGTAGAGATTTCCAAGAATTCGTCGAGCTACAAGTACTTGTACTAGTACACTAAGAGTACGCTAAAACCTCCGTCGAGCGAGCGGCGCCGCGAGATCACCCTCACCGCGCGACCGACGGACTCACTCGTCTTTCGTCGGGTCGACGCGATCGCGCGCGCTCGGCGGGCGCTGTCGGGCAGTCAAGAAAATCCAGACGAAGAGAGCGGTGACGTGGAGGGCGACGAGGACGAAGGCGAAGACGTGAATGCGCGAGTATTCGCCGTTGTCTTTGACGACGAGCGATGCGATCGTTTTCAGCATGGCGCGCGCGAGAGCGCGGCGGGTCGAGGGCGGCGTAATGTCGCTCATACAATTCATCGGAGGTTGGTTCGGGGCGCTCAGATTGAGAAGAGACGGAGATGTTTTATACACAAAGACGTCTTAGAATACCTAAGCGGCCATTTGGACGTCGGCAGAAGCCTTGTACGCGTCCAACGAGGCGTCCAAGTCCGCGGCGGTGGGGGCCGCCTTCTTCTCTTTGGGCTTGCGCGCCGGCTTTTTCTTCGGCGCGGCTTTCTTGGCCGAGGCGACAACCTTTTGCGTCGCCTTGCCGCGCTTGGGAGCGGGCACAGGGGCCTTCTTTTGCTGTTGCTTGCCATTCTTGTTCTTCGGTTGCTGCTTCAAGCCAGAAAGACGTTGGGTGATCGGCTTCTGCTTGGGTTGTTGCGGAGCGTCGACGATGACGATGTTCAACGGGCGGCCGTCGAGCTTGACTCCGTTGTACGTCTTCACCGCCTTGAGCGCGGATTCGAGCGTGGCCAGCGTGACTTCGGCGGTACCCTTGGACTTGCCGTTGGGGCCGTAGTTGATGCCAGCGTTGAGCACGCGTCCGACTTGTCCGAAGAGTTCCTGTGATAAACGGGGAAGGGCAATAGCCGCGGCGAAATCATCAATACTTTCATCCTTCAGGAAATCGAGAGTGCGAGAGTCGAGCCACGTAGAACGAGCGAAAATAAATCTACGTGAGCGTAGTCGAGGTCGAGTTTCGGGGCGCATCGCGCGAGGGCTAGTGTGAGTTCCGTATCTCGAGCGAATTGATCAACCAAGCGGCGGTTTCGCTGAAAAAATGGAAACCGCCGAGCCGGCCAGAAATATCCGCAAGCCGCATCTCTCCAATGAAGGGTGTTCGCTCGAGTCGAACGACGGATTCGAGCTCTGTGTGGTTTAGACATCGTTTGCGCGGATTTTGTCCCCACCGCTTGCGTCGTAAACTCGCGAAACTGAAAAAATAAGTCGCGTTCAGAGCCGATCGCCGTTCGCTCGAGCGAAACGCATCGCCGCAATAAATTTGTTCGCGCGAGCGCTCGAGGCGGCGTTTCTGAAAACTCTCGCGTGACGTCGCTCCCCATCGTACCGTTGCCGAGGCGCGCGCGTTGTTTTATCCAGCCCTGTGTGTTCGGGCGACAACGATCCGCGCGTGGTTCGTCGCTCGCAGCCACGACGAACGCTTCTTCGCCTCGCGACGAACGGATGGGGTGCCCACGCGACGTCGACGCTCTAAAGTCTCAATAAACGAGCGATACCGTCACGCGCGCGCCGATGAGGAATACATCCCACCGCACGTCGCGCGTTGACGCATCGCTCTCACCACCGCGTCTCGCGCGAACGCTTTCGTTGGTCGATCCATCCACGCGAGTCGATCCGAATTCCCGCGATACTCGACCGACGCGATCGTCATTCGTCGTCGATATCATCCCCCACACTCCATCGGTGCGCGCCCTCGCTCTACGAGCGAGTTCTATTCACGCGCGCACCGACGGTCCTTCCCATGCTAACGTCGCGCGTCTCCTTACCTTGATATCTCTATCGTTCACCTTAAAGTCCAGGTTCCCGACGACGAGCTTCGTGCGTCCGCCCGCCTGCGCGTTCGCCTGTCGTCCTCCGCCTCCGCGCATCATGCCGTCGACCGCCATCGCCGTCGCCGCGTTCGATCGCGCCGGTTTCTTCTTGTTATTCTTCGTCTTCTTCACGCCACCGACCGCCATGGGCGTCGGGCCGGCGTTCGTTTTCTTCATCGCCGATCGCGCATTCTTCTTCCCGCCCACCTTGACGTTGGCGGATTTCTTCGCGTTGCGACGCTTCGGCGTGGCTTTCGCGGCGTCCTTGATCATGGCGTCGAGGGATTGGTCGAGCATGGCGGCCATGGCGTCGATCGGGCGCGAACGTCGGCGACGCGCGAAGGAATGAAGACGATGGATGGGAATTCTGAGATCTCCCGGGACGATCGAGCGCGCGAGCGCGGGGCGTTCGGGAGGGAACCCCCAGAGCGGCGCGCGCGAGGGGTCGCTCGCGGACGATGGGCGCGAGAATGAATCGCTGCGATTGAATTTATAATTTTGCTACATGCGCGCGCGCGCTTTAAGCGCGATGGACGCGAGATCGGTCGGCGACGCGTCGGCGGGGTTCGATTCTAAAAGAAATCGAGGGGTCCGCGACCGCCGGCTAAGCCCTCGACGATGAAGACGAAAGTCCCGATCATCGCCAATCGAGCGTGCTGAATCTCGATGGTTTTTAAGATGTTCAAATCTTCCTCGGTTTGGCCCGCGGCGAGGCCGAGGGGATCGAAGAGACGGCCGCCGGGGTAGAGCTTGTCCAAATCCTTGAACGCCTCGACCTCGTAGGTGCCGTTGCGAAGAGATTCCGCGACAAACATGAGCGGAAGGTGGATGATGGGAAGCCAGAATAAGCCCCAAGGAATTGTTTCCCCGAGGTAGGTGAGCTGTAAGCCATCGATGGGGTCGTTGATGATTTGCGTGTTCCACCAGTGCTGGTCCGGGGTGCCGAAGATGGAGTTGTGCGCGAGGAATTCGGGGACGAGCACGCCGATGCACGCGAGCATGGCCCATCGACCGTGAATCAATTCTCTCGCGCGATAGCGTTCGATATCGCTTTGCGCACCGAGCGCCAAAGGATCCCATCCAATATCACCAGGAAGAGAACCGGTGAGGTGCGGCGGGACGACATTCGGCGCTTGGGAAATGAACGCCGACGGCAAAAACTTTTTGCGTCGTTCGCCGTAGAGATCAGTTTGACTGAGACCAGTTTTGCGTACCGCACTCGTTACGATCATTGCAGCGCTTCCGTTGGACCAAAACGTGACCGCACCTTCGTTGGACGCGTCCATCTTCATGGCGCCAATGGTGACCTCTTCTCTTTGCGCTGAAGCGGAAACTTGAGCGCCACCACCGCCGCCGAAACGACCGCCGTCGGTGCCGTCGTCGTCGTCGTGCTCCTCACCGTTTCCACGTCTCCCGATCGACCACCAATCTCGGCCCATGTATCCGGGAAGCATGCCTCCTTGCTGGGACTCGTAAAAGTCTGCCATCATCTTCGTCGTGTTTTTCGCGTCCGCTTGCTCTTTGCGGTTGACTTGTAACACATCTAAACCACTCTCATCCTTCGGAAACAAAGGATATGCATACGCCTTGGCCAACCGACTGCCAGAACCCCCAGCTGAAACCAGGTGAGCGAGCAACAACCCACGAAGTTCGTTGTTACCAATTGCGAACGTAGTGAGAGCAAACATGATCAACTCTGAGCTCGACAATCTGTTACCCAAAAATCCTCTGCTCAGATTTGTTGGAAGCGCAAAGAAGGTACTAAAGAAGTTGCGCATCTGCTCGATGCGAAGCGACATGAGAAGCTCCATACCGAACTGGTAGAAACCGATTTGTCTTCGTGGCTCCGCACCCCAAAGGATTTCCCACGCTCTTCGGCTCGCCTCAATCTCGCCACCCTCCTTCAAGCCTTCGGCCATGGCCGTCGCAACACGCGGAGCTTTGCTAATACTGTTTACGACGGAGTAGCCAGACGCAGGGTGGACCATGCCGGCTGCTGCACCGTACGCGATGGTGCGTTGCGGGGCAACCGGCGGGGTACCGCCCAGTGGAATCCAACTCGCCTCGACTTCCAAGATGTCTTCTTCGACGATTTCCATACCCATCCGCTTCATACGACGATACAATCGCCGTTTGAGTTCATCGAACGGCACTTGTACGCGCGCGACGAGGCACGTCTCCTCGACGAACACCACATCCTTGTCCACGGGTAACACGTAAAGGAAAGACGGCACGCGCCAAACGCCCTCGTCTTGTTCCTCTTTCATCGCCTCCGGATCGCTTTGACGAAAATCCATGAACACGGCCTTGTTCACGGGAAAACCGTGGTTCGGAATGCGCACCTCAACGCCATACGCAGTCTGCCAGCCCGGCGGCGCACCCTCTTCGTAGCTGAGCATGTCGCGGTTGTGACCGGTGCCGGCAACGACGAGACGCGAATTCAACGTGAATTGCTGGCCTCTGTTTGCCTCTTCTTCGATCAACTTCTTCTCGCTTGCGGTAATATCGGAATCGCTAATGATGGTGCCTCGAACTTCGGCTAACTCGTTCTTTTCGACGTCACCGTGACGCACAAAATCTACCAGGCCTGGTAAATACTTGACGCCAGCCGCCGCGCACTCCTTCAACAAATGGTCGCGAAGACGCCTGCGGCACACTTGACCGTAAGGTCGACCGAGTTCAGTTCCACTCGCAGGATCAGAATCATCGAACCAAACCAATGCGTCGTCATACTTATGAAGCAAGCAGTGTTCGAGCCCTAGATCTTTGAACTCGTCGAGCCATACTCCGTAGTTGTTCACGAACGGGGTGTCTGGTGCGACGAGACCAACAGAAAGACCCTTCTTCGCCGTCTCCGCTGCGATCGCCAGACCTGCGGGGCCCGCACCGACAACGAGAACGTCGACCTTGTCGCGGTCGTTCAAAGCACTGAGGTACTCTTTGATTTGCTTTTGCTCACTAAACACCTTGCGCTGTTGAAACGCAATCCATTCGCGATCATCCTTCATCGTCTCCGGCTTCATGTCCTGCGGCTTGCTCAGTGTGTCTTCGGCTAAGATCTTCTCAAAGTCTAATGCGCTGCTTGTGATCGGTTTCGCAGTGGGATTTCCGACCGGGGCGGGAATAGGCCCGTTTTCGACCGACTTGAAGGCGTTGTTTTTGCCATCTTCGAGGATGAAACCGCCCCACTTGCTCGAGTCAAACTTGTTGTCGGCGAACGCAAAGTTTGCGAAGAACGACCCCATGAAAGGCAGAGCGGATTTGACAAAGTTAACTCGCATGTAGTTCGAAAACAACGCGAACAGATTCACCCCGAGCGAAAGCAAGCCCACCGGCTGGATTCGCCAGCTCAAAAAGCCAGCCCAGACGTCCTTGGGAAGGTCGAAGAACGTGTCAAAGAATTGACGCGTTCCATCGATATCGAGCTGCATAAGAGTCTCCATTCCAAAGCACATGAAAGTGCGCATGCGCAAATCATTCTCCGGCCAAATTGAGTTCCACACTAATGCCGCGGTGGCGTCGGCGTCGAATTTACCGTTGTTCATTTGCGCCGCCTCCGCCGCTTCCAGGGCGCCGGTAATATCCCCTCGCTTACCCGCCTTAAGGGCTTCATCAAGCGTGCCTACGAGCGTTCTAACGCATAACATCGTCTTTGCGACCATAAATCCAGTGCTAGGATGGACCATGCCGGCGGTTCCACCGATGCCGAGCGTGCGTTGCGGAAACGTCGGCAACACGCCGCCCATGGGAATGAGACAATACTCCTCTTCGTGTACCTTGGTTACTTTCACGCCCAAATAATCCAAACGCTCCTTCAACTTGAGCTTCAAGTCGTCAAACTCTAAGCCAGGTCGTGCCACCAAGCTCGTTTCCTCGAGGAACACCTCAGTTTCCGAGAAAGGCATGGCGTACAAAAACGTCGGCAACCTGTCGTTCGCTCGCTTAAACTCTGGGCTCAAGTGCTCGTCTCGCCAGTCCATGAACAGCATCGTGTCCAACGGAAAGTCGTGCTTCTCCACTGTGCACACGATTCCGAAAGCGGCTTGATATCCCGGCGTAAAATCGCGATCAAAGTCCACCAGCTTACGAGAGTGCCCAGTGGCGTCCAAAACCATCTTCGCATAGACCTTGCGTCCATCGCTCAAAGTCACCACCGAATGGTTCGGATCGCTGTTATCGCAGCTATCGACCGCGGCGATACCAAACTCCACGCCCTGCGTCACGCTGCGCGCGATGAGCTTCTGCTTGAGCTTCTTCCGATCCACCTGCGCGTACGCGCGGTCGAGCATCTTCCCGTCGGCGTCGCCGTCGTCTATAATAACTCGCGCCTTGTTCCACACCGCGCGATAGCAATCATCGAACCCGAGCGATTTAAACTCGTCGCACCACACCCCGTAATTATTCATCCACGGCGCGAGCGGCGACGGATCCATCAACGCCACGCGCAATCCGCGCTTGCTCGCCTCGTCCGCCGCCGTCAGCCCCGCCGGTCCGCACCCGACAATCACCAAATCGTACGCCTCGCTCGCGCTCGTCCCCCATCGCACGTTCGGCAGCGTTTCTGGAAGCGGCGTTCGCGACTCCTCGCTCTCCCGCCGATCGCCGCTCGTCAGCGGGTCCCACGAGGCGTCCAAGCCGTACAGCTCCGGCCGCGTCTCCCTCGCGCTCGGCCGTCGCGTCGCCCGCGGCGTCGCCGACGCCCCGCGCCGCGTCGCGCCCGGCGCGACGTCGCGCGCGCGCGTTCCCGCGTCGCCTCGCGCGCGAATCGCGCGCGTCACGCGCGCCGCGGGCGCTCGACGCGCGCGCATCGTCGACCGCGTCGGCGTCGGGAAATCGCGTCGCGAGCGCGTCGCGAGCGCGAGCGACGACGCGCGAGCGACGACGTCGGCGCGCGCGAGCATCGTGCGTCGATGCGCGCGCGCGTGGCGTGCGCGCGTGGACGCGCGCGGCCGTGTGGAGAACAGAGGAAGTGGATAAGAATCCTCCAACCGAGGGTAACGCGACGCCGCGGCGACGCGCGGAGAAACGCGAGACGACATAAAGCGATGACGTATCGACCGCTGTGGTGGATGCCGGTGAAGACGTACGCGGGAAAAAATAAAGACGCGCGCAGAGCGATGGAAAACGGCGACGGGAGGGATGAGGTCGGACGCGAAGCGACGAAGACGAAGGCGCGCGAGATGTTCGCGAGATGGTTGCGAGACGCGAAGGGCGCGCGGTTGCCGGCGTTTTTGACGCCGCGGAGGTGAAAAACTGCGCGCGTTCGCACGACAACGTCGTCTAGATGGATGGGCTCTCTAATCTATTGGGGTCGTCCAGGCCGAGGTCTTCGAGGCTGCGGTCGTCTTCGCGCCAGCCGTCGCGGACTTTGACTTGGATGTCTAAAAATACCGGGCGGCCTAAAAACTTCTCAATGTCCGCGCGCGCGCTGGACGAAAGTTTTTTCATCGCCGCCCCGCCTTGGCCGACGATGATGCCGATTTGAGATTGACGCTCGACGAAGACTTTGGCGAGGATGAGATCCTTCTTCACGCCGTCGCGTTCCTTGTGCGTCTCGATCCAAACTTGCGTGCTGTACGGCACCTCTTGTTTGTACTGCAAAAATATCTTCTCGCGGATGATTTCGGCGATGAAGAATCGTTCGGGGTGCTCGCTGATGGCGTCTTTGGGGTAAAGCGTCGGGCCGAGCGGTAAACGTTCCAGCGCCCACTCTTTGACGTTGCGCGTCCCCGTTGAGTTGAGCGCCGAAATCGGCAACACCTCGTCGATCGCCTCTTGCGCTTGAAAGTACTCAATCAACTCCATGATCCGCTCACGATCGCCAACCATGTCACATTTGTTCAAAATCAACGCCGTCGGCACGCGCTTACCCTTCTTCGGCGCCAAACCTTCCCACGCCCCGTACGGATCCCGCGCCGCGTCCACGATGTAAAACAACACATCCGCGTTCGCCATCGAATTCCGCACGCTCTTCAGCATCATCCCATCCAGCTTATTAAACTCCTCCACCATCACCCCCGGCGTGTCCAGAAGCACCATCTGCGAGTTCTCGTCGCTCAGGATGCCCAAAATCCGATGCCGCGTCGTCTGCGGCTTGTACGTCACGATGCTCAGCTTCGTCCCGACCAAATCATTCATCAGCGTGCTCTTCCCCGCGTTCGGTCGTCCGACGATGGCGGCGTACCCTGACTTATGTCCCGGCGGGTCCGGTTTCAGGAGCTCACCGCCGATGTACGGCAGCACCTCGACGTTTTCGTCGTCGTCGTCGTCGTCGTCGAAGTCGCGCGCGTCCTCGTCCCCCCGCGCGCCGTCCTCCGCCTCGTTCTCGCGCGGCATCTGCGCGAAGAACGCGTCCGCGAGATCTTTATCCGGCCCTTCGTCCTCGTCCTCGTCCTCGTTCGCGTCGCTCGCGCGCGCGCGCGGCGTCACCGCGCGTCGTCGCGCCGCCGCCGCCATCGCGCGCGCGGCGCCCTTCCCGCGCGTCGCCGTCGCGCGCGCCGAGTCCCCGGCGCGCGCGCGCGCGCGATCCGCGACATCGCGCGCGCGCGTCGCCGTCGCGCGCGCGAGCGACGGCGCGATCGCGCGCGTCGCCATCGCGACGAAGTGCCGCCGCCGCGTCACATCGCCCCGCGTCATGTCCGACGCCGCCGACGACGACGACGCGCCGCAGACCGCGGACGAGCTGCGCGCCAAGCTCGATGAGTACGAGCGCTCGCTCGCGGACGTCGAGGCGTCGCTCGCGGACGCGCCGGGGGACGAGGAATTGATCGATTTGAAGGATTCGCTCGAGGATGTCATTGAAATCACGCGCGACGTCCTGGCGACGACGCTCGCGGCGCGGGACGACGTCGACGACGACGAGTTAGGCGCGGGTGACGGCGCGAACGACGCGCGAGGCGCGACGGCGGCGACGGCGACGACGACGACGACGCTGGGAGGGACGTTCGCGGGACGGGACGTGCTCGCGCTCGACGCCGAGGGCGCGTGGCGGAGGGGACGGTGCGTGCGAGCGATGGACGACGGTACGCTGGACGTGTACCTGACGGAGAGCCACACGCGAGTCGCGGTGAAGGCGAGCGATGTGAGGATAGACATCGGGGGTCAGGCGAAGACGAAGGCGAAGGCGCCGCCGCCGCCGCCGCCGAGAGAGGTGTATCGCGGCGTGCCGGAACCGAGACGCGTGGAGTTGACGCGAAAGACGGAGTTCGTGCGGAAAGAGCCGCCGAAGAATTTGGAGATTAAGCCCGGGGATGACTCGGAGACGCGGGAGTTGAAGCGGAAAAAGTTGAAGACGTTCAAGTATAAGCAGCGGCAGCAAGAGATAAGCGCCGAGCAAAACCAAAAGGCGAGCAGTTGGCAAAATTTCCAAAGCAAAGGATTGAAGAAGGGGAAGAAGGGCATTCAGAAGAACTCGATCTTCGCGTTGCCCGAGGATTTGACCGAGGCCAAAGGCGTGGGGTTCGCGGGGAGCAAGCCGGTCGGTAATAGATAGTCGCGTGCATTTCAAAAACTTGCAAAATAATTCGTCGTCAACGCCGCTTACAAAAGAATTTACTGATACATCGAGAATCGCGATTCGTCAAACTCCGCCTTGGGTTTCGGTGTGTCGTCGTCGGACATGTACCTCGACGGCGACGAAACTCGAGCGCGCCCACCCGCGCAGCCGAGCGACACGCGCGTCGAAACCCCCGTCTCCGGGTTCTTCCCCGACGCCGTTTTGCACAACGCCTGCTGCGTCTTGACGTCGAGCAACGCGTCGGTGAAATCCGCGTTCTCCACGATCGCGCCCTCCAAATCCGACGACGTCAGCACGACGCGATTCAATATGGCGTTCGTGAAGTTAGCCTTGACGAGCACCGCGCGATCCATGAGGGCATCGCTCATGTCCGCCCCCGTGAAGTCGACCTCCGGCGCGACCATCTTCATCATGTACGCGCCGCGCAAGTTCGCCCCTCGAAGCTTGGCGAATCGCAAATCCGCGCCCGTGAAATTCTGCGACGAGGAACGCGGTATATTTCCGTCAGTACGTCGGCGCGAGCGATCGCGCTTCGAGCGATCGACGCGTTCGCCGAGCGAATCGAGCGTCGTCACGCACGCTCAGTCGCAAGTCCTCGCCGAACTCCTTCGTGATGTCAACTTTGACCAAATCGTAACCACCGAACTGCTTCGCCGAGCCGCGGTTGAACTCGCCCCCTCGATTCGCTTCCGCGGCGTTCAATTCCGCGCGCGCCGGTCCGGCGAGGACGACGCAGGCGGCGGCCGCGGCGGCGAGACCGAGCGAGGCCGCGCCGGTCGCGGTGACGTCGTCGGTGGTTCGACGCGCCTGCACGCGCGCGCGACGGCGCTGAACGCGCGAGACCGGGGCGAGGGAGACGGGAGCGATCGCGCGCATCGTGTGCGGGCGTTGAGCGCGGCGTCGAGCGCGCGCGGTGATGTGGCGGGCGCGCGGCGCGAACGGCGAGGGACCGACGAGGACGGGACGAGACGGGAAGCGTGAAAGCGAGTCCACGCGCGACGGGGCGCGGCCGGACAGGTCGGGTCGTTCGCACATAGGCTGGTGTATCGCATACACATTAAGAGCCTATTCTCTTCGCTAAATTCACGCGTCGGAGACGCTCGCCGGCGCCGCGCGTTTCTCACGGCGCTCGCGGCTTCGTCGGCTGAAGACCGCCGTCCTCCTTTCCGCGCGTGTCTGTCTGCGCCCCTCGTCATCGACGTGCACTCTCGTCATCGTCGCTCTGTGTTTCTCTCGCCCCCTCGCTCGCGTTCGCACGCGCGCGGTCTCACTCTCGCTCGCGCCCCCCGGCCTCCCTCGCTACAAACCCAAAAGCGCTTCAGCTCTACAAAGTGGCGTACTTCCTAGTCCATTCCTTCGCGAGATCGTTGTATCGGTTACGATCCGTCTTATAGATGTGCGCGATCTCCGGAACCAAGGGATCATCCGGGTTGGGGTCCGTCAATAACGAGCAAATGCTCAAAAGCACCTTGCTAATCGTCAACGCCGGCGACCACTGCTCCTTCAAGATATCCAAACAAATCGACCCCTGGCTGTTAACGTTCGGGTGATACACCTTCGTCTTGAAATTCACCTTCGGCGGTTTGAACGGGTAATCCGGAGGGAAGTGAATCGCGACGAAGAACAGTCCGCCTTGGTACGGCGAGTCGCTCGGTCCGATGATCGTCGCGTCCCAGTGGAAAATATCATCGTCCGACCGCGGGCCCGCGCTGCAGGACGTCGGCGGGTCCTTTTGCAAATCTGTTCGCGTCGCGCGTGCGCGTCGTCAGTCATCCGCGCGCGAGCGAACGCGCTTTCGTATCGATCGAAGCGCGAAGACGTCGGTCAGCCCGAGACGCGTCGTCGACGACGACGACGCGCCGCGCGCGCGTTCCGCGCGCGCGCGCGCCGAGCCGCGCGATGCGGGATATTGCGTCGCATCTTTTCGCGCGCGCGCGCGCCTCGGGACGGCGTCGCGCGCGTCCCAGGCCGCGTCGGCGTCGGACCGCGTCGGCCGCGCGATTCCGCGACGATCTTCACGACGCGCGCGCGCGTCGCGCGACGACGCCTCGCGCGCGCGAGCGCGACGAGCAAACGCACCCAAAAGTTCTTTAATGATTCTCTTCGACGCCATGTCGATCGGTGGAGCGCTCGCGGCGCGTGACGTCGAGTTGTGCGGAGGCCGATCGAGCGACGAGGGTGGCGCGCCACGGGCGTGGAATGTCGGCACTTCGCGAAGGGGACGCGAACGCCGCGCGAGGCGTCGACGACGACGCGGACGGGTCCGGGTCCGCGATTCGACGCGAGAGCGAAGATGATATTAGGACGTCGCTAACGGGTCGAAATCGTCGTCGCGAGGGTGATCGGGCGAGGCGGAGGCGACGACGGTGGGATCGGATTCGACGCGCGCGGCGCGCATGGAGAAGGAGACTTGGTGGAGGACGGTGGCGCCGAGACGCTTGAAACCGCCCTTGGCGCGGACGGTGGCGGTTCGGACGTCGTTGGTGAGGAGCTTGAGGGCGAGGTAGGCGGCTTGGCCGTCGGTGCGCGCGGCGCGGAGTTGGTCGAGACGGCGGAGTTGGCGTCGACATCGATCCAGGGAGACGCCGGGCGGAAGGGCGCGGAGTTTGGCGACCGCGCCTTCGGGAGAGGCGACGTGCTGGTCGACGAGGGCCATCCACGCGTTCGATGACATGGAGAGCGATGGTGCCGTCGGGGAGGATGAGCCTTGATTTTTGTGAGAAGATGTCGCCGACGCCGTCATTTTCGTCGTCGCCGCGGTTTCGCCCGGCGGACGTTCGGGGATCACGCGAAAGGTCTCCATCCCGTTCATGAGACACGACTTGATAAATGCGTCAACGCCGACGAATAGCTCTGAAGGTTTATCGCCGCGTCGTGTCGCGCAGGATTCGAACGCCCTCGCCGCGAACTGTTCGGTGACTTTGTAGTCGCACAATCGAAGCGCAGCGGCGAATTCGTCTCGCACCAAAGCGCCATCGTCATCGCAATCAGCGGCAAGAAATAAAGCTTTCAATGTTTCCAAACTCGCGAGTCGGCGAGATGTGTACTCGTCCATCGCCCCCCGCATTAAACTGGCAAACTTGACCGTCGTCGAGTTCGTCGCATGCTTGATCCCGAGTTGTTTACCAACAAAATCTTTCAGCGCCGAGGCGTCGTCTTTGTACTCCGTAAACACGCGCTTGATGGCATCTAGAGCGCGTGTAAGTGCGAGCGTACCTGTCATAGTCGGCGTGATGTCGATCTTCGAATCGTTCCCGAGGCCGAACTCCATAAATAGTTGGCCAAGGTTGGTTTCGCTCGCGAGCGCTTCGAGCAGACGTAAATAAAACGTCACCGTCGGCGAATCCGTCAAGACCGGTGCTCGATGCGCTCGATGTGCGCCGAAACCACAAAACGCGCCGAACTGGGAAATCAGTCCGCACTCCTCCGCGTGATGCGACGTCGAAGCAATCAAGTCGTGCAAATTCGTTTCGGCGAGTTGCTTCAACCCAAACTTGTGCAGATGCCAATCGTACACGAAATTCGTGAGTGGCTGCGCTGAGGCGTCACACATCGCGCCGTCGTCGCCATTTATCTGCGCTGTCGAGTCGAGCGTGAGCTTATCGGTGTATATGTGCGCGATACATTTGAGTACCCAAGCGCGTGGTTTCCGCCGACCAATCTTTTGCGAAGTTATGAGAGTGGCGAAACCGCCGAGAATCTCGCGCTTCCATTGATCCGCGTCCGTGCCGAGATCTGGGGCGTGCAACCTCGTATCTTTACCATCCATTCCACTCCTCGAAGCTTTTTCTTTGCGTCGACGCTTCGAGATCACTACGTGGTCGGTTTGCACCTCAGCCGATACGCCCGCGGTTGCTGCTGCTTCACCCTTGTACGTCGACTGGCCATCCATGCGTTCCAAGGTTTGGGTCTCTGTAGTGGAGTAACACGATTTATCCGGAAGCATCATGCGCGTCTGGAGCAGCTGATTGTCCAAAAACCTTACGCGCTTCGAGAGATTGTCTCTGTCGTTGAGAGCGTCGTAGAGCGACTGCTCCATCGACATCACCGCGAATTCAAGATCACGCCTTGATTGAGTCTCCATCAGTTTTAGGCGCTCATGCAATCGATGAATCTCGGCACGGTCAATTTTCTGCATCATCATTAATTCGTTTTCCCTCGCACGCGACCGTTTAGTCATTAAATCTGCCCGCTCGTTATCAACTTGCTGCCGTCGTCTTGCAGAATCGGCTTCGAATTTACATCTCGCAACGCGCTCTGTGAGCGCGAGTTGCTCGTTCTCTTTCGTCTCCAGCGCGCCTTGAAGTTCGTCAAGCTCGATGACGAGAGACTCGTTTCGTCGCTGCCACCGGTCACACACGTTGCGCATCGTGGAGAAGAGCTCTCCGTAGCGTTCGCGGATCGCATCCAACAACTCGCCTCGATCTCTACACCCAGCGCTCACTTGCCGAGCACTCTCTCGGAACGCGGTATCGATTATCTCAAAGTCGTCGCTAAACGTGTCGATGTGCAAGCTTGCGTACCGCGCGAGCGCTCCACTCACCGTTCCCAAACCGCCCATCTTGCTCAGCTCGGCGCACTTGTTCTCGATGGCGCCCTCTGGCAAGACGTCGTCTAGCCGTCGCAACAGCATGATAGCCATTCCACGCGTTGCAGGCTCGGGTGGTTTCCGCAGGATGAGCTGTCGAGCACTCATGTCGCGAACGAGCGAAGGTTTCAACGAATGTCTCTCGTCCTTTTCGTCGCACTTCCTCGTTGGCCTGCAGCGATCCATGACGCTCCATCGCTTACGCTCCGGAAGAGCGTTTGGCGATTTATTTTCGATTCTCTTCGCCTTCAAATCAGTCAAGGCTTTCTGTACACGCGTGATTTCCCGCCTCAAGAGATCGATCTCGCCTCCCACGGAGCGCCGGTCCGCGCGGTCGTGGTTGCGATTCTCGGTGTGGCTCGCCGCGGCGCTCAGGTCTTCACGGGGGGGACGCGTGAGCGCACGCGTGATATCACCGTACGCCCGCTGACGGCTTCTTCCAAACGGTAAGCCATCACCCACGCCTTCGGGCATGCGGAGATATGAAGACGAGAGTCATTTATTTTTAACTCTCCCACGACGTCGCTTCTGTTGTTGCCCAATCGCGCCGACCGTCGTTCACTTGAATTGAATTTCGTTTCGACGCGCTCGTCTCATCGTTTTTTCAGTTCTTCTGAAAGTCTCTGCGCGACGCCATACGTTTCCCGTCGTCGCACGCCGAGTTCTTTTGCGACGCGTCTCGACGCGTCGGAGGGAGACGCGCCGTCCTCCAACAGCGAGCGCACCGCGTCTTCGACGTTCGACGAGCTCGGCGCGCTATTGTCGTCGTCATCGTCTTCATCACTCGCGAGCGCGGGTTGGTCGTCATCGTAACCTTCGATGACGAGCGTGATTTCCCCTCGCGGGGCGCGCCGCTCGAACTCCGCTCTGGCCTCACTCAGCGTGCTTCTCCAAAACTCTTCGTGCACCTTGGTCAACTCTCGACACACCGAGCATCGTCGATCGCCCAACGCCGCGTGTGCGTCTTCCAACGTCCCGATTAGTTTATGCGGAGGCACGAACATGATGAGCGTCGCCTTGTTGCGCGCAAAACTCTTAAATCTTTTCGCTCTCTGCGAAGATTTCGGCGGCGGGAAACCGATAAACGTAAACTCATCCGTCGGCAATCCCGCGCCCGCGATCGCCGCCAAAACCGCGCTCGGTCCCGGCACGGGAAACACTCTCACACCCATCGCCGCCGCCCTCGCCGCCAAATCCGCGCCCGGGTCGTTCACCGTCGGCATTCCCGCGTCGCTCACCAGCGCCAGCGCCGCGCCGCTCGCCAACCGTCCCAGCACCGACTCCCTCCGCTTCGCCTCGTTATGCGCGTGATACGACACCAACGGCGTCGCGATATCGTACGCTCGCATCAGCTGCTTCGTCCGTCGCGTGTCTTCGGCCAGCACCGCGTCCGCGTCGCGCAGCACGCGCAGCGCGCGCAGCGTGACGTCCTCCAGGTTGCCAATCGGCGTCGCCACCAGGAACAGCCCGGGCTCGAGCGTCGACGCCCCGCGCGCGCGTCGCTCGCGCGCGTCCTCCTCGAGCGCGCGCGCGAAGCCTCGCTCGTCGTCGTCCGCGTCGTCCTCGTCGTCCGCGTCGTCGTCGCGCGCGCGCGTCCCGGCCTCGCCCGAGCCAATCGGCGTCCCGGCGGCGCGAACGCTCGCGCGCGTCGCGCGCGTCCATCGTCGCGCCGCCGCGCCGCCGCGACGCGTCGACGCGCGCGCGGGCGTCGTTCGGAGCGCGCGCGCGCTGGCGAGGCGCGCGAGCGCGCGCATCGGACGCGTTCTGACGTCGACGCCGCGATGCGGTCGTTACGCGACGACGACACTCGGCGACGCGCCTCGCGCGCGCGCCACCGCGGGGGCGTCGGCGCGGCGGCGCGCGATGGGGAACGCGTGCGCGCGACCGAAGGCGGACGACGACGGCGCGCGGGCGACGTCGAGGCGCGACGCGCGCGCGACGAAGACGGACGCGTCCGAATCGGCATCTCGTCGAGATGATCGTCGCGCGGCGACGACGGTGCGCGCGCGAGCGTCGATCGACGGAGGACGGCGAACGTCGCGAGAGTTCGCCGCGCTCGTGTCGGTGGCGCGGTCGTGGCGGGGCGCGGAGACGTTCGCGACGAAGGATGGATTCTTCGACTCGCTGGAGCCGTGGTGGGGCGTGGCGGCGCCGACGCCGTGGACGGGACCGCCGACGCCGACGATGGCGTGCGAATTAGAAGAGGAGGAGTTTTACGATCACGTCGAGTTGAAACGAACGCACGGGAAGATACCGCTGTACCCGTGGGAGGGGGAGACGTGGACGGGGCCGCGGATGTTAGACGTCGTCGAACACGGGTTGACGTGCGCCGACGTCGACGCGGGGTTGGGACGGCCGTGCACGCTGAAGATGAGCAATGAGAGGCAGATACAGCATTTGCGAAACGCTATAGCGGACGTCATGCAGTCGGTGGCGTTTGAGTTCGCGATGAAGGTGTTCGAAGGGCACGATACGCCCCCCGAGGTGGCGTGTCAGAGATTTTTACGGCGGCTTTGCGAGGCGTGTCACGGCGGCGTGTATTGTCGTCTGCGCATCGTGCATAAGACGAAAGATGCGTGCTTGGCAAACTTACAGGATAGTAAGAACTTAGGCGCCGCTTTATACACGAGAATATTTATGTTGCGATTTCTCAAGAGGTTTCCGCCACAGCACGGATTTAGGCACCGAGAAATCGACGCCGACGAGACAAAGGAGCGCGCGGTGCGGGACTTGGCGGATACTTTCGATATGTTTAAAATTTGGCCCGCGAGCGAGAGCCATCCCGCAGCGTTATTTTGTTGCATGACCACGGCCGGGATGAAGAATCTCTTACGAACCGAGGTGACGGATTCGTGGTACGGTGTGAACCAAATGTACGAAGTCGCCCTGGCGCAACCGAGCGAATACTTGAGCGGCAAGTTGCCGCCGATGATCGTGGATGTGAAAAAGTGTTCTGTGACGGTGTTCACCAGGGCGAACATCGCGCTCATCGCTAGGCAGTTCGCCGTCGCCGAGTTTCACCCAGAGCCTTTCGCGCACTTCATCGTGACGAATTGTCCGTACTTGCTCGCCGCGCTCTGGTCCATCGGCAAGTTGTTCTTGACGGAGAGCGCTCGAAACAAGTTTGTGATTTGCACCGGAGACGCCTCTACGGAGATTCAGAAGCGGTACGGCGTGGCTAAAAGGGATCAGCCCGTCGAGTGCGGTGGCGAAGCTCGCGACGAGATGATCGCCGCTCGCGACTGGCTCGCCGTCGTCCCGCACGAGGGCGCGATTAAAGACCTCCAGCGCGCCATGGCGGGACGACGCGCCATAGCGGGGACGGCGTCCGATCCAGACGCCAGTCCTCTCGTTCGCAAGTTTTCTGCGCTCAATATGACACCGAAGATGGCGTTCAAGACGGGGATTCGACCGTCATCCACGTCCCTCGTCTCCGTCGCGATTCGCGCCGTCGAATTCGTCTTCCTTCTGGCGCTCTTCGCGCTCGTCTTTAGATCGCCCGCTCGTCGACTTTACATGGTGGCGATGAACACCTAAATATATGCATTACATTGATGTTAAAACTCTTGCAGACTCTACTGCGGCTTGAACCACGCCGCGAACGATCCGCACGTCTCGTCGACGAGGGCATGGGGGCGGCCGCGATACCGAAGACGCAACACGGACCACGACGCGAACCCTCGCGCGCGGCGTCGGCGGCCGCCGCAGTTCTCGCCGCGAACACGGTTACATGAGAGCCAAGGTGCGCGACGACGACGACGCGAGGGCGAGAACGTTTTCGTCGCTCGATCGCGACGCGCGCGCGCGACGCGCGGCGAGCGACGCGCGCGCGAGCGCGGCATCGATCGCGAACGCGCGAACGCGCGAACGCGACGACTGACGACGACGACGACGACGCGCGAACGCACGCAGTGGCGCAAGAAACGCACGCGCAGACTTAAGCGTAAACGCAGAAAGATGCGCCAGCGCTCTAAGTAATATTCTCGAGCAAAGTCACGAGAAACGAACGCGAGACGTCGGCGAGGTCGGGCGGGAAGATCTGTGTTAGGGCTTTCGGCGCGAGGTCGACGACGAAGCGCGAGCTAGGAGGAAGGAGACGAAGAGGAGGATAAGAGGGAGTCGCGATGCGGGAGTTACGGCATCACGAACGTAAATTGTTGAAAAAAGTTGATTTCTTGCAGTGGAAATCTGAACACTCGCACCGAGAGGTGTCGACGATTCGGAGGTATCACTTGCGAGATCGAGACGAGTTTAAGCGATTCAACGTGTTGGTCGGTTCGGTGACGAAGTTGGCGAACGCGTTGAAGAAACTTGACGCGCGAGATGAGACGAGACAGCACACGACGGAGGCTTTGTTGGCGAAATTGTACGATATTGGTGCGATTCCGTCGACCAAGTCTTTGACGCTGTGCGACCGGTTGTCGACGTCGTCGTTTTGTCGACGACGCTTGGCGACGGTTTTGGTTCGCGCGCGCATGTGCGAGACGTTGCGAGAGGCGACGACGTTCATAGAACAAGGGCACGTGCGCGTGGGGGCGAAAGTCACGCGTAATCCTGGATACATCGTTACGCGAGATATGGAGGATTACGTCACGTGGGTGGACACGAGTAAGATCAAACGCAAAGTGGCGGCGTACAACGATAAATTGGACGACTACGATTTGTTGGGCGAATAATTGTATCGCGTACGCCGTTACTGGGCGTGTGTCTTGTTCGTTCTCGAGGGGTTGAGCGGAGGACTGTTTGTATTCGCGTCGAGGAGACGACGCGAACGCGACGGCGTGAACGAATAGAAATCGACTTGTAACGACTTTTTACCGGACGACAAAAATATAAATGCTTGCATGTTTTACATAAAGAATCAATCTCGAGCGACGACTACACGTACCATCGATCGAGGAGCTCGGGGAGTTCGCGCACGTGCGAGATGACGCCGTCCACGACCGCGTCGCTGTTCGCCTCGACCCCTCCTCGAAGCGACTTTTCCGCGTAAGGCGCCCCCCCTCCGCTCTCGTACGGTTTCGTCGTCGGATCGCACACGTGCACCGTCTTGAAGTCGAACTGTTTCGCGCAGTAACAATCGTTCAGAACATCGTCGCCGACGTGCGTCCACGAATCGGCGTCGCCCGAATACCCATGATCCGCGATCGCGATGCCCATCGCGAGCTGAAACGGGTACGCGTTCGGCTTCCTCGCCATCTCTCCGTGCACCATGTGTTCATCGATCAGCGCCTCGGCGGAGATTTCAAAATCAAAAAACTCTCCCAACCCCGCGCCCGCGGCGCTGCCGAATCCATTCGTGATCGATCCCACGGCCACCCCCGGATGGCGCTCGCGAATCGCTCGCAGCGCCTCCGCCGCGCCCGGATACACCAACTCCCGCGCCATCGCGTTCCGCATCGGTATCCACGCCAGGTGATACCCCCGCGCCACCGTCGCCACCGCATCGCTCTCCGGTATCCCGCACTCGATCGCCGCCCGCGTCGCTCCCGCGATTCGTATCGCCGCGTACGACATCGGTTCCGCCGTCGTCCCTCGCGCCGCCGCCTCGCACTCCCGCTGCTCGCGGATCCGTTTCATCGTCGCGTGCACGCGCGCCGTGCGCGGGAACCGCCCTCCCAATCGCGCCGAGCACCACTCGATCAGCGCCTCGTTCGCCGCGTTCACCACGGGCGTCGTCGGCCAGAGCGTGTCGTCGAGGTCAAACGTGATGACCTCGAGCCTCTCGTCGCGCCTCGGCGCCTCGGCGCGTCGGCGCGTCGCGCGCGCGGGCGTCGACGGCGCGGTCGACGACGCGCGCGCGCCTCGCGCGCGCCTCGCGCGCGCGTCGGCGCGCGCGGGCGCGACGCGCGCGATTCGAGCGGTCGCCATGCGCGTCGTCGAGTGCGGCAGAGCGCGTCGCGCGCGCGCGATGGACGCCGCGCGAAGCGCGCGCGCGCGATGGACGCGCGTCGCGGCGACGACGCGCGCGCGGACGCGCGCGCGCGCGACGACGCGGGCGGCGGCGACGCGAACGTCGACGCGCGCGCAGATTTTTCGTTTCGCGAATTCGACGCCGCGCGCGACGCGCGAGACGCGCGAGACGCGCGCGCGCGCGGGCGCGACGACGGCGCCGCGCGACTTGGACTCGGACGCGACGCCCGAGCTCACGAGGGCGGAGCGCGCGTGCGCGTGCGCGGCGGCGGCGGCGGCGGGCGCGGCGGCGAGCGCGGCGCGCGCGGCGACGCCGCCGCTCGCGACGGTCGCGGTCGCGATCGCGGCGTACGCGGTCGCGCGCGCGGTGTTCGTCGAGCGGCGGTACGCCGAGGCGCTCGTGTCGCCGCGAGAGGCGGCGGACGCGGATGGTGAGTTTTTGGACGTCGACGGCGTGGAGGTGCACTATAAGCGCGCAAGACGGGCGAACGCGAAGCGTTTCATCGAGTGCATGCACGGATTCGGGGCGAACGCGTCGTCGTGGACGACGAGCGATACGATGCGACGCGCGAGCGAGGCGCTGGACGCCGAAGTCGTCGCGCACGATTCGTGCGGGTTCGGATTGACGGCGCGGCCGAGGGACGTGAAAAAGTACACGCGCGCGAGCGACGCGAAAGCGTGTCGAGCGATCGCGCGCGAGGTCGGCGGCGACGCCGCGGCTCGTTCGCTCACGCTGATGGGTCACAGTTTAGGCGCCGTCGGCGCGGCGCTCGCCGCGGCGCAGGGTGGAGTGGACTACGTCGTTCTCGTCGCGCCGGCGATAATCGGCGGCAAGCTCAGGAAGAACGACGCCGGCGATGACGCCGCTCTTTCGCTCCCGACGTTCGTGCGCGTCGCGTTCGCCGCCGTCGGGGCGGCTGCGGCGACGGCGGCGTGGTGCCTGACGTGCGCCGTGAAGCCGTTTCTCATCCTCCTCTTGCGCAAGCTCGTGCGCAGCAAAGAGTTTTGGACGAAAGGTTTGCGCGCCGCGATAGATCCTTCGCGAGTCGACGCGATGGCGAGCGACTGGATCGATGGGTATCGCAAACCATCCGTCGTGCGAGACTGGGACGTAGGGATGTTTCGCGTCGTCTTAGCCTCCGTCGTCGCCGCGAGTTCGCCGCGCGAAATTTGGCGAGACGCCATGGCGCGCGCTCGCGCGACGACGCAGCCCTCGACGTTAGAGCGCGAAGACGCCGTAAACGCCCTCGTCGAGAGCGGTGCGAAGATTCTGATCGTCCACGGCGAGAACGACGTCATCGTTCCCGCGAGTAATTCGCGAACGCTCGCCAAGTTATTAAACTGCGAGCTTCGCATCCTTCCTAAATGTGGACACATGCCGCACGAAGAAAGCCCAGAGGCGTTCATCGACGTCTTACGCGACTTCATATCGTAGATAGGATTTGTTTGTTTAATGTACTGTACCATCCTGTATTGTTTGCGTGTTCACTACTTGGCTATCGTATCGTCGTCCGCGCGTCTCGCGCGTCTCGCCTCGCGTCGTCACCTCGGCTTCGCCGTCTCCAACGCCTTCATCGCTTCCGCGTCCGCCAGCTCTGGAAACTTCTTCACCAATCCTGGCTGCGCCGCGTTCCACGCCAGCGACGCCGCCGCCAATCGCTTCTTCTCCTCGTCCGTCGTCCGCACCCCTCCGCTCGTGTGCTCGTTTGCGCTCATGAAACTGATGAATCCCGTCACGATCGCCTGCGACGACCACGCCGGGTTCCAGCTCTCCTGATGCCACTCCGTCATCGACATGCATATCGACTGATTCTCCGCGAACCGTCCGTTCGGCGTCAGAACGCTCACAGCGGGCGCCGCGAACGGATACGTCGGCTTGAACTTAATCTTCATCACGTACCAACCGCGCTCGTACGGCGTGTCGTGCGCGCCCTGGATCAGGACGAACCACTCGAGGAGGTCGCCGTCGTCGACGTGCACCCTGGGCGCGAGCGGCGGCGGCGCGGCGCGGAACTGCCTGAGCTCGCGCGTGAGCCGCGTCGCGCACGCCTTGCTCGGGGGCGCCATCGCGCGCGAAGTGACGACCGCGTGACTGTTTGCGCATAGGGGAGGCGTTTTTTAGGCGTTTCGAGACCGCGCGCGGCGGCGACGCGCGGCACTGAGCGACGCGCGCGCGCCATGGCGAGCGAGCGAGCGCGCGAGGAGGGCGAAAAACCGCGATACGGCCTGGGCGAGGGGCCGTACGCGCTGAACGAGGACGACACGGCGAAAGACCCGGTGGCGTTTCGAGAGGCGCTGCTCGAGGACCAGGAAAAGCTGAAGGACATCGAGCGCGACGAGGCGCTGGCGAAGGCGCTCCTGGGCGAGGACACGGGCGCGATGCAGGAGGCGTTGAAAAAGCTGGTGGCGATCGTGCGTGATTCGGACGCGCGCGGGCGTTCGGGGACTGACTGACTTTGCGCGTCTCGCGCGAATCGCAGGCGCGACACCAAGCCGAGCAAGACTCGAATTACGACATGAACTCGAGCGACATCATGCGCGCGCGGTGCACGGTGCCGAGAGACCCGACGGTGCTGTATCAAGGCATGCTCAAGGCTGGATTGCAATACGGGCCGTCGTTCAGGTTACTGAGCCAGGTTTGGGTTCCCGAGGCGTTGGATCGAGAGCAACGCGAAGGCGGCGGCGCGTCGTGAGGAATTCGCTCTTTCGCTCGACCGCGTCTTCCCAGAGCGCCTCGCGCGTTCACGCGCGCTAAACGTTTAAAATTATGCTCTCGAATCGAATGTCAAGCTCGTCGCCGCGCGCGCGCTTCGCCTTCGCGTCGGTTTCGTCGACTCGCGCCACACGACGACGCGACGCGCGCCCGTCGCTCGACCGCCGTCGCATCGCGCGCGCGCGATCGCGTCGATGCCGCGAGAGAGAATGCGCCGTCGACGCCCGTTCGCGCGCGCGTCGTCTCGCTTCGTCGCGTGCGTCGCGCTCGCGCTCGCGTGTTGGTCGAGTCGTTGCGAAAGCACCTCGGCGAAAGACGCCGACGCCGCCGCGCGCGCGCTTCGCGATGAACTCTCGACGCTGCGACATGCGCTTCAAGAGGCGAAAGAGGCGTCGACGGCGCTCGGGAAGGCGGTGCACGGCGCGGAGCGGGCGTTGAAGAGGATGGGCGGATTGGTGAAGACGCCGGGCGTCGCGGCGACGGACGAGACGCGATGCGACGCCGGAGGTCCGACGAAGGACGACGAGATGAGTTTCGACGGTGATTCGAAGCGCGTGGCGTCGAGCTCGATGCCCGTGTCGGGCGAATTGACGCTGGAGGAAATACGTCGCGCGGCGGAGGAACACGTGCGCGCGGCGCTCGCGGGGGAATCGAAACGCTCGAAGACGTTTTCAGACGCGTTCGATCGTGTGTCCGCGGCGCGGGTGAGTACCAAGGTGACTGCGGTGCACGTGCTCCCTTTTAGAAACGGGAAGGCGCGTAAGGCGAGATATTACGCAACGGGCGACGAATTCGGGCGAATCGTGGTGCGGAGAACTGAGACGGGCGACGCCGAGTGCGAAGTACAGACGAACACCTCGGCGAGCGTGCGATCGATGACGGCGTATTTATTGGCTCTGAACACAACGGTGTTGGTCACCGGGCACGACGACGGCACGGTTGCGTTCACGAAGATTGAACAAGAAGTCGTCGAAAACGTCGGCCCGGACGCGGACGCGTTTCCAACAGATTACACCTTGCGAGCGTCTTCACTCGCCGCGATGACGGTGCGGGAAGCGAATGCGAAGTATAGAGTGAAACTTCGGGAGCTCGGTAAAACGTCTCGGGCGTCGTCATCGTCGTCTGGGGCGTTAGAACACGTGGAGGAGAGCTTTCCGGTCGAGGCGTTGGGAATGTATCGCATCATGGGTAAGCGATACGTCACGGCGGCGGACACTGACGGTCGCGTCGTCGTTTTCCTGCCCTCGCTGGGTAATTTTGCGAACGTCCACGGCGTGTTCTCCGCCGGTTCCAAGGTTTTCGCGTTTCGTCCGTACAACAAAGCCGTCGTCGCGCTCACTCGACGAGGCGTCGCGTACGCCGACATCAACGCGTTTACGACCAAATCGTATGCGTGCGATGGTTTAATGCGCTACGACATCGCCAGCGCCACGTTTGATCCACGAATGAGCTCGAGATTGACGGGTATCACGACCGAAGGTCACGTGATCTCGGGTTTCGTCGCCCTGGATGGGCCGAGGACCGGGTGTGTTATTTACAGCGGCGCAGAGACACACGAGTCTCGAGTATCCGTCACCACGATCGCCGCCCTCAGAGGCTATGTCGTCGTCGCCATGAATGCTGGATTGGAGATTTTAAACATCACCAACACGAAGATAGCTAAGCGCGTGCTGCACTCGAGCAATCGTTGGCAGCTTGCGGACGAAGGCGTGACGCCGACGACGGCGGGCGAGTACGCGCCGGTGATCGCGTCCGACGGCGAAAGCCAAATAGTCATCAGCCACCCCGACGAAGGTGCAGTGTTTGTGTACGAAAGTGCGATGTACGTCGCCGCCCCGGCCAGTTTACTCGGCGAAAATCCTTGGTTTCAGCCGCTGGCGGTGATGATCGCCCTCGGCGTCGGCATATGGAGCTATCGGCGGCAAAAGATGTCGTTCACGCCAGAAGCCAGAAGCTCGTCCCACAACGAAACTATGGAAGCGCTGCGAAAGTTAGGTTACGGGCAAGACATGGCGCGCGCGCGCGCGCTCGTGTCCGGCGAGACGCGACCGGGCTACGAGCCGTGGACGCCGGCGACGATTCGTAAGGAAGTCGAGGCGGCTCGACTGAACGGCGATTTGTGATTTGTAGCGTTGATTGATCTTTAAGGTTTGTCGTGTATTAAATCCGTAATGACGAAAGGATGAGCGCAGGCGCGTTTCGACGCCTCCGCGTCGCGCGCGCGCAAACTCGCGGCGTCGTGACTACACGGAGGATTCTTCCTTGGACTTTTCAAAGTCGCCTCGCGCGCGCTTCGCCTCCAGAATAGCCTCCGCGCGCGCGCGCTTCTTCGCTTCCTCCGCGCGAGTGTCATCGATCGCGATCGTGCTCTTCTTCCACTGTTCGCTCAACTTCAGCTTACGAACGAACTCCGTCACCATGGCGTCATCCAGCACCCCCGCGTCCGCCGCCTTGCAAAACGCGTTCAACTGCGGCAGCTCGAGCGTCTTCGCGTCCAGTCCCCGCTCCGCCATGAACGCGATCCAACCCCCGCCCTCCAACTTTTCCAGCTGCGCCTCCGTCTTTCGCTTGATCAGCACCGCGAACACCGCGTACGGCACCATGATCGGCGCCACCGTGTACAACAAAAAGCTCGTCGTGTCCGCCGTGCGAAACTTCCAAAACGCCAAGAGATAATCCTGCACCTCTTGCGCGTCCGCCCGCGCCGCGCCCGCCGCGCTCACCGTCGTCATCGCCGTGATCGCGATCGCGCGCGCCCTGTCCGCGATCGTCATCGCCTCCGCGCGTTCGTTCGCGCGCGCGCGCGTCGTCGTCGCGCGTCGTCCGTCGCCATGCCGACGTCGCGCGCCACCTTCGTTATCGTTCGCGCGTCGCGTCGTCGCTCGACGCGCCGTCGGCGTCGCGCGCACCGCGAGCGCGCGCATCGTCGTCGTCGGCGTCGTCGTCGTCGCGCGTCGCCGTGTGTCGCCGGCGTCGGCGGCGCGTCGAGCGACGACGCGACGCATCGGATAAGACGATTGTTGTGTGCGTCGTCGTCGTCTGACTGTTTACCCATACGAAGACGCGTCCCGACGCGTCCCTCGACGCGGATTCGCGCGCGCGTCGACCGCACGGCGGCGCGCGAGCGAGCGCGCGCGCGCGACGGACCGGCGACCGCGCGCGAAGCGCCGCGCGGGTCGAGCGGACGCGCGACGCGCGCGCGGCGCGAAAAAGGACGCGCGAACGGGACGGACGCGGGCGATGCGCGCGACGACGACGGCGCGGACGCGCGCGCGCGCGATCGCGCGCGCGGGAGGCGCGCGAAAGCGCGCGCGGGACGCGCCAGGGGCGCGCGGGACGGCGGGCGCGGCGCGGGCGCGCGCAAGGGGGGCGCGAGGGGTGGGGACGCGCGCGCGGGACGGGTTCGGGACGCGCGCGGAGACGCGAGGATGGGTCGCGAGGGCGATGGACGACGGCGACGCGAGAGAGACGACGCGAGGCGACGCCTCTGCCAACGCGATGGACGCGGCGGCGGCGGCGGCGGCGGCGATGCGCGAGGAGAGCGAGGAGGCGGAGACGGCGGAGACGGCGGAACGCGAGCCTTCGACGGACGACGACGACGAGACGGAGGAAGAGATGGAGGCTCGAGAGCGCGAGGAGAAGAGCGAGCGGAATAAAGTGTCGAGACGAGTGTTCGGGGCGGAGACGGACACGCGCGCGACGACGTGGACGCGGAGCTTGTTTATGCTCGGCGCGATTTTTGTCTTTCTCGCGGCGTATCCTAAATTCGTCGGATGGTTGTGCTCGTATTTCGAACCTTTGGACACCGCGGTGTCGGCGTACGAGGCGTTGACGTCGAACGTTGGATTGGATTTACGGATCATGCGCGCGACGTCGACGGCGACGTTTAAAGTCGTCGCGTTGTGCGCCGTGATCACGGGTTTGATGCGCGAGGGTAAGCTTCCGCTCGAGACGCCCGTCGTCGTCTCCAAGCTCGCGTTCAACGTCATGCTGCCCGCGTATCTGTGCACGCGCGTCGCGGCGACGCTGTATTTGTCTCCTCTCACCAAAGCGTTGGCCATCTTACCGATAAGTGCGATGGCACAAGTCATATTTGGATCCATCATCGGCGTCGGCGTCACGTACTTCGTCAACCGCTTTCACGCGTACGCGTCGTCGCACACGCGGGAAGAAGAAGACTTGGACGAGGAAGAGGAGATTAAGCTCGAGCGAGAGAAGAGAGACATGTCGCGCCTAGGCATCGCCGCGTGCTCTTTCGGGAACACGTTCACACTTCCTCTGGTATTTTTGACGGAAGTCCTTGGCCGCGCGCGCGCGGACGAAACGGCGGGATACATCGCTCTCTATCTCATCGGTTGGACGCCAGTGCTTTGGACGGTCGGTTTCTTGTTAATCGCTGGACCCGTCGCGGTGGCGGGTTTGAGCAAAGATGGCGAGAAGAAGGACGCGTTGCGTGATGCATTTTTGACCGCAAAGGCGACGATGGCGCGCATCGGCAAAGAATTGTTGAACCCGCCGCTGCTGGGCATCATCGCGGGTGTTCTCATCGGCGCCACGCCTTTGAAGGAAATCTTCGTCGGTAACTTTGCGGATGCCACGACAGAGTTTCCCGCGGTATTGACGTTCATATCCGTCATCTTCCGAGCGCTGTTCGAGCTCGCGGCGAGCATCGGTGCCGCGGCGCTCCCAGGACAGATGCTCGTCTTGGCGTCGAGTTTGGTGAAGATTACTCCCGAAGACGTCGAGAAGAGAATCGCGCGCGCTAAAAAAGCGAAAGAGCGCAGCGTACCCGTCGACGACGACGAAATGGAGGAGAATGCGAAGAAGAGGAAGAAGAAGAGTTTGTTCGTCACCGTTTTGGACGTCTTCTTTGGATCGTTCGCTGGAGCGTTCGCGCTCGTCATGCGCCCCTTGCGGAAGATTCGCGCGGGTTGGAACTATCTCACTCGTTTGGATTCGCCAGACATGCTCGCCTTAGTCTCCGCGTGTTTAGTTCGTTTCGTGTTTCTTCCTGGCGCGTGCTTGTTCGGATTACTTTTCCTACGAGCGCTCAACTCGCCGTGGTTTCCGAGCGATCGCTCGGCGGCGTTGGTGCTTCTCACCATGTCGTGCATGCCTGCGGCGCAGAACCTCGTGCTATTGACGCAGTTGCGAGATGCGACGCGTCCGTTGGCGACTCGCTTAGCGGCATTGATGTTGCGCCAATACGTCTTTGCCATCATTCCCGTCACATTTTGGCTCACCGCCTTCACGTCGGCAGTCGTGTAATATTTTTCACATCGCATCAAATGCATCTCAAACGTGTACCTCGTGCGTCATTACAACCGTCTCGTCTATAAAATATTTCTTTAATTACGTGCAAAACTAGCACAGCCTAGAATCGCAAGCCCGGGTTTTCGATGCGCGCGATGTCGGCCTCGACCATCTCCTTGATGAGCTCCTCGAGCGACGTCGTGCGCGGGTTCCACTTCAGCTTGTTCAACGCTTTGGACGGATCACCGATGAGAAGATCGACCTCCGCGGGGCGGAAGTAGCGTTCGTGCACGCGAACGAGAGTGCGGCCGGTGGCGATTTCGATACCGACTTCGTCGACGCCCTCACCCTCGAACTTGAGCTTCATGCCCGCGACGTCGAACGCGCGGTCGACGAAGTGTCGCACCGTGTTAGTTTCCCCGGTGGCGACGACGAAGTCTTCCGGAGTGTCTTGTTGAAGCATCTTCCACATGCACTCGACGTAGTCGCGCGCGTGGCCCCAATCACGCTTGGCGTCCATGTTACCGAGGTACAAGCATTCTTGCTTGCCCGCCTTGATGTTCGCCACGGCGAGGGTGATCTTGCGCGTCACGAAGGTTTCCCCTCGGCGGGGCGACTCGTGGTTGAACAGAATTCCATTGCACGCGTACATGTCATACGACTCGCGGTAGTTCACCACGGCCCAGAAAGCCATCATTTTTGCCACCGCGTAAGGAGATCGCGGGTAAAACGGCGTCTTCTCCGACTGCGGGATCTCTTGCACTTTGCCGTACAGCTCAGACGTGGACGCTTGGTAGAATCGCGCCGTCTTCTCTTGCCCGGACAAGCGAATCGCTTCGAGCAAGTTCAACGTCCCGACGCCGTCAACTTCGGCGGTGTACATCGGCATTTGGAACGACACTTGCACGTGAGACTGCGCGGCGAGGTTATACACCTCCGTCGGTCTCACGTCGCGGCAGATCGCCACGAGGGCGTGCAAATCCGTCAAGTCGCCGTAGTGCAAGAAGAAATTCTGCCCGTTCGGGTATCCGGGCTCCATGATGTGTTCCAATCGCGGGTGGTTGTACGAAGACGATCGTCGCTTGATCCCGTGCACCGTGTACCCTGCGCGCGTCGCCAAGCAACATTAAAAACCGTCAGTCGCCGTTCGCGCGCGCGCTCAACCTCAACCGCGGCCGTCTTTCCGGAATTCCCATAATCTTTCCCTCACGACGTCGTCCTCCGCGCGTTTCGCGCCCTCCGCGCGCGCACGTTTCGACATAATAAACTTTCCCATCGTTCTCTCCCCCCCGCGCGTCCATCCGCGCCCCGACGCGCGCGCGCGACGCGCGAATGCGGGAACTTTTCCGGGTCGATCTATCCATCGCGCCATTCGCACCTTTCGACAGCAACAGCTCGACGAGATAGCTCCCATCCTGCCCCGTGACGCCCGTGATGAACGCCACCTTACGCGCGCGATCACCGTCGCTCAGACCGGCCTGCATCTCGCCCGATTTATACTCTCGCGGCGCGACGTTCACCTCGCATCCCGTGGACACGGGCACGGACATCGCGTCTCTCGCGCGCGCGTCCTGCGCTCGGGCGGTGCGTCTCTCGCGCGCGAGCGCGCGGGCGAACGGGCGTGCGCGCGGCGCGTTCGGCGCGGCGTGCGGCGGCGCGTCGAGGCGCGCGCGGGTGTGCGGCGATCGCGCGCGATCGACGCGAACACCATCGTGTCTCTCGTCCCACCTCTCGAGTCACGACTCGTCGATTGCCCCGCACGATTCGTTGAACGCGCGTCGCGACGCCACAGCGCCGCGCGCGACGCCGCGCGGCGCCTCGACCGCGACGGCGCCTCGACGCGAGCGCCCGCGCGCGTCATGACGCTCTGGACGCTCACGCAGAGCGCGCTGCTCGCCGCGAACGCGGTCGCGATCCTCAACGAGCCGCGCTTCCTCGCGAAGCGCGGACTCACCGCGCGCGACGTCCGCGACGGCGCGGTCGCGCCCGCGAGCGCCAAGGGACAGATCATCGGCGTCATCAACGCCGCGACGTACCTGCGCGTGCCCCTGATCGCGCTGAACGCGATCGTCGTCTTCGTCAAGGTGGTCTTCGGGTGAGCCGCGAGACGCGACGCTCGACGCGATTGTAACCGCGCGACCTCGACGACGCTCGACGCGATTGTAACCGCGCGACCTCGACGACGCGCGCGCGCGCGACGCTTAGCGATCTAAATCTTCGGTTACAACTGATCGAGCTTTCACGTGTAAAAAGTAAAAACATGGTAAACAACACCCCACCGCGATCGACGTCGATGGAATTCACCGCGCCGCGGACGCGTCTTCCGACGAAATCGGTTCGTTCGGCACGCCAATCGTGCACGTCGGTTTCGGGCCGTACTTCGCCCAAAATCCGGCGCCAAACTTCGCCCCGTTCGTCTCGAGCCACGTCACGGGCATCGGCACCCCCGTCGGTTGCGCCGAACAATACGGCCGGCTTCCGGGCTTGGCCAAGTATTGCTGGTGGTAGTCCTCGGCGTAATAAAACGTATCGCCCGGTCCCTTGATTTCGCTCGTGATCGCCCCACTCTTCCCCGCCGCCCGCAGCGCTTCCCCGTACGCTTTCGCCGAGTCTTTCGCCATCGCTAACTGCGCGTCCGTCGTGCAATAAATCCCGCTCCTGTACTGCGTCCCGCGGTCGTTGCCTTGCCCGTCGCCCTGCGTCGGGTCGTGGCACGTCCAGTGCATCGCCAACAAATCCGCGAACGACACCTTCCGCGGGTCGTACGTCACTTTAACGCACTCGGTGTGTCCCGTCGAGCCCGAGCACACCTCCTCGTACGTCGGGTTCGTCGCGCGTCCGCCGACGTACCCGACCGACGTGCTGTGCACGCCCGGCAGTCGCCAAAACATCTTTTCCGCGCCCCAAAAACAACCCGTGGCGACGACGACGACGTCGTGCCCGCTCGGCGTTCGCTTCACGTCGGTTTTCAACACGTAATGCGTCGAGGAGACGACGATCGGGGCGCGAGATTGCGACGCGGACGCGCCGCGGAAGATGTTCTTCAACTGTTGCATCGGGACGCGCGAGGCGGAGAGTGGCGCGGAGGCGGGACGATGGATTGCGTTGCGTCGCGTTGTTCCCGCGTGACGTCGTCCGTTCGCGTGCGTTGAATGATTTGAATGACAACGAGAGTGCGTGATGCGGCTCGAGCGCGTTAGTTGGCCGCCAGGGCTTCTTCGAGCGTCACGGGCGCGTTGGGCACGTTGATGGTGCAGCCGGGCGCGGGGCCGAAGGTTTTCCAGTAACCAGCGCCGAATTTGGCGCCGTTAGCCTTGAGCCAGGCCTCGGGCACGGGCACGCCCGTCGGTTGCGCGGAGCAGTACGGTCGGCTGCGCGGTTTGGCCAAACTGTGGTGGTCGAGACGCGTCGTCGGTCAGTCGGCGCGCTTCGCGCTCGCGAGACGAGACGCTCGAGACGAGACGCGAAAGCGTTCGATGCACGCACTACTGCTGGTGGTAGTCCTCGGCGTAATAAAACGTATCGCCCGGTCCCTTGATTTCGCTCGTGATCGCCCCATTCTTCCCCGCCGCTTTCAACGCCTCGGAATACGCCTCGGCGGAGTCCTTCGCGACGGCCAACTGCGCCTCGGTGTCGCAATAAATCCCGCTTCTGTACTGCGTCCCTCGGTCGTTTCCTTGTCGGTTACCCTGCGTCGGATCGTGGCACGTCCAGTGCATCGCCAACAAATCCGCGAACGACACCACGGCTGGATCGTAGAGCACTTGCACGCACTCGGTGTGTCCGGTGCGTCCGCTGCACACCTCCTCGTACGTCGGGTTCGGCGTGTGACCGCCGACGTACCCCACCGCCGTCGTGTACACGCCCGGCACGCGCCAGAACATCTATCGCGCGCACCGCAATCTCCCGTCAGTCTCGATCGTCGCCCTCGCCCTCACCGCGTCGCGCTCGCGTCGTCGTCGTCGCACCTTCTCCGTCCCCCAAAAGCACCCCGTCGCGAACGTCGCCCGCTCGAGATTTTCGGGAAACGGCGCGCGCATCGCGTGCCCCTTCAAGACGTAGTGCTGATCGCTCACGCGCATCGCCTGCGCGCGTCCCGGAAGCGCGTCCGCCGCGGCGACGATGCCGTCGCCGCCGAGTCCCATCATCCCCATGAGTTTCGCCATCATTTCCTCCTCTCTCGACGCCCGCGCCGCGATCGAGCGCGCCGTTCGCGTCGTCGACCGCGCGTTCGCGCGTCTCGGCGCGATCGCCGCGCGCGGAATCGCGCGCGAGGCGCACGCGCGCGCGCGCATGTTCGATTTGAGCGCGCGACTGTGACGTCACACGCGCGCTCGACGCGCGTCGCGACGCGCGCGATGCTCGATCGCGCGCGCGACGTCGCGGCGAGGTGCGAGAGACATCGCGCGACGCGCGCGCGGCGCGCGCGACGATTCGCGACGCGCGCGCGACGCCGCGAGAGGGAAGACTGACGCGAATCGCTCGACGACGCAGGTTGGCGCGAAAGGTCGACGTCGAACCGCCGGCGCCGACGCCGCGCGAACGCGCGCGCGAGGGCGACGGCGAGCGATTCGCGACGCGGCGCGCGACCGCGGCGAAATCGGCGAGCGAGGCGCGGGAACGGGGGAAAAAAGGGAACGAATGGATGGACGCGCGACAACGGTTAAAGTTTGGGGAACGCGAACGCGAACGAGGCGAGGCGCGATCGCCGAATAGAGGGCGAACCGCGGGCGGGGAACGGGCGACGACGACGACGACGGGAGGTGGAGGGAACGGGCGGACGAGCGCGCAGGGACAGGGGATGCGGTCGCCGGATGACGACGCGGCGGCGCGAGAGTCGGAGCGGCGACGGGAAAGCGAGCGGGCGGCGAGAGAGGAGAACGCGCGGTTGCGGGAAGCGCTGGAGGAGGCGGAAAGGAAGGCGAAGACGTCGGCGGAGATGGTGGTGGAGCTGCAGGAGCGCGTGCGCGCGCTGAGGGAGGAGAACGTCGGTGAAGCGAGGGTGTTGACGAGACTGGAGGCGCAATTGCGTCGACGCGAGCACGAGTTCGAGGCGCATAGAGAAATGCTTTCGTCGCAGCTTGAGGCGGCGATTTACTCGGCGAACGAGCGCGATAACGAGGCGTTAGCGAGGGATCAGGAGGCACGAGATGAGGTGCGCGCTGCGAAGATGGCGGCGTCCCAGTACGTATTAGACGACGCGCAGCGGAGAGAGTTTTCGCTCAAGGCGGGATGGTGCGCGCGATATTTTAACCTCATGATTGCCCTTGGCTTAGCGCCGATCGATGAGGACATCAAACAAGAAGCCGAAACGTGGACGCGGGCGTTTGGGATCGCCCTCGAGAAGGACGACACGCACGCATCGATCGCGAGAAAGATTGGCGACGTCTTGATAGAAGCCGGCGCGAAGCCGGTGGCGTCGTACGAAGTAGACACCTCGCTCGTGACCGCATCGGCGTCTGCGATGGACACCGAAGAGCCCGTAGAGAACGATGAAAACGGTGTGCAACCCGATGAACACGCCGGTCCCACGCACACGTCGCTTCCACCGAGTTTGAACCCATCGTGGCCGAGGAATTTCAGAGACGCGCTCGGCGTGGAAATCGCGATGCGTTATCTGGCGTCACGTAGAATAGAAGAGCGCGTCGTCGTTTCGCTCGCAGACGTGCGTCGTGCGTCGGCGATTTCGAGCATATCACGTAACGCAGCGAGCGAGGACGACTCGAGCGCGTTGAGCGACGATGAGATTCACGAATTCCATTTTCGCCGCGCGTGGTTGAGATTTATGTGGGCGCGTGCTCGAGAGGCGGGCATGGATGCCGGCGTGGCGGACGAGCGCGAGGAGCATTGGCTGTCGGAAATGCAAACGATGACGAATCCCAACATGCGGCAGCCGCTGCGTTTCAAGCGCGACGCGCTGGCCGTCGACAAGGGGTTGAAAGAGTTGCGCGCGTTTCTTGTCGAATCTCGACTTTGGCGATGATACGAACAGGATTGTATTAAATGACTCCCTTCAATGCGTCGCGCATGCGTTTGTTCACGTCAACACCCGCGGGTGGCACATCGAAGGTTTCTCCCGTGATCATTTCGTAAAGCTTGACGTACCTCGAGCTGAGCTCGGCGACGAGATCCGCCGGCGCTTCTGGAAGCGTCTCGTCCTTGTACGGATCGCACCTCTCCGCGAACCACAAACGCAAGAACTCTTTATCGATCATGTCGGGCTCCATACCAGCAGCGTGGCGCTCCACGTACGAGTTCGACAACCAGTATCTCGAGCTATCTGGCGTGTTGATTTCATCGATGAGTCGAATCGTGCCGTCGGCGTCGCGGCCAAATTCATACTTGGTGTCGACCAGAATCAGCCCGCGCGTCGCCGCGACTTCTTGCGCGTAAGCGAAAACTTCCAGCGTCTTAGCGACGCAGTAGTCCAAATCATCTTGCTTCATCCACCCCTCCTTCACTATATCTTCTAACGAAATAGGTCTGTCATGTTCCTTCTCCTTCGTCGTCGGCGTCACGATATTCGCCGGCAGTTTTTGGTTCTTCACCATCCCATCGTCCAGCGCGTTTCCGCAATAATTCCTACCCCCGGTTTTATAATGCGTCCACAGTGACGTCGACGTGCTTCCAGTGAGATATCCTCGAACGACGAACTCGATCGGGAACACCTCGCACCTTCGCATCACCGTCACGTTTGGATCCGGCGTCGCCACCACCGCATTCGGCACGATGTGTTCGGTTTGTTTAAACCACCACTGGCTCGTCTGATTCAGCACCGCCCCCTTAAAAGGAATGTACGCCAAGTGTCGATCGAACGCGGACTGTCGATCCGTCGTCACAGCGATCATCGTGTCGCCCGTCACGTACGTGTCCCGAACCTTGCCCTCGTACTTCGTCCCCGTGCCCAAATCCGACGCCGTCACGCACGCATCGAGCGCTTCGAGCGCTTGCGACTTGCGAAGGGCATCATCGTGCGTCGCCTTCGCGCGAACGCGGCGCGCGCGGGCGGATTTCGACGGCGTTTGACGCGCGCGAAATTTCGACGCGGCGTTTGAAAAGACGCGTTGCGGCGACGCGTGCGACGCGCGCGCGGGCGCGGACATCGTTCGCGGTGGACAGGAGTGCGGTGAAGACGCGCGCGGTCGCCGGCGAGGACGAAGGCGGAGCGCGCGCGCGTGTGTGCGGCGGCGCGTGCGCTGCGCTGCGAGACGAGGCGAACGCGCCCGGCGACGAACGCGAGTCAAAACAGCTCTAATTGTCAGATACACGACGACGCTCGTTGGCTATGATTTACTTTCCTCGAAACTGGAAATTCGGTCGATCGCCGACGGCGCACGCGTCGCGGGCGCTAGATTTGATTTCTTCCAGTCGCGCCGCGGCGTCGCCCTCGTCGCAAAGCGTCTTAAACGCCGCCAACGCTTGGTAAAACTTATCTTGCACGTCCAGGGCCACGGCCATCGTTCCCGACGTGTGCGTGAGCGATAGGGGCAGGTGCACCCACGCGTCGATGTCTAAAGTGCACGAATTCGCACCCGTGGACGTCACCGCGATGTCCGCGCCGACGGGCATACCAGCCGTCGCTTCGTATCGCACGCTCGATCCCGCCTCCAACTCCGTCGCCTTCACAACCGAAAGATGTCGCTCCACCGCATCGACCGCCGTTCTTCCGTGTTTCTTCCTAATGTCTCCGAACGCGTACACCCACTCACACCGCGCCCGCCCGCCGTCCGCCGCCGCCTCGCACTTTTCCAGCTCCGGCAGCGTCTCCGCCAACGCCGCCGGCGTGGTCCAATACCCGTACACCACTTCTGCCGCGCATCCAAGCTCAACCACCGCCCCAAAGGACGTTCGCGTGACGCCGTACGTGCGTTTTCGCGCGAAATCTCGTCTCGTTTTGCTTCCTCGCTTCGCCGTCTTGAACGCGTCCGCTAACCCCAGTCCCTCCATGGCGTCGCGTTCGCGTTGGGTCGCCCGGATTCGTTCGTCTCGTTCGCTTTCGCTTTCATACAGCGACGAGAGCTTATTCAGAGCGTCCACGGTGCGTCCTTCGCTCGCGGGCGCGTCATCGCGCGCGTGCGCGCGCGTGGCACCGCGATTTCGAGCCGCCGCCGGTCGTGCACTTTTTTGTCCAATTCGCGTCGACGACGCCGTCGCGCGCGCCGTCGCGCCGTGCGCGCGCGAGGGTGTCGTCGTGAATGTTTTGAACGACATCGCTGGACGCGCGATGTTTCGAAAGCTGCGCGAGAGAGTGAGGTGACTGGGACGACAACGCTACGCGCGAGCCGAACGACGACGTCGCTAACCGAAGACGCCGCCGAGAAACTTGGAAGAGGATGACTTGACGCGCTGAGAAGCGCGGTGTGCGCGAATACGAAATTCATCCTCTTTGCCGAACCCGAGGATGGTGCAAATGACGGGCACGAGGGCATCGCCACGATCGTAGGCGTCGTACGGCAGCAACAAGAAGCGTTTGACGACGGCGGCGAGATACTCGGCGTGAACGTCGTCGACTCGAGCGGGCTTGCTCGCATCTGCGATGGATGGAGATTCGACTTTGGCATCGTCTGACCCATCGTCGGCGTCGTCGTCGAAGAGTCTAGACTTTGATCGTAACGGCGCCGCGGCGCCGCGGGCGAGTTCGAGTTCGGCATCCTTGTCAGCCATTAGCTTGCGTGCTTTTTCGCGCCATCTGTCGAGCGTATCGCGAGCTTCGGTGCACTTTTCACTCCACGCGTCGCGATCGCGCTCCGCCGCCGAAGCAGCCGTCATCGCGGCGTCACGCTCGGATCGAAGCGCGTCTTGCACCGCTCGAGTGGACTCGGTAGATTTGCGTTTGTACTCCTCTAACGCATTTTTCGACGCATCTGCGAGGGCATTTGCGTTCATGATGCGTATTTCTGCCGCTTCAATTCTGGAATTGAGCTCCGCACGAACACTTTCGGCTTCAGCGGCGATTTTTTGCGCCTCAGCTAAGGCTGATCGAGACGCGCTGGCCTCGGCGGATAAGCTCTCCACACGTTTCACAGCGTCGTCGCGAGCCGACTCGAGTTCATCGCAGCGTGATTTCAACTTTTCGATCTCGTCTCGGTCATTTCTCACCGATTGATCAACTTTACTCGCAACGTCCGCCATCGCGTCGTCTTGCGCGCGCTGCGCATCCAACAACTGTTGCTCAAGCTTCGCGACGCGACGCGCCATCGTCAAGAGCTCGCTTTCAGCCTTATCGCGCGCCGACGTGACGTCTTCTATACTCGAACCGGCAAATGAGCTCGTTTCAAGCGAACGCTTGGCGTCCGCAAGCTCCGTGCGAAGTTCTGCGAGTTCCGTCATAGCGACGTTTCGCTCGGCGACGGCGCCGGTGAGCGACTTCAACTCTTCTCGAAGACGTCGTAGTTCCGACTCACCCTTTTCTTTCGACTCAGCAAGTGCGTTCGATTCGCTATGTTTGACTGATAAATCCGTCCTTAACGTCTTGATTTGAGCGTTCGCCGCCGCGAGTTTCTCCTCCGTCGCCGCGAGCGATTTCTTCAACGCGCCAGCGCTCACACGTTCCTTCGCCGCCTCGACGTCAGACTGCACCTGTTTGCTATTCTCTATTTTATTCTTGAGTACCACGATCTCGTTTTCCAGGCTCTTTTGTCTTCTTTCCAGCGCCTCGTTTGTCTTCTTCAAGGCTTGCGAATCAGACACCGCCGTCGTCGCGTCTTCGGCTTCTTTGCGCGCGCTCGCCAAACTCTCGGCCAATTCGGCCGTCTCCGCTCGAGCGTCATCCAGTGCCTTCCGAATCGTTGGTACGAGCTCGGCGTACTCTTTGAGTTGTTTTTGAAGCGTCTCATTTACGCCTTTCATGCTCTTCAGTTGCTGCAAGACGCCGTCGTTTACGGTTTTCATGCTTTGCGCTTTCTCCACGGCGTCGTCGCGTTCCTTCGTCATCGATTCCAGCGCCTCACGCGACGCCGCGTTGTCGTCACCGTTCCCATCACTCGGTATGCGCGCCTCGCTCTCGACCCGTTCCCCTTTCTGCGCCCGTTCCAGTTCCTTCTCCAACGCCTCGAGCTTCCTCGTCGCCTCGCTCGCCTCGGCGCGCGCCTCGTCGCACTCCTTCTCGAACGCTTTCGCCTCCTCCTCCGCCCACGCCTTACCGTCCCGTAATTTCTTCATCTCTTTTTCGTATCCCTCGACCGCGCCCGTCGCGAGCGCCGCGTCGCGTCGAGTCGCGCCGCCGCCGCCGCCGCCGCCGTCCTCGGCGACGCGCCGCAGCGCATCCTTCAGCGCCATCAGTTCCTCGTCCTTCGCTTGCAGCAGCTCGGTGAGCTCGGTCAATTCGCGCGCGCGCGGGTCGGCGTCCATCGCGTCGTCCGCGCGCGTCGTCGTCGTCGCGACGCCGCGCTCGACCGCGTTCGTGTCGACGAGCTCGCGCACCGTCGCCGACGCCTGCGCCTTGAGCTTCGCGCCCATCGCCGCCGCCGTCGCCGAGAGTTTATCGTGATCGAGCCACGCCTTCGACATCGCGCTCGCGCGGCGCGTCGACGCGACGCGACGCGACGGCGTGTGCGGGAGCGCGCGCGCGCGACGACGGTTGGACGCGCCGCGCGAGCGAAAAGAGCTGAGAGCCGCTCGCTCAACACTACAACTGTACAGGGCTAATTGGTTTTGAAAGGCGGCATCGCGCCGGGACCGATGGCGGTGGGTAAGATGGGCGCCCCGCGAACTTCGCGCGCCTTGACCAACGAAGACGCGGAGTCGGCGCCGGAGAGCGCGACGACGCCGTACGTGATGAACACCCACGACATGATCCAGCCGATGAACGCTGGAATGGTCTCCGGCAGCGGTTCGCTGAGAATGATGAGACCGTACAGCGCGGCGACGAACATCTGCGCGACGTTTCCGGCGACGCAGACGACGACGATGGAGACGTCGCCCGCCTCTCTGAAGCCGGCTGTTTGAAAGTACAGCCCCATCGCCGTCAACGTCCCGCTCACGCCGAACGCGATCGGGGCGCTGAACAACCGCCACGCGTATAAGAATCCCATCGCTGCTTTCACGCTGAACGCGCTCAGCGCGAAGCACGTCCCGCACTGCGCACCGATTTTTATTAACTCGTATCGCTTCGCCGCCGACGCCGACGCGCCGCTTCTAAACCTGTGCGAGATCACGCTCGGCGTCGCCAGGCACGCGAATCCGAGGCCGATCGCCACCATCAATCTAAACGCTCCCAGTGCGCGCGTTTCACCGCCGCCTCGAGCGAATTTCGACAGCACCGCGATGCCGAACCCGCACGACGCGACGCCCTTCCACTCGCGCAGCGTCAGGCTCTCTCCCAAGTACGCGTGACTCACCACGGCTAAAATCGCCACCCCGCTCGCGCTCGCGGGCTGCACCACGCTCATCGGCGCGATGGACAGCGCGAGCAGCATTCCCGCGCCGCCGATGACGTCCAACTCCAACCCGCGGCGCCAATTCGGGTCCGTCAGGTACGAACGGAGCGACGCGAGGCTGAGCTTCGGGAGCGATTTGGACGCTTTTTTCTGGATTCCCTTGCCGACGTTGATCGCGCACGCGCTGACGACGGTGAGGGTGATGGCTATGACTGGCATGACGCTCGAACGCGCGGACGAGGGGTCGAGAGACGCGCGAGGCGCGCTCTGGGGGTCACGCGAACGCGCGCGGCGGCGAAGGACTCGGCGCAAACTAAACGGTTCGTCGTATTGACAATGCTGATGCTGATAATCGCGAGGAAAACATATAAAAAATAACAATGATGATGATGATGCGATCGGGTGGGTCTCGTGCGCCGCGGGGTGGTGGCGGCGCGCGAGCAGACCGCTCACTTTTTTACTTGTTGGCGAACCAACCGTACGAGTGTAAGCCGACGCCCCAGAGGTTGACGCCGACGTAGCACACCCAAACGACCAAAAAGCCCGCGGCACCGACGGCGCACGAGTCCTTTTTACTCCAACCGGCGACGAGACGCGAGTGCAAATACGTGGCGTACACGAGCCAGGTGATGAGCGCCCACGTCTCCTTCGGATCCCAGGACCAGTACGAACCCCAGGCTTCGTTGGCCCACACCGCGCCGGAAACCAAACCCGCGGTGAGCAAAGTGAAACCGGCGCCCAAGCAACGGTAGGCCAAGTTGTCCATCTCGGTGAGGATGCGTTCGCCGTCGCGCGTCGCCTCGATGGCGAGCTCGCCGCCGTAATCCTCGCTCGCGTTCATCGTCTCCACCGCCACGGTTTCGCCGTCGGCGGCGACGCTCACTTTTGGCCTATTTCTCACGCGCTCGCCGTCGTTGGACACCATCTTATCGAGCTTCTCCAGCGCCCCCTTCGCCGCGGCCCAATCCTGAGACGCGTCGACGACTAAATACGACACGCACGACAACGAACCGACGAGTAACGTGGCGTAACTCAGCATCATCACGCTCACGTGCATCATCAACCAATTACTCTTCAACGCCGGCACGAGCGCGGTGGCGCGCTGCAGCTCCGCCGGCAGCGCTAACGTCGCCCCGGCCACCGTGAGCGCCGCCGTCGGTCCCGCGAGCGCCCCCGGAATCGCGCTCTCCGAGAACCCGTCGCGCTCCGTCACCACCAGGTGCACCGCCGTGATCCCCCACGCCAGAAACAACAGCGACTCGTACATATTACTCAGCGGAAAGTGTCCGCTCTCGATCCACCGCGCCGCGAGCAGTCCGAACAGCGACGCGTTCCCGACGTACATTCCAATCTGTTCGCCCCGTCCCGCGCGTTTCTCATCCGTAAAAATCGCCTGCGCGCGCCCATCGCCGCGCGTTCGTTCCCGTCAGTCTCGCGTATTTTTTATCGTCTTTTCCCGTCGTCGTCGCGCGTCGCTCGCGTCTTCATCGCGCGTCGTCGTCTCGTCGTCTCGTCGTCTCGCGCGCATAACCCTCGCGCGCCGTCGTCGCGCGTCCCGTCCCTCGTCGCTCGCGCGTCGTCGTCGCGCGCGTCCGCACCTTGCCCGCGAACGCCGCGCTCGACGCGCTCAGCGCCGCGAACGCGCACTTCCCCAGCGCCTCCTCGGCGTCGCTCAGCGCGAGGTCGCTCGGGACGACGTCGACGAGCGCGGCGAGGTCGAGCAGTTCGCGCGTCGCGCGCGCGCGCGTCGCCCCGCGCGCCGCACGCGGCGCGCGGACGCGGCGCGCGACGGTGGCGTTCGCCCGTGCGCGCGCGTCCGCGACGCGCGTCGCCGTCGCGGGCATCGCGCGCGTCACTGTGCGGACGCGCGATGGATGACGCGCTCGACGCGTTCGCGGCGTACGCGCCGTCGTACACGCGACAGCCGCGCGAACAGGCGTGGCGCGCGCAGCGCGCGATGTGGGGCGAACTCTTGAAGCGGTGCGCGCGCGCGACGCGCGAATCGAGGCGCGAATCGCGACGCACGAGGCGACTGACGCCGACGCGACGGCCGTCGGGACGCGCGAAAACAGCGCGGTGAAGCGCCGCGCGAGCCCCATCGTGCGCGCGGACGTCGAGGACGCGTTCGTGAACGCGACGCTCGCGCGCGCGCTGCCGCTGGACGCGCGACGCGCGGTGATCGACGCGCTGGTGGCGTCGGGAGACGCGAGGTGGTTGGACGACGCGTCGACGCGCGCGCGCGTCGTCGACGCGCGCGATCTCGCCGCGTTGGACGACGCGCTGACGACGCGCGTCGAAGAGTACGGATTGAGCGGGAAGGTGTGCACGATGGACGAGCTCGCGTCGGCGCTCGGGACGGATCGCGAGCGCGCGCGCGCCGTCGCGGAGCGCCGGCGAGACGCGCGTCCGCCCGGGTGCGCGATTTTCGGCGACGACGGCGTCAAATTCGCGTGACGCCAAGTTCGTCGTTCGTCGATCGATTTCATTTCTCCGTTAGTTATTCATACACGCGCTCGCGGTCGCGTCGTCGACGCGCGCGCGTTCGCGACGGATCCCGTTCGCGTCGTCGTCGTCGTCGCTCGGCGCGCTCACTTGTTAATCTTCGTCTCCGTGAACAGCACGTGCCGTCGAACCTGCGCGCGCGCGACGTCCCGCGTTTCGCGGCGTCGTCGTCAGTCACCGCGCTACACGGCTCTCGCGTTCGCGTCGCGACGCCGTCGCGTCGTCGTCGCACCCTGGGGTCGTACTTGACGAACTCGAGCTTCCTCGGCGTCTTCTTCGGGTTCTTGCGCTTGACGTAGAAGAATCCCGTGCGCGCGGCGCTGACGAGCTTGACGAGGATCGCGCCCGCCTTGGTCGCGCCCTTGGCCATGGCCGCGCGTCGCGCGATGGCGTCGCGAAGCGCACTCGCGCGCGCGAGACGACCATGCGTGGGTCGGCGCCGACGACGCGACGCGACGGCGACGCGGCGTCGTCCTCGTCCCTGCGCGCGCATCGCGCGCGACTCCTCGACGGTGCGTCGACGCGCGGCGCGCGAGCGCGGACTCGCGGACGCTCGGACTCACCGCGCGCGCGGCGTCGCCGCCGCCGAGCGCAGACGCGCGCGCGGCGTACCCGATGAACGCGCGATCGCGGCATTACTGCGTCGTCCTCGTCGCGGGGTCGATGCGGAAGCACGATAAAGATTGGGCGGGGTTGGTGCTGGCGACGTCGAGGCGTGCGGTGACCGTGAAACCGCTGGAGGTGCTGCGCGACGACGACGACGAGAAGGGCGACGACGAGACGAAGACGGCGGAGGTTCGATTGCGCATCGCGCGCGCGTATCCGATGAAACGAGTCGATGGATCGGCGATCATGGAGCGATTGACGTTCGCGCCCGACGGCGTGGGCGCCGTGGCGAGAAGAAACGAGCGCGCGGACGCGCCGCCGATGCTGACGCGAAAGTATCGCGTCGACGTGACGAGCGCGGAGCGCGCGATGGTGGGCGCGGAGAGCCCGGAACGCGCGCGCGGCGTCGTCGACGACGCGATCGAGGACGACGGCGACGACGGTGATGGGGTTTCGGAGAGCGTGTATTCGCTGTTCGAGGTCCATCGCGGGGAATCTTCGATCGACGAGTCGCCGCCCGAGGACGTCGGCGAGATCGAAGGCGGCGAGATCGAAGGCGAGTCTCTCGACGCCTTCGAGCCGGCGCCGCACGCCGACGAAAGCGGGGACTCCATCTCGCCCGAGCGACTCGGTATTATTAGACGCGGGTCGCGATCCGCGGACGGGGAAGCGTCCGAATCGCAAGCCGAATGCGTCGCCGCGGCTTTCGTCGCGACGCGGGACGACGAGATCGAATGGAAAGGATCGATCTCGTTCCTTCGCGAGCAGCTCGCCGCGCAGGTCGGCGTGAAGCTCGTGCTCGACCGCGTCGACGTCGAGCGCTTGCTCGAAGAACTGACGTCGAGCGCGCCCGTTTAGTTTCGACGACGCGATGATTTACATATGATTTACATTCGAGCGCGAACGCGCGTTCCGCCGTCGTCGACGACGAACCGTCATTCGTTCGCCGTCATCGCCTCGACGTCGAGCATCAGATCCTTCGTCTCCCGAATCCAATAATCCACGAGCGTCGTCGTGTTCGTGAACGTAAACGTCCCCACGAACTCCTTCTCCTCCAAAAACAACGGCCACCAGTACGGATCGTCCGCCCACATATTTTCAAACGGCACGTCGTCCAAATCGAACCACTCCGGTCGCATCTCATCGCTCGCCGCGATCTCCCCGTCGTACCGCGAGCAGTGAAACACGTGCACCAACCACGGTTCGAGCGGTTTATCGTCGAACACGAATCGCAGCGCCCCTCGCCGCGTCATGTTCGTCGCCTCGACGTTCGCCTCCTCCGTCAGCTCTCGCGCCGCCGCCGCCTCCACCGTCTCCCCGCGCTCCACCTTCCCCCCGAATCCGTTGTAATACCTACGCCCGTCGCGCATTCGTCAGTCATCGCGCGTTTCGCCTCGTCTCGGTCGCGGACGCACCCGGCGCCGAATCCGCGCAGTTTTTCGCCCAGCAGCACTCGACCGCCCTCGTAGTCGCGCACGACGACGAGCGTGAACGCCCGATGCGCGGCGCCGCGCGCGAGCGCGATGTCGCCCTCGCGCACCTCGCGCGGCATCGGCGCGCCGCGTCGGCGTCTGCGGTCGCGTCGCGTCGCATCCATCCGCGACCATCGGTCGGCACATCGCGGCGCGACGCGCGACGCGCGCGCCATGCGCGACGCCGACGACGCGTCGATCGAGCGCGCGCGCGCCGCGGTCGTCGCGCTGTACGACGCGCGGTCGACGCGAGCGACGCGAGACGAGGCGAACGCGCGTCTGATGGCGCTGTCGGAGGACCCGCGCGCGGCGAGCGTCGCGCTCGGACTGCTCGAACGCGCGCGAGGGGACGCGTGCGTGGCGTATTACGCGGCGAACGCGCTGAGCGCGACGACGCGCTCGAGGGAGCGGTGGAACGGGGCGAGCGAGGGGGCGCGGGAGGCGATGATGCGACGGACGACGGCGGCGTTCGCGGCGACGGCGAACGACGAGACGACGGAGACGGCGGCGAGACGGTTGGGACTCGCGCTGGCGCGCGGAGGCGCGCGAATGGGGAGCGCGAAGATGCGGGAGGTGGTGGAGACGGCGTTCGGGGCGGTGCGATCGAGCGGGGTGGGGTCGAGCGCGATGCGGGCGGGGATGGAGTTGTTGGCGCTCGCGGCGGAGGCGTGCGACGAGGCGGAGACGTCGAGTCGACGGGAACTCGCGATGGCGTGCGCGAACGAGGGAGAGAGGGTTTTGATTACGGTGCGTGAGGTGTTTAGCGCGTGTGGAAGCGCGCGGTCGCGACAGACGGACGCGTTGAAGGCGTCGTGCGTGCGCGCGGCGCGCGGGTGGTTAAAGTTGGATCCGTCGGGCGACGTCGGCGGCGGATTGCGATTGTCCCCGACTGAGTTCGCCGTGCGACACGGCCAACTTTTCGGGGACGTCTTGCAGTGCTTGGCGATCGAGAGCGGCGGGTGCGGAGCGGCGGCGGTGGACTTTTTGGTGGATTTACACCAAGGACGAAGCGGCGGCGAGGCGGAGGAATTTCAGGCGATGAACGCGGTGACGCGAGGTTTGCTCGCGCACGCGAGCGCGGCAAACGACTCCGACGACGGCGTTTCGCTCGCGCGAAATATTTGTCTCGTCGCCGTTGCGTTGAGCGAACGGTGCGTGAGCGTGCTCGCGCGCGGTGACGAAGATTCCTTGGCGCTCGTGTCGCTCATCTTGTCGCTCATGGAGCGCCACGGTCGCGAGGTGACCGAGGTGGCGGTTGATTTTTTCTTAATGATGGATGTTGTGGGAGTGTCTTCGAGGCACGAAAGCTTGCGTGCGCCCATGCACGCGCGTTTGACGGAGGTGTTACTGAAACAAGCGACGTTGCCCGACGATTTCACCACCTGGGCCGTCGCGAACGAGGACGAGGACACGTTTGAGCGATTTCGCGAACACGTCGTCGCCGATCTTCTCGACAACTGTTACGGCGTTTTGCGTGGGCAATACTTTAGCATAATTGGTAGCGCGTTAGGTGCCGCGCAAAATTGGCAAGCCGCTGAGGCGGGAGCGTTCGCATTGCGCGCTCCCGCGAGTCGCGTCAACGACGATTTGGAAGACGCACCCTCGGAGGAGATCGAAACGTTTCTCGCGCAACTTCTATCGACGATTTCTGAGCACACGACCGACAACAGCGGTCTGTTCTCATCGCATCAGCTCGTTCGAGCGGGTACGTGTCGCCTCATCGCGTCTTACGCCAACTGGCTCGGTCGTCGCGGCCCTCCCGCGAACTCGGCGGCGCAAGCCGCGCGCGCGCGCGGCGTTTTGATGTACATCACGTCGTCTTTTCCGCATCCTCCCGCGTGGTCGCGGGCGGCTTTAGCGTTTAAATCAGTGTGTTCGCGGTGTGCGCGACATTTGAAGGAACCATCCACGTTTGCGGCGCTGTTAGAACACACCGAAAGATGCATCGCGGACGTGCGATTGACTTTTGAAAGCGAAGACGACGAGGACGGTCGCGCGTCGGTCACCGAAGGATTGGCGCGGGTGATTGCGGCGATGCCCGTGCAGCAAGCGTCGGAAGCAAGCGCGAGGTTAATAGCTCCTGTGCTTGCGCGATGCAAACGGATCGCTGCCGAAATGGCGCCGCAGATTCCTCCGAACCAAATCGCGCACGCCTCGGCGGCGAGAGCGATGGCGGCTGAACTCGCCTTGATCGCGGCGTCGGTGAGATTCTTAGAATTTTTACCGAGTGCGACGATCGCGTCGAGCTGTGAGCACCCTGCCATCTCTGTTTTAGCCGCGGCGTGGCCGACGCTGGAAGAAATCGTCGCGAAGCGAACGTGGCAAGCGCCGAGCGTGATTAAAGCTGCGGCGGAGATTTACGTCGCGGCGCTTCTGAGCGCCAAGGAAAGTTCAGTCAACATGATCGTGCCCATGCTCGAATCCATCGCGCGCACGTTCATGGCGACTAAGTGTGCGTCCTTGCTCGAGCCGATCGCCACCGCGATAGAGGTGGCGTCGATCAGCTCGCCCGAGAGTGGCACGAGCGAGTTGTTGCCAAGCGCCCCGCACGTCGGCGCGACGTTGAGCGCGGCTTTCTCCCAAATAGCATGTGAGACCGTGCGTGGCGTGCGATCGGGATCAGATGATTGGGATCTCGCTGAAGCTTTATTTTCCACCGCTAGGGCGTTCGTTATCTTCGCGCCGGCGCAGGGATTGGCGAACGAAACCTTGTTCGACGTGCTCGATCTCTCCGTCGCCGCGCTCGAGCTGCGAGAGTACGCCCCCGTGCGCGCTTCTTTGGCGCTGCTGAACGCGATCGTTTCTCCCGGTGAAAAGGCCAAGCGATCCGCACCCTGGGTCGCCAATGCGTGTCGCGTGGACGAATACTTCCTCTCCCGCGGCCCGCTCGCGGCGAACGCCATCCTCCGCGCGGCGTGCGCCGAAATTACCCCTCGCGCCTGCCTCCGCCCCGCCGCCTCATTCCTCGCCACTTTACTCCATACCGCCCCCGACGTCGTCACACCCTGGATCATCACCGCCATCGACGCCCTCGAACCGATCCATCCCGCGCGCGAGCGCTTCGCAGCGACGCTCGCCCGCCGCCCCCCTCTCCCCCATCCTCGCCTCGTCGCCGCGCTGTGCGACTTCGTCTTCATCGCCATCGGCGTCGGCGACGTCGACGATTTACTCGCGTATGACGTGTAACGCACGCTTTCGCGCGCCTTCCCTCTCCGATCGCGTCTCCGCGCGCGCGACGCGAAGTCCCCGTCCCAAATCGACATTTCGCCAAATGATGGCGAATCCACGTGTTTCCCAAACGTATTTCAAATCCCACCGCGCCGTCGCGACATTCCCGCGCTGCCTCGCCTGCCCGGCGCCCATGGAGGCCCCGCGCACGGTCGATGAGGTCCACGCAAACTTTTCCCGTCGACGCGACGGCCTCGTCAAGGCCCTGACGCGCGGTACGAACGCGCGCGCGCGCCGATCGACGGATTCGCACGTCGCGCGACCGGGACGCGACCGGGACGCGATCGCGGTCGCGCGACGAAGCGCGCGACGAAGCGCGCGCGACGCGAACGCGAACGACGACGCAGACGATTAACCCGCGTCGAACCACGCAGACGTCGAGGCGTTCTACGCGCAGTGCGACCCGGACAAGGAAAACTTGTGCCTGTACGGCAATCCCGACGGGACGTGGGACGTGCAATTACCCGCCGAAGAAGTCCCGCCCGAGCTCCCGGAACCGGCGCTCGGGATTAATTTCGCGCGCGATGGGATGCAGGTAAATTCGATGCGCGCGAATCCGCGCGGCGCGCGGCGCGAACGCGGCGCGAATGCGGCGCGACGATGCGATTTGATTCGATTCGACCGCGCGCGCGAACGACCGACTGACGAAGTCGCGATGCGCGGTGCTTTCGACGACGCAGCGTAAGGATTGGCTCGCGTTGGTCGCCGTGCACAGCGATGCGTGGTTGATGGCGGTGGCGTTTTATTACGGCGCCAAGTTTGACGCCAAGAAACGGTGCGTCGAGCGTCGAGCGCGTTGTCGTCGTCGATGCCGATGCCGCTGAAACGACGCGAATGCGACCCTCGCGGGTGACGAAGCGACGCGATGTTCGACGACGACGCGCGCGACTGACGGCGACGCGGGACGACGACGACGATCAGTGATGCACTTTTCGCGCAGATCAACGCCGTGCCCACGGTGTACGAAACGCTCAGCGCGGCGCACGGACGCGAAGAGAAACCGACGAGCGCGGGCGCGCGTCAGAATGGCGGTGCGCAGGCGAACGGGCGCGACGCGACGGGGAAGGGCGCGAAAACCGCGCTCGCGGACGTCAAGGGAAATAGTTCCAAGGTGAAGAAGCATAAAGTGGACCCGGTGCGTGCGAACGAAGCGCGCTGGCGGCGATTTCGTGACGAATGCGCGCGTGACGCGATTCGCTCCTTCGCGACGATGACGACGACCACGACCACGACGACTGACGACGACGCGATCGACGCCTCGGTTCGATGCGCAGATGGACGCACAAGGTTTTAAGAAACCATCCCCTGGGTTCATCCTAGACCCCGATCAAGCGCTGACGACGCTGAAGAACGCGCAAATTGAGGTGCGAGCGCGAACCGTCGTTTTCGGAACCCTCGAGACGAGGGAGCCCGACGCCCACTCGAGGCGATTTGTCTCGTCACGCGTCGCGTCACGCGTCGACAAGACGCGATGCGCGTGAGAAGATGAACGAGGATGCGAAGACTGACGTGATCGCGCGCGCGCGCCGCCTCCACAGTTGTTTTGGCCGGACGATAACTTGTGGTATCGCGCGGAGGTGATTTCGCTCAACGAGCGTAATCGCACCGCCAAGGTACTTTACGCGACGTCTGACGTCGAAACGTTGAATTTGGATGAATTGATTCGTGAAGGTCACGTGAATGTGCGACGCGAGGCGTGAGTGAGGACGTTTGAGGGGAAAAGAGAGCGCTCGGGGCTCTCCACGGAGAATTCGTCGCGACGTAGCGAATTCATTTGTACAAAACGGGGCGACACATTTAGCACGGTGAAGACCGGCGAGCGAGCGCACGCGGACGACGAACATCTCGGACGCGTCACGCTACATTCGCTCGCGGGACCAGAACAGTCACACGCCGCGCGACACGACGAGACGCGCCCTCTCTTAGCGAGGCGCGGATTCGACGCTTTGTAACGGAACGCAAAGATTGTTTCATTAACGCGCGCACGCGCGCACGCACCGCGACAACACTAGATTGACTTACTAAATTACAGTATCGGCTAGGTCAGACGTCGTCGCCTCGTTCCCGCGATGGGCGAGGCGGCGGAGGTCCCGGCGGCATGGGCGGCGGCATGGGCGGCGCGAAATAGCTCGGCGCCGCTTGTTGCCACGTCATCCCACCCATCGGCGGCGGCATCATCATCGGCATCACCCCTGGGACGTTCATCGGCACCATCCTCGCCGACCCCACGCTCGGATCGCGGCGAATAAAATCCGGATCGAACGAGTCCGCCCACCGATCCTTCCGCGTCGCCTTCTTCGGCGCGAACGCCCGCGCGCTCGCCGACATCCCCGACCCACCGTTGCCGCGCTCCCGCCCCATCGACGCGTCCGCGCCATCGCCTCTCACGTCCAGCGCGTTCCCATCGTTCCCATCGTTCGTCGTCGTCGTCGTCGTCGTCGTCGTCGTCGTCGTCGTCGTCGTCGTCGTCTCGTCCGCGACGTCGTCGCCTTCGCCTTCGTCCCCGTCGCCAAAGATGCGTTCGCGCGCCAACCTATACGCCTCCTCCCGCGCCGCGACCGTCACCGTCGCGTCCAACTCATCGTTCGTCGCCGTCGCGCGCGCGCGCGCGTCCCCCGCGTCGACCGCATCGCTCGCGCGCGTCGCCTTTTGCTCTCGCGCGCGCAGCACCTTTCTCACCACCTTCACCGTCTCGTTCGTCGCCATCGCGCCGCGCCGTCGCGTCGCCGTCGCGCGGTCCCGTCGTCGCCGTCGCGTTCGACGCCGCGCGCGCTCGAGGACGCGCGCGCGCGCGGCGGCGTCGAGTGCGGCGTCGGATTCGAACGCGCGCGCTACAATACGCGACGAGAGTCTAAGATTCGTCGACCGCGCCGCGCGCGTCCTCGCGCGCGTCGACCGCGCCGCGCCCGAGCGCGCGCGCCGCGCCGATCGACGCGTCAAAATTATTCCCGGCGCGCGCGCGCGTTCGAGCGCGCGAGACGGCGCGACGACGACGCGCGCGGTCGATCTTCGTGAACTCGCGCGCGGTCGACGTCGAAGCGGCGCGGGCCGTCGTCAGACCCGCGCGCGCGCGTCGACGCGTCGATCGGGAACGGCGCGCCGCGGTGCGCTCGGGAGAATTACGCGCTCGATGACGACCGCGATTTCGGCGCGCGCGCTCGCCGTCGTCGCCGCGAGGGCGACGCGAACGGCGCGCGGGGCTCGAGGCCAAGCGGCGGCGCGGCGATGCGCGACGGATCGACGCGGCGGCGCGACGGCGCGCGATCGACGCGCGACGTTCGGGACGCGAATGATGTCGCGCGGCGCGACGCCGCGAGCGGTGACGACCGAGGACGAGGTCGAGGCGGACTCGCGACGGGAGGCGCGGGAGAGCGCGGTGGGCGCGGCGCCGCCGCACGAAGTCTCCGAGGAAAAGGAGTACGACGTGTTCCGGGACTCGCTGCTGCGGTACATGGGGTACGCGAATGAGTGCGGTGAAGCGTTCGTGGCGTGGTTGCCGGTTTGGGGCGTGCCGGCGACGTATGGAATCGCGGCGACGTACGTGCTGGCGGACACAGTGGATAAGGGCGTCAAGCGCTGGAACAAGGCGGAGGGGGCGAGCGATCGCGCGAACCAAGCCGCGGCGGTGGCGACGGAAACCCTGACTTGGCAAATGCTCGCGAGCGTGTTTTGGCCGGGATCGTTCATTCGCGTCGTCGTGGCGACGACGAATTTGGCGTTGGCGAAGGCGGACGTGAGCGCGTTCGACTCGCTCGCGGCGCAGGGACTCGACGTCGAACGCATCTTGCCCACGTTGTTGGGATTGGCGGCGATTCCGTTCATCGTGAAGCCGATCGATACGACGATCGATGCGGCGGCGGAGATTTCGTTCGCCAAGGCGCTCCGAGGCGAGATGAAGAACGCCTCCGAGTGGGCCGTCGGGGCCGGCGTCGTCGGCGCGTGCCTGGCCGTGCCGCCGGTGTTGTTCGGGCTCGCGGAGACGATCTCCAACGCGGCGCAGTAGACGATATCGTTTTTCTCATTCATTAGGTTTCATCACCACCACCATGCAACCAGCAGAGCGATTCTTTCGTCACCGTAATGATATCTTTCTACATTCCTTCAACGTTTTCTACAAATTTTCGCTAATTTTTCTACTTTGCGCGCGCGCGTCACGCCAAGACGACGTCTGATTTCTTCCCCGCGGCCGCCTTGCCGGTCTTGATGGTTTCTCCTTCGATTTCTTTCCGTTTGTAATAGTGCGGCGCGATCTCCACGAGCCACTCGGGCTTGATTTCAATTACTTGCCGCATGTATTCCTTGGACGTGTACACGAGCTCAAAGTACACGACCCAGCGCGGAAGCTCCTTCGCGAGCCCGCTCGACGGATGGATGGCCACGGTTTGCGGATTCTTCACCGTTCTATAGCTGCCGTTCTTTTGCAGTTTGGCGGTGTGGTAGAAGAATCCGCTCGTGATGCACTTTTTAATGCCGTCGAGGTCGTTTGTGTTCGACGACGGCTCGATTTCGACGCGCTCGAGGAGCTTTTCGAGCTGTTCTCGAATATCTCGCGCCGTTTTCATCGTCCGCTGCTGCACAAAGTTTTCGTAACACCACGTGACAGAAAAGTCGGCGTCACGCCATGAGTTGTATACGTTTAATAACGCGATGTGATCGCCGACGTTGCCGATGTGAAAGGATTTGTGCGCGTGATCGGCGAGCTGTAGCTTGTCTTTGGGACGATAAAATACCGTGTTTCCGCACGACAGCATGCAGCAAATCGTCATCACTTCATCGCTTACTTTGTACTTGTCACTCGCGCAGAGCGTCTTCGAAAGCATCGGGTCCAGAGGGAACTCAGCCATCTTGCGCCCGAGTTTCGTGAGCTCGCCTCTATCGTTCAACGCGCCGAGGGCGTACAGTTGTTCGAGCGCTCGAAGTAACGTCTCGGCCGGGGGCGGATCCATGAAGTCGAAGTGCATCAAATCGTTGATTCCGAGTGATTTCAACATCAACACCACGTTCCCGAGGTTCGTGCGCTGAATTTCGGGTACGGTGTTCGGGTCGAGTTCGTTTTGGAAACTCCACGCCGTGTATAGACGGAAACACTTTCCCGCCGATGTACGACCGGCGCGACCGGCGCGCTGCAACGCGCTCGCCTGCGATGTGGGGGTGACGACGAGTGACTCCATCCCCGTGCGTGGGTTATAACTCTTTTGCTTGCAAAACCCAGGATCAATCACGTATTTGATGCCGTCAATCGTGAGCGACGTCTCGGCGATGTTCGTCGCCAGGACGACTTTTCGCGATCCCTTGGGCGTGTCCTCGAAAATCTTCGCCTGCATGTCGCTTGGCAGCGATGCGTAAATGGGCGCGATGATAAGCTCGGGAGGTTTCTTCTCCATCTCGTGGATGCGCGTCTTCAACAGTTCCTCACAACTTTCAATCTCCTCTTGACCGGTGCAAAAGACTAAAATGTCGCCCTCGGGTTGGGTGAGATGAATTTGTAACACCGTCACCACGGTGGCGTCCACGTAATCTGCCTCGGGTTGCTGTGTGTAGAGAATATCCACCGGAAATCGACGACCGGGAATTCTGAAAATCGGTGCGAAATCAAAGTACTCGCTAAACTTTTCCGCGTCGAGCGTGGCGGAGGAGATGAGAAGCTTGATCTCCGGTCGGAATCTGGCGATATCCTTGACGAGGCCAAAAAGAACGTCGGTGTGCAGCGTGCGCTCGTGCGCCTCGTCCACCATCATCACCGCATACGACGACAAGTCTGGCTCACCCAAGAATTCGCGCAAGAGCATCCCGTCCGTCATGTACTTGACTCGCGTCTTGTCGTTGGTGCAGTCCTCGAAACGAATGGTGTAGCCAACCTCGTGACCGAGCTTTACGCCCGCTTCCTCCGCGACGCGCGACGCGACGGACATCGCCGCCACTCGTCTCGGCTGCGTACAACCGATTTTTTGCGTCTTGCCACCGAAACCAGCTTCCCACATGTACTGCGGAATTTGCGTCGTCTTGCCCGAACCCGTCTCGCCGACGATGACGACGACTTGGTGATCCTCCACCGCCTTGATGAGAGACTCGCGGTATGGAAAAATCGGAAGCGACTTGCGATCGGCTTCTATCTTGGCCCTTTTCCCGAGTTTTCCCGCCAAAGCGAGCTTGGTGCGTTTCTCTTCGTCCATCTCGCTCTCGCTCTCGCTCTCGCTCTCGCTCTCGCTCTCGCTTCCGCTCGACACGCCGTCGCCCGCCATGATTTCATCCTTGATGAACTTGATTTGATCGTCGTACACCAAGTCGTACTCCTTGACTTCAGATTTCTTATTCTTCGCTCCGAACTGCGCCTGCGCTTGTTTGACTTGATGCGCCTCCCACTGGTCTTGATCCTTGAAAGGATTCGCGTCGTCCTCGGGGTCGGGCTCCTTGTATCGTTGTCTCGCCACCGCGAACCGTTCGTTCGTGGACTTCGGCTTGTTCGGATCGTCGTACGCCGTGGGTATAGAGTAACGCTCCTCTAAGGCGTCGTTAATGCTATTGATTTGCTCCATCGCGAGCTCGTAAACCTTCTTCCTCTTTTCTAAATCCTTGCGCTGCTCCTCCGTCACGTCTTGGCCTTCGTAAAAGTACTCCGTCTCTTTGATCGATTCTTTCAGCTCCTCGAGCTTTTGAAGCTCGCGTTTCTTCAAGTACTCTTGCCGCGATACCTTTCTGAGTTCGGGCACTAAATCTGTGCGCTGTTCATCCGTCTCCAAATGCGCGCCTCGACGCTCGGCTTCCGCGCGCTCCGCCTCCGTCGGTCCTCGATCGCCGCTCAACTTTTTCGTCTTCGCCTCATCCTTCGCCCGCAGGCGTTGTTCAAACTCATCGCGCTCTCGCAAATCTTCCTCCATCTCTCGCGCCTTCCTCGTCTCTTCGTCTTCCTCCGACGCCGACGGCGCCTCGTACGATTCGTCTTCGCGTTCCCCCGCGAGCGCTCGCCGACGCGTCTCCACCGCCTCCGCGTCCTCCTCGCTCTCGCTCGCCCCCTCGCCCTTCCCTCGTTTCTTCCTCATCTTTTTCGCTCGTTTCGTCGCCCTTCGCTTCGCTCTGTCGTCCTCCTCGCGTTCGCGTTCGCGCTCGCTCTCGCTCTCCTCCGCCAACAACTCGTACGTCGCCGCCGCGCGCGTCGCCGTCCAATCATCCCTCGTCGCCGCCCTCGCGACGCCCGTCGACGCCGCGGCGCCTCCGCGCGCGTCCGCCGCGCTCCCTTTCGCGTCGTCGGACGCGCTCGCGCACACCGCGCGCGCGAACGCGCGCGTCTTTTCGTCGTCGGGACATCCGCACTCGATCAGCGCCGCCTCGAGCGCGCGCGCGTCGCCGCCGCTCTCTCGCGCCTTGTCCAGCACGAACGCCTCGAGCGCGCTCGCGGTGTACCCGAGGAGGTCGTGCAGGCCGTCGCGGACGACGACCGCGGCGCGGGACGCCGCCATCGTCGCGACGCGTCGACGAGTGCGGCGCCGCGCCCTCGACGTCGCGACTCGGCGACGCGGCGCGCGAACGGGACGCGCGCGAACGGCGACGGCGCGCGCGATGCGAAGCGCGCGCGCGCGCGGCGCGCTCCGGGGCCCGAGCGCGCGACGCGCGGCGCGACGCGCGACGACGAAGGCGCGAACGACGCGCGCGCCCTCGCGCGCGACGAAGGCGGACGTCGACGGCATGCGCGACGCGCTCGAGCGCGCGCGCGCGACGCCGCTGGAGATCATGGATAAGGCGCTGGAAACGCACGGCGACGGGCTGGCGATCGCGTTCAGCGGGGCGGAGGACGTGGCGGTGATTCAGTACGCGGCGCTCACGGGGCGGCCGTATCGCGTCTTCTCGCTCGACACGGGGCGGTTGAATCCGGAGACGTACGAGCTGTTCGATAAGGTTGAGAAACATTTTGACATAAAGATTGAGTATTGCTTTCCCGAGAGCGAGGCGGTGAAGGCGCTGGTGAACGAGAAGGGGATGTTTTCGTTTTACGAGGACGGACACAAGGAGTGCTGCGGCGTGCGCAAGGTGAAGCCTTTGCGGGCGAAGCTGGCGACGCTCACGGCGTGGGTGACGGGGCAGCGGAAGGATCAGAGCCCCGGTACGCGAAACGCGGTGCCGGCGTGCCAGATCGATCCCGTGTTCGAGGGCGCGGCCGGGGGCGCGGGAAGTTTGGTCAAGTTTAACCCGCTCACGGACGCGACGTCGCAAGAGGTGTGGGATTTCTTGCGCGTCATGGGCACGCCCGTGAACGCGTTGCACGAGCGTGGGTACGTCTCGATCGGATGCGCGCCGTGCACGCGGGCCGTGCTTCCGGGACAGCAAGAGCGCGAAGGACGGTGGTGGTGGGAAGACGCGAGCGACAAGGAGTGCGGCTTGCACAGCGGCAACTTGACGGCGGAGGAAAAGGCGAAGCAAGACGATCGCGAGGCGACGGAAGAAGACATTTTTGAGCACGACTCGATTCGAAACTTGTCTCGAGACGACATCGCCGCGTTGAAGGACGAAAAGACGCACGGCGAGACCACTCTGGCGGTGCTGTACGCGCCGTGGTGTCCGTTTTGTCAGCGCATGGTGAGCGGTTTCGAAACCGCCGCCGAGCGTCTCGGGCCGAAGGGCGTGAAATTCGCCAAGTTCCGCGCCGATCGCGACGAAAAGGAGTGGTCGCAAGAAAACTTGTCGATGAAATCGTTCCCGACGCTCTTGCTCTTCCCGAAAGGCCGCTCGGGGTACGTCAAGCTCGGCTCGGAGCGCCGAGACCCGGACAGCTTGGAAATTTTCATCGAGTCCATCACGGGCAAGCTCTGAGCGAACGGGCGCGAACGAATCACGAGTTATTTTTTAATAACACAACTCCCAAGTCCTCCTCGTCGTCGAACGCGGTCGTCGAACGCGCGTCCCGCAGTGCGCGCCTCTCGCCCGAAAGCGCTCGCCGCCATGGGTCTCACCGCGAGCTCGCTCAATCTCACGCAGTACGACATCGAGGACGTTCAGCAACACTGCGGCGGTAAATTCACCTCGCGCGAGATCCAAGCGCTGTATCAGCGCTTCCGCGCGCTCGACAAGAAGCACAAAGGATTCATCACGGAGGACGAACTCATGGCGATTCCCGAGCTCGCCATCTCCCCGCTCGCGCCGAGAATCGTGCAGATGTTCCAAAACCAAAACTTTAAAGACTTTGTGCGCATGATCAGCGCTCTGAGCTCCAAGGCGACGCGAGAGGAGCGATTGAGATTTATGTTTCATTGCTACGACGTCGATCGAGACGGCGTCGTGTCGAGGAGCGACTTAGAAACCATCACGAGACACCTGGTCGGAAGCTCGATTTCGCAGGAAGACTTCGATCAATTGATCTCTAAAGCGTTCGGGGAGCTGCGAAAGATGCGAGGGGGCGAGGAAGACGCGGGAGGGGTGACGTTCGAGGAGTTCGCGGCGCTGCTCGCGCGCGTCGACACGCTCCCCGCGGTCAAGGTTCCCTTGGAAGACGATTGACGGAAGACGGAACGAGCCCGTCCGTGGTTTTAGACGACGACGCGCGATTGTAATCCTAGTTAGCCGCGCGTGCGTTTTCGGACGCCTCACACCTCGACCCATGGCGCCCGTCGCGCGCGCGCCGCCCGTCGCGGTGACGCCGCGACGCCGCGTCGCGTGCGCTGGAACGCGAGCTCGGGACTCGAGCGACGCCGTCGGCGACGTCGCCCGCCGCGCGTGTTTGCTGTTCGCCCCGTCCGTCGCCGCGGCGCTGGGACGCCGCGCGGCTTTCGCGGACGAAGCGTCGGTGAAAATAGTGCGCGACGTCGCGGGATTCGGCGCCAAGGAGGCGACGAGCAAGAGCTTGGTGTTGGTCAAGTACGAGGGCACGCTGGCGAGCGACGGCGCGGTGTTCGACACCACCCTGGGCGGGCGAGTGTACGCGACGAGCTCCTCGGGCGTGGGCTCGGTGAGCATAGCGCCCGCGGCGGCGAGACCGGTGGTCGTCAATCTGAGCTCGGACGCCCCGGTGCCCGGGGTGCCCGAGGGCTTGCGCTTGGGCATACGCGGCATGCGCGTCGGCGGTACGAGAACGTTCGAGGTGCCGCCCGAGTTGGGATTCGGGTCGGCGGCGGCGCGGTCGCCGTACGCGACGATTCCCGCGAACAGCGCGTTGAAATACGAAGTGACGCTGTTGCGTCTCAGCGACACCGGACCGGACGCGTTGTACGCCGGCATCTCGCGATGCGGTCTCGGCGGCGCGTCGCAGATGAGCGACGGGTGCGCGAGCGTCGAGCCCATGGAATAGCGAACCGAACCTCGCGACGTAGCAGCGCGCGCCGCGGTTGTAACCACGACGGTATTGATCAACTGTGGAGATGCAATAAATAAAAAAATGTGTAAAATATTGGGAAAAAAGAAGAGTTATACGTGATCGAGCAGCGGACGCCCTGGAAACTCTGGCAGTCGAAAAAAAGCCGAACAAGAGACAGCGAACGCTCGCTTGCGACGCGTCGGGATGAAAGGATTTGAGTCGTTTGAGGCGTATCGCGACGCGTTCGCGCAAGCGACGCTTGACATCGCCGCGCTTCCCGAAGGTAAAAAGTTAACAGGTGCGCGACAAATCGTGATCCTGCCAGGGATCGAACCTGGAATCTCCGGTTTGCGACTCGAACGGCTCGTTCGACGGAGTGTTGTGTGTGCGTTTCGGCACTCATGGCTCTAAATCACGGTAAAGTACCGTGACTACAACCGTAGACCGGCGCCTTATCCATTGGGCCACAGGACCTTCGTACTTAACGTTCGGTGAACGCTACATACCGGGAAAACTGAAAACACGATCGACCCCACCCCGATCGACTGTCTAGCGTCAATGTTATGGGCGACGCGCGTGTTCGCGTGTTCGCGTGTTCGGGATTCCGGCGCGCGACGTTCCGGCGTTCCGCGTCACGACGCGTCACGACGCGACCTTCGACGCCCTCCTCGCGATGGCGTCCGACGACGAAGCGCGCGATGACGACGATTTCGACGTCCTCGCCGCGGCCGGGAGCTCCGACGACGACGCCGACGCCGACGATTTCGACGATGGGTACGGATCAGATTTGATGGGCGACGCCGCCGATCGCGCGCGCCTCGCGTCGTTGAACGAACTCGAGCGGGAAGAGATCATGCTCGAACGCGCGGACGCGCGAAAGAGGCTGGAATCGCGACGCGCGATCATCGCGGCGGCGCGATCGAAGGAATTGGAGCTGGCTCGGAAGAAGACGGGGGCGCGGGCGATTTCGAGTAAACAGCGGGACGAGTTAGAGGCGCTCGAACGCATCGCGGAGGCGAAGAAACGAAAAGAACGCAGTCGACGCGTGTTCGGTGATCTGAGCGAGGACGAGGAAGAATTTGGCGGGGCAGCCTCCGAATCGGAAGACAAAGAAAGGGTCGCGAGACCTCGGCGGAAGAAACGCGAAACCCGAGCGGACGTCGATCTTGAGGCTGAATACGCGTCGTCCGACGTTCCGGCGACGCGCGATGAGATCGCGTCGGTGACGGTGAAGAGACATCAGCTCGAGCAGTGGGTGAACGAACCGTACTTTGAAGCCGCGGTGACGAATTGTTTGACGCGCGTCGGCATAGGACTCAACAAGGAAGGGCAAAACGTCTATCGCCTCGTCGAGATCGCGGGCGTCGCGGACGGCAAGTACAAGCAATACTCGCTCAAAAAGTACGAGTACTTGGCCAACAAACCGCCGACGCAAAAGTGGTTGATTTTGCGCTGGGGAAAGTCTGAAAAGACGTTTCGACTGAGCGAGGTTTCAAACTCCGACGTGCAAGACGCCGAGTGGAAAGCCTGGGTGGCGCACTGCGCGCAGGCGGGGTGCACCCCCATCACCGCGCGCGATGTGAAGAAGTGTCTTCAAGGGTTGGAAGAGGCGAAAAATTACCGATACACGAGCGACGACGTGACGAAGATTCTCGCGGAGAAGCGCGAAAAGCAAGGGACGCGTCACAACTTATTGTTTGAAAAGGAGCAAATCAAGGCGGCGATCGCGCACGCCGAGGCGGAAAACGATTTAGATAAAGTTGAAGAGCTTCGTCAACGTTTCGACGAGGTCGATCGAGAGATAAAGGACAAATTGCAGCAGAGAAGCGGGTCGACGCAGGACGCCCTCGCGAACATCAACCGCCGCAACGAAATCCAAAACAGCGAAAAGCTCTCGAAGCGAGCGTCCGAGCAAGTGGCGAAACTCAAGGCGGGCGTGTTGAACACGGGCTCAGGCGATCCATTCAGTCGTCGCCCGACGCGTTTGACGACGTATTGGGACATGGGCGCGGGCGCCGCCGAGCGATCGGCGACGGCGGCGGAAGAAGAAGAAGCCGCGGCGGCGACCGCCGCGGCGCTGGCGACCGATGGTGGAGACGAAGAAGACGACATCTTTCTCACCGCGGGTGTGGACGCGCAGCAAAGCGAAAAAGAACTCGTAGACGTGCTTCAGCAGGCGCACCGCGAAACCGTCGGCTCGCTCAACATCGATCTCAGTCGACTCGACGCGCCCGCGGACGCGGACGCCCTCAGGCTCAAGACGACGAAGAGTGTGCTCGATCGCGGTGCCGTACTTTTGAAATCCGCCTACGACGCTCAACGCGCCGAGCAGCTCGCGACGCAACCGCCCGGTAAGGCTTTCACCGTCGCCGAATACTTGGCCGAATTCGTGGCGCCGACGTGAGCGACCGAACGACGCAACCTTGTAGTGACGAATTTACACAATCTAGTAGCTATACCCGAATAACGATCCCTCTAACTCCGCAGCGGCGGCGACACCAGCGTCACCGCGTCGCCTCTGATGAACAAGAAGGGCACACTTCTCTTCGTCGTCTTCGTAAACTCCTCGAACGTCTCTTCGTCCGTCTCCGTGCTCGTGATCACTTCCTCCACGTCACCGAGGATCATGTTCAAGTGTTGATCGTACGCCTGCGCGCGAAACCACGGCGAAGAGTCGTCAGTCGTCGGTCGAGCGATCGCTCGTTCGATTCGCGATCGCGTCGCGTCGATTCGCGGCGACGACGCACGTGTAAGCGCCCTCTGGCCTCTCTGTCGCCGCGCAGCTTGACGTAAACCTTCTCGTCGAGGGCGAGGCGGATCAGGTCCAAGGGCTCGCGCACGGCGGCGTCTTCCTCGGCGGCGGACATGGCCAGGGAGGCGCGAAGTGGCGACGGCGCGAGGCGCGAACGCGGACGCGGACGCGGAGCGAATCGAATCGCGAGCGTGCACGGCGCGTGACGACCGGCGCGCGGAACGGACTAAGATTATGATACAAACGCGCGCGACCGTTCGAGGGCTAGAACGCGTCGACGTGAATCTCGCGCGCGACGGCGCGAGGGCGCGACGAGGCGAAATCGACGTCCAAGTCGAGCCACGCGCGCCAATCGTCCACGTCGTCGGCCGCGCGCGGCGAGCCGCGCTGTTCGACCCACTTGGGATCGTACGAGGATTCGTCCGCGGCGTACGGCCAGTGCGGGCTGAGCGTCACCGTGCGACCGACGATGAGGAGCGTCGGCGACACGAGCTCGCACGCCGCCGCGGCTTCGGGTAGGTGCTCGATGGAGCTAAACACTCGACGTTCGTCCACGGTCGTGCCGCGCTCGATCGCCACCGCGGGCATATCGGCCGGAAATCCGCTCGCGATGAGCTTTTCGCTGAGCTTCGGGAGCGTGCCCAGACCCATGTAGACGACGAGCGTCGTCTCGACGTCGGCGCTCGTCACCGCGAAATCCACCGGATCGCTCGCCGCGCCCGTGGCGTCCTCGCGCGACCCCGCGCCCTCGCGCAGATGTCCGGTCAACAACCGCACCGACGTCGCCACCCCGCGGTGCGTGAGCGGTATGCCGAGCTCGCTCCCGACGCCCGCCGCCGCGGTGATTCCCGGAACCACCTCCACGCGCACGTTCGGATTGTGCTCGCGCAGGAACTCGAACTCCTCCCCGCCGCGCCCGAACACCAGCGGATCCCCGCCCTTCAACCGCAGGATCGTCGCCCCGGCGTCCGCGAACGCCGCCAGCAGTTCGTGTATCTCCTCCTGCGTCCGCGTGTGGTACCCCGCTCGCTTCCCCACGTACACCATCCGCGCCTCCGCGCGCGCGAGATTCAGGATCTCGTTCGACACCAATCGATCGTACAGCACCACGTCCGCGGTCTGCATGAGCTGATACGCGCGAAGCGTGAGCAAGCCCGGGTCGCCCGGTCCGACGCCCACCAGGCACACCCTCGCCGCGCGCGCGTCGTCGCGCGTCGTCGCGCTCGACGCCCTCGCGCGCCCTCGCGCGCGCAGCAGCTCGAGCGCGTCGAGCGCGTCGTCCGCCGCCGCGTCGCCGCCGCCGTCGGCGCGCGCGGCGGCGCGCGCGCGTCGATTCGAGTCGTCGCCGCCGAATCGTCGCGCGGCGGCGAATCGTCGCGCCGTCGCGCGCGACGCCGCGCGCGGGGCGGACCGAGACGGCGCGCGCGGCGTCGGCGTCGTCGCCGTCGCGAGCACCATCGCGCGAGACGGCGCGCGACGCGGTGCGGCGACGAGATGTGGCGCGCGTGTCGACCCGTCGAAAGCGTCGCGAAGGGTCGCTGTGGCTCATTTTTTTACACAAAGGTGATTTGCGCGAACAAATCGACGCGCGAGAACGCTTCACTTGGTGTAATACTTGAGGGTGCGGTCGAAACCGCTGAGGATGAGGGCGTCGCCGGCGACGTCGACGGCGGTGAGCTTGCCCGCGGCGCCGTCGCCGATCTTCTTGTGCGGGGCGAAGTCGCGCGCGGAGTAGACGACGACGGAACCGTCGTAGCTGGAACTGGTGAAGAAGGCGCCGTTGGATGAGGTTTTTTCGTACCTGACGCAAGAGACCAGGGCGGAGTGCGCGGCGTTGGTGTACGCGCACTCGGCGGATTTGCGCAAGTCCCACGACTTGACGGTGCGGTCGTCGCCGCCGGTGACGACGTGGTAGCCGTTGGGAGAAAAGTCCACGGAGAGGATTTGCTTGACGTGACCGCGTAAGACGGCGATGGATTTGCCGATGCGCAGATCCCACACGCGCCCGACGGCGTCTAAGCCCACGGACGCGGCGAGCGAACCGTCGGGGTGGAACGCGACGTCGTACACCTCCTTGGCGTGGCCCTCTTGACACAACAACTCTTCCCCGGTCTCCGCGCTCCAAAGCCGCCACGTGGCGTCGAAGGACGCGGTGGCGACGTACTTTCCCCCGTGTGGATGAAACGCCACGCGCCCGCATCGAGAGGCGTGGCCTTTCAACTCCGCCGCGCGACTTCCGTCGGCGTTCCAAATCGCCGCAGAGCCGTCGGCGTGCCCGGTGACGATGCGCGCGCGACCGTCGCCCGCGTCGAACGCGTCGATTCCAGTGATTCGATGATCACTCGCTCGAATGACGAGCTCGGAGGTCAATTTTCCTCCCTCTACGTCGCACGCCCACTTGCGCGCCTCCCCGCTCCAACTCGCGCTCACCGCGTTTCTCCCTCCGTTATAAAACTTCACCTCACAGATCGGTCGCGACGCGTCGCCGATCTCGCTGCACTGCGCCTGGAACCCCGACGTCGACGCCACCACCGCATCGATCGTCGCCCGTTCGTCTTTTCTCCCTCCCTTACCTCTCGCCTCGCGTTGCGTCGCCACGCGCTTCGCCGCCCGCGGCAGCGACCACTCCGCGATGTCTATTCGGCACTCCAGCAACCGTTCCGTGCCTTCGGTGTAAAACGTCTCCTTCTGCGTCGCGTGCGCGTTATATTCTCCCTCGTCGACGATCGTGGCGCCGTATTTATCCGTCGCCGTTCGCGTCCCCGCGCCGTCGTCGAGTTCGCCGCCGTCTCGCGCGTCCAACGACGCCAACAGCGCGCGCAATCGATCCCTCCGCTCGCTCTCTCGCTCGCCGAACAGCGTGATCGGCTCGCGGTACTTTCGCAGCATCGCGCGCACGTCCGCATCGTGCGTCGGCGCGTGCGTCGCGCGCAAACGTCGTCGCGACTCGAATTCGCGCACCAGCTCCTCGCGCTGTTTCCGCGCGATTTCCGCCGCGCCGCGCAGTTCGACGTCCTCGGCGTCCGTCATCGCGCGTCGAGCGTCGCGTTCGCGCTCGCGCGCGCGCGCCACGGCGCGAGCGGCGCGTCCCGGCGACGGCGCGCGCGGCGCGATGTGCCGATTCGACGTTCGCCGGGTCGCGCCGTCGCCGCATTTCGCGCCCGCGCGCGCGCGCGACGCGTCATGGAGCCGCGCACCGCGGTCGAGGACGAAGCTAACGCGATGCGCGAGCGCGAGGACGCGCTTCTGGCGATTCGCGAGGCGCTGTCGGGGCGCACGCGCGAGGTTTTTGACGCCGCCGCCGCGGACGAGGACGACGAAAACGACGAAAACGACGGCTGGACGGCGCACGACGAGGCGCGCGACGACGACGAGGCGTACGACGACGACGTGAACGATCGCTTAGACGCGCTGGACGCGCTGGATGACATGCGCGCGCACAGGGGGGAGGCGTCGACGCGGGACGCGCGCGCGGCGCCGGGGTCGGCGGCGGCGAAGCTCACGCGAGCGAACGTGGCGAGGCCGAACGCGAACGGGGGGGCGGGGAACAGGACGCGCGCGGTGACGTTCGCTGGAGGGAAAGGGAAAAGCGCGAACGGCGGCGACGCGGGCGCGGGCGCGGGCGCGAGGACGACGAGGACGACGCGCGCGGAGACCAAGGTGACGAACGCGATGAAAGAGGCGAGACGGAAGGAGGATAAATCGATGTCGTTGAATAAGGATAAGGAAGACCGCGCGACGGTGGAGCAAGCGTTGGATCCGCGGACGATGTTGATTTTGTTCAAGATGCTGTCCAGGGAGACGTTCACGGAGATTCACGGATGCGTGTCGACGGGGAAGGAGGCGAACGTGTATCACGCGCGAAAAGACGTCGTCGTCGGGGAAACTGGCGCGAGAGAAGTGACGGACTTCGCGGTCAAGGTGTATAAGACGTCAATTTTAGTGTTCAAGGATCGCGATAGATACGTCAGCGGGGATTGGAGATGGCGGAATGGGTATTCAAAGAAGAATCCGCGGAAAATGGTGCAGACGTGGGCGGAGAAGGAGATGCGGAACTTGATTCGGTTGAAGGAGGCGGGCTTGCGCGTGCCCGCGGTGGAGATGCTTCGCTCGCACGTCTTGGTGATGGAATTCATCGGGAACGATGGCATCGCCGCGCCGCGATTGCGAGATGCGGACATATCAGTCAAGAAGATGCGTTCGTTATTCACCGAACTCATCGTCGACGTGCGCATGATGTACCAAAAGTGTCGTCTCGTGCACGCGGATCTGAGCGAGTACAACTTGTTGTTTCACGACGGACACATTTGGATCATCGACGTCTCGCAAAGCGTCGATCAGGACCACCCGCGGTGCTTGGAGTTCCTGCGCGAAGATTTGCTTCACGTGATTCAATACTTCGCCAAGCAAGACGTCGCCGTGCCGACGGTTCGCGAATTGTTCGACTTTGTCACCGACCCGGCGATCAACGATGACAACATGGAGGCCGTGCTCGAGGCGCTGAGTGAGTCCGCGGAGGAGCACGCGGTTGAACTCAAGCGCGTAAACGCCCAGCTCAACGCGCTGAACTCGGCCGATCCCGACTCCCAGTTCGACGACGAGATGATGGAACGCCGCGCCGAGGCTGAGATTCAAGCCAACGTGTTCCATCAGGCGTTTATTCCGCGCGCTCTGGACGAAGTCGATCTGTTTGAGCGCGATCAAAAGCGCTTGATTCAAGGCAAAGGAGAGAGCGAAGGAATTTATTATCAAACCATCACAGGCATGGCGGACGATTTGAGCAGCGTGCGCACGACGCCGACGCTGTTGATGACGAAGAAACTCGACGTCGTGGACGAGGACGAAGACGAGGAGGACGAAAACGACGACGAATCGGGCGATTTTGACAGCGAAGACGGATCGGACTCCGACGAGGATTCCGAGAATGGCGGGGGCAGACGGAGATTCCCCAAGGAAGTCGTGGACAAGGACGCCGTCAAGGCGGAACGAAAGGCGGCGGCCAAGTTGCAGAAGCAAGCGGCGGCGGAGAAGCGCAAGACGAAAATTCCGAAGAAAGTGAAGAAGGCGAAAACGAAAAAGAAATAGCAACACATTCAATAGCAAGAAATAAGATAGCGACAACGAGAAGGATAAACTAGAGTTTGCAAGCGGCGACGTAGTCTTCCGGCACGCGCGTCTTCACGTACGCCTTGAAGTCCGCGTACGAGGTCAATCCATCGCGTTCGCGCGATTTCGGCGTCAACGCCATAGGCTCGCCGTTATACACCGCGCGCACGCCGACGGATCCATCCTTCATGCGCCACGTCTCGAAAATCAACGAACTTCCCGTAGGCGGCCACGTCGTGAGCGTCGATCCGAGCGTCCCGAGCGCGGAGAAGAGCGCCATGATCGTCGAATCATGACCCGCGTAAAGACTTAGCTTGACTTTTCCGCCGTGTTCGCCCATTTCTTCGCAAATTTCACGGAGCAGTTGCGTACCCATGATGCCGTTCGCGAGCGGGCTCGTGAACGTCGCGAAATGTCTGTCCTCCATCATCGTCAACAAAGACCGCACTTGATCTTTCGTCACGCCGCGCGGCAGGGGCAAATCGTGATTGATGCGACATTGCAGTGGGTCCCATACTTCCAGCAACCCCGCCTTTTTCTCCCGCGCCGTTTCGATCGACTCGCGCAAGCGAGCCAACGTCTCGTCGTGCGTAAACTTTTCGTCGTTCGACGCCATCGCGCCTCGAAATACCTCACTCAGCCTATCGCACGCCGATCCCGGTTTCGGAAACATCGTCTCTCGCTCTTTCTCTCGAACCTCGATGATCAAAGGCGAGCCTCCACCACCGTTTTCCCACGCATCCGGCCATCCGCCCGCGAGCGCGTTCGCCGCGCTCGCCACGCACCTCGACGCCGCCGTCGACCGCACCTTCACCTCTCCTTTCGCCACCGCGCGCGCGAAATCGTTCGACAAAAACTCTTGCGCGATCAACCACTCTCGTATGATCTCTCGTCCGAACGCTCGCATCTGCGTCGCGCCTCGCGTCGTCAGCCGTCCCTCCCAACCGCCGGCGCCTCGCGGGACGCACGTCGCCTCCATCTCCGACCGCACGCGCGCGAGCCGACGCAGCCGCTCTTCGTCCGCCGCGGACGGCAGTAATCGTCGCCACGTCTCTTCGAGGTCCTCGAGTCCGGCGCCGAGGCCGGCGATGGGCGTGCGGTCGCCGTGTCTGAAGACGGCTTGGACGAGCAGGAGCTCGCGCGCGTCGTGGGGCGGCGCGCGCGCGACGCGTCGCGCGTCGTCGCGCGCGCGCGCGTGCGAGACGAGCGGCATCGTCGCGGTCGCGGCCGCGGCGCCGGTGAGGGCGAGGGCGCGCGCGCGGGCGAACATGCGAGGCGCGCTGTGCGGCGCGAGACGCGCGAGGCGGCGCTTTACGGAGGCGACGGACGCCGCGGCGGATGTTTCACGCGGAGCGTCGATTCAGGGACGATGAAACGCTCGTAGTTCTATGTCTATGTTCTACTTTCAGTCCTTCGAGGCGCCATCGGTCGTGATGGCGCGTCTAATGTGTACGTCTAATGTCGCGTCGAGCAAATCGTCGACGCGAGGCGACTTCGCCACTTCACGCGACTTTCTTCGGCAGCGACGCGCGAGGAAGACGGAGCGTCTCCGCGCAGTGAACGACGGCGCCGGCGATGTGGATGAGACCGACGTTGCCCGGTGCGGCGGCGCCGGCGGCGAGACACCACGCGACTTGACGTGCGCGCGACGCGCCCGACGACTGATCGCGAGCGATGGCGCCGAAACGCGTCGACGCCGCGGCGAAGCAGAGCGCGACGGCGTCCATCGCACCGAACGGCGGCACCAATGCGTGAAAACCATACGTCGGTAAGGTGCGAAGAACGTGGTGCGCCCACGCGATGAGAGATGGGACGTGCGCGAGCACCATGCACGTCGTCAACGCGCGTCTGACGTCGCCGCGAACGTCGAACGCGCGATTCGCTATCCACCCACTCGCGACGTAGACCGCGAGCGACGCGATCACGGATTCCACGACGCGCTCACGAAGTATGCTCGGTGATGCTGCGTGTGCGATGAGCGCGAACGCGAAGGCGCTCATCACCGACCGCGGCGCTAATACGTTGGCGACGACGCCCGCCAGAGCGCTCGGCGTGCGCTCTTGCGTCGCCTCGTACGCTCGCGCGGGCACCCCGAAAGTCGGTGACGGCGCGCGCGCCGCGTCTTTATCACCAAGTGCGTCGCGAAACGCGCGCGCGCGCTGGTGCGCGGTGAGAACCTTCGATCGTGGAAACGCCTCGGCGAATCCACGCGAGATCGCGACGATTAACTGTTTGCACCAAGCCGCGCATCGATGATCCGCCGACACGCCCACCCGCGACGCCGTGCTCGCGCTCGCGCTCACACCGAGCCCTTCTTCTACCCAATCATCGACAAAACCCATCGGGCTCGAGCTCACCTGCCGATCGCGCTCGCCACCGACGACGCTGACGAGCGCCACGCTCCGTCTCGCGTCGCTCGTTCGCCAACGTCGCCGCACGCCCGCCTCTCGCGCGCGCTGCGTCAACGTCAGACTCACCGGATTCCACGCGCTCGGCGTCGCTAGATTCACTATCGTCAGCCCTAACTCACTTCCCAGAGCGCTCGCCGCGGCTTCCATCGCCGCCAATCCTCCCGCGCTGTGTCCCACGACGCTCCATCCCGCCACGACGCGTCTTTCCGTCCTCGCGCGCTCGAGCGTCCTCAACCCATCCAGCGCCCGCGCCACGCTTTTCGCCTGTCTCGCGAGTAGCATTCCATTATACGCGCTCAGTTCTTCCGCGAAATCCAGGGCGTAGTGCTCGACGCGGCATCCTTCGCTCTCGAGCGTCCCGCTCGCCGCGCTTCGCGCTTGCCCGTAACCGCCCCCCGTCCCCGGGACGAAGACGTTGATCACCACGCACGCGCTCGCGTCGCCGCTCGCGCGCGCGCGATCGTCGACGTCGTCATCGCGCGCGCGCGCGTCGCGGTAGCGATACAGCGCGTGCGCGGGCGACGCCAGCGCGACGTTCGTCACCGGGAAGAAACTCGGGTACATGTAGCTCATGTCGCAGCGGTTTTCGCCGCCGTACGCCGTGGACAGGACGACGCACCACGCCGCGGCGACGGCGACGAGAGCGACGACGCCGGCGACGTCGAACGCGGCGAGGCGCGCGGCGCGCGGGCGAGGCATCGCGCGAGGCGAGGTCTGCGGGACGACGCGGCGAGACGGCGGCGAGACGACGAACGCGCGTTACAAATCCGCGCGCGTCGGCGACCGCGCCGCGAGACGCCGCGCCGCGCGCTCACTTTCTAGATTTTTTCGCCGCGCGCACGGCGTCGGCGGCGGCGCGCTGCGCGCGCGCGCGCGCCTTGGTGGCTTCCCGCACCGCGGCGCGTTCGACGCGCTTCGCCTCGCGCTCGGCGATCTCTCGCTCGCGCGCCTCCGCGCGCGCCCGTCCCTCGGGCCCCCCCAGCCCGCGCAGCAATTCATCGCGGGTCAAATATTTCCCATTCTTCCCGCGAATCCTGTTCTTCGCGTGCGCCGACCGCGACGGATGTTTCGCGTTGACGACGCCCGGCGTCCTCGTCGCGTTCGCCCTCGCGCGCTTCTGCCGCCGCCGCACGATGGCGTCGTACTGCTTCGCGTTCACGTACACCGCCGCGTCCATCGTCGGCAACAGCACGCGCGGATACTGCGCCAACTGCGCGTACGCTCGCGCGACGACGTCTCCCGCGTCGCCCGCGCGTCTCGCGCTCGCCGTCGTCCTCGCGCGCGCGTCCGCCTCCCTCCCCCCCCCCGCGCGCGCTCGCGCCTCTCCGACCCCCGCGAATCCCCCCGTCGTCACCGCGACGCTCCGTCGCGCGTCGCCGCCGTCGCGCGTCGCCGTCGCGCGCGTCGTCGCCGCCGTCGGCAGCCCGAGCACCCCCCCGAACGCGCGCGTCGTCTCGACGTCCGCGCGTCGCGCGTCGCGCGCGTCGCTCGCGGCGCGCGACGTCGACGCCTCGCGCGACGACGCCGCGCGCGTCGTCGCGAATCGCCGCATCGAACGACGCGCGCGACGCGCCGCGCGACGCTCGATCCGTCGACGACGAATCAGAGACGCGGATGGATCGATGGATGAATCGGTATCGCGTCCGCGTCGTGTCGCGTCACGGATCGCGTTACGGATCGCGATCCCGGATCGTCGACGTTTCGAGCGTCGCGCGCGGGCGTCGCGTCGACGAGAGACGCGCGCGGTCGACGGCGACGGGCGATTCCATCCATCCATCCATCCATCCATCCATCCGTCAGAGACGCGCGCGCGGCGTTCGATCGCGCGCGCGCGTTCGATTCGGTGGTTTCGCGCGCCGTTTTATCGTCGCGATCGGCGCGCGGTCGAACGCGAACGATCGATTCGATTCGCCCGCGCGTCGTCGATCGATCGCGAACGAACGATCGATCGACCGTCGATTCGATTCGTTTCCGCGACGGACGGCGCGATATCGACGCGAGGGACGATCTCGGCGAGGCTCGACGTGAGCGCGGTCGTCCCTCGCGAACGGCGCGCGCGGACGCGTGCGCGGACGCGCGAAGCGCGCGCGCGCGATGTCGTACAAGGACATGTCGCGCGGGGGGCCGCTGGAGGTGCGCACGCGGGGGCCGCCGTTCGGAAAGATGCCGCGCGCGGAGCAGGGAATGAAGCGAAGCGATTCGATCGGGATGATTGAAAAGTATTGGAACGATGAGGAGGAGTGGCGAGGGTATCACCCGAACGCGTGCGACGAGGAAAACAAGTTTGTCGACGCGGCGGAGGGGAAACTGTTGACGGTGTTTTTAGACTACGACGGGACGCTGGCGCCAATCGTGCCGGAGCCGGATAAGGCGTTCATGAGCGACGAGATGCGGGAAGCGGTGCGGCAGTGCGCGAAAAGGTTTCCCACGGCGATCATCAGCGGTAGATCGAGGCAGAAGGTGTCGCAGTTCGTAAAGCTGGACGAGTTGTACTACGCCGGGTCGCACGGGTTGGACATCGCGGGGCCGAAGACGACGACGGATGGCGAGCCGATTGAGAAGAAATTGGCGCATCAACCCGCGCAGTGGGCGCGCGACGTGATGGATCGCGTGACGAAGGAGTTGATCGAAAAGTGTGCGGACATTCCGGGGACGAACATCGAGCACAACATGTTTTGCGTCTCGGCGCACTACCGCGCGGTTTCGGAAGAGCTCAGGCCTCGCGTCGAAGCCGTCGTGGATGAGATTTGCGCCTCGGAGGAGTGCTTGATCAAGCACGACGGTAAGATGGTTTGGGAGGTTCGGCCACGCGTGGCGTGGGATAAGGGTAAGGCGCTGTCGTACCTGCGAGACGCCCTGCTCCCAGACTTGAGCGAGAAGGGGTTCAGACCCGAAGACGTCTTCACAATTTACATCGGCGACGACGTCACGGATGAGGACGCGTTTATGGAGATTAACGAAGAATTGGGCGATCACTTGGGCGTGGGACTTCTGGTGTCGAGCTCACCCAAGGTGAGCGCGGCCAAGTTTAGCCTGCGCGACTCGGGTGAAGTATTGCGGTTCCTCACTCGACTCCGCGAGCTCGGCGACGCGGGCACGATCAAAACGCTGCCTTGACTTCGCTTCACCAGACGATTCCACCAGACGATGTTCCACCAACTTTTAGCGCGCGCCCCCTCAAGTCAACTGTAAACAAATCACTTTCCCAATAACATATGACGATGATTACAAACAAACAAATACGCGGCGCTACTTGCTCTTGCTCTTGCTCTTGCTCTTTCCCTTCGCTTTCCGTCGGTTCGCTCGCGCGTCGCCCGAGGACGCCTCGACCGCGAGGGGCGCCAAGTGTTCGATGGCTTCCGTCACATTTTTCTTCTTGCCGATCTTCATCGACGCGTGTTTCGCGAGCGACTTGATTTTATCGAATCCCCCGACCACGGTGTTCTTTACCGCCTCGACGTTCTCCGCGTGCCGCTTGTGCTCCAAGTCGTCTACCTTCTTTTCCAACGCGGCGATTTGCGCTCGCAGCGTCTCCGCCTCGGCTACGGCGCGATTCTTCATGCGTCTACACGCTTCTTCGCGCCATCTCGCGCCTATTTCCAGGGCCTTGGCGTCCGAAACGTCCTTCGCGGCTTCGGCTCGAACCTTCTTGACCAAGTTCACGTGATCGACCGCCATTTGTTTGCACTTCACCTCCTTGACGGAGTTTCGGCGCGTCATCAATTTTTCCGACGCCGCCTGCACGTCGGCGGATTCAGCCTCGGCCAGGGCGAGTTTCTCGCGTAGTTCGACGAGTTGCGCGCGCAGCTTCGTCGCTTCCAACGCCGCGCGAATTTTCGCCGTCGTCATCGCGTTCAAATCCGTGCGAAGCTTCCTCACCGTCGGCTGACGCGCGAACCACGCGACGACGGCTGGGAGGACAAACTTGCCAACCTCGACGACGACGCCCATCGCGTTATCCGTGGCTCTTCCGTCGCTCGACGCTCGAACCGCGGATCGTTTCGACGACGAAGACGACGAAGACGGCGCGGCGCTCGAACGCGATGCCGCCGCGGCGGCTTTCTCAGCCGCCGCCGCTTCCTTCGCCGCGCGCGCCGCCTCCGCCTTCGCCGCGCGCTCAACCTCGCGCGCGGCCCTCTCTGCCTTCACCAACGACTCTTCCGCCCGCATCAACGCCTCCCTCTCCTCCTTCGTCGCGTCTCTCTTCGATCCGCTCGCGCGCAACTCCTCCGCCGCGCGTCGCCGCGCCGTCGCCACCTCGCGCGCGCTCGACGCGACTTCGTTCTCGAACAACACCGCGCTCGATTTCTTCCGCAGCGTCTCGTACGGATTCGGCCCCAACCCCGTGTCACCGTTCGCGTTCCCTTTCCCGCCCTCCCGTCGCGCCGCGTTCCCGCGCGTCGTCGCGCGTCTTCGCTCTCGCGCCGTCGTCGTCTTCTTCCCCCCCGCGCGCGTCCTCGCGTCCCACTCCCCCGTCATCATCCCGAGCGTCGCTCGCGCCGCGTCGTACCGCGACCGCGCCGATCCCGCCGTCGCGCGCGCGGCGAGCGTCACGAGCGACGCGTCCTCGTCGCGCGTCGCGCGCGCCGTCGGCATCGCGCGCGACGATTCGCGATTCGAATCGGAATCAAATCGTTGTCGAAATCAAATCGAGTCGCGGACGCGATCGTCGCGCGGGTCGTTCGCGTCCGGGATGGGAACGCGCGTCGGGACGCGAATCTCCGCGTCGTTCGCGGGAAGCGCGCGCGCCGCGACGCGTCGAGGGCGCGGACGCGAGGCGCGACGATGTGCCGACGCGCGCGCGACGATGTGCCGACGCGCGGTCGGTGGTGTCGCGCGTCGCCGCGCGTACAGAGCGCGTTTCGAACGGTATGAAAGCGATGCGCGCGCGCGCGTGGTATAATGTATACGTCACTGCGTGCCGTACGTATAGACCGGTCGGTCGCCGTGTATACACCACGCGTTTCGAACGGTATGAAAGAGACGCGCGCGCGTGGTATAATGTATACGTCACTGCGTGCCGTACGTATAGACCGGTCGGTCGCCGTGTATACACCACGCGTTTCGAACGGTATGAAAGAGACGCGCGCGCGTGGTATAATGTATACGTCACTGCGTGCCATACGTATAGACCGGTCGGTCGGTCGTGCCGACGATTCGCCGCACACGCCGACGACGATGCGACGCGCGACGGCGGCGACGACGGCGACGACGGCGGCGACGGGACGCGCGCGCGTTTCGCGACGCGCGCGCGCGAGTTTCGCGACGCGATGGACGGCGACGCGACGACGCGCGACGCACGACGCGACGGGACGCGCGACGATTGGGAATCGACGCGGCGGCGGCGCGATGGACGGCGCGCGCGCGGCGCGGGACGACGGCGCGACGAGGGCGACGGGGGAGAAGCGCGAGGAAACGGCGACGCGATGGGACGGCGCGACGACGCGCGCGGACGGCGCGAGGAGGGCGCCGGGGGGGGGGCGCGCGGCGCTGTTGGCGGCGCTCGCGCTCGCGGCGTCGACGGGCGCGCTCGCGACGCCGCGAGCGGCGAACGCGGGAACCGGGGATCGGGTGAAGACGTCGACGGTGGTGGGGAAGCGCGCGGGCGCGATGAGGGCGCTGGATGAGTTTGACGCGCTGCGCGGAAGGGTGCGGAAGACGACGACGGACGCCATGCGGACGAGCCTGCAGACGGTGGGCGATTTCATGGGACGCGTCGAGGCGAAGACGCAAGAGGATTGGCACATCGAAGACGTGTGGGTGCTAGTGGCGTGGAACTGGTGCATCCGTCGAGGACGCGAAAAATTGTTCGAGGCGGCGGAGCGCGCGAAGAACGCGCTCAACCCTTCTCGAACGCCGAAAACGTTTCGAGGGTCGTTTCTGGACTGGTTCAGGCAACCGATGCAGCTCATTCAAGCGCTCTTCGTGTTGAGCTACGCCTTCGACGTCGGTTGCGATATGATCGATCAGTTATCCACGGAATGGGACATTCCGGATAACATAAAGCTCGGCTTCGATAAAGGATCGTACACGTTCGCGACGGGAATTTTGGTCGTGATGGTGATTCAAAACTACGGACCGAGATTACTCGGTAGATTTTTCCCGTCGATACGATACGACGCATCGCTACAACTCGTCATCACGCGTCTCACGAGCGCGTTCGTCGTCGTCGCCACGCTCATGCTCACGCTCGCCGCGTTCGGCATTCCAGCCCAAGTTCTCTTCTCTTTCGGTGGCCTCGGAGGTTTGGCTTTCGGTTTGGCGGCGAAAGATTTCATAAGTAACCTCATCGGAGGCTTGGTGCTCGCCGTGATGCGCCCGTTCAAGGTTGGCGAAAAGATTTATCTCACCGGCGGCGGCGGCAAGTATCGAGATTCAAAGGAAAAAGACGTCAGCAATTATAAAGTGGACGAGATCGGTTGGTATCAAACCAGACTCATCCCCAAGGATGGCAAAGTCACCACCATACCGAACGGTTATTTTCTCGGCGCCAACGTCATCAATACCTCTCGAGAACCGAACGAGTTCGTCGGACCGCAGCTTCGCATAGCGATTCCTGATTACGAAGGCATCCCGGCGCTGACGGAGGAAATCACGACCTTCTTGACGAACCATCCCGACGTGCACGCGTCGTACAAGCCACCGCTTTGCGTGCTCAAGAAGATCGATGTCGACCATCTTTCAGTTCAAATCGAGCTGTTCATGTACGGTGACGCGCATTATGGCAAAAAGATTTGGAAAAAGAAACGCGAACTGGTGCTCATCGATTTACTTCGCATCGTAAAGAAACACTGCCCGAACTCTCCGGCGCTGCCGGTCTCCGAGGTCGACGGCTACGTCAAATAGCAGAATACCACTCAAATAATTGAATACACCAGCGGACGCTTGCGCCGACTATGTATCATCTAAGTCCAGTTTTGTAACAAATATTTGAAGTCCTACGTACGTACTACGCGTACAAGTTTTCCGCGCGAGTCGGCGCCATTCGCGGCTTGAACTCGCACTCCACCGCGCACCCAACGAGTGCGCTCGCGTGCGCCGCCGCCTCTCGTGACGCGCCCACGTCCGCGCCGCCGTGGATCACGCGCACGGGTTCGCTCTCTGGAATCGCAATCACGCGCGCGGCGACGCCGAGCGCCTCGCACGCGCTCGCGATGGCCGCCGCGCCGTTCGATCGCAGCAACAGTCCCACCGGTAACGGTCGCGGCGACGCCGGCCACGCCCCATCGCGATCCATGCGAACTCTAGTTGTATCCAACGCGTACGCCACCACGCGATCGATCGCCCCGAGCGACATCTCCGCCTCGCTCGTCTCGTGTTCCGAACACGACGTCAACGCGAGCACCTTCGTCTCCCCCCCCTCCTCGCACCCACACGCCCGCAGCGTCTCTCGCGCCCACGCCCGCGCGCCGGTCGGCGATATGTCCTTCAGCGTCTCCGCTATCACCACTCGAGGCGCGCCCTCGCCGCTTTCGTACAGCGTCGTCCACGCGTCGTCGCCGTCCTCCGCGCCGAGCGCCGCCTCGCCGCAATCCGCATCCGCGCTCAGCACCGCGCCGTACTTCTTTCCTCGCGTCCCTCGGACGACGGCGCGCGCGATCTCTCGTCCCGCTTCGCTGTCCACGGCGACGACGACGACGCGCGGCGCCGCGCGCGGAGCGCCCTCGCGCGCGTCCGCGACGAAGGCGCGCGCGAGAGATTTCCGCGCGTACGTCCCGCGACGTCCCGCGAGCGCGCGCTCGAGCCGTTCGTCGATGCGCGTGCGCGCGAAATCGTGCCCGTCGTCCCCGAGCTCGAGCGGGGACGTCCACGCGGACATCGCGGCGCCGTCGAATCGCGTCGACGCGCGTCGGTCGTCGCCGGCCGCGCTCGAAACGAAAACCCGTAACTTTGGACGAATCATCGACGCGAGGGCGATAAATTTGAAATTTTATCATTTAGTTGGTATGATGTCGTATAATACGACATAAAGCGCTATCTCGATCCGATGGCGCAGTGGAAGCGCGTCTCCTTTACATCGGCGAACGCCCAGACTCCGGCGCGCGCGCTCGAGTGTGGCGCGTCACCGCGAACGCGGAGAAGGTCGGGGGATCAAAACCCTCTTGGATTATTATTTTTTATCGTTAAGGGATCGGTCGGGGAGGAGGTCACGCGCCTCGCTCGACGAGGCGACGTCGCGAGTTACTTTTTTAGACGATTACAATCGTGCGAGGTGTGATGTCGCGCAGCGCTAATACGTAAAGTCGTCCTGATCGTCGGCTCGACGGCCGACTTTCCCGGGCGTGTGGAAGAGTCTGTCGTCGTCATCGTCGTCGTCGTCGTCGTCGTGGATACCAGCCGCGTCGCCTTCCCAGGTTGGCGGCGGCGGAGAGTCGATCACGATATCTTTGTCGTCGTCGTAATAACCCACAAAGTTGAGCGCGGCCTGTGCGGAACCTTCATCGAAATCATCGAACGCTTCGTTCATATACGAACGAGTTTGACCAAACATGTCCGCGACGGTGGATTGAATATCGCCATCAAAGGCGTCCCAATACCAAGTCATGAAGAAGTTCAGTGCCACGCGTTTGGAACGCAAATTGCGTCGGATCAGCTCGCGATGCGTCTCGCGTTCCTCAACCACCATTCGCCACTGGTGCATCGCCGCCCGAAGCGTCGAGCGGTTCGTGCGCCACAGGACGTTTGCCACGAGTCTGTCTCTGTACGCGTCTTGTTTCGAAGCGCGTTTTCGCTCTTCGAGAGCCTCGACCCAGGCGTAAAAGCAGGCCGTGACGCATCGATTGCGCATGCGACCGACGAATCGAGCAAGAACGGCGCGCTGGCGTCGCAATTCAACCACATTTTCGTTCCATAGCGTGAAACTTTGTGAAAGACGCAAGCGCAGCATGCGGCTGACGATTTTGCGTAGGTTCACCTTGGCGTCGTACGACTCCGCGGCGAACTCGCGCCAGCGCCCGAACGCGTGCGCCATCTGCTCGTTCTTGATACGCGAGAAAACTTTTGTGATGACGGCACGTTTACGCTTTTCGTTTTGCGTCACTTCGAACCACTTGTCAAACGCCGACGCCTTTACGCCGTTGCGCATTCGATCGACGAAACGTCGTAGCAGCAGTAATTGACGCGACTTGGAAGTGACTAACTCTCTCCATTTGTAAAATGCCGATGCCGCGAGACGATTTTGCGAGCGCGATATCACTTTTTGCACCTTCTTTCGGTTTGACTTCGACTTTTGAGCGTTTTCGTGCCACCCGTAGAGGGTTCGCGTGAGCAATCTCATGCGATACCGGGCGATGAACTTGTTCGCCTTTTCACGATTTGAAATCGCGGTAAAAGCCTTGTCGGCCCATCCCGCGAAAGCTTTAGAGAGTTCAAATCGCCGCATGCGCTTGTTCAACACGTTTGCCATCTTTTCGAGGCGATCATCGCGCTTGGATGAGACTTCAGCCCAGGCCGCAAACGCTGCAGCGAGAAGTCGATGCGTCAAACGCGTCTTAAAACGAGTCAATCTTACGCGATCAGCGCTGAGTTTGTCAACGTTTGCAGACCATGTATCGAAATATTTGGCCATGGATGCATTTTTAATCCTCAGACCGACGCGTCGCAGGATCATGAATCGCTTCTTGTTCAACGACGCCGAGTTGCGCCACGAGAATAACGCCTCCTTGACCAAGCGGCGATTGACTCGCCTCTGGAAGCGAGTCACCGTGAGCTCATCCTCCTTACTTTCGCGATGTTTCTTACGCCACGCATGAAGTGTTGCTCGCATCATATCAGTGCGAAGAGGGTAGAGAATCTTGTGCAAGAGGAACTCGGTATTCGTCGAAGCGACGTTGCCGGCGCCGACTTCAACCGTCGTCATGAGTGTTTCTCGCATCCAGCTCACACTTCGCTGATTTTCATCTTCCACCGAATCTAAAACCATCTGCACCTTAGTGTACGAGTTCGAAGTCGAGGACAAGCACGCATACGCGATACCTCCATCGAAAGCAGTGGCGACCAGTCGAAGTTCCTCGGGCGATCTCGCCTGCGAAGTAAACTCACGTCGCTTGTATTGACACAGTCCCGCCTCTAAACCAGCGCAGAAAGCGTCTTTCTCGTCGATATTCGACATTCTCGAGTCGGCGTAGTCGCGTACGAAATTACCGCGGTAGAAAGCACCTAAGATTAAGCGAGAAATTCTCGGTGGTAGCTTCGAGACATCGACGATGAGCTTGCCGCGCGCCATGGCTCGATTTTGACTTGACGCGTTGTCAGAGCTTTCGCCGAGGTCGTACGCCACAGTTAGAGCCGCAGCTTCTTCGACGGTGTCTGCGTTCATCCATATATACGATTGTCGGACCTGAATCATTCTCGACGCTACGGCGATACCTTGATCGAACGCGTGCACAACGGCGCCAGAGGCAACGTCGTCTCCAGACACGTGTCTCAAAACGGCTTCCCGGGCGAGGTTTATTGAGCCGAGCGGATCGCTGAGCGAGTCGCTGAGCGCATATGTAGCCGCAGTTTCCATTTCTTCACCGCAATCGAAAGCTGCTTCGACGAGATCAACGCGCACGCCCGTAATCTTTTGCGCGTGTGCTACGACGCAACGGCGAAACTGATGCTGCTTCAACGCGCCGCGCATTTGGAAACCGATCGTCAGAGCGTTGTTCAGGTGAACACCGATCCGGCGGCTGGGTGCAATACGCTCTGCGATCTCACGTCGAAGTTTGCTACTGCGCATCTCGCTTGCCCAGGTCCTGAAGGCGACGTGGCAATATCGATTGAGCACGGAGCTGTACACTCGTCGAGCGCGCTTCTCCTTTGACGCTTCGCGCCGCCACACTTCCAATGCCCTCTTCAAAAGATTTTTCTTGTAGTCTTTCGCTTGGTACCTCGCAAACGCATTTTCAATCGACTTGTTGTGCATCACGCCCATGGAACCACTCTCCCGGCGCCAGTGTGAGAAAGCCCGTCGCAACAGGGTCCCGCGCTGCATCCCACGAAACGAAGCGACGATGGAATTTAATCGCTCTTCGTCGAGGCTTTCGAGCATCTTCGCTCGAAGTTCCAGCGCACGCCGCTGCTGCTTAAGATCGACCATCTTTTTGTTACGTTCTTCAACCTCGGCCGCTAATGAATCGACTTCTGATTGCGCAAACTGTCGTAGGCGGTTGAGCTCCGTGAGCGCCCACTCCCTAAGCTTGTCGTCGCTCTCGTGAAGGTCGTGGAGTTCCTGCTCGATGACGCGACGCGCGGCGACTTCTTTTTCGAGCGCCGCCGCCCACTCTTTCATGAGTGCGCCACCCATGGCGTGCATGGCGTGAGGTCTCGACGGAGCACCGCGCCCACCCTCGGCGGCTTCGCCCTCTCTCGTTAATCGAAAGCGATCCACAGCGCTGAGCGCTCGCGTCGTCCCGCCCGGCGTACTCTGTCGCGACACGCTCGTGCCAAGCTTATACTCCTCCTGCTCGCCATCTCCTACGCCCGCACCGACGATGCGGCCGACCCTCACCATCGTCACTCTGAGTCTATACGCATCCAACCGCCGATGCTTCAGCGTCACCTCGCAACGCGTCCACGCGCCGTCGTTCAACTTTCTCTTCTCCTCCTCGTCCAAAATCCACTCCTCCCACGTCCCGAAATTCGCGCTCACGAACCCCAACCGATTTCTCGCGTGTCGCGTCGCTTGCAACAATCGATCTCTCGCGAACGCGCTTCGAAACCCAACGAACCCGTTATGTTGCAACACCTCCAACTGCGTCTCCGCGCGTTCCCGCAGCGCCGCGTTCCCGCCCTTCCCTCCCGCATCGATCGCGTATCGATACCGTCGCTCTCCATCTCGCGCCTCGTCGATTTCGCTCACGCACGCGTACGGGTATCCCTCCTCCGGCGTCACGAGCGCCACGACGTCTCCCGGTTTCAATCCCGTCCTTCCCGCGCCGCCGCGTCCGTAATCCACCTCTCGCGTTGGAATCTCCAGCGTCTCGCTCGCCCTCGACTCCGTCGCCGTTCCCGCGCGTCGTTCGCGCGCGCTCGGCGACGTCGGTCGCGATCCCGTTCGCGCGAGCGTCGCCAGCGTTCGCGCGTTCAGCGCGCCCATCGTCGACGCGTCATCGACGTCGTCGTCATCAGCGTCGTCGTCGGCGCCATCGCGCGCGTCGTCGCGCGCGCCGACGTCGCGCGTCGACGTCGGCGCGCCCGCGTCGACGTCGACCGTCTCGCGACCGCGATTCGCGCGCGCGAACATGGCCGCGACGGCGCGCGCCGCGCGCGAGGCGACGTGTGTCGCGCACGCATCGAAAGATCGCGCGCGCCCGATCGTCGCTTTAAACCGAGCGAACCGGCGAAGGAGGGACTCGAGACGAGGCGAGGGCGAGACGCGACGCGACAAACGCGACGAGGTGAACGGTGCGGTGAGAAAGAGAAAGAGAGAGAGAAAGAGAAAGATGCGCGCGCGATGGCGATGGTGACAAGACGCGACGCGCGCGCGCGAATCGGAGACGGACGCGCGGAGAACGCGAGACGCGGCTCACGCCATGGTTTCGTTGAACGGATCGTACGTGCTCGAACCGTCTTCGTCGAGTAAGTTTAACGAGCGAAGCCGACGCTCTTGGTAGTACTCCATGCCGTCCAGTCCGCTCGCGATGACGTCGAAGAAGGAGGCGGTTTCGATGAGGGTGGATTTTTCGGCGAGGCGGACGCGGACGGCGACGTCCTTGCGAACGCGCGCGCGCTCGTCGTCGCCGGCGGCGGCGCGACGCGCGCTCGGGGGAGACATGAGGTAGGCTTTTTCTTCGTCCAACGCGCGAGAGGCGTAGGCGGATAAGGCGGCGGCGACGCCGTCCGTCATGGACGCGCAGCAGTCGGCTTCGTTCTCGCGCGAGAGCGGCTCGGAGATGAGCGACCAGCACTGTTGACGAAACAACGCCTCGAGCAAGAACGCGTCCTGATTTTTGCAGTTGAGCAATCGCAAAAACGTTCTGAGGTCGGGATCTGGATCGCTGTACGCGCGGAGCGTAAACGTCGGGGTCTCGCCGAGCCCGCACACGTCTAAAACGTCGAGCTTGTCGAAGACATTTGGATCGTCTTCGGGCACGGAGAGCGACAACGCGTACCCGGGGCTCGGGGTGATGGTGTCCACGAACCCGAAATCGAGCGCAAACGAAGTGTCCGTGCCTTCTGGGTTGTAATTTACGTACAACGGCTCGTTCACGTTCAGCGCTCGATCGCACTCGACGCGCGCCGAGACGCCGTCGTCGCCCTTTCCGCCCCCAAACAATCCGGCGACGGCGCCCGCGACGCCGCCGCTCACTCGCCATCTCGCCTGACTCAACGAGCTGTGATTGACTAAATCTACGCCAGGCACGAGCGCGATGTTCGCCCCATCGCACGGTGCCATCGTGCGCGAGCGTAAGATCCCGAACGCCCATCGAAAGTTGTCCTCGCTGAACGCGCCCTCGACGTCGAAGACGTCGGCGTGCTTCGCGAACATCCCCGTTCTCAACGTCTCGTACACCCCCCGCACGTACCCATCGTACCCCGCCGCGTTATCCAACAGCTGCGTCCCTTGAATCTCACTCAATTCCTCCGCGTTCCAAAACAACGGCGAGTGTAAAACTTCCGGCAGCGTCTTCACGTACGCCGCGTACTTTGACTCTTCTCCGCGTTCGCGTTCCTTCAGCAGCGTCAACGCCAACGTCGTCCATCGCGCCAATCCACCGGCGACGTCCTCGTCCCGCAGCGCCTTCCCGAGTTCATCATCGTTCATCCCGACCTCGGGCGTGATCCACAGCGATTTCGGCACCACGATCGCCTTCGCGCCTCGCGCCAGCGCTCGCGTCGCTCGCGCGCCCCACCCCGCGTCGCCGCCGTCGTCCTCGTCGCCCGCGCGCGCGTCGTAAAACTCCACGCTCGCCACGTCCGCGCCGTTCGCGGATAACCACTCGTGCAGGGCGTCGTGATCCGCGCTCGACGCCGCGTCGCGCCTCGCGCGCGTCCGCGGGCGACGCGTTTTCGACGTCGTCGCGTCGCCCCATCGCGCGCGCCGTCTCGACGTCCCGCGCGTCGCGCGCGGCGATCGCGCGACCGCGAAGACGTCGCGCGCGACGCGCGACGTCATCGGGCGCGCGTCGCGACGCGAGCGCGCCGCGCGTCGGTGTGCGGCGCGTCCCGATGCGCCGCACACCGACGCGCGTCATGTCGCGCGTCTCGCGCGACAGCGCGTACTTCGAACGACGCGAAGCGCGTCGCGTCGACGACGCGCGCGTCGAGACGCGCGTCGACGCGCGAATCGAGACGCGAACGCGCGCGAGCGACGCGAACTTCCCGTCGACGCGCGGGATCCTGTGGGACGCGAGCGCCGCGGGCGAGGCGACGACGGCGTCGAGCGGGACGAGCGCGCCGACGACGGTTCGGCTCGACGGTGACGCGACGCGCGCGCTGGCGCGGGCGATCGCGGACGCGTCGACGGCGCGCGATGGGGTCAGCGCGGCGAAAGGGACGCGAGGGAAAGTCGCGCGGACGCGAGGGAACGACGAAGCGGGACGCGCGGCGCTGATCGGGGATAATCGAGACTCGAGCGAGACGGTGCGCGTGTCGGTGACGACGGAGGACGATTGCGAGCACTACTCGAGCGCGTTGGAGGACGGGTGCGTGGAGATCGCGATGGAGACGCTGCCGAGGGATTTTTCGGGGGACGAGCGTTCGGCGGCGTCCGCGCTGCACGAGACGGCGTGGGCGCGAGAGGAGACGCTGCGGGAGGCGTTCTACGCCGCGTGCGAGAGCGACGCGCCTCTGTGTCCGGCGATGTATTGCCCGACGCGCGCTGTGGCGACTTTGGTGGACGATTCGCGAGACGGCGGGGGGGACGGCGACGCCGCGGCGCTGCGCGTGGCGTTCGCCATCAACGTGCCGTCTTGTAGCTTTGAGTTGACGCCGATTCATCCGCCTCGATTGGCCACAAACGACGCATCCGTCGCCGCGCAAGCGCGCGCGGCGAGCGGCGACGAAAGCGGCGCGACGACGGGTTTCGTGACGTTGGATCGCGCGCGGCGCGTCGTCTTCCTGAGCGAAGCCGCGCGCGGGACGGAAGACGAGCCCATCACGGGCGTTTGGGTTCAAGGATCAAAACGCGTGGACGACGCCGCGACGTGGGCGGCGTGCGTGCGCTTCGCGTGCTCGGAACACCTGAACAAGCACACGCAGCGTGGGAAGTTTTTGTGCGCGCGTCTTTTCGCCGGATCGAGCGCACCCGCGTTTTACGAAGTCAGCGCTTCGCATTCGAGCTCGCCGTTCGTTCCGTACGGTGTGGATCTAATCGTTCGCCCGGGTGAGCCAGCCGAGGCGCGGGCGACGCCGATAGACGAAGGCGTGGTGCCGAATTACTACCGCGTTCGCCCGCAAGAGTACGGCGCCGAGCACTACGGCTTCGTCGAAGACGGCGACGGCGAGGAAGAAGACGCGACGGAAGAAGACGACGGCGAGTACGACGACTACGAGGAGGAATACGACGAGGAGTACGAGGAAGAACGCCGGCAACGCGCGGCTCAAATGGAATTTCTTCAACGCGAAATCGATTCGCTTCGGGAAGCCATCGTATCGGCGTCGTTCGTCGACGGCGAAGAAGAAGACGAAGACGACGGCGACCGGTATCAAGTCATTCGCCGTCGTAATTACGTCGACGACGAGGATGACGACGACGTGAGCGCCACGGTGCGTCGTCTGGCGGAAGATTTGAGCGCCGACGTGCGCCGATCGCGACTCGAAGTCGCGACGGCTTCGGACGAGTCTGAGGACGGAGACGCGCGAACGCGCGCGCTCGACGCGCCGTCGTTCGACCCGAAAGCTTTGGGATACGTAAAGTTACCGACGGATGAAGCGCAAGCCGAGGCGTACGACGACGCGCTTCGACTCGTCGACGAAGACATCGCGCGTCTCAGAGCGCCGAGTCGCCTCGCCGACGACGGCGACGGCGCGCTTCGCGCCGAGCCGCGCGCCGCGGTCGCGCGCGACGTCGAAGAAGAGGACTATTTCCCGAGAATCAAATACGACGTCTCGCTCGAGCGCGACGACGACGACGACGACGGCGACGACGAAATCATCCGGCGTTACCTCGCCGCATACGGCGACGACCTCCTCGGCGCCGCGTCTTCGGTGTAACGGCGTCTTCGCTCGTCCTCACTCGCCGCCGCGCGTCCCGGCGTCCGCGACGGTCCATGCGCGGTGCCTCGCTCGCGCGTCGTCCGCTCGCGCGCGTCGTCGCCGCGCCTCGCTCGAGCGCGTCCCGCGCGCGGCGACCGCGACCGCGCGCCGCGACCGCGACCGCCGACGACGTCGATCGCTGCGCCCTGGTGTGCGCGAGCAAGGAGTGCAAGCGAAAGGGCGCGCTGCGGACGCTCGAGACGCTGACGCGGCGCGCGAGCGAGCTCGAGCTCGGCGTCGCCGTGCGCGTGCAGACGACGCGGTGCCAGAGCGAGTGCGCGGACGGACCGAACGTGAAACTCCTGCCCGAGGGTCGCGTGCTGAACGGCGTGCGGACGACGGCGGAGGCGGACGAAGCGTTGGAGCGGTGCGCGACGTACGCGCCGGAATGACGGCGACGACGGCGACGGCGGAGGCGATATGCGAGGCGCTCGGACGACGGGGAAGCGCGAGCGTCCGAGCGCGATTGACGGCGTACATGAAAGGGTCGACGCCGTTTTACGGGTGCACGACGCCGCAGACGCGGGCGTGCGTCGACGCGGTGGCGCCGAAGCCGACGAGGAAGCGCGCGCGAGGCGAGACGGAGGACGCTCGAGCGATGACGACGCGGTTGGACGACGCCGTGGCGCTGTTGAGACACACGCACGGCGAAGCGAAGCAAGCGGGAGTGATTTTATTGTGCGAACGCGAACCGTTGAACGCGTTGGCGACGGTGGCGACGCTCGATCGTCTCGAACGCGACGTGTTGCGCGGAAAATCCGTCGTCGGCGACTGGGCCGTGGCGGACGCTTTAGCGACGAAGGTTTTGCGGAAGATGTGGAAGCACAATCCCGAGTTGGCGCCGAAAATTTTGTCGTGGGCGCACGACAAAGGCGCGTCGCTGTGGCACCGTCGGTGCGGAATCGTGGCGTTTGCGTCGTTTTGGAAGGATCAAACATTCGTCGACGAAGACTTTGGCGTGTCCATCGTCGACGCGTGCGAGAGCAATCTACTCGCCGCGCCGAGCGAGCGTTTCGCGCAAACCGGAACCGCGTGGGTGACTCGGTACGCGTTGGCGTGCGATGACGACCGCGTTCGCCAGCACGCCATCGACATGGTGAAGCGCCGCGGCAATCTATGGAACGGCGAGGCGAAACGATCGCTCGTCGAGCAGCTCACGACGACGTCGAGCAAAGCGCTGGCGCGAGAAATCTTGAGTCTCGGTGGCGCGTAGGAATAGGTTCATTCATCGTTTGTGGTAATTATACAGCATGGTTCGTGGTGAAGAGAGTCTATTCGGGGTACAAAAACATGCCCTTGATCCCCTCCGGGTCTTGCACGAATCCGAGCGCGCGATAAAACGGAATCACGTCTTGATCGGCGAAAAGCGTCACGTTCGCCACGTCGCGCGCCAAGAGCGAACGAATCATCTGCTGCACTAACGCTTTCCCCAGACCCTTGCCCTGATATTCCGGGTCGACGATGATGTCCCACAGCGTAGAGTTGAACACGTGGTCGCTCGTCGCTCGCGCGCACCCCACCAACCGTCCTCGCGACGTCTCTCCGACGTTCCCCGTGCTCGCGTCCACGTCGCACTCGTACAGCGTCGCCACCATGAACGAATTTTCGAGCGCGCGCTTCAACTTCGCTCGCGGTCTATCCGGCCAGCCCGCGCACGCGCACAGCCGTTCGACCTCGAGCACGTCCACCGGCGCCGTCGTGCTGAACACCATCGCCTTCACCGCGCCGTTCTCCGTCGTCGTCGTCTGCAGCGTTATGTCCACCTATCCATTCACGAGCACCGCTCGCGTCGTCAGTCGCCCGTCGCGTCGCGTCGCGTCGCGCCTCCTCCCCTCGATCGCGTCGCTCGCGCTCGCTTCGGTCTCACCTCGCACGCGCCCTGCGCGTGACGATACGGATCGATCACCCCCGCCGCTTCCGCGTCGTCGCTCGTCCGCGCGCTCAGCGCGCGCGCCGTCGTCGTCGTCGTCGTCGTCGACGTCCCTCGTCGTCGACGCTCTCGCGTCGTCGCGTTCGCCGCGCGTCGCGTTCGCGCGCGCGCCGCGGACGCCGTCGTCGCGCGCGCCGCGGACGCCGTCGTCGCGCGCGCCGCGGACGCCATCGCGCGCGCCGCGGCGTCGACGCGCGTCGCTGTGGCGTCACTCGTCGTCGCGTCGTGTCGTCATGCACGGACGACGACGACAGACGGTCGACGAACGCGACGCGCGACGGCGCGCGAACGCGGCGCGCGTCGGCGCGTTCAAGGCGCTCGAGGTGCGCCGACGCGAGCGCGCGAAAGAGGCGCGAAAGAGGCGCGAACACCGGACTGACTGATGGCGCGAACGATGGGCGACTCGACCGCGATAGACGGACGTGTTGCGACGACGCGCGGCCGGCGCGCGAGACGAGGCGTCGATGAAGGCGTGTGAAAAACTCTTAGGTTTGTGTCCAGAGATTTTGACGGCGTGGAATTATCGACGAGAGACGATCGAGGCGCGAACGGGGGACGCGGCGACGACGAGCGAAGGCGGAGACGAAGGCGAAGGCGAAGGCGAAGGCGATTGGTGGAGCGACGAACTCAGGGTGAGCGAGACGGCGTTGAGGAATAATCCGAAGAGTTATCCGAGCTGGTATCATAGGAAATGGGTCCTGCGAAGGATGATCGAGGCGTTCGGGACGGAGGAGGGAAAGGCGAGAGAGACGCTCGAACGCGAGGCAAAGCTGTGCGCGGACATGTTAAACGCGGACGATAGAAACTTTCATTGCTGGGCGTACAGGCGGTTCGTGGCGGAGAAACTCGGTCGCGGCGTAGATGAGGAGCTGCAGTACACGCTGACGAAGATTGAGAACAATTTCAGCAATTACAGCGCGTGGCACTATCGAAGCGCGATTTTGGAATCTCGCGGCGCGGCGGACGCGGAGACACTCGAGCGAGAGTTTGAGCTCGCTTCGAACGCGTTTTACACCGAACCCGAAGATCAGAGCGCGTGGATGTATCATAGATGGCTCACGTCGCGGGCTCGAGCGATCGAAGACGCGAAAGATCGTGAATCATTGCTCGAACGAGAGCGACAGACGTGTCGCGAGGTGAGCGATCTCGAGCCGACGTGCAAGTGGCCGCTCCTAGCGCTCGCGTCGCTCGGAGACGAACACCCGCGGGAAATGTTTCAAAATTTGGCCGCGCTCGATCCTGCGAGAGGCGGATACTATCGCGAGCGACGAAGCGAGTAGATGATTTAGCGTTTTAAGGATTGTGGAAGTTGAAACTCTGTTCGTTACATATCTTTGCGGAGAAATCAGGTTTCGCAAGCGCCGAAATAATCGCGGCGTGTGGAATCGCTGACGCGACACCGCCCGTCACGGATCATCGACACATTCTAAGGTACTCTATTTCGTACGTCACCAAATTGACTACTCGGTTCGCATACAGCGTGACGCGCACAACGTCACTAAATCGCCATCGCGCAGCTCATACAGCGTAATCCTGTCGTCTACTTGCTGCCAAGGTTGGCATACCAAAGGCCGGTGATCTTAACATCCTTCGGCACCTTGGCGCCAAGATCAGTGTCAGACGGCTGGATGGACTCGAAAACGCCGGCGATTTCACCGGTGGCCGGGTCGTACTTGGCGACGTTGAACACGGCGGAGCCCTTGAGCGCGGCGGTGTTCTTTTGGTTCTCCTTTTGGAGTTCCTCGGAGTCAGCGCGCGCCGGGAGGGCGACGGCGTTGTCGTAACCAGTGGAACCACCACGGCCCTTCGGGTCGAGGAAAGAAGAACCACGGTAAGACGGGACGACGAAGTCGCCGCCGAACTGGGACGTGTTACCCTTGCCAGTGAACTCCTTGAGCGTGAACAAGAACGGCACGCGCTCGCCACCCGGCAATTGCACGGTGACCGGGGCGTAGTCGAGGCCATCGTTCTCTTGGACGTTGACGGAGCCATCGGAGCCAACCTTGAAGGAGCCAGTCATGCCGTCGAGGGTGTACGTCAAGCGCGTCATCAAGCGCGTCTTCGAGAACTCGGATTCGCCTTGCTTGAATTGCGACTCTTCCTTCACCGTGAACGAGGTCGGTTCCATGCAGAATCGCTCGAGGGCGTAGTCACCAGCCTTGATTTCCTTGCCGGACACACCACCTTCGACGACCGGGCACGTGTTCGCCAAGCCAGTACCCTTGACTTGCAAGTACGTCAAGCCTTGGAGTTCGTCGTACGTGACAGCACCCGCAGACTGTTTGCGCATACAAAAGGGTTTCAAATTCGTCAGTCCAGAGATCTCTCGCGATACGGGGCGTTTCACGATGGCGCGAACGCGCGAACGCGCGACGTCGACGCCGTCGGCGCGCGCGCCGCGCGTCGCCGTCCGCGTCGCGGGCAATTTTCTGCGTCCGACGAACGCCCACTCGACGTCCGACGCGCCGACCCGCGCGCGTCGTCTCTCCCTCGCGCGCGCACGCCCCAACCGTATCGCGCGCTCGTATCTCGTTCGAGGATTCGATTCGTTCGACGCACCTGCGCGAGCACGGCACCGGCGACGCCGAGCGCGACGGACGCCTTGGACACCTTCTCCGCGAAGTCGTTCATCGACGCGCGAGCGACCGTGGTCTTGGTGGCGCTGTGGACGAGACGCGCGAACGCGACGACGTTCGTCAGTCTCGAGATCGAGCGCGACGCGCGATCGTGGACGTGGATCGATCGATGTCGACGGCGGCGACGGCGACGGCGACGCGTCTCGCGTCTCGCGGCGTCGCGCGATCGACGCGTGAAATTCCTTTCGCGCGGAATTCCGCTCGATCGCGACGACGCCGCGACGACGCGCGCCGGCGCGCCGGCCATCGCCGTCGCCATCACCCTATCGCGAACGGGATACGCGATCGATCGCGCGCGGGCGATTCGATCGTCGTCGACGCGCGCGCGCGCACGCACCGCTTCGTGGACGCCTTCACGGTCGTGAACTTCTTGCCGAAAACGGCGGATTGCGTGAGAGACGCCATGATCGATCGGTGTGTCGAGAGAGCGCGCGCGCGTTGTGACGCCCCGCGCGGGCGCGCGCGCGCCGGGACGACGCGGGCGCGTTCGGATCGCGCGCGGATGATTTTTATCGATCCATCGCGTAAACCCCATGCGGCGAATGATGGTTCGCGGCGCCATCATTCGACGCGGTCGTCGTTTTATGATGCGATCGACGCGCGACGTTTGATGGCGGTTCGATCGCGTCGCGTACGGCGCGCGCGGCGCGTCCGGCGCCGGGCGACGTCGCGCCGTCGCGCGCGGCGGCGGCGGCCGAAGTGCGCGACGCGTCGAACGGGGCGACGACGTCGACGCGGACGCGACGGCGCGACGGACCGACGCGACGGCGCGACGCGTTCGGGTTCGAACGCCCCGTGATTCGTCGGCATGCTTCGACGCACGGCGCGCCTGCGGCGAGAGTTTGTGTATCGAAAATCGCTCGAAGGCAAGGAGCGCGAGCTGTACGAAAAGAAACGAACGATTCGACAGTGCCTGGAGGACGGCAAGGCGATCCCGACGGAGTTGCGGAAGGAAGAAGCGCGATTGCGGGAGGAAGTGCACGCGGAAGACGCGAAGACGGCGTCGTACGGGGCGCGAGGGGTGATTGACGACGAGTACGCGAAGGCGGCGGAACGGGAACCGAGAGTGCTTCTGACGACGTCGCGAGATCCGTCGAGTCGGTTGCAACAATTCGCGAAAGAGCTCAAGTTGTTGTTTCCCACGTCGCAAAGGATCAACCGCGGGAGTCAAATCTTGCCGGATTTGGTGGATTTGTGTCGAAACGGCGGGTTCACGGATTTAGTCATGGTGCACGAACACCGGGGCGAGCCGGATGGGTTGGTGATTTCGCACCTACCGTTCGGGCCGACGTGTTACTTTGGGTTGTCCAACACGGTGATGCGGCACGATATCAAGGATCAGGACATCGGTCACGTCAGCGAGGTGTTTCCGCACTTGATTTTAGAAAATTTTACGTCGCCGCTCGGCAAGCGCACGGCGACGGTGCTGAAGCACTTGTTCCCCGAGCCCAAGGCGAAGTCAAAGCGCGTCGTGACGTTTGCGAACGATGCTGATTATATTTCTTTGCGCCATCACATGTATGAGATGCCGAAAGGGGCGAAATCAGTCGCGCTCACGGAAATCGGTCCGAGGTTCGAGATGCGCTTGTACCAAATCAAGCTCGGGACGGTGGAAATGGACGATTGCGACATCGAATGGAGCCTGCGACCGTTCATGCGAAGCGGGAAGAAGGCTCGTCTGTAGTGCGCAAACGACAAGCGCTCGTGCTTAGCTCAAACCTAGATATATTGCAACATCAAATGTACTGTAAAATATTACGGCGAAACTTACGCCGACTCGAACGCGTCTCACGCCGAACCTTCGTTCGTGTACGCCTCCGAGAGCCCGTCGACGGTGCCACCCGAGCGTGCCTCTTCGGGAATGTGCGTGACGTCGTTAAACACCTGCAATCCCACCGAATCGCCGTCTTCGGCGATGTCAAGATGAAGTTCGTGCACGCACGCGTTTTGCGAGCAAAACAGCGCCCCCTGCTTTCCTCGCGTTCTCGGCACATCGAACAGCGTCTTGAGCAGCATATCGATAAACATTCCGTGCGTGACGATGCACACGTCCATCTCTTCCTCCTCACCCGCCGCCATCGCGCGCGCCTTGTGCATTAAATACTTCGCCACGCCGCGCGCGCGCGTCTGCGCCTCCGCCACCGTCTCGCACCCTCGCGAGGCGTCCCACCACCCGATCGTCGGCACATCGCTCGCATCCACGAGCTCGAACTCGCTCTCGATCTCATCTCTCGTCATCCCGCGCTCGCCGATCGCTCGACTCGTCCCGTCCGCGTCCGCGTCTCGTCCGCGCGCGCCGCGAAAGCATCCGCCGTGCTCGTGCGCGTCGATCATCACCTTGGCCCGCGTCCGCATCCCTCGCGCCATCGCGTTCGCCGTGAGCAAGCACCGACGCATCGGTGACGCGTACAGCGCGATCCCTCTCGCCGTCTCGGCGCGCAGTCTCGCGAAACGCGCCTCGAGCGCATCCATCTGTCGGCAGCCCCTCGCCGTGACCCCGGGGTCGGCGCTTCGCTCGGCGTTGTCCAGCCCGGGCGCGCGCAGGACGTTGTTCTCGCTCTGCGCGTGACGCACCAAGTACGCGCGCATCGCGGCGCGACGACGTGTAACGACCGACGACGCCTCGCGACAAACATCACATCGCGTCGCGTCGCGTCGCGTCGCGAAGACGACGCGCCATGGGATGCGCGTGCACGAAACCGCATCGCGATGACGCGTCGTCGCCGCGCTCGACGACGACGGCGACGACGACGGCGACGACGAACGACGACGACGCGCGGGCGTTCGAATTCAAAGACGGCGATGTCGACGACGGGGCGCGCGCGAGCGAGCGAGCGCGCGGGAAAGGCGCGAACGCGACGCGAGGGAGAGGCGATGGACACGCCGCGTCGCGCGCGGCGCAGACGAACGCGGAGCGGGTCGGGACGGGGATGGGGCGACGGTCGGCGCGCGCGCTCGGGGAGTCGCCGCGCGGCGCCGCGAGCGCGAGTCGAGTGATGACGTCGCCGAAGAAGGAAGCGTCGTTCGGGAAGAGCTCTGGGACGGCGTTGAACGCGTACGCGAGCGCGTCGCACGTGCGAGCCGTGGACGATGGTGTCGTGGGCGAGCTCGCGGATAGGCGATTTTCGCACGGCGCGAGCAAGGAGAAGAGAGCGGGCGGCGACGGCGGTCTACCGCCGACGTCGCTGTCGACGAGAACGACGCCGATCAAAGGACGAGGTATGAGCGTGGACATGGATGTTGTCACGCAAAGAGCGTCGTTTCAAAAGTATCGCGGTGATGAGGTCGGTGCGGCGAGTAAAGACGTCATCAAAGGGCCGAGTTGGGTGCAACCGACAAAGAGTACGAGCATCGTCGCGCAGGCTAGGAAGCGTGCGATGCACAAGCGAACGATGAGCGAAGAGCCGGGTGCGTTCGCGGTAGCGTTCGGCGGCTCGACGCCCGCGCGAACGCTCTCGGGAAGATTCGAAGACGATATACAAGAGAACGGTAACGTCGACGATTCGCTATCGGCGGAGCAATTTTTGCAAAAGATAGCGAGTGTGGTGGAATCGATGCGCGAAAGACATGACTTCGTAAGAGCGCTCACGATTGAGACGATTGAGCTGTGTAAAAACTTAGTGGAGTTAGAGGCGCCCGTGAGCGCGATGCTTCGGTTGGAAGAAATTGACGAGACGTCGGAAACGGGGACGTTCGACGGATGTGCGACGGATTTTGTCGCCGCGAATGAGGGTTCGGATTGTAGTTTCGCTGGCGCTGCGATTTCATCGTCCGCGGCGCGAAATCTTGCTGAAGAGGGGTTCGGGGAAATGATGAGCGCGCCATCCCCGACGCCGACGACCTCGGGCGACTTTTCGCTTGAAGCCGTCGAAGCCGAGCTGCGCAGCGTGCGCAGGCTTATCGAAGAATAGCGAGACGCATGGAATTGCGTTTTCAGTTGTAATTATTTAGCGTTGATAATGGTATTCTTTGGACAATCCCCCAGCGATGCTCCTCGTTTCTTCTTTTCGCGAAACTTCAGGCGCGGCGAGTCGCGATTTGAGCTGTAAATCTTTAGCGTCGATCACAACAAATTGTCTAGCATTTCCTAAGGAACACCATTCTTTTCTCGAGATTAATCGAACAAGTCGAAGTCCATTTCGGCCTCTTCTTCCTCTTCCTCGACGGCGGCAGCCTTGGCGGCACCGCCGGCGGCAGCATCGCCACCCGCAGCCGGAGCCGCGGACGCGAAAGCGCCCGGGTTGGCGAGGTAGTCCTTGACCTTTTGCGCCAACTCGAACGTGTAGTCGGTACCAATGGAGATGGCGAGGACGTTCTTGTACGCGTTGACGATGGAGTGCGGCACGGACGCGAGGGTCGGGTAGCCAGACGCCAAGGAAAGCGACGCGACTTGGGCGACACCGGACATAAACTTCTTCTCGAGAGTTTCGTTGGTGATGTCCAAGACGGCGGACGGGTACATGGCGCCCTTGTCGTAGACTTCCATGACGATCAAACCGTACGTGAACGGCGTGAACTTCATCTTACCGAGCAATGCAGCGGCAGAAGATGAAACACGGTCGCCCGGTTGTAACACGACGATGTCGTTGAGGATTTCAATCGTACCCTTGTTAATCTTCGTCGCGATGTTCAGCGTTTGGAAGAAGGACGTTTGTGACGGTTCCATCCCAGTCGGACCCGCCGGCACCACGACTTCGACCGGCGCGATGGCGCCGACGCGCGCCGGCGCCGGCACGACGAATTGTTGAATCTTCTTACGAACATCCAACAAATCACCCTTGGTGAAGATGATACCGACGTTACCCACGAGCTTGTTCGAAAGGATCATCCACGTGTCGTCGCCCTTGGCGGCGCAATAGTTGGAGATGCACTTGCGCATGAGCGTGTTCTTACCCATGAGCACCACGGATTCCGGACGAATCGACTGGACGCGCGCACAAGTTCATCACCGTCAGTCGTCGCGGTCGAGATTTACGGGCGCGGCGAAGCGAAACGCCCTCGGTCACCCTCTAGGGCTTTGGTGAGCGTCCCGCGCGATCGATCGATCGACGTACCGCGCGAATGTCCATGAACTGTTTCGACCCGACGTTATCGGCGTGCACTAACAGCGCGGTATCATAGTTATCCAAAAGCTTGTGCACGCGTTCGGCGTAGCCTTGCTTCTTAAGTTGCGCCGCGGACGGCATGATGAATCTGCGAAGTGGTCGCGAGGGTTGGTTCAGCGGCGAGACCAAACTGCTTATGCGTGCAGCAAGGAGAGTGCGAGCGTTTTACACTTCTTTAACTCGTGCGCCGCGATAGTATCAAACGTCTAGCGTTCGATGCGAGGGGGCGTCACGCGACGGGCGTCGCGAAGAGGCGGCGCGGCGCGCGACGGGCGCGGGGATGGGACGACGCGCGTGCGGTGTGTGGTCCGTGTGGTGAGTCTCGGCGCGTTTTTTTCACTCATCTTCGATACTAGGAGATTAATTGCAACGCTCGTGCGAAGGTTCGCGCGCTCGACGGATGGAAATAAATTCGAAAATGATCGTCGTCGATCGCCTCACGCCTCCATGGCGGTGTCGGTTTCGTTGAACATGTAGTCTTGGTGATAATCGAGCATGAACTGCGTCGAACGCTTGACGTCTAAGAACATCCCGTACACCTTGCTCACGTCATCGACGTCCACCTTGGCGGATTTGCGCTTGCTCGCGCGAAGCGAGGCGGCAGAGATGAGTTGAATGGCGTAACGCAAACTGGTTTCGCACGCGATTTTGCACAACAAATCCTTGGCGTCGTCGGCGAGATCGACGTCTTCCTCTTCGCAGCGGATTTCCAAAATTGCCTTCATCTCGCGCTCGTCGTAAGCTTGGGTGTGGATGATCAACAAACGATCGAGAAGATCGATCGGGATACCGTGAGGCGAGCGGAACTCGGTGCCTCGAATCTTCGTGATGCCGCGGTTGGTGGCGACGACTAAAATGGGCGCCAGCTCGTTCTCCAACGCGCGGTTCAAGAAAGAAAAGCACTCGATATCGAGCATGTGCACTTCGTCGATGAAAAGCACGCCCGGGATGATGTCAGCCTTGCCCTCCTCCTTCCACTCGGAAACTTTATTGTCGATTTGCTCGCGAATCTCTGCTCGGATTTCCCCCGTGTCTCCGGCGAAAAGGGCGAGGAAACCTTGCGTGCGGGAGTTGATGACATCGATTTCGTGCAGCGACACCGTGTGCACCACCTCTTTACGCTTTTGAAGCTCCCCTTCCGGGCACGCCACAAACTTGGTCGTCGCCCCCATGGCGTCGTAGTCTCTCGACCGCGAAAACGACCGCCCAATTTTCGTAATTCTTCCGCTCGCCTTATCGATGTTGATCACATCCCCGGCGTTCACCTTTGCCTTACTGATGGCATCGATCATCTTCGTTCCCAAATCGTACACTGTCTCCATATCGCTCGTCTTCATGGTCAACTTGCCCGTCTTGGCGCGCGCGCTCGCGAGCGCTCCCACCGGTTTATCGATTTCAATCTCCACCACCTCTCCCTCGATGATCTCAGTCTCTTCCTTTATCCTCACCCCGATCGCCTTGCGGAACGCCTGCGTCAGAGCCTCCGTCTTGGACATCTCCATCGAGAATATCTCGCTCGCCGCCATGGACGCGAACGGCGTCTCCTCGCCGAGCGTCTTCGCCATTCCGTGCGCGATCGCCGTCTTCCCCGTCCCCGGCGCGCCCGCGATCAGCACCCCGCGCCCGGCGATCGTGCCGTCGCGTATCATATTCGCGATCACGCCCGCGGCTTTGCGCGCTTTCACCTGTCCAACCAAGCCTTGGGACGATTTCTTCGCATCGAGCGCGTCATCCAATCCGAGGCCGCGCACGTGCGAGTGCGCGCCGACGCGTTCGACGCGCGTGAGCGCGCGCGCGGACGTCGTGGGGAGACCGATGTCGGTCATCGCGAGTCCTCGCGCGATGGCAAAAGTCGCGAGATCCGCGCGCGGTTCGACGCTCGCGCGCGAGCGAGTGACGATCGAATCGAATCGAATCGCCGCGGCGGCGGGAATTGGTTGACTTTGACGCGCGAGGACGCGAGGACGCGAGGACGCGAGGACGCGAGGACGCGAGGACGCGCCGGTGTGGAGTTCGGTCGCGAGCGCGCGAAGGAAGGAAACGCGAACGATGGCATTGTACTACAACGTCTTCCCTTTACCCTACGCCGCGTAACGACGCGGAGTGACTACACGATTCGACGCGGACGTCGCGGCGCTATTCGGCGCGCGAGCGACGGCGCTCGGACGTCTTCTTCGAGGACGACGACGGAGACGGTTTGGTCTTTTTCGATGGTGGCGGCGATGGCTCGTCGTCGTCGTCGTCGTCGTCGTCGTCGTCGTCGTCGTCGTCGTCGTTGACTTCGATGTCAGCTTCCTCGTCGTCGGCTTCGTCGTCGTCGAGCTTGTTCGGATCCACGGCGTTGACGGCGTCGGTGTTGATCATGGTTTCGTATTCTTCGGCCGAGGCGAAGACGCCGCCGGCGGTAAAGTCGTCGTCGATGGTGTCTTCATCGTTTGCACCCGTGGGCGTGCGCTGAACCGCGCGTTTGATCGCCTCGATCGCCTTCGCTTCCGCCGCTCTCTCGCGCTCTGCGGCTTCGCGAATCAAGTACCCGGGTTGTCTGCCGTACGCCGCCGCGAAGGCGTCCAAATCGTATCGCTCGTCTTCGATCGCTTCTTCCTGGCGCTCAGACTTGCCGAACTCTTCGTCCGCGGCGTCGTCGCTATCCTCCTTGAAATCGTTCTTGCGGATCTTCTTGAGTGGAATCGCGAGCTCTTCGTCGTCCTCCGAGTCGGAGGCGTCGTTGATGTTGATTTCCTCCACCGCGAGTTCGTCTTCGCTGTCGTCGCCTTCGGATTCGCTGTCGTCGAATTTCTTCTTCGGGAGCTCGCCGTCGGCATCTGACTCGGATTCTGCCTGGTCGTCGTCGTCTGTCGTTTTCTTGTCCGCCTTTTTCTTCTTCGCCGCCGCCTTCTCCGTCTTGTTGGCAAAGTAGCGATGAAAGAAGACGTCGGAAGGGTCAACTTCGGACTCCATGAGCGACGCAAATTCGTCCGTGCCGGGCATGTACGCCGCGCTCGCGTCGGATTCCAACGCTCGCATGACTAGAGAACCACCCTTGGATCTTTTCTTCGGCTTCTTCTGCAACCATTTGTCAAGGAACACGGTGAGCGTCATGTCAGAGAGAGGATCGCCGTCGTATTCAATTGGCTTGCCTTCGAGCAAAGTGCGGGACATCGCGGAGACTGACGGGTGAGCGTTCGCGGCGAGAACATTGAGTTCCCACCAGCACGAAGTTTCCGCGCGCGCGTACATGGGCTCTCGCTTCTCCATGTCGTATCGCTCGCTCGGCCCGCCGACTCGGTTCGAGCCTTTTTCGCCATCGACGGCGTTGGCTTGGTCGGCATCCTCGTCATCATCTGAGGACTTTTCGCTGTCACTTTTCGTCGCTTTGGGCGTTCTTTCCGTCGTTTTATCGCCCTCAAACAACCCAGTCCCTTCGTTTGTTTCGTCTTCGTCGTCTCTGACGTCGCTGAAGTGCTCGACGCCATCCTCTTCAGTCTCTCGCGGTACTCGAATGGCGTTCCAGTGCGAAGGCTGCTTCGACAAAAACTCACTAACCGCCATGAGCGCACCGCACGCGAACGTAGCCGGTGCTTGCGAAGCCACTTGTAACAAACGTTTCACCATCGCCGCCGAGCGCTTCGGAACGACGTCCTCGCGCAAGCTCTTGAAAATAAGCGATAATACTTGCGCATTGTTCGCCGATCGCAACAGTCCCGGATGCAACAGCAAGGCGTACAGTGCGCGATAATATCGATCGCTCACTGATGAACGAGCCGATAGCAACTGAAATAGCAACATCATCGCTTGCAACGCCCCACTGAGATTTGGAGAGTGCGCAATAGTGAACAAGGCGGGAGAGATGCGATCGATGAGAGCGTCCATTTTTTCGCTCGCCACGTACGGAAACGCGCGATTGATTCCCGTGAGTAAGGCGGAGACGACTCGAGCGTCAACGCCTGCACCGATTTGCACTGGTTGTGTTGGTTTGTTGCTATCCTTACCACCGCGTCCACGGCCACCGCGACCGCCGCGACCGCCGCGACCGCCGCGACCCCGGCCACCGTCTCGATGACGTTTTTTGTCCTTCTTCTTCACCTCGGGCTTAGCCTCTTCTTCTTTCGCGGGATCTTTCTTCAGCGACAAATTGTACAAATACTGAAACAATCCAAAGTACGCCTCGATGAGCTGCTCAGCCAACGCCGGTCCATCGCCCTTGTGCCCGAGAGGAATTTGATTCATCATCACCGCGGCGTAGTACTGCGCCTTCAATCCCACGCCTCTTCGAAACGTGAACGCTTCCACCTCTCGTGCGACGATGCGCTTCATCGCAGGGTGCGCCTTGATGAGCTCTAAACACAAATACGACGCGCTGGATGCGATTTTTCTCGACGGATCGCCGAGTTTGTTGACCATTATGTTCAACAACTGACGCTCGCCTTCGGGTTTGGATTTGAGTAGTGCGTACGCGCTCTTCAAAGACTTTTCCTTGAGAATCGGCAAAGGATCTCGAGATAACTCATCCAAAGCCGCAATGAACCGCAAGTACATACGCTTAATAGAGTCTTCGACGTACCAGTACATCAATCGCTTGCGTTCGTGCGGGGCACTCGCCGCCACCGAGAGGGGCTGTTCGCTAAAATATCGCAGCTTTCGATCGGGGAGCAGGCTTTCCCGAAACAACGTCTCGAGCGCGGTGATCGATTGCACAGCCCCACGTTTGCCCCCACTCGCTCGAGCGCGTTCGACGATTCCTAGTAAATTCTCCAGCGCTTTCAAGTTCGCCGCTGGGTCCTCGGTCACGCTCAACACGTTGGCGGCTACTTTATCGCTCGCCGTACCGTTTGTGCGAACCATCTCCAACCATTTCGCGTTTGCATCGCTGTGTCGCTGCATGCGTTTGGCGTACGTGTTCACTCGATCTTCTAGCGCATTCTTCGCCATGCGTTCCTTCTCTTCCAGCTCACCGCGCGTCGGTTCCGACTTGGATTTCCCGCGCTTGCCAGCGCTCCCGAGTTCGGCGTCCAAAGCCTCGCTCGCCTCGTACCACGCCCCCCCCGACGCGCTCGCATTCGCACCACCATCGCGATTCGATTTACCTCCCTTTACATCGCCTTTACTCGGCATAGGCCCCGCCCCTGGATTCCACGGTCGTTTCTTTCCCGACGGCCGCTCTCGAGCCGCCGCGTCGCCGTCGCCGTCGCCGTCGCCGTCGTCCCGCGACGTCTTCTTCCCATCGTTTGCCTTGTCCCGCGTCGCTTTTTGTGACGCGTTCGCGCGAGCATCGTTCGTCTGCGCGCGTTTCTTTCCTCTGCCGCGCTCGCCGTCGTCTCGCGCGTCGTCCTCGCGCGTCGTCGATGACTTTTCTTTCGCGCGCCGCGCCGCCGCCGCCTCCTTCTTTCTCAAGTGTTCCGCGCGGAAGTCTCGGTCGTCGAAGCCGCGGGTGACGGCGCCGTCGCTCGCGCGAGGAGCGAACCCAAGAGACGAGGCGTACGCCTTGACGTCGGCCTCGAGCTCGGGCGCGGGTTCGGACGGTGGCGCCATCGGGCGATGCGCGCCTGGCTGTGCGGAAGCGAGAGACGCGCGCGCGACGGAGAGACGAGAGACAAGACGACGAAACGCGTGCGAGATGGGTGATTTTACTTAAATTCAACGCGCGGTGAGCTAATGGAGGCTTAAAGTACTGCGAGTAGTAAACGTTGAGTCGCGAGGTCGCGCAGTTAGTACACGCGCGCCTTGGGCGGAATTACGTCCATCTCGGCGTCGAGGGTGTAGTGGTGGTTGGGACGGTAATCAATCTTCACCTTGCCGTTTTCCACGTACGCGAGCGTGTGCTTCATCCACACGTCGTCTAAACGGTCGGGGAAATCCTCGCGGGCGTGCGCACCACGGCTTTCCTTGCGTTGCTCGGCTGAGTGCATCGTCGTCTGCGCGTTGGGCATGAGGTTGTGAAGTTCGAGCGCTTCGACCAAGTCAGTGTTCCACACCAACGATCGGTCGGTGAGCTTCAAGTTGTCCAGCTGCGCCGCGACGTCGTCGATACGCTTGCACCCGTTTGCGAGCGTTTCTTGAGTACGGAAAACCGCGGCATCCTCTTGCATCACCTTTTGCATCGTCTTACGAAGCATCGCCGTCGGCGCGCTGCCTTTGGAGTTTCGAATCTTGTCCAAACGTTCGATGGCGTTCGATCCGGCGTCGCTGGCGATCTCACGATGCGGTGCACCGCGCTTGAGTTTATCAGCCACCGTGTTAGCGCACGCGCGACCGAAGACGACGATGTCGAGCAATGAGTTGGCACCCAAACGGTTGGCGCCGTGCACGCTCGCGCACGCCGCCTCGCCGGCGGCGAGCAAGCCAGGGACGATGGCGTCCGGGTCTCCGTTCTTAGGTGCCACAACTTCGCCCTTGTAGTTGGTTGGGATACCACCCATGTTGTAATGCACGGTGGGGATGACGGGGATCGGCTCCTTGGTGACGTCGACGCCGGCGAAAATCGCGGCGGTTTCCGAAATCCCCGGAAGGCGCTCCGCCAATAGCTCCGGAGGCAAGTGGTTCAAGTGCAAGTAGATGTGATCTTTCTCTTTACCGACACCACGTCCTTCGCGAATCTCGAGCGTCATCGATCGCGAGACGACATCGCGACTGGCGAGATCCTTGGCGCTCGGGGCGTAGCGCTCCATGAAACGTTCGCCCTCCGAGTTGCGCAAGATTCCGCCTTCGCCGCGCGAACCTTCGGTGATCAAGCATCCGGCGCCGTAAATCCCAGTCGGGTGAAATTGCACGAATTCTTGATCTTGTAACGGCAAACCCGCGCGCGCCACCATGGCGTTGCCGTCGCCCGTGCACGTGTGTGCCGACGTCGCGCTAAAGTACGCTCTGCCGTAACCTCCGGTGGCTAAAATCGTCTGGTGTGATCTGAATCGGTGCAACGTGCCGTCTTCAAGGCACAGAGCCATGATTCCGACGCACTCGCCTTTGTCCATGATCAAATCCAACGCGAAATACTCCACGAAGAATTGCACGTCGTGCTTCAACGCCGCGCCGTAGAGCGTGTGTAACATCGCGTGTCCCGTTCGATCAGCCGCCGCGGCGCATCGATACGCCTGACCGCCCTTGCCGTAATCCAGCGATTGTCCTCCGAACGCTCTTTGATAAATCTTCCCCTCGTCCGTTCGTGAAAACGGCATCCCGTACTTTTCCAACTCGATCACCGCCTTTGGCGCCTCGCGACACATGTATTGAATCGCGTCTTGGTCTCCCAACCAATCCGCCCCTTTCACCGTGTCGTACGCGTGCCACCGCCAGTCGTCCTCGGTCATGTTCCCTAGCGCCGCGTTGATCCCTCCCTGCGCCGCCACCGTGTGCGATCGCGTCGGGAACAACTTCGTGACGCACGCCGTCTTGAATCCGTGCTCGCCGAGCCCGATCGCGGCGCGCAAGCCCGCGCCGCCGGCGCCGACGACCAGGGCGTCGTACTCGTGATCGATGATCTCGTACGACGACGTCGACGACGACGCCGCGGTGGCGATCGATCGCCCGCTCCCGCTCCCGCTCCCGCTCCCGCTCGCGCTCGTCGTCAACGCGTTTCGCGCGGCGACGCATCCTCGCTCGCACGCCCGCATCGCGCTCGCGCGCATCGCCCGACGCAGCATCGCGATCGTCCTCGACCCGTCTCCCGTCGCTTCTTCGTCTCCCGCCCGAGCCTCGAGCGCGTCGCGCGATGGCGTCGCGCGCCGATCGCCGACGGGCGTCGTCGCGTCGACGAAACGGTCGCGTCGACGTAACAGTTTTGTGACAGTAAATCACACACAGCGTTTTCTCCGCCAGCCGTCTAAACCCTAGGTCGCTCCGCCCGGACGCGCGCGGTGTCGTCACGGCCGGCCGCGCGTGGATTTAAAACCGCGCGTCGCGCGTTCGTTCGTCGCGACGGCGCGACGTCGCGACGCCGCGACGAACGCCCGTCGCGACGACGAACCCCGTCGATGCGCGCGCGACGCCTCGCGTCGTCGCGATGTCGCGCCGCGATGGACGTCGCCGACGACCGCGCGCGCGCGAAGACGTCGTGACGACGCTGTTGCGACGACGCGAGGCGCGAGCGCGGGCGACGCGCGCGGGAGACGACGACGACGCGGGCGAAAACGACGCGTTCGTCGACGCGGCGGAGACGTGGGCGACGGACGACGGACGCGGGAGGCGGGAGGCGACGACGACGCGGACGTCGCGCTCGAGCGCGAGCGCGAGCTCGTCGAGCTCGAGCGCGAGCTCGTACGCGTCGGCGCGAGCGCGCGAAGACGAGGACGAGGACGCGAAGGCGTGGACGTCGACGCGAGACGCGAGAGAGCTCGGCTGGGGGCCGCGACCGTCGAACGAAGCGCGCGAGCGCGCGGCGCGGGCAAAGGCGTTGGCGAAACGCTTGCTCGAGGGCGACGAGGACGAGCCGACGGCGCGCGGTGAGATCGTCGGCGGGGAAGTCGCGAGAGACGTCGGGAGCGAGCGACTGCGATCGGTGCTGACGATCGATAGCGCGACGAGCGGTGGGGACTCAGATCCCGAGCGGTTGGCGAAAAGACGGGCGAGAAGGCGGGCGGCGAAGCGCAGGCACGAGCGCCGATTGCGAGAGGGCGTCTTCACGTGACGGTTCGCCTTACAAAAGGCGCGAGCGCGATTTTGAATCCATTTCGAGGTTCTCAGCTTTCGAGCGTGCTTTCGAGCGTGCCACCGCCGATGCAGCGCACCGAAGCGGCGTTCGCGCGCAATTGTTCGGCAAACGCGCCGTCGCACGGATCGAAAGGTTGGCCCGCTTCCTCCGTGCACTTTTTGAGCACGTTTTCGACGACGCCATCGACACCACCTTCGCACGGCACCGCGATATCGTCCTTCACGGCAAGTGCGCCTTTGACGAGCGCGTCCACGCACTGCGATCCGCACAAGCCATCGGGGTCGTCGAGGCACGTCATCAGCACTCGCATCGCCTTCGCGTCCGAGAATTCCGGACACACGAAGTCCTGCGCGGCGACCGCGACGGCTGCGGTGGTGGCGGCGAAAAACGCGAGCGCGATGGTGCGTCGTAAGGTCATTTTGATCGCGTTGCGTTGCGAAGTGTCGCGTAACCCGTCGCGCGTCACATGTTGTCGAAAGTTCACACGACGTCGACTCCGCGCGGCGGCGTTCGTCGTGCATGTAATATGTATAACGGCAATTACTTTCGTTCAGCAGCTTCGCGTATGTTACAAAATCATCAGTGGGACGCGGATGACCCCGCGCGGTCGAGCTGACCGCTCGATCGAATGCGCGACATCTCTGCGAGTTCGTCGCGCATAAACTCCTCCGTCATTTCAGTCAACGGCGCAAACACGAGCGATCCAGAATCCATCGCGCGGCGATACGCAGTTTCTGCGCGCGCCACGTCGACGGGCTCTGATTTCGTCAACCCCCAGTGTCCTCTCGCGATTTCACCCAAAAGTTGCGATCGGTTCCATTGCGCGGTGCCGAAGAAGCAGAGCACTTTGGCGCGCGTCGGGCTTCGAAGAACCTCGAACTCCTCTCGAGTTCGTTTCAGCACGCCGAAAGGCGAAGCGACGTTCCACGTGTTCGATTCTTCCGAAAACCCGCACAGAACGCCAACGGCCTCGCGCACGTCGGCGGTTGCGGCGCATGTCACGACGGCACCCGCTCGCAAACCGTCGGTCGAGTCGGCGTACGCGCGAGAATTTCTAAACGCTACGCTGATGGCGCCCGCCAAACTTCCCTCGACTTTCGTGTAGCCGCACGACGTGTCCGTACCGACGACAATGCACAACGCGACTTCGTCGTGATCGCACGGTCCACCATCGAACGGCTCTATCTCAACCGCGTTCTCGACGTCCTGGCGCGTGACTCGCCATTCCCTGGCGACTTCGTCGTAGGCGTCCTCGATGACTCGCCGCCTGCGAAATCGCTGATACACCTCAAAAATGGACGGTGATAATAGCTGTTGTAGGTGCTCGATAAACGCCTCTCGATCGTCAGCAACGTCTTCGGGAACTTCGATGACAAGTTCCGGTGTTTGCTCTGCGTCGTCGGCGATTTCGTCTCGGGGCAAATCGTCCTCGTCGGCGTCCTCGTTCGTCACGTCTGCGTCATCCACGTCTGCCGTATTTCGTTCGTCGTCATCATTATCGTCATCATTGTCGTCATCATTATCGCCATCATTGTCGTCATCATTGTCGTCATCGTCATCGTTTCCTTCTTCAAATTCTTGGCGCAAGCGCACGCGAGATTGTCCGCCGGCGCCGACAATCTCAAACAACTGACTTTCGCCCTGGATGAACTCACTCACGTCGCATCGCCCGTTCAAGTTCACCGCCACGATTGTGTCATCGCCTACGTCTCCTTCGCTCGACTCCCCCGCTTCGTCCGACGACGCGCGCGTCTCCGTGATCAAGTACGTCCCTTCGATCCAGTACTCGTACGAGCAAATCCGCCGCATCGCCGGGTTCATGTCTTGCAATTTCTCTCGAAGTTTGGCGCTAAACGCGGCGTGCGACACCAACAAGTGCCCGACGGCGCACATCGCCGCGATCTCCGCTCCCGTGAACGAGCTCATCAGCGTCATTCGCGTCGGCGGCGGCGTCGTAAACGCCTCCTTGCACACGTTGCACACGTTGCTCCGCGTGTCCTCGTTCCAAAACGCCGGATGCGTCGGCGCTTGCACCACCACCATGCGCTGCCATCGAAGCAAGCACTTCGCGTGTATGTACTCTTGTCCTCCTCTGCACGCGCACGGCGCGATCAACGGGTCGTCTTCCCGCGCGCTTTCGAAACAAAACCGACACGCGTCGGCATCTTCCTCGGTCGTCGTTTTCTCGCGCGTCGGCGAGGCGCGCGCGCGTCGGCGCGTCGACATCGAGTCGGATCGGCGTCGGGTCGGCGTCGGGTCGGCGTCGGGTCGGCGCTCGGGACGCGTCCGCGCGCGTCGACGAGTGCGACGACGCGTCCCGCATCGCCGCCCGACGCTCGACCGCCCAACCGTCGCGTCGGTCGTCGATGGCGGCGCCGGACGACCGCCGCAGACCGCGCGCGGAGGACCGAGCGCGCGCGCGACGGACGCGACCCGCCCGAACGGAAGAAGACCGCGAGCATGCCCGCGCGCACGAGCCGCGGCGTCGGACGACGCGCGAGACCGGCGACGTCGACGATGCGACGCGCGGTGGAGACGGAAACCGAAACCGAAACCGAAACCGAAACCGACGCGGAGAGCGACGGCGACGACGATGACGATGGATCGTCGACGTCGCAGACGGAACTGTTCGGTGCGATCGAGGACGGCGATCACGACGCCTTCGAACGCGCGCTGAGGGAAGACGCGGCGTGCGTCAAGGACGTGAACTCGAACGGATGGACGGCGGCGCACCAGGCGGCGTACAGCGGCGAACACAAAATGCTGCGAAGAGTGCTCGAGCTCGGCGTGGACGTCAACGCGAGGTGCGCGGACGGGTGCTTGGCGGCGCATTACGCGAGCGCGCAGGGAGAGAAGAAGTGTTTACAAGTTTTAGGCGAACTTGGGTCGGAATTCGAGACAAAGGATAAAGACGGCGAGTCGCCGCTCGACGTGTGCACGCGCGGCGTGCGCGAGCTCTTGGCGGATCTCATCGTCGAGGCGCGGAAACGGAACGCAAAGTAGACGCGTATGATATGAATCAGTGATATTCCGCATTCACGACCCGACGCGTCACGTCTCTCGCCGCACGAAAATTTCCACGCACGTCACGTCTACCTCCACCTCGGCGTCGTTCGACACGAAGCGCCGCTCGCACGTCATCTCCTTCCCATCCTCGCGCACGCGTCTCGTCGTCGTCTCGTGCCCGATCGATGACGTCGTCGTCGTTGTGTGCGTGCGCGTCGCCGCGTCGAACGACGCCACGCGCGTCACCTCACCCGGTTCCGCCCCGAAGATGGCGCTCGTTTCGTACTTTTCAACAAACTCGCCGAGCGAGTACGTCAGCGTGCGGTCGATGCCCACCTCTTCAGACGTCGTTCGCACTTGAAACTCTCCCTCCGCGCCAGACTCGCTCGTCGTCCACGTTTGCTCGTACGACGCCCGCGCGCGTTTGAGCGCGTCCGTGCCGACGCCGTGCGCGACGAGGTAATCGACGACGTTTTGGTTCCTCGCCGAGTCGCGCGACCAGTGCCCGAGAAACGCGTCGTGCGACGGCGACGTCGCGCTCGACGACGAGGGCGAGGACGAGGACGAGGACGCGCGAACGCGGCGCGTCGCCGCGAGGCGCGCGCGCGCCGCGGCGTGCGACGTCGATGTCGACGTCGATGTCGATGTCGATGTCGACGCGCGGACGCATATCCCGCGCGTCGACGCGGCGCGCGCGAGGGCCCCGCACGCGGGGCGACGCGACGCGAACGACGCGCTCGAGATCGCGCCCGTCATCGCGCGCGTCGACGCGGCGCGCGCGCGAGTGGCGTCCCGATCGCGCCCGCCCCCAGCCCGTCCCCAGTTCGACGCGCGCGTCGAGCGAAACAAACTTTGCGACGACGAGACGGGCGACGGGACGGGACGATGGATCACGGGTTCGATGTTCCGGTGTCCATGGGGGTGCGTCGTCGCGACGCGACGCGACGCGACGCGACGCGACGAAGGAACGAAGGAACGAACGAACGAACGAACGAACGAACGCATCGAGATGCGCCGACGACTCGCGCCGGTGTTGAGTGATGCGGGCGCGGAGAGACTGACGTGCGCGCGATGCCGACGATGATGATGGCGCAGACGACGATCATGGCGGTGCGATACGCGGACGGCGTGATACTCGGCGCGGATTCGCGGACGAGCACGGGGACGTACGTGGCGAACAGGGCGAGCGACAAAATCACGCAGATCTGCGACAACGTGTGGATGTGTCGAAGCGGGAGCGCGGCTGATACGCAAAACGTTGCGGCGTATGTGTCGAGATTAGCGCAAGAGCACGCGGTGTCGGTGTCGAGCGCGGCGGCGGGCGCAGATGAGGTGCTGACGTGCGACGTCAAACTCGTCGCAAACTTGACCAAGACCATCGCGTACGAAAATAAAGATAGGTTACAGGCGGGGATGATCATAGCGGGTTGGGATCGGAAATTAGGACCGCAGGTGTACGGCATTCCCCTGGGCGGGTCCATGGTCGAGGCCCCGTTCACCGTGGGCGGAAGCGGAAGCGCGTACGTGTACGGGTGGTGCGACGATACGTTTAAAGAAGACATGTCCAAGGAGGAAGCCCAGGCGTGGGTGACGAACGCGATTTCGCTCGCGATCGCGCGTGATGCGTCGTCGGGAGGCGTCATTCGCCTCGTCACTATCGACGGCAAAGGTTGCGAGCGTAAAATGTTGCAGCCGATCGAACACGTGCTGTGCGACGACGAGTTGCCGCCGGTGAAGCGAAGCGTCGCGTCGACGTGACGGGAGGTACGATTTAACGCGTGTAGATGATGTAGTAAGACTACAATCACGACGCGAACTGTTCGTCGAGTCAGCGCCTCCGTCGCCCTCGAGCCTTCTCTTTGATGGCTTCTTTGACTTTTGCTCGCTGTAACTCTGCTCTTTGCTCGTTATAGCTAGCGCTGTCGGCTTTCGCCTGACGCGTGTAATTTTCCGAGGCTTCGCGGGCGTGTTTCTCGATCTGCACGTGCACTTCTTCGTTCGTGAGGTTGTATGCGTACTCGTAGTACGTCTTCAACGGCGCCACACGACCTCGTCCTCCCCAAACGCCTCGCTTCACCGCCTCCATTCGTAACATTTGAATGCACTCGTCGTGTAGTCCTTGCATCGCAAAATCCACCGGCGCCTTGCCCCAATCGTCGCGCGTCTCCAGCGCGGCGCCTCGATCGAGCAGCTCGCGTGCGACGTGTTCGCGCCCGAAACCGACGGCAAAGTGTAACGCAGTGCGTCCGCCGGCATCGACGTCGTCCACGTCGACCGTGCGCGCGTCGAGCATCGCACGCACGCCTAGTAAATCGCCGATCCTCGCGCGTTTGTGAAACTGTGGTTCTTCAAACAACTTGCGCGCGTCCGCGCCCGTCTGCGCGCGATCGTCGCCGTCGAGCGTGGTCCACGACCATTTCGAGCTCCATCCGCGAGGGGGCTCGCGCGCGTAATCTTTCGGCGCCTTCACGACCATGCGCCTTCGCCAAACTGTGAAGCCGCTCGAAAAAAACGCCGAGAAAACGCCTTTTTTGTTTGGTTGCCTTCAGTTGTCGCTCTCGCGATGCGATGGTGTGTTGCTTTGTTTCGTTTCGTTTGCATCGCTACGCCGAACACGCGACAATCGTTCGTAGGAGAGAAAGGGGCGTAAAGGCGCGAACGCGTTCGCGATGGATGACGTAGAAGCGCCTCGGGAGTCGTCTCGGCGCTTTCTTGGCTAACTTCTCGATCGACGATCGCGCGCTTTCTGAGCTCGTGCCGCTTTGTCCTTCGACGAAGACGCCTCTGCACGTACCACGAAGTCTCGGTTTGGTGGAAACATATGTCACTGGATCGACTTTGAAGATTTGATCAAAGTTGTCCGGCGTCAAGTCGAGCAAATCGCGTACGGACAACTCACAAATGATGTGGCCGTGACGATCGATGTGCGTATCGCCCGGGACTCGAAAGCTTGACTCGACGAACACGCACGCGTTCACCCCTTCACCCTCACGATGGAGCCAGCGAAAACAATCCGCGGCTGTTATGTCGTAGTTGTGCTCCTGATGAACGACTATGAACGTGTCCTGAGTCGTGTCGAACAGGACGCGCTCATCGAAGCATTGTCCGATGGCGAGGCGCAGCGTTTCGGCGACGCCTAGAAAGTGCACGATGTCCTCCGCGGTCACGACGCAGTGCGTGTCATCATCGATCGTGAAGAATATAGCGTGTCTATCTCGCTCATCGAGTTCTTCGATGGCGTCGCGCCATCTCGTGTCGCTCTCGCACGCGATGAGCGGCGACGCAAAGTCAGCCAATCGTGTCGCCGGCAAATCGAACGTCGACTCAAGCACGTTTCGAGGAGGAGCTTCCGCGAGTTCTTTTGAATTCTTCACTCTCGTTGGACGATGCTCAACGTGCACCAGACCCACGGTTTCCGCCGCGTTGGGCTCGTCGACCAGCGCATCGGCCCGGGCGCCACTCTCGTATGCTGGCTCGAGAGGTTTCGTGAGTTCATCTTCGAGCTCGCGCGAAAAGCACTTGAACAGTGCTCTAATGGATATCTGTGCGCCATCTGTCGTCGGTAGCGTCTCGTGAACCAAGCACGCGTCGCCGCTGGAAAGGCTAGAACCGCTCTCTCGCATCGCGCGCACGACGTCCCCGACCGACATGGCGTGGAGGTTTAGGATGGTGACCTCACACGCGTCGACGCCGTACTCGCGTCGTTTCCATCTTCCAACGTCTTTGAGAGTGGCGTTCATACGTTTGGTGTCGATCATCGCGAACGAATACGCCGTCCTCGCGGCAGCGGCGCGTTGTGGGACACTCGTTGTCAACTCCGAGAAGATGAACAGACAAAATGCGCACCGAAGATATTTTTGGAGGTCAATTTGCGTCACTATTCGACGACGCTGACGACGACGAGGAGGGCACGTACGACCGCCAGGCGCGCGTAATGACGGCGATCACGCAGTCCTCAATCGTCGCGAACGTCACCGCGTCGTCACCGTGTATCTCGCGCGCGTCGTCGCCCGCTCCGTCCGAGACTTCGAGCGCGGGCGACAGCGCGAGCGGCCTCGGCGGCGAAGACCGAGCGCGATGGATCCGTGAACGTGTATCGACACACTTGCTCGCGAGAGACGCTGGACTCAAGATTGATAAATCTACTTGGAGTGATATCATTGAAAATGCGATCGTAGAAGAGGTGCGTCGTCTCGAGCTCTAGTCTTTGACCGACTGACGCTCCGCGCGGCGCCGACGTAGGAACGCGTCGATTTGATTGATGGCTTCTTCGATGGAATCGCGAGCGAAGGCGACGGATCGCCTTTCGTGTTATTTGCACACGCACAAATAGTGCGTAAAGAAGATTCTGGAGATGTTTGCGTCATACGAGTCACGCAGGGAATTCCCCAAGCCTTTCGTCGCGTATCTGTGCTCTTTCGCGCGAGTCACACGTTGAGTATTCTTAAGGGAGAGCCAACGGGTTACAATACGCTCGGTAGTGATGTAAGTGTCGTACACTTGAGTTCTCATGCGGCGACGATCAAGACTCTTCAACGGTTCATGGCCGGCGTGTACGCGTGTTCGATGCGGCAAAGGGCAATCAAAAGTATAGAAACGAGTTCACCGTTGACCGATCTCGCGGCTCATGCGCACACGTTCATGTCCAAATTGCTCGATGCGTCGAATTCCCATCGAACAGTGCTGTACGTTCCAGATGATCAGAGTACTGGTAACTTGGAGAGCGTCGTCGCAAACTGGTCCCGTCAACTTCGCCAGGTGCTCGGGCGCGGCGGGGACGTCGGCGAAGACGACGAGAGCAAGCGCGACGCACAGAGACTGGACGAACGAGTACAGTCCGATGGACCTTTGATGCGCATCATGAAGTTTTGGCCCGAACGCGCGACGGACTTGCGCGGTGTTCAGGAACAGCTGCAATCGGAAAGCGTTCGGTTGATTGTGAAGAAACTCGCGTCGCAGAAAAACGCAAACTACCTGTGCGATGACATCGCGGCGTTTGAACAGTTGATCGTCGACAGAGTTCACTTGGCTGAACGCATCAGTGACATGTTCAGCCGCGTCAAGCCCGCATGCGAAGCTTTGAGCGTCGCACGACTGGCAGACGTCCCGCAAATCTTGCCGCGCCTCGTTGACGCAATCTTCCTGGCGTGGCTGAATACGGATTCAAACATCAAAGACGCGGTCAGTGATCAGTATGTGGACCTGCTTAAACGTATCGCCGATCAAATTATGATTATTTGCAAAGGTGAGTTGAATCTGAACCACATCATTCAGAACGATGGTTCGAACGAAGAAGCGTACAACGGCGCAGTTTGTACTCTTCGCGAGTGCGCATTCGTGGCTGATGTGTGGAAGAATATATACTTCGAGCGCGCGGCGATCGAGAGCAGTGGAGCACTGTTGATTGATGCGACGACCGTGTTTTCGCATTTGGATGCATTCGCGCATCGTTGCAGAGATCTGTTGGAATTGTGCGAAGCGCAAGAACAATTTGCGCCGCCGGCGTCTCGCTCATTCCCAAGCGCAGCGAACGTGGTGCGTTACAGGCTCGACGATCGACTTGAAGTAATCCGTCGCGTTTTCCTTGATGTCGCGATAAATGACTTGACCAAGATTGAGTATGATATTTTGGATGTGTCCTCGATGCGATGGCACGATGATTTCGCCGCGTTCAAGTCTCGCGTGAAAAAGTTGGAGATGAAGATGTGTGCCATATTCGGCGAAGCGTGCGAACGGGCGGAGACGTTACAAGCGCGTGTTTCGCTCCTTCGCTTGTTATTCACGAAAATTGCACGTCGAGATGGTGTTGTTCGCGCAGTCGAATCTTGCGCCGCTCGCGCGTACTCTATGTTTGCCGAGGATTTGCAGTGTGCCAAACGACAGTTTGACGCAAATCGGATGAAGCCTCCGATAGAATCGAGCTTGCCTCGAACGTTCGGTGCCGTGCACTGGGCCAATACATTGCTGCATCGTCTCGAGAACGACTTCGGTGAGTTACGAAGGGCACACGCGGAGGGTGCGCTACCGCAACTGCCCGAATCCGTGGATTTGCTCGCCGTGTACGATTTAACCATTCCACAAATAGAGCGCTTTATCAACGAAAAATACGACGAATGGGTCGTTTATGTGAACGCAATGAACGTCGAAGAGCGCCTTGATCAGCCTTTGCTACGCGCCGACGATGATGGGTTATTGTTCATCACGTACGCCGTCGACGTAGGCGTTGCGTGCGAGGATGCTCGAGGATTCGCATCCATGTCTCGAGAAGTACCTGCCAATATCAAAGAAGTCGCGTTTGGTGGTATGCGCTGTGCCCATGATGCGTTGTGCGAACGATTGAGTTCGCTCGTCGAAAGGAACAACACGTTATTGCGGCAAATCGGTCGCGACAAGCACGTCAATCGTCTTTTCCGCGCAAATGTCGATATTTTGAAAAATCTTTTCGCCGCGGCGTCAAAAGAGCTGACATGGCGCTCCGAAATCTCCACCATCGACGCTTTTTGTGCAGAGTCGGACAAACTCTGCTCGTTTATGAGTGAAAGTTTGGAAAAGTTTAGAGGATCGGCTGCGCGCATCACTGAAATTCTCGAAGAACTCTCGGCGGTTTCATTACGGCGCAGGGAAGGTGACCACGTCGACCCGCTGGACGAATTTAAGAACATCTACGAACAGGAAACCGTTCATATTCGCTCGAAGTTCGGAGAAACAAGTGCGACTATCTTACATCTCACTTCACATCAGCGACAGAGCATCGGTGACGTTGACACCGCCAGTGAAGCGTGGATCGCATATATCAAGGACATTGAAGACGCCGTCGTTCGTGCATTGCGCAAGGTCTTGTTGCGCACGCTATCTCATTTGCATCTCACGATGGGCCGAGTGGAGTCTGACTGCGCTCCATTGAAACCAGTCGTGCTGATGAGCATGAACCTTTCATCCTGCGATGTTGGCACCATGCGAGTCGAAACTTCACCGCAAACCACGCAATTGTGCGAAACCATCAACACCGTTTTCGACGCCGCGCTCGATGCGTACGGCTCCGTGCCTCAAATATCTCCGCTGAACGAGTCCATTCAAGATAGATTGCTGCGTGATAACCGGGATATGATTTCGCGCGTAAGATCGAGTGTCACAAACTCGGTGAAAGACATCGCCGAAGATTTGATGAGATTTGCCGCACGTTGGGAGGAGCGCTATTTCCACTTGTGGCGAGAAAACGCCGTCGACGTCAGCGACAACAGCGCGATTGAAGCCCGCATTCATCGCGTGCAGGAGTCGATGGAGGACGTCAGAAGTGAAGAGCACACGCATGTGATCGGGTTCGTCAGAATCGAATGTGGATATCTCAAGCAAAGTCTTTTGGCTTTAGCTCAGAATAACGTGCAAGGCATGATTTCAGAATTACGCGCCAAGGCGGCGACTGAAATCGACGACGTTATGAGATACTTTGAAATGAGTGTCGCCCGTTTCGAACAGCCACCGAGTGACATAAATGAGCTCGTCAAGCACGTGAGCGAACTCAAGCAACTACAAACAAACGTTGACTCTGTTCCTGCATCATTCGTCAAGCCGCGCGATAGTTTTCGTATTTTGAACGAATTCGTAGACGTCACGGAGACGGAATCTCAGCGCTTGGCGTCCATCGATGACAAGTTTGAAGAGTTCAAGTTTCAGCTAGAGAAGATCGAGTCAAGCCTCGATGCGACAAAAGATGTGTTTCAGAATGAACTGCGAACATCAATCGTGCAACTCGAAAAAGATGCGAGAGAGTATAAAGTGAAATTCGACCGTTTGGCGCCGATGCAGACGCACCCGGCGTGCGCGAAACGCGCGTGCGACAAGTCGTGGGAGTTTATCGCGGGCGTTGATGAGGTCATCGAACAGTTTGATCATCGACTGCGTGTGATACTGAACGGTTTGGTTGTATTTGAAGATCTCGCTCCACCCACACTGGTCGATATGGAAGAATTAAAAGCCGACTTGGAACAACTCAAGATGGTTTGGCGAGTGGTGCGAGAATGGAACGACTTGTACGAAGGTTGGAAGGATGGTAAATTTAATGACCTAGATGTCGAGTCCATGGAAAACGGCGCTACTCTTTTGTACAAACAAATCACCAAGCTCGGGCGAGGTAAGGTCAAGGAGTGGGGAACTTGGATCAGTTTGAAAGATACGGTTGATTCGTTCAAGCGCATCATGCCGCTCATCGTTGACATGCGTAATCCGGCGGTTCGTCGACGACACTGGGAACTCGTCATGGAGGCATGTGGCAAGCAATTCGATCCCACAAGCGAAGGTTTCACTCTGGATAAAGTCGTTGAACTTGGCTTGGACCATTACGCCGAAGCCATTTCCGAAATTAGCACGGATGCTACGAAGGAATTATCCGTGGAGAATACGCTGCGCGGCATCGCCGACGTCTGGACAAACGTTGTTCTCGACACCGGTCCGTTCAAGGAAGGGCGCGACGACGTGATGAAGTTGAGAAGTGCAGATGATATATTTACCGCATTGGAAGACAATACCGTAACTCTGAGTACTTTAAAAGCGAGCAAATTTTTCTCCGTCTTTGAGCGCACAATTACGTCGTGGGAAAAGACGCTCGGTGTAGTAAATGACGTCGTCGAGATGGTGCTCAAAGTTCAACTAGCGTGGATGTACTTGGAGAATATCTTTATTGGCAGTGAAGACATCGCGCGTCAGCTTCCTAGTGAAACGGAAATGTTTGGCACGATTAATACGCGTTTTATCAAGCTCATGCAAGAAATGCACAAGACGAGCAACGTCGTTTTGGCGTGCACGGCGATGCGCGCGCCCGACATTGGCGACACCCCAGACGTGTCTCTTCTCAATGAGCTGAGCGCAATGGATTCGAATCTCGAGCGCATACAAAAGTCACTCGATGATTACCTTGAGTCGAAGCGCCAGATGTTTCCGCGCTTTTATTTCCTCAGCAACGACGATTTACTGCAAATTTTGGGACAAGCGAAGGAACCGCAGAACATCCAGCCACATCTGAAGGGGATGTTTGAGGGCATTAAAAAGTTAGAGATGTACGCTCCCGATCCCTTGACCGGTCGAAGACATTGTGAATCTGTCGCAATGACTTCTCCTGACGGCGAAACGATCCCGTTCGATAATCCTATCCGCACCGAGGGCCGACCGGAGGAATGGCTGAACACAGTCGAGGCGGCGATGTACTCCGCAACAAGGACACATTTGGCGAGCACGTTCGAGCAGTGCCGCGCGAAGGGAATCAAAAAAGATAAATGGGTGAAAGACAATCCTGGACAGATGTTGATTACCGCTGGTTGCATTTCGTGGACGATGGAGTGCGAGAGGGCGCTTCGAGATCCGGAGAACGTGAAGGAGGCGCTGAAAAAGTTACGGCGTAAATGGATTCAATACTTGAATAAACTTGTTGAGCTTACGCGCACACCACTCGACAAAGTGACTCGCAAGAAAGTGACGGCATTGATCACTATCGAAGTACACGCGCGCGATGCGATAGAAAAACTCATCAAGACCGGATGCTCTTCTCCCAACGATTTTGAGTGGGTGTCACAGTTACGATTTTATTGGGATCGCGAGACGAGGCATTGCACTGTGAAGCAAGTGCTCAGTGTTTTCGACTATGGATATGAATACCAAGGTAACAATGGCCGCCTGGTTGTGACACCACTTACCGATCGCTGCTACATGACGCTCGGTGCCGCTATGTTTACGCGTCGAGGCGGAAACCCACTCGGACCGGCGGGAACTGGTAAAACAGAAACCGTGAAAGATTTTGGCAAGGCTTTAGCGCGGTACGTGATTGTATTCAATTGTTCGGATGGCGTAGACTACAAGATGACGGGTAAGATGTTTAGTGGGCTCGCGCAAACTGGCGCATGGGCGTGTCTGGACGAATTTAACCGTATCACGGTGGAGGTACTGTCAGTGGTGGCGACACAAATTAGCGTCGTCATGGCCGCCGTGAAGCAGAACTTGAAGATGTTCGATTTTGAAGGTCAGCGTATTCGCTTGATACCGTCATGCGGTGTCTTCGTCACCATGAATCCAGGCTACGCCGGTCGCGCCGAATTGCCCGACAATCTCAAAGCAATCGTGAGGCCAGTGTCAATGATGGTTCCAGATTTTTGTTTGATTGCCGAGATCATGATGTTCAGCGAAGGCTTCACAAACGCGAAACCGCTGGCCAAGAAAATGGTTGCAATCATGGAGCTCAGTCAGCAACAGCTCAGTAAGCAAGATCACTACGATTACACCTTGCGTTCTTTCATCATTCCAATATCTCGAGCCGCTGGCGCGAAGAAGCGTCAAGCTCCGCAAGCCGACGAACAATTGATCTTATTCAACGCGATGAGAGACCTGATTATTCCAAAGCTCGTGTACATTGATATTCCACTATTCAAGGCTCTTCTCAACGACTTGTTCCCTGAAGTCAACGCGCCGCATGAGGACTCGGCTACTCTGCGAGAGGCACTCGTCCAGGAGTGCCGACTGAACAATTTGCAACCAGTGGACGCATGGATTTCCAAGATTGTGCAAATTTTCGATTGCAAATCGGCCCGACACGGTAACATGATTGTCGGTAAAACTGGCTCGGGCAAAACTCGGGCGCGAGAAATTCTGATCAAGGCCATGTCGCGCTTGAAACAAAGCGGCGTTCAAGGCGATTTCCAAAATGTCGAAGTGTATCCAATCAACCCACTCGCGTTGTCGAACGACGAACTGTACGGGTCATTCGATGAAGCAACACACGAATGGTCTGACGGAGTTTTGGCCAAAATTATGCGAAACGTGTGCAAAGACGAATCGGCGAATCAGAAATGGATTCTCATGGACGGGCCCGTCGATACGCTGTGGATTGAAAGTATGAATACGCTCTTGGACGACAATAAACTTTTAACGTTGCTTTCGGGCGAACGAATCATGATGAGCCCGCAAGTTTCAATTTTGTTTGAAGTCGAAGATCTGTCGCAGGCTTCGCCAGCGACGGTCTCGAGAGCTGGAATGATTTATTTCAACGTCGAAGATCTTGGTTGGCAGCCGTACGTGGCGAGCTGGCGATGTGAACGAAAAAATAGAGATCGCAGTGATGTAGACATAGAAGACGCGCTGTCTAACTGCATGGACAAGTACATGGACGAAGTTTTGGGGTTCAAGCGTTCAAAATGTCGAGAGCCCGTGGCGACGGATGAGTTAGCGAGCATTCATCAGTTTACGACGTTGTTCGATGCGCACCACATCCAGAGCGTCGGGGACGTAGAGCCTATTTTTGTGTTTTGTATAGTCTGGTCGATAGGAGGGTCAATTGATCACGCAAGCCGCTTACGTTTCGACGCAATGCTTCACCGTATAATGCCTTTGAAGCTGTTCCCGCACACGCCGGCGTCGGCGCCGACGGACACAACTGTCTTCGACTTTTACTACGACGCGGAGCGCCGTGCGTTCGTGCCTTGGGTGGAGAAGATACCTACCTATCATTTACCTCACGAAAACACGCCGTTCTTCAAGATCATGATTCCCACCGTCGATTCCGTCCGTACAAAGCATCTAGCGACGCTACTTCTCAAAGCCGGCATGAACACTCTCATCGTCGGTAACGTCGGCGCGGGTAAATCAATGGTGGTAGACTCTTGTCTTTCCGAGCTACCAGAAGGATACATTGGAAGTAGAATAACATTCAGTGCACAAACGAGCTCAAATTCGCTTCAGGAAACAATCGAAGGTAAGCTTGAGAAGCGCTCAAAAGGAAGCCTCGCGCCTCCCGGCGGTCGAAAGCTCATCCTGGCAATTGACGATTTGAACATGCCGAAGAAGAGCGAGTTTGGTTTCATCCCTCCGCTCGAGTTGCTAAAATTATGGCATGACAATGGGTTTTGGTATGACCGATCGAAGCAAGAGCGAACACACGTCAGTGATATGAAGCTTCTCGCGGCGATGGCGCCCCCGGGCGGCGGCAGAAATCCGTTCTCGCAGCGTGTTCTATCCATTTTTGCGGTTCTAAACATGGTGGATCCATCCGACGCACAGCTTGAGCGTATTTATGGCACAATTCTTGGGGAAACGCAGGGTGGGTTCGACCAATCGATCGCATCGATCGGCACGACTATTGCCAAGGCGTCCATAGCGGTGTACAACTCCCTCGCTCGCGAACTTCTCCCGACTCCGACGAAGAGTCATTATCTGTTCAACACTCGCGATCTCGCAAAAGTCATTCAAGGAGTCACTCGCGCTACAAAACAGTTTTACGACTCGAAAGAGTCCATCTTGCAACTGTGGATTCACGAAAACTTGCGTGTCTTTGGTGATCGTCTTTGGGATGTCAACGATTCGTCGTGGCTCAGGAGGCAAATCGACACCAACATGCGACTACACTTCGGAGTCTCGTGGAATGAGGTGCTCTCGACGGGTGCGACGACGTCTGTCGCGAGTGAAGTCGACGAGAAACTCAATGAATGTCATCCATTCGTATCATTCATGCGCCAAGGTTTAGATGTTCCGCCGTACGAAGCCGTCGTCGACGCGCCGGCCTTGAAAGAGTTTCTCACAGAAAAGCTTGAAGACTACGGATTGGAACCGGGCAACGCGCCTATGGATCTCGTACTTTTCAACGACGCAATAATGCACGTTTGTCGAATACACCGTGTCTTGACTCAACCTCGCGGACACGCGATGCTTGTGGGCGTTGGTGGAAGCGGTCGCAAATCGCTCGCTCGACTCGCTGCTTACGTTGCCGAGATGAAATCATTTTCAATCGAGATCACGAAGAACTACAAGCAGCTCGAATTCAGGGAAGATCTCAAATCACTGTATCGTCAAACAGGAGTCGCCGGCAAGCCTACGGTGTTCGTGTTGGATGACACGCAAATCGTCAAAGAGACTTTTCTGGAGGACGTGAACAACGCGTTGACGTCTGGGGAAATACCAGGTTTATTTGCAAAGGATGAAATTAGCGCGATTTGCGAGGATATGCGCAAGATCGCAAAAGCACAGAGTATTCGTGCGGTGACTCACGACGAGCTTTTCGCATTCTTCATGGAGCGAGTGATGCAAAATCTTCACATCGTCTTGTGCATGTCGCCAATTGGAGACGCGTTTCGCGAGCGAACGAGAATGTTCCCGGGGTTGGTTAATTGCTGCACGATTAATTGGTTCAAAGATTGGCCCGTTGACGCGTTGGAAGAAGTCGCGATGAAGAAATTACGAGACGACGACGTGAATGCGAAGGTGAAAGCGGACTTGTGCAAAATTTTTGGAATGATTCACGCATCGACGGTTTCGACGGCGGATGAAATGTTTAATGCGATTAAGCGCAAGATGTACGTCACGCCAACGAACTACATCGAGTTTGTCAACTTTTTTAGAGCACTTATGGTGGAAAAGAAGCGCGAGTTCAACGCGAAAATTACAAAGCTTCGAGGTGGTTTGACCAAGCTCGCGGAAACAGAAGTCCAAGTTCGTGAAATGCAGAGCGTGTGCAAGGACAAGGCTGCAGTCGTCGCACAGGCAAAGAAAGACTGCGAAGAATTGCTTAAAGTCATCGTCCAAGACAAACGCGCAGCAGACGAACAAAGTATGCGCGTGAGCGCGGAGGCGGAGCGCATAGAGGTTGAGGCAAAGAAGGCGAATGCAATCGCCGACGAGTGCCAACTAAAACTTGACGAGGCGTTGCCTGCGCTCCAAGAAGCAGAGGCAGCTTTGAACGTTTTGACGAAAAAGGACATGGGTGAACTCAAGTCTTACGTTAAACCTCCAGCCCTAGTGGAACTGTGCTTAAAGGGTGTGCTCACCGTACTCAAGCGGCCGACGACATGGGATGAGTCGAAGAAGCAGCTTGGCGACTCTGGATTCTTGGAGCGATTGCTGAACTTCGACAAGGACACGCTCGTCGACAGCTTGCTGACGAAGATCGCAAAGTTTGTGAACAATCCCGATTATCAGCCTGACGTCATCGGGAAAGTCTCCAACGCCGCAAAGGGGTTGTGCAAGTGGGTGCATGCCATGTACTCGTACGGAAACGTCGCGCGGGAAATTGCGCCAAAAAGATTAATGCTCAAGCAAGCACAAGACGAGCTCAAAGGCAAGCAGGACGCACTCGCGCTCACACAAGCTAACTTGGCGGAAGTGATGGCGAAAGTCGCCGCGCTGAAGGAAAATTACGAAAAGTCTGCGTCGAATAAGGCGTCGTTGGAAAACGAACTCGCAGATTTGGAGCTCAAACTCGAACGAGCCGAGGCGTTAGTCGATGGATTATCCGGTGAGAAAAAGAGATGGGTGAAATCGATTGAAGACTTTGAGTCGCAGATCGAGCGACTTCCGGGTGATGTGTGCATTGCCGCAGCTTTCATGAGTTACGCCGGGGCGTTTCCATCAGAGTATCGCAAGGCGCTCGTGACGGATTGTTGGATGCCAATGTTGAAGGAGATGGCGATTCCGTGCACCTTGGAGTTTGACTTTGCGAGTTTTCTCGCGAATCCTTCCGATGTGCGAGACTGGAATATTCAAGGTTTACCAGCCGATTCGTTTAGCACCGAGAACGCCGTCATCGTCACTCGCGGTAATCGATGGCCGCTTCTCATCGATCCGCAGGGGCAAGGAAACAAATGGATCAAATCGATGGAGTCGGCGAATGGTTTAATCGTCACAACTTTACACGCGCCTGATATGGTGCGACAAGTTGAACACGGCATTCAGTTCGGCGTTCCTGTGCTCATTCAGGATGTGAAAGAAACGATAGATCCGATTCTGGAAAACATCGTGGCGAAAGTATTCATAAAAAAGGGCGGCTCGGTAACTGTGAAACTTGGCGACAAAGATTTGGATTACTCGCCAAAGTTCCGACTATATTTCACGACAAAAATGATGAATCCGCACTACACGCCAGAAGTGAGCACCAAGCTCGCCGTCACCAACTTCACCGTGAAGGAACAAGGATTGAATGCACAGCTAAGAGATTTAGTCGTTCGCCGCGAGAGGCCGGAGCTCGACGCGCAAAAGAATGAACTCGTCGTAAAGGTTGCGCGGGGTAAACGGAAGCTCAGTGAACTCGAAGACCTAATTTTGGATTTACTAAGCAGAGCCTCTGGATCTTTGCTGGATAATATCGAGCTCATCGATTCTTTAACGCGCTCAAAAAATACAAGTGAGGAAGTCACGGCGAGCCTAAAAGTCGCCGAAACCACCGGAGTGGAAATTGAGAACGCAGCTGCGGCTTACGCCCCTGTGGCGAAGCGAGCGACGATTCTGTACTTTACGTTATACAACCTGGCCGATATAGATCCAATGTACCAGTTTAGCTTGGATGCATACACGAGCTTGTTCGACGCGTCGATCACAAAGTCGCGCCGGCAAAACGCGGACGAAGATAGCGTCGACGTCAACGAAAGACTGGCCATCTTGAACGATTATCACACATACGCCGTGTACAGGTACACCTCCAGAGGCTTATTTGAGTCGCATAAACTTCTTCTCAGCTTACAAATGTGCGTTCGCATTCAATCAGAAGAAGGAGCGATACCTTCGGCTGAGTGGCAATATTTCGTGCGGGGAAGCGCCGGTGGCGTGCGCGAGAAACACGAAGTGGTCATGCGCGCTGAAGTGGGCGCGTGGTTGAGTACAGATCAGTGGTCGAACGTCGTCGCGCTCGCTCGAGCGTTTGAAGATGCTCTCTCAGACCTTCCAACTTCCATAAATGAAATGCACGCGGACGAGTGGCGAGTCTGGTATCGACATTCAAAGCCAGAGACGCAAGCGTTGCCTGGCGCGTGGGGTGAGAGTCTCAGCGCACTTCAAAAACTTTTGATTTTGCGCGCGCTTCGCTTAGACCGTGTGGAAAGCGCGATAAGACAGTTTGTTGCGGATAATCTTGGCGCAAAATTCGTCGATCCGCCGGTGCTCAACTTGAATGAAGTTTATTTCGATTCAGCGTGCGAGGTTCCGTGTATCTTTGTCTTGAGTGCGGGCGTCGATCCCGTGGCAAACTTGAGACAATTGGCCACTAGCAAAGGAATGAGCGACAAGCTGTTCACCGTCGCTCTCGGACAGGGGCAAGCTTCGATTGCGACCGAACTCATCGAACGCGGAAGAAAGGAAGGCCACTGGGTGTTCCTCGCTAACTGCCACCTCATGATTTCATGGCTGCCAAAGCTTCAAGAAATCATCGAAGACTTTGATAGCGAAGCTCCGCACGAAAACTTTAGACTTTGGCTATCCTCAAATCCGACTCCCGCGTTCCCGCTGGCGATTCTCCAACGCGGTCTGAAAATGACGACGGAACCGCCAAAAGGTTTGCGCGCGAATTTAGCGCGACTGTATAGCACTTGCGTTTCGGAAGAATCTTTCGCGCAATGCGCGAACAAAACCAAATATGGTCGATTGTTGTTTTCGTTATCGTTCTTCCATGCACTGTTGCTAGAGCGTAGAAAGTTCGGAACTCTCGGTTTAAACATTCCGTACGATTTCAACGACACGGATTTTTCCGTCTCTGACGATTTACTTAAATCGTATTTGGATGGCTACGAAGAAACACCCTGGGATGCGTTGCGATATTTAATCGGCGAAGCAAATTACGGCGGACGCGTGACCGACGAAATCGATAGACGCGTGATTAAAGCGTATCTGCTGCAATTCTTTTGCGAAGACGTATTGCGAGAGGAAGCGGCGTACGAATTGTGCGAAGGCCCGAGCGGCAAAGTGTATTGTATCCCGTCGAATACGAATGAACTCAAAAATCATCGCGAGTTTGTGAACAAACTTCCGCTCAGTGATCAAGCCGACGCTTTTGGGCAGCATCCAAACGCTGACATCTCCTACATGATTGCGGAAAGCGAAGCCATTCTTAGCGCGAGCGCTAAATTTCAAGTCTGCGACGGCGGTTCGACAGCGAGTTCTAGTTCCAGCGCCGCCGCCCAAATGGAGGCAAACGTGCTCGCAGTTATCGGCGAAATGCTCGAGACGATTCCCAAACCGCTGGATTACGGAGCGATCGCGCAGAAAAAAAGCACAGACATGAGCCCTCTCAACGTCAATTTGCTCCAAGAAATCGAGCGCTACAACGCGCTACTGGGTACGCTTTCCCTCACTTTGCAACGACTTCGCAAGGGCATAAATGGAACGGTTCTGATGTCGAGCGAGCTGGATGACGTGTACGATGCGTTGGCGGCAAACAAAGTCCCAGCTGCGTTTCTCAAGGCGTATCCGTCTCTCAAGCCTTTGACTTCATGGACGCTCGACTTGATTTGTCGTGTCGAACAGCTCTCCGCGTGGGGACACGGAACGTATCCCAAGACTTACTGGTTGGGCGGATTTACGTATCCGACGTGCTTTCTGACGTCTGTACTCCAGATGACGGCGCGACGAGACGGCATCGCCATCGACGCGCTCTCGTTTTCATTCTCAATCGTCGACGAAAGCGACAGCGATCAATCGCCAGAGGACGGCGTCTACGTTCGAGATCTCTACCTGGAAGGTGCGGGTTGGAATCACGAGAAAAAGTGCTTATGTGAACCGGACACCATGAAACTCATCGTCAAAATGCCCGTGATGCACTTCAAACCTACGGAGCGGAAGAACAAAGCGTCCGCGTCGAACGTCACGTATCAAGCGCCGCTGTATATGTACGGTCGCAGGACGGGGACGCGCGAGCGCCCGTCGTTCGTCACGATGGTCGACCTAGATGCGGGCGGCGTCGACCCATCGCAGTGGATCAAGCGCGGCACCGCTCTACTGCTGTCGCTGTCGAACTGACTCGCGGGAAGCGTGGAAGGCCCGCGCGCTCGACGATGGTCGAATCACCGCCACGCAAGATTACACCGCTGACAACACCTTGTTGAACGAAAGCGTAGAAACTTAGAAAATGATTTGCTCCTTTGTGAAGACAACAGAAGACGAAAAAAACGAGCGTTCGCGCTACTCGCACGCACGTCGTCGTCGTCCCCGCGTCGTCTCCCAGCGCGCGTCGCCGCACCCGCCTCCCTGAAACTAGGGTTAGAAACTAGGGTTAGAAACTAGGGTTAGCAGTTTCTCTGGAACATGACGCTTCTGGCGCCCTGAAAGTTGCGCGAGTAAAGGGGTCACCAGAACCACTACACTGGCGGTCGACGACGCTGGAATTTCGCGCACACGCATGAAACACGCATTTGCATCTGTGTACGCGCGCGTTTCGCGGACCTCTGGGTGCCGGCGGCGACCCGGACCTTTACGTCGACGCGGGCGTAGGCCGCGGTTTGGGTTTTTTTGAAAATGTGTGATACCGGTTTTGGGTTGAGGACTACGTTAGGCGGGGCGGGGTAAACTAGGGTTTGGAGGGCTAGGGTTCGAGTTTAGGGTTTAGGGTTTAGGGTTTAGGGTTTAGGGTTTAGGGTTTAGGGTTTAGGGTTTAGGGTTTAGGGTTTAGGGTTTAGGGTTTAGGGTTTAGGGTTTAGGGTTTAGGGTTTAGGGTTTAGGGTTTAGGGTTTAGGGTTTAGGGTTTAGGGTTTAGGGTT